AAAATCCCCCAAAAATTCCCAAATCCCCCAAAATTTTGGGGTTCCCTTTTTTGGGGGAAATCACCTCCCAATTAACCCCTTCCCCAATTAACCCCCACCCTAATTAACCCCTTAATTAACCCTTAATTACCCCCCTGCAATACCACCACCAACCACCAGATGGCAGCACCCCCTCCCCAGGCCCCAAAACCCCCAAAAATCCCCAAAAATCCCCCAAAAAATTCCCAAATCCCCCAAATTTTGGGTTCCCTTTTTTGAGGGGGGGGTCCCAAATTTGGGGAGGGGTCCCAATTTTTGGGGGGGGTCCCCCAAAACTCACAGCGCCCCGCGAGGCTCTTCTGGTTCTTGGCGGCCTCCACGGCGGATTGAGCCGCGGCCTGAGCGGCGTTCAGGGCGCCGGGGGGCGGCACCTGAAAATTTGGGGAAAATTTTGGAAAATTTTAGGGGGATTCATCCCCCTCCACCCCCTAAAAATAAGAATAAAACTATAAAATGTCCCACAAAAAAAAATTTTAAAAAAATTATTTCCAAACGGAAAAAACAACCCAAAAAATGGACTAAAACCATTGGATATCACCCAAAAAAAAGTGGAAAAAAAATCGCTGAAAAATTGGTCAGAAAGCCCCTTAAAAAAATTCCAAAAAAAATAAAATTCCGCCAAAAAAACAACCCAAAACCCACACCAAATCCCCCCCAAAAATACCCCAAATCCCCCCAAATCCCTTAAAAAAACCCAAAAAACCCCCGTAAAGAACCCCAAAAAAACAAAAAAAAAACAAACCCAAAACCAACTCCAAAATCCCTCCCAAAAAACTCCAAAACACCCCTTAAAAAACCCCCCCAAAAAACCCAGAAAATCCTCAAAAAAACCCCAAACCCCCCTTAAAGAACCCCAAATTACCCAAATCCCCCCCAAAAAACCCCAAATCCCACCCAAACCCCCTTAAATAACCCCAAAAACCCCCAAATCCCCCCTTAAATAACCCCAAAAAACCCCCAAATCCCCCTTTAAAAACCCCAAATCCCCCCAAATCCCCCCTTAAATAACCCCAAAAAACCCCCAAAACCCCCCTTAAAAAACCCAAAAAAACCCCAAATCCCCCCTTAAAGAACCCCAAAAACCCCCAAAACCCCCCTTAAATAACCCCAAAAAAAAACCCAAATCCCCCCCCAAAAAAAAAACCAAAACCCCCAAATCCGCCCTTAAATAACCCCCAAAAACTCCCAAATCCCCCCTTAAATAACCCCAAAGTCCCCAAATCCCCCCAGAAAACCCCAAAAAAATCCTCAAAAAAAAAACCCCAAAAAAACCCCAAATCCCCCCTTAAATAACCCCAAATGCTCCCCAAACCCCCCTTAAATAACCCCAAAAAAAACCCCCAAATCCCCCACAAAAAACCCCCAAACCCCCCTTAAATAACCCCAAAAAAGCCCAAATCCCCCCTTAAATAACCCAAAAAAAACCCCAAATCCCCCCAGACCCCCCTTAAATAACCCCAAAAAAAACCCAAATCCCCCCTTAAATAACCCCTAAAACCCCCAAATCCCCCTTAAATAACCCCCAAATCCCCCCCAAACCCCCCTTAAATAACCCAAAAAAAAGCCCCAAAATCCCCCCAAAAAACCCAAAATCCCCCCTTAAACAACCCCAAATCCCCCCCAAATCCCCCCTTAAATAACCCCAAAAAAACCCCAAATCCCCCCTTAAATAACCCCAAAAAACCCCCAAATCCCCCCTTAAATAACCCCAAATCCCCCCAAACTCCCCCAAAAAACCCCCAAATCCCCAAATCCCCTCCCAAAACCCCCAAATCCCCCCAAATCCCCCCTTAAAGAGCCCCAAAAACCCCCCAAATTCCCCCTTAAATAACCCAAAAACCCCCAAATCCCCCCCAAAAAAAACCCAAATCCCCCCAAACCCCCCAAAAACCCCCAAAATCCCCCCCAAAAACCCCCAAATCCCCCCAAACCTTTAGGGGGTTACCTGGTATGTTTGGGGTCCGGGCGGGGGGGGCTGGGGGGGCGCCGGGGGCAGTTGGGGGGCGCTGGGGGGCAGCGGGGGGGGGGCCCCGCCCGACTTGGGGGGCGGCAGCGCCGGGGAGCCGCTGCTGGTGCCTGGGGGGACCCAAAATGTCCCCAAATTGTCCCAAAATGTGCCCAAAATTGGCCCAAAATGTCCCTAAAATTGTCCTTAAAATGTCCCTAAAATGTCCCTAAATGTGCCCAAAATTGTCCTTAAAATGGCCCTAAATTATCCCCAAAATGTCCCTAAAATTGTCCCAAAATGTGCCCAAAATTGTCCTTAAAATGTCCCTGAAATTATCCTAAAATGGCCCTAAAATTGCCCCCAAAATGGCCCTAAAATTGTCCCCAAAATGTCTCTAAAATTGTCCCGAAATGTCCCTAAAATTGTCCCGAAATGTCCCTAAAATTGTCCCCAAATATCCCTAAAATTGTCCCTAAAATGGTCCCAAAATGTGCCCAAATGGCCCTAAAATTGTCTCAAAATATCCCTAAAATTGTTCCCAAAATGTCCCTAAAATTGTCCCAAAATGTCCCTAAAATTGTTCCCAAAATGTCCCTAAAATTGTTCCCAAAATGTGTCCAAAATTGTCCCCAAATGTGCCCAAAATTGTCCTTAAAATTGTCCTAAATGTCCCTAAAATGGTCCCAAAAATTGTCCCAAAATGTGCCCAAAATTGTCCCAAAATATCCCCAAAATATCCCTAAAATGTCCCTAAAATTGTCCTAAAATTGTCCCTAAATGTGCCCAAAATATCCCTAAAATTGTCCCAAATGTCCATAAAATTGTCCTAAATGTGCCTAAAATTGTCCTTAAAATTGTCCCAAAATGTCCCTAAAATTGTCCCTAAAATTGTCCCAAAATATCCCTAAAATTGTCCTTAAAATGCCCCTAAAATTGTCCCAAAATATCCCTGAAATTGTCCTTAAAATGCCCCTAAAATTGTCCCAAAATTGTCCCCAAAATGTGCCTAAAATTGTCCCCAAAATGTCCCTAAAATTGTCCCCAAAATGTCCCTAAAATTGTCCCTAAAATTGTCCCAAAATTGTCCCCAAAATGTGCCTAAAATTGTCTCTAAAATTGTCCTAAAATGGCCCTAAAATTGTCCTAAATGTGCCAAAAATTGTCCTTAAAATGTCCCTAAAATTGTCCCCAAATGGCCCTAAAATTGTCCTAAAATGTGCCCAAAATTGTCCCAAATTCCCCAATGCCCCAAATGTCCCCAATGTCCCCAATGTCCCAAATATCCCAAATATCCCAAATCCCCCCAAGTGTCCTCATTGTCCCCAATCCCCCCGATGTCCCCAATGTCCCCAACATCCCAAATGTCCCCAATGTCCCCAATATAGCAAATTCCCCCAACGTCCCCAATCTCCCCAATCCCCCCAATGTCCCCAACATCCCCCTAATGTCCCCAATGTCCCCAATGTCCCCGATGTCCCCAATGTCCCCAATGTCCCCAATCCCCCCAAATGTCCCAAATCCATTAAATGTCCCCAATGACCCAAATATCCCAAATCCCCACAACTGTCCCCAATGTCCCCAATGTCCCCAACATCCCCAATGTCCCCAAATACCCCAAATATCCCAAATTCCCCCAAGTGTCCTCATTGTCCCCAATGTCCCCAATGTCCCCAATCCCCCCAAATGTCCCCAATCCCCTCAATGTCCCCAATGTCCCCAATCCCCCCAATGTCCCCAGTGTCACCTGGCAGTGCCACCCCCCGCACCAGCACCATGTGCCGGGGGTCCTGTCCCCAATGTCCCCAATGTCCCCAATCCCCCCAAATGTCCCCAATGTCCCCAATGTCCCCAATGTGCCAAATATCCCAAATTCCCTCAAGTGTCCCCTCTGTCCCCAGTGTCCCAAATATCCCCGATGTCCCCAATCCCCCCAATGTCCCCAATCCCCCCGATGTCCCCAATGTCCCCAATCCCCCAAATATCCCAAATTCCCCCAAGTGTCATCAAAGTCCCAAATCCCCCCAATGTCCCAAATCTCTCCCATGTCCCCGATGTCCCCAATGTCCCCAACCCCCCCAATGTCCCCGATGTCCCCAGTGTCACCTGGCAGTGCCACCCCCCGCACCAGCACCATGTGCCGGGGGTCCTGCCCCCAATGTCCCCAATGTCCCCAATGTCCCAAATATTCCAAATTCCCCCAAGTGTCCTCGTTGTCCTCAATCCCCCCAATGTCCCCAACGTCCCCAATCCCCCCAATGTCCCCAAATCCGCCTGAGTGTCCTCAATCCCCCCAATGTCCCCAATCCCTCCACTGTCCCCAATGTGCCAAATATCCCAAATGTCCCCAATGTCCCCAACCCCCCCAATGTCCCCAATGTCCCCAATCCCCCCAATGTCCCCAACGTCCCCAACGTCCCCAATGTCCCCAATATTCCAAATATCCCAAATTCCCCCAAGTGTCCTCAATGTCCCCAATGTCCCCATACCCCCAATGTCCCCAATGTCCCCAACGTCCCCAACCCCCCCAATGTCCCCAATGTCCCCAATCCCCCCAATGTCCCCAATCCCCCCAATGTCCCCAACCCCCCCAATGTCCCCGATGTCCCCAGTGTCACCTGGCAGTGCCACCCCCCGCACCAGCACCATGTGCCGGGGGTCCTGCCCCCAATGTCCCCAATGTCCCAACCCCCCCAATGTCCCAAATCCATTAAATGTCCCCAATGTCCCAAATATCCCAAATTCCCTCTAGTGTCCTCATTGTCCCCAATGTCCCAAATCCCCCCAAGTGTCCCCAAACCCCCCAATGTCCCCAATGTCCCCAATGTCCCAAATTCGCCTGAGTGTCTCCAATATCCCAAATCCCCCCAAGTGTCATCAATGTCCCCAACATTCCCCCAATGTCCCCAATGTCCCCAATGTCCCCAATGTCCCCAATGTCCCCAATGTCCCAAATCCATTAAATGTCCCCAATGACCCAAATATCCCAAATTCCCCCAAATGTCCCAAATCCATTAAATGTCCCCAATGACCCAAATATCCCAAATCCCCACAACTGTCCCCAACATCCCCAATGTCCCCAATGCCCCCAATATCCCCAATGTCCCCAATGTCCCCAATGTCCCCAATATCCCCAATGTCCCCAATATCCCCAATGTCCCCAATGTCCCCAATGTCCCCAATGTCCCCAACACCCCCGATGTCCCCAACCCCCCCGATGTCCCCGCTGTCCCCAGTGTCACCTGGCAGTGCCACCCCCCGCACCAGCACCATGTGCCGGGGGTCCTGCCCGCACTCTTTGCCCTGGGGGGGCTCGTGGCTCCCGGGGGGCGCTCCCTTCTCAAACAGCGCCCGGAGCGCCGGAAGCTTCCGCGGAGCCACCACCGAGAAGTGGATCCCACGCTGGAAAAAGGCAAAAAAAAGGTAAAAATAAATATAAATAAATATAAAATGTGTAAGAGAATATAAGGGAAAAAATTCATAAAGAAACTGCAAAAAAATCCGTGAAAAAACTAAAAAAAACAAACCAAAATTGTAAATAAACGGCAAAAAAAAGGTAAAAATAAATATAAATAAATGTAAAATGTATAAGAGAATATAAGGAAAAAAATTCAGAAAGAAACTGCAAAAAAATCCGTGAAAAAACTAAAAAAACAAACCAAAATTTTAAATAAATCGCAAAAAAATTACTCAAAAAACTAAAAAAAAAATCAAAATTTTAAATAAACGGCAAAAAAAAGGTAAAAATAAATATAAATAAATGTAAAATGTATAAGAGAATATAAGGAAAAAAATTCAGAAAGAAACTGCAAAAAAATTACTCAAAAAAATAAAAAAACCAAAATTTTAAATAAACGGCAAAAAAAAAGGTAAAAATAAATATAAATAAATATAAAATGTGTAAGAGAATATAAGGAAAAAAATTCATAAAGAAACTGCAAAAAAATTACTCAAAAAACTAAAAAAAACCATCAAAATTTTAAATAAACGGCAAAAAAAAGGTAAAAATAAATATAAATAAATATAAAATGTATAAGAGAATATAAGGAAAAAATTCATAAAGAAACTGCAAAAAAATTACGCAAAAAAATAAAAAAAACATACCAAAATTGTAAATAAACGGCAAAAAAAAGGTAAAAATAAATATAAATAAATATAAAATGTATAAGAGAATATAAGGAAAAAATTCATAAAGAAACTGCAAAAAAATCCGTCAAAAAAACAAAAAAAGCAAACCAAAATTTTAAATAAATGGCAAAAAAACCTAAAAAAAAATGTAAATTGTGCCGTGGGGAATGGGGAAAATAAAGGAAAAATTATTAATAAGCCTAAAATGTAAAAAAAAATTAATTAAAAAAATAAAAGAACAAAAAAAAAATCACTCAGAAAATATCCCAAAAAGTCACCAAAAAATCCCCCCAAAAAATCAAAAAAAATTCCCCGAAAAAACCATCAAAAAAATCCCCAAAAAAATCCCAAAAAATCCCCCAAAAAAACCCTAAAAAAATCCAAAACCCCAAAAACCCCAAATTCACCCAAAAATCCCTTTAAAAAATCAAAATAAAAATTAAAAAAAATGAAAAAAGAGGAAGAAAAATGCCAAAAAAAATCACCAAAAATCACCCAAAAAACCCCAAAACTCCCCCAAAATATCCACAAAAAATCCCCAAAAATCCCAAATCCCCCTAAAAAGCCCAAAAAAATCCCCCCAAAAATTACAAAAAATCTCAAAAAACCCCAAAAAAATCCCAAAAATTCCCCCAAAATCCCCTCCAACCTCAGCAATCGTCTCAGGGCTTTGCCCCCATAAATCCCAAAAAACCCTAAAAAATCCCCAAAAACCCCCCAAAAAATCCCCCAAAAAACCCCCAAAAAACCCTAAAAAACCCCAAAACCCCAAAAACCCCAAATTCACCCAAAAATCCCTTTAAAAAAATCACAAAAAATCAAAATAAAAATCGAAAAAAATTGAAAAAAAATTGAAGAAAAATGCCAAAAAATCACCGAAAAATCACCAAAAAAGCTCTGAAAAAATCCCAAAAAATCCCAAAAAAATCCCAAAAAATTCCTAAAAATCCCAAAATCCCAAAAAGGCCCAAATTTGCCCCAAAAAGGCCCAAACCTCAGCGATTCTCTGCACGAGGCTCTCGGTGCTGTAGCCGGAGTAGGTGGGGCAGGAACCCCAGAAACCCCAAAAACCCCCAAAAAATACCCAAAAAACCCCTAAAAATCCCCCAAATCCCTAAAAAAACCCAAAAATCCCAAATCTCCCTAAAAAGCAAAAAAAAATCCCCCCAAAAATTATAAAAAATCCCGAAAAAACCCAAAAAAAACCCCAAAAAATTCCCCCAAAATCCCCTCCAACCTCAGCGATTGTCTCAGGGCTGTGCCCCCATAAATCCCCAAAAAACCCTAAAATATCCCCAAAAAACCCCCCCAAAAAAAACCCTAAAAAACCCCAAAACCCCAAAAACCCCAAATTCACCCAAAAATCCCTTTTAAAAAATGCCAAAAAATCAAAATAAAAATCGAAAAAAATTGAAAAAAAATGAAGAAAAATGCCGAAAAATCACCAAAAAATCACCAAAAAAGCCCCGAAAAAATCCCAAAAAATCCCAAAAAATTCCTAAAATCCCAAAATGCCAAAAAGGCCCAAATTTGCCCCAAAAAGGCCCAAACCTCAGCGATTCTCTGCACGAGGCTCTCGGTGCTGTAGCCGGAGTAGGTGGGGCAGGAACACCAGAAACCCCAAAAACCCAAAAAAATACCCCCAAAAAACCCTGAAAAATCCCCCAAATCCCTAAAAAAACCCAAAAATCCCAAATCTCCCTAAAAAGCCCAAAAAAATCCCCCCAAAATTACAAAAAATCCCCAAAAAACCCCAAAAAAACCCCAAAAAATTGCCCCAAAATCCCCTCCAACCTCAGCGATCATCTCAGGGCTGTGCCCCCATAAATCCCAAAAAAAACCCTAAAAAATCCCCCAAAACCCCCCCAAAAAAACCCCAAAAAACCCTAAAAAAAACCCAAAACCCCAAAAACCCCAAATTCACCCAAAAATCCATTTAAAAAATCCCCAAAAAATCAAAATAAAAATAAAAAAAAATTGAAAAAAAATGAAGAAAAATGCCGAAAAATCACCGAAAAATCACCAAAAATGCCCCGAAAAAATCCCAAAAAAATCTCAAAAAAATCCCAAAAAATTCCCAAAATTTCCAAAATGCCAAAAAGGCCCAAATTTGCCCCAAAAAGGCCCAAACCTCAGCGATTCTCTGCACGAGGCTCTCGGTGCTGTAGCCAGAGTAGGTGGTGCTCTCCACGGCGGGCAGCAGGTACGGGGGGGAGTTACAGATCAGCACACAAACCTTGTGGGTCTGTCCTCTGCCAAAAAAATCACAAAATTATCCGAAAATTATCTGAAATTCCAGGCAGAAAAAATCCTAAAATTGTTCAGAATTAACCTAGGGAAAAAAATCGCAAAAAAAAGAACAAAATCCTATTAAAAAAACCCAAAAAACCCCCAAAAAATCCAAATTACACCTCAAAAGTACCCCCAAAACGCCTTAAAAAAATTAAAAAAAAAAAAAAAAAACCCCAAACCCCCTTAAAACCCCCCAAAAAAATCCCAAAAATACCCAAAACCCCTTTAAAATAAACCTAAAAATTTCCCCAAAAAAACCCCAATTAACTCCACAAAACCACCCCAAAACCCTTAAAAAAACCAAAGAAATCTTCAAAAACAACTTCAAAAATACCGTCCCAAAATCCCCTTAAAAAACCCCAAAAAAAGCCCCCAAAAACTCCCCGAAAATCCAAATAAAACCCCAAAAGTACCCCCAAAACCCCTTAAAAAATTAAAAAAAAAAAAAAACCAAAATACCGCCAAACCCCCCAAAAAAATCCCCAAATTCCCCAAAACCCCCTTTTAAAAAACCCCAAAAAATCCCCCAAAAAACCTCAAAAAAATCCTAATAAACCTACAAACCCCCCCCCAAAATCCCTTAAAAAAAACCCAAAAAACCTTTTAAAAACCGTCCCAAAACCCCCTTAAAAAAACCCAAAAAATCCTAAAAACCCCCAAAACTCCTTAAAAATCCCCAAAAAAAATCCCAAAAATCCCTTTAAAACAAACCCAAAAAAATCCCCCAAAAACGTCCAAAAAAACCCAAATAACCCCACAAAACCACCCCCAAAACCCCTAAAAAACCCCAAAAAAACCATCCCAAAACCCCCTTAAAAAAACAAAAAAATCCTAAAAAAACCCCAAAACTCCTTAAAAATCCCAAAAAAATCTCAAAATTCCCCAAAACCCCTTTTAAAATAAACCCAAAAAATCCCCCCAAAAAACCTCCAAAAAACCCCAAATAACCCCACAAAACCACCCCAAAACCCCTTAAAAAAACTTCAAAAAAAAGTCCCAAAACCCATTTTAAAAAAACCCAAAAAATCCTAAAAAACCCCAAAACTCCTTAAAAATCCAAAAAAAATCCCAAAATTCCCCAAAATCCCTTTAAAATAAACCCAAAAAATCCCCCCAAAAACCTCAAAAAAAATCCAAATAACCCCACAAAACCACCCCAAAACCCCTAAAAAAACCCCCCAAAAAATGTCCCAAAACCCCCTTAAAAAAACCCAAAAAATCCTAAAAAACCCCAAAACTCCCTAAAAATCCAAAAAAAATCCCAAAATCCCCCCAAAAAAACCCCAAACCCCCTCAAAACCTCCCCAAAAAAACCACCAAAAATCCCTTTAAAAAGCCCCAAAACCCCCCCAAAACCCCCCAAAAACCCCTTAAAAAAACCCGAAATTCTCCAAAAAACCCCAAATTCCCCCAAAAAAACCCCAAAAACCAAAAAAATCCCAAAATTCCCCAAAACCCCTTTAAAATAAACCCAAAAAATCCCCCAAAAAACCTCAAAAAAACCCACCAAAAATCCCTTTAAACACCCCAAAAATACCCCAAAAATGCCCCAAAACCCCCCAAAAACCCCTTAAAAAAACCCCCAAATTCTCCAAATTTCCCAAATTTCCCCAAATTTTCCCAAAATTCCCGAATTTTCCCACATTTGCTCCCTCATTTTCTTGAAGTCGTCGAAGAGCTGCAGGGCGGTGCTGAGCCCCTCGGCGATCCCCCCACACCCCAAAAATGCCTCCAAAAAACCCCAAAAAAACCCAAATTCCCCCAAAAACCCCAAAAACCCCAAAAAATCCCAAAATTCCTCAAAACCCCTTTAAAATAAACCCAAAAAATCCCCCAAAAAAACCTCCAAAAAAACCCAAATAAACCCAGAAAACCACCCCAAAACCCTTAAAAAACCCAAAAAAAACCATCCCAAAACCCCCTTAAAAAAACCAAAAAAAACCTAAAAAAGCTCCAAAACTCCTTAAAAATCCCCAAAATTCCCCAAAATATCCCAAATTCCCAAAAAAATCCCCCCAAAAAAACCCCAACCCCCTCAAAACCTCCCCAAAAAACCTCAAAAAAACCACCAAAAATCCCTTTTAAAAGCCCCCAAAAATGCCCCAAAACCCCCCAAAACCCCTTAAAAAAACCCCAAATTTCCCAAAATTCCCAAATTTTCCCAAAATTCCCGAATTTTCCCACATTTGCTCCCTCATTTTCTTGAAGTCGTCGAAGAGCTGCAGGGCGGTGCTGAGCCCCTCGGCGATCCCCCCACACCCCAAAAATGCCTCAAAAAAACCCAAAAAAACCCAAATTCCCCCCAAAAAACCCAAAAATCCCAAAAAATCCCAAAATTCCCCAAAACCCCTTTAAAATAAACCCAAAAAAATCCCCCAAAAACCTCCAAAAAACACCAAATAACCCCACAAACCCACCCCAAAACCCTTAAAAAAACCAAAATAAACTTCAAAAAAACCATCCCCAAACCCCCTTAAAAAAACCCCAAAAAATCCTAAAAAAACCCAAAACTCCATAAAATCCCCAAAATTCCCCAAAAAAATCCCAAAATTCCCCAAATTCCCCCCCAAAAAAGCCAAATCCTCTCAAAACCTCCCCAAAAAACCTCAAAAAAACCACCAAAAATCCCTTTAAAAACCCCCAAAAACGCCCCCAAAACCCCCAAAAACCCCTTAAAAAAAAGCCCAAATTCTCCAAAAAACCCCAAAATTCCCAAATTTTCCCAAAATTCCCGAATTTTCCCACATTTGCTCCCTCATTTTCTTGAAGTCGTCGAAGAGCTGCAGGGCGGTGCTGAGCCCCTCGGCGATCAGACTGCAGCTCTCGCCGCCGCCCCCCGCGAACCTGCCAAAAATTCCAAAAATTCCCATTTTTACACAAATTTCCCAAAAATTCCCAAATTCCCATTTTTTTCCCAAAAATTCCCTTCCTCCCCCCCAGTTTTTGGCAAAAATCCCGGTTTTATTCCCCCCAAAATTCCCATTTTTCCCCATTTTCTCCCCCATTTTTTCCACCATTTTCTCCCCCTTTTTTCCCCCATTTTTTTTCCAAAAATTTCCATTTTTCCCCCAAATTTTCAATTTTTTGCCCAAAATTCACATTTTTTTCCTCAAAAATTTGCTTTTTTCCCTCCCATTTTTTGGCAAAAATTCCCATTTTATTCCCATTTTTCCTCATTTTTGCCTTTTTTTTTTTTGCCGTTTTTTCACCGTTTTCCCCCCTTTTTTTTCCCAAAAGTTCCCATTTTTTTTCCCTGCAAATTTTCCATTTTTTCCCAAAATTCATGGTTTTTTCCCCAAAAATTTGCTTTTTTCCCTCCTATTTTTTGGCAAAAATTCCCATTTTATTCCAAATTTTTCGCCATTTTTCCCCCATTTTTGCCATTTTTCCCCCATTTTTCCACCATTTTCCCCCATTTTTTCCAAAAATTCCCATTTTTTTCCCCCCAAATTTTCCATTTTTTCCCAAAATTCACGGTTTTTTCCACAAAAAATTTGCTTTTTTCCCTCCCATTTTTTGGCAAAAATTCCCATTTTATTCCCATTTACTCCCCCTTTTTCCCCCATTTTATTCCAAATTGTTCCCCATTTATTCCCCAATTTTAACCTTTTTTTCCCACTTTTTTCCCAAGATTCCCACTTTTTTCCCCCAAATTTTCCATTTATTCCCAAATTCCCAATTTTTTCCCAAAAATTCCCTTCTTCCCCCCCCAGTTTTTGGTAAAAATCCCGATTTTATTCCAAATTTTTCGCCATTTTTTCCCCATTTTTTCCCACCATTTTACCCCATTTTTTGCCCAAAAATTCCCAATTTTTTCCCCATAATTTTCCATTTTTTTCCTCCAAATTTTCCATTTTTTCCCCAAATTTACGGTTTTTTTACCCAAAAAATTGCTTTTTTCCCTCCTATTTTTTGGGCAAAATTTCCTATTTTATTCCCATTTACTCCCCCTTTTTTCCCCATTTTCTCCCCCATTTTTTTCACCGTTTCCCCCCATTTTTTTCCAAAAAATTCCCATTTTTCCCCCCAAATTTTCCATTTTTTCCCAAAATTCATATTTTTTCCCCCAAAAATTTGCTTTCTTCCCTCCCATTTTTTGGCAAAAATTCCCATTTTATTCCCATTTTCTCCCCCATTTTATTTCCAAAAATTCCCATTTTTCTCCCAAATTTTCCATTTATTCCCAAAATTCATGGTTTTTTCCCTCCCATTTTTTGGCAAAAATCCCGATTTTATTCCCCCCAAAATTCCCATTTTTCCCCATTTTCTTCCTCATTTTTCCCACCATTTTCTTCCAAAAATTCCCATTTTTTCCCCCAAATTTTCCATTTTTTCCCAAAATTCCCATTTTCCCCAAAAAATTTGCTTTTTTCCCTCCCATTTTTTGGCAAAAATTCCCATTTTATTCCCATTTTTTCCCCATTTTTTCCCCATTTTTTCACCGTTTCCCCCCATTTTTTTCCAAAAATTCCCATTTTTTTCCCCCAAATTCTCCATTTTGTCCCAAAATTCACAATTTTTCCCCCAAAAACTTCCTTTTCTTCCCCCACTTTTAGGCAAAAAAATTCTGATTTTATTCCCATTTTATTCCCATTTTTTCTCCATTTTCGTCCATTTTTTCACCGTTTTTTCACCGTTTTTTCACCGTTTTTCGCCATTTTTTCACCCAGAATTTAAATTTTCTCCCCTTTTTTCCCAAAATCCCGTTTTTTCAGCCCATTTTCTCACTGGATGCTGTCGAGCCAGGTGAGGAACTCGTGGGCGCTGCTGGTGGGGACCCCCTGGGACCCCACACCCAAAATCCCCATTTTCCCCCAAATGCCCATTTTTTACCCCAAAAATCCATTTTTTTCACTCAAATTCCCCATTTTTGCCCAAAATTCCCATTTTTCACCCAAAAAATTCCCATTTTATTTCCATTTACTGCCCCTTCTCCCCCATTTTATTCCCATTTTCCCCCCATTTTCTCCCCCTTTTTTCCCCATTTTTTAACCTTTTTTTCCCCCATTTTTTCCCAAAAATTCCTATTTTTACCCCAAATTTTCCATTTATTCCCAAAATTCATGGTTTTTTCCCCAAAAATTTGCTTTTTTCCCTCCCATTTTTTGGCAAAAATTCCCATTTTATTCCCCCCAAAATTCCCATTTTTCCCCATTTATTCCCCATTTTTTCACCGTTTCCCCACATTTTTTTTCCAAAAAGTCCCATTTTTTCCCCCAAATTTTCCATTTTTCCCAAAATTCACGGTTTTTTCCCCAAAAATTTCCTTTTTCTTCCCTCACTTTTAGGCAAAAATTCCCATTTTTTCCCCATTTTTTTGCCATTTTTTAACCTTTTTTTTTCCCATTTTTTTCCTAAAATTCCCATTTTTTCCCCCAAATTTTTCAATTTTTTCCAAAATTCAGTTTTTTCCCCAAAAAACTTCCTTTTCTTCCCCCACTTTTAGGCAAAAAAATTCCAACTTTATTCCCATTTTATTCCCATTTTATTCCCATTTTTTCGCCGTTTTTTCACCGTTTTTCGCCATTTTTTCACCGTTTTTTCACCCAGAATTTAAATTTTCTCCCCTCTTTCCCAAAATCCCGTTTTTTCACCCCATTTTGACTCACTGGATGCTGTCGAGCCAGGTGAGGAACTCGTGGGCGCTGCTGGTGGGCGCGTGGCTCTGCACGTACGACTCGGGGGCGCAATCCACCGTGTTGAAAACCACCAGGCTGTACTGCGTGCCCCCAAACTGGTAATTAAATATGCTAATTAGCTCATTAATATGGTAATTAATTAACGTACATAACCACCAAGCTGTACTGGGTGCCCCCACATTGGTTAATTAAATAATTATTAAATTATATTGAATTAAATATATCATCAAAACAAGCACCAGGCTGTACTGGGTGCCCCCAAACTGGTAATTAAATATGCTAATTAGCTCATTAATATGGTAATTAGTTAAAGTACATAGCCGCCAACCTGTATTGGGTGCCCCCACTTTGGTTAATTACATATTAATTAAATTATATTCAATTAAATATTATAAAATAGGCACCAGGCTGTACTGGGTGCCCCCAAACTGGTAATTAAATATGTTAATTAGCTGATTAATATGGTAATTATTTAAAGTACATACCCACCAAGCTGTACTGGGTATCCCCAAAATAAATAAAATGTAATAAAATAAAATAAAACAAAATAAAATGAAACAGATAAAATAAAATGCATAAAATAAGATATAATACACAAAATAAAATAAACCACAATAAAACAAAACAAATAAAAAAAAACATAAAATAAAGCACAATAAAATAAACTCAAATACAAAAAATACATAAAATAAAATAAAATAAAATAAAATAAAATAAAATAAAATAAAACAAAATACATAAAATAAAATAGAATATAATACACAAATTAAAACACAGTAAAATAAAATAAAATAAAATAAGATAAAATACACAAAATAAAACACAATAAAATAAAATAAAATAAATACACAAAATAAAATAAAATAAATTAAATAAAAAAATAAAATAAAACAAATCAAAGTAAAAAAAAAAAATAAAATAAGATAAAATACACAAAATAAAACACAATAAAATAGAATAAAATAAGATAAAATAAATACACAAAATAAAATAAAATAAAATAAAATAAATCAAATAAAAAAAATAAAATAAAATAAATCAAAGTAAAATAAAATAAAATAAAATAAAATAACATAAAATAAAATAAAATAATATAAATAAAATAAAAAATAAAATAAAATAAAACACAATAAAATTAAATAAGACTAAATTAAACAATATTAATGAAGTTAATTAGTTAATTAATTAACGAGCGGCACTCACGTCCCCGCCGAAGTCGGTCTCCGCGGGGGGGCCGCCATTGAAATACCTGAGGGGGCAAAGGAGGGGAGATCCTCAGGGGCTGAGGGGGGTTTGGGGGATTTGGGATTTTGGGGGGATTTGGGATTTTGGGGGGATTTTGGGGAGTTTTGGGGGGCTTTGGGGGGGATTTTGGTCGTCCTAGGGGGGGTTTTGGAGGTCCTGCAAAGATTTTGGGGAATTTTGGGGAGTTTTGGGGGGATTTTGGGGGGTCCTGAGGGGATTTGGGGGGGGTTTTGAGGAGTTTTGGGGGGATTTTGGGGGATTTTGGGAAGTTTTTGGGGGATTTTGGGAGTTTTAGGGGGATTTAGGAGGATTTGGGGGTTTGGGGGGTCCTGAAAGGATTTTGGGGGGATTTTGAAAGGTTCTGAAGACATTTTTGGGGGTTTTGGGGGGATTTGGAGGGTCCTGAAGAGATTTTGGGGGTATTTTGGGGATTTTTAGGGGGATTTTGGGAAGTTTTTGGGGGATTTTGGGGTGTTTTGGGGGAATTTGGGGGGATTTTGGGGGAATTTGGGGATTTTTGGAGAGTCCTGAAAGGATTTTCAGGGGATTTGGGGGGATTTTGGGGGATCCTGGGGGGGATTTTAGGGGGTTCTGAAGGGATTTTGGGGAGATTTTGGTAAATTTTCGGGGGATTTTGGGGATTTTTGGAGGGTCCTGAAGGGATTTTGGGGGGATTTGGGGGGATTTTTGGGAGTTTTAGGGGGATTTTGGGGTGTTTTGGGCAGATTTTGGGGAGTTTTGGGGGGATTTTGAGGATTTTGGGGAGTTTTAGGAGGATTTTGGGGGGAGTTTGGGGAGTTTTGGGGGATTTTGGGAAGTTTTGGGGGAGTTTTGGGGAATTTTGGGGATTTTTGGGGGTTTTAGGGGGATTTAGGGGAAATTTTGGGGAGTTTGGGGGGATTTTGGGGAGTTTTGGGGGGATTTTAGGGGGTCCTGAAAGGATTTTGGGGGGATTTTGGGAAATTTTGGGAAGTTTTGGGGGATTTTGGGGGTTCTGAAGAGATTTTGAGGGGATTTGGGGGGGTTTGGGGGGATTTTGGGAGGTCTTGAAGGGTTTTTGGGGGGTTTTGGGGAGTTTTGGGGGGTCCTGAGGGAGTTTTGGGGGGTCTCGGGGAGGGGAGGGGTCCCGCTCATTAAGCCGCTCATTAAGTCGCTCATTAATTTGTTAATTAGGGTCCCTCACTCACTGGGGGCAGCAGGGAGCTCTTGGGGCCCATTAATTAATTTATGATTGGTTCCCATTAATTAATTTGAGTCAGGGCCTCATTAATCAATTAGGGGAGGGGTCTCTCTAATTAATTATCTCATTATTAAACCAATTATTAGCTAATTAACTCACTAATTAGCTGTCACTCATGGCACATACTTGGGGCAGGATCCCCTTTAATTACATTATAACGGGTTCCCTTTAATTAATACGAGGTGGGGCCTCATAAATCGATTAGGGGAAGGGTCTCACTAATTAATTAGCTAATTAACACGCTAATTAGGCTGACTCGATGGCGGGCAGCAGGTAATGTTTGCGCAAAGCCTCGAAGTACGGCCCGAGGTTCGCGGTTCCCTCGATGACGAAAACCACGTCGGCCACCATAGCGGGGGGGGCGGGGCCTTCCAGCGCGGGCACGACCATCGCCCCTCACGGGGGGGGGGAAAAATCCTGTGGGGGGTAAAAAAACAACACCGTGACCCACCGGAGCCGATCCCGCACCGCCAACTCGCCCACAATTCCCCCCTCATCACCCCCCGAAATTATCACCGAATTTGCGCGGCGGGTTTTTAATTAAATTCCCCCTCCCGGTTCCCCCCCCCCGCGGTGTCGGTACCGGCGGCGGCGCGCGGAAAGGCGGAAGAGTTTTCCTTCGCGTCCGGCGCGGCGGAGCATGCGCAGAAAATAGGAAGCGGGCGTTGCCGTGGTAACGGGAAGCGCAGCCAATCAGAAAGTAGAAAGGCAGACACGCCTCTTCCGCCGTTCCCGTAGTAACCGCGCCTCGACCAATGGCGTTGCACAATAAAATAAGCAAGCCACGCCCTTTCCGCCGTTGCCGTGGTAACCGCGGCTTGACCAATCGCGTTGCAGAGTAAGCCACGCCTCTTCCGGCGTTACCACGGCAACCGCGGCGCTCCCGGCGTGCCCCGCGCGGGAAATGGCGGCGAGTGGCGGCAACTGAGCGGAGAGCGCGCGGGGAGGGAGGGGGCGGAGACAGGAAAAGGGGCGGGGCTTGAGGGGGAAAGGGGCGGGGTTTGTAAATTAAAGGGGCGGGGTTTGGGAGATAAAGGGGCGTGGTCTGTGAGTTAAAGGGGCGTGGTTTAGAGACAAGGGGCGGGGTTTGTGAGTTAAAGGGGCGTGGTCTGTGAGTTAAAGGGGCGTGGTTTAGAGACAAGGGGCGGGGTTTGTGAGTTAAAGGGGCGTGGCTTGTGGGGTAAAGGGGCGGGGTTTGTGAGTTAAATGGGCGGGGCTTGTGAGGCAATGGGCGGGGTTTAAGATTAATGGGCGGGGTTTTAATGAAAGGGGCGTGGCTTAAGGCGCAATGGGGCGTGGTTTGTGATCAAAGGGGCGTGGCTTAAGAGCAAAGGGGCGGGGTTTAGCAGCAAGAGGCGTGGCTTCAGAGCAAAGGGGCGTGGTTTACAGAGAAGGGGCGTGGCTTAAGAGCAAAGGGGCGGGGTTTATCAGCAAGGGGCGTGGTTTAAGATAAAAGGGTGGAGTTTAGCGGCAAGGGGTGTGGCTCATTAGCATATGGATGAGGAGGGCGGGGCCTTCCTGGTGGGCGTGGCCACCGCCAGCGGCCTCCCCCTGTTCTGCCGCCCGCCCCGCCCACAGGTGAGGCCCCGCCCCTTTTTGGGACCACACCCACCCCAAACTACTCCCCCTCTCTGTTTTTTGGGGTGGTGACCTTTGACCCCGCAGGTGCCGTTCCCATTGGTCGGGGCCCTGCACGGGGTTCACCTGTTCGGGGCGGCGGCGGGGGCGGAGCTTCGGCAGGCGGCCACGCCCACCGCACACCTGGGCTGGGCTGGATACGGAGACAGGTGAGGGGCCACGGGGTCACGGGGGGTCACGGAGGGGTCACAGGGTGGTCACAGGGTCACACTGGGGTCATGGGGTCACGGGGGGTCACGGGGTCACACAGGGGTCACGGGGTCACACAGGGGTCATGGGGTCATGGGGGGTCACAGGGTCACACAGGGGTCATGGGGTCACTGGGGGGTCATGGGGTCATGGAGGGGGTCACAGGGTCACACAGGGTTCATGGGAGGTCATGGAGGGGTCACACAGGGGTCATGGGGTCATGGAGGGGGTCACAGGGTCACACAGGGGTCATGGGAGGTCATGGAGAGGTCACACAGGGGTCATGGGGATTCACGGGGTCACACAGGGGTCATGGGGTCATGTAGGGGGTCACAGGGTCATGGAGGGGGTCATGGCGTCATGGGGTCATTCAGAGGTCCTGGAGGGGTCACTGAGAGGTCAGGGGTCATGGGAGGTCATGGGGGGGTCATGGGAGGTCATGGAGGGGTCACACAGGGGTCATGGGGGGTCATGGAGGGGTCACAGGGGGTCACAGGGTCACACAAGGGTCAGGGGTCACGGGGGGTCACGGGGTCATGCAAGGGTCACCCAGGGGTCATGGGGGGTCAAGGTGTTACCCAGGGGTCATGGAGAGGTCATGGAAGGGTCAGGGGGTCATGGAGGGGTCATGGGGGCATTTAGGGGTTACCCAGGGTCATGGGGTCACCCAGGGGTCATGGGGTTACGGGGGTCATGGAGAGGTCATGGAGGAGTCACAGGTTCAAGGAGGGGTCACGGGGTCACCCGGGGTCATGGTGTCATGGAGGGGTCACAGAGGGGTCAGGGGTCATGTTGGGGTCAGTGGTCACTGTGGGGTCACTGTGGGGTCACTGTGGGGTCACCGTGGGGTCACGGGGGGGTCACTGTGGGGTCACTGTGGGGTCACTGTGGGGTCACTGTGGGGTCACTGTGGGGTCACCGTGGGGTCACCGTGGGGTCACTGTGGGGTCACTGTGAGGTCACTGTGGGGTCACTGTGGGGTCACTGTGGGGTCACTGTGGGGTCACTGTGAGGTCACTGTGGGGTCACTGTGAGGTCACTGTGGGGTCACTGTGGGGTCACTGTGGGGTCACTGTGGGGTCACTGTGGGGTCACCGTGGGGTCACTGTGGGGTCACTGTGGGGTCACTGTGGGGTCACTGTGGGGTCACCGTGGGATCACTGTGGGGTCACTGTGGGGTCACCATGGGGTCACTGTGGGGTCACCGTGGGGTCACTGTGGGGTCACTGTGGGGTCACTGTGGGGTCGTGCCCTCCCCCCCCAGCCTGACCCTGATTGGGCTCAGCCCCGGCCCCGCCCCCGCCCGGATCCTCGACTCCGCCTTCGGCGCCATGGTGAGAGCCCTCCCAGTATAAACCAGTTCAGACCAGTAAAAACCGGTACAGACCAGTGTAAACCAGTTCAGACCAGTATCAACCAGTACAGACCATTATAAACCAGTACAGACCATTATAAACCAGTTCAGACCGGTATAAACCAGTGAAACGCTGTTCAGCCCAGTTCAGACCAGTGCTCCCAGTCCATCCCAGTCCCCCCCACCCCCATTCCCAGTTTATTCCAGTCCATCCCAGTTCCCTCCCAGTGCTCCCAGTCCCCTCCCAGTCCCTCCCAGTTTGTCCCAGTATCTCCCAGTGCCCTCCCAGTCCCTCCCAGTCCATCCCAGTCCGTCCCAGTCCCTCCCAGTCCCTCCCAGTCCATCCCAGTCCGTCCCAGTCCCTCCCAGTCCCTCCCAGTCCATCCCTGTCCCTCCCAGTCCGTCCCAGTCCCCCCCAGCCCCATTCCCAGTCCCTCCCAGTCCATCCCAGTCCGTCCCAGTCCCTCCCAGTCCATCCCAGTCCCTCCCAGTCGCTCCCAGTCCGTCCCAGTCCATCCCAGTTTCAGGTGCTGCTGCTGGGCCGGGAGCAGCTGCTGCCGGTGCGGAACGAGGAGAGGCTGAAACGGGAACTGAGGGTGAGACTGGGACGGACTGGGAGGGACTGGGAGCAATGGAAAGGGTAACTGGGAGCACTGGGAATGGGGCTGGGAGGGACTGGGAGGGACTGGGAGGGACTGGGAGGGACTGGGAGGGACTGGGAGGGACTGGGGGGGACTGGGAGGGACTGGGAGGGACTGGGATGGACTGGGAATGGGGCTGGAGGGGGCTGGGGGAGACTGGGATGGACTGGGAGATACTGGGATATACTGGGAATGGGACTGGGAGGGACTGGGATGGACTGGGAGGGACTGGGAGGGACTGGGACAAACTGGGATGGAACTGGGGGGGACTGGGATGGACTGGGATGGACTGGGGGGGGACTGGGGGGGACTGGGACGGACTGGGTTGGACTGGGAGCACTGGGAATGGGGCTGGGAGGGGACTGGGATGGATTGGGAGGGACTGGGAGGGACTGGGACGAACTGGGATGGACTGGGGGGGACTGGGACAAACTGGGAGGGGACTGGGACAAACTGGGACAAACTGGGATGGACTGGGAGGGAACTGGGATATACTGGGAGGGGACTGGGGGGGACTGGGATGAACTGGGGGGACTGGGATGGATTGGGAGGGACTGGGAGGGACTGGGAGTAATGGAAAGGGTAACTGGGAGCACTGGGAGCAACTGGGAATGGGGCTGGGGGGGACTGGGAGGGACTGGGAGGAACTGGGAGGGACTGGGAGGGACTGGGAGGGACTGGGAGGGACTGGGGGGGACTGGGACAAACTGGGATGGGACTGGGAGGGACTGGGAATGGGATTGGGACAAACTGGGAGGGACTGGGACGGACTGGGAGCACTGGGAGGAAACTGGGATGGACTGGGATGGACTGGGAGGGGACTGGGAGGGACTGGGATGGACTGGGAATGGGATTGGGACAAACTGGGAGGGACTGGGAGCAACTGGGAATGGGGCTGGAGGGGACTGGGAGGGACTGGGAGGGAACTGGGAGTAATGGAAAGGGTAACTGGGAGCACTGGGAGCAACTGGGAGCACAGGGAATGGGGCTGGAGGGGACTGGGATGGACTGGGAGGGATGGGATGGGACTGGTACAAACTGGGAGGGGACTGGGATGGGACTGGGACGGACTGGGATATACTGGGAGGGACTGGGAGGGGACTGGGGGGGACTGGGAGGGGACTGGGGGGGACTGGGGGGGACTGGAATGGGACTGGAACAAACTGGGATGGACTGGGAGCACTGGAAAGGGTAACTGGGAGCACTGGGAAGAACTGGGAGCACTGGGAATGGGGCTGGAGGGGACTGGGAGGGACTGGGATGGGACTGGGATATACTGGGAGGGGACTGGGGGGACTGGGACAAACTGGGACAAACTGGGACAAACTGGGAGGGGACTGGGATGGATTGGGAGGGACTGGGATGGACTGGGATATACTGGGAGGAACTGGGAGGGACTGGGAATGGGGCTGGAGGGGACTGGGACAAACTGGGAGGGGACTGGGATGGACTGGGATGGACTGGGAGGGACTGGGATGGACTGGGATGGGACTGGGGGGGACTGGGACAAACTGGGAGGGAACTGGGAGGGACTGGGAGGGACTGGGATGGGACTGGGGGGGACTGGAACAAACTGGGACAAACTGGGAGGGACTGGGATGGAAATGGGGAGGACTGGGATGGACTGGGGAGGGACTGGGATGGACTGGGATGGACTGGGATGGGACTGGGACAAACTGGGAGGGACTGGGAGCAATGGAAAGGGTAACTGGGAGCACTGGGAGCACTGGGAATGGGGCTGGAATAGACTGGGAGGGGACTGGGATGGGACTGGGACAAACTGGGATGGGACTGGGAGGGACTGGGAGGGACTGGGAGAGGGGCTGGGGGGCACTGGGACAAACTGGGACAGACTGGGATATACTGGGAGGGGACTGGGAGGGAACTGGGAGGGGACTGGGATGGACTGGGATGGGACTGGGACAAACTGGGATGGACTGGGAGCACTGGAAAGGGTAACTGGGAGAACTGGGAGCACTGGGATGGACTGGGAGGGGATTGGGATGAACTGGGAGGGACTGGGATGGACTGGGAGGGGAATGGGAGGGACTGGTTTATACTGGGGGGGACTGGGAATGGGACTGGGAGGGACTGGGAGCACTGGGAATGGGACAAACTGGGAGGGGACTGGGAGGGGACTGGGATGGACTGGAACAAACTGGGAGGGACTGGGATGGAAATGGGGGGGACTGGGAGCACTGGAAAGGGTAACTGGGAGCACTGGGAGCAACTGGGAGCACTGGGAATGGGAGGGACTGGCCCCTCCCCCATTTTTGTCCTCTCCCCCCTTTTGGCTCCTCCCCCCCTTTGCCCCGCCCCTTTGTTCTGACCCCGCCCCCATTTTCCTGGCCCCGCCCCCTTTTCCCGGCCCTGCCCCCCTTTTCCTGGCCCCGCCCCATTTTTCATGCCCCCGCCCCCTTTTATTCCTGGCCCCGCCCCCAGGGCTGTTTCCCGCTCTTGGATTCGCTGCTGAGCCCCGGGGGGGGCTGGGGGATGGGCGCCCCCTGCTGGCCCCTCCCCCCCGGCCCCGCCCGCGACGCGCTGCAGGTGAGGGACCCCAAAAACCCCAAAATCAACCCCAAAAAACCCCAAAATCAGCCCAAAATCAGCCCAAAATCATCCCCAAAAAACCCCCAAATCACCCCAAAAAAACCCCCAAAATCAGCCCAAAATCACCCCCAAAATCAGCCCAAAATCACCCCCAAAATCATCCCAAAATCAGCCCCAAAATCAGCCCTAAATCATACCAAAATCAGCCCCAAAATCAGCCCCAAATCAGCCCCAAAATCAGCCCCAAAATCAGCCCAAAATCAGCCCCAAATCACCCCCAAAACCACCCAATAATTACCCCAAAATCAGCCTCAAATCATCCCAAAATCGGCCCAAAAGTATCCCAAAATCAGCCCAAAATCATCCCCAAAATTTGCCCCAAATCACCCTCAAAATCGCCCCAAAATTACCCCCCAAAAAACCCCATAATCAGCCAAAAATCACCCCCAAATCAGCCCAAAATCACCCCAAAATTACCCCCAAAAAACCCCCAAATCACCACAAATCGTCCCAAAATCAGCCCAAAATCATCGCCACAATCAGCCCAAAAAACCCTCAAATCACCCCCCAAAATCAGCCAAAAATCACCCCCAAAATCAGCCCAAACTCAGTCCAAAATCACCCCAAAATTACCCCCAAAATCATCCCAAAATCAGCCCCAAAATCAGCCCTAAATCAGACCAAAATCAGCTCCAAAATCAGCCCCAAATCAGCCCAAAAATGACCCCAAAAACCCCCAAATCACCCCCAAAAAAACCCAACAATCGGCCCCAAAATCAGCCCAAAATCATCCCCAAATCATCCCCAAAATTACCCCAAAAAACCCCAAAAATCACCCCTAAAATCAGCGCAAAGTCATCCCCAAAATCAGCCCAAAATCGCCCCAAATCACCCCCAAAATCAGCCTCAAATCATCCCAAAATCGGCCCCAAATCATCCCAAAATCAGCCCCAAAATCAGCCAAAAATCGCCCCAAAATCACCCCCAAAATCCCCAAAAATCACCCCAAAATCACCCCCAAGAACCCCCCAAATCACTCCCCAAAATCACCCCCCAAATCAGCCCAAAATCAGCCCAAAATTGCCCCAAAATTACCCCTAAAATCAGCCCAAAATTACCCCCAAAAAACCCCCAAAAACCCTCAAATCACCCCCAAAAAAACCCCAAAATCAGCTGAAAATCATCCCCAAAATCAGCTCAAAATCGCCCCAAAATTACCTCCAAAAAACCCCAAAAATCAGCCAAAAATCACCCCCAAAATCAGCCGAAAATCAACCCCAAAATCAGCCCCAAAATCAGCCCAAAATCGCCCTAAAATTAGCCCAAAATCAGCCCAAAATCGCCCCCAAATTACCCCCAAATCAGCCTAAAATCACCCCCAAAATCAGCCTCAAATCATCCCAAAATCGACCCCAAATCACCCCCAAAATCACCCCAAAATCACCCCAAAAACCCCCAAAATCACCCCCAAATCATCCCAAAATCAGCCCCAAAATCAGCCGAAAATCACCCCAAAATTACCCCCAAAAAAACACCAAAAATCACCCCAAAACCACCCCCCAAAATCATCCCCAAAATCAGCCCAAAATCAGCCAAAAATCACCCCCAAAATCACCCCAAAAACCCCCAAATCACCCCAAAAAAACCCCAAAATCACCCCCAAAAAAACCCCAAAATCAGCTAAAAATCATCCCCAAAATCACCCCAAAATCAGCCCCAAATCGCCCCAAAATTGGCCCCCCAAAAAAAACCCCAAAATCAGCCAAAAATCAGCCCCAAAATCAGCCCAAAATCGCCCCAAAATTACCCCCCAAAAAACCCCAAAATCAGCCAAAAATCACCCCCCAAATCACCCCAAAATCACCCCAAAATCGCTCCAAAATTACCCCCAAAAAAATCCCCAAATCACCCAAAAAAAACCCCCAAAATCAGCCAAAAATCACCCCCAAAATCAGCCCCAAAATCAGCCCAAAATCATCCCCAAAATCATCCCCCAAATCAGCTCAAAATCGCTCCAAAATCACCCCAAAAAAACCCCAAAATCAGCCCCAAAATCAGCCCAATATCATTCCAAAATCAGCCCAAAATCGCCCCAAAATTACCCCCGAAATCATCCCAAAATCAGCCCCAAAATCAGCCCTAAATCAGACCAAAATCAGCCCCAAATCACCCCCAAAATCACCCCAAAAAAACCCCAAAATCAGCCCCAAAATCAGCCCAATATCATTCCAAAATCAGCCCAAAATCGCCCCAAAATTACCCCCAAAATCATCCCAAAATCAGCCCCAAAATCAGCCCCAAAATTACCCCAAAATCAGCCCCAAAATCAGCCCCAAAATCAGCCCTAAATCAGACCAAAATCAGCTCCAAAATCAGCCCCAAATCAGCCCCAAAATCAGCCCAAATCACCCCCAAAAAACCCCTAAAATCAGCCAAAAATCACCCTCAAAATCAGCCCCAAATCGTCCCCAAAATCAGCCCAAAATCACCCAATAATCACCCCAAAACCACTCAAATTACCCCAAAAATCACCCAAAAATCACCCCCAAAAATCTCCCCAAAAACCCACCCGGGACCCCCCAAAATCCGAGGGGCGATCCCTCTCCCTGTCTAATTTCCCTAGCCCCGCCCCCTGATTTGCATACGGCTGATTTGCATGCCCCGCCCCCAGGAGCGGCTGCGCCGTTTCGCGGGGGCTGCCGGGACCGACCTGGGCTGTGTGGTGTGGGGAGGGGGCGTGGCCTGGCTAAGCACCGCCCCCTGGGGGGCGTTACCCGAGGCTGACTCCGCCCCCCTGCGCGCGCTGCTGGCGCCGCCGCCGCCAGAGGGCGCCCTCCGAGGGGGCGTGGCCGCGCGCGACCTGCCGGTGTTCCTGCCCAATAGCAGCCCGGAGGTGAGGTCACGTGGGGAGCGAGGGGGCGGGGACAAGGAATGCGGAAGTTAAAGCGGAAGTGATCGCGAAGGGACCCGAAAATGAGCCGAAAATGACACAAAAATGAGCCTAAAATAACCCAAAATTGACCCTAAAATAACCGAAAATTGACCCTAAAATAACCCAAAAATGACCCTAAAATAACCCAAAAATGAGCCTAAAGTGGCCCAAAATTGACCCTAAAGTGGCCCAAAACTGACCCCAAAATAACCCTAAAGTGGCCCAAAATTAACCCAAAATGACCCTAAAATAATCCAAACTTGACCCTAAAGTGGCCCAAAACTGATCCCAAAATTGGACCCTAAAATAATCCAAACTTGACCCTAAAGTGGCCCAAAACTGATCCCAAAATTGGACCCTAAAATAACCCAAAATTGACCCCAAAGTGGCCCAAAACTGACCCCAAAATTGACCCTAAAATAATCCAAAGTTGACCCTAATGTGGCCCAAAACTGACCCCAAAATTGACCCTAAATTGACCCTAAAGTGGCCCAAAAGTGACCCAAATTTGACTCCAAAGTGACCCTGAAAATATCCTAAAATAACCCAAAAGTGGCCCCAAAACTGACCCTAAAATCCCCCAAAATTCCCCAAATTGCCCAAAATCGGCGGAACTGACCCCAAATCCGTTCAGGTCCCTCTGCGGCTGCTGCAGCTGCGGCTCCTGCCCGGGGTGGGGGTGGGGCTGCTCTGCGGGCCCCGCCCATCGCTGCAGCTCCTGCTGACACAGGTGAGACCCCAAATAACCCAAAATTACCCCAAAATGACCCCAAAACTGACCCTGAAATGACCCTGAAATAGCCCCAAAACTGACCCCAAAATAACCCCAAATGACCCCAAAATGACCCCAAAACTGACCCCATATCCCCAGATCTTACCCCAAAATAACCCCAAAATAACCCAAAACTGACCCCAAAACTGACCCCAAATCCCCAAAACTTACCCCAAAGTGGCCCCAAAACTGACCCTAAAATAACCCCAAAATCCCTCCACAAAATCCCCAAAATCCCCCCAAGACCACTCCCCAAATTCCCCCAAAACCCTCTCCCCAAAATCCCCCCAAATTCCCAAAAATCACCCCAAAATCCCCTCAAAATCCCCCAAAACCACACCACAAATTCCCAAAAATCCCCCCAAAATAAATCCCCCTAAAATCCCCAAAATCTCCAAAATCCCCCCAAAATCCCCCAAATCCCCCCAAAATCTCCAAAATCCCCCCAAAATCTCCTCAAAATCCCCCAAGACCACTCCCCAAATTCCCCCAAAATTCCTCCCCAAAATCCCCCCAAAACCCCCCCAAAATCCCCCAAATCCCCTCCCCAAAATCCCCCAAAACCCCTCCCAAAAATCCCCAAAATCCCCCCAAAATCCCCCAAAACCCCTCCCCAAAATCCCCCAAAACCCCTCCCAAAAATCCCCAAAATCCCCCCAAAATCCCCCAAAAACCCCAACCCAAAATCCCCAAAATCCCTCCAAAATCTCCTCCCCAAATTCCCCCCAAAATCCCTCCAAAACCCCTCCCCAAATACCCCAAAACTTACCCCAAAACCCCCTCCCCAAAATCCCCCAAGACCACTCCCCAAATTCCCCCAAATGCCCTCCCCAAATTCCCCAAAATCCCCCCAAATCCCCCCAAAATCCCTCAAATCCCCCAAAATCCCCCCAAAACCCCCTCCCCAAAATCCCCAAAATCCCCCCAAAACCCCCTCCCCAAATTCCCCAAAATCCCCCAAAATCCCCAAATCCCCCCAAAATCCCCCAAAATTCCTCCCTAAATTCCCCAAAATCCCCCCAAAATCCCCAAAATCCCCCCAAAATCCCCCCAATATCCCCCCAAAATCCCCCCAAACCCTCCAAATCCCCCCAAATCCCCAAAATCCCCCCAAAATCCCCAAATTCCCCAAAATCCCCCCAAATTTCCCCCCAGCTCGTGCCCCAATTTTGGGGTCCCGTCCTGGAGCAGCTCCGGGCCCGGCCCCGCCCCCCCCCGCTGCCCCCCCAAGTTTTGGGGTGAGTTTGGGGGGGAACCCCAAAATTTGGGTGGTTTTAATTTGGGGGAGGGGGATTTTGGGGTGATTTTGGGGGGAAATCCCCAAATTTGGGGGTTTTCAATTTGGGGGAGGGGGATTTTGGGGTGATTTTGGGGGGAAAATCCCCAGATTTGGGTGGTTTTAATTTGGGGGAGGGGTCCTGGATGTGACCCCAAAATTTGGGCGGGTTTTAATTTGGGGGATGGGGATTTTGGGGTGATTTTGGGGGGGAATCCTCAAATTTGGGGGTTTTTAATTTGGGGAGGGGGATTTTGGGAGGCAGAACCCCAAATTTGGGGGGTTTTAATTTGGGGGAGGGGGATTTTGGGGTGATTTTGGGGGGGAATCCCCAAATTTGGGGGGTTTAAATTTGGGGGAGGGGTCCTGGATGGGACCCCAAAATTTTGGTGGGGGGTTTAATTTGGGGAGGGGGATTTTGGGGTGATTTGGGGGGGGGACCCCAAATTTTGTGGGTTTTAATTTGGGGGAGGGGTCCTGGATGGGACCCCAAAATTTGGGGGGGTTTTAATTTGGGGAGGGGGATTTTGGGGTGATTTTGGGGGGGAACCCCCAAATTTGGGGGTTTTAATTTGAGGGGAAACCCCAAAATTTGTGGGATTTTAATTTGGGGAGGGGGATTTTGGGGGTGGAACCCCAAATTTGGGGGTTTTTAATTTGGGGGAGGGGGATTTTGGGGGGGAACCCCAAAATTTGGGGGGGTTTTTAATTTGGGGAATGGGGATTTTGGGGGGGTAACCCCAAATTTGGGGGGTTTTAATTTGGGGGAGGGGTCCTGGATGTGACCCCAAAATTTGGGGGGGTCTGAATTTGGGGAGGGGGATTTTGGGGTGATTTTGGGGGGAACCCCAAATTTGGGGGTTTTTAATTTGGGGGAGGGGTCCTGGATGTGACCCCAAAATTTGGGGGGGTCTGAATTTGGGGGGAGGGGGATTTTGGGGTGATTTTGGGGGGGAATCCCCAAATTTGGGGGTTTTTAATTTGGGGGAGGGGGATTTTGGGGGGAGAACCCCAAAATTTATGGAGTTTTAATTTGGGGAGGGGGATTTTGGGGGGGAACCCCAAATTTGGGTTTTTTTAATTTGGGGAATGGGGATTTTGGGGGGAAACCCCCAAATTTGGGGGTTTTTAATTAGGGGGATGGGGATTTTGGGGGGAAACCCCCAAATTTGGGGGGGTTTGAATTTGGGGAGGGGGATTTTGGGGTGGAACCCCCAAATTTGGGGGTTTTCAATTTGGGGGAGGGGGATTTTGGGGTGATTTTGGGGGGAATCCCCAAATTTGGGGGGTTTTAATTTGGGGGAGGGGTCCTGGATGGGACCCCAAAATTTGGGGGGGTCTGAATTTGGGGGAGGGGGATTTTGGGGGGGGAACCCCAAAATTTGGGGGTTTTAATTTGAGAGGGGAGAACCCCAAAACTTGTGGGTTTTTAATTTGGGGGAGGGGAATTTTGGAGGGGGAACCCCCAAATTTTGGGGTGAGGGGAATTTTGGGATGCCCTACAAAAAGGGGGGGAGGTTTTGGGGGGTTTTTTTTGGGTGGGGGTCCCCAAATTTTCCTTTTTCCCCTCAGGTACCTCCTGATCCATCGGGGCCGGAGGCAGAGCGGGATCCTCAAAGGGGCGGGACCGGGTTTGTGACCCCCCCCCGAACCCCAAAATCTGAGCCCCGACCCCCCCACTGATCCTCCCGGACCCCCCAAACCCAAAATCCCCAAAAACTGCCCCAAAATATTGAATTCCCCACAAAAATAACCCAAATTCCCCTGGTTTTACCCTAAAAAATGCAATTATTTGCTTCCCAAAACCCCATAAATTTCCCCCAAATCCCCATAATTTCCAAAAAAAACCCTTAATTTTTCCCCCAAACCCCATAATTTTTCCCCCAAAACCCCATAAATTTCCCCCCAAACCCCCTAATTAAAAAAAACCCTCTTAATTTCCCCCCAAAATCCCAATAATCCCCCCAAAACGCCCTAATTTTAAAAAAAACCTCTTAATTTCCCCCCCAAAACCCCAATAATTTCCCCCAAAACCCCATAATTTCCAAAAAAACCCTTAATTTTTTTCTCAAAAACCCCATATTTAAAAAAAAAAAATCCTTAAATTTTCCCACAAAATCCCCATAATTCCCCCCCAAAATCCCAATAATTTTTCCCCAAAACCCCAAATTTTTCCCCCCAAAACACCATAATTTCAAAAAAACCCTTAATTTTTCCCCAAAACCCCACATTTTCTCCCCAAAACCCCAATAATTCCCCCCAAAACCCCCATTATTTCCCCCAAAACCCCAAATTTTTCCCAAAAAAACCTTAATTTTCCCCCCAAAACCCCAATAAATCCCCCCCCAAAATAACCCCATTATTTCCCCCAAAACCCCGTAATTTTTCCCCAAAAAAACGCCAAATTTTCCCCCAAAAACCCCAAATTTCCCCGAAAAAACCCCATAAATTTCCCCAAAACTCCCTAATTTAAAAAAAACTTTAGTTTTTTTTTCAAAAACCCCATAATTAAAAAAAATATCCTTAAATTTTCCCATAAAATCTCCATAATTCCCCCCCAAAACCCCAATAATCCTCCCCAAAACCCCATAATTTTTCCCCCAAACCCCAAATTTTCCCCCAAAAACCCCAAATTTTCCCCCAATCCCCGTAAATTTCCCCAAAATCCTAAACTTTTCCACCAAAACCCCATAAATTTCCCCTCAAACCCCCTAATTAAAAAAACCCTCTTAATTTCCCCCCAAAACCCCATAATCCCCCCCCAAAACCCCATAATTTCCACCAAAACCCCATAAATTCCCTCAAAACCCCATATTTCCAAAAAACCCTTAATTTTTTCTCGAAAACCCCATAATTTAAAAAGAAATCCTTAAATTTTCCCATAAAATCCACATAATTCCCCCTAAAACCCCAAAAATCCCCCCCAAAACCCCAATAATTCCCCCCAAAACCCCAATAAATCCCCCCCAAAAAAAAAACATAATTTGCCCAAAACCCCATAATTTTCCCCCAAAACCCCAATAACCCCCCCCAAACCCCAATAAACCCCCCCCAAAAAAACCCCATAATTTGCCCAAACCCCCAAATTTTTCCCCCAACCCCCAAATTTTCTCCCAAAAACCCCAAATTTCCCCCAAAAAAACCCATAATTTTTCCCCCAACCCCCAAATTCCCCCCCAAAACCCCCATAATTCCCCCCCAAAACCCCCATAATTTTTCCCCCAAAAAACCCATAATTTTTCCCCCAACCCCCACATTTCCCCAAAAACCCCAAATTCCCCCAAAAAAACCCCAAATTCCCCCAGGCGGGGCACTGCCCCCCCCGCTCAGAGCCGCGGCCCTGCGGCGCCTCCTGCGCCTCCTGGAACCCCAAATCTGCCCCAAATCGGGGGGCAGAGGTGAGGGGGCACCCCAAAAACAGGGGGGGCTGGGGGGTCTCTGGGGGGGAAAATTGGGGGGTTTGGGGTGATTTTGGGGGTTTTGGGAGATCATTTAGGGGGTTTTGGGGTCACTCGGGGATTTTTGGGGTGATTTTGGGGGGTTTTGGGGTGACTTTCGGGTGATTTTGGGGGTTTTGGGGTCACTTTTGGGGTTTTGGGGTCACTTGGGGGGTTTTGGGGTGACTTTGGGGGTTTTAGGGTCACTTGGGGGTCCCCAGGGGGGAAAAATTGGGGGTTTTGGGGTCACTTTGGGGGTTTTGGGGTCATTTTGGGGGTTTTGGGGTCACTTTGGGGTCCCCAGGGGAGAAAAATTGGGGGGTTTTTGGGGTGACTTTGGGGGTTTTGGGGTCTCTTTGGGGGGTTTTGGGGTCACTTGGGGGGTCCCCAGGGGGATCACTTGGGATTTTTGGGGTCACTTTGGGGGTTTTGGGGTCACTTGGGGGTCCCCAGGGGGGGAAAATTGGGGAGTTTTGGGGTAATTTTGGGGGTTTTGGGGTCACTTTGGGGGGTTTTGGGGTCACTTGTGGGGTTTTGGGGGGGCACTTGGGGGTTTTGGGGTGATTTTGGGGGGTGTGGGGTCACTTGGGGGTCCCCAGGGGGGAAAAATTGGGGGGTTTTGGGGTCACTTTGGTGGTTTTGGGGTCACTTGGAGGGTCTCGGGGAGGTCACTTTTTGGGTTTTTGGGGTCACTTTGGGGGTTTTCTGGGATTATTTAGGGTTTTTTGGGGTCATTTAGGGTTTTTTTGGGGTGACAGATTTTTGGGGTGCCCCCAGGACCCCATGGGCGCCCCAAACTCTGTTACCTGGAGTCACTTTGGTGGTTTTTGGGGTCACTTTTGGGGGTCACTTTGGGGGGTTTTGGGTGTCTCTAGAGGGGTAATTTCGGGGTTTTTGGGGTCATTTAGGGTTTTTTTGGGGTGACAGATTTTTGGGGTGCCCCCAGGACCCCACGGGCGCCCCAAACTCTGTTACCTGGGGTCACTTTGGTGGTTTTTGGGGTCCCTTTGGTGGTTTTTGGGGTCACTTTGGGGGTTTTGGGGGGTTGTGCGTGTCTCTAGAGGGGTAATTTCGGGGTTTTTGGGATAATTTCGGGGTTTTTTGGGGTGAAATAATTTTGGGGTGCCCCCAGGACCCCACGGGCGCCCCAAACTCTGTTATATGGGGTCACTTTGGTGGTTTTTGGGGTCACTTTGGGGCGGTTTTGGGGGATCATTTAGGGGTTTTTGGGGGGTCACTTAGGGATTTTGGGGTCACTTTGGGGGTTTTGGGGTTACTTGGGGGGTTTTGGGGTCACTTCGGGGTTTTGGGGGATCATTTGGGGGTTTTTGGGGGGGTCACTTTGGGGCTTTTGGGGTCACTTTGGGGATTTTGGGGTCACTTTGGGGATCTCTTAGAGGTCACTTGGGGATTTTGGGGTCACTTGGGGGGTTTTGGGGTCACTTGGGAGGTCTCTGGGGGGTCACTTGGGGGTTCTGGGGTAACTTTGGGGATTTTGGGGTGACTTTGGGGGTTTTGGGGGGTCCCCAGGAGGGTCACTTGGGGGGTTTTGGGGTCACTTTGGTGGTTTTTGGGGTCATTTTGGGGGGTTTTGGGGGTAATTTAGGGCTTTTTGGGGGGTAATTTAGAGGTTTTTGGGATAATTTCGGGGTTTTTTGGGGTGGAATAATTTCGGGGTGCCCCCAGGACCCCACGGGCGCCCCAAACTCTGCTACCTGGGGTCATTTTGGCGGTTTTTTTAGGTAATTTAGGGTTTTTTTTGGGTAATTTAGGGTTTTTTGGGATAATTTCGGGGGTTTTTTGGGGTGACGGATTTTTGGGGTGTCCCCAGGACCCCACGGGCGCCCCAAACTCTGTTACCTGGGGTCACTTTGGTGGTTTTTGGGGTCATTTTGTTGGTTTTGGGGTCCATTTGTGGTTTTTTTGGGGGTAATTTAGAGATTTTTGGGATAATTTCAGGGTTTTGGGGATAATTTCGGGGTTTTTTGGGGTGAAATAATTTTGGGGTGTCCCCAGGACCCCACGGGCGCCCCAAACTCTGCTACCTGGGGTCACTTTGGTGGTTTTTGGGGTCACTTTGGGGGTTTTTGGGGTCACTTTGGGGGGTTTTTGGGGTCACTTTGGGGGGTTTTGGGTGTCTCTAGAGGGGTAATTTCGGGGTTTTTGGGGTCATTTAGGGTTTTGGGGGGGTGACAGATTTTTGGGGTGCCCCCAGGACCCCATGGGCGCCCCAAACTCTGTTACCTGGGGTCACTTTGGGGGGTTTTTGGGGTCACTTTGGGGGGTTTTGGGTGTCTCTAGAGGGGTAATTTCGGGGTTTTTGGGGTCATTTAGGGTTTTGGGGGGGTGACAGATTTTTGGGGTGCCCCCAGGACCCCATGGGCGCCCCAAACTCTGCTACCTGGGGTCACTTGGGTGGTTTTTGGGGTCACTTTGGGCGGTTTTGGGGGATCATTTAGGGGTTTTTGGGGGGTCACTTAGGGATTTTGGGGTCACTTTGGGGGTTTTGGGGTTACTTGGGGGGTTTTGGGGTCACTTGGGGGTTTTGGGGGATCATTTGGGGGATCATTTGGGGGATCATTTGGGGGATCATTTGGGGGTTTTTGGGGGGCTCACTTTGGGGCTTTTGGGGTCACTTTGGGGGTCTCTAAGAGGTCTCTTGGGGATTTTGGGGTCACTTTGGGGGTTTTGGGGTCATTTTGGGGGTTTTGGGGTCACTTGGGAGGTCTCTGGGGGGGTCACTTTGGTGGTTTTTGGGGTCCCTTTTGGGGTTTTTTGGGGTAATTTAGGGGGTTTTTTGGGTAATTTAGGGGTTTTTGGGGTCATTAAGGGTTTTTTTGGGGGTGACAGATTTTTGGGGTGCCCCCAGGACCCCACGGGCGCCCCAAACTCTGCTACCTGGGGTCACTTTGGGTGGTTTTTGGGGTCACTTTGGGCGGTTTTGGGGGATCATTTAGGGGTTTTTGGGGGGTCACTTAGGGATTTTGGGGTCACTTTGGGGGTTTTGGGGTTACTTGGGGGGTTTTGGGGTCACTTGGGGGTTTTGGGGGATCATTTGGGGGATCATTTGGGGGTTTTTGGGGGGGTCACTATGGGGCTTTTGGGGTCACTTTGGGGGTCTCTAAGAGGTCTCTTGGGGGTTTTGGGGTCACTTTGGGGGTTTTGGGGTCATTTTGGGGGTTTTGGGGTCACTTGGGAGGTCTCTGGGGGGTCACTTGGGAGGTCTCGGGGGGGTCACTTTGGTGGTTTTTGGGGTAACTTTGGGGATTTTGGGGTGACTTTGGGGGTTTTGGGGGGTCCCCAGGAGGGTCACTTGGGGGGTTTTGGGGTCACTTTGGTGGTTTTTGGGGTCATTTTGGGGGGTTTTGGGGTAATTTAGGTTTTTTTGGGGGTTAATTAGGGTTTTTTGGGATAATTTCGGGGTGACAGATTTTTGGGGTGCCCCCAGGACCCCACGGGCGCCCCAAACTCTGTTACCTGGCGCTGCCCACCCACACCGGCTGCTGCCTCCTGCGCCCCGAGCTGACTCTGCTGCTGCTGCTGCCCCCCGGGACCCCCCGAGACCCCCTGAGCCCCACGGCTCTGAGCGCCCTGAGCGCCCTGGGGCACGGGTGACACCCCCGGAATAAAAATATAAAATTAAATTGTTCGGCGGTTGGGGGAAAAATAATAAAATAGTAATAATAAAATTACCTGAGCGGGTGTTGGAGTTCTGTGAGGGTGGGGTGGGGTGGTGGAGTGGGAGGGGGAATGGGAAATGTGAGGGAAAAATGGGAAATGTGAGGGAAAAACAGGAGGGAAATGTGAGGGGGAAATGTGAGGGGGAAATGTGAGGGGGAAATGGGGAAATGGGAGGGAAAATGGGGGAAATCTGAGGGGAAAATGGAGGAAATGTGAGGGGGAATTGTGAGGGGGGAAAGGGCGGGAAACGTGAGGGGGAAAAAAGGGCGGGAAATCTGAGAGGGAAAAGGGTGGGAAATGTGAGGGGGAAGAGTGGGAAATGTGAGGAGGAAATGGGGAAAATGTGAGGGGGAAAAGGGCAGAAAATATGAGGGGGGAAAGGGGGAAGATGTGAGGGGAAATGGGGGAAATGGGAGGGAAAATCTGAGGGGAAAATGGAGGAAATGTGAGGGGGAAATGTGAGTGGGAGAAAAGGGCGGGAAACGTGAGGGGAAAAAATGGCGGGAAACGTGAGGGGAGAAAAAGGGGGAAAATGGGGGAAAATGGGGAAATGGGAGGGAAAATGGAGGAAATGTGAGGGGGAAAATGTGAGGGGAAATGGGGGAAATGGGAGGGAAAATGGAGGAAATGTGAGGGGGAAAATGTGAGGGGAAATGGGGGAAATGGGAGGGAAAATGGGGAAAATCTGAGGGCAAAATGGAGGAAATGTGAGGGGAAAACGTGAGGGGAAAAAAGGGCGGGAAATGTGAGGGGAAAAAAGGGCGGGAAATCTGAGGGCAAAATGGAGGAAATGTGAGCGGGAAAAGGGCAGGAGAATGTGAGGGGGAAAAGGGGGAAAATGTGAGGGGCAAGAGTGGGACATGTGAAGGGGAAAAAGGGGAAAATGTGAGGGCAAAATGGAGGAAATCTGAGGGGGGAAAAGGGCAGGAAATGTGAGGGGAAAATGAGGGAAATGTGAGGGGGAAAAGGGCAGGAGAATGTGAGGGGGAAAAGGGGGGAAATGTGAGGGGAAAATGGGGGAAATGTGAGGGGAGTAAAGGGTGGGAAATCTGAGGGGAAAATGGAGGAAGAGTGAGGGGAAAAAAGGGGGAAAATGTGAGGGGAAAATGAGGGAAATGTGAGGGGAAAATGGGGAAAATGTGCGGGGAAAATGGGGGAAATGTGAGGGGGGAAAGGAGCAGGAAATGTGAGGGGAAAATGGGGGAATTGTGAGGGGAAAATGGGGGAAATCTGAGGGGGAAAAGGGCAGGAGAATGTGAGGGGGAAAAGGGGGAAAATGTGAGGGGAAAATGGGGGAAATCTGAGGGGAAAATGGAGGAAATCTGAGGGGGGGAAAGGGTGGGAAATGTGAGGGGAAATGGGGGAAAATGTGGGGGGAAAATGGGGGAAATGTGAGGGGAATAAAGGGTGGGAAATATGAGGGGAAAATGAGGGAAATGTGAGGGGGAAAAGGGCAGAAAATACGAGGGGGAAAATGTGAGGGGAAAATGGGGGAAATGTGAGGGGGAAAAGGGTGGGAAATGTGAGGAGGAAGAGTGGGAAATGTGAGGAGGAAAAGGGAGAAAATGTGAGGGGGGGAAAAGGGCGGGAAATGTGAGGGGAAAATGAGGGAAATGTGAGGGGGAAAAGGGCAGGAAATGTGAGGGGGGAAAGGGGGAAAATGTGAGGGGAAAATGGGGGAAATCTGAGGGGAAATGGAGGAAATCTGAGGGGGGAAAAGGGTGGGAAATGTGAGGGGAAAATGAGAGAAATGTGAGGGGGAAAAGGGGGAAAATGTGAGGGGAAAAAAGGGAGGGAAATCTGAGGGGAAGATGGAGGAAAAGTGAGGGGAAAATGGGGAAAATGTGAAGGGAAAAAGGGAAGTGTGAGAGGGGGAAAATGGGGGGAATGTGAGAGGAAAAATGGGGGAAATGTGAGGGGAAGAAAGGGGGGAATCGTGAGGGGAAAAAGAGGAAAATGTGAGGGGAAAAGAGCAGGAAATGTGAGGGGGGAAAAAAGAGGGGAATGTGAGGGGAAAAAGGGGGAATTATGAAGGGATAAAGGGGGGAAATGTGAGGGGAGAAAAGAGTGGGAAATATGAGGGAGAAAAGAGAAATGTGAGGGGAGAAAAGGACGGGAAATTTGAGGGGAAAAAGGAAAATGTGAGGGGGAAAAGACTGGAAAACGTGAGGAGGAAAGGACAGTGGAAAGGTCGAAAAGTACCAGAAAATGTGAGGGGGAAAGGGTGGGAAAGGTGAGGGGGGAAAAAAAGGGGGGAAACATGAGGGGGGAAAAGGTAAGAAAAGGTGGAAATACGGATACGTCCCCCTGAATTCCTCAAGTGCCCCCTCCCCAAAATCAAGCACAGATTTCGGAGGCTGCTCAGACATTTTATTTCTGATGGAGCTCAGGGGGCCTTGGCCGCCCTCACCCTCTTCTTCCTCACCACCACAGGCTTCTGGCTGCGCAAAATGGCGCTGGCCCGGCGCAGGGCAGCCTGGAGGGGATAAAATTAACAGTTTAATACCCCAAAACCAAAAAATAACTCTGGGGATGGTGGGGGCACACCCTAAGTTATCCTCTGAAGTCCCAGTGTAGTTTTGGGGACCACCCAACCAGTTTTGGGGACCTCCCACTCCCTCCAGGGTTTTAAGCTTCTCCAAGATGTTTTTAAATTCCCTCAATATTTTTGCCTGAAATGTCCCAAAATTGAGATAAATGGGCCAAAAATATCCCAAAATAGAGAGAATTGAGCCCAAAATGCCCCAACATGGAGAGAAATGAGCCCAAAATGTCCCTAAACCGACCCCAGATGCTCCTAAATGAGCCCAAATGGAGCAAAATGAACCCAAAATGACCCAAAATACCCCAAAAATGTCCCCATAACCCGCCTAAAACTCCCCCAAATCATCCCTAGACCCCCCCAAACCCCTCAGGACACTCAAGACCCCCCAAAATCCCCCTCAAATCCCACCCAGGACCCCCCAAAACTCCCCCAAATCCTCCTCAGACCCCCCAAACCCCTCAGGACACTCAAGACCCCCCAAATCCCCCTCAAATCCTCCTCAGACCCCCCAAACCCCTCAGGACCCTTTGGGATCCCACAAGACCCCCCCAAAATCCCCCTCAGGACACCCCAAAACCCGCTCCAATTTTGGGGACTGTCAGCTTCTCAAGCTCTGTGTCCTCTCCTCTATTACACACCCACAAATTTTGGGGTAACCCCCAAATTTTTGCATCCTCCTCCTTTAATGGCTTCCACCCCCCCATTGCTTTCCCAGCCAAATTCCACAGCCCGGCTGTGTTTTTGGGGTTCTCCACAGCTTTGCAGACCCCCCCCAGATTTTGGGGACCCTCTCCCCGAATTTTGGGGAGCCCCTCACCATGCGCAGGTCCCTCCTGTATCTGTTCTTGCTGATCAGGTGCCGGAGGCTGCGCAGGGACCCGCGGGCGTCGCGGCGGATCCGCACGCGCACGTACGACGAGGCCGGCTTGCGCTGCCCTGGGGGGGACAAAAAGGGGATTTTTGGGGGGGTTCTGAGGAGATTTGGGGTTCCCCTAAAGGGTAGTGAGGCGGGTTGTGGGGATTTGGGGGGTTAGAAGGGGGGTTCTAAGAAGATTTGAGGGGCTTAAAGGTGATTTGGGGGGATTTAAGGAGTTCACAGAAGGGGATTTGGGGGGGTTCAAAGGGGATTTGGGGGGGTTCAAAGGGGATTTGAGGGGTTCAAAGGGGATTTGGGGGGTCCAAAGGGGATTTGAGGGGTTCAAAGGGGATTTGGGGGGGTTCAAAATAGGATTTGAGGGGTTCAAAGGGGATTTGGGGAGGTTCAGAAGGGGATTTGGGGGGATTTAAAGGGGGTTTGAGGGGCTCAAAGGGGATTTGAGGGGTTCAATGGGGATTTGGGGGGGTTCAAAAGGGGATTTGAGGGGTTCAAAGGGGATTTGGAGGAATTTAAAGGGGATTTGGTTGAGGGGTTGAAAGGGGATTTGAGGGGTTGAAAGGGGATTTGAGGGGTTGAAAGGGGATTTGAGGGGTTCAAAGGTAATCTGAGGGGGATCCAAGGGAGATTTGAGGGGTTCAAAGGGGATTTGGGGGGGTTCAAAGGGGATTTGAGGGGTTGAAAGGGGATTTGGGGGGGTTCAGAAGGGGATTTGAGGGGTTCAAAGGGGATTTGGGGGGGTTCAAAGGGGATTTGAGGGGTTCAAAGGGGATTTGGGGGGGTTCAAAAGGGGATTTGGGGGGGTTCAAAGGGGATTTGGGGGGGTTCAAAGGGGATTTGGAGGAATTTAAAGGGGATTTGGGGGGGATCCATGGGAGATTTGAGAGTTTTAGAAGGGATTTAAAGAGTTCAGAGGGGATTTAGGCAGGTTTAAAAGGGGTTTGGGGGGGATCCAAGGGAGATTTGAGGAGTTCAGAGGGGATTTAAGGGGTTCAAAGGGGATTTGGGGGGGTTCAAAAGGGGATTTGAGGGGTTGAAAGGGGATTTGAGGGGTTCAAAGGTAATCTGAGGGGGATCCAAGGGAGATTTGAGGGGTTCAAAGGGGATTTGGGGGGGTTCAAAAGGGGATTTGAGGGGTTCAAAAGGAGATTTGAGGGGTTCAAAGGGGATTTGAGGGGTTCAAAGCGGATTTGGGGGAATTTAAAGGGGATTTGAGGGGTTCAAAGGGGATTTGGGGGGGTTCAAAGGGGATTTGGAGGAATTTAAAGATGATTTGAGGGGGGATCTATGGGAGATTTGAGAGTTTTAGAGGGGATTTAAAGAGTTCAGAGAGGATTTAGGCAGGTTTAAAAGGGGTTTGGGGGGGATCCAAGGGAGATTTGAGGAGTTCAGAGGGGATTTAAGAGAGATTTGAGGACTTCAGAGGGGATTTGAGGGGTTCAAAGGGGATTGGGGGGGGTTGAAAGGGGATTTGAAAGGTTCAAAGGGGATTTGAGGGGTTCAAAGGTAATCTGAGGGGGATCCAAGGGAGATTTGAGGGGTTAAAGGGGATTTGGGGGATTCAAAGGGGATTTGGGGGAGTTTAAAGGAGATTTAAGTGGTTAAAAGGGGATTTGGGGGGAAGTTTAATGGGGGTTTGAGGGGTTCCAAAGGGGATTTGGGGGGTTTTTAAAGGGGGTTTGGGGGGTTTCAGAGGGGATTTGGTGCGATTCACCCACCTGCACGTTTCTTGAGGACCACCACGATCCCTTTCCCGTCCGGCGCCGGCTCCACGCCCACGGTTTTGCGGTGGATCAATCCGTTGTAGCGGAAAGAATTGCGAGCCTTGAGGTTGTTGGGCTCCTGGGGGGGTTTGTGAGAGGGTTTTGGGGTGGCTTGCAAATTTTGGGGGGGTCTGGAGAGGGGAAAAGGGTTTTGGAAGGGGTCATGAGATGATTGGGGGGGGTGTTAAGGGGTTTTGTAGGGATTTTGGGGGGTTAAAGGGGATTTTGGGGGGCTTAAAGGGGGTTTGGGGGGATTCAATGGGGATTTGGGGGGGTTAAAATGGGGTTTGGGGGGTTCAAATGGGATTTGGGGTGTTTAAAGGTGATTTGAGGGGTTCAATTGGTATTTGGAGGGATTAAAGGGGGTTTGGGGGGATTCAATGGGGATTGGGGGTATCCAAGGCGGATTTGAGAGGTTCAGAGGGGATTTGGGATGGTGTCTGGGGGTGTCCCCAACAATTCGCAGGACACCCCAAAAATCAAGGAGGTGCTCAGGAGGCTGGGGAGAGAGGCAGGGGGGGAAGCCCGGGGGTTTTGGGGGGTCCCGAGGCGTTTGGGGAAACCCCGAGTACATGAAAGATCCCCTTTGTGTGTTAATGGGGATTTATTGGGTGCTTAAATCATTTGTTTTGCATTTTTTGGGGTTTGAGGGACCCCAACCCCGCTCCCCTCCCCGCACTGACGGTGCTGTAGGTCTGGTTGTTCCTCTTCAGCAGGAAACTGGAGCAGTTCCGCACCACCATCCACTGCAAATGGGCCGACATGGCGCCTGCGGGAACAGCCCCGGGGAGCCTCCTCAGCACCGCCGCCGCGCCTCACAACCCGCTCCGCGCTCCGTCCCGTTCCCCCCGCCCTTAGAGACCCTCCCCGGGGTTAGCGACCCCTCCCCGGGCACCCCGAACCCCCACGGGCCGCCCCAAACCGGAGCCCCACGCGGCACCTCCGCTCCCTTCGGCCGCCGGAAATGGAAAGAGCGACGGAAGCTCCGGCGGCTCGTTAAGCTCCGCCCCCTTCGGTAATATCCTCCATGGCTTCGGTAATCTCCGCCATGGCTTCGGCAATCTCCGCCATGGCTTCGGCAATATCCGCCCCGGCTTCGGTAATATCCGCCATGGCTTCGGTAATATCCGCCCCGGCTTCGGTAATCTCCGCCCCGCGCTCGGATTTTTCCGCCGGTACTCGGAGATCTCCGTCAGTGTTCGTCAAGCGCGGCGTTCTTCGGAGGTTTCCGGCTTCTTTCGGGATTTTCCGCCTCTCTTCGGTAGTCTCCGCCGTCGCCTCGGAGCGGCGTTCGGGTCCTTTCGGCTCCGTGCGGGATTTACGGAAAAAAGGGGGTGGGGGGGAAAAGGGCGGGAAATGTGAGGGGAAAAATATGGGAAATGTGAGGGGAAAAAAAGGCAGGAAAAATGAAAGAAAAGAGTGAGAAAGGTGAGGTAAAAAATGAGGGGAAATGGGTGGGAAATGTGAGGGGAGAAAAGGGGGGGAAACGTGAGGGGAGAAAAAGGCGGGAAACGTGAGGGGAGAAAAGGGCGGGAAACGTGAGGGGAGAAAATGGGGGGAAACGTGAGGGGAGAAAAGAGTGCAAAAACTCGGGAACAAGGGTGGGAAGTGTAAGGGGCAAAAGGGAAATAAATGTGAGGGGAGAAAAGAGTGGGAAACGTGAGGGGGAAAAGGGAAATAAATGTGAGGGAAGAAAAGAGTGGGAGACGTGAGGGGGGAAAAAGAGTGGGAAATGTGAGAGGGGAAAAGGGAAACGTGAGGGGAGAAAAAAGTGGGAAACGTGAGGGGGAAAAGGGAAATAAATGTGAGGGGAGAAAAAGGCGGGAAACGTGAGGGGAGAAAAGGGCGGGAAACGTGAGGGGAGAAAAAGGGGAGAAACATGAAGGGAAAAGGGCGGAAAATGTGAGGGAGAAAAGAATGGGAAGTCTAAAGGGGAAAAGGGAAATAAATGTGAGAAAAAAAAGAGCAGGAAAACGTGAGGGGTCCCACCTGGAGCAGCCCTGGCAGGTGAGGCTTTACCTGAGGGGGTTTTTGGGGGAATTTGGGCACTTCCCAGGGGGTTTTGGGGGGGTTTGTGAGCTTTTCCCACAACAATCGGGTGGTACTGGGAGCTGTGCTGGGTTATACTGGTTTGTACTGGGCTATTTGGGGTTATGTTGGGTTACACTGGTTTGTACTGGGCTATTTGGGGTTATGTTGGGTTGCACTGGGTTATTTGGGGTTATACTGGATAGTATTGGGCTATACTGGTTTGTACTGGGTTATTTGGGGTTGTACTGGTTTGTACTGGGTTAGTTGGGGTTATGTTGGGTTGTACTGGGTTAGTTGGGGTTGTACTGGTTTGTACTGGGTTATTTGGGGTTGTACTGGTCTGTACTGGGTTATTTGGAGTTTTACTGGGCTATACTGGTTTGTACTGGGTTATTCGGGGTTGTACTGGTTTGTACTGGGTTATTCGGGGTTGTACTGGTTTGTACTGGGTTATTTGGTGTTGTATTTGGGGCTGTACTGGTTTGTACTGGGTTAGTTGGGGTTGCACTGGTTTGTACTGGGTTAGTTGGGGTTGTACTGGTTTGTACTGGGTTATTTGGGGTTGTACGGGTTTGTACTGGGTTATTTGGGGTTATGTTGGGTTGCACTGGTCTGTACTGGGCTATTTGGGGTTGTACTGGTCTGTACTGGGTTATTTGGTGTTGTATTTGGGGTTATACTGGTTTGTACTGGGCTATTTGGGGTTATGTTGGGTTGCACTGGTTTGTACTGGGTTATTTGGTGTTGTATTTGGGGTTATACTGGTTTGTACTGGGCTATTTGGGGTTATATTTGGGACTGTACTGGGCTATAGTGGTTTGTACTGGGTTATTTGGGGCTATACTGGTTTGTACTGGGTTATTTGGGGTTATATTTGGGGTTATACTGATTTAATCCAGGTTATACCAGGTTTTACTTAGTTATACTTGTTTATACTGGTTTATACTGTGTTATTTGGGGTTATATTTGGTTTTATACTGGGTTATTTGGGGTTATATTTGGGGTTGTACTGGTTTAGACTGGGTTATACTGATTTAATCCAGGTTATACCAGGTTGTATTGGGTTATACTGGTTTGTACTGGGATAATGGTGGTTATATTTGGGGTCGTACTGGGCTATACTGGTTTGTACTGAGTTATACTGGTTTAGACTGGGTTATACAGGTTTAATCCAGGTTGTACCAGGTTATATTTAGTTATACTGGTTTATACTGGTTTCTACTGGGTTATTTGGGGTTATATTTGGGGTTGTACCAGTTTGTACTGGGTTTGTTTTGGTTATACTGGTTTAGACTGGGTTATACTGGTTTAGACTGGGTTATACTGGTTTAGACTGGGTTATATTGATTTAATCCAGGTTATACCAGGTTGTATTTAGCTATACTGGTTTATACTGGTTTATACTGGGCCCGTGAGAACCGGAAGCCCTTCCCCCCCCCAGGTGGGTGGGGGGGTCCCGTGGGAACCCGGCCCCTCCCCCCCCACCCTTCCTGTTGTTTTTGGGGGGGCAGGAAATGGGGGGGGAGGGGTGAGACCTTAAAAACTGCTGGGGTTGGGGCAAAAAACAGCATTTATGGGACCAGGTGAGAGGGGACCCCAAAAATGAGAAACCCCCAAAATTTGGGACACCAAAAATGAGAAACCCCCAAAATTTGGAACCTCAAAAATGAGAAAACCCCAAAATTTGGGACACCAAAAATGAGAAACCCTCAAAATTTGGGACACCAAAAATGAGAAATTGCCAAAAATGAGAAAACCCCAAAATTTGGAACCTTAAAAAATGAGAAAATCCCAGAATTAGGAACCTCAAAAATGAGAAAACCCCAAAATTTGGAACACCTCAAAAAAAAAAAGAAAACCCCAAAATTTGGAACCACAAAAATGAGAAAACGCCAAAATTCGGAACCCCAAAAGTGAGAATACTCACAACCCCCCCCCAAAAAAAAATGAGATCCCAACCCCTCCCCAACTGGGTTTGGGGGGATTTGGGGTTTTTGAGGGGATTTGGGATCTTGATTTGGGGGGGGGGGGGATTGAGGGAATTTGGGGGGTCTGGAGTCACAAATTTGGGAGGGTTTAGAGGGATTTGGGGGTCTCAGTTTTTGGGGGGGTTTGGGGGATTTTAGGGTCCTGATTTGGGGGTGTTTTGGGGGGGGTTTGGGGTCCTGATTTGGGGTGTTTGGGGGGGGTTTGGGGGTCCCAGTTTGGGGATGTTTGGGGTCCCTGTTTTAGGGGTGTTTGGGGTCCTGGTTTTGGGGTGTTTGGGGGGTTTTGGGGTCCCAGTTTGGGGGTTTTTGGGGGTCTCTGTTTGGGGGTTTTTGGGGTCGCAGTTTGGGGGTTTTTGGGGTCGCAGTTTGGGGGTGTTTGGGGTAGCAATTTGAGGGTTTTTGGGGGTCTCGGTTTGGGGGGTTTTGGGGTCCCAGTTTGGGGTGTTTGGGGTCACAATTTGAGGGTTTTTGGGGGTCCCAGTTTGGGGGTTTTGGGGTCCCGGTTTGGGGGTTTTGGGGTCCCAGTTTGGGGTCCCGGTTTGGGGTTTTGGGGTCCCGGTTTGGGGGTTTTGGGGTCCTGATTTGGGGGTGTTTGGGGGTGTTGGGGTCCCAGTTTGGGGTCCCGGTTTGGGGGTTTAGGAGTCCTGGTTTGGGGTCCCATTTTGGGGGTGTTTGGGGTCCAAGTTTGGGGATGTTTGGGGGTTTTGGGGTCCCAGTTTGGGGGTGTTTGGGTGTTTTGGGGTCTCAGTTTGGGGTCCCAGTTTGGGGTCCCAGTTTGGGATCCCGGTTTGGGGGTGTTTGGGGGTTTTGGGGTCCCAGTTTGGGGGTTTTGGGGTGTTCAGGGTCCAGATTTGGGGTGTCCGGGGTCCCGCTCGGGGGGGTCCCGATTTGGGGTCCCAATTTGGGGGGTGGTCGGTGCCCCCCGCGCCCCCCCCGCCCTCTCCCAACCCCGGTACCGGTGTCACCGTCACAGCCCCGGTGCGGGGGATGGGGGGGGGCGGGGGGTGGCACCCGCGGCGGGACCCCCCCTTGGGGACACCCCAATGTCACCCCAATGTCACCCCCCGTTGGGGACACCCCGGGGTCACCCCAATGTCACCCCCCCCCCTTGGGGACACCCCAATGTCACCCCCCCAATGTCACCCCCCCCCCCTTGGGGACACCCCAATGTCACCTCCCCCCCCCTTGGGGACACCCCAATGTCACCCCAATGTCACCCCCCCTTGGGGACACCCCAATGTCAACCCCAATGTCACCCCAATGTCACCTCCCCCTTGGGGACACCCCGGGGTCACCCCAATGTCACCTCCCCCCCTTGGGGACACCCCGGGGTCACCCCAGTGTCACCCCCCCTTGGGGACACCCCGGGGACACCCCAATGTCACCCCCCCCTTGGGGACACCCCAATGTCACCCCAATGTCACCCCCAGTGTCACCCCCCCCTTGGGGACACCCCAATGTCACCCCAATGTCACCCCCCCTTTGGGGACACCCCAATGTCACCCCAATGTCACCCCCCAATGTCACCCCCCCTTGGGGACACCCCCCTTGGGGACACCCCAATGTCACCCCCTAATGTCACCCCCCCCTTGGGGACACCCCAATGTCACCCCCCAATGTCACCCCCCCCTTGGGGACACCCCAATGTCACCCCCCCCCCTTGGGGACACCCCGGGGTCACCCCAATGTCCCCAAATGTCCCCAGTGCCCCCCAATGTCACCCCAATGTCCCCAAATGTCCCCAATGCCCCCCCAATGTCCCCCCAATGTCCTCAGTGCCCCCCCAATGTCCCCCAATGCCCCCCAGTGTCCCCCCAATGTCCTCAGTGCAACCCCAGTGTCCCCAATGTCCCCCCCAAAATGTCCCCAAATGTCCCCCCAGTGCCCCAAATGTCCCAAATGTCCCCAATGTCCCCCCCCAATGTCCCCCCAAAATGTCCCCCCAAATTTGGGCCACACCATTTGGGGCTCCCCTCACTTTTGGGGGGGGTGTCCCGTAAATTTTGGGGTGCCCCCATAAATTTGGGGGGGGGGTCCCCATTAATTGTAGGGCGTTCCCATTAATTTTGTGGTGTCCCCATTAATTTTAGGGCGTTCCCATAAATTTTGGGAGGGGTCCCCACAAATTTTGGGGGGGTCCCCATTAATTTCAGGGCGTTCCCATTAATTTTGGGAGGGGTCCCCATAAATTCTGGGGTGTCCCCATTAATTATAGGGCGTTCCCATTAATTTTGGGGACTCCCATAAATTTAGGGGGTCCCCATTAATTTCAGAGCGTTCCCATTAATTTTGGGGGGGGTCCCCATTAATTTTAGGGCGTTCCCATTAATTTTGGAGGGGTCCCCATTAATTTCAGGGCGATCCCATTAATTTTGGGGGGGGTCCCAATTAATTTTAGGGCGTTCCCATTAATTTTGGGGAATTCCCATAATTTTGGGAGATCCCCATAAATTTAGCTTGTTCCCATTAATTTTTGGGGTATCTCAGATTTTTTTTGGGGGTCCCCTCGTGGTTTTGGGTTTTTTTTTTTGGGGGGGGTGTTCCCCTCTTTGGCCCCGCCCCCGGTGGGGGAGGGGCGGGGGGAGGGGCCGCTCCCTCCTCCTCCTCCTCCGCATCCTCAGCCTCGGGGGGACCCCCCGAACTCCCGGAGCCCCCCAAAAACCCCCCCAAAATTGGGGTGACCCCTCCCCATCGCACCGCGGACCCCCCAAAATCCTCGGGGTGCCCCCGCCACCCCCCCCGCGGGAGGGGAATGGTTTGATCCGGCGGCAGCTCCGAGGGGAGGGGGGGGAGGGGAGGGGGGGGAGGGGCTGGGGGGTCCCTCCCCTTCCCCTCCCCCCCCCAAAATCGATCCGGGGGGTGGGGGAGGGGCGGATCGATTCCCCCCCTCGGGGAATGGGTGGGGGAGGGGCTGAGCATCATTTGGGGGGGGAGGGGAAGGATTTGCGGGTGGGGGATGGGATTTGGGGGGGCCTCGAATTTCCCAGGGGGGTCCCGGGGGGATTTGGGGGGTCCCGATGGGTTTTGGGGGGTCCCGGGTGGGTTTGGGGAACAAATCCGGGGGTCCCGGGTATATTTTGGGGTGAATTTGGGGGTCCCGATGGATTTGGGGGTGGATTTGGGGGGTCCCGGGTGGATTTAGGGTTGGTTTTAGGGGGTCCCGATGGATTTGGGGTGGAATTGGGGGTCCCGATGGATTTTGGGGGGGTCCCAGGTGGATTTTGGGATGGATTTGGGGGGTCCCGATGGTTTTGGGGGGTCCCGGGTGGATTTTGGGGTGGAATTTGGGGGTCCCGATGGATTTGGGGGGTCCCGGGTGGATCTAGGGTGGGTTTTAGGGGGTCCCGATGGATTTGGGGTGGATTTTGGGGGTCCCGGGTGGATTTTTGGGGTGGAATTTGGGGGGTCCCCCAGTGGATTTTGGGGTGAATTTTGGGTCCCAAATAGGTTTTGGGTTCCCCAATGGATTTTGGGGCATATTTTGGGGTTCCCAATGGATTTTGGGGCTGAAATTTGGGGTGTCCCCCCGGGATTTTGGGCCCCAATGGATTTGGGGATTTCCTAAAGGATTTTGGGGCTGGAATTTGGGGTGTCCCCCCGGGATTTGGGGTCCCCAAAAGATTTTGGAGTTTCCCAATGGATTTTGGGGCAGATTTGGGGTGTCCCCAGTGGATTTTGGGGTGAATTTTGGGTCCCAAATGGGTTTTGGGTTCCCCAATGGATTTGGGGTTCCCTAAAGGATTTTGGGGCTGGAATTTGGGGTGTCCCCCCGGGATTTGGGGTTCCCCAATGGATTTTGGGGCAGATTTTGGGGTTCGGGCTGGATTTTGGGGCTGGAATTTGGGGTGCCCCCCCGGGATTTGGGGTTCCCAATGGATTTGGGGTCCCCAATGGATTTTGGGGTCTGGGCTGGATTTTGGGGCTGGAATTTGGGGGGTCCCCCCGGGATTTGGGGTCCCCAAAAGATTTTGGAGTTCCCCAATGGATTTTGGGGCAGATTTTGGGGTTCGGGCTGGATTTTGGGGCTGGAATTTGGGGTGTCCCCCGGGATTTTGGGCCCCCAATGGATTTGGGGATTCCCTAAAGGATTTTGGGGTTGGAATTTGTGGTGTTCCCCCTGGATTTGGGGTCCCCCAATGGATTTGGGGTCCTCACTGGATTTTGGGGCAGATTTTGGGGTTCGGGCTGGATTTTGGGGCTGGATTTTTGGGGTGTCCCCCCGGGATTTGGGGTCCCCAATGGGTTTTGGGGCAGATTTTGGGGTTCGGGCTGGATTTTGGGGCTGAAATTTGGGGTGAATTTGGGGGGAGTCCCCGATGGATTTTGGGGGTTCAGGCTGGATTTCGGGTCGGATTTTTGGGGTGTCCCCCCGGGATTTGGGGTCCCCAATGGATTTGGGGTCCTCACTGGATTTTGGGGCAGATTTTGGGGTTTGCGCTGGATTTCGGGTTGGAATTCGGGTGTCCCCCGGATTTGGGGGTGCTGATTTTTGGGGTCCCCCCAGATGGCGGAGGCGGCCGTGGTCGGCGTTTTTGGGGGGTCCCTGAAGGTTCCAGGGGGGCCCCCCCCCGGGCCCGGGGCCGCTGCGGGAGCTGAGCCGGGGAGTGCTGAGCTCGGGACGGCGGCGGCTGCGCAGATTCGGGGTACGGACCCGAAATTGGGGTACGGGGGGCGAGAATTGGGGTTGGGACCCAAAATTGGGGTACGGGGGGCGAGAATTGGGGTACCCCCAAAATCCACCCCAAAATCCACCCCAAAATTCACCCCAAAATCCACCCCAAAAATCACCAAAATCCACAAAATGCACCGCAAAAATCACCAAAATCCACCCCAAAAACCCCCAAAATCCACCCCAAAAATCACCAAAATCCACCCCAAAATCACCAAAATCCACCCCAAAACCCCAAAACCCCCCAAAATCCACCCCAAAAATCACCAAAATCCACTCCAAAAACCCCCAAACCTCCAAAATCCACCCCAAAACCACCAAAATCCACCCCAAAAACCTCCAAAACTCCCCAAAACTACCCCAAAATTCACCAAAATCCACCCCAAAAACCCCAAAATCCACCCCAAAACCCCCAAAATCCACCCCAAAAACCCCCAAAATCCACCCCAAAAACCCCCCAAAACCCCCCAAAACTACCCCAAAAACCACCAAAAAACCCCCAAAAACCCCCAAAACCCACCCCAAAAACCCCAAAATCCACCCCAAAAACCCCCAAAACTCCCCAAAACCACCCCCAAAATTCACCAAAATCCACCCCAAAAACCCCCAAAATCCACCCCAAAAACCCCCAAAACCCACCAAAATCCCCCCAAAAACCCCCAAAACCCACCAAAAACCACCAAAATCCACCAAAATCCACCCCAAAAACCCCCAAAACCCCCCAAAACTACCCCAAAAATCACCAAAATCCACCCCAAAAACCACCAAAATCCACCCCAAAATCCACCCCAAAATCCACCCCAAAAACCACCAAAATCCACCCCAAAAATCACCAAAATCTACCCCAAAAACCACCAAAATCCACCCCAAAAACCCCCAAAACTCCCCAAAACTACCCCAAAAATCACCAAAATCCACCCCAAAATCCACCCTAAAAACCCCCAAAATCCACCCCAAAAACCACCAAAATCCACCCCAAAATCCACCCCAAAATTCACCCCAAAAACCACCAAAATCCACTCCAAAAATCACCAAAATCTACCCCAAAAATCACCAAAATCCACTCCAAAAACCCCCAAATCCACCCCAAAAATCACCAAAATCCACTCCAAAAACCCAAAAACCTCCAAAATCTACCCCAAAACCCACCAAAATCCACCCCAAAAACCCCCAAAACTCCCCAAAACTACCCCCAAAAATCACCAAAATCCACCCCAAAAATCCACCCCAAAAAACACCAAAATCCACTCCAAAATCCACCCCAAAATTCACCCCAAAAACCACCAAAATCCACTCCAAAAATCACCAAAATCCACCCCAAAAACCACCAAAATCCACCCCAAAATTGGGGTACGGGGGGCGAAAATTGGGGTTCGGGAGCTGAAATTGGGGTACGGGACCCGAAATTGGGGTACGGGAGCTGAAATTGGGGTACGGGTACCCCAAATTTGGGTCGGTTTTGGGGGTTCTTGGGGGGATTTTGGTGATTTTTGGGGTTTTTGGGCTGGATTTTGGGGTGAATTTTGGGGTGCTGATGATATTTTTTTGGGGTTCCAGACTCACCCCGCGGGACCCCGGACGTGGCTGTTTTTGGGGTGGATTTTGCTGATTTTTGGGGTGGATTTTGGTGATTTTTGGGGTGTTTTTTTTGGATTTTTGGGGTGATTTTTGGTGTGATTTTTGGGGTGGTTTTTGGGGTGCTGATGTGATTTTTTGGGGTTCCAGACTCACCCCGCAGGACCCCGGACGTGGCTGTTTTTGGGGGGGATTTGGGTGATTTTTGGTGTGGTTTTTTGGGTTTTTTTGGGTGTTTTGGGGTGAATTTTGGGGTGAATTTTGGGGTGAATTTTGGGGTGAATTTTGGGGTGCTGATGTGATTTTTTGGGGTTCCAGACCCACCCCGCAGGACCCCGGACGTGGCTGTTTTTGGGGGGCGCCGTGGGGGTCTGTGAGGCCGCGGGACTCGACCCCTCCCTGGGGCTGGTGGGGGCCCTGGCCCGGGGGGCTGCCCCACAGGTGAGGGGGACCCCAAAATTTGGGGAGGGGGACCCCAAATTTGGGGAGGGGGACCCCAAAATTTGGGGAGGGGGACCCCGAAATTTGGGGAGGGGGACCCCGAAATTTGGGGAGAGGGACCCCGAAATTTGGGAAGGGAGGGCCCCGAAATTTGGGGAGGGGGGGACCTCAAAATTTGGGGAGGGGGGACCCCAAAATTAGGGGAGAGTGACCCAGAAATTTGGGGGAGGGGGACCCCGAAATTTGGGGAGGAGAACCCCAAAATTTGGGGAGAGGGACCCCGAAATTTGGGGAGGGGGGACCTCAAAATTTGGGGAGGGGGACCCCAAATTTGGGGAGGGGGACCCCGAAATTTGGGGGGTGGAACCCGAAATTTGGGGAGGGGGACCCCAAAATTTGGGGAGGGGGACCCCGAAATTTGGGCAGGGGGGACCCTGAAATTTGGGGAGGGGGGACCCCGAAATTTGGGGAGGGGGGACCTCAAAAATTTGGGGAGGGGGACCCCGAAATTTGGGGAGAGGGGACCCCGAATTTGGGGAGGGGGACCCCGAAATTTGGGCAGGAGGGCACCCAAAATTTGGGGAGGGGGACCCGGAAATTTGGGGAGAGGACCCCGAAATTTGGGGAGGGGGACCCCGAAATTTGGGCAGGGGGACCCCGAAATTTGGGGAGGTGGACCCCGAAATTTGGGGGAGGAACCCGAAATTTGGGGAGGGGGACCCCGAAATTTGGGGAGGGGGAACCCCGAAATTTGGGGATGGGAAACCGAAATTTGGGGGTGGGACCCCGAAATTTGAGGAGGGGGGACCCCAAAAATTTGGGGAGGGGGGTCCCTGAAATTTGGGGAGGGGGACCCTAAAATTTGGGGAGGGGGGATCCCGAAATTTGGGCAGGGGGATCCCGAAATTTGGGAAAGGGACCCCAAAATTTGGGGAGGGGGACCTCGAAATTTGGGGAGGGGGACCCCCGAAATTTGGGGAGGGGGACCCCGAAATTTGGGGAGGGGGAACCCCAAATTTGGGGAGGGGGACCCCGAAATTTGGGGAGGGGGGAACCCGAAATTTGGGGAGGGGGACCCCGAAATTTGGGCAGGGGGGACCCCAAATTTGGGGAGGGGGACCCCAAAATTTGGGCAGGGGGGACCCCGAAATTTGGGGAGGGGGACCCCGAAATTTGGGGAGGGGGACCCCGAAATTTGGGGAGGGGGGACCCCGAAATTTGGGGAGGGGGACCCCGAAATTTGGGGAGGGGGGAACCCGAAATTTGGGGAGGGGGGACCCCAAAATTTGGGGAGGGGGACCCTGAAATTTGGGGAGAGGGGAACCCGAAATTTGGGGAGGGGGACCCCGAAATTTGGGGAGGGGGACCCTGAAATTTGGGGAGGGGGAACCTGAAATTTGGGGAGGGGGAACCCCAAAATTTGGGGGGGGGGGCCCCCAAATTTGGGGGGGGGGGACCCCCGAAATTGGGGGAGGGGGACCCTGAAATTTGGGGAGGGGGAACCCGAAATTTGGGCAGGGGGAACCCGAAATTTGGGCAGGGGGGACCCCAAAATTTTGGGGGGGGACCCCGAAATTTGGGGGGAGGACCCCGAAATTTGGGAGGGAGACCCCAAAATTGGGGGGAACCCCGAAATTTGGGGGGGGAACCCGAAATTTGGGAGTGGGACCCCGAAATTTGGGGATGGGACCCCGAAATTTGGGGAGGGGGGACCCCGAAATTTGGGGAGGGGGGCCTGAAATTTGGGGAGGGGGATCCCGAAATTTGGGCAGAGGGGACCCCAAAATTTGGGGGTGGGGACCCTGAAATTTGGGGAGTGGGACCCCGAAATTTGGGGGGAGGACCCCGAAATTTGGGGGGGGGACCCCAAAATTTGGGGGAACCCCGAAATTTGGGGGGGGGGAACCCGAAATTTGGGGAGGGGGACCCCGAAATTTGGGGAGGGGGACCCCGAAATTTGGGGAGGGGGACCCCGAAATTTGGGGAGGGGGACCCTGACATTTGGGAGGGGTCCCCGAAATTTGGGCAGGGGGGACCCCGAAATTTGGGGAGGGGGACCCCAAATTTGGGGAGGGGGACCCCGAAATTTGGGGATGGGGACCCCGAAATTTGGGGAGGGGGACCCCGAAATTTGGGGAGGGGGGACCCTGAAATTTGGGGAGGGGGACCCCAAAATTTGGGGAGGGGACCCCTGAAATTTGGGCAGAGGGGACCCCGAAATTTGGGCAGGGGGGACCCCGAAATTTGGGAGGGGGGACCCCGAAATTTGGGGAGGGGGGGCCCGAAATTTGGGGAGGGGGGACCCGAAATTTGGGGGGAGGGTCCCAAAAATGTCCCAAATTTGTCAAGAGCGGAGAAATGGGAGGGGCATCAAATTGGGGGGGTTGGGGTGGGATTTTTGGGGTCCTGGGGGATTTTTTGGGGGTCCCAGGGTGGGTTTTGGGGTTTTTTTTTGGGGTCCCAAGGTGGGTTTTGGGGTCCCGGGTGGGTTTTTTGGGGTCCCTGGGTGGGTTTTTGGGGTCCCGGGTGGGTTTTTGGGGGTCCCGGGTGGGTTTTTGGGGTCCCTGAGTGGGTTTTTAGGGTTTTTGGGGTCCCTGGGTGGGTTTTTGGGGTTTTTGGGGTCTTGGGATGGATTTTTGGGGTCCCAGGGTGGGTTTTTGGGGTCTTGGGATGGATTTTTGGGTCCTGGGGGTGGATTTTTGGGGTTTTTGGGTTTTTTTTGTGTGGATTTTTGGGGTTTTTGGTTTCCCTGGGCACATTTTTGGGGTTTTTGGGGTCCCAGGGTGGGTTTTGGGGTTTTTGGGGTCCCGGGGTCCATTTTTGGGGTCACTCACCCCATTCCTGGCCCTGCTGCTCTTCTGTCCCGGGGTGGATTTTGGATGGATTTTTGGGATTTTGGGTGTTTTTGGGTTGGATGTTTGATGTTTTTGGGGTGGAGTTTTGATGTTTTTGGGGTGAATTTTTGGGGTTTTGGGGGTTTTTTGGGGTGGATTTTTGGGGTTTTTGGGTTGGATTTTTGGGGGTTTTGGGGTTTTTTGGGGTGGATTTTTGGGGTTTTTTGGGTTGGATTTTTGATGTTTTGGGGTTTTTGGGTTGGATTTTTTTGGGTTTTTGGTGTTTTTTTGGGTGAATTTTTGGGATTTTTGGGTTTTTTGCAGCCCCCTGCTCCCGGGGGGGCTGCGGGACCCCCTGGCCCTGCTGCTCTTCTCCTCTCCCAGGGTGGATTTTGGGTGTTTTTGGGTTGGATTTTTGGGGTTTTTGGGGTGAATTTTTTGGGTTTTTTATGTTTTTGGGATGGATTTTTTTTGGATTTTTGATGTTTTTGGGGTTTTTTGCAGCCCCCTGCTCCCGGGGGGGCTGCGGGACCCCTGGCCCTGCTGCTCTTCTCCTCTCCCAGGGTGGATTTTGGGTGTTTTTGGCTGTTTTTGGGATGGATTTTTTTGGGTTTTGGGGTTTTTTTGGGTGAATTTTTGGGATTTTGGGGTTTTTTTGCAGCCCCCTGCTCCCGGGGGGGCTGCGGGACCCCCGACCCTGCTGCTCTTCTCCTCTCCCAGGGTGGATTTTGGGATGGATTTTTGGTGGTTTTAGGTTGGATTTTTGAGGTTTTGGGTGTTTTTGGGCTGGATTTTTTGGGATCTGGGAGGGATTTTTGGGGTTTTTGGGGTCCCTGATTCCATTTTTGGGTGGATTTTGGGGTTTTTTGCAGCCCCTGCTCCCGGGGGGGCTGCGGGACCCCCTGGCCCCTGCTGCTCTCTCCTCTCCCAGGGTGGATTTGGGCTGGATTTTTGATGTTTTTGGGGTTTTTTGGGGTGGATATTTGGGGTTTTTGGGGTTTTTTGGGTGGAATTTTGGGGATTTTTGATGTTTTTTGGGGTTTTTTGCAGCCCCCTGCTGCCGGGGGGGCTGCGGGCCCCCTGGCCCTGCTGCCTCTTCTCCTCTCCCAGGGTGGATTTTGGGTGTTTTTGGGGTGAATTTTTGATGTTTTTGGGGTTTTTGGGTTGGATTTTTTTGTGGTTTTGGGTTGGATTTTTGATATTTTTGGGGTTTTTGGGGTTTTTTGCAGCCCCCTGCTCCCGGGGGGGCTGCGGGCCCCCCTGGCCCTGCTGCTCTTCTCCTCTCCCAGGGTGGATTTTGGGTGGTTTTTAGGTTGGATTTTTGATGTTTTTGGGGTGAATTTTTTGCGGTTTTTGGATTTTTTTGGGTTGGATTTTTGGGTTTGGGGGTTTTTTAGGTTGGATTTTTGATGTTTTTGGGGTTTTGGGGTTTTTTGCAGCCCCCTGCTCCCGGGGGGGCTGCGGGACCCCCTGGCCCTGCTGCTCTTCTCCTCTCCCCGGGTGCATTTTGGGTGTTTTTGGCTGTTTTTGGGCTGGATTTTTGATGTTTTTGGGGTTTTTGGGTTGGATTTTTTTGGGTTTTTGGGTTTTTTTTGGGTGGAATTTTGGGGATTTTTGTGGTTTTGGGGTTTTTTGCAGCCCCTGCTCCCGGGGGGCTGCGGGACCCCCTGGCCCTGCTGCTCTTCTCCTGTCCCAGGGTGGATTTTGGGCTGGATTTTTGATGTTTTTGGGGTTTTTGGGGTGGATTTTTGGGGTTTTTGGGGTCCCTGGTTCCATTTTTGGGTGGTTTTTGGGTTTTTTTTGCAGCCCCCTGCTCCCGGGGGGGGCTGCGGGCCCCCCTGGCCCTGCTGCTCTTCTCTCCCAGGGTGGATTTTTGGGTGTTTTTGGGGTGAATTTTTGGGGTTTTTTATGTTTTTGGGATGGATTTTTTTGGATTTTTGGGTTTTTTATGTTTTTGGGATGGATTTTTTTGGATTTTTGATGTTTTTGGGGTTTTTTGCAGCCCCCTGCTCCCGGGGGGCTGCGGGACCCCCTGGCCCTGCTGCTCTTCTCCTGTCCCAGGGTGGATTTTGGGTGTTTTTGGGACGGATTTTTGTGGTTTTGGGGTTTTGGGGTGGATTTTTGGGGTTTTTGGGGTTTTTGGGATGGATTTTTTGGATTTTTGATGTATTTGGGATTTTTGCAGCCCCCTGCTCCCGGGGGGGCTGCGGGCCCCCCTGGCCCTGCTGCTCTTCTCCTCTCCCAGGGTGGATTTTGGGGGTTTTTTGGGGTGGATTTTTGGGGTTTTTGGGGTTTTTGGGGTGGATTTTTTTGTGGTTTTGGGTGGAATTTTGGGGATTTTTGATGTTTTTGGGTTTTTTTGCAGCCCCCTGCTCCCGGGGGGGCTGCGGGCCCCCCTGGCCCTGCTGCTCTTCTCTCCCAGGGGGGATTTTGGGATGGATTTGTGGTGCTTTTAGGGTGATTTTTTTGGGGTTTTTGGGGTTTTCTGGGTGGATTTTTGGGGTTTTTGGGGTCCCTGGTTCCATTTTTTGGGGTTTTTTGGGGTTTTTTGCAGCCCCCTGCTGCCGGGGGGGCTGCGGGCCCCCCTGGCCCTGCTGCTCTTCTCCTCTCCCAGGGTGGATTTTGGGCTGGATTTTTGATGTTTTTGGGGTTTTTTGGGGTGGATATTTGGGGTTTTTGGGTTTTTTTTGGGTGAATTTTTGGGATATTTGGTGTTTTTTGCAGCCCCCTGCTGCCGGGGGGGCTGCGGGCCCCCCTGGCCCCTGCTGCTCTTCTCCTCTCCCTGGGTGGATTTTGGGTGTTTTTGGTTGGTTTTGGGTTGGATTTTTTGCGGTTTTGGGGTTTTTTGGGTGGATTTTTGATGTTTTTGGGTTTTTGGGATGGATTTTTTTGGATTTTTGATGTTTTTGGGATTTTTGCAGCCCCCTGCTCCCGGGGGGGCTGCGGGCCCCCCTGGCCCTGCTGCTCTTCTCTCCCAGGGTGGATTTTGGGGGTTTTGGGGTGGATTTTTGATGTTTTTGGGGTTTTTGGGGGTGGATTTTTTTGGGGTTTTTGGGGTTTTTTTGGGTGAATTTTTGGGATATTTGGTTTTTTTGCAGCCCCCTGCTGCCGGGGGGGCTGCGGGCCCCCCTGGCCCTGCTGCTCTTCTCCTCGGGGCTCTGGCTGCTCCTGGGGCTGATCCTCCGGGTGGGGCTGCGGCTGCTCCTGGGGGGCACCGGGGGGGCCCTGGCGGGGCCCGGACCCCCCCCGCATCTGGCTGGTAGGTGGGGGGGTCCCTGATGGGAATTTGGGGGTTCCTGGGGGGTTTGGGGGTCCTTGGGTGGCTTAAGAGTCCCTGGGGAGAGTTTGGGGGGGTCCTGGGGGGATTTGGGGGGGTTTGGGGGGGTTTGGGGGTCCCTGGGGGGGGTTTGGGGGTCCCTGGGGGGATTTTGGGGGTCCCTGGGGGGGTTTGAGGGTCTTTGGGGGGAATTTGGGGGTCCCTGGGGGGGGTTAAAGGGCCTTGGGGGGGAGTTTGGGGTCCCTGGGGAGAGTTTGGGGGGATTTGGGGGTCCTTGGGGGGGGATTTGGGGTGTCCTGGGAGGGGTTTGGGGGGTCCTGAGTGGATTTTAGGGGGTCCCTGGGGGGATTTGGGGGTCCCTGGGTGTTTTGGGTTAATTTTGGCTGGTTTTGGGGTTATTTTTTGGGGTGTTTTTGGGATTATTTTTGGGTTAATTTCGGCTATTTTTGGGGTGTTTCTGGGCTGTTTTTGGCATTATTTTATGGTTATTTTGTGGTTATTTTGGGATTGTTTTTGGGTTAATGTCGGCTGTTTTCGGGGTTATTTTGGGGTGGTTTTGGGTTTATTTTGTGGCTATTTTGGGCTGTTTTGGGGATTATTTTGTGGTTATTTTGCGGTTATTTTGTAGCTATTTTGGGGTGTTTTTGGGATTATTTTGTGGTTATTTTGGGCTGGTTTTGTCATTATTTTGGGTTAATTTGGGCCGTTTTTGGGATGTTTTTGGGATTATTTTGCGGTTCTTTTGCGGTTATTTTCTGGCTATTTTGGGCTGTTTTTTTGGGCTGGTTTTGGGTTAATTTGGGCCGTTTTCTGGGTTATTTTTGTGGTGTTTTTGGGATTATTTTGCGGCTATTTTGGTGTTATTTTGGGCTGTTTTTGTCACTATTTTGGGTTAATTTGGGCGGTTTTCGGGGTTATTTTTGCGGTTATTTTGCGGTTATTTTGGCTGTTTTTGTCACTATTTTGGGTTAATTTGTGCCGTTTTTGGCCCCAGGCGCTGGTGCGGATGTTCGCGGGGCGCCGCCCGGGGCTCCGCAGCCTCCAGGGGGCGCTGCCCGCGCTGCCCCTCCCCCCGCTGGGCCAGACCGTGCGGCAGGTGGGGGAGGGGCGGGTGGGGGAGGGGTTTGGGGGGGTCCTGGATGGATTTTGGGGGTCCTGGGGGGGGTTTGGGAGGGATTTTGGGGAGGTCTGAGTGGATTTTGGGGGGTCCTGGGAGAGTTTTGGGGGTCCTGAATGGGGTTGGGGGGGGGTTTTGGGGGTCCTGGGGGGCAGCTTGGGGGGGTTTGGGGTGTCCTGGGGGGGTTTGGGAGGGTTTTGGGGGGTCCTGGAGGGATTTTGGGGGGTCCTGGGGGGGTTTGGGGGGTCCTGGTGGGGATTTAGAGGGGTTTTGGGGAGGTCTGAGTGGATTTTAGGGGGTCCTGGGGGGGATTGGGGGGTCCTGGAGGGGATTTGGGGTGAGTTTTGGGGGGATTTGGGGAGATTTTGGGGGTCCTGGTGGGGATTTGGGGGGTCTTGGAGGGGATTTGGGGGGTCTTGGAGGGGATTTGGGGGGTCCTGGGGGGATTTGGGGGGTCCTGGGGGGGTTTTGGGGGGTCCTGGGGGGAGTTTTGGGGGGTCTTGGAGGGGATTTGAGTGTCCTGGGGGGTGTCCTGGGGGGAGTTTTGGGGGGTCCTGGAGGGATTTGGGGAGTCCTGGGGGAATTTAGGGGGGTTTTGGGGAGGTTTAGGGGGTCCTGGGGGGATTTTGTGGGTCCTGGAGGGGATTTGGGGAGTCCTGGGGGAATTTAGGGGGGTTTTGGGGAGGTCTGAGTGGATTTTGGGGGTCCTGGGGGGATTTGGGGGGTCCTGGGGGAGTTTTGGGGGGAGGTTTGGGGGTCCTGGAGGGGATTTGGGGGGTCCTGAGGGGGTTTGGGGGGTCCTGGGGGCTGTTTGGGGGGTCCGGGGGGGGATTTGGGGGGTTTGGGGGGTCCTGGATGGATTTTGGGGCGTCTTGGGGGGGATTTGGGGGGTCCTGGGGGGTGATTTGAATGTCCTGGGGGGGGTTCTGGAGGGGATTTGGGGGGTCCTGGGGAGAGTTTTGGGGGGTCCTGGGGGGGGTTTGCGGGGTCCTGGGGGGAGTTTTGGGGGGGTTTTGGGAGGTCTGAGTGGATTTTGGGGGAGTTTTGGGGGTCCTGAGTGGGGACTGGGGGGTCCTCGGAGGGGTTTTGGGAGGGTTTTGGGGGATCATGGGGGAGTTTTGGGGGGTCCTGGAGGGGATTTGGGGGGTCCTGGAAGGGGTTCGGGGGGTCCTGTGGGGATTTTAGGGGGTCCTGGGGGGGTTTTGGGGGGTCCTGGGGGGGATTTGAGTGTCCTGGGGGGATCCTGGGGGAGTTTTGGGGGGTCCTGGGGGGATTTTGGGGAGTCCTGGGGGGAGTTATGGGGGGTCCTGGGGAAGTTTTGGGGGGTCCTTTGGGGGGTCCTGGTGGTGGTTTGGGGTCCTGGAGGGGTTTTGTGGGGGTTCTTGGGGGAGTTTTTGGGGGGTTTTGGGGTTTCTTACGGGGTTTTTTTGGGGGGGGTTATTTTGGGGGTTTTGGTGTTTTTTTGTGGGGTTTTTTTTGTGTTTTTTGGGGTGTTTTTGGTGGTTTTGGGGGCTCCAGGGGGAATTTTTGGGGGGTTTTGGGGTTTCTTATGGCTCTTTTTGGGGGGTGGGTTTATTGAAGGGGTTTTGGTGTTTTTTTGTGGCGTTTTTGGTGTTTTTTGGGGTGGTTTTGGTGTTTTTGGGGTCCCTGACCCCCCTGTCCCCCCCAGGCCGTGGAGTCGCTGCAGACCCTCGACCCGGGGGGGGTGGGGGAGGGGCTGCCCCCCCTCGCCCAGAGCTTTTTGGGGGGTCCCGGACCCCAAATCCAGCGGGGGCTGCGCCTGCGGGGCTGGCCCTGCCCAGCTACGTCAGTTTGGGGGGTCCTGGGGGGTTTGGGGGGTCCTGGGGCAGTTTTGGGGGGTCCTGGAAGGGCTTTGGGGGTCCTGGGGGGATTTTGGGGGTCCTGGGGGGTTTGAGGGGTTCTGGGGGGATTTAGGGGGTCCTGAGTGGGGTTTGGGGTGTCCTGGGGGGGTTTGGGGGCTCCTGGAACGGGTTTGGGGGGGATTTGGGGGGTCCTGGGGGAGTTTGGGGGTCCTGGGGGGATTTTGGGGGGTCCTGGGGGGTTTTGGGGGATCTTGGGGGCATTTTGGGGGGTCCTGGGGGTTTTGGGGGGAAATTGGGGGGTCCTGGGGGGGTTTGGGGGGTCCTGAGTGGGGTTTGGGTGTTTTTTGGGGGTCCTGGGGGGTTTTGGGGGTCATGGGGGGGATTTGGGGGGTCCTGGGGGTTTGGGGGGGATTTGGGGGGTCCTGAGTGGGGTTTGGGTGTTTTTTTGGGGGTCCTGGGGGTTTTGGGGGGTCCTGGGGGATTTTGGAGGTCCTGGGGAGGTTTGGGGGGGATTAGGAGGGTCCTGGGGGGTTTTGTGGGGTCCTGGGGGGGTTTGGGTGTTTTTTGGGGGTCCTGGGGGGGTTTGGGGGATCCTAGAGGGGTTTTGAGGGGTCCTGGAAGGGGTTTGGGGGGTCCTGAGGGAATTTAGGGAGTCCTGAGGGGGATTTGGGGGATCCTGGGAGGAGCTTTGGGGGGTCCTGGGGGGGATTTGGGGGTCCTGGTGGGGTTTAAGGGGGATTTGGGGTGTCGTGAGGGGTATTTGGGGGGTCCTGGGGAGTTTGGGGGTCCTGGAAGGGGTTTGGGGGTCCTGGGAGGGTTTGGGAGGTTCTGGGGGGATTTAGGGGGCTCCTGAGTGGGGTTTAGGGGGTGCTGAGGGGTATTTGGGGGGTCCTGGAAGGGGTTTGGGGGGTCCTGAGTGGGGTTTGGGGGGTGCTGAGTGGGGTTCGGTGGGTCCTGGGGCAGTTTTGGGGGGTCCTGGAAGGGGTTTGGGGGGGTCCTGAGTGGGTTTGGGGGGTCCTGGGGGGATTTAAGGGGGATTTTGGGTGTCCTGGAGGGGTTTTGGGGGGTCCTGGGGGGGATTTGGGGGAACTTTGGGGGGTCCAGGGGGGGTTTGGGGTGGATTTGGGGGGTCCTGGGGGGGATTTAAGTGGATTTTGGGGGTCTGGGGAGATTTGGGGGGTCCTGGGGAGGATTTTGGGGGGTCCTGGGGGGTTTTGGGGGGTCCTGGGAGGGGTTTGGGGGGTCCTGAAGGGGATTTGGGGTGTCCTGGTGGGATTTGGGGGGTCCTGGGGGGATTTGGGGGGTCCTGGGGGGATTTTGGGTGTCCTGGGTGGAATTTGGGGGGTCCTGGAAGGAATTTGGGTGGTCTCGGGTGGATTTTTGGGGGTGCTCGGGGGATTTTCTGGGAGTTTTGGGAATTTTTTGGGGGTTTTGGCAGTTTTGGGGTGTCCGGGGTGAATTTTGGGGTCCCAAATTTTGTTTTCTTCCCCCCCCAGCTGAGCGAACTGTGGGAGGAGCAGCTGCACTTGGGGGCGCGGGGACCCCTCCCCAGCACGGGCAGCTACTACCTGATGGTGAGCCCCCCGAAATTGGGGACCCCCCAAAAAACACACCCTAAAATGTGCAAAAATCCCCCAAAAAAACACCCCAAAATCTGCAAAACCCCCCCAAAAAAACACCCCCTAAAAATCCCAAAATCTGAAACCCCCCCCCCCAACAAACACACACAAAATGTACAAAAATCCCCCCAAAAAACACACACAAAATGTACAAAAATCCCCCCAAAAAACCCACACTAAATGTGCAAAAATCCCCCCAAAAACCACACACAAAATGTACAAAATCCCCCCAAAAAACACACACAAAATCTGCAAAACCCCCCCAAAAAAACACCCCCCTAAAAACCCCAAAATCTGCAAAACCCCCCCAAAAAATCCACCCCTAAAAACCCCAAAATCTGCACAACCACCCCCCAAAAAAACACCCCAAAATCTGCAAAACCCCCCCCAAAAAACCCCTAAAAACCCCAAAATCTGCAAAACCCCCCCAAAAAAACGCCCCCCTAAAACCCCAAAATCTGCAAAACCCCCCCAAAAAACACCCAAAATCTGCAAAACCCCCCCAAAAAAACACCCCTAAAATGTACAAAAATCCCCCCAAAAAACACACACAAAATGTACAAAAATCCCCCCAAAAAACACCCCCAAAAAAAACCCCCAAAATCTGCAAAACCCCCCCAAAAAAACCCAAAATCTGCAAAACTCCCCACAAAAAACACACACAAAATGTACAAAAATCCCCCAAAAAACACACACAAAATGTACAAAAATCCCCCCAAAAAACACACACAAAATCTGCAAAAAAACCCCAAAAAACACACACAAAATGTACAAAAATCCCCCCAAAAAACACCCCCAAAATCTGCAAAAACCTCCCAAAAAATCCCCCAAAATCTGCAAAAACCGCCCCAAAAAAACACCCCCAAAATCTGCAAACCCCCCCAAAAAAAACACCCCAAAATCTGCAAAAACCCCCCAAAAAAAACACCCTTAAAATGTACAAAAATCGCCCCAAAAAAACACCCCAAAATCTGCAAAACCCGTCCAAAAAAACACCCCCCTAAAAACCCCAAAATCTGCAAACCCCCCCTAAAAAAACCCAAAAAAAAGCACCCCAAAATCTGCAAAACCCCCCCAAAAAAACACCCCAAAATCTGCAAAACCCCCCAAAAAAACACCCCCAAAATCTGCAAAACTCCCACAAAAAAACACCCCCAAAATCTGCAAAAAAACCCCAAAAAAACACCCCAAAATCTGCAACCCCCCCCAAAAAAAACCCCAAAATCTGCAAAACCCCCCCAAAAAAACACCCAAAAATCTGCAAAACACTCCTCAAAAAACACCCCCAAAATCTGCAAAAACCGCCCCAAAAAAACCCCCAAAATCTGCAAAACCCCCCCAAAAACCCCAAAATCTGAAAACTGCACCCCAAAAAAAACCCCCCAAAATCTGCAAAACCCCCCCAAAAAACACCCCAAAATCTGCAAAACCCCCCCAAAAAAACACCCCCTAAAAACCCCAAAATCTGCAAACTGCACCCCAAAAAAACACCCCAAAATCTGCAAAAACCTCCCAAAAAAACCCAAAATCTGCAAAACCCCCCCAAAAAAACCACCCCTAAAAACCCCAAAATCTGCAAACCCCCCCCCCAAAAAACCCCATTTTTAGCATTTTTGGGGGTTTTTGCCCCCCAAAATTCAGATTTTGAGGGGTGGGTGAGGGTCTGACCCCCCCAAATTTTGGGGTTCTGATTTTGGGGTTCCCCCAAATTTTGGGGTTCTGATTTTGGGGTGCCCCCAGGACCTCCTGGGGTTCCTTTCCCATCACTTTTATTGGGTTTCCCCCCCATTTTTAGGATTTTTGCCCCCCAAAATTCGGGTTTTTGGGGGTTCTGAGGGTCTGACCCCCCAAATTTTGGGGTTCTGATTTTGGGGTACCTCCAAATTTGGGGTTCTGATTTTGGGGTGCCCCCAAAAATTTTGGGGTCCCTTCCCCTCCATTTTTTAGTGGGTTTCCCCCCCATTTTTAGGATTTTTGGGGGTTTTTGCCCCCCAAAATTCGGGTTTTGGGGGTTCTGAGGGTCTGACCCCCCAAATTTGGGGTTCTGATTTTGGGGTGCCCCCAAATTTTTTGGTTCTGATTTTGGGGTGCCCCCAGGACCTTTTGGGGTTCCATTCCCATCACTTTTAGCGGGTTTCTGACCCATTTTTAGGATTTTTGCCCCCCAAAATTCGGGTTTTTGTGGGTTCTGAGGGTCTGACCCCCCAAATTTTGAGGTTCTGATTTTGGGGTGTCCCCAAATTTTGGGGTTCTGATTTTGGGGTGCCCCAGGACCTTTTGGGGCCGCCCCCCACGCGGGTCAGGGCCGCTCGTGCCGCCAACGTCGCCGTCGCCTTCCTGCGCTTCCGCCGCCTCGTCCGGGACGGGACCCTGCCCCCGGTGAGCCCAAAATAGCCAAATTTGGGGCAAAAAGGGGAATTTGGGGTTAAAAAGGGAAATTTTGGGGTTTAAAAGGGGAAATTTTGGGGCTTAAAGAGGAAATTTTGGTGTTTAAAGGAGGAAATTTGGGGTTTAAATGAGCAAATTTCGGGGTTAAAATGGAAATTTTGGGGTCTAGGAGAATTTTGGGGTTAAAATGGAAATTTTGGGGTTTGAAGGGGAAATTTTGGGGTTTAAAGGGGAAACTTTGGGGTTTAAAGGGGAAATTTAGAGTTTAAAAGGGAATTTTGGGGTTTAAAGCGGAAATTTTGGGGTTTGAAGGGGAAATTTTGTGTTTTAAAGGGGAAATTTGGGGTTAAAAGGGGAAATTTGGGGTTAAAAGGGGAAATTTTGGGGTTTAAAGGGAAAATTTTGGGGTTAAAAGGGGGAAATTATGGGTTTAAAGGGGGAATTTGGGGTTAAAAATGGAAATTTTGGGGTTTAAAGGGGGAAATTTGGGGTTAAAAATGGAAATTTTGGGGTTTGAAGGGGGAATTTTGGGGTTTTGGAGGAATTTTTGGGGTGCTTTTGGGGCTGATTTTTGGGGTGACTTTGGGGTGTTTTTAGGCTGATTTTTGGGGTGATTTTGGGGTGTTTTGGGGTCCCCAGGTGCTGTTCTGGGGGTGATTTTGGGCTGATTTTTGGGCAGATTTTGGGGTGTTTTTAGGCTAATTTTTGGGGTGTTTTTAGGCTGATTTTTGGGGTGATTCTGGGTGTTTTTAGGCTGATTTTTGGGCTGACTTTGGGGTGTTTTTAGGCTGATTTTTGGGCTGATTTTGGGGTGTTTTTAGGCTGATTTTTGGGCTGATTTTGGGGTGTTTTTAGGGTGATTTTTGGGCTGACTTTGGGGTGTTTTTAGGGTGATTTTTGGGCTGATTCTGGGTGTTTTTAGGCTAATTTTTGGGGTGACTTTGGGTGATTTTAGGCTGATTTTTGGGGTGATTCTGGGTGTTTTCAGGGTGAATTTTAGGCTGATTTTTGGGGTGATTCTGGGTATTTTGGTGTCCCCCAGGTGCTCTTCCGGGGGTGATTTTTGGGGTGACTTTGGGGTGTTTCCAGGCTGATTTTTGGGGTGATTTTTGGGGTGATTTTGGGTATTTTGGGGTCCCCAGGTGCTGTTCCGGGGGTCCCTCCCCACCTGCTCGGCGCAGTACGAGCGGCTCTTCGACACCACGCGGCTCCCGGGGGAGCATCGGGGTACGGCCCCCCAAAAACCCCCAAATCCTCCCCAAAATCCCACCCCGGACCCCCAAAACTGCCCCAAATCCAACAGGGCCCCCAAAATCCCTCTGGGGACCCCCCAAACCCCCCAAATTCCACCTGGGACCCCCAAATTTCACCCAATTCCCTCTTGGGACCCCCCAAAACTCCCTCTGGACCCCCTAAATTCCACCTGGGACCCCCAAAACTCCCCCAAATCCAACAGGGCCCCCAAAATCCCTCTGGGGACCCCCAAATCCCCCCAAATTTCACCTGGGACCCCCAAATTTCCCCCAGGTCCCCCCCTGAGACCCCCAAACCCCCCCTGGACCCCCCAAATTTCACCTGGGACCCCCAAATTTCCCCCAAATCCCTCTCTGGGACCCCCCAAAACTCCCTCTGGACACCCCAAATTCCACTTGGGACCCCCAAATTTCACCCAATTTCCCCCCCTGGACCCCCCAAATTCCATCTGGGACCCCCAAATTTCACCCAATTCCCTCTCTGGACACCCCAAACCCCCCCAAAACCCCCCAAATTCCACCTGGGACCCCCAAATTTCCCCCAATTCCCCCCCTGAGACCCCCAAACCCCCTCTGGACACCCCAAATTCCACCTGGGACCCCCAAATTTCTCCCAATTCCCTCTTGGGACCCCCCAAAACTCCCTCTGGACCCCCCAAATTCCACCTGGGACCCCCAAAATTTCACCCAATTCCCTCTCTGGGACCCCAAAATTCCACCTGGGACCCCAAAATTCTACGTGGGACCCCCAAATTTCACCCAATTCCCTCCCTGAGACCCCCAAAACCCCCCTGGACCCCCTAAATTCCACCTGGGACCCCCAAATTTCCCCCAAATCCCTCTTGGGACCCCCAAAACCCCATTAGACCCCCCCCACATGCCCCCAAATTCCACCTGGGACCCCCAAATTTCCCCCAATTCCCCCACTGAGACCCCTCAAACCCCCCCTGGACACCCCCAGATTCCACCTGGGACCCCCAAATTTCCCCAATTCCCCCCCTGAGACCCCCAAACCCCCCCTGGACCCCCCAAATCCCTTTTGGGACCCCCAAATTTCCCCCAAATCCCTCCTGGGACCCCCCAAAACCCCATTGGACCTCCCAAATGCCCCCAAATTCCACCTGGGACCCCCAAATTTCCCCCAAATCCCTCCTGGGATCCCCCAAAACCCCATTGGACCCCCCCAAAATCCCTTTTGGGACCCCCAAATTTCCCCCAATTCCCTCCTGAGACCCCCAAACCCCCCCTGGACACCCCAAAACCCCCAAATCCTTTTTAGGACCCCCCAAAAACTCCCTCTGGGATTTGAGGGGGGGTCCCCCTGACATGCCCCTCCCCCCCCAGACCACCTGAGGCATTTTGGGGGGGGGTCTGACCTGGCGGTGCTTTTTGGGGGGCGCCTGTTCCGGGTGCCCCTCCGGGCGGGGGGGGGGCGGCCCCTGAGCCCCCCCGAGCTCCAGAGGCAGTTCCAGAAAGTTCTGGAGCAGGAGGGGGAGGCGGGACCCCCCCCCGAGACCCCCGCGGTGCTGACGGCCGGGGACAGGTGAGGGGGTTTGGGGCGTTTTGGGGCGTTTTGGGGATTTTGGGGGATTTTGGGGTATTTTTGGGTGGTTTTAGGGAGATTTGGGGGAATTTTGGGGGAGACTTGGGATTTTTGGGGGAGATTTGGGGGATTTTGGGGGCATTTGGGTAATTTTGGGGCTATTTTTGGGTGGTTTTGGGGAGATTTGGGGGGCATTTGGGGGATTTTGAGTAATTTTGGGGGTATTTGGGGGATTATGGGGGTATTTTGGGGTGGTTTTGGGGAGATTTGGGGGATTTTGGGGGCATTTGGGGGATTTTGGGGGTATTTTTGGGTGGTTTTGGGGAGATTTGGGGGATTTTGGGGAGATTTGGGGGATTTTGGGTGGTTTTGGGGAGATTTGGGGGAATTTTGGGGGCATTTGGGGGATTATGGGGGGATTTTGGGTGGTTTTAGGGAGATTTGGGGAATTTTGGGGGTATTTTTGGGTGGTTTTGGGGAGATTTGGGGGATTTTGGCGGAGGTTTGTGACATTTTAGGGGGATTTTGGGGGGGATTTGGGGGATTTTGGGGGGATTTTTGGGGAATTTTGGGAGAGACTTGGGATTTTTGGGGGAGATTTGGGGGATTTTGGGGGTATTTTTGGGTGGTTTTGGGGAGATTTGGGGGATTTTGGCGGAGGTTTGTGACATTTTAGGGGGATTTTGCGGGGGATTTGGGGCATTTTGGGGAGATTTTGGGGGGATTTTTGGGGAATTTTGTGGTAGACTTGGGATTTTTGGGGGAGATTTGGGGGATTTTGGGGGAGATTCGGGGCATTTTAGGGGGATTTTGGGATTTGGGGGATTTTGGGGAAGACTTGGGGGGTTTTGGGGGAAATTGGGGGCCTTTTGGGGTGCTTTTGGGGTATTTGGGGATTTTTTGGGGTATTTAGGGGTGTTATGGGGGTGCTTGGGGGTATTTGGAAGTATTGGGTTATTTTGGGGTGGTTTTGGGATGTTTTTGGGGTATTTTGGGGTCCCTGATGAGGTTTTGGGGTCCCCAGGTGCCGCTGGATGTGGGCGCTGCTGCTGGCGGGGGGAAGTTGGGGTATTTTGGGTATTTTAGGTGGTTATGGGGTGGTTTTGGGGTATTTTGGGGTATTTTGGGGTGTTTTTGGGGTATTTTGGGGTGTTTTGGGGTATTTTGGGGTGTTTTTGGGGTATTTTGGTGTGTTTTGGGGTGATTTTGGGGGTATTTTGGGGTGTTTTTGGGATATTTTGGGGTATTTTTATCCCCAGGTGCCGCTGGGCGCGGGCGCGGGCGCTGCTGTTGGCGGGGGGGGGGTCCCAACGTGGCGGCCTTGGGGGTCCTCGAGGACGCCCCGTTCGTCATCGCCTTCGACCCCTCCCCCAACGGGGACCCCCCCAAAAACGGGGATCCCCCCAAAAATGGGGAACCCCCCCCCCGAGGAGCGAGACCCCCCCCGGGATGGGGACCTGGACAACGAGGCCAAGGCGCTGCTGCTGGGACCCCCCCACAACCGGTCAGAGACCCCCAAAATCCCCTCAAAAACCCCAAAATCCCCTCAAAAACCCCAAAAACCCCTCAGAACCCCCCCAAAATCCCCTCAGAACCCCCCCACATCCCCTCAAAATCCCCCTGGGAACACCTAAACCCCCCCACAACTGGTCTGAGACCCCCAAAATCCCCTCAAAAAGCCCCAAAATCCCCTCAAACCCCCCCAAAATCCCCTCAAAACCTCCAAAAATCCCCCCAAAATCCACCCAAAACCTCCCAAAATCCCCCTGGGAACACCTAAACCCCCCTCACAATCAGTCACAGACCCCCAAAATCCCCTCAAAAAGCCCAAAATCCCCTCAGAACCCCCCAAAATTCCCCTGGGAACACCTAAACACCCTCAAAATCAGTCACTGACCCCCAAAATCCCCTCAGAACGCCCCCAAAATCCCCTCAAAACCTCCCACATCCCCTCAAACCTTCCCAAAATCCCCTCAAAACCTCCAAAAATCCCCCCAAAATCCACCCAAAACATCCCAGATTCTGTCTGGGAACTCCTAAACCCCATCACAACTGGTCAGACACCCCCAAAGTGCCCCCAAATCCCCCTAAAATTGTGCCAAATTCCCCTTAAAACTCCCCAAAATCCCCCTGGTGACCCCAAATCCCCCACAACCAGTCAGAGACCGCCCAAAATCTCCCCAAACTCCCCCTGGACTCCCCCATCCTCCCCCCCAAATCTCCCAAATTACAGCCCAGGACCCCCAGCAGGGATTTGGGGGGGTCCCTCGAGGATGGTTTTGGGGGTCCCAGGGGGAGTTGGGGGGTCCAGGGTGAATTTTGGGGTGTTTGGGGTGAATTTTGGGCCCCCCAGGTGCTTCTTGGAGCTGCTTTGGGGCCATTTCAGGAGTTTTGGGAGGGGTTTTGGGGAGTCTGGAATATTTTGGGTGCTGGGGTATATTTTGGGGGGTCCCAGGGTGGGATTTTGGGGAGTTTTGGACCCTCCATGTCCCCCCCAGGTGGTTTGACAAGTCGCTGACGTTGGTCGTGTTCCCCTCGGGGCGCGTCGGGCTCAACGTGGAGCACTCGTGGGGAGACCCCCCCGTGGCCTGGCACCTCTGGGAGGTACCCCAAAAATACCCCAAATTCCCCCAAAAATACCCCAAATTCCCCCAAAAATACCCCTCTAAAATACCACAAAAATTCCCCAAATCTCCCCAAAAATACTGCAAAAAATCCCTCAAAAATCACTCCAAAATCCAGGATGCCCCCCATGGCCAGGCACCTCTGGGAGGTACCCCAAAAATACCCCAAATTCCCCCAAAAATGCCTCTCTAAAATACCCCAAAAATTCCCCAAATCTCCCCAAAAATACCGCAAAAAAATCCCTCAAAAATCACTCCAAAATCCAGGATGCCCCCCATGGCCAGGCACCTCTGGGAGGTACCCCAAAAATACCCCAAATTCCCCCAAAAACACCCCTCTACAATACCCCAAAAACTCCCCAAATCTCCCCAAAAATACCGCAAAAGATCCCTCAAAAATCACTCCGAAATCCAGGATGCCCCCCATGGCCAGGCACCTCTGGGAGGTACCCCAAAAATACCCCAAATTCCCCCAAAAATACCGCAAAAACTCCCCCCCAAATCCACTCAAAAATCACTCCAAAATCCAGGACTCCACCCTGGGGCCAGGCACCTCTGAAAGTTAGCCCAAAAATACCTCGAATCACCCCAAAAACACCCCTAAAATACTCCACTAAAACACCCCAAAAATCCCCCCAAATCCCCCCAAAAATATGTAAAAAATACTTCCCAAATGCACTCAAAAATCATCCCAAAATCCTGGACCCCATCCTGGGGCCGAGCACCTCCGGGAGGTACCCCAAAAATACCGCAAATCCACCCAAAAACACGTCAAAAATACCCCTCATATACCACTATAAAACCCCCCAAAAATCCCCCCAAATCTCCCAAAAAATACTGCAAAAATTCCCCCCCAAATCCACTCAGAAATCATCCCAAAATCCAGAACTCCTCTGTGGCCAGGCACCTCTGGGAAGTACCCCAAAAATACCTCAAAATCAACCCAAAAAAACCCCCAAAAAATCTCCCCAAATTCCTCCAAAAATCTTCCCAAAAACACTCTCAAAATTTCTCCAAAAATCCCATCAAATTCCTCCCAAAATCACCCCAAAAATCCCCGAAAATCCCCCAAAAATGACGCCAAAAATCCCTCCAAAAGTCCACCCAAAAATGGCTCCTGAAATGGCCCCAAAATCACCCAAAAGTGTGAGGGGGGGAAAAAAGGGCAGGAAACGTGAGGGAGAAAAAGGCGGGAAACGTGAGGGGGGAAAAAAGGGCGGGAAAACGTGAGGGGGAAGAAAAAGGAAAACGTGAGGGGGGAGAAAAGGGCGGGAAAACGTGAGGGGGGAAAAAAGGGCGGGAAAACGTGAGGGGGGAAAAAAGGGCGGGAAAACGTGAGGGGGGAGAAAAAGGCGGGAAACGTGAGGGGGGAGAAAAGGGCGGGAAAACGTGAGGGGGGAAAAAAGGGCGGGAAAACGTGAGGGGGTAAGAAAGGGCGGGAAAACGTGAGGGGGAAGAAAAAGGAAAACGTGAGGGGGGAGAAAAGGGCGGGAAAACGTGAGGGGGGAAAAAAGGGCGGGAAAACGTGAGGGGGTAAGAAAGGGCGGGAATACGTGAGGGGGGAAAAAAGGGCAGGAAAACATGAGGGGGAAGAAAAAGGAAAACGTGAGGGGGGAAAAAAGGGAGGGAAACGTGAGGGGGAAAAAAGGGCGGGAAAATGTGAGGGGGGAAAAAAGGGCGGGAAAACGTGAGGGGGGAAAAAAGGCGGGAAAACGTGAGGGGGAAGAAAAAGGAAAACGTGAGGGGGGAAAAAAGGGCGGGAAAACGTGAGGGGGGAAAAAAGGGCGGGAAAACGTGAGGGGGAAGAAAAAGAAAAACGTGAGGGGGAAAAAAGGGCAGGAAAACGTGAGGGGGGAAAAAAGGGCGGGAAAACGTGAGGGGGGAAAAAGGGCGGGAAAACGTGAGGGGGGAAAAAAGGGCGGGAAAATGTGAAGGGGGAAAAAGGGCGGGAAAACGTGAGGGGGGGAAAAAGGGCGGGAAAACGTGAGGGGGAAGAAAAAGGAAAACGTGAGGGGGGAGAAAAAAGGGCGGGAAAATGTGAGGGGGAAGAAAAAGGAAAACGTGAGGGGGGGGAAAAAAGGGCGGGAAAACGTGAGGGGGGAAAAAAGGGCAGGAAAATGTGAGGGGGGAAAAAAGGGCGGGAAAACGTGAGGGGGAAAAAAGGGCAGAAAACGTGAGGGGGGAAAAAACGGCGGGAAAACGTGAGGGGGGGAAAAAAGGGCGGGAAACATGAGGGGGGAAAAAATGGGCGGGAAAACGTGAGGGGGGAAAAAAGGGCGGGAAAACGTGAGGGGGAAAAAAGGGCGGGAAAACGTGAGGGGAGAAAAAGGCGGGAAACGTGAGGGGGAAAAAAGGGCGGGAAAACGTGAGGGGGAAGAAAAAGGAAAACGTGAGGGGGAAAAAAGGGCGGGAAAACGTGAGGGGGGAAAAAGGCGGGAAACGTGAGGGGGAAGAAAGGGCGGGAAAACGTGAGGGGGGAAAAAAGGGCAGGAAAACGTGAGGGGGGAAAAAGGGCGGGAAAACGTGAGGTGGGGAAAAAGGGCGGGAAACGTGAGGGGGAAAAAAGGGCGGGAAAACGTGAGGGGGGAAAAAAGGGCGGGAAAACGTGAGGGGGAAAAAAAGGGCGGGAAAACGTGAGGGCGGAAAAAAGGGCGGGAAACGTGAGGGGAAAATGAGGAGGGAAATTTTGGGAGGGGTAAATTGGGGAGGGTCCCCAATTTTAGGACCCCCTCCCCTAATTTTTGCCCCCTCAGTTCGCGCTGGCCCTGGACCGGTCCCTGGGCTACGACGAGAGTGGGAATTGTCCCGGGGACGGGCAGGGCAGGGACCCCGAGCCCCCCATGGAGCTGCACTGGGAGCTGCCCCCGCAGGTACTGGGAGCACTGGGAGGGGTCTGGGGGGTGTTTTGGGGTATTTTTGGGATATTTTTTTGATATCTGGGGGCAGATTTTAGGGGTGTTGTGAAGTCCGGGGGTTCAGAGCTGTTTGAAGATATTTCAGGGTATTTTTGGGATATTTTCGGGCAGGTTTTAGGGGTGTTGCGAAGCCTGGGGGTTCAGAGCTGTTTGAGGATATTTCGGGGTATTTTTGGGATATTTTCGGGGAGGTTTCAGGGATGCTGTCTCAGCCTTGGGTGTTCAGATCTGTTTGAGGATATTTTGGGATATTTCAGGAATATTTTCGGGGAGGTTTCAGGGATGCTGTCTCCGCCCTGGGTGTTCAGAGGGGTTTGAGGATATTTTGGGATATTTCAGGAATATTTTCGGGGAGGTTTCAGGGATGCTGTCTCAGCCCTGGGTGCTCAGATCTGTTTGAGGATATTTTGGGGTATTTTTGGGATATTTTCGGGGAGGTTTCAGGGATGCTGTCTCAGCCCTGGGTGTTCAGATCTGTTTGAGGATATTTTGGTGTATTTCAGGAATATTTTCGGGGAGGTTTCAGGGATGCTGTCTCAGCCCTGGGTGCTCAGATCTGTTTGAGGATATTTTGGGGTATTTTTGGGATATTTTCGGGGAGGTTTCAGGGATGCTGTCTCAGCCCTGGGTGTTCAGATCTTTTTGAGGATATTTTGGGGTATTTCAGGAATATTTTCGGGCAGGTTTCAGGGGTGCTGCCCCAGCCCTCGGGGTTCAGAGCTGTTTGAGGATATTTTGGTGTATTTCAGGAATATTTTCGGGCAGGTTTCAGGGATGCTGTCTCAGCCCTGGGTGTTCAGATCTGTTTGAGGATATTTTGAGGTATTTTTGGCATATTTTTGGGCAGGTTTTAGGGATGTTGCAAAATCCGGGGGTTCAGATCTGTTTGAGGATATTTCGGGGTATTTTTGGGATATTTTCGGGGAGGATTCAGGGATGCTGTCTCAGCCCTGGGGGTTCAGATCTGTTTGAGGATATTTTGGGGTATTTCAGGAATATTTTCGGGGAGGTTCCTGGGTGTTCAGAGGGGTTTGAGGATATTTTGGGGTATTTCAGGAATATTTTCGGGCAGGTTTCGGGGGTGCTGCCCCAGGCCCGGGAGCAGTTCCAGGCCATGGCTGAGGGGCTCCAGCTCCACGTGGTGTCGGTCGAGGAACCCCTGGGACCCTCCGGGACCCCCGAGAGCCCCCAGGAGCTGCTGCCGCTGGCGCTGGAGCTGGCGCTGGTCAGGGTGAGACTCTGAGACCCCCAAAATTCACACCAGGAGCCCCCAAACTCCGTCCCAAAATCCCAAAATCTCCCCAAAATCCCCTCAGGAGCATAGCCCCGCCCTGACATATGAGCCGATATCGATGTGCCTTTTCCTCAAGGGCTCCAAAACCCACCTGAGACCCCCAAAACCCACCTGAGACCCCCAAAATCCACCTGAAACCCCCAAAATCCAACTGAGACCTCCCCAAATCCAAATGAGACCCCCCCAAACTCCATCCCAGACACCCCAAAATCCCCCAGATTCCCAAAATCTCCCCAAAATCCCCTCAGGAGTGCCGCCCCACCCTCATGTACAAACTGATCCCGACGCGCCTTTTCCTTGAGGGCTCCAAAACCCACCTGAGACCCCCAAAATCCAACTGAGACCCCCCCCCAAACTCCATCCCAGACACCCCAAAATCCCCCAGATTCCCAAAATCCCCCCAAATCTCCTCAGGAGCGCGGCCCAGCCCTGACGTACGAGCCGATCCCGACGCGCCTTTTCCTCGAGGGCTCCAAAACCCACCTGAGACCCCCAAAATCCAACTGAGACCCCCAAAATCCAACTGAGACCCCCCCAAATTCTATCCCAGACACCCCAAAATCCCCCAGATTCCCAAAATCTGCCCAAAATCCCCTCAGGAGCGCGGCCCCGCCCTCGTGTACAAACTGATCCCAATGTGCCTTTTCCTCAAGGGCTCCAAAACCCACATGAGACCCCCAAAATCCAACTGAGATCCCCCCCAAATCCAACTGAAACCCCCCAAACTCCATCCCAGACACCCCAAAATTCCCCAGATTCCCAAAATCTCCCCGAAATGCCCTCAGGAGCGCGGCCCCGCCCTCATGTACAAACTGATCCTGATGTGCCTTTTCCTTGAGGGCGCCAAAACTCACCTGAGACCCCCAAAATCCAACTGAGACCCCCCAAACTCCATCCCAGACACTCCAAAATCGATCCCAGACAACCCAAAATCCCCCAGATTCCCAAAATCTCCCCAAATTCCCTCAGGAGCGCGGCCCGGCCCTGACGTACGAGCCGATCCCGACGCGCCTTTTCCTCCAGGGCTCCAAAACCCACCTGAGACCCCAAAATCCAACTAAGAGCCCCCAGATTCCATCCCAGAGACCCCAAAATCCTCCAGATTCCCAAAATCTCCCCAAAATCCCCTCAGGAGCGCTGCCCCGCCCTCATGTACAAACTGATCCCGACGCGCCTTTTCCTCAAGGGCTCCAAAACCCACCTGAGACCCCCAAAATCCAACTGAGACCCCCAAACTCCATCCCAGACACCCCAAATTCCATCCCAGAGACCCCAAAATCCCCCAGATTCCCAAAATCTGCCCCAAATCCCCTCCGGAGCGCTGCCCCGCCCTCATGTACAAACTGATCCCGATGTGCCTTTTCCTTGAGGGTGCCAAAACCCACCTGAAACCCCCAAAATCCAACTAAGAGCCCCCAAATTCCATCCCAGAGACCCCAAAATCCCCCAGATTCCCAAAATCTCCCCAAAATCCCCTCAGGAGCATAGCCCCACCATCATGTACAAACAGATCTCGATGTGCTTTTTCTTGAGGGCTCCAAAACCCACCTGAGACCCCCAAAATCCAACTGAGACCCCCAAAATCCACCTGAGACCTCCCAAACTCCATCCCAGACACCCCAAAATCGATCCCAGAGACCCCAGAATCCCCCAGATTCCTAAAATCTGCCCAAAATCCCCTCAGGAGTGCTGCCCCACCCTCATGTACAAACCGATCCCAATGTGCCTTTTCCTTGAGGGCGCCAAAACCCACCTGAGACCCCCAAAATCCAACTGAGACCCCCAAAATCCACCTGGGATCTCCCCAAATCCAACTGAGACCCCCCAAACTCCATCCCAGACACCCCAAAATCGATCCCAGACACCCCAAAATCCCCCAGATTCCCAAAATCTCCCCAAATCCCCTCAGGAGCGCGGCCCCGCCCTGACGTACAAACTGATCCCGACGCGCCTTTTCCTCAAGGGCTCCAAAACCCACCTGAGACCCCCCCCAAATCCAACTGAGACCCCCCCTAGACACCCCAAATTCCATCCCAGACACCCCAAAATCCCCCAGATTCCCAAAATCTGCCCAAAATCCCCTCAGGAGCGCGGCCCCGCCCTGACGTACGAGCCGATCCCGACGCGCCTTTTCCTCGAGGGCCGCGCCGACGGCGCCCGCGGCGTGGGGCGACCCCTGCTCGAGCTGGAACGCGCCCTCAGGGACCCCCAAACCCCCGTGAGGAACCCCGAAAATGGGGCTGGGGACCCCAAAATGGGCATGGGGAAACCAAAATGGGGATGGGGAAACCAAAATGGGGATGGGGAACCCAAAATGGGGATGGGGAAACCCAAAGTGGGGTGGGGACCCCCAAAATGAGGATGGGGAAACCAAAATGGGGATGGGGAACCCAAAATGGGGCTGGGGAAACCAAAGTGGGGATGGGGAAACCAAAATGGGGATGGGGAAACCAAAATGGGGCTCGAGACCCCAAAATGGGGATGGGGAAACCAAAATGGGGATGGAGACCCCAAATGGGGATGGGCACCCCAAAATGGGGATGGGGAAACCAAAGTGGGGATGGGGAAACCAAAATGGGGATGGGGAAACCAAAATGGGGATGGAGACCCCCAAAATGGGGATGGGCACCCCAAAATGGGGATGGAGACCCCCAAAATGGGGATGGGCACCCCAAAATGGGGATGGAGACCCCCAAAATGGGGTGATCATTTGCTCTATGGGGGGATTTTGGGGTGCTCATTTGGGGGTATTGGGGAGGATTTTGGGGCAATGATTGGGGGTCTCTGGGGGGATTTTGGGGTGCCCATTGTGGGTCTCTGGGGGGATTTTGGGGTGCCCATTGGGGGTCTCGGGGGGAATTTTGGGGCAATGATTGGGGGTCTCGGGGGGGATTTTAGGGGGATCATTGGGGGGAATTTGGGGCAATAATTGGGGGTCTCCTGGGGGATTTTGGGGTGGTCATTTGGGGTCTCAGGGAGGATTTTGGGGCAATGATTGGGGGTCTCGAGGGGGATTTTAGGGGGGGTCATTGTGGGGGTTTTGGGGCGATTATTGGGGGTCTTGGGGGGGATTTTAGGGGGGTCATTGGGGGTATTTTGGGGTGCCCATTGGGGGTCTCTGGGGGGATTTTGGGGTGATCATTGGGGGTCTCGGGGGGGATTTTAGGGGGGTCACTGGGGGCACTTTGGGGTTGATTTTGGGGCAGTGATTGGGGGTCTCTGGGGGGATTTTAGGGGGGTCATTGGGGGCATTTTGGGGTTGATTTTGGGGCGATTATTGGGGGTCTCTGGGGATATTTTAGGGGGTCTCTGGGGGCATTTTGGGGTTGATTTTGGGGCACGATTCGGGGGTCTCTGGGGGGATTTTAGGGGGTCTCAGGGTGGATTTTAGGGGATCACTGGGGTCACTTTGGGGTTGATTTTGGGGCGCAATTCGGGGGTCTCTGGGGGGATTTTAGGGGGGTCACTGGGGGGATTTTGGGGTTGATTTTGGGGCAGTGATTGGAGGTCTCTGGGGGGATTTTCGGGGGGTCATTGGGGGCATTTTGGGGTTGATTTTGGGGCGCTATTTGGGGGTCTCTGGGGGGATTTTATGGGGTCTCTTGGGGTATTTTAGGGGGATCTCTGGGGGCACTTTGGGGTTGATTTTGGGGCACTATTCGGGGGTCTCTGGGGGGATTTAAGGGGGGGTCACTGGGGGCACTTTGGGGTTGATTTTGGGGCGCTTTTCAGGGGTCTCTGGGGGGATTTTAGGGGGTCTCTGGGGAGATTTTAGGGGGGTCATTGGGAGGATTTTGGGGCGATCACTGGGGGTCTCTGGGGGGATTTTAGGGGGGTCTCTGGGGGGATTTTAGGGGGGTCTCTGGGGGCACTTTGGGGTTGATTTTGGGGCAGTGATTGGGGGTCTCTGGGGGGATTTTGGGGTGATCATTGGGGGCACTTTTGGGTTGATTTTGGGGCGCTATGCGGGGGTCTCTGGGGGTATTTTAGGGGGGTCACTGGGGACCTCTGGGGGGATTTTAGAGGGGTCATTGGGGGGATTTTGGGGTTGATTTTAGGGCGATCACTGGGGGCCTCTGGGGGGATTTTAGGGGGGTCATTGGGGGGATTTTTGGGTTGATTTTGGGGCGCTGTTTGGGGGTCTCTGGGGGGATTTTAGGGGGGTCATTGGGGGGATTTTGGGGCAATGATTGGGGGTCTCTTGGGGGATTTTGGGGTGCCCATTGGGGGGATTTTGGGGCGATTATTGGGGGTCTCGGGGGGGATTTTAGGGGGGTCATTGTGGGTATTTTGGGGTCCCCATTGGGGGTCTCTGGGGGGATTTGGGGGCAATGATTGGGGTCTCTGGGGGGATTTTAGGGGGGTCATTGGGGGGATTTTGGGGCAGTGATTGGGGGTCTTGGGGGGGATTTTAGGGGGTTATTGGGGGTATTTTTGGGTTGATTTTGGGGTGCTATTCGGGGGTCTCTGAGGGGATTTTGGGGTTGATTTTGAGGCGATTATTGGGGGTCACTGGGGGGGTTTTGGGGTTGATTTTGGGGCGCTATTCGGGTGTCTCTGGGGGGATTTTAGGGGGTCTCTGAGGGGATTTTAGGGGGGTCCCTGGGGGTATTTTAGGGCTGATTTTGGGGCGCGATTCGGGGGTCTCAGCCCCCCTGACCCCTCCCACAGCGCGGCCGCCTGGGGGCGCTGCTGGAGGCGGCGCTGGCGCAGGCGCGGGGGCGGCGCCGGGCGGCCATGACGGGGGCGGGGCTGGAGCGGCACCTGCAGGCGCTGGCGGCCGTGGCCAATCAGATGCGGCTCCGCCCACCCTTCCTCACTGAGGTGGGCGGGGCTTCGGCTGGGGGCGTGGCCTGGAGGGGTGTGGGTCACACTGAGGGGGCGGGGCTTGCATGGGAATTACCATATTCATAAGTGGGTGGGGCTTGGTTGGTAATTTACATATTGAAAAGTGGGTGGGGCTTGAGGGGGCGGGGCTTGGGCGTTAATTACCATATAGGGAACTGGGTGGGGCTTGGCTGGGAATTACCATATTAATAAGTGGGTGGGGCTTGGCTGAGTTACCATATAAGGAAGTGGGTGGGGCTTGAGGGGGGTGGGGCTTGGATGTGAATTACCATATTAATAAGTGGGTGGGGCTTGGCTAGGAATTACCATATTAATAAGTGGGTGGGGCTTGAGAGTGGGGCTTGGTTGGGAATTACCATATAGGGAAGTGGGTGGGGCTTGGATGTGAATTACCATATTAATAAGTGGGTGGGGCTTGAGGAGGTGGGGCTTGGGTGTAAATTACCATATTAATAAGTGGGTGGGGCTTGTCTGGAATTACCGAATAAGGAAGTGGGTGGGGCTTGGTTTTAAAAGGGGTGGGGCCTAAACCAGGAGGGGCGGGGCTTGATTAAAAATTGCCTTATAATGAAGTGGGTGTGGCCATGGGGGGCGTGGCCTGTCTTTATATGGTCAATGGGGTGTGGCCACCAGAGGGCGTGACCTAATGAGAGTCACGGTGATTGGCTGGCACATTGGGTGTGGCTGCAGGCTCATTTGCATGTCCCCGCCCCCCAGGTGCTGGGGCAGCCCTGGGCTCTGGCCTTTAGCCCCGCCCCCCGGCCACACCCACCGCTGCTGCCCCGCCCCCTGCGGCCCGCGGGGATGGGCTTCAACCCGGTGCGTACTGGGGGGACTGGGAGGGACTGGGAGGGACTGGGAGGGAATTGGGGGGGACTGGGAGGGATTGGGAGGGGACTGGGAGGGGAACTGGGATGGACTGGGGGTGTACTGGGATGGACTGGGAGGGACTGGGAGGGACTGGGGGGGACTGGGGGGGAACTGGGGGGACTGGGATGGACTGGGAGGAACTGGGGGGTCCCTGGTGCTGACTGGGAGGGGACTGGGGGGCACTGGGATGGACTGGGAGGGGACTGGGAGGAACTGGGGGATACTGGGATGGACTGGGAGGGACTGGGAGGGAATTGGGGGATACTGGGATGGACTGGGAGGAACTGGGAGGAACTGGGAGGAACTGGGGGTCCCTGGTGCTGACTGGGATGGACTGGGAGGACCCGGGGGGTTACTGGGATGGACTGGGATGGACTGGGAGGAACTGGGAGGAACTGGGAGGAACTGGGAGGGACTGGGAGGGAACTGGGGGATACTGGGATGGACTGGGAGGAACTGGGGGATACTGGGAGGAACTGGGGGGTCCCTGGTGCTGACTGGGATGGACTGGGATGGACTGGGAGGAACTGGGGGGTCCGTGGTGCTGACTGGGATGGACTGGGAGGAACTGGGAGGAACTGGGAGGAACTGGGGGTCCCTGGTGCTGACTGGGATGGACTGGGAGGACCCGGGGGGTTACTGGGATGGACTGGGACGGAACTGGGGGGGGAACTGGGGGGATTGGGAGGAACTAGGAGGGACTGGGAGGGCAACTGGGATGGACTGGGAGGAACTGGGATGGACTGGGAGGAACTGGGGGGTCCCTGGTGCTGACTGGGATGGACTGGGAGGAACTGGGGGATACTGGGAGTTACTGGGAGGAACTGGGGGTCCCTGGTGCTGACTGGGAGGGAACTGGGGGATACTGGGAGTTACTGGGAGGAACTGGGGGGTCCCTGGTGCTGACCGGTTCCCCCCAGCCCCACCAGGACGGTTACGGGGTTTCCTTCACGGGGGGAGGGGACGGCGGCCCCGTCCTCGTCCACATCTCCTGCAGGGAGGGGTCCCCCAAAACGGTGAGTCAGGGGGGGCCAAAAATCCCCCAAAAAAACCCCAAATCCTGCCCCAACCCCCCCAAAACCTCCCCCAAAAAACCCCCCAAAACCTCCCCCAAACAACCCCAAAAACACCCCAAAACCTCCCCCGAAAAAAACCCTTAAATCTCCCCCAAAAAACCCAAATCCTGCCCCAAAAAACCCCAAAACCTCCCCCAAACCCCCCAAAACCAGCCCAAAACCTCCCCCCAAAAAACCCAAATCCTGCCCCAAAAAAAAACCCAAAACCACCCCCAAACCCCCAAAACCTCCCCCGAAAAAACCCAAATCCTGCCCCAAAAAAACCCCAAAACCTCCCCCAAACCCCCCAAAAAACCCCAAAATCTCCCCCCACAAAAAACCCAAATCCTGCCCCAAAAAATCCCAAAACATCCCCCAAACCCGCCAAAAAACCCCAAAATCTCCCCCCACAAAAAACCCAAATCCTGCCCCAAGAAACCCCAAAACCTCTCCCAAACCCCCCAAAAAAACCCCAAAACCTCCCCCCAAAAACCCCCTCAAAACCTCCCCCCAAAAAAACCCAAATCCTGCCCCAAAAAACCCCAAAACGTCCCCCAAACCCCCCAAAAACACCCCAAAACCTCCCCCCAAAAAACCCTTAAATATCCCCCCAAAAAACCCAAATCCTGCCCCAAAAAAACCCAAATCCTGCCCCAAAAAAACCCAAAACCTCCCCCAAACCCCCAAAACCTCCCCCCAAAAAAACCCTGAAATCTCCCCCAAAAAAACCCCAAAACCTCCCCCAAACCCCCCAAAAAACCCCAAAATCTCCCCCCACAAAAAACCCAAATCCTGCCCCAAAAAATCCCAAAACCTCCCCCAAACCCCCCAAAAAAACCCCAAAACCTCCCCGCAGAAAACCAAAATCCCGCCCCAAAAAGCCCCAAAACCTCCCCCCAAAAACCCCCTAAAATCTCTGCCCAAAAAAACCCAAAACCTCCCCCAAACCCCCCAAAAAGCCCCAAAACCTCCCCCCAAAAAAACCCTAAAATCTTTGCCCAAAAAAACCCAAAAAAAGCCCAAAGCCCCCCAAAACCTCCCCCAAAAAACCCCCCAACCCTCCAAGACCCCCCCTAATCCTCATTTCCCCCTCTCCCCTCCCCCCTCTGTGATTTGGGGTCTCTTGGGGGGATTTTGGGGGTCCTGAAGGGGATTTTGGGGAAAATTTTGGGGGGTCTGGGGGGATTTGGGCATCCCAGGGTGTATTTGGGGCTCTCGGGGTGTATTTGGGGGTCCCAGGATGTATTTGGGGGTCATGGGATGGATTTTGGGGTGTATTTGGGCTGTATTTGGGCTGTATTCCGGCTCTATTTTTGGGTGTATTTTTGCTGGTTTTGGGCTGTATTTTTGGGTGTATTTTTGCTGTATTTTGGGTGTATTTTTGCTGTATTTTTGCTGTATTTTTGGGTGTATTTTTGGGTGTATTTGGGCTGTTTTCGGGGTGTATTTTTGGGTGTATTTTGGGCTGTATTTTTGCTGTATTTGGGGTGTATTTTTGCTGTATTTTGGGGTGTATTTTGGGCTGTTTTTGGGGTGTATTTTTGGGTGTATTTGGGCTGTATTTGGGCTTTATTTTTGCTGTATTCCGGCTGTATTTTGGGTGTATTTTTGGGTGTATTTTTGCTGTATTTTTGCTGTATTTTTGCCGTATTTGGGCTGTATTTGGCTGTATTTGGGCTGTATTTTGGGCTGTATTTTTGGGTGTATTTTTGCTGTATTTTGGGTGTATTTGGGCTGTTTTGGGGGTGTATTTTTGCTGTATTTTTGGGTGTATTTTTGCTGTATTTTTGCTGTATTTTTGCTGTATTTTTGCTGTATTTTGGGTGTATTTTTGGGTGTATTTGGGTGTATTTTGGCTGTATTTTTGCTATATTTTTGCTGTATTTTGGGGTGTATTTGGGCTGTTTTTGGGCTGTATTTTGGGGTGTATTTGGGCTGTATTCGGGCTGTATTTTGGGTGTATTTGGGCTGGTTTTGGGGTGTATTTGGGCTGTTTTCGGGGTGTATTTTTGGGGTGTATTTTTGCTGTATTTTTGCTGTATTTTGGGGTGTATTTTTGCTGGTTTTGGGCTGTATTTTGGGCTGTATTTTGGGTGTATTTGGGCTGTATTTTTGGCTGTATTTTTGCTGTATTTTGGGCTGTATTTTGGGTGTATTTGGGCTGTTTTTGGGCTGTATTTTTGGGTGTATTTTTGCTGTATTTTGGCTGTATTTTGGGTGTATTTGGGCTGTTTTTGGGGTGTATTTGGGCTGTATTTGGGGTGTATTTGGGCTGTATTTGGGCTGTATTTTTGGGTGTATTTTTGCTGTATTTTTGCTGTATTTTTGCTGTATTTTTGGGTGTATTTGGGCTGTATTTTTGGGTGTATTTGGGCTGTATTTTTGCTGTATTCGGGCTGTATTTTGGGGTGTATTTGGGCTGTTTTTGGGGTGTATTTGGGGTGTATTTTGGCTGTATTTTTGGGTGTATTTTTGGGTGTATTTTTGCTGTATTTTTGCTGTTTTCGGGCTGTATTTTGGGGTGTATTTTTGGGTGTATTTGGGCTGTTTTCGGGGTGTATTTTTGGGTGTATTTTGGGTGTATTTTTGCTGTATTTTGGGTGTATTTGGGCTGTTTTTGGCGTGTATTCGGGGTGTATTTTTGCTGTATTCAGGCTGTATTTTGGGTGTATTTGGGCTGTATTTGGGCTGTATTTTGGGGTGTATTTTTGGGTGTATTTGGGCTGTATTTGGGCTGTGTTGGGCTGTATTTTTTGGTGTATTTTTGCTGTATTTGGGGTGTATTTTGGGTGTATTTTTACTGTATTTGGGGTGTATTTTTGCTGTATTTTGCGGTGTATTTGTGCTGTATTTGGGCTGTATTTTGGGGTGTATTTGGGCTGTTTTTGGGTGTATTTTGGGTGTATTTGGGCTGTATTTGGGCTGTATATTGGGGTGTATTTTGGCTGTATTTGGGGTGTATTTTTTGCTGTATTTTTGGGTGTATTTTTGCTGTATTTTTGCTGTATTTTGGCTGTATTTTTGCTGTATTTGGGCTGTATTTTTGCTGTATTTTTGGGTGTATTTTGGGTGTATTTGGGCTGTTTTTGGGGTGTATTTTTTCTGTATTCGGGCTGTATTTTGGGTGTATTTTTGCTGTATCTGGGCTGTATTTTGGGGTGTATTTGAGGTGTATTTTGGGTGTATTTGGGCTGTTTTTGGGCTGTTTTCGGGGTCCCTGACCCCCCGTTTTGCCCCCCAGGACCCCCGGCTGTTCCCACAACGTTTTCGGGCCGCTCTGGCGGAGCTGCGGCAGCTGCGGGGGGGGGAGGGGCCGCCCCTCCCCCCCCAATAAACGGCTGGAACCCAACAGAGCAAACTGGGAGAACTGGGATAAACTGGGAGGGACTGGGACGGACTGGGAGGGACTGGGGGGGGACTGGGAGGGACTGGGAGGGACTGGGGGGGACTGGGAGGGGTTAAAGGGGGACTGGGAGGGACTGGGAGGGACTGGGATAAACTGGGAGGGACTGGGAGGGGACTGGGAGGGACTGGGAGGGAACTGGGAGTTACTGGAGGGGTCACTGCTGTTACTGGGAGTTACTGGGAGGGTCACTGGTGTTACTGGGAGTTACTGGGAGGGTCACTGGTGTTACTGGTGTCACTGGGAGGTTACTGGGGGGGTCACTGGTGTTACTGGGAGTCACTGGGAGGGTCACTGGTGTTACTGGGAGTCACTGGGAGGTTACTGGAGTTACTGGGAGTCACTGGGAGGTTACTGGGAGGGTCACTGGTGTTACTGGGAGTCACTGGGGGGGTCACTGGGATGTTACTGGGAGGTTACTGGGGGGGTCACTGGTGTTACTGGGAGTCACTGGGAGGTTACTGGGGGGGTCACTGGTGTTACTGGGAGGTTACTGGGAGTTACTGGGAGGTTACTGGGGGGGTCACTGGTGTTACTGGGAGTCACTGGGGGGGTCACTGGTGTTACTGGGAGTTACTGGGAGCGGTCGGCCGCCATCACCCGTCACGTGACCGGAAGCCACCACACACCACCCCGAGGTGGGCGGGGCTCCCACCGGAAGTGCCGCCTCCCCTCACGGCCAAGATGGCGGCGCGGCGCGGCGCCTCCCGAGCCCGGGCCCCGAATCGCCCCCGGGCCGCGAACCGCGACCGGCCCCGGCCCCGGGCCCGCAATCGCCACACGGCGGACGCGGAGCCCTCCGGGCGCGTGTACCTGCCCGGGGCGGGGCCGCCGCTGGGTCCCGATGAGGAGCTGGTGATGGATGAGGAGGCGTACGTGATGTATCACCGCGCTGGCACCGGTACCTGCCGGGGAGTCCTGAGGGGAACCGGGGAATCCTGAGGGGAAACCGGGGTGAGGGGAACCGGGGAATCCTGAGGGGAACCGGGGAATCCTGAGGGGAAACCGGGGGGATGAGGGGAAACCGGGTGAGGGGAACCGGGGTGAGGGGAACCGGGGAATCCTGAGGGGAACCGGGGAATCCTGAGGGGAAACCGGGGAATCCTGAGGGGAATCCGGGGAATCCTGAGGGGAAACCGGGTGAGGGGAACCGGGGAATCCTGAGGGGAAACCGGGGAATCCTGAGGGGAAACCGGGGAGTCCTGAGGGGAAAGCGGGGAATCCTGAGGGGAAAGCGGGGAATCCTGAGGGGAAACCGGGGAATCCTGAGGGGAAACCGGGGAATCCTGAGGGGAAACCGGGCTGAGGGGAACCGGGGAATCCTGAGGGGAAACCGGGAAAGATGTGGGGAGCTCAGTGGAACTGAGCTGAGGGGGCTGGAGGGGCTGAGGGGAACCGGGAGGTGCTGAAAGAGGTTTTTTGGGGGATTTTGGAGGGGTTTTTGGGGAGGTTTGAGGGAGGATTTTGGGGGGATTGAGGGAGGATATTTGGGGGAGTTTTGGAGGGGGTTTGGGGGTTTTGAGGAAGGATTTTGGGGAGGTTTGAGGGAGGATTTTGGGGGATTTTGGAGAGGTTTGAAGGAGGGGTTGGAGGGAATTTGAGAGGGGTTCTGGGCGGTTTGAGGGAGGATTTGGAGGGATTGATTTTGGAGGGGTTTTGGGGGTTTGAGGGAGTATTTGGGGGGGATTTTGGAGGGGTTTTTGGGGAGGTTTGAGGAAGGATTTTGGGGAGGTTTGAGGGCAGGTTTTGGGGGGATTTTGGAGGGGATTTGGGGAGGTTTGAGGGGATTTCGAAGAGGTTTGAGGGAGGACTTGGAGGGAATTTCAGAGGGGTTTTGGGGGTTTTGAGGGAGGATTTGGGGGGATTGTTTTTGGGGAGGTTTGAGGGAGGATTTTGGGGGAATTTTGGAGGGGTTTTGGGGGATTTGAGGAAGGATTTTGGGGGAATTTTGGAGGGGTTTTTGGGGAGGTTTGAGGGAGGATTTTGGGGCGGATTTTGGAGTGGTTTTGGGGGTTTTGAGGAAGGATTTTGGGGGGAATTTTTGAGGGGTTTTGGGGGTTTTTAGGGAGGATTTTGGGGGAATTTTGGGGAGGTTTAAGGGAGGATTTTGGGGGAATTTTGAAGGGGTTTTGGGGGGTTGAGAGAGGATTTGGGGAGATTTGAGGGCAGATTTTGGGGGGATTTTGGAGAGGTTTGAGGGAGGGCTTGGAGGGAATTTGAGAGGGGTTTTGGGTGGTTTGAGGGAGGATTTGGAGGGATTAATTTTGGAGGGGTTTTGGGGGGTTTGAGGGAGGATTTGGGGAGGTTTGAGGGCAGGTTTTGGGGGGATTTTGGAGGGGATTTGGGGAGGTTTGAGGGGATTTCGAAGAGGTTTGAGGGAGGACTTGGAGTGAATTTCAGAGGGGTTTTGGGGGGTTTGAGGAAGGATTTTGGGGGAATTTTGGAGGGGTTTTTGGAGAGGTTTGAGGGAGGATTTTGGGGGAATTTTGGACGGGTTTTTGGAGAGGTTTGAGGGAGGATTTTGGGGGGATTTTGGAGGGGTTTTTGGGAAGGTTTGAGGGAGGATTTTGGGGGGTTTGAAGGAGGAATTTTGGATGGGTTTTTGGGGGTTTTGAGGAAGGATTTTGGGGGTTTAAAGGAGGAATTTTGGGGAATTTTGGAGGGGTTTTGGGGGAGGTTTGAAGGAGGAAATTTGGAGGGGTTTTTGGGGAGGTCTGAGGGAGGATTTTGGGGGAATTTTGGGGAGGTTTGAGGGAGGATTTTGGGGGGATTTTGGAGGGGTTTTTGGGGAGGTTTGAGGGAGGATTTTGGGGGAATTTTGGGGGTTTTGAGGAAGGATTTTGGGGAGGTTTGAGGGAGGATTTTTGGGTAATTTTGGAGGGGGATTTTGGGGTAATTTTGGAGGGTTTTTGGGGGCTTTGAGGAAGGATTTGGGGGGTCTCGGAGTCTCTGAGCGCCCCCTCCCCCAGGGGCGCCGTGCCTGAGCTTTGACGTAGTGCGGGACGGGCTCGGGGAGGGGCGCGAGGAGCCGCCGCTGTCGGTGCTGCTCTGCGCCGGCACCCAGGCCGAGACCCCCAGCGCCAACCGGTGAGTGGGAGACCCCCGATTTGGGGGGTTGGGGCGGGTTTTGGGGTGTTTTTGGGGTGGTTTTTGGGTGGTTTTTGGGTGTTTTTAGTGTGGGTTTTGGGATGGTTTTGGGGTGGGTTTGGGGGTGGGTTTAGGGTTGGGTTTTGGGGTGTTTTGGAGTGGTTTTTGGGGTGTTTTTCAGGTGTTTTTGGGGTGAGTTTGGGGTGAATTTTGAAGTAGTTTTGGGGTGTTTTTGTAGTGGTTTTTGGAGTGTTTTTAGGGTGGGTTTGGGGTGGATTTTGAAGTAGTTTTGGGGTGTTTTTGTAGTGTTTTTTGGAGTGTTTATAGGGTGTTTTTGGGGTGGATTTTGGGGTGTTTTTGGGGTGGATTTTGGGGTGGGTTCTGGGTGGTTTTGGGGAAGGTTTTGGGGTGGGTTTTGAGTGGGCTTTGCGGTGGTTTTGGGGTGGTTTTGGAGTGTTTTTCTGGTGTTTTTGGGATGGTTTTTGGGTGTTTCTTGGGGTGGGTTTTGGGGTGGTTTTGGGATGGTTTTTGGGTGGTTTTAGGGTGTGTTTTGGATGTTTTTCGGGTGGGTTTTGGGGTGTTTCTGGGGTGGGTTTTGGGGTAGGTTTTGGTGTGGTTTTGGGTTGGATTTTGGGGTGTTTTTTGGAGGGGTTTGGGTTGGGTTTTGGGATGGTTTGGGGGTGTTTTTAGTGTGGGTTTTGGGATGGCTTTAGGGTGGTTTTTGGATGTTTTTCGGGTGGGTTTAGGGATGGTTTTGGGGTGTTTCTGGGCTGTTTTTGGTGTGAGGTTTGGGATGGTTTTGGGGTGTTTTTTGGAGGGGATTGGGTTGGGTTTTGGGGTGTTTTTAGGGTGTGTTTTGGGTGTTTTGGGGCTCCCCCAGGGCTGATTTGGGGTGTCCCCTCCCCGTCTCAGGGTGCTGCTGCTGCAGATGCAGAACCTGCACGGGATGAGGGGCAGGAAGGACAGTGACAGTGACAGTGACAGTGACAGCGACAGCGAGGAAGATGAGGAGGAGGAGGGGCGGGAGCCGCAGCTGCTGCTCCTCATGGCCCCCCACTACGGGGGGGTCAACAGGCTGAGGGTAAGGACCCCCCCAAAAACAGCCCCCCCAAAAAAACCCACAAAAACCCCACCTGAGAACCCCAAAAATCCACATTAAAACACCAAAAACTCATCTGGGAACCCCAAAAATCCACCCCAAAAACCCACCTGGGAACCCCAAAAATCCACACTAAAACCCAAAAACCCACCTGGGAACCCCAAAAATCCACCTGGGAACCCCAAAAAACCCTCAAAAATCAACCCTGGGAACCCCAAAAATCCACACTAAAACCCAAAAACCCACCTGGGAACCCCAAAAATCCACACTAAAACCCCAAAAACTCATCTGGGAACCCCAAAAATCCACATTAAAACACCAAAAACTCATCTGGGAACCCCAAAAATCCACCTGGGAACCCCAAAAAACCCTCAAAAATCAACCCTGGGAACCCCAAAAATCCACCCCAAAACCCCAAAAACCCACCTGGAAATCCCCCCCAAAAAAAAACAAAACCAAAAATCAACCCTGTGAACCCAAAAAACCTTCTGGAAACCCAAAAATCCACCCTGGGAACGGTAAAAAGCTTTCAAATGAACCTTAGGAACCCCCAAAACCTTCTGCGAACCTGAAAAACCCAACTCGGAACGCTAAAAAAACTCAAAAATCCATCCTGGAAAGCCCAAAAATCCATGCTGAGACCTCAAAAACCCACCTGGGACCTCCAAAAACCAACCCTGGGAACTCTGAAAACCCCTGAGATCTCCAAAATCCATCCTGGGACCCCCAAAAACACCCAAGACCTCCAAATCCACCCCCAGACCCCAAAAACCTTCTGGAATTTCCCATATAACTTTCAGGAATTCCTCTCAAAATTACAAAATCACTTCGGGAACCCCAAAAAACCCTGTGACCTCCCCCTTAAACACCCGAATATCCCTTGGGACCCTCCTCAAGTTACCCTGGAACCCCCCCAGAAAACCTTGGGATGCTCTGAGACCCCCATCTTTGCCCCCCAAACCCTCTGGGACCCCCTTAGAAACCCCTGGGACCCCCAAATTTCACCCTGAGTACCTCCCAGCACCCTCTGTGACCCCCTGGGACCCCCCAAAAAACCCTGAATCTCTCTGGGACCCTCCCAGGCCTCCCCAAATCAACATAAGACCCCCCAAAACCCCCTCAAATCCCCTCTGGGTGCCCCCAAATCCCTCCCTGAAGCTCTTTTGGGGGTCCCTGACCCCCCGTTCCCGTGTCCCCCCACAGGTGACGTCCCTCGGGGGGTCCCCGATCGCGGCCGTGTGGTCGGAGCGGGGCCAGGTGGAGGTGCTGGCCCTGGAGGGGGCCCTGAGGGTCCTGGGGATGCAATTTGGGGAGGGGGATTCGGGCAGGGGGCCCAAGAGCGTCCAGCAGGGAGCCCTGCCCGCCCTGGCCACCTTCAGCGGCCACCTGGACGAAGGCTTCGGGCTGGACTGGAGCCCCCAGAGCCCCGGTGAGCATTTGGGGGAAATTTGGGGGGTTTTGGGTCTGGGGGCTCATGGGGGTCACAGGGGGCTTGGATATCACAGAGCCCAGGTGAGGATTTAGGGGAAATCTGGGGGGGTTTGGGGTCTGGGGGTTCATGGGGGTCACAGGGGGTTTGGATATCACAGAGCCCTGGTGAGGATTTGGGGTAAATTTGGGGGGTTTGGGGTTTGGGGGCTCATGGGGGTCACATGGGGTTTGGATATCACAGAGCCCTGGTGAGGATTTGGGGGAAATTGGGGGAAATATGAGGGGAAAATGGTGGGAAGTGTGAGGGAGAAAAGGGCGGGAAAATGTGAGGGGAGAAAATGGCGGGAAACGTGAGGGGAGAAAATGGCGGGAAAATGTAAGGGGAGAAAATGGTGGGAAAATGTGAGGGGAGAAAATGGCGGGAAACGTGAGGGAGAAAAGGGCGGGAAACGAAGGGGGGAAAATGACAGGAAACCAGGAAACGTGAGGGGAGAAAAAGGGTGGGAAAATGTGAGGGGAGAAAAAGGCGGGAAACGTGAGGGGAGAAAAGATGATGGAAAGATGGAGAAGTGGCAGAAAATATGAGGGGGAGAAAGGGCAGGAGACATGAGGGGAAAAAGGCAGCAGAAACGGGGAAAAGTGGTAGAAAATGTGAGGGGAAAGAGTAGGAAACAAGAGGGAGAAAATGGCAGAACTCGAGGTGAAAAGGGTGGGAAATGTGAGAGGAGAAAATGTGGGAAATGGGAGAGGAGAAAAGTTGGGAAATGTGAGGAGAAAAGGTGGGAATTGTGAGGGGAAAATGTAGGAATTGTGAGGGGAAAATGTGGGAAATGTGAGAGGAGGAAATGTGGGAAATGTGAGGGGAAAATGTGGGAATTGTGAGGAGAAAATGCGAGGGCGCTGCTGGAGGGGTCCCGAGAGGAGTTTGGGGCGATCATTTGGGTCTCGGGCGGTCCCCCCACCCTCCATTTGCCAAATCAGGGATTTTGGGGGTCAGGCTGCACTGAACCCCCCATCCCCCCGGTACAAATTTGGGGTATAAACGTTGTGATTTTGGTGTTTTGACGTCGCCATTCCTTTTGGGCAGGCCGGCTGCTGTCGGGGGACGTGCGCGGGCGCATCCATCGCTGGGAGCCGCGCGAGGCCGGCTGGGCCGTGGACCAGCGGCCGCTGCTCGGCCACAGCGGCAGCGTGGAGGACATCCAGTGGTCCCCCTGCGAGGCCTCGGTGAGGGGGACAGGGCGGGAATTTAAATTCTTAAATGGGTAGAAACCCATTTAGATTGAGGTCAAATGTGCCACTTTGAGCTTGGTAAATTGGCTGTTTAGTTCATATGCAGCCCCAGCAAAATACCCCCAGCTAAAGGTGAGGGTTTGGGGGAAATTTGGGGGGATTGGGGTCTGGGGGCTCATGGGGGTCACAGGGGGTTTGGATATCACAGAGCCCTGGTGAGGGTTTGGGGGAAATTTGGGGGGTTTGGGGTCTGGAGGCTCATGGGGGTCACATGGGGGTCAGGATGGACTGGAGCCCCCAGAGCCCAGGTGAGGATTTGGGGTAAATTTGGGGGGTTTGGGGTCTGTAGGCTCATGGGGGTCACAAGGGGTTTGGATATCACAGAGCCCTGGTGAGGATTTGGGGGAAATTTGGGGGGTTTGGGGTCTGGGGGCTCATGGGGGTCACATGGGGGTCAGGATGGACTGGAGCCCCCAGAGCCCAGGTGAGGATTTGGGGTAAATTTGGGGGATTTGGGGTCTGGGGGCTCATGGGGGTCACAAGGGGTTTGGATATCACAGAGCCCTGGTGAGGATTTGGGGTAAATTTGGGGGATTTGGGGTCTGGGGGCTCATGGGGGTCACAGGGGGTTAGGATGGACTGGAGCCCCCAGAGCCCAGGTGAGGATTTGGGGTAAATTTGGGGGGTTTGGGGTCTGGGGGCTCATGGGGGTCACAGGGGGTTTGGATACCCCAGAGCCCCAGTGAGCATTTGGGGGAAATTTGGGGGGTTTGGGGTTTGGGGGGTCATAGAGTTCACAGGGGGTTTGGATACCCCAGAGCCCTGGTGAGGATTTGGGGTAAATTTGGGGAGTTTGGGGTCTGGAGGCTCATGGGGGTCACAGGGGGTTTGGATATTACAGAGCCCTGCTGAGGATTTGGGGTAAATTTGGGGGGTTTGGGGGGTCATAGAGGTCACAAGGGGTTTGGATACCCCAGAGCCCTGGTGAGGATTTGGGGGAAATTTGGGGGGTTTGGGGTCTGGAGATAAAAAAGACTCCTCAAGCCTTAAAACAAAGTGACCTGAGAGTTTCTTTCTAACAAAAACTGAATACAAGCATAACTAGTTTTAAGTGTAATTTAAAATCAGCAGAATGAATATGCATGAACCTATTGTGAAATTTATGCATATGGAAATTAGAGTAATAAAAAAGGATCGGGAGTTTATTCACAGCGCTGTAAATAAACACCCCCATTCCCTGCAGATCCTGGTTGGAATTTTAGGGTTTAATTTTCAGAGAAGCTCCCAACACGCAGCCACAGCGCTGCAACTAAACACCCCCATTCCCTGCAGATCCTGGCTGGAATTTTAGGGTTTAATTTTCAGAGGGCTCCCAACTAAACACCCCCATTCCCTGCAGATCCTGGCTGGAATTTTAGGGTTTAATTTTCAGAGGGCTCCCAACTAAACACCCCCATTCCCTGCAGATCCTGGCTGGAATTTTAGGGTTTAATTTTCAGAGGGGCTCCCAACATGCACCCACAGTGCTGTAAATAAACACCCCCATTCCCTGCAGATCCTGGCTGGAATTTTAGGGTTTAATTTTCAGAGGGGCTCCCAACTAAACACCCCCATTCCCTACAGACCCTGGTTGGAATTTTAGGGTTTAATTTTCAGAGGGGCTCCCAACTAAACACCCCCATTCCCTACAGACCCTGGTTGGAATTTTAGTGTTGAATTTTCAGAGGGGCTCCCAGACTCAGGTGTTTTCTCCTCCAGGTGTTCATCTCGTGCTCCTCGGACGCCTCCATCCGCGTGTGGGACGTGCGGGCGCCGCCGGCCCGCGCCTGCCAGCTCAGCGTGGCCTCGGCCCACCAGGGCGACGTCAACGTGCTCAGCTGGAGCCGGCGCGACGCGGCCGCGCTGCTCAGCGGCGGCGACGACGGCGCCCTGCGCCTCTGGGACCTGAGGAGCATCCGGGTGAGGCACGCAGGGACCCCCAGAGTAACCCAGGGACCCCCAGAGAGACCCAGGGACCCCCAGAGTAACCCAGGGACCCCTAGAGAGACACAGGGACCCCTCAGGAATCACCCAGAGACCTCCAGACCCACTCAGGGACCTCCCCAGGAATCACCCAAACCAACCCAGGGACCCCCAGAGAGACACAGGGACCCCCAGAGTAACACAGGGACCCCCAGGGACTGACCAGAGCCACACGGGGACCCCCAGAGAGACACAGGGACCCCCGGGAATCGCCCAGACCCACCCAAGGACCCCCCCCAAATGGACCCAGGGACCCCCAGAGAGACCCAGGGACCTCCAGATGGACCCAGGGACCCCCGGGAATCGACCAGACCCACACGGGGACCCCTCAGGAATCGCCCAGACCCACCCAGGGACCCCAAGACTGACCCAGAGACCCCTGGGAATCGCCCAGACCCACCCAGGGACCCCCAAACCAACCCAGGGACCCCCAGAGTAACCCAGGGACCCCCAGAGAGACACAGGGACCCCTCAGGAATCACCCAGAGACCTCCAGACCCACTCAGGGACCTCCAGATGGACCCAGGGACCCTTCAGGAATCACCCAGACCAACCCAGGGACCCCCGGGAATCGCCCAGACCCACCCGGGGACCGCCCCAGGAGTCACCCAAACCGACTCAAGGACCCCCACACTGACCCAGGGACCCCCAGAGTAACCCAGGGACCCCTCAGGAATCACCCAGAGACCTCCAGATGGACCCAGGGACCCCCAGACCGACCCAGGGACCCCTAGAGAGACCCAGGAACCCCTCAGGAATCACCCAGGGACCCCCAGACCGACCCAGGGACCCCCAGACCCACCCAGGGACCCCCCAGAGTAACCCAGCGACCCCTAGATAGACCCAGGGACCCCCAGACCAACCCAGGGACCCCAAAACCACCAGATAAACCCCCCCCAAACCACCCCCAGACCCCAAAATTTCCCATATACCCCCCAAAACCACCCCATAAACCCCCCCAAACCACCACAAAAGCACTCCCCCGACCCCTCAGCCACCCCCCAGACCCCCCAGCCCCCTCCCCGCTGACCCCCGCCCGTTTTTCCGCCCAGCTGAGCTCGTCGTGCGTGGCCACCTTCAAGCAGCACCGCGGGCCCATCACGTCCGTGCAGTGGCACCCGGGCGAGAGCGGCGTGCTGGCGGCCGCGGGCGAGGACGACGTGGTGACGCAGTGGGACCTGGGCGTGGAGAGGGACCCCGAGGTGGGCGAGGGTCCCGGGGACGGGGAGGGGCTGCGGGAGCTGCCGCCGCAGCTGCTGTTCCTGCACCAGGGGGAGCGGGAGGTGAAGGAGCTGCACTGGCACCCGCAGTGCCCCGGGCTGCTGCTGTGCACTGGCCGCGAGGGCATCGCCGCCTTCCGCACCATCAGCGTCTGAGAGCCAAAATTTGGGGTGAAATCAGCCAAAATTGGGGTCAGGAATGCTCAAAATTGGGGTAGGAACAGCAGGGATTGGCACCCGCAGTGCCCCGGGCTGCTGCTGTGCACTGGACGTGAGGGCATCGCCGCCTTCCGCACCATCAGTGTGTGAGGGCTGAATTTGGGGTGATTTCAGCTGAATTTGGGGTCAGGAATGCTCAAAATTGGGATAGGAATAGCGGGGATTGGCACCCGCAGTGCCCCGGGCTGCTGCTGTGCACTGGACGTGAGGGCATCGCCGCCTTCCGCACCATCAGCGTGTGAGAGCCAAAATTTGGGGTGAAATCAGCCAAAATTGGGGTCAGGAATGCTCAAAATTGGGGTGGGAATAGGAGGGATTGGCACCCGCAGTGCCCGGGGCTGCTGCTGTGCACCGGCCGCGAGGGCATCGCCGCCTTCCGCACCATCAGCGTGTGAGAGCCAAAATTTGGGGTGAAATCAGCCAAAATTGGGGTCAGGAATGCTCAAAATTGGGGTGAAATCAGATAGAATTTGGGAAGGAACCCCCTGGGATTGGCACCCGCAGTGCCCCGGGCTGCTGCTGTGCACTGGACGTGAGGGCATCGCCGCCTTCCGCACCATCAACGTGTGAGAGCCAAAATTTGGGGTGAAATCAGCCAAAATTGGGGTCAGGAATGCTCAAAATTGGGATAGGAATAGCAGGGATTGGCACCCGCAGTGCCCCGGGCTGCTGCTGTGCACTGGACGTGAGGGCATCGCTGCCTTCCGCACCATCAGTGTGTGAGGGCTGAATTTGGGGTGAAATCAGCCAAAATTGGGGTCAGGAATGCTCAAAATTGGGGAAGGAACCCCCTGGGATTGGCACCCGCAGTGCCCCGGGCTGCTGCTGTGCACGGGACGTGAGGGCATCGCCGCCTTCCGCACCATCAGCGTGTGAGGGCTGAATTTGGGGTGATTTCAGCTGAATTTGGGGTGATTTCAGCCGGAATTGGGGTCAGGAATGCTCAAAATTGGGGTGGGAACAGCGGGGATTGGCACCCGCAGTGCCCGGGGCTGCTGCTGTGCACTGGGCGTGAGGGCATCGCCGCCTTCCGCACCATCAGTGTGTGAGAGCCAAAATTTGGGGTGATTTCACCTGAATTTGGGGTGATTTCACCTGAAATTGGGGTGGGAATAGCAGAGATTGGCACCCGCAGTGCCCCGGGCTGCTGCTGTGCACCGGCCGTGAGGGCATCGCTGCCTTCCGCACCATCAGCGTCTGACAGCCAAAATTTGGGGTGATTTCACCTGAATTTGGGGTGATTTCAGCTGAATTTGGGGTCAGGAATGCTCAAATTTGGGGTGGGAATAGCAGGGATTGGCACCCGCAGTGCCCCGGGCTGCTGCTGTGCACTGGACGTGAGGGCATCGCTGCCTTCCGCACCATCAGTGTGTGAGAGCCGAAATTTGGGGTGATTTCAGCTGAATTTGGGGTCAGGAATGCTCAAAATTGGGGTGAAATCAGCCAAAATTGGAGTGGGAATAGCGGGGATTGGCACCCGCAGTGCCCGGGGCTGCTGCTGTGCACCGGCCGCGAGGGCATCGCCGCCTTCCGCACCATCAGCGTCTGAGGGCTGAATTTGGGGTGAAATCAGCCAAAATTGGGGTCAGGAATGCTCAGAATTGGGGTGGGAATAGCAGGGATTGGGGAAGGAACCCCCTGGGATTGGCACCCGCAGTGCCCCGGGGCTGCTGCTGTGCACTGGCCGCGAGGGCAGCGCCGCCTTCCGCACCATCAGCGTCTGAGAGCTGAATTTGGGGTGAAATCAGCTGAATTTGGGGTGATTTCAGCCGGAATTGGGGTGAAATCAGCCAAAATTGGGATGAAATCAGCCAAAATTGGGGTGGGAACAGCAGGGATTGGCACCCGCAGTGCCCAGGGCTGCTGCTGTGCACTGGACGTGAGGGCATCGCTGCCTTCCGCACCATCAGCGTGTGAGGGCTGAATTTGGGGTGAAATCAGCTGGAATTGGGGTCAGGAATGCTCAAAATTGGGGTGGGAACCCCCTGGGATTGGCACCCGCAGTGCCCCGGGCTGCTGCTGTGCACTGGACGTGAGGGCATCGCTGCCTTCCGCACCATCAGCGTGTGAGAGCCGAAATTTGGGGTGATTTCACCTGAAATTGGGGTGATTTCAGCTGAATTTGGGGTGATTTCACCCAAAATTGGGGTCAGGAATGCTCAAAATTGGGGTGAAAACAGCCAGAATTGGGGTGGGAATAGCGGGGATTGGCACCCGCAGTGCCCGGGGCTGCTGCTGTGCACGGGACGTGAGGGCATCGCCGCCTTCCGCACCATCAGCGTCTGAGAGCCGAAATTTGGGGTGATTTCACCTGAATCTGGGGTGATTTTAGCCGAATTTGGGGTGATTTCAGCTCAATTTGGGGTGATTTCAGCTGAATTTGGGGTCAGGAATGCTCAAAATTGGGGTGGGAATAGCAGGGATTGGCACCCGCAGTGCCCCGGGGCTGCTGCTGTGCACCGGCCGCGAGGGCATCGCCGCCTTCCGCACCATCAGCGTGTGAGAGCCAAAATTGGGGTGAAATCACCCAAAATTGGGGTCAGGAATGCTCAAAATTGGGGTGAAATCAGCCAAAATTGGGGTGGGAATAGCAGAGATTGGCACCCGCAGTGCCCGGGGCTGCTGCTGTGCACTGGACGTGAGGGCATCGCCGCCTTCCGCACCATCAGCGTGTGAGGGCTGAATTTGGGGTGAAATCAGCCAAAATTGGGGTCAGGAATGCTCAAAATTGGGGTGGGAACAGCAGGGATTGGCACCCGCAGTGCCCCGGGCTGCTGCTGTGCACTGGACGTGAGGGCATCGCCGCCTTCCGCACCATCAGCGTGTGAGAGCCAAAATTTGGGGTGATTTTACCTGAATTTGGGGTGATTTCACCTGAAATTGGGGTCAGGAATGCTCAAAATTGGGGTGAAATCAGATAGAATTGAGGTGGGAATAGCAGAGATTGGCACCCGCAGTGCCCGGGGCTGCTGCTGTGCACTGGACGTGAGGGCATCGCCGCCTTCCGCACCATCAGCATGTGAGAGCCAAAATTTGGGGTGAAATCAGCCAAAATAGGGGTGAAATCAGCCAAAATTGGGGTCAGGAATGCTCAAAATTGGGGTGAAATCAGATAGAATTGGGGTGGGAACAGCAGGGATTGGCACCCGCAGTGCCCGGGGCTGCTGCTGTGCACTGGACGTGAGGGCATCGCCGCCTTCCGCACCATCAGCATGTGAGAGCCAAAATTTGGGATGAAATTACCCAAAATTGGGATGAAATCAGACCGAATTCAGGTGAAATCAGCCAAAATTGGGGTCAGGACTGCTCAAAATGGAGGTGGGAACTGTTGAAGTTGAAATGGGATCCCAAAATGGGGCCGGAATCCTCCTGAAAATGGGGATGGGACACGGTCGGAATGTGGATGGGGAAGCTGCAAAAATGAGGATAAAACACCCCCAAAAATGAGGGTGAAACACCCCCAAAAATGAGGGTGAAACACGCCAAAAATGAGGCTGAAACACCCCAAAGAATGAGGGTGAAACACCCCCAAAAAATGAGGATAAAACATCTCCAAAATGAGGGTGAAACACCCCCAAAAATGAGGATGAAACACCCCCAAAATGAGGATGAAACACCCTCAAAAATGAGGATAAAACACCCCCAAAATAAGAATGAAACACCCCAAAAATGGGAGCGAGATCCTCACAAAATGGGGGTGGGAATTCGGGACCCCCCCCAAATGGGTCAGGGATCCCCCCTAAAACAGGGAGGGGACCCCTCCCAAACAAGGATGGAGACCCCAAATTGGGGAATAACCCACCCCCCAAATTCAGGGGTCTGAGCCCCAAATTCAGGGGTTCTCTGCCCCAAATTCAGGGGTCTGTGCCCCCCAAATTCAGGGGTCTGTGCCCCCCAAATTCAGGGGATCCTGCTCCCCAAATTCAGGGGGTCTCTGCCCCAAATTCAGGGGTCTGTTCCCCCCAAATTCAGGGGTCTGTGCCCCCCAAATTCAGGGGTCTGTGCTCCCCAAATTCAGGGGGTCTGTGCCCCAAATTCAGGGGTCTGTGCCCCCCAATTTCAGGGGGTCCCGGCCCCAAATTCATGGGGTTTGTCCCCCACAACACAACGCTGCCACCCACCAGCGAAACTTCACCAAAAACTCCAAAAATCAACTTTATTTTTAATATTAAAAATTAAAAATCACCTTTCTACTTCGATCATTCACCATCCTTATCCCCCACAACACAACGCTGATACCCCATAACAAAAACCTCGGCGCACAACAACTCCAAAAATCAATTTTATTTTATTTCAGTGTTCAAATAAAAACCGATTTTATTTCGCGCCTTTCCCGCGAAGCGCGGGAAAAACGAAGCGCGGGAAAAACGAAGCGCGGGAAAAACGAAGCGCGGGGAAAGCCACACGCGGAGTGACGTCACGGAGGGGGCGTGGCCTGAGGGGGTTACGTGAGGTCGGCGCGCCAGGTGATGGCGGTGCAGCTCGCGGCGCCCTCTGGCGGCGCGGCGCAGAGCAGCAGCGCTTTGCGCACGCATGCGCAGAGGCGCGCGGCCGCCAACAGCGCCCCCAGCGGCTGCGCGCGGGAACTGCGCGGGCACTGCGCCACTGCGCATGCGTGGAACTGCGCGGGGGGGCCTGGAACAGAGGGGGGGGGGATTGTGGGGAGGGGGTGAGACCCCCAAAAATGGGGGAGGGAAATGGTGGGGAGGGGGTGAGACCCCCGAGAATATGGGGGGGAGGGGGCTGGGACCCCCGGGAATGGTGGGGAGGGGGCTGGGACCCCCGGGAAAGGGGGGGGATGGTGGGGAGAGGGTGAGGAATAAAGGGGAGGGGGCTGGGACCCCGGGAACATGAGGGGAATAGTGGGGAGGGGGCTGAGACCCCCGGGAAAGGGGGGGGATGGTGGGGAGGGGGTGAGGAATAAAGGGGAGGGGGCTGGGACCCCTGGGAATGGGGGGGGATGGTGGGGAGGGGGTGAGACCCCCGGGAATATGGGGAGATGGTGGGGAGGGGGCTGGGACCCCCGGGAATATGGAGGGAATAAAGGGGAGGGGTCTGGGCATACCCAGGGTGGGACAGGAATTAAGGGGAGGGGTCTCAAGAATACCCAGGGTGGGTATCAATGGGGAATAAATGGGGAGGGGTCTCAGGTATACCCAAGGAGGGGGGTGAGGAATAAAGGGGAGGGGGCTGGGACCCCCGGGAATATGGGGAGGGAATGGTGGGGAGGGGTCTGGGAAAAGTGGGGATAATGGTGGGGAGGGGGCTGGGACCCCCGGGAATATGGGGGGATGGTGGGGAGGGGGTGAGGAATAAAGGGGAGGGGGCTGGGAATACCCAGGGTGGGACAGGAATTAAGGGGAGGGGTCTCAAGAATACCCAGGGTGGGACAGGAATTAAGGGGAGGGGGCTGGGACCCCTGAGAGGGGGTCAGGATTTATGGGGAGGGGTCTCAGGAATACCCAGGGAGGGGATGAGGAATAAAGGGGAGGGGGCTGGGACCCCTGAGAGTGGGACAGGAATTAAGGGGAGGGGTCTCAAGAATACCCAGGGTGGGTATCAGTGGGGAATAAATGGGGAAGGGTCTCAGGAATACCCAAGGAGGGGGTGAGGAATAAAGGGGAGGGGTCTCGGACTCTCGAGTGGGTATCAGGCATTAAGGGGAGGGGTCTGGGCACACCCAGGGTGGGACAGGAATTAAGGGGAGGGGTCTGGGACCCCTGAGAGGGGGTCAGGAATTAAGGGGAGGGGTCTCAGGAATAGCCAGGGAGGGGATGAGGAATAAAGGGGAGGGGTCTGGGCATACCCAGGGTGGGACAGGAATTAAGGGGAGGGGGTTGGGACCCCTGAGAGTGGGACAGGAATTAAGGGGAGGGGTCTCAAGAATACCCTGGGTGGGTATAAATGGGGAATAAATGGGGAGGGGTCTCAGGAACAGCCAGGGGTGGGGGTCAGGATTTATGGGGAGAGGTCTCAGGAACAGCCAAGGGTGGGGGTGAGGAATAAATGGGGAGGGGTCTGGGACTCTCGAGTGGGTGTCAGGCATTAAGGGGAGGGGTCTGGGAATACCCAAGGTGGGACAGGAATAAAGGGGAGGGGGCTGGGACCCCTGAGAGGGGGTCAGGAATTAAGGGGAGGGGTCTCAAGAATACCCAGGGAGGGGGGTGAGGAATAAAGGGGAGGGGGCTAGACCCCCGGGAAAGGGGGGGAATGGTGGGGAGGGGGATGAGGAATAAAGGGGAGGGGGCTGGGACCCCCGGGAAAGGGGGGGGAATAGTGAGGAGGGGGCTGAGACCCCCGAGAATGGTGGGGAGGGGGCTGGGACCCCCGGGAATATGGGGGGAATGGTGGGGAGGGGGTGAGGAATAAAGGGGAGGGGGCTGGGACCCCCGGGAAAGGGGGGGGAATATTGGGGAGGGGGTGAGGAATAAAGGGGAGGGGGCTGGGACCCCCGGGAATGGGGGGGGATGGTGGGGAGGGGGTGAGACCCCCGGGAAAGGGGGGGAAATGGTGGGGAGGGGGTGAGGAATAAAGGGGAGGGGGTTGGGACCCCCGGGAAAGGGGGAGAAAGGTGGGGAGGGGGCTGGGACCCCTGAGAGGGGGTCAGGAATAAATGGGGAAGGGTCTGGGACCCTCGGGTGAGGCTCAGGAATAAATGGGGAAGGGTCTCAGGAATACCCAGGGAGGGGGGGTGAGGAATAAAGGGGAGGGGTCTGGGCATACCCAGGGTGTAACAGGAATTAAGGGGAGGGGTCTCAAGAATACCCAGGGTGGGTATAAATGGGGAATAAATGGGGAAGGGTCTCAGGAATACCCAAGGAGGGGGTGAGGAATAAAGGGAAGGGGTCTGGGACCCTCGGGTGAGGCTCAGGAATAAATGGGGAGGGGTCTGGGACTCTCGAGTGGGTGTCAGGCATTAAGGGGAGGGGTCTCGGAATACCCAAGGTGGGACAGGAATTAAGGGGAGGGGGTTGGGACCCCTGAGAGGGGGTCAGGATTTATGGGGAAGGGTATCAGGAATAGCCAGGGAGAGGGGGTGAGGAATAAAGGGGAGGGGTCTTAGGAATACCCAAGGTGGGACAGGAATTAAGGGGAGGGGCTGGGACCCCTGAGAAGGGGTCAGGAAGAAATGGGGAGGGGTCTCAGAAATAGCCCGGGGCGGGGGTCAGGAATTACGGGGAGGGGTCTCAGGAACAGCCAGGGAGGGGATGAGGAATAAAGGGGAGGGGTCTCAGGAATATCCAGGAGCGGGGGTCGGGAATTTTGGGGAGGGGTCTCAGGAATACCCAAGGTGGGGGTCGGGAATTTCGGGGAGGGGTCTGGGAATACCCAAGGAGGGAGGTCAGGAATTATGGGGAGGGGTCTCAGGAATTAGGGGAGGGGTCTTTGTGCCCCCCGCCCCTCCCCCTTACCGGGGTACACCAGGAAGTCGCCCCCGAATTTCCCGCCGCGGGTCAGGTGCAGGCCCCGCCCCCACAGCGCGCGGAACACGCGGGAACGCCGCTCGGCGCGGGAAAGGGGCGTGGCCAGCACCGCTCTGGCCCCGCCCCCAGCCCCGCCCCCTGAGGGCTCCGCTTCGGCCTCATCCACCTGAGGGGGAAAAAAGGGGCGGCTCGTTGGGGCTCATCGATCTCCCCCACTCCCGTTTTCCCCTCCGCCATCCCGGTACCGGCTCCACGGTGGCTCCGCCGCTCTCCCGCAGCGCCCGCGCCTCCTCCGGTCTCAGCTGCAGCGGCAGCCGCGGCCCCGCCGCCGCTCCGCCTCGGGGCCCGCGGCGCGGGGGGGTCCCGACCAGCGCTCCCCACACGCGGTGCCGCTCCCGCAGCGCCCGCGCCGCTCCCGGGGACCACACCAGGAACCGGCCGCGCTGCCGCCGCACCCGCGGCCGCTCCGCCGCGGGGCTCGGGGGGGTCCCGGGGGTCTCGGAGCACTCCGCGACCCCGCAGAGCCCCGGGACCCCCTCAGCGCCCGCCGCCATGTTGGCACCGCCTTCACGGGAGGGATCCGTGAGGCGCGGCGCGGTTAAAGCGGCGATGCCGCGGTGGGGCCCACCACGGGCGGGACGGAGCCATGGGAGGGACTCAGCCCCTTTTAAGAGCGGCTCTTAAAGGGGGCGCAGCAATTTAAAGTGACAGAGCCCCTTTAAATCCGTCATGGTGGGCACCACCAGCCTTAAAGGGCCAGAACACCTTAAAAGTCCCTAAATCTGGTGGGTTTTATCCCCTTAAAGGGCCAGAACACCTTAAAAGTCCCCAAATCTGGTGGGTTTTATCCCTTTAAAGGGCCAGAACACCTTAAAAGTCCCTAAGTCTGGTGGGGTTTATCCCTTTAAAGGGCCAGAACACCTTAAAAGTCCCCAAATCTGGTGGGTTTCATCCCTTTAAAGGGCCAGAACGCCTTAAGAGTCCCTAAGTCTGGTGGGTTTTATCCCTTTAAAGGGCCAGCTCTCCTTTAAAACACATTTTTAATGGTCAAACAGCCTTAAAAGCGCTTTTAACTCCACTTCACACCCATTGCTAAAGGCCCTGAGAACCCTTCAGGCTCCTTAAAGGGCCAGACCGCTTTAAAAACCGTCTTAAAGGGGTCTTACCCCCATTAGAGCCCATGTGAGGGGCCCACTCCTCGTAAAGGGCCAGATCCCTTTAAAATCCACCCCCCTTGTGGCTCCCACCCCTCATTAAAGAACCAGACCCCTTTAAAAGCCCTAAACCCCCTTAAAGGGCCAGACACCCCTTCACACGCCCCTCCTCGTCTCTTAAAGGGCCAGACCCTCTTAAAGACCCCCCCAAACCCCTTTAAACCCCGACCCCCCCCCCAAAATCCGCATTTGGGGCTCCCCTATAATTACATGGCCCCGCCCACTTTGGGGCGTGGCTTAAATGGCCACGCCCACAACGAGGCAGGAAATGTGGGCGTGGCTTATCGCGCGTGTGGGCGGGGCTTGCTCAGACCACGCCCCCTCCGCCCCCGCCCGGAGCCGCGCGTGTTTCGGGGCGGATTTTGGGGCGAATTCGGCGGATTTTGGGGCGATTTCGGGCGGATTTTGGGGGTTCCCCAGCGGGGCCATGAACCGCGAGGAGCTGACCTACCTGGCCGTGCTGCTGGGCTCCATCCCCGTGGGCTTCGTGCTCAAGGAGCGCGGTGAGGGCCGGGCCGGGGGCGGTCCTGAGGGGGTTGGGGGAGTTGTGAGGGGATTTGGGGGGTTGTGAGGGGATTTTGGGGCGTTGTGAGGGGGTTTTGGGGGTTGTGAGGGGTTCTGAGGGGATTTTGGGGTGTTCTGAGGGGGTTTGGGGTGTTCTGAGGGGATTTTGGGGTTTTCTGAGGGGGTTTGGGGGTGTCCTGAGGGGGTTTGGGGGAGTTGTGAGGGGGCTTGGAGGGTCCTGAGGGATTCTGAGGGGATTTTAGGGTGTCCTGAGGGGATTTTGGAATGTTCTGAGGGGACTTGAAGGGTCCTAAAGGATTTTGTGGAGTCCTGAGAGGCTTTGGGGTGGCCCTGTGGGAATTTGGGGGGTCCTGAGGGGTTTTGGGGGAATCTTGAGGGATTTTGGGGTGTCCTGAGGGGATTTGGGGGATTTTTGAGGGGATTTGGGGGAATTTTGAGGGTTTTTGAGGGGTTCTGAGGGGGTTTGGGGGAATCTTGAGGGATTTTGGGCATTTCTGAGAGGTTTTGGGGGGTCCTGAGGGGTTTTGGGGGGTTCTGAGGGGATTTTGGAGGAATCTTGAGGGATTTTGGGGTGTTCTGAGGGATTTTGGGGGATCCTGAGGGGGTTTGGGGTGTTCTGAGGGGGCTTGAAGGGTCCTGAGGGATTTTGGGGGAATCTTGAGGGATTTTGGGGTGTTCTGAGCGGGTTTGGGGGCGCTGTGAGGGGACTTGGAGGGTCCTGAGGGGTTTTGGGGTGTCCTGAGGGGTTTGGGGGGTTGTGAGGGGGAATCCTGAGGGATTTTGGGGTGTTCTGAGGGGATTTGGGGGGTTCTGAGGGATTTTAGGGGGTTCTGAGATGTTTTGGGGGGTCCTGAGGTATTTTGGGGTGTTCTGAGGGGATTTGGGGGGGATTTGTGAGGGGGCTTGGAGGGTCCTGAGGGGTTCTGAGGGATTTTGGGGGAATCTTGAGGGATTTTGGGGTGTTCTGAGGGGATTTGGGGTGTTCTGAGGGGATTTGGAGGGTCCTGAGGGGTTTTCGGGGGTTCTGAGGGATTTTGGGGAAATCTTGAGGGATTTTGGGGTGTTCTGAGGGGGCTTGAAGGGTCCTGAGGGGATTTTGGGGGAATCTTGAGGGATTTTGGGGTGTTCTGAGGGGGTTTGGGGGTGCTGAGGGGATTTGGGGGATTTGTGAGGGGGCTTGGAGGGTCCTGAGGGGTTCTGAGGGAATTTTGGGGTGTTCTGAGGGGGTTTGGGGGAGTTGTGAGGGGGTTTGGGGGGTTCTGAGGGGTTCTGAGGAGATTTGGGGGAATATTGAGGGATTTTGGGGGGTTCTGAGGGGATTTTGGGGGCGTTGTGAGGGGGCTTGGGGGGTTCTGAGGGGATTTGGGGGAATTTTGAGGGATTTTAGGGTGTCCTGAGGGGTTTTGGGGGGTCCTGAAGGAGTTTTGGGGGGAATCTTGAGGGATTTTGGGGGGTCCTGTGGGGATTTGGAGGCTCCTGATGGATTTTAGGGTGTCCTGAGGGGTTCTGGGGAGGGTCCAGGGGGATTTTGGGGTGTCCTGAGGGGGTTTGGGGGATTTGTGAGGGGGTTTGGGGGTTCTGAGGGGATTTTGGGGTGTCCTGAGGGGTTCTGGGGAGGGTCCAGGGGGGTTTTGGGGTGTCCTGAGGGATTTTGGGGGGAGGTTTTTGGGTAATTTTGGGGGATCCCAGGGTTGAGAGATTTTTGGTGGATTTTTGGGGTGTTTTGAGAGTTTTTGTGGATTTTTGTGTTGAGAGATTTTTGGGTTGTTTTGAGAGGTTTTGATGCATTTTTTGGGTTGTTTTGAGAGGTTTTGGTGGATTTTTGGGCTTTTTGAGAGTTTTTTTTGATTTTTGAGATATTTTGGTTGTTTTGAGAAGTTTTCATGCATATTTTGGGTTGTTTTGAGAGGTTTTTGATGGATTTTTGTGTTGAGAGATTTTTGGTGGATTTTTGGGGTGTTTTGAGAGGTTTTTGGTGGATTTTTGTGTTGAGAAATTTTTGGTGCATTTTTTGGGTTGTTTTTAGAGTTTTTGGTGGATTTTTGTGTTGAGAGATTTTTGGTGCATTTTTGGGGTGTTTTGAGAGGTTTTGGTGGATTTGTTTGTTGAGAGGTTTTGGTGCATTTTTGAGTTGTTTTGAGAGGTTTTTGGTGGATTTTTGTGTTGAGAGACTTTTGGTGCATTTTGGAGTTGTTTTGAGAGTTTTTGATGCATTTTTTGGGTTGTTTTGAGAGGGTTTTGGTGCATTTTTTGTGTTGAGAGAAATTTGGTGCATTTTTGGGTTTTTTGAGGAGTTTTTTTGGATTTTTTGGGATATTTGGGTTGTTTTGAGAGATTTTGATTCATTTTTTGGGTTGTTTTGAGAGTTTTTGATGGATTTTTGTGTTGAGAGATTTTTGGTGAATTTTTGGGGTGTTTTGAGAGGTTTTGGTGCATTTTTTGGGTTATTTTGAGAGATTTTTGATGGATTTTTGTGTTGAGAGATTTTTGGTGAATTTTTGGGGTGCTTTGAGAGGTTTTGGTGCATTTTTGGGTCCCTGATGAAATTTGGGGTGCGGATGTGGGCGCTGTGTGGGGGAGGGGTGGGGTGTGTGGTTTGAGAGCTTATCTTTGAATTTTTGGGGTGTTTCGTGGATTTTTGGTGCATTTTTGGGGTGGCTTGAAGGCTTCGTGCATTTTTGGGCTGTTTTGAAAGATTTTTGGTGGATTTTTGGGCTGTTTTGAGGGATTTTTGGTGCATTTTTTGCATTTTTAGGGTTTTCTGAGGGATTTTTGGTGCATTTTTGGGCTGTTTTGAGGGATTTTTGGTGCATTTTTTGCATTTTTAGGTTTTTTTGAGGGATTTTTGGTGCATTTTTGGGCTGTTTTGAGGGATTTTTGGTGCATTTTTGGGGTGTTTTGAGGCATTTTTGGTGCATTTTTTGCATTTTTGGGCTGTTTTGAGGCATTTTTGGTGCATTTTTGAGTTTTTTTGAGGGATTTTTGGTGCATTTTTGGGGTGTTTTGAGGGATTTTTGGTGCATTTTTAGAGATTTTGGGGTGTTTTAAGGGATTTTTGGTGCATTTTTGGGGTGTTCTGAGGGATTTTTGGTGCATTTTTAGAGATTTTGGGGTGTTTTGAGGGATTTTTGGTGCATTTTTTGGTATTTTCAGGGATTTTTGGTGCATTTTTGGGGTGTCTTGAAGGCTTTGTGCATTTTTGGGCTGTTTTGAGCCATTTTTGGGGTTTTTTGAGGGATTTTTGTGCATTTTTAGAGATTTTGAGGTGCTTTGAGGGAATTCTGGTGCATTTTTGGGCTGTTTTCAGGGATTTTTGGTGCATTTTTTGCATTTTTAGGGTTTTTTGAGGGATTTTTGGTGCATTTTAAGAGATTTTGGGGTATTTTGAGGGATTTTTGGTGCATTTTTGGGGTGCTTTGAGGCATTTTTGGTGCATTTTTGGGGTGTTTGGAGGGATTTTTGGTGCATTTTTTGGTATTTTCAAGGATTTTCGGTGCATTTTTGGCATTTTTAGGGCTTTTTGAGGGATTTTTTGGTGCATTTTTAGAGATTTTGGGCTGTTTTGAGGGATTTTTGGTGCATTTTTGGGTATTTTCAGGGATTTTTGGTGCATTTTTGTATTTTCTGATGTTTCGTCGCGTTTTCGGTGCATTTTTGGATGCTCCGCTGCGTTTTAGGGGCGTTTTTTGGATGTTTCGTTGCATTTTTGGGCATTTTTTGGATCTTTTGGGGCGTTTTCGGCGGATTTTTGGGCTGTTCCGTCGCACTTTGGGGTATTTTTCTGTTCTGGGGCGTTTTTGGGGTGATTTTGGGCTGTTTCGGCGCCTTTTGGGGGCACTTTCGGTGCGTTTTAAGCCGCTCGGGGTTATTTTAAAGGGATTTTCTGCATTTTTTAATTGTTTTCAAAGGATTTGGAGAATTTTTGGAGCATTTTGGAGGAAGTTCAGGGGCGGTTTGAGGCGTTTGGGGCTCTTTTAAAGGGGTTTTGTTGTAATTTTGGGGTATTTTTGGATGTTTTGGTGTATTTTTGGTGTATTTTTTTGATATTTTGGTGCATTTTGAGGGTACTTTTGGGGTGTTTTGAGCCATTTGAGGTTGTTTTGAAGGAGTTTTATTGCATTTTGGGGGTACTTTTGCATATTTCTGTGCATGTTGGGGTATTTTTGGCCATTTCTGTGCATTTTGTGGTGTTTTTTTGGTATTTCTGTGCATTTTCGGGAAATTTTTTGATTTTTCTGTGCATTTTGGGAATATTTTTTGATATTTCAGTGCATTTTGGGGTGCTTTTTGCATATTTTGGGGTATTTTTGGATCTTTCTGTGCATTTTGGGGGTGCTTTTGGATATTTCTGTGCACTTTGGGATATTTTTTGATATTTTGGGGTATTTTTTAATATTTCTATGCATTTTGGGATATTTTTTGATATTTCTGTGCATTTTGAGGGTATTTTTTGATATTTCTATGCATTTTGAGGTATTTTTTGGATATTGCTGTGCATTTTGAGGTATTTTTTTGATATTTTAGGGTATTTTTGGATATTTCAGTGCATTTTCTGGTATTTTTTTGATATTTCTGTGCATTTTGGGCTAATATTTGGCTATTTCTGTGCATTTTGGGAATTTTGGGATATTTTTTGATATTTTGGGGTATTTTTTTGATATTTGTGTGCATTTTTGGGCTGTTATTTGGCTATTTTGGGGTGCTTTGGGCTATTTTGGGGCGCTTTGGGCCATTTCTGGGCTATTATTTGGCTATTTTGGGGCGCTTTGGGCCGTTTCTGGGGTACTTTTGGCAATTTTAGGGTCCTTTGGGCTGTTTTGGGGTGTTTTGGGCTGTTTCTGAGGTACTTTTGGGCTATTTTGGGGCGCTTTGGGCCGTTTCTGTGCATTTTTTTGCTATTTTGGGGTACTTTTTGGCTATTTTGGGGCCCTTTTGGGGTTACTCATGTCCCATTTTGGGGTCCCCCTGCCCCCCTGTGCCCCCCAGGCCGGCGCTGGCGGCAGTTTGGGGGTGCTGTTTTGGGGGTGGGGGTGTCACTGCTGATTTGGGGGTCCCATTTTGGGGTGTCCCTGTCCCCAGGCCGGCGCTGGCGGCAGTTTGGGGGTGCCATTTTGGGGGTGGGGGTGGCGCTGCTGATTTGGGGGTCCCTGTGCCCCCCAGGCCGGCGCTGGCGGCAGTTTGGGGGTGCCCTGGTGGGGGTGGGGGTGGCACTGCTGATTTGGGGTCCCCCCTGCCCCCCTGTGCCCCCCAGGCCGGCGCTGGCGGCAGTTTGGGGGTGCCATTCTGGGGGTGGGGGTGTCACTGCTGATTTGGGGTTCCCCCCCCCCCAGGCCGGCGCTGGCGGCAGTTTGGGGGTGCCATTCTCGGGGTGGGGGTGGCGCTGCTGATTTGGGGGTCCCATTTTGGGGTCCCCCCTCCCCCAGGCCGGCGCTGGCGGCAGTTTGGGGGTGCCCTGGTTGGGGTGGGGGTGGCGCTGCTGATTTTGGGGTGTCCCCCCCCCCCAGGCCGGCGCTGGCGGCAGTTTGGGGGTGCCGTTCTGGGGGTGGGGGTGTCACTGCTGATTTTGGGGTCCCCCTGCCCCCCTGTGCCCCCCAGGCCGGCGCTGGCGGCAGTTTGGGGGTGCTGTTTTGGGGGTGGGGGTGGCGCTGCTGATTTGGGGGTCCCATTTTGGGGGGTCCCTGTGCCCCCCAGGCCGGCGCTGGCGGCAGTTTGGGGGTGCCGTTCTGGGGGTGGGGGTGTCACTGCTGATTTGGGGGTCCCCCCTCCCCCAGGCCAGCGCTGGCGGCAGTTTGGGGGTGCTGTTTTGGGGGTGGGGGTGGCGCTGCTGATTTTGGGGTGTCCCTGTCCCCAGGCCGGCGCTGGCGGCAGTTTGGGGGTGCCATTCTGGGGGTGGGGGTGGCGCTGCTGATTTGGGGGTCCCTGTGCCCCCCAGGCCGGCGCTGGCGGCAGTTTGGGGGTGCCCTGGTGGGGGTGGGGGTGGCACTGCTGATTTTGGGGTCCCCCTGCCCCCCTGTGCCCCCCAGGCCGGCGCTGGCGGCAGTTTGGGGGTGCCCTGGTGGGGGTGGGGGTGGCGCTGCTGATTTTGGGGTCCCTGTGCCCCCCAGGCCGGCGCTGGCGGCAGTTTGGGGGTGCCATTCTGGGGGTGGGGGTGTCGCTGCTGATTTGGGGGTCCCTGTGCCCCCCAGGCCGGCGCTGGCGGCAGTTTGGGGGTGCCCTGGTGGGGGTGGGGGTGTCCCTGCTGATTTGGGGGTCCCTGTGCCCCCCAGGCCGGCGCTGGCGGCAGTTTGGGGGGGCTGTTTTGGGGGTGGGGGTGGCGCTGCTGATTTGGGGGTCCCTGTGCCCCCCAGGTCCGCGCTGGCGGCAGTTTGGGGGTGCCCTGGTGGGGGTGGGGGTGTCCCTGCTGATTTTGGGGTCCCCCCTCCCCCAGGCCGGCGCTGGCGGCAGTTTGGGGGTGCCCTGGTGGGGGTGGGGGTGTCCCTGCTGACCTGCGGCCCCCACGCGCTGCACTCGCTGCTCACCGTGCTCGGCTCCTGGGCCCTGCTCGCCTGCCTGCCCAGGTGAGATTTTGGGGGGCTCTGGGTGTTTTGGGGGGTCCTGAGCATTTTGGGTGGGGTCCCTGAGTCCTTTTGGGGGGTCCTGAAACCATTCTGGGGGTCCCTGACCCACTTTAGGGGATCCCTGACCCATTTTAGGGGGATTTTGGAGGCCCCAGAACCCTGGATCGGGGTCCCAGATGCATTTTGGGGGGCCCTAAAACCATTTGGGGTGTCCCAGGTGCATTTTGGGGGTCCCTGACCCTTTTTATGGGGTCCTGGAGCCATTTTGGGGGGGCCCTGAGGTTTTTGGGGTGTCCCTGACCCTTCCTGGGGGGTCCTGGAGCCATTTTGGGAGGTCCCAGCTCAATTTTGGGGGGTCCTGGAACAATCTGGGGTGTCCCTGATCCATTTTGGGGGTCCCTGACCCTTTTTGGGAGGTCCCAGATGCATTTAGGGGGTCCCTGAGCCTTTTGGGGGGGATCCTAAAACCATTTTAGGGGGGTCCTGGAGCCATTTTGGGAGTCCCTGAGGGCTTTTGGGGTGTCCCAGGTGCATTTTGAGGGGGTCCCTGACCCTTTTTGGGGGGTCCTGGAGCCTTATGGGGGAGCCCTAGAGCCATTTTGGGGGTCCCTCAACCTTTTGGGGGATCCCTGAGGCCTTTTAGGGGGGTCCTGGCACATTTTGGGGGGTCCTGGAACCATTTGGGGGGGTCTTGAGGCCTTTGGGAGGGTCCTGAAATCATTTTGGGGGGGCCTGACCCATTTTAGGGGATCCCTGAGCCTTTTGGGGGAGTTCTGAAACCATTCTGGGAGGTCCCTGAGCCTTTTTGGGGGAGTCACGAAACCATTCTGGGGGGTCCCTGAGCCTTTGGGGGGTCCTGAGACATTTATGGGGGTCCCTGAGGCCTTTTAAGGCATCCTTGACCCATTTTAGGGGGGCCTGGAGTCATTTTGGGGAGTCCTGAAACATTTTGGGGGGTCCCTGACCCATTTTAGGGGGGTCTTGAGGCCTTTATGGGGGTCCCCTGAGCCTTTTGGGGGAGTCCTGGAACCATTTTGGGGGGTCCTGAGGCCTTTTAGGGGATCCCTGACCCATTTTAGGGGGGTCTTGAGGCCTTTATGGGGGTCCCCGAGCCTTTTTGGGGGGTCCCTGAGACATTTGTGGGGGGTCCTGGAACAACTTGGGTGTCCCTGACCCATTTTAGGGGGCCCCTGAGCCTTTTGGGGGGTTCCTGAGCCTTTTGGGGGATCCTGAGACATTTATGGGGGGCCCTGAGCCTTTTTGGGGCGAGTTCTGAAACCATTCTGGGAGGTCCCTGACCCTTTTTGGGGGCTCCTGGAGCCATCTCAGGGTTCCAGATGCATTTTGGGGGGACCTGGAACAATTTGGGGTGTCCCAGATGCATTCTGGGGGGAGCCAGAGCCTTTTCAGGGAGTCCTGGAGCCATTTTGGGGGGTCCTGAGACATTTATGGGGTGTCCCAGATGCATTCTGTGAGGTCCTTGACCCATTTTGGGGGTCCCTGACCCTTTTTGAGGGGGTCCTGGACCTTTTGGGGGGTCCTGAAACAATTTTGGGGGGTCCTGGAGCCATTTTGGGAGGTCCTGGAACAACTTGGGGAGGTCCTGATCCATTTTAGGGGGTCCCTGAGCCTTTTGGGGGGGTCCTGGAATCATTTTGGGGTGTCCCAGGTGCATTTTGGGGGGTCCTGGAACAATTTGGGGGGCCCTGACCCTCTCTGGGGGGTCCCTGAGGCCTTTTAGGGGGTCCCTGACCCTTTTTGGGGGGTCCCTGAGCCTTTTGGGGGAGTCCTGAAACCATTTTGGGAGGTCCTGGAACAATTTGGGGTGTCCCTGATCCATTTTGGGGGGTCTCTGAGGCCTTTTGGGGGAGTCCTGGAATAATTTTGGGGAGTCCTGGAGCCATTTTGGGTGTCCCTGACCCATTTTGGGGGTCCCTGACCCATTTTTGGGGGTCCCTGACCCATTTTTGGGGGTCCCTGACCCATTTTTGGGAGTCCCAGTTCCATTTTTGGGGGTCCCTGACCCATTTTTGGGGGTCCCAGTTCCATTTTTCGGGGTTCCTGCCCCATTTTTGGGGTCCCTGACCCATTTTAGGGTGTCCCAGTTCCATTTTGGGGGTCCCTGACCCATTTTTGGGTTCCCAGTTCCATTTTTGGGGTCCCTGACCCATTTTTGGGGGTCCCAGTTCCATTTTGGGGGTCCCTGCCCCATTTTTGGGGTCCCAGCCCCATTTTCGGGGGTCCCAGCCCCATTTTAGGGGGTCCCTGACCCATTTTGGGGATCCCCGCCCCATTTTTGGGGGTCTCTGACCCATTTTTGGGGTCCCTGCCCCATTTTGGGGGTCCCTGACCCATTTTTTGGGTCCCTGACCCATTTTTGGGGCTCCTTGACCCATTTTTGGGGGTCCCTGCCCCATTTTTGGGGGTCCCTACCCCATTTTGGGGTGTCCCTGCCCCATTTTTGGGGCTCCCTGACCCATTTTTGGGGGTCCCTGCCCCATTTGGGGGGTCCCTGACCCATTTTGGGGGGTCCCATTTCCATTTTTGGGGTCCCAGTTCCATTTTTGGGGTTCCTGACCCATTTTTGGGGGTCCCTGACCCATTTTCCGGGGTCCCAGCTCCATTTTTGGGGTCCCTGACCCATTTTTGGGGTCCCTGTCCCATTTTTGGGGATCCCTGCCCCATTTTTGGGGGTCCCTGCCCCATTTTGGGGGTCCCAGTTCCATTTTTGGGGGTCCCGGCCCCATTTTTGGGGGTCCCTGCCCCATTTTGGGGTTCCCTGACCCATTTTGGGGTCCCTGACCCATTTTTGGGGTGTCTGGGGCCCCCCCTCCCCTCCCCCACCATTTGGGGTTCGTTATCGCAGCTGCGCTCGTTAGTTCGTTATTGCTTAATTAGGGCCGGGATGGGGGGGGGGGGGGGGGGGAATTTGGGGGCTCAGAGACATTTTGGGACCCCCAAATTTTCTGGGGGGGGTGGGGGGATTTTGGGGGTTCAGAGACATTTTGGGACCCCCAAATTCTTTGTTGGGGTCGATTTTTGGGAACCCCCAAATTCTCTCTGGGGGGCGATTTTTGGGACCCCCAAATTCTCTCTATGGGAGGGATTTTTGGGACCCCAAATTCTCTATTGGGGTCGATTTTTGGGACCCCCAAATTCTCTATTGGGGTCGATTTTTGGGACCCCAAATTCTGTGTTCAGGGCGATTTTTGGGACCCCCAAATTCTCTGTTGGGGGGAGGATTTTTGGGACCCCCAAATTCTCTCTGGGGGGAAAATTTGGGGGGGCTCAGAGACATTTTGGGACCCCCAAATTCTCTCTGGGGGAGGATTTTGGGACCCCCAAATTCTCTATTGGGGTCGATTTTTGGGACCCCCAAATTCTCTCTTTGGGTCGATTTTTGGAACCCCAAATTCTCTATTGGGGGGATTTTTGGGACCCCCCCTCACCAAATTCTGGGAGGGATTTTTGGGACCCCCAAATTCTCTGTGGGGAGAGATTTTTGGGCCCCCCCCGCCCCCCAAATTCTGGGGTCGATTTTTGGGACCCCCAAATTCTCTCTGGGTGGGGATTTTTGGGACCCCCAAATTCTGTCTGGGTGAGGATTTTTGGGACCCCCAAATTCTCTCTGGGGGGTGAATTTTTGGGACCCCTCCCAAAATTCTGGGAGGGATTTTTGGAACCCCCAAATTCTCTCTGGGGGGCGATTTTTGGAACCCCAAATTCTCTATTGGGAGCGATTTTTGGGACCCCCAAATTCTCTATTGGGGTCGAATTTTGGAACCCCAAATTCTGTGTTTTGGGGGGAATTTTGGGACCCCCAAATTCTCTATTAGGGTCGATTTTTGGGACCCCAAAATTCCGTATTGGGGGGGGATTTTTGGACCCCCAAATCCTCTTTGGGGGATGCTCAGAGACATTTTGGGACCCCCCCAAAATTCTCTCAGTGGGGGCGATTTTTGGGACCCCCAAATTTTCTCTGGGTGGGATTTTTGGGACCCCCAAATCCTCTATTGGGGGCAATTTTTGGAACCCCAAATTCTGTGTTTGGGGGCAATTTTTGGGACTCCCCAATTCTCTCTGGGAGGGATTTTTGGGACCCCCAAATTCTCTATTGGGGTCGATTTTTGGGACCCCCAAATTCTCTATTGGGGCGATTTTTGGGACCCCCAAATTCTGTGTTTTGGAGGGATTTTTGGGACCACCCAAATTCTCTCTGGGGGGTGAATTTTTGGGACCCCCAAATTCTCTATTGGGGTCGATTTTTAGGACCCCCAAATTCTCTCTGGGTGGGGATTTTTGGGACCCCCAAATTCTCTATTGGGGCGATTTTTGGGACCCCCAAATTCTCTCTATGGGGGGGATTTTTGGGACCCCCAAATTCTCTCTGGGAGGGGATTTTTGGGACCCCCAAATTCTCTCTGGGAGGGGATTTTTGGGACCCCCAAATTCTCTATTGGGGGTCGATTTTTGGGACCCCCAAATTCTCTATTGGGGGTCGATTTTTGGGACCCCCAAATTCTCTCTGGGGGGAAAATTTGGGGGGGCTCAGAGACATTTTGGGACCCCCCAAATTCTCTATGGGGGGGGGGGAGGATTTTGGAACCCCAAATTCTCTCTGGGAGGGATTTTTGGGACCCCCAAATTCTCTTTTGGGGGCGATTTTTGGGACCCCCAAATTCTGTGTTGGGGGTGAATTTTGGGACCCCCAAATCCTCTATTGGGGTCGAATTTTGGAACCCCAAATTCTCTCTGGGGGGGATTATTGGAACCCCAAATTCTGTGTTTGGGGGCGATTTTGGGACCCCCAAATTCTGGGAGGGATTTTTGGGACCCCAAATTCTGGGGTGAATTTTTGGAACCCCCAAATCCTCTATGGGGGAGGATTTTTGGGACCCCCAAATTCTCTCTGGGTGAGGATTTTTAGGACCCCCAAATTCTCTCTGGGAGGGATTTTTGGGACCCCCAAATTCTGTGTTGGGGATTTTTGGGACCCCCAAATTCTCTCTGGGTGAGGATTTTTGGGACCCCCAAATTCTCTCTGGGTGAGGATTTTTGGGACCCCCAAATTCTCTCTATGGAGGAGGATTTTTGGAACCCCCAAATTCTCTATTGGGGGAGAATTTTTAGGACCCCCAAATTCTCTATTGGGGTCGATTTTTGGAACCCCCAAATTCTCTCTGGGGGGGATTTTTGGAACCCCAAATTCTCTATTGGGGGTGGGGATTTTTGGGACCCCCAAATTCTGGTTTTGGGATGGGATTTTTGGAACCCCAAATTCTCTATGAGGGGGATTTTTGGGATTTTGGGACCCCCCCCAAACCCCCCCGTGATGTGTGTCGGGATTTCTCCTTTCGGGGGGGGGTATTTAAGGATTTTGGGGTACCCCAAATTCACGGGGACCCCCAAACCCCACAGGCACAGCGGGGGGGCGGTGCTGCTCTGGGGGTACCCCAAATTCACGGGGACCCCAAACCCCACAGGCACAGCGGGGGGGGGTGTTGAAGGATTTTGGGGTACCCCAAATTCACGGGGACCCCCAAACCCCGCAGGCACAGCGGGGGGGCGGTGCTGCTCTGGGTTTTGGGGTACCCCAAATTCACGGGGACCCCCCAAACCCCACAGGCACAGCGGGGGGGGGTGTTTAAGGATTCTGGGGTACCCCAAATTCACGGGGGGACCCCCAAACCCCACAGGCACAGCGGGGGGGGGGTGTTTGAGGGTTTTGGGGTACCCCAAATTCACGGGGGGACCCCAAACCCCACAGGCACAGCGGGGGGGCGGTGCTGCTCTGGGTTTTGGGGTACCCCAAATTCACGGGGGGACCCCCCAAACCCCACAGGCACAGCGGGGGGGCGGTGCTGAAGGATTTTGGGGTACCCCAAATTCACAGGGACCCCCAAACCCCACAGGCACAGCGGGGGGGGGTGTTTGAAGTTTTTGGGGTACCCCAAATTCACGGGGGGATCCCCCAAACCCCACAGGCACAGCGGGGGGGGGGGTGTTTGAGGATTTTGGGGTACCCCAAATTCACGGGGACCCCCAAACCCCGCAGGCACAGCGGGGGGGCGGTGCTGCTCTGGGTTTTGGGGTACCTCTTCTTCTTCCGCACCCCCCAACTCTGGGGGCTGCCCGAGCCCCCTCCCCACGCCAACGCCCTGCAGCTGCTGCTCACCCTCAAGGTGGGGTTCGGGGGGGTTTGGGGGGGTCCTAAATGGGATTTGGGGGGAAAATTGGGGGGTGCTGGGGGGGTTTGGGGGGTCCTGGGGGGGTTTAGGGGAGGTCTGAGTGGATTTTAGGGGGTCCTGGGAGGATTTGGGGGGGTCCTGAGGGGGATTTGGGGGTCCTGGGGGAGTTTAGAGGGGTTTTGGGGGGGTTTTGGGGGGTCCTGGGGGGGGGTTTGGGGGGTCCTGAGTGAAATTTGGGGGGTCCTGAGGGGGGTTGGGGGGAACTTGGGAGGTCCTGGGGGGGTTTGGGGTTGCTGAGTGGGGTTTTGGGTAGGGTTTGGGTGGTCCTTGGGGGGTTTGGGGGATCCTGGGTGGGGTTTGGGGGGATTTGGGGGGTCCTGGGGGGTTTGGGGGGTCTTGGGGGGGGTTTGGGGGGAAATTGGGGGGTCCTGAATGGGGTTTGGGGGGTCCTGAGGGGGGTTTGGGGGGAAATAGGGGGAATTTGGGGGGTTCTGAGGGGGTTTGTGGGGTCCTGAGTGGGGTTTGGGGGGAAATTGGGGGGTCCTGGGGGGAAATTGGGGGGATTTGGGGGTCCTGGGGGGGTTTGGGGGATTCTGGAGGGTGTTTGGGGGGTCCTGGAGGGGGTTTGGGGGGTCCTGGGGGGGATTTGGGGGGTCTGGGGTGAGTTTGGGGGGTCCTGGGGGAATCCTGGGGGAGTTTTGAGGGGTTCTTGGGAGGTCTGAGTGGATTTTAGGGGGTCCTGAGGAAATTTGGGGGGTCTTGGGGGGGTCCTGGGGGAATTTAGGGGGGATTTGAGGGGTCTTGGGGGGAAATTGGGGGGTCTGGGGTGAGTTTGGGGGGTCCTGGGGGAATTTAGGGGGGGTTTGGGGAGGTCTGAGTGGATTTTAGGGGGTCCTGAGGGGGGTTTGGGGGGTCCTGGGGGGAAATTGGGGGGTCCTGAGGGGGTTTGGGGAGTCCTGAGGAGGTTTGGGGGCTCCTGGGGGAAGTTTAGGGGGTCCTGGGCGGGGTTTGGGGGGTCCTGAGGGGGGTTTGGGGTCATCCTGGGGGAATTCAGGGGGGTTTTGGGGAGGTCTGAGTGGATTTTAGGGGGTCCTGGGGGGGGTTTAGGGGGTCTTGAGGGGGGTTTGGGGGGAAATTTGGGGGTCTGGGGAGATTTGGGGGGGGTCCTGGGAGGGGTTTGGGGGGTCCTGAGTGGGGTTTGGGGGGAAACTGGGGGGTCCTGAATGGGGTTTGGGGGGTCCTGGGGGGGTTTGGGGGAATTCAGGGAAAGTTTTGGCGGTCCTGGGGTGATTTTGGGGTGAATTTTTGGGGTTTCAGGGCTGATTTGGGGGTGAATTTTTGGGTTCAGGAGTGATTTTGGGCTAATTTTGGCGTTTCAGGGCTGATTTTGGGCTAATTTTGGCGTTTCAGGGCTGATTTTGGGGTGAATTTTGGGGGTTTCAGGGCTGATTTTGGGGTGAATTTTGGGGTTTCAGGGCTGATTTTGGGGTGAATATTGGGGGTTTCAGGGCTGATTTTGGGGTGAATTTGGGGTTTCAGGGCTGTTTTGGGGTGAATTTTGGGGGTTTCAGGGCTGATTTGGGGGTTTCAGGGCTGATTTTGGGGTTAATTTTGGGGTTTCAGGGCTGATTTTGGGGTGAATTTTGGGGGTTTCAGGGGTAATTTGGGGGTTTCAGGGGTGATTTTGGGATGAATTTTGGGGTTTCGGGGCTGATTTGGGGGTGAATTTGGGGGTGAATTTGGGGGTTTCAGGGCTGATTTTGGGGTGAATTTGGGGTTTCAGGGGTGATTTTGGGGTGAATTTGGAGGTTTCAGGGCTGATTTTGGGGGTTTCAGGGCTGATTTTGGGGTGAATTTTGGGGTTTCAGGGCTGTTTTGGGGTGAATTTTGGGGGTTTCAGGGGTAATTTTGGGGTTTAAGGGCTGATTTTGGGGTGAATTTGGGGGTTTCAGGGCTGTTTTGGGGTGAATTTGGGGGTTTCAGGGCTGATTTTGGGGTGAATTTTGGGGGTTTCAGGGCTGATTTTGGGGTGAATTTTGGGGTTTCAGGGCTGATTTTGGGGTGAATTTTGGGGTTTCAGGGCTGATTTTGGGGTGCAATGTAGGAACGCCGCTGGGCCAGCAGGGGGCGTGGCTTACGGCGGCCACGCCCACACATGCCTAAAGTGGGCGTGGCCTGACCGTGGCCCCGCCCCCAGCTGGCCAGCCTGGCCAGTGACACGCAGGAGCTGCGGGAGGCGGAGCTGACGGGGGTGACGTCAGAGGAGACGCGGCTGCTGATTGGCTCGCTGCGGCGCGTGCCCAGCCTGATTGACATCCTGTGCTACAGCTACTGCTACCTGGGGCTGCTGACAGGTGCGGGGGGCGGGGCCAGGGGGGGCGGGGCCAGGGGGGGCAAAGGGGCGGGGCCAGAGCGGCGGGGGGCGGGGCCAGAGGGGACGGGGGGCGGGGCCAGAGGGCACTTGGGGAGATTTTGGGGGGGTTCCAGGGGGAATTTGGGGGGTCCCAGGGGGAATTTCGGGGGGGGTCCTAGGGGGGATTTGGGGGGGATTTTGGGGAGATTTTGGGGGGTCCCACGGGGCATTTTGGGGGGTCCCAGGGGGGATTTTGGGGGTCCCAGGGGGAATTTCGGGGGGATTTTGGGGGGGGTCCCAGGGGGGATTTTGGGGGGAATTTTGGGGAGATTTTGGGGGGTCCTAGGGGGAATTCTGGGGGGGTCCCAGAGGGGATTTGGGGGGTCCCAGGGGGGATTGTGGGGGGATTTTGGGGAGATTTTGGGGAGTCCCAGGGGGAATATTGGGGGGTCCCAGGGGGAATTTTGGGGGGATTTTTGGAGGTCCCAGAGAGAATTTTGGGGGGATTTTGTGAGGGGTCACAGAGGGAATTTTAAGGGTCCTGCAGATGATTTCGGGGGTGTCCTAGAGAGGATTTGGGGGGGGTCCCAGGGGAAATTTTGGGGGGGTCCTAGGGGGGATTTTGGGGGGTCCCAGAGGGGATTTTGGGGAGATTTTGGGGAGATTTTGGGGGGGTCCCAGGGGGGTTTTTGGGGAGATTTTGGGGGTCCCAGGGAGGATTTTGGGGGGTCCCAGGGGGAATTTTGGGGGGATTTTGAGGGGGGTCCCAGAAGGAATTTTGAGGGTCCCATAGATGATTTTGGGGGAATTTTGGGGTTTCCCAGAGGGGATTTGGGGGGGGTGGGGTCCCAGGAGGAATTTTGGAGGTCCCAGAGGGAATTTTGGGGGGATTTGGGGGGTCCCAGAGGGAATTTTGGAGGAATTTTGTGGGGGGTCCCAGAAGGAATTTTGAGGGTCCCATGGGTGATTTTGGGGGAATTTTGGGGTTTCCCAGAGGGGATTTGAGGGGGGTCCTAGGGGGAATTTTGGGGGGGGTCCCAGGGGGAATTTTGAGGGTCCCACGGATGATTTTGGGGGGTCCCAGAGGGAATTTTGGGGGGATTTGTGGGGGGGTCCCAGAGGGAATTTTGAGGGTCCCACAGGTGATTTTGGGGGAATTTTGGGGTGTCCTAGAGAGGATTTTGGGGGGGGGGGTCCCAGGGGGAATTTTGGGGGAATTCTGAGGGGATTTTGGGGCTTTCTAACTGCACTACCTGTGTGCCACCTGTGTGTGCCCCCTGTGTGCCATTTCTGTCACCTGTGTGTGCCACCTGTGTGCCATTTATGTGCCACCTGTGTATCATTTATGCCACCTGTGTGCCATCTATGCCACCTGTGTGCCATCTCTGTGCCCCCTGTGCCATCTATACCACCTGTGTGCCATTTATGTCACCTGTGCCATTTGTGTCACCTGTGTGCCATCTATGTCACCTGTGTGCCATTTATGTCACCTGTGTACCATCTCTGTGCCATCTATGTCACCCATGTGCCATTTCTGTCACCCGTGTGCCATTTATGTCACCTGTGTGCCACCTCTGTGCCGTTTCTGTCCCCCCTGTGCCATTTATGTCACCTGTGTGCCATCTCTGTCCCCTCTGTGCCACCCGTGTGCCATTTATGCCACCTGTGTGCCATTAATATGTCACCTGTGCCATTTATGCCCCCTGTGTGCCACCTGTGTGCCATCTGTCACCTGTGTGTCATGTTTGTGCCCCCTGTGCCATATCTGTGGTGTCTGTGTGCCATTTATGCCACCTGTGTGCCATTTCTGTCCCCCTGTGCCATCTCTGTGCCATCTCTGTGCCATCTCTGTCCCCCCTGTGCCATTTATGTGCCATCTCTGTCCCCCGTGTGCCATCTCTGTGCCGTTCCTGTCCCCCCTGTGCCATCTCTGTGCCATTTATGTGCCATTTATGTCACCTGTGTGTCATCTCTGTGCCATTTATGTCACCTGTGTGTCACCTGTGTGCCATTTATGTCGCCTGTGTACCATTTATGTGCCATCTGTGCTATTTATGTCACCTGTGTGCCATCTATGTGCCATTCATGTCTCACCCGTGTGCCATTTCTGTGCCATCTCTGTGCCATTTATGTCACCCGTGTACCATCTCCGTGCCATCTATGTCACCTGTGTGCCATCTCTGTGCCGTTTGTGTGCCCCCTGTGCCATTTATGTGCCGTTTGTGTCACCTGTGTGCCATCTATGTGCCACCTGTGTCATTTATGTCACCTGTGTGCCATCCGTGTGCCATTTATGTCACCTGTGTGCCATCTCTGTGCCATTTATGTCACCTGTGTGCCATCTCTGTGCCATTTCTGTGCCCCCTGTGCCACCCGTGTGCCATTTATGTCACCTGTGTGCCATCTCTGTCCCCCGTGTGCCACCTGTGTGCCATCTCTGTCCCCCGTGTGCCACCTGTGTGCCATCTCTGCGCCATCTATGCCACCCGTGTGCCATTTCTGTCCCCCGTGTGCCACCCCTGTGCCATTTCTGTGCTCTCTGTGCCATCTCTGTGCCATTTCTGTCCCCTCTGTGCCACCTGTGTGCCATCTCTGTCCCCCGTGTGCCATTCCTGTCCCCCCTGTGCCATCTCTGTGCCATCTCTGTCCCCCCTGTGCCACCTGTGTGCCATTTCTGTGCCATCTCTGTCCCCTGTGTGCCATTTGTGTCACCCGTGTGCCATCTCTGTGCCATTTATGTCACCCGTGTGCCACCCCTGTGCCATCTCTGTCCCCTCTGTGCCATCTATGTGCCATCTCTGTGCCATTTGTGTCACCTGTGTGCCATCTATGTCCCCCCTGTGCCATTTATGCCACCTGTGTGCCATTTATGTGTCACCTGTGCCATTTATGTGCCACCTGTGTGCCATTTATGCCATCTCTGTGCCATCTATGTCACCTGTGTGCCATCTGTGCCATTTATGTCCCCCCTGTGCCACTTTTGTGCCATCTATGTGCCATTTGTCACCTGTGTGCCACCTGTGTGCCATCTATGTCACCTGTGTGCCATCTATGTGCCATTTATGTCACCTGTGTGCCATCTCTGTGCCATTTCTCTCCCCCCTGTGCCACCTGTGTGCCATCTCTGTGCCATCTCTGTCCCCCCCTGTGCCATCTCTGTGCCATCTCTGTCCCCCCTGTGCCATTTCTGTCCCCCGTGTGCCATTTATGTCACCTGTGTGCCATCTCTGTCCCCCCTGTGCCACCCCCGTGCCATCTCTGTGCCATTTCTGTCCCTCCTGTGCCATCTCTGTGCCATTTATGTCACCTGTGTCTCATCTCTGTGCCATCTCTGTGCCATTTCTGTCCCTCCTGTGCCATCTCTGTGCCATTTATGTCACCTGTGTCTCATCTCTGTGCCATCTCTGTGCCATTTCTGTCCCCCCTGTGCCATCTCTGTGCCATCCCTGTGCCATTTATGCCATCTCTGTTCCACCTCTGTCCCCGCAGGTCCGTTCTACCGTCTGGGCACGCACCTGGACTGGGTGCGGTGCCCGGGGTGCCCGCGGGCGCGGGGCCGGGCGCTGCGGCGGCTGCGCTGGGCGCCGGCCCTGGGCGTTCTGGGGGTGCTGGTGGGGCGGGCGTGGCCGGCGGGCGCCGCGCTGCACCCCGAGTTCTCCGCGCGCCCCTGGGCCGCCCGCCTGGCACACATGGTGCCCGTGTTCCTCGCCCTGCGCCTGCGCCTCTACGTGGGCTGGCTGTGCGCCGAGGCGGGCTGCGTGGCCGCCGGGCTGGGGGCGTACCCCAAAAGTGCCCGGGCCAGGCCGGGACAGGGACCCACGGTGCCATGGGAGCGCCCCAAAACGTGAGTGGCACCTTTGGGGTACGGGGGGTACGGGGACATTGGGGACATTGGGGATATTGGGGTACAGGGGATGTGGGGTGTACCCCAAATGTGCCTGGGCACGGCCGGGACGGGGACCCACGGCGCCATGGGAGCGCCCCAAAACGTGAGTGGCACCTTTGGGGTACAGGGGGTGTGGGGGGGTACAGGGGATGTGGGGCTGGGAGCGCCCCAAAACGTGAGTGGCACCTTTGGGGTACGGGGGGTACAGGGACATTGGTGTGTACCCCAAAAGTGCCCGGGCACGGCCGGGACAGGGACCCACGGTGCCATGGGAGCGCCCCAAAACGTGAGTGGCACCTTTGGGGCACAGGGGGTACAGGGGATGTGGGGCTGGGGATGTACCCCGAATCTGTCAGGGAAGGGACCCACGGTGCCATGGGAGCGCCCCAAAACGTGAGTGGCACCTTTGGGGGTACAGGGACATTGGGGACACTGGGGTGTGGGGCTGGCTGTGCGCCGAGGCGGGCTGCGTGGCCGCGGGGCTGGGGGCGTACCCCAAAAGTGCCCGGGCACGGCCGGGACAGGGACCCACGGTGCCATGGGAGCGCCCCAAAATGTGAGTGGCACCCTGGGGGTATGGGGGTGTGGGGCTGGGTGCGCCCCAAAACATGACTGGCACCTTTGGGGTACAGGGGGTGTGGGGATGTGGGGCTGGGTGTGTACCCCAAATCTGTCAGGGACAGGGACCCACGGTGCCATGGGAGCGCCCCAAAACATGAGTGGCACCTTTGGGGCATCACTGGGGTACGGGGACATTGGGGACATTGGGAACATTGGGGTACAGGGGGTGTGGGGATGTGGGGTGTACCCCAAATCTGCCCGGGCACGGCCGGGACAGGGACCCACGGTGCCATGGGAGCGCCCCAAAACGTGAGTGGCACCTTTGGGGTACAGGGACATTGGGGACATTGGGGTACAGGGGGTGTGGGGATGTGGGGCTGGGTGTGTACCCCAAATGTGCCAGGGCCTGTCCCTATGTCACCTGAGTGTCCCTGTGTCTCACCTGAGTGTCCCTGTGTGTCACCTGAGTGTCCCCATGTCCCACCTGAGTGTCCCCACGTCCCACCTGGTGACTCACCTGTGCCAGGTGTGCCCATCTCCCCGATGAGCAGTGGGATTGTGACACCAACCACAGAGAGTGGGGGTCCCTGAGTGTCACCTGAGTGTCCTTGTGTCTCACCTGGTGTCCCCACGTGTCACCTGAGTGTCACCTGAGTGTCCCCATGTCCCACCTGAGTGTCTCACCTGTGCCAGGTGCTCTGACATCCCCGATGACCAGTGGGATTTCGAGGCCATCCGCACGGTGGGGCACAGACTGGGGGTGTCTGTGTCACCTGGGTGTGTCACTGAGTGTCACCTGAGTGTCCCCATGTCCCACCTGAGGGTCTCACCTGTGCCAGGTGCTCTGACATCCCCGATGATCAGTGGGATTTCGAGGCCATCCGCACGGTGGGGCACAGACTGGGGGTGTCTGTGTCACCTGTGTGTGTCACTGAGTGTCACCTGGGTGTCCCCATGTCCCACCTGAGTGTCCCCACGTCCCACCTGAGTGTCCCCATGTCCCACCTGAGGGTCTCACCTGTGCCAGGTGTGCCGATATCCCCGATGACCAGTGGGATTTCGAGGCCATCCGCACGGTGGGGCACAGAGTGGGGGTGTCTGTGTCACCTGTGTGTGTCCCCATGTGTCACCTGAGTGTCACCTGAGTGTCCCCACGTCCCACCTGGTGTCTCACCTGTGCCAGGTGCTCTGACATCCCCGAGGAGCAGTGGGATTTCGAGGCCATCCGCACGGTGGGGCACAGACTGGGGGTGTCTGTGTGTCACTGAGTGTCACCTGAGTGTCACCTGAGTGTCCCCATGTGTCCCCATGTCCCAGCCGTGTCTCACCTGTGCCAGGTGTGCCGATATCCCCGATGAGCAGTGGGATTTCGAGGCCATCCGCACGGTGGACCCGCGGGGCACGGAGCTGGGCCGGCGGTTCCGGGACGGGCTGCGGCGCTGGAACATGACGGTGCAGTGGTGGCTGGCGGCGTACGTGCACCGGCGGGGACCCCGACGGTACCCCCTGCTCCGGTACGGGAACTGGGAGCACTGGGAGGGACTGGGAGGGACTGGGAGCACTGGGAGGGACTGGGAGCACTGGGAGGGACTGGGAGAGACTGGGAGCACTGGGAGGGACTGGGAATGGGACTGGGAGGGACTGGGAGGGACTGGGAGGGACTGGGAGGGACTCACTGGGAGCACTGGGAGGGACTGGGAGGGACTCACTGGGAGCACTGGGAGGGACTGGGAGGGACTGGGAGGGACTGGGAGGGACTGGGAGCACTGGGAGGGACTGGGAGGGACTCACTGGGAGCACTGGGAGGGACTGGGAGGGACTGGGAATGGGACTGGGAGGGACTGGGAGGGACTGGGAGGGACTCACTGGCGGCGTACGTGCACCGGCGGGGACCCCGGCGGTACCCCCTGCTCCGGAACGGGGAACTGGGAGCACTGGGAGGGACTGGGAGGGACTGGGAGGGACTCACTGGGAGGGACTGGGAGCACTGGGAGGGACTGGGAGGGATTGGGAATGGGACTGGGAGGGACTGGGAGCACTGGGAGGGACTGGGAGGGACTCACTGGGAGCACTGGGAGGGACTGGGAGGGACTGGGAGGGACTCACTGGGAGCACTGGGAGGGACTGGGAGGGACTGGGAGGGACTCACTGGGAGCACTGGGAGCACTGGGAGGGACTGGGAGCACTGGGAGGGACTGGGAGCACTGGGAGGGACTGGGAGGGACTCACTGGGAGCACTGGGAGCACTGGGAGGGACTCACTGGGAGCACTGGGAACACTGGGAGCACTGGGAGGGACTCACTGGCGGCGTACGTGCACCGGCGGGGACCCCGACGGTACCCCCTGATCCGGTACGGGAACTGGGGGAACTGGGAGCACTGGGAGGGACTGGGAGGGACTGGGAGGGACTGGGAGGGACTGGGAGGGACTCACTGGCGGCGTACGTGCACCGGCGGGGACCGCGCCGGTACCCCCTGCTCCGGTACGGGAACTGGGGGAACTGGGAGGGACTGGGAGGGACTGGGAACATTGGGAGAAGGATGAAGATGAAGGTTGGGGCGCTGGGAGCTGAGTTTGTGAGGGTGTAAACTGAATTTTGGGGGTTTGGGCTGGACTTTGGGAGGTGTAAATTCAATTTTGGGTGCTGGGGCTGGACTTTGGGAGGTATTAAATTCAACTTTGGGTGCGTAAAGGGAACTTTCTATGGAGCAGACTGGAATTTGAGGGGTGTAAATTCAATTTTGTGTGCTTGGGCTGGACTTTGGGAGGTATAAATTCAATTTTGGGTGCTTGGGCTGGACTTTGAGAGGTGTAAATTCAATTTTGGGTGCCGGGGCTGGACTTTGAGAGGTATAAATTCAATTTTGGGTTATTAGGCCGGACTTTGAGAGGTATAAATTCAATTTTGGGTGCTGGGGCTGGACTTTGAGAGGCACAAACTCAACTTTGGGTGCGTAAAGGGAACTGACCCCCCCAACCCAACCTTTCCCACCTCGCTAACCCCACCTCCCCGTTTTTCTCCCCAAAACCTCCGCAGGAACGCCTGGACCATGCTGGTCTCGGCGTACTGGCACGGGCTGCACGGCGGGCAGTACCTGTCCTTCCTCAGCGTGCCGCTGTGGCTGGCGGCCGAGGCGGCGGCCGAGGCGGCTCTGGGCGATTATTTCGGGGTGCCCCTGGAGCGGCTGGGCGGCTGGAGGGGCTCGGCGCTGCGGGGCACGCAGTGGTTCCTCAAGATGAGGGCGTTCGAGTACCTGAGCGTGGGATTCGTGCTGAGGGGAGCCGCGGACACGCTGCGCTATTGGGCCTCGGTGCATTTCTGCCTCCATGTTCTGCCCCTCCTCATCCTCCTGGCGGCCGCGGCGGCGGGAAAGGGGCGGCACAAAGGGCGTGAGGGGGAAAAAGGGCGGAAAGAGGGGCAGGAAAATGGGCGTGAGGGGGAAAAAGGCCGTGAGGGGGAAAAAGGCCGTGAGGGGGAAAAAGGCCGTGAGGGGGAGAATGGGAGGGAAAATGGCCGTGAGGGGGAAAAAGGACGTGAGGGGGAAAAAGGTCGTGAGGGGGAAAAAGGCCGTGAGGGGGAAAAAAGCCGTGACGGGGAAAAAGGCCGTGAGGGGGAAAAAAGCCGTGAGGGGGAAAAAAGCCGTGAGGGGGAAAAAGGCCGTGAGGGGGAGAATGGGCGGGAAAATGGGCGGGAAAAAGGGCGGGAAGAGGGGCGGGAAAATGGGCGGGAAAAATGCCGTGAGGGGGAAAAAGGCCGTGAGGGGGAAAAAGGCCGTGAGGGAGAAAATGGGCGGGAAAATGGGCGGGAAAAGGGTCGTGAGGGGGAAAAGGGAGAAGGGGAGGAGAAAGTGAGGAGGAGGCGGGAGCGCTCTGAGGGGGAGGGTGGGGAGCTCCTAAATCCTAAAATTCAGGGATTTGGGGAGCTCATGAAGCCTAAAATTCATGAGGGATGGGATCCTCTGAAACCTAAAATTCATGAGGGATGGGATCCTCTAAAATCTAAAATCCAGGAGGGATGGGACCCCCTGAACCCCAAAATTCAGGAGGGATGGGACTCCCTGAACCCCAAATTTGAGGAGGGTGGGGAGGCCCTAAATCCTAAAATTCAGGAATTTGGGGAGCTCATGAAGCCTAAAATTCATGAGGGATGGGACCCCCTGAACCCCAAAATTCAGGAGGGATGGGACTCCCTGAACCCCAAATTTGAGGAGGGTGGGGAGGCCCTAAATCCTAAAATTCATGAGGGATGGGACCCCCTAAATCCTAAAGTTCAGGAATGTGGGGAGCCCCTGAATCCTAAAATTCATGAGGCTGTGGATCCCCTAAAACCTAAACTTCATGAGGGATGGGACCCCCTAAATTCTAAAATCCATGAGGGGTCGGACCCCTTGAACCCCAAATTTCAGGACGGTGGGGACCCCCAAAATCCCCAAATTTATGAGGGATGGAACCCTTCAAACCCCAAAAGCGAGGCCGGGGAGCTGAGGAAGAGGAGGGACCCCGAGGGCCGGGCTGGGGATGAACCCCAAGAACCAAATTTGGGGTGAGGATGAGGAGGGAGCACCCCAAAACTCGGGGTGGGGGAGGAACCCCAGTGGAAAATGGGGGAAAAAACGCCCTGAACCCCAAAATCCCAAATAGGGGAACTTTAATAGCCCCGAATCGGGGGGACCTCCGGGTGAGGAAGAGGAGGAACCCCAAAAATGAGAATTTAGGGGGGTCCCCACCCCCCTGAACCCAAATAATCAGGAATGGGGAGGATTTGGGGGCTGTGGACACCCCCTGGGTTTTTTTTTTTAGGGGTGTGGGGCTCTGTTTTTGGAAAGGGCCCCCCTAAAATTGAGACCAATAAAAGCCTTGAGTGACGCTCCCGGTGTGTTTGGCTTGTGGGGACCCCAAATGGACAGAAACCACCCCAAAAGTGCCTCCCAAAGCCTTGAGAGTGAATAAAACACATCTAAAATGGAGCCGGATACCAAAAATGGATCAAATCTCCCTGAACTGACCTGACCCTGCGGCACCCCTGAGGGGAATCTCTGAGGGAAATGAGGCAAAGCTGGAGGCAAATCCTTGAAATGTGCAAAGAACTCGGGCCGGGAGTCTCCAAGGAGATTTTGAGCGTTCCCTGAGGGGTTTTAGGGTGGATTTGGGGCGTCCGGAGGGGATTTTTGAGTTTTTGGGGGAGGTTTCAGCGACGTTCTCATCTCCCCTCACGGCTCAATATGGCGGCAAGGCGGGAAACCGCCACTTCTGGCCTCGCCCCGCTGAGGAAGACGGGTGAGCCAATCAGAGGAGGGAAAGAGGGCGGACTACAGCGCTCGGCGAATCAGAGCGCGACAACGGGGCGGAGCAAAAGCCTGAGCGAATCAGAGAGCGAGAAAGGGCGGAGTGACAGGAGCTCGACCAATCAGAACAAAGAGGCCGGCAGGGAAGTCGGTGCGGCCGCGGTGCCTCAGAGCCGCGGCCTTGTCCCGCCGCCGCCGCCGCCATGAACATCCTTCCCAAGAAGTCGTGGCACGTTCGGAACAAGGACAATGTGGCGCGGGTGCGGCGGGACGAGGCGGCGGCCGAGGTGGAGAGGAGGAAACGCGACGCGCGCGCGCTGCGGGCGGAGCAGGAGGCGAGTGCTGAAGGATTGGGGGGGGGTGCCGGAAGGGGAAAGGGGGCGGGGCTTTGTAGCAAAGAGCCAATCAGCATGAGCGGCTTTGAATATATTATAAATAGGGGCGTGGCTTAGTGTGATTGGCGTGGCGCGGTGCGAACCATTTCCTTTTATGGGGGGGATGGACTGAGCTAAAAAAGTTATTTTATTGGGGAGGGGGCAAAATAAATTCATAAAATAATTTGGCGAAGGGCGAAATAAATGGGAGAGGGATTTACAAAGTCAGTGCGATGAGATTTGGGGGGAAAAGCACCCGGGAGGGGTATATTGGGGGGTGGGGGGGTGAAAAAGCTCAATGGGGAAGGGACTATTTGTGGGGGGTATTTTGGTGAATTTGGGGTGGGGGACAGATTTTGGGGGTCCCTAAACCCCCTTTGTGCCCCCCAGGTGCGCACGGAGCTGCTGCGGAAGCGGGCGCGGCTCGGGGGGCGCAGCCCGTCCCCCCCCCGCGGCCCCCGCGCTGTTCCCGCCGCCCGAGGAGGCGGCGCCCAACCGCGAGCACGAGGCGGAAAAAAGGCGGGAACAGGTAAAAAAACCCCATAAAAATAAAATTATCCCCTCAGGATAAAAAAATTATCACCTCTTATTTCCTCCGTGTGGAATAAGAATTAGGGAAAAATAAAAAAAAAGAGGATTTGGAGGGGTCAGAACTTGAAATTCTGACCCCAGGAGGAGGTGAAGGGGTAAAAATGGGGCGGTGTGAGGGGAAAAAAGGGATTTTGGGGTGATTTTAGGGGTTTTGAGGGGGATTTGGGAGAAAAGGGGGGGTTTGGTATTTTTGGGCAGAATTTGGGAAAAAAAGGGGGTGGTTTTGGTATTTTTGAGCAGAATTTGGGAGAAAAAGGGGTGGTTTTGGCATTGAGGGTCTCACCCTAAATCCCCCTCCCCAGTTTCCCCCTCAGAAATGTCTGAGGTTGGAAAATGGGGGAATTTGTGCAAGAAAATGAGAATTTTGGGTGAAAAAAGGCGGAATTTGGGTGGAAAAAGCAGGAATTTCAGTGGAAAAAGGACTTTGGGGGAAATCCGGGGAGATTTTCACATGGGGGGCTCACCCCAAATCCCCCTCCCCATTTTCCCCTCACAAATGTCTGCGATTGGGGGGTTGGAAAATAACAAGATTTGGGTGGAAAAAGGAGGAATTTGTGTGGAAAAAAGTGGAATTTGGGTAAAAAAAAAGGGAATTTGGGAGAAAATTGGGTGGTTTTGGCATTGAGGGTCTCACCCCAAATCCCCCCCCCCAATTTTCCCCTCAGGAGCGGCTGAGGTTGGAGGGGTGGGGGTGGGAAATGGCAATATTTGTATGGAAAAAAGGGGAATTTGGGTGTAAAAAAGGGGAATTTGGGTGGGAAATGGGGTGGGAAATGGGGGAATTTGGGTGGGAAAAGGGGGAATTTGGATGGGAAAAAGAGAATTTGGGTGGGAAAAACGGAAATTGGGTGGGGAAAAGGGGAATTTGGGTGGGAAATGGGGGAAATTGGGTGGGAAAAAGGGGAATTTGGGTGGGAAAAGGGGAATTTGGGCGGAAAAAGGGGAATTTGGGTGGGAAAAAGGGGAATTTGGGTGGGAAAAAGAGGAATTTGGGCGGAAAAAGGGGAATTTGGGTGGGAAAAAGGGGAATTTGGGTGGGAAAAGGGGGAATTTGGGTGGAAAAAGGAGAATTTGGGTGGGAAAAAGGGGGAATTTGGGTGGGAAAAAGGAGAATTTGGGTGGAAAAAAGGGGAATTTGTGTAGAAAAAAGGGGAATTTGGGTGGGAAAATGGGAATTTGGGTGGGAAATGGGGGAATTTGGGTGGGAAATGGTAGGATTTGGGTGGGAAAAGGGGGAAATTGTGTGGGAAAAAGGGGATTTGGATGGGAAAAAGGAGAATTTGGGTGGGAAAAAGGGGAATTTAAGTGGGAAAAAGGGGGATTTTGGTGGATAAAAGGGGAAATTGGGTGGGAAAAGGGGAATTGGGGTGGGAAAAAGGGAATTTGGGTGGGAAAAAGGGGAATTTGGGTGGGAAAAGGGGGAATTTGGGTGGGAAAAAGGGGAATTTGGGTGGGAAAAAGGGGAATTTAAGTGGGAAAAAGGGGATTTTGGGTGGGAAAAAAGAGAATTTGGGTGGGAAAAGGGGAAATTGGGTGGGGAAAAAGGGAAATTTGGGTGGGAAAAAGGGGAATTTGGGTGGGAAAAGGGGAAATTGGGTAGGAAATGGGGAATTTTTGTGGGAAAAGGGGAATTTGGGTGGGAAAAGTGGAATTTGGGTGGGAAAAAGGGGAATTTGTGTGGGAAATGGGGGAATTTAAGTGGGAAAAAGGAGGATTTTGGTGGGAAAAAGGGGATTTTGGGTGGGAAAAGGGACAATTTGGGTGGGAAAAAGGGGAATTTGGGTGGGAAATGGAGGAATTGGGTGGGAAAAGGGGAATTTTGGTGAGAAAAACGGGAATTTGGGTGGGAAAAGGGGGATTTGGGTGGGAAAAAGGGAATTTGGGTGGGAAAAGGAGAATTTGGGTGGGAAATGGGGGAATTTATGTGGGAGAAAGGGAAATTTGGGTGGGAAAAGGGGGAATTTGGGTGGGAAAGAGAATTTGGGCGGGAAAAAGGGGAAATTATGTGGGAAAAAGGGGAATTTGGGTGGGAAATGGGGAAATTGGGTGGGAAAAGGCAAATTTGGGTGGGAAAAAGGGGAATTTTGGTGGGAAAAGGGGGAATTTGGGTGGGAAATGGGGGAATTTGGATGGGAAAAAGGGGAAATTGGGTGGGAAATGGGGGAATTTGGGCGGGAAAAGGCGGAATTTGTGTTGAAAAACGGGGAATTTAAGTGGGAAAAAGGGGATTTTGGGCGTGAAAAAGGGGAATTTAAGTGGGAAAAAGTGTCTGTTTGTGGCCTGGGGGGTCTGACCCCGAATCCCCCTCCCCAATTTCCCCAGGAACGCCGGGAACGCGCCCTGGGGGTCCTGACCTACCTGGGGCAGAGCGCGGCCGAGGCCCAGACCTGCCCCCCCTGGTACCTGCAGCCCCCCAAAAAACCTGGGGAGGGGTCCCCAGAGGTGCAGGGGGGGCGCAAGGCCCTGCTGGACCCCCTGCAGGAGATGAGGAAGGGGCTGCGCCGAGCCCCCAGCCCCAAAAAACCCCCAAATCCCCCCCAGACCCGGCCCCCCAACGCCCCCGAGAGCGGCGCGGCAACAGGGTGAGTGATTATTAATTAGTGTTTAATTAATGCAATCATACCTTTTCCACTCATTAGTGCTGCCCTGAGTATCTTCTCCCTGTTAATTAACTCCTTGAATATCTAATTATGCATTAATTATTTAATTAACTTTCATTATCACCCCACGACCCCCTCCTGTCCCCCCCAATAAAGGCTTCAGACCCCAAAATTGGGATTTAACCCATCCAAAATTGGGGTGAAACCCCCCAAATTTGGGAATTTAACACATCCAAAATTGGGGTGAAATCTCCCAAATTTGGGGATTTATCCCTTCCTAAATTGGGGTGAAATCCCCCAAATTTGGGGATTTATCCCTTCCTAAATTGGGGTGAAATCCCCCAAATTTGGGAATTTATCCCTTCCTAAATTGGGGTGAAATCCCCCAAATTTGGGGATTTATCCCTTCCTAAATTGGGGTGAAATCCCCCAAATATGGAGAATTATCCCTTCCAAAATTGGGGTGAAATCCCCCAAATTTGGGGAATTATCCCTTCCAAACTTGGGGTGTGACCCCCCCCCAAATTTGGGGTTTTAATCCATCCTAAATTGGGGTGAAATCCCCCAAATTTGGGGATTTATCCCTTCCAAAATTGGGGTGTGACCCCCCAAATATGGGGATTTAACCCATCCTAAATTGGGGTGAAATCCCCCAAATTTGGGGATTTATCCCTTCCTAAATTGGGGTGAAATCCCCCAAATTTTGGGAATTATCCCTTCATAAATTGGGGTGTGACCCCCCAAATTTGGGGATTTATCCCTTCCTAAATTGGGGTGAAATCCCCAAATTTGGGGATTTATCCCTTCCTAAATTGGGGTGAAATCCCCCAAATTTGGGGATTTATCCCTTCCTAAATTGGGGTGAAATCCCCCAAATTTGAGGTTTTAACCCCTCCTAAATTGGGGTGTGACCCCCCAAATTTGGGGATTTATCCCTTCCTAAATTGGGGTAAAATCCCCCAAATTTGGGGATTTATCCCATCCAAAATTGGAGTAAGACCCTTCCAAATTTGGGGATTAACCCTTCCTAAATTGGGGTGAAATCCCCCTCAAATTTGGGGATTTATCCCTTCCTAAATTGGGGTAAAATCCCCCAAATTTGGGGATTTATCCCATCCAAAATTGGAGTAAGACCCTTCCAAATTTGGGGATTAACCCTTCCTAAATTGGGGTGAAATCCCCCTCAAATTTGGGGATTTATCCCTTCCTAAATTGGGGTGTGACCCCCCCAAATTTGGGGTTTTATCCCCTCCTAAATTGGGGTGAAACCCCCCAAATTTGGGGATTTATCCCATCCTAAATTGGGGTGAAATCCCCCAAATTTGGGGATTTATCCCTTCCTAAATTGGGGTGAAATCCCCCAAATTTGGGGTTTTAGCCCTTCCTAAATTGGGGTGAAATCCCCCAAATTTGGGGTTTTATCCGTTCCTAAATTGGGGTGTGACCCCCCAAATTTGGGGATTTATCCCTTCCTAAATTGGGCTGAAATCCCCCAAATTTGGGGATTTAACACATCCAAAATTAGGGTGAAATCCCCCAAATTTGGGGATTTATTCCTTCCTAAATTGGGGCGAAATCCCCCAAATTTGGGGATTTATCCCTTCCTAAATTGGGGTGAAATCCCCCAAATTTGGGGATTTATCCCTTCCTAAATTGGGGTGTGACCCCCCAAAATTGGGGATTTATCCCTTTCTAAATTGGGGTGAAATCCCCTAAATTTGGGGTTTTAATCCATCCTAAATTGGAGTGTGACCCCCCAAATTTGGGGATTTAACCCATCCAAAATTGGGGTGAAATCCCCCAAATTTGGGGATTTATCCCTTCCTAAATTGGGGTGAAATCCCCCAAATTTGGGGATTTATCCCTTCCTAAATTGGGGTGAAATCCTCCAAATTTGGGGATTTATCCCTTCCAAAATTGGGGTGAAATCCCCCAAATTTGGAGTTTTATCCATTCCTAAATTGGGGTGAAATCCCCCAAATTTGGGGATTTATCCCTTCCTAAATTGGGGTGAAATCCCCCAAATTTGGGGATTTATCCCTTCCTCTTTTGGGGTGAAATCCCCCAAATTTGGGGATTTATCCCATCCTAAATTGGGGTGAAATCCCCCAAATTTGGGGATTTATCCCTTCCTAAATTGGGGTGTGACCCCCCAAATTTGGGGATTTATCCCTTCCTAAATTGGGGTGAAATCCCCCTAAATTTGGGGATTTATCCCTTCCTAAATTGGGGTGAAATCCCCCAAATTTGGGGTTTTATCCCTTCCTAAATTGGGGTGAAATCCCCCAAATTTGGGGATTTATCCCTTCCTAAAATTGGGGTGAAATCCCCCAAATTTGGGAATTATCCCTTCATAAATTGGGGTGAAATCCCCCAAATTTGGGGTTTTAACCCCTCCAAAACTGGGGCTTTGCCTCTAAAAATTATCCCCTTAAAATGAAAATTTAACTCCTCCAAAATTAATTTTTGTTATTTCTAAAACTGAGGTTTGAACCCCCTAAAATTTAAATTATTCCCCTAAAACTGGGGGATAATTTAAATTATAATAATTTAAATTATATTAAAATTATATTATTATTAAAATAATTTAAATTATATTAAAATTATATTATTATTAAAATAATAACCCCTCCCTTTGTGCTAATTAACCCCTTAATGAATTCACCCCTTAATTAATATCTAATTACAATTATTTCTTATTGCTGCCTTAGGAATTTAATCCTTTTATTTTTAACCCTTTCCCTTAATCACTGCTAATTAATTACCCATAATTACATCGTTAATGACTGCTAATTACACATTAATTACAGCTAATTACCAATTTAATTGGTGTTAATTACCGCTGTAAGCATATGGTAATTAGCTAATTACTTATTAATGATCACCCCCATCCTTACCCTGCTGTCCCACCCCTCGAGGGGTCCCTAATTAGCACTAATTAGCGCTAATTACCCCGCAGGCTGGCGGAGCTGCGGCGGCAGCGCCGGGCCCGGGAGGCGGCGGAGGCGGAGCGGAGCCGGGAGCTGCTGGAGAGGCTCCGGGACCCCCAAAAACCCACCGGGACCCCCCAAAAATCCGCCCGGGACCCCCCCCCGGAACGGCAGCGGCCCTACAACAGCCAGTTCCACCCGCGGCTGGCGCGGGGGGGGCCGAAAGGTACCCCAAAATTCACGTAAGAGACCCCAAAATTCACCTGAGAAACACCAAAAATCGGTAATGGACAGTTCCACCCGCGGCTGGCACGGGGGGGGCCGAAAGGTACCCCAAAATCCACCTGAGAGACCCCAAAATTCACCTGAGAGACCCCAAAATACACCTGAGACACCCCAAAATCCACCTGAGAGACCAAAAAATTCACCTGAGAGACCCCAAAATCCACCTGGGACCCCCAAAATTCACCTGAGACACCCCAAAATCCACCTGAGACACCCCAAAATTCACCTGAGAAACACCAAAAATCGGTAATGGACAGTTCCACCCGCGGCTGGCGCGGGGGGGGCCGAAAGGTACCCCAAAATTCACCTGAGACACCCCAAAATTCACCTGAGACACCCCAAAATTCACCTGAGACACCCCAAAAATCACCTGGAACACCAAAAATCGGTAATGGACAGTTCCACCCGCGGCTGGCACGGGGGGGGACAAAAGGTACCCCAAAATTCACCTGAGACACCCCAAAATCCACCTGAGAGACCCAAAATCCACCTGAGAGACCAAAAAATTCATCTGAGAAACCCCAAAATAGGTAATGGACAGTTCCACCCGCGGCTGGCGCGGGGGGGGCCCAAAAACCCCCCAAAATTCACCTGAGACACCCCAAAAATCACCTGAGAGACCCCAAATCGGTAATGGACAGTTCCACCCGCGGCTGGCGCGGGGGGGGCCGAAAGGTACCCCAAAATACACCTGAGACACCCCAAAATTCACCTGAGACACCCCAAAATTCACCTGAGAGACCCCAAAATTCACCTGAGAGACCCCAAAATTCACCTGGGAAACACCAAAATTCACCTGAGAAACCCCAAAATTCACCTGAGACACCCCAAAATTCACCTGAGAGACCTCAAATAGGTAATGGACAGTTCCACCCGCGGCTGGCACGGGGGGGGACGAAAGGTACCCCAAAATTCACCTGAGACACCCCAAAATCACCTGAGACACCCCAAAATCACCTGGAACACCAAAAATCGGTAATGGACAGTTCCACCCGCGGCTGGCGCGGGGGGGGCCGAAAGGTACCCCAAAATTCACCTGAGAGACCCCAAAATCCACCTGAGAGACCCAAAATTCAACTGGGACCCCAAAATCCACCTGAGACACCCAAAAATTCACCTGAGAGACCCCAAAATACACCTGAGACACCCTAAAATTCATCTGGAACCCCCCCAGATCGGTAATGGACAGTTCCACCCGCGGCTGGCGCGGGGGGGGCCGAAAGGTACCCCAAAATTCACCTGAGACACCCCAAAATTCACCTGAGACACCCCAAAATTCAACTGGAACCCCCCCAAATAGGTAATGGACAGTTCCACCCGTGGCTGGCGTGGGGGGGGCCGAAAGGTACCCCAAAATTCACCTGAGAGACCCAAAATTCACCTGAGACACCCCAAAATTCACCTGAGAGACCCCAAAATTCACCTGAGACACCCCAAAATTCACCTGAGACACCCCAAAGTTCATCTGAGACACCCCAAAATTCATCTGGAACCCCCCAAATAGGTAATGGACAGTTCCACCCGCGGCTGGCGCGGGGGGGGCCGAAAGGTACCCCAAAATTCACCTGAGAGACCCCAAAATCCATCTGAGACACCCCAAAATTCATCTGAGACACCCCAAAATTCACCTGGAACCCCCCAGATCGGTAATGGACAGTTCCACCCGCGGCTGGCGCGGGGGGGGCCGAAAGGTACCCCAAAATTCACCTGAGACACCCCAAAATTCACCTGAGACACCCCAAAATCCACCTGAGACACCCCAAAATTCACCTGAGACACCCCAAAATCCACCTGAGACACCCCAAAATTCATGTGAGACACACCAAAATTCACCTGAGACACCCCAAAATTCATCTGAGAAACACCAAAAATCGGTAATGGACAGTTCCACCCGCGGCTGGCGCGGGGGGGGCCAAAAGGTACCCCAAAATTCACCTGAGACACCCCAAAATTCACCTGAGAGACCAAAAAATACACCTGGAACCCCCCGAAATAGGTAATGGACAGTTCCACCCGCGGCTGGCGCGGGGGGGGACGAAAGGTACCCCAAAATTCACCTGAGACACCCCAAAATTCATCTGGAACCCCCCCAGATCGGTAATGGACAGTTCCACCCGCGGCTGGCGCGGGGGACGAAAGGTACCCCAAAATTCACCTGAGACACCCCAAAATTCACCTGAGACACCCCAAAATTCACCTGAGAGACCCCAAAATTCACCTGAGAAACACCAAAAATCGGTAATGGACAGTTCCACCCGCGGCTGGCACGGGGGGGGCCGAAAGGTACCCCAAAATTCACCTGAGACACCCCAAAATTCACCTGAGGCACCCCAAAATTCACCTGAGACACCCCAAAATTCACCTGAGAGACCCAAAAATTCACCTGAGACATCCCAAAATTCACCTGAGACACCCCAAAATTCACCTGGGACCCCCAAAATCCACCTGAGAAACATCAAAAATCATCTGGAACCCCCCAAATAGGTAATGGACAGTTCCACCCGCGGCTGGCGCGGGGGGGGCCGAAAGGTACCCCAAAATTCACCTGAGACACCCCAAAATTCATCTGAGACACCCCCAGATCGGTAATGGACAGTTCCACCCGCGGCTGGCGCGGGGGGGACCAAAAACACCCCAAAATTCACCTGAGAGACCCCAAAATTCACCTGAGACCCCCAAAATTCACCTGGAACCCCCAAATCCACCTGAGAAACCCCAAAATTCACCTGGGACCCCCAAAATACCCCTGGGACCCCCAAAATCCACCTGGGACACCCCAAAATTCACCTGAGACACCCCAAAATTCACCTGAGAGACCCAAAATTTACCTGGAACCCCCAAAAATCACCTAAAAAACCCCAAAATTCACATGGAAACCCCCAAAATTCACCTGGAACTCCCCAAAATTCACCTGAGAAATTCCAAAATCCACCTGGAACCCCCCAAAATTCACCTGAGAAACCCCAAAATTCACCTGAGAAACCCCAAAATTCACCTGGAACTCCCCAAAATTCACCTGAGAAACCCCAAAATTCAACTGAGAGACCCAAAATTTTCTTGGAACCCCCAAAATCCACCTGGGACCCCCAAAATCCACCTGGGACCCCCCAAAATCCGCCTGGGACCCCCAAAATTCCCCCCCCCCATATGCAGTGGAACCTCCCAGTCCCTTTTCAACCCCCCTGAGCCGGAACAGCCCAAAACATTTTTTGGGGGGGGAACAACCCCAAAATTCTGAAGGGAAAAAGAAGATTTTTGGTGAAAGGAGAAAAGGCTGAAACCCCCAAATTTTGGGGCGCAAAGAAGATTTTTTTAGGAAACCAAAAACCCCCAAAAAAATTCCCTCCCCCCACAACAAACTCTGATATAAAACTATTTATTCATAAATATTTTCCAAAATGAAAATAACTTTACGAAAAATATCATCAACTGCTGAGGGGGGAAAGGGGGGGGGACAAAAACCCCAAAACCCCCCCGGGGACCCCTCCCCAAAAACCCCAAAAAAACCAAAAAAATCCCCCCAAAATTTCCTTTTTTTTGGTGTTTTTTTGTTTTTTAACCCCAAAAAAAACCGGCGGGAGGGGGAAATTTGGGGTGAAGCTGAGGGGGTTTGGGGGTGCCGCTGGTTTTACCCCCCCGGGGCATGCAAAGGGTTTTTTTGGGGTTTTTTGGGGTTTTTTTGGGGGATTTTGGGGTCCCTCACTGCAGGTCTCGGTCCTCCAGGTACCGATACTCGAAGGTGAATCCTTCCTTCTTGCGCTGCCCCCACTTCTCGTAGTCGAAGTAGATGTAAGTGCCCTGCGGAATTTTGGGGGGCAGGAAGGGTCAGGGGGACCCCAAAAAATAATTTGGGGTTCCCAAAAACCCCCGCCCCAAAAAAAACCACGAGAAAATCCGATTTTGGGGGGAGATTTTAGGGAATTTTGAGGATTTTTTGGGGATTTTCGGAATTTTACGGGGGAATTTTGGAAGAAATTTGGGGTGCAAATGAAAATTTTGGGGTGCAGGAATTTGGGGAAACCCCTAAAAAACGATTTGGGGTCCCCAAAAACCCCCGCCCCAAAAAAACCCCCGAGAAAATCCGATTTTGGGGGGAGATTTTAGAGGATTTTGGGGATTTTTTGGGATTTTTGGAATTTTACGGGGGAATTTTTGAGATTTCTGGAAGGATTTTGGGGTGCAAATGAAAATTTTGGGGTGCAGAAAGGTCAGGGGTACCCCAAAAAACAATTTGGGGTCCCCAAAAACCCCCACCCCAAAAAAAACCCCGTGAAAATCTGATTTTTGGGGGGATTTTGGGGATTTTTTTTGGAATTAAAGGGAGTTTTTTGGGATTTTGGAATGGATATTGGGGTGTAAATGAAAATTTTGGGGTGCAGGAATTTGGGGAACCCCCAAAAAATGATTTGGGGTCCCCAAAAACCCCCAGTCCAAAAAAAATCCCGAGAAAATCCGATTTTGGGACGGGATTTTAGGGCATTTTTTGAAATTTAAGGGAATTTTTGGGGATTTTGGAATGGATTTTGGGGTGCAAATGAAAATTTTGGGGTGCAGGAATTTGGGGAACCCCAAAAAATCATTGGGGGTCCCCAAAAACCCCCACCCCAAAAAAAAACCCCACAAAAATCCGATTTTGGGGGGGAATTTTGGGGATTTTTAGGGCAATTTTTGGGATTTCTGGAAGTTTAAAGGGAAATTTTTGGGATTTTGGAATGGATTTTGGGGTACAAATGAAAATTTTGGGGTGCAGGAATTTGGGGTACCCCAAAAAATCATTTGGGGTCCCCAAAAACCCCCACACCAAAAAAAACCCCCACAAAAATCCAAATTTTGGGGGGAATTTTAGAGGATTTTGAGGATTTTTTTTTATTTTTTAGGGGATTTTTGGATCCAGGTGGAAATTTGGGGATTTCAGGGAGAATTTTGGGATTTCAGGGGGAATTTTGGGATCCAGGTGGGAATTTCGGGGCTCCCAATCCACTTTATTTACAAATTCCCAATAAAATTTGAATTAAAATCTGATTTTTTTGTGTCCCAGGTCGAAATTTTTTATGGGATTGGGAAAATTTGGGGATTTTGGGTGGAAGTTTTGGGAATTCCGGGTGGGAATTTGGAAAATTTGGGATTCCAGGTGGGAATTTGAGATAATTCTGGAATTCCAGGTGGGATTTTTCCAGGAATTTGGGGAATTTTGGGAATTCCAGGGGGGGATTTTTCTGGGAATTTGGGAATTCTGGGTGGGGTTTTGCCGGGATTTTGGGAATTCCAAGCAGGATTTTGGTGGGAATTTGGGAATTTTTGCTGGAAATTTGGGGAATTGGCTTATTCCAGAGGGGATTTTGCTGGGAATTTGTGGAATTGAGTTATTGCAGATGGGATTTAGCTGGGAATTTTGGGAATTTTTGTTGGGAATTTTGGGAATTTTTGCTGGGAATTTTGGGAATTTTTGCTGGTAGTTTTGGGAATTTTTGCTGGGAATTTTGGGAATTTTTGCTGGGAATTTTGGGTAATTTTTCTGGGAATTTTGGGAATTTTTTCTGTGAATTTGGGAATTTTTGCTGGGAATTTTGGGAATTTTGCTGGGAATTTGTGGAATTGGGTTATTGCAGAGGGGATTTTGAGGGAATTTGGGAATTTTTTCTGGGAATTTTGGAAATTGGGTTATTTGAGAGGGGATTTTGCTGGGAATTTTGGGAATTCCCGCTGGGAATTTTGGGAATTTGGGAATTTTTGTTGGGAATTTTGGGAATTTTTGCTGGGAATTTTGGGAATTAGGTTATTCCAGAGTGGATTTTGCTGGGAATTTTGGGAATTTTTGCTGGGAATTTTGGGAATTAGGTTATTCCAGAGTGGATTTTGCTGGGAATTTTGGGAATTTTTGCTGGTAATTTTGGGAATTTTTGCTGGGAACTTTGGGTATTTTTGCTGGGAATTTTGGGAATTTTTGCTGGGAATTTTGGGAATTTTTGCAGGGAATTTTGGGAATTTTTGCTGGGAATTTTGCTGTGAATTTTCACTGGGAATTTTTGCTGGGAATTTTGGGAATTTTTGCTGGGAATTTGGGAATTTTTTCCGGGAATTTGGGAATTTTTTCCGGGAATTTGGGAATTCCGTGCGCACCTGCTCGAACTCGTCGGTGATGGTTTTGGGCTCCTCGTGCCGCTGGAACCACATCATGTACTTGGTGTGGAAACGCCACGATTGCTTCTTCAGCGCCTTGGCCGCCAGGTACTGCGCCTTCGTGCCCTGGGGACCCCAAAAATATCCAAAATTGGTACCCCAAAATATGGGATTGGTACCCCAAAATCCCACAGAAATACCCTAAAAAATTCCACAGAAAAACCCCAAAAAAATCCCAAAATCGGCACCCAAAATCCCGCCAGGTACTGCGCCTTCGTGCCCTGGGAACCCCAAAAATATCCAAAATCCCCAAAATCAGCACCCCAAAATATGGGATTCACACCCCAAAATCCTACAGACACACCCCAAAAAAATCCCAAAATCAGCACCTCAAAACCCCACAGAAACACCCCAAAAAATCCCAAAATCCAAATCCCGCTGTGCCTTCGTGCCCTGGGAACCCCAAAATAGCCAAAATTGGCACCCCAAAATCCTACAGAAATAACCCAAAAAAATCCTAAAGAAACACCCCAAAAAAATCCTGCAGAAAAACCCCCAAAAATCCCAAAATCGACACCCCAAAATCCAAGAGAAACACCCCAAAAAATCCCAAAATCGGCACCCCAGAATTCCACAGATACACCCCAAAAAAATCCCCAAATCGGCACCTCAAAATTCCACAGAAACACCCCAAAAAAATCCCACAGAAAACACCCAAAAAAATCCCACAGAAAAACCCCAAAAAAATCCTACAGAAAAACCCCCAAAACCCCCAAAATCGGCCCAAAATCCCGCCAGGTACTGCGCCTTCGTGCCCTGGGGACCCCAAAAATAGCCAAAAAATCCAAAATCGGCACCCCAAAATTACATAGGAACACCCCAAAATTCCATAGGAACACCCCAAAAAATCCCACAGAAAAACCCCAAAAAAATCCCAAAATCTGCACCCCAAAATCCCCACAGGGACTCCCAAAAAAACCCAAAATCCCACAGAAAAACCCCAAAAAAATCCCATAATCGGCACCCCAAAATCCGCCAGGTGCTGCGCCTTCGTGCCCTGGGAACCCAAAATAGCCAAAAAATCCAAATTCGGCACCCCAAAATATGGGATTCGGCACCCCAAAATCCTACAGAAAAACCCCAAAAAAATCCTACAGAAACACCCCAAAAAATCCCACAGAAAAACCCAAAAAAATCCCACAGAAAAAACACAAAAAGATCCCAAAATCCGACAGAAACACCCCAAAAAAATCCCAAAATCTGCACCCCAAAATCCAAGAGATACACCCCAAAAAAACCCCACAGAATCACCCCAAAAAATCCCACAGAAGTACCCCTAAAAATCCTACAGAAAAACCCCAAAAACATCCCAAAATTGGCACCCCAAAATCTGGGATTCAGCACCCCAAAATCCGACAGAAACACCCCAAAAAATCCCACAGAAACATCCCAAAAACTCCTACAGAAAAACCCAAAAAAATCCCAAAATCTGCACTCCAAAATTCCACAGAAAATCCCCAAAAAATCCCAAAATCAGCACCTCAAAACCCCACAGAAACACCCCAAAAAACCCCACAGAAACACCCCAAAATTCCCAAAATCTGCACCCCAAAATCCCACAGAAACACCCCAAAAAACCCAAAATCTGCACCCCAAAATCCAAGAGAAACATCCCCAAAAAATCCCAAAATTGGCACCCCAAAATTCCACAGATACGCCCAAAAAAAACCTCACAGAAACACCCCAAAAAAATCCTACAGAAAAACCCCCAAAAAATCCCAAAATCCGCCCCCCAAAATCCCGCCAGGTACTGCGCCTTCGTGCCCTGGGGACCCAAAAAATATCCAAAATCAGCACCCCAAAATTCCATAGGAACACCCAAAAAAATCCTGCGGAAATATCCCAAAAAAATCCCACAGAAAAACCCAAAAAAATCCCACAGAAAAACCCCAAAAAAACCCCACAGAAACGGCCCAAAATCCCGCCAGGTGCTGCGCCTTCGTGCCCTGGGGACCCCAAAATAGCCAAAATTGGTACCCCAAAATATGGGATTGGTACCCCAAAATCCTACAGACACACCCCAAAAAAATCCCACAGAAAAACCCCAAAAAAATCCCAAAATCGGCACCCCAAATCCCGCCAGGTACTGCGCCTTCGTGCCCTGGGGACCCCAAAATATCAAAAATCAGCACCCCAAAATTCCATAGGAACACCCCAAAAAAACCCCAAAATCCGACAGACACACCCCAAAAAAATCCCACAGAAAACCCCCAAAAAATCCCACAGAAAACCCCCAAAAAATCCCACAGAAAAAACCCAAAAAAATCCCAAAATCTGCACCTCAAAATTCCACAGGAACACCCCAAAAAAATCCCACAGAAATACCCCAAAAAATCCTGCAGAAAAAACCCCAAAAACATCCCAAAATCGGCACCCCAAAATTCCAGAGAAACACCCAAAAAAAATTCCCAAATCTGCACCCCAAAATCCCCAAAAGGGAACCCCAAAAAAACCCAAAATCCCACAGAAACACCCCCAAAAAATCCCAAAATCCACACCCCAAAACCCACCAGGGACACCCCAAAAAATCCCACAGAAACACCCCAAAAAAATCCAAAATCGGCACCCCAAAATTCCATAGGAACACCAAAAATAATCCCACAGAAAAACCCAAAAAAATCCTACAGAAAAACCCCAAAAACCCCCAAAATCAGCACCCCAAAATCCCGCCAGGTGCTGCGCCTTCGTGCCCTGGGAACCCCAAAAATACCCAAAAAATCCAAATTTGGCACCCCAAAATCCCACAGGAACACCCAAAAAATCCTACAGAAACATCCCAAAAAAATCCCACAGAAAAACCCCAAAAAAATCCTACAGAAAAACCCCAAAAAAACCCCACAGAAAAATCCAAAAAAATCCCAAAATCCACACCCCAAATCCCGCCAGGTCCTGCGCCTTCGTGCCCTGGGAACCCCAAAATATCCAAAATAATCCAAAATCAGCACCCCAAAATTACATAGGAACACCAAAAATAATCCTACAGAAAAACCCCCAAAAACATCCCAAAATCGGCACCCCAAAATCTGGGATTCAGCACCCCAAAATCCGACAGAAACACCCCAAAAAAATCCAACAGAAACATCCCAAAAAAATCCCAAAATTGGCACCTCAAAACTCCACAGAAATACCCCAAAAAAACCCCACAGAAACACCCCAAAATTATACAGAAACACCCCAAAATTCCCAAAATCTGCACCCCAAAATCCAAGAGAAACATCCCCAAAAATCCCAAAATCGGCACCCCAAAATTCCATAGGAACACCCAAAAATTCCCACAGAAATATCCCAAAAAAATCCCACAGAAAAACCCCCAAAAAACCCCACAGAAAACCCCAAAATCCCGGCAGGTACTGCGCCTTCGTGCCCTGGGGACCCCAAAATATCCAAAATCGGCACCCCAAAATTCCACAGGAACACCCAAAATTCCATAGGAACACCAAAAATAATCCTACAGAAAAACCCCCAAAAAACCCCACAGAAAACCCCAAAATCCCGCCAGGTGCTGCGCCTTCGTGCCCTGGGGACCCAAAAATAGCCCAAAATCCCAAAATCAGCACCCCAAAATCTGGGATTGGTACCCCAAAATCCCACAGAAATACCCCAAAAAAAATCCCACAGAAAAATCCCAAAAAAATCCCAAAATCGGCACCTCAAAACCCCACAGAAACACCCCAAAATTCCCAAAATCGGCACCCCAGAATTCCACAGATACACCCCAAAAAAATCCCACAGAAAAACCCCCAAAAAATCCCAAAATCCGCACCCCAAATCCCGCCAGGTACTGCGCCTTCGTGCCCTGGGGACCCCAAAATAGCCAAAATCGGCACCCCAAAATCGGGGATTTGGCACCCCAAAATTACATAGGAACACCCCAAAAAATCCCGCAGAAACACCCCAAATTTTATCCTGAATATTCTGAATTTTACCCCAAATATTCTTAATTATACCCCAAATATTCCAAATTTCATCCTCAACAATTGACAAATTTTATCCTGAATATTCTGAATTTTACCCCGAATATTTGGAGTTTTCCTGGGTGAATTCCCAGGATTTTGGGGTGAATTCCCAGGATTTTGGGGTGAATTTTCAGGATTTTGGGGTGAATTTTTGGGATTTTTGGGGTGAATTTGGGGGATTTTGTACCAGAAGATGAAGAAGAGGCTCTGGAGAACCCTCTGAAATCTCCTTTGAGGTGAATTTTGGGGCCGTTTTGAGCATTTTTTCCCCGTTTTTTTTCCGATTTTGGGGCAGTTTTTGGGATTTTTGTCCCTCCCGGATTTTGGGGTGAATTTTGAGGATTTTGGGGTGAATTTTTGGGATTTTGGACCAGAAGATGAAGAAGAGGCTCTGGAGAAGCCTCAAAAGCTCCTTTGGGGGCCATTTTAGGGCCGTTTTGGGCATTTTTTGCCCTTTTTTTTTCAGGTTTTTGGGATTTTTGTCCCACCCGGATTTTGGGGTGAATTTTTGGGATTTTGGGGTGAATATTTGGGATTTTGGGATAAATTTTCAGGATTTTGGGGTGAATTTGGGGGATTTTGGACCAGAAGATGAATAAGTGGCTCTTCAGAAACCTCTAAAAGCTCCTTTGAAGTGAATTTTGGGGCTGTTTTGGGCATTTTTTCCCCGTTTTTTTTCAGGTTTTTGGGATTTTTGTCCCTCCCGGATTTTGGGGTGAATTTTGGGGATTTTGGCTCTGGAGAACCCTCTGAAATCTCCTTTGGGGCGATTTTGGTGCCATTTTGGCCATTATTTCCCCATTTTTTTCCGATTTTGGGGCATTTTTGAGCATTTTTTCCCCGGTTTTTTTCCGATTTTGGGGCAGTTTTTGGGATTTTTCTAATTCCCGTATTTTGGGGTGAATTTTTGGGATTTTGGCACCTCCAGGTAGTAGAAGATGAAGAAGAGGGTCTCGGTGGAGAGGCGCTGGTAGAACTCCACGGTGTCCGAGTGGGGCGGGGGCAGCTGGTGGTGGTAGGGCGGAGTGGGACACGGGTTCCGGGGCAGGTACTGCCTGGGGGAAAAACAGCAAAATTTGGGTCAAAAACGGGCAAAAACGGGCAAAAACACAATTAAATAAATAATGGGTTTGGGGGAACCCCAGGTGAGGCATCCCAGGGGGAGAGGTGGGGATGTGGGGCTAAAAAAGGCAAAAATCACAATTTAACTGGTCTGAAAAACCCCAAAAAATCTCAATTTAATTGCTCTGAAAACCCCAAAAAATTTTAATTTAACTGGTCTGAATCGCCCCAAAAAATCCCCAAAAATCTCAATTTAACTGCTCTGAAAACCCCAAAAAATTTTAATTTAACTGGTCTGAATCGCCCCAAAAAATCCCCAAAAATCTCAATTTAACTGCTCTGAAAACCCCAAAAAATTTTAATTTAACTGGTCTGAATCCCCCCAAAAAATCCCCAAAAATCGCAATTTAACTGGTCTGAAATCCCCAAAAAAATGCCCCAAAAAATCTCAATTTAACTGCTCTGAAAACCCCAAAAAAATCCCCCAAAAAAATCTAAATTTAACTACTCTGAAAACCCAAAAAAATCTCAATTTAACTACTCTGAAAACACAAAAAAATCTCAATTTAACTGCTCTGAATCCCCCCAAAAAATCCCCCAAAAAATCTCAATTTAACTGCTCTGAAACCCCGAAAAAAATCCCCAAAAATCTCAATTTAACTACTCTGAATCCCTCCAAAAAATCCCCAAAAATCTCAATTTAAGTGCTCTGAATCACAACAAAACCCCCCAAACCTCACCCAGGACCCCCCGAATTTGGTGAATTTTTGGTAATTTTGTGAATTTTTGGATTTTTTGGGAATTTTGTGCCCCCCACCTGATCCTCGCGGAGTCGGAGGGGTGCGGCATGTGGTGCCAAAAATCTCAATTTAACTGCTGTGAAACCTCAAAAAAACCCCTGTAACTCCCCAAAACCCCCTGAAATTTTGGGAATTTTCGGGAATTTGGGGATCTTTTGGCATCCCCACCTGATCCTCTCTAAATCTAATATACAGGACAAGAAATAACTCAAAAAACGCCCCCAAAATCTCAATTTAACTGCTCCGAACCCAAATAAACCCCCCAAACCCCACGCGGGACCCCCTGAATTTGGGGAATTTTTGGGAATTTTTAGGAATTTTGTGATTTTTTGGGATCTCTCCCTGAATCCAAGATATAGGACAAGAAATTACAATAAAACCCCCAAAAATCTCAATTTAACTGCTCTGAAAACCCAAAAAAACCCCCTGTAACCCCCCCAAACCCCGCCCGGGACCCCTGAAATTTTGGGAATTTTTGGGAATTTGGGGAATTTAGGATTTTTTGGGAATTTTGGGAATGCCCACCTGATCCTCTCGGAGTCGGAGGGGTGCGGCATGTGGTGCCAGAAAATCCCCAAAAATCTCAATTTAACTGCTCTGAAACCCCAAAAAAACCCTGTAACTCCTCAAAACCCCCCAAAATTTGGGGAATTTTTGTGAATTTTGCAAATTTTCGGGAATTTCGGAATCCCCACCTGATCCTCTCTAAATCCACGATATAGGACAAAAAATGACCAAAAAAATTCCCAAAAATTTCAATTTAACTGCTCTGAATCCAAATAAAACCCCCCAAACCCCGCCCAGGACCCCCCAAATTTTGGGAATTTTTGGGATTTTTCAGGGATCTCCAAGTGATCCCCTCTGAATCCAAAATATAGGACTAGAAATGACCCAAAAAAACCCCAAAAATCTCAATTTAACTGCTCTGAAACACCAAATATCCCCCAAAAAGTCTCAATTTAACTGTTCTGAAACCCCCCCAAAAAATCCCCCAAAATATCTCAATTTAACTACTCTGAAAACCCAAAAAAATCTCAATTTAACTGCTGTGAAAACCCAAAAAAATCTCAATTTAACTGCTGTGAAAACCAAAAAAAATATCAATTTAATCGCTCTGAAACCCCAAAAAAACCCCTATAACCGCCCAAAATCCCACTGTAACCCCCACAAACCCCTCCCAGGACCCCCCAAATTTTGGGATTTTCAGGATTTTTGGGATTTTTTGGGAATTTTTGTGCCCCCCACCTGATCCTCTCGGAGTCGGAGGGGTGCGGCATGTGGTGCCAAAAAACCCCCAAAAATCTCAATTTAACTGCTCCGAAACCCCAAAAAACCCCTATAACTCCCCAAAACCCCCTGAAATTTTGGGAATTTTTGGGAATTTTTGTGAATTTGGGTATTTTGGGGATCTCTACCTGACCCTGTCTTAATCCAAAATATAGGACAAGAAATGACTCGAAAAACGCCCCAAAAATCTCAATTTAACTGCTCTGAAACCCCAAAAAAAACCCCTATAACTCCCCAAAACCCCCTGAAATTTGGGGAATTTTTGGGAATTTCAGGATTTTGGGAATTTTTGGGGTCCCCACCTGATCCTCTCGGAATCCGAGGGGTGCGGCATGTGGTGCCAAAAACCCCCAAAAATCTCAATTTAACTGCTCAGAACCCAAATAAAACCCCCCGAATTTGGGGAATTTTTTGGAATTTTTGGGAATTTGGGGATCTCTACCTGACCCTGTCTTAATCCAAAATATAGGAGAGAATATGACCAAAAAATCCCCAAAAATCTCAATTTAACTGCTCCGAACCCAAATAGAACCCCCCAAACCCCGCGTGGGACCCCCCGAATTTGGGGAATTTTTGGGAATTTGGGGATTTTTTGGAATTTCTGACCCCACCTAATCCTCTCTAAATCCAAGATATAGGACAAGAAATGACCAAAAAAAAATCCCAAAAAATCTGAATTTAACTGCTCCGAAACCCCAAAAAAAACCCTATAACTCCACAAAACCCCCTGAAATTTTGGGAATTTTTGGGAATTTCTGGAATTTTTGGGATCCCTACTTGAATCTAAGATATAGGACAAGAAATGACAAAAAAAATCCCCAAAAATCTCAATTTAAGTGCTCTGAAAGCCCAAAAAAACCCCTGTAACTGCCCCAAACCCCGCCCAGGACCCCTGAAATTTTGGGATTTTTTGGGAATTTCAGGAATTTTCAGGAATTTTGGGATCCCCACTTGATCCGATCCTCTTGGAGTCCAAAGAATGCGGCATGTGGTGCCAAAAATCCCCAAAAATCTCAATTTAACTGCTCTGAAACCCCAAAAAAAGCCCTGTAACTCCCCAAAACCCCCCGAAATTTTGGGAATTTTTGGGAATTTCGGGATTTTTTGAGATGCCCATTTGACCCTCTCTGAATCGAAGATACAGGAGAACAAATGACAAAAAAAAACCCCAAAAATCTCAATTTAACTGCTCCGAAACCCCAAAAAAAACCCTGTAACTGCCCCAAACCTCACCCAGAATCCCCCAAATTTTGGGAATTTTTGGGAATTTTGCAAATTTTTGGGAATTTCGGAATCCCCACCTAATCGCCTCTAAATCCAAGATAAAGGACAAAAAATGAATAAAAAAATCCCCAAAAATCTCAATTTAAGTGCTCTGAACCCCCAAAAAAAGCCCTGTAACCCCCCCAAATCCCGCCCAGGACCCCTGAAATTTTGTGAATTTTTGGGAATTTCATAAGTTTGGGATTTTTTGTGCCCCCACCTGATCCTCTTGGAGTTGGAGGGGTGCCAAAAAACCCCCAAAAAATCTCAATTTAACTGCTCCGAACCCAAACAAAACCCCCCAAACCCCGTGTGGGACCCCCCAAATTTGGGGAATTTTTGTGAAATTTTTATTTTTCGGGAATTTTGGGAATTTTTGTGCCCCCCACCTGATCCTCTCGGAGTCGGAGGGGTGCGGCATGTGGTGCCAGGCGGGCTCCTGCAGCGCCTGCTGGTACAGCTGCTCCTTGGGCAGGGGCAGGGGGCCCAGGGGACAGACCCCCAGGGACAGGGGGATGCTGACCTCCCCCAGCGACCCCCCCGGGACCCCCCCCGGGACCCCCCCCGGGACCCCCGAGCTGGGGGGGGCGGCCCCGGGGCCCAGCAGCAGCTCTGGGGGGAGAGAGAGAGAAAAAAATGGGGGTTAGGGGGGATTTTTGGGGGTTTTGGGGGAGTTTTGGGGGGGTTTGGGGGGATTTGGGGGGAGTTTGGAGGGCTTTGGGGGTGATTTTCAGGGAGTTTAGAAGGATTTGGGGGGGATATTGGGGAGGGTTGGGGGGGTTTGGGGGGAATTTGGGGGGATTTTGGGGGTTTGAGAGGAGATTTGGAAGGATTTGGGGGGATTTTGGGGGACTTGGGGTGGGTTTGGGGGGGATTTGGAAGGATTTTGGGGGCATTTTGGGGGGTTTAGGGGGGATTTGGGGTGATTTTGGGGGATTTGGGGGGATTTTGGGGGGTTAGGGGGGGTTTCAGGGGATTTGGGGGGATTTTAGGGGCTTTAAGGGGAATTTGGGGGGATTTGGGGGAGATTTGAGGGGGTTTGGGGGGATTTTGGGGCAGTTTGGGGAAATTTGGGGGGGGTTGGGGAGTTTGGGGGGATTTTGGGGGGTTTAGGGGGATTTGGGGGGGATATTGGGGGGGTTGGGTGGGATTTGGGGGAATTTGGGGGGTTAGGGGGGATTTGGGGTGTTTGGGGGGGTTTTGGAAGGGTTTAGGGGGGATTTTTGGGTTTTTTTGGGGGGGTTTAGGGGGGCTTAGAGGGATTTGGGGGGAATTTGGGGGCTGATTTTGGGGGGATTTAGGGGGACTTGGGGTGGGTTTGGGGGGATTTGGGGGGATTTGGGGGGGGTTGGGGGGATTTGGGGGGGTTTGGGGGGGTCTAGGGGGGTTGGGGGGAGTTTGGGAAGTTATGGGGAATTTTGGGGGAATTTTGGAGGGCATTTGGGGGGATTTGGGGGAGTTTCGGGGGTGTTTAAGGGGATTTTGGGGGGGATTTGGGGGGGTTTGGGGGGCATTTGGGGTTTTGGGGTGGGTTTGAGGGGATTTGGGGGGATTTTTTGGGGGGGATTTAAGGGGATTTGGGGAGGTTTGGAGGGGATTTGGGGGTAATTTGGGGGAATTTTGGGGGGTTTGGGGGGGATTTGGGGGGTATTTGGGGGGGGATTGGGGGGATTTGGGGCATTTTGGGGGGTTTTGGGGGGTTTAGGAGGATATGGAAGGATTTTGGGGGATTTGGGAGGGGGTTGAGGGGGATTTGGGGGGATTTGGGGGAGTTTGGGGGAATTTGAGGGGTTTAGGGGGATTTGGGGGGGATTTGGGAGGGATTTTGGGAGGATTTGGAAGGGGTTGGGAGGGTTTGGGGGGAATTTGGGGGATTTTGGGGGGGTTTAGGGGGGTTTGGGGGGTGTGAGGGGGGATTTTGGGTGGGATTTTGGGGGGGTTTGGGGGGATTGTAGGGGGGATTTAGGGAAATTTTGGGGAATTGGAGGGTGGTTTGGGGGGTTCTGGAGGGATTTTGGGGGATTTTGGGAGATTTGGGGGGGATATGGAAGGATTTTGGGGAGGGTTGGGGGTGATTTTTGGGTGGTTTAGAAAGATTTGGGGGGATTTAGGGTGGGTTGGGGGGGATTTGGGGGGAATTTGGGGGGATTTGGGGGGTTTAGGGGGAGATTTGGGGGGATTTTGGGGAGATTTTGGGATGATTTTGGGGTGAATTTGGGGGATTTTGGGGCTCTCACCGCGCTCCCCCAGGTGCAGGGGGGGTCGGGGCTGATTTTGGGGTGAATTTTGGGGTGAATTTGGGGGATTTTGGGGCTCTCACCGCGCTCCCCCAGGCGCAGGGGGGTCGGGGCTGATTTTGGGGTGGATTTTGGGGTGAATTTGGGGGATTTTGGTTAATTTTGGGGGGTCTCACCGCGCTCCCCCAGGCGCAGGGGGGGTTGGGGCTGATTTTGGGGATGATTTTGGGGTGAATTTGGGGGATTTTGGGGGTCTCACCGCGCTCCCCCAGGTGCAGGGGGGTCGGGGCTGATTTTGGGGTGAATTTGGGGGATTTTGGTTAATTTTGGGGGTCTCACCGCGCTCCCCCAGGTGCAGGGGGGGTGGGGGCTGATTTTGGGGTGAATTTGGGGGATTTTGGTTAATTTTGGGGGGGGTCTCACCGCGCTCCCTCAGGTGCAGGGGGGTCGGGGATGATTTTGGGGTGAATTTGGGGGATTTTGGGGCTCTCACCGCGCTCCCCCAGGTGCAGGCGGGTTGGGGCTGATTTTGGGGTGAATTTGGGGGATTTTGGGGCTCTCACCGCGCTCCCCCAGGTGCAGGGGGGTGGGGGATGATTTTGGGGTGAATTTGGGGGATTTTGGTTAATTTTGGGGGGGGTCTCACCGCGCTCCCCCAGGTGCAGGGGGGTCGGGGCTGATTTTGGGGTGAATTTGGGGGATTTTGGTTAATTTTGGGGGGTCTCACCGCGCTCCCCCAGGTGCAGGGGGGGTCGGGGCTGATTTTGGGGCTGATTTTGGGGTGAATTTGGGGGATTTTGGTTAATTTTGGGGGTCTCACCGCGCTCCCCCAGGTGCAGGGGGGTGGGGGATGATTTTGGGGTGAATTTGGGGGATTTTGGTTAATTTTGGGGGGGGTCTCACCGCGCTCCCCCAGGTGCAGGGGGGGTCGGGGATGATTTTGGGGTGAATTTGGGGGATTTTGGGGGTCTCACCGCGCTCCCCCAGGTGCAGGGGGGTCGGGGCTGATTTTGGGGTGAATTTGGGGGATTTTGGTTAATTTTGGGGGGGGTCTCACCGCGCTCCCCCAGGTGCAGGGGGGTCGGGGCTGATTTTGGGGTGAATTTAGGATATTTTGGTTAATTTTGGGGGGTCTCACCGCGCTCCCCCAGGTGCAGGGGGGTCGGGGCTGATTTTGGGGTGAATTTGGGGGATTTTGGTTAATTTTGGGGGGGGTCTCACCGCGCTCCCCCAGGTGCAGGGGGGTCGGGGCTGATTTTGGGGTGAATTTAGGGGATTTTGGTTAATTTTGGGGGGGGTCTCACCGCGCTCCCCCAGGTGCAGGGGGGTCGGGGCTGATTTTGGGGTGAATTTAGGGGATTTTGGTTAATTTTGGGGGGGGTCTCACCGCGCTCCCCCAGGTGCAGGGGGGTCGGGGCTGATTTTGGGGTGAATTTAGGGGATTTTGGTTAATTTTGGGGGGGGTCTCACCGCGCTCCCCCAGGTGCAGGGGGGGTCGGGGATGATTTTGGGGTGAATTTGGGGGATTTTGGGGGTCTCACCGCGCTCCCCCAGGTGCAGGGGGGTCGGGGCTGATTTTGGGGTGAATTTGGGGGATTTTGGTTAATTTTGGGGGGGGTCTCACCGCGCTCCCCCAGGTGCAGGCGGGTTGGGGCTGATTTTGGGGTGAATTTGGGGGATTTTGGGGCTCTCACCGCGCTCCCCCAGTGCAGGGGGGGTCGGGGCTGATTTTGGGGTGAATTTGGGGGATTTTGGTTAATTTTGGGGGGGGTCTCACCGCGCTCCCCCAGGTGCAGGGGGGGGGGGGATGATTTTGGGGTGAATTTGGGGGATTTTGGGGGTCTCACCGCGCTCCCCCAGGTGCAGGGGGGTCAGGGATGATTTTGGGGTGAATTTGGGGGATTTTGGTTAATTTTGGGGGTCTCACCGCGCTCCCCCAGGCGCAGGGAGGTCGGTGTGGATTTTGGGGTGAATTTGGGGGATTTTGGTTAATTTTGGGGGGGGTCTCACCGCGCTCCCCCAGGCGCAGGGGGGGTCGGGGATGATTTTGGGGTGAATTTGGGGGATTTTGGTTAATTTTGGGGGTCTCACCGCGCTCCCCCAGGTGCAGGGGGGTGGGGGATGATTTTGGGGTGAATTTGGGGGATTTTGGTTAATTTTGGGGGTCTCACCGCGCTCCCCCAGGTGCAGGGGGGTCGGGGCTGATTTTGGGGTGAATTTGGGGGATTTTTGGGTCTCACCGCGCTCCCCCAGGTGCAGGGGGGGTCGGGGCTGATTTTGGGGTGAATTTGGGGGATTTTGGTTAATTTTGGGGGGGGTCTCACCGCGCTCCCCCAGGTGCAGGGGGGGTCGGGGATGATTTTGGGGGGATTTTGGGGTGAATTTGGGGGATTTTGGGGCTCTCACCGCACTCCCCCAGGTGCAGGGGGGTCGGGGCTGATTTTGGGGTGAATTTGGGGGATTTTGGTTAATTTTGGGGGGGGCTCACCGCGCTCCCCCAGGTGCAGGGGGGGTCGGGGCTGATTTTGGGGTGAATTTGGGGGATTTTGGTTAATTTTGGGGGTCTCACCGCGCTCCCCCAGGTGCAGGGGGGTCGGGGATGATTTTGGGGTGAATTTGGGGGATTTTGGTTAATTTTGGGGGTCTCACCGCGCTCCCCCAGGTGCAGGGGGGGTCCCGCCTCCTCCAGCCCCGCCCCCATCGCGGCTCTCTCGGCCATTGACTTGAGGCTGCTCAGCGGCTCCGGCTGAAATTCCCAAATATTCACAAAATTCCCACTTCTCCACCCAAAAAGCACCCTCCTCACAAAATTCCCGTTTTTTACCCCAAAATTCCCGAGTTTTTGGCACGAAACTCCTGGGTTTTTCCCCCGAAATTCCCAATTTTTCCCCCAAAATTACCGTTCTCTTCCCCCCAAAATTCCCAATTATTCCCCAAAATTCCCAATTTCCCCCCAAATTCCCATTCTTTTCCCCCCTAAATTCCCATTTTCCCCCAAAATTTCGCCAAAATCTCCATTTTTCCCCACAAAATCCCAATTTTCACCCCAATTTCCCCCAAATCCCCATTTTTCCCCCAATTTCCCCAAAATTCCCGTTTTTTCCCCCCAAATTTCCCATTTTTCCCCCCAATTTCCCCATTTTCCCCCCCAAAATCCCCATTTTCCCCCCAATTTTCGACCCCAAAATCCCCATTTTTCCCCCCGATTTCCCCATTTTCCCCTGATTTCCCCAAAATCTCCATTTTTCCCCTCAATTTCCCCATTTTTCCCCCCAATTACCCCATTTTCCCCCCAATTTCCCCAAAATCCCCATTTTCACCTCAATTTCCCCATTTCCCCCCCAATTTCCCCAAAATCTCCATTTTTCCCCTCAATTTCCCCATTTCCCCCCCAATTTCCCCATTTTTCACCCCGATTTCCCCATTTTCCCCCCGTTTTCCCCCCAAAATCCCCATTTTCCCCCCCAAAATCCCCATTTTTCCCCCCAATTTCCCCCCAAAATCCCCATTTTTCCCCCCAATTTCCCCCAAATCCCCATTTTCCCCCCAATTTCCCTCCAAAATCCCTGTTTCTCACCCCAAATCCCCGTTTTTCCCCCCAATTTCCCCATTATCACCCCAAATTCCACCCAAAATCTCAATTTTTCACCCCAAACCCCCCGTTTTTAACTCCAATTTCCCCAAAATCCCCATTTTTTCCCCCAATTTCCCTGTTTTTCCCCCCAAAATCCCGATTTTTCACCCCAAAATCCCTGTTTTTTTGCCCCAATTTCCCCATTTTCCCCCCCAATTTCCCCAAAATCCCCGTTTTCACCCCATTTTTCCCCCCAATTTCCCCAAAATCCCCATTTTTCCCCCCAAATCCCCTTTTTAACCCCAATTTTCCCAAAATCCCCCTTTTCCCCCCATTTCCTCACCTTGATCTCGGGGGCGGGCCCGAAGGGGGCGGGGCCATTGAGGAGGGGCGGGGCCTGCGCGGCTCCGCCCTTCGGCTCGGGGAAGGGCGGGGAGGGGGAGGGGGCGGGGTTTGCGCCGTGGGCGGGGCCGAGCAGCGAAGCTCCGCCCCCTCCGGCCGCGGGGGCGGGGCCGGGCCCGGGCTCCTTCCTGCGGGAGATTTGGGGTGAAAATCACGGATTTTGGGAAAAATAAATTGGGGTTTGGGGGTTAAAATCGGAGAATTTGGGGGGGGATAAACGGGATTTTATTGGGGTGAAAATCCCGGATTTTGGGAAAAATCAATGGGGGTTTTTGGGGTTAAAATTGGAGAATTTGGTGGAGAATAAATGGGGATTTTTGGGGTTAAAATCCGGAAATTTGGGAAAAAATCAATGGGAATTTTTGGGGTTAAAATTGGGGATTTTGGGAAAAGCCAATGGGGATTCTTGTGGTTAAAAACGGGGATTTGGGGAAAAATCAATGGGGGGAATGGGGGAAAAATGAGGAAAAATGGGTAAAAATTGAAATTTTTGGGGTTAAAATCCGGGAATTCGAGAAAAAATCAATGGGAATTTTTGGGGTTAAAATTGGAGAATTTGGGGGGAAATAAACAGGAAATGTTGGGGTTAAAATTAGGGAATTTGGGGGGAATAAACGGGGATTTTTGGGGTTAAAATCCGGGAATTCAGGAAAAAAATCAATGGGAATTTGTGGGGTTAAAGTTGGGGAATTTGGGGGGAAATAAACGGGGATTTTTGGGGTTAAAGTTGGGGAATTTGGGGGGAAATAAATGGGATTTTTGGGGTTAAAATTGGAGAATTTGGGGGAGAATAAACGGGAACTGTTTGGGTTAAAATTGGAGAATTTGGGCGAAAATAAATGGGGATTTTTGGGGTTAAAATTGGAGAATTTGGGGGGAAATAAACGGGGATTTTTGGGGTTAAAATTGGAGAATTTGGGGGAGAATAAACGTGAACTGTTTGGGTTAAAATTGGAGAATTTGGGCGAAAATAAATGGGGATTTTTGGGGTTAAAATTGGAGAATTTGGGGGGAAATAAACGGGGATTTTTGGGGTTAAAATTGGAGAATTTGGGGGGAAATAAACGGGAATTTTTGGGGTTAAAATCGGGGATTTTGGGGAAAAATCAATGGGATTTTGGGGGTTAAAATTGGGGAATTTGGGAAAAAATTAATGGGGGAAATGGGGGAAAATGCGTAAAAATGGAAATTTTTGAGGTGAAAATCTGGGATTTTGGGAAAAATGAATGGGGTTTGTGGGGTTAAAGTTGGGGAATTTGGGGGAAATAAACGGATTTTTTGGGTTAAATTGGGGAATTTGGGGGGGAATAAATGGGGATTTTTGGGGTTAAAATTGGGGAATTTGGGGAAAATAAATGGGGATTTTTGTGGTTAAAATCCGGGAATTCAGGAAAAAAGTCAATGGGAATTTTTGGGGTTAAAATCCGGGAATTCGGAAAAAAAATCAATGGGAATTTTTGGGGTTAAAATTGGAGAATTTGGGGGAAATAAACGGGAATTTTGGGGGTTAAAGTTGGGGAATTTGGGGGGAATAAATGGGAATTTTTGGGGTTAAAATCGGGAAATTTGGGGGAAATAAACGGGGATTTTTTGGATTAAAATCTGGGATTTTTGGGAAAAATCAGTGGGGGTTTTTGTGGTTAAAATTGGAGAATTTGAGGAAAATAAATGGGAATTTTTGGGGTTAAAATTGGAGAATTTGGGGAAAATAAATGGGGGAAATGGGGCAACGTTTAATTTCTGGGATTAAAATCCAGGAATTTGGGAAAAAATCAATGGGGGGAATGGGGGGAAAATGGGAATTTTTATGGGAAAAAAGGGGGAAATTGGGGAAAAAAAAGGGAATTTTTGGGGTTCAAATCTGGGAATTCGGGAAAAAAAATAAATGGGAATTTCTGGGGTTAAAATTGGGGAATTCAGGAAAAAAATCAATGGGGATTTTTGGGGTTAAAACTGGAGAATTTGGGGGGAAATAAACGGGAATTTTAGGGGTTAAAATTGGAGAATTTGAGGAAAATAAATGGGATCTTTTGGGGTTAAAATTGGAGAATTTGGGGGAGAATAAACGGGATTTTTTGGGGTTAAAATCTGGGATTTTTGGGAAAAATCAATGGGGATTTTTGTGGTTAAAATAGGAGAATTTGGGGAAATAAATGGCAATTTTTGGGGTTAAAATCTGGGATTTTTGGAAAAAATCAATGGGAATTTCTGGGGTTAAAATCCAGGAACTCGGGAAAAAATCAATGGGGGGAATGGGGGAAAAATGGGGAAAAATGGGTAAAAATTGAAATTTTTGGGGTTAAAATCCGGGAATTCGAGAAAAAATCAATGGGAATTTTTGGGGTTAAAATTGGAGAATTTGGGGGAGAATAAACGGGATTTTTTGAGGTTAATATCTGGGATTTTTGGGAAAAATCAATGGGGATTTTTGGGGTTAAAATTGGGAATTTGGGGGAAATAAACGGGGATTTTTGGGGTTAAAATCTGGGATTTTGGGAAAAATAAATGGGGGAAATGGGGCAAAATTTAATTTCTGGGATTAAAATCCGAGAATTTGGGAAAAAATCAATGGGGGAAATAGGGGGAAAATGGGAATTTTTATGGGAAAAAAAGGGGGAAATTGTGGAAAAAATGGAAATTTTGGGGGAAGAAATGGGGGAAAATTAGTTTTAAAATAAATGGGAATTTTTGGGATTAAAAATGGGGAATTTGGGAAAAAATCAAGGGGGGAAATGGGGAAAAATGGGTAAAAATTGACATTTTTTGGGTTTAAAATCCGGGAATTTTTAGGGAAGAAATGGGTAAAAAATAAGGGTGGAAATGGGAATTTTTGAAGGAAAGAAAGGGGAAAATTTTGGGTAAAAATGGGATTTTTTTGGGGGGAAAAACGGGTGAAAAATGGGAATTTTTGGGGGAAATTTTGGTCTGGGGTTGTTTTAGCATATTTTTGGGATATTTTAGGAATATTTTGGAATATTTTTGGGTTATTTTAGGATAATTTTGGGGTATTTTGGGACACTCACGTGGCCGTGCCGGGGGTCCCGTGCCCCGGGGGCTGCCCCAGGGGGGTCTGGGGTTATTTTGGGATATTTTAGGATAATTTAGGAATATTTTAGGATAATTTAGGATAAATTTTGGGACACTCACGTGGCGGTGCCGGGGGTCCCGTGCCCCGGGGGCTGCCCCAGGGGGGTCTGGGGTTACTTTGGGATATTTCAGGGATATTTTGGGATATTTTAGGATAATTTAGGAATATTTTAGGAATATTTTAGGATAAATTTGGGACACTCACGTGGCCGTGCCGGGGGTCCCGTGCCCCGGGGGCTGCCCCAGGGGGGTCTGGGGTTACTTTGGGATATTTCAGGGATATTTTGGGATATTTTAGGATAATTTAGGAATATTTTAGGAATATTTTAGGATAAATTTTGGACACTCACGTGGCCGTGCCGGGGGTCCCGTGCCCCGGGGGCTGCCCCAGGGGGGTCTGGGGGCCGCCCCCCCCCAGCCCCGACTCCGAGGAACTGTCGGCGACCACCGAGCTGTAACCTGGGGGGGGTAAAAAGAGCTAAAAACAACCAAAATAAACCCAAAAATACACCCAAAAATACACCAAGTAACCCCCAAAACAACGAAAAAAAAAACCCTAAAAAAAATCCCCAAAAATACACAAATTAACCCCAAAAACAATGAAATAACCCAAATAAACACCCCAAAAATTAAAAAACCCAACGATGTAACCCGAAAAACAGCAAAATAACCCAAAAACCCCAAAATGACCCAAAAAATCTCCCAAAAATCCTCAAAATAACCCAAAAAACCTCACAATAACCCAAGAATAACCCCAAAATAAAAACCTCCATGCCCCTTGAACCCCTCCCAGTCCCTCCCAGTTTATCCCAGTCCCCCTTTAACCCCTCCCAGTCCCCCTTTAACCCCTCCCAGTCCCTCCCAGTCCCCGTTTAACCCCTCCCAGTCCCTCCCAGTCCATCCCAGTTTATCCCAGTCCCCCTTTAACCCCTCCCAGTCCCCATTTAACCCCTCCCAGTCCATCCCAGTTTATCCCAGTGCCCATTTAACCCCTCCCAGTCCCCGTTTAACCCCTCCCAGTGCCTGTTAAACCCCTCCCAGACCCATTTAACCCCTCCCAGTCCATCCCAGTCCATCCCAGTTTATCCCAGTGCCCATTTAACCCCTCCCAGACCCCATTTAACCCCTCCCAGTCCCCGTTTAACCCCTCCCAGTCCCCGTTTAACCCCTCCCAGTCCATCCCAGTCCATCCCAGTTTATCCCAGTGCCCATTTAACCCCTCCCAGTCCCCGTTTAACCCCTCCCAGTCCATCCCAGTCCATCCCAGTTTATCCCAGTGCCCATTTAACCCCTCCCAGTGCCCATTTAACCCCTCCCAGCCCCTCCCAGTCCCTCCCAGTCCATCCCAGTGCCCATTTAACCCCTCCCAGACCCCCTTGAACCCCTCCCAGTCCATCCCAGTTTATCCCAGTGCCCATTTAACCCCTCCCAGACCCATTTAACCCCTCCCAGTCCATCCCAGTCCATCCCAGTTTATCCCAGTGCCCATTTAACCCCTCCCAGACCCCATTTAACCCCTCCCAGTCCCCGTTTAACCCCTCCCAGTCCCCGTTTAACCCCTCCCAGTCCATCCCAGTCCATCCCAGTTTATCCCAGTGCCCATTTAACCCCTCCCAGTCCCCGTTTAACCCCTCCCAGTCCATCCCAGTCCATCCCAGTTTATCCCAGTGCCCATTTAACCCCTCCCAGTGCCCATTTAACCCCTCCCAGCCCCTCCCAGTCCCTCCCAGTCCATCCCAGTGCCCATTTAACCCCTCCCAGTCCCCATTTAACCCCTCCCAGACCCAGTTTAACCCCTCCCAGTGCCCATTTAACCCCTCCCAGTCCCCATTTAACCCCGTTTAACCCCTCCCAGACCCCGTTAAACCCCTCCCAGTCCCTCCCAGTCCATCCCAGTACTCACTGGTGGCGCCCCCGTTCTGTTTCCCGCCCTGCTGGGCGCTGGGGGGGCGGGGCTGGGGCGCGCTGGGGGGCGGGGCCGGGGGCGGGGCCACGGCCTGTGCGTAGGGGGTGGGGGTGGAGCTTGGCGGGTGGGCCCCGCCCCTTTCCCCGCCCCCTTTGGGCCCAGGCCCCGCCCCCTGCGCGCTCTGGGCCCCGCCCCCGGGCCCCGCCCCCGAGGGGGAGGGGCCGTTGTTCAGGGGGGCGGGGCCGGGGGCGGGGCCGGAGAAGGGGGCGGGGCCAGCCGGGGAGGGGGCGTGGCCGTGGGGGAGGGGCTTGGCGCCGTTCTTGGCGGGAGACTGCAAGAGAAGAGGGGTTAATTAGCATAATTAACTGACTTAATTAACGAGGCTGGGGGGTTAGCTGGGGGGATTAATGGGTTAATTAACGGGGCTGGTAATTGCGGTGTTAATGGGGGGATTAATGAGTTAATTAATGGGCTTGGTAATTGAGTGGGGGATTAATGGGAGGAATTAATGGTTTAATTAATGGGGCTGGGAATTGGGGGGTGGGGGGTTAGTTGGGGGGATTAATGGGTTAATTAATGGGATCGGTAATTGCAGGGTTAATGGGGGGATTAATGGGTTAATTAATGGGGCTGGTAATTGCGGGGTTAATGGGGGGATTAATGGGTTAATTAGCAAGGTTGGTAATTAAGGGATTAATGGGGGAATTAATGGGTTAATTAATGGGGTCGGTAATTGGAGGGCTAATGGGGGGATTAATGGATTAATTAATGGGGTTGGTAATTAAGGGATTAATGGGGGGATTAATGGGTTAATTAATGGGGTCGGTAATTGGAGGGCTAATGGGGGGATTAATGGGTTAATTAGCAGGATTGGTAATTAAGGGATTAATGGGGGGAATTAATGGGTTAATTAATGGGGCTGGTAATTGCGGGGTTAATGGGGGGATTAATGGGTTAATTAATGGGGTTGGTAATTGGAGGGATAATGGGGGGATTAATGGGTTAATTAGCAGATTTGGTAATTAAAGGATTAATGAGGGAATTAATGGGTTAATTAATGGGGTTGGTAATTGAGGAGTGGGGGGTTAATGGGAGGAATTAATGGGTTAATTAACGGGTCGGTAATTGGAGTGTTAATCAGGGAAATTAATGGATTAATTAACAGGGCTGGTAATTAGAGGGTGGAGGATTAATGGGTTAATTAATGGGGTCAATAATTGGGGGTGTGGGGGGGTAATGGGGGGCATTAATGGGTTAATTAATGAGGCTGATAATTGTTTGGTGTAGGGTTAATGTGGGGATTAATGGGCTAATTAATGGGGTTGGTAATTGAGGAGTGGAGGTTTAATTAGGGGGTGGAGGATTAACGGGGGAGATTAATGGGTTAATTAATGGGGTCAGTAATTGGGGGTGTGAGGGGGTTAATTGGGCAGTATTAATGCGTTAATTAATGAGGCTGATAATTATTGGGTGAAGGGTTAATGGGGGGATTAATGGGTTAATTAACGGGGCTGGGAATTGGGGGTGGGGCTTAATGGGGGAAATAATGGGTTAATTAACGAGGTCAAAAACGAGAGGGGATAATTAATGGGGGTAATTAATGGGGGGTTAATGGGAGGGGGATTAATGGGGGGTAATTAATGGGGGGTTAATGGGAGAGGGATTAATGGGGGGTAATTAATGGGGGGTTAATGGGAGGGGGATTAATGGCGGGTAATTAATGGGGGGTTAATGGGAGGGGGATTAATGGGGGATAATTAATGGGGGTAATAAATTAAAATGGAAGAATCCATTGTGAAAATGGGGGGAGAAACCCCCTAAATTGGGGGGGGGGGTCCCCACTAAAAATGGGAAGTTCCATTACGAAAACTGGGGGGGGACGGGTTAAAATGGAAGAATCCATTGTGAAAACGGGGGGGAACACCCCTAAATTGGGGGTGGGGTCCCCATTAAAAATGGGAGGATCCATTATGAAAATAGGGGGGGGAGACCCCCTAAATTGGGGGGGGGGGGTCCCCATTAAAATGGGAAGTTCCATTACAAAAAATTGGGGGGGGGAATGGTTTAAAATGGAAGAACCCATTGTGAAAACGGGGGGGGACACCCCTAAATTGGGGGGGGTCCCCCATTAAAATGGGAGGATCCATTATTAAAATGGGGGGGGACACCCCTAAATTGGGGGGCAGGTCCCCATTAAAATGGGAAGTTCCATTATGAAAATGGGGGGGGGGGCACCCCTAAATTGGGGGGGGTCCCCATTAAAAACGGGAGGATCCATTATGAAAATGGGGGGGACACCCCTAAATTGGGGAGGGGATCCCCATTAAAAATGGGAGGATCCATTATGAAAATGGGGGGCGACACCCCTAAATTTGGGGGGGGGTCCCCATTAAAAATGGGAGGATCCATTATGAAAATGGGGGGCGAGACCCCCTAAATTGGGGGGGGGGTCCCCATTAAAATGGGAGGTTCCATTACGAAAAATTGGGGGGGGGGAAGGTTTTAAAATGGAAGAATCCATTGTAAAAATGGGGGTAGAGACCCCCTAAATTGGGGGGGGTCCAATTAAAATGGAAGAATCCATTGTGTAAATGGGGGGGGACACCCCTAAATTGGGGGGGGGGGTCCCCATTAAAATGGGAAGTTCCATTATGAAAATGGGGGGGGGAATGGTTTAAAATGGAAGAATCCATTGCGAAAACGTGGGGGAAACACCCCTAAATTTGGGGAGGGGTCCCAATTAAAGGGGAGGGGGGATAACGAAGGGTGGGGGGGACCCCCGGGATTTTGGGGACCCCTCCCCATTTTTGGGGTCCCCCTCACCTGTCCCACCTCGCTGTCGGTGGAGCGGCCGCGCTTTTTGTCATCCTCCGAGTTCTCCTGGGGGGGAAAAGGGGGTCAGGGGGGCCCCAAAATGGGGAGGGGACCCCAAAATTCACGGGGGGGGTTTGGGGATTTTTTGGGGTTTTTTTGTGGTTTTTTTGGGGATTTTTTGGGCTTTTTTTTGTGGTTTTTTGGGAATTTTTTAGAGTTTTTTGGGGAGTTTTTGGGCATTTTTTTAGAGTTTTTTAGTGGTTTTTTGAGCTTTTTATTGTGATTTTTGGGGAGTTTTTTGGCTTTTTTTGGTGGTTTTTGGGGTTTTTGTAGGGGGGTATTTTTGGTGGGTTTTGGGGTTTTTTTGGGCTTTTTTGCTGTTTTTTGAGGAATTTTTTCGGCTTTTTTTGGGGCGTTTTGGTATTTTTTTGGGAGCATTTCTTTTGTTTTTTAGGGGCTTTTTTTGGTGGTTTTTTTGGGTTTTTTGGGTTTTTTTTTGTGGTTTTGGGTTTTTTGGGAGGTGGGGGGAAAAGGGGGGTCAGAAGGGCCCCAAATGGGGTCAGGGGGGCCCCAAAATGGGGAATGGGCCCCAAAATTCACGGGGGGAGGGGGGGTGGGGGTCCAGGAACCGCCCTGGGGGGGGTTGGGGATTTTTTTGGGGTTTTTTTGTGGGTTTTGGGGGGATTTTTTGTGGTTTTTGGGGATTTTTTGGGGGATTTTTTGGGGGATTGTTGGGGTTTTTTTGTGGTTTTTGGGCATTTTTTTGGGGTTTTTTTGTGGTTTTTGGGATTTTTTTAGAGTTTTTTGGGGAGTTTTTGGGCATTTTTTTAGAGTTTTTTTGGTGGTTTTTCGGGCTTTTTTTGGTGATTTTTTGGGTTTTTTGGGGGCTTTTTGGGCTTTTTTTGGTGGTTTTGGGGTTTTTTTAATGGGGGTATTTTTGGTGGGTTTTGGGGCTTTTTTGGGGTGTTTTTGGTAGGTTTTGGGGTTTCTTGGAGGGTTTTTTTGGGTATTTTTCTGTGGCTTTTGGGAATTTTTTGGCTTGTTTTTTTTGGTGTTTCGGGGTTTTTTTTGGTTTTTTTTTTTTACTTTTTTTGAGGCTTTTTTGGTGGTTTTTGAGCTTTTTTAGGGCTTTTTCTCAGTGGCATTTTGCAACTTTTTTTGTGGCTCTTTTGTGGCTTTTTTGGTGGTTTTTGGTGGGGTTTTTTGTGGCTTTTTTTGGGGCCTTTTTTGGTGGTTTTTTTTGGTAACTTTTTGGGCGGTTTTTTTGCGGTTCTTTGGGGCTTTTTTTGGTGTTTTTTTCAGCTTTTTTTGGTGGTCTTTGGGGTTTTTCTTGAGCTTTTTTAAAGGCTTTTTTTTGGGGCCTTTTTTGGTGGTTTTTGGGTTATTTTGAGCTGGAGGTGGGGGAATTTTTTGGGGTATTTTGGGATTTTTTGGGGTATTTTTGGGTATTTTGGGGTGTCACTCACAGCGTTTGCAGCGGGACTGGGTGGAATTGGGGAGCTGGAGGTGGTGGAGGTTTTTGGGGTATTTTTAGGATATTTTGGGTATTTTTGGGGTGTCACTCACAGCGTTTGCAGCGGGACTCGGGGGAATCGGGGAGCTGGAGGTGGGGGAGGTTTTTGGGGTGTTTTTAGGATATTTTTGGGCTATTTTGGGGTATTTTTAGGATATTTTGGGGTGTCACTCACAGCGTTTGCAGCTGGACTCGGGGGAATTGGGGAGCTGGAGGTGGGGGTGATTTTTGGGGTATTTTTGGGACATTTTGGGGTGTCACTCACAGCGTTTGCAGCGGGGCTGGGTGGAATTGGGGAGCTGGAGGTGAGGGAGGTTTTTGGGGTATTTTTGGATATTTTTGGGTATTTTTGGGGTGTCACAGCGTTTGCAGGGGGGCTGGGTGGAATTGGGGAGCTGGAGGTGGGGGAGGTTTTTGGGATATTTTGGGATATTTTGGGTGTTTTTGGGGTGTCACTCACAGCGTTTGCAGCAGGACTCGGTGGAATTGGGGAGCTGGAGGTGGGGGTGATTTTTGGGGTATTTTGGGGTATTTTTGGGTGTCACTCACAGCGTTTGCAGCCGGACTCGGGGGAATTGGGGAGCTGGAGGTGGGGGTGATTTTTGGGGTATTTTTAGGATATTTTGGGTATTTTTGGGGTGTCACTCACAGCATTTGCAGCGGGACTGGGCGGAATCGGGGAGCTGGAGGTGGGGGTGATTTTTGGGGTATTTTTGGGATATTTTGGGATATTTTGGGGTGTCACTCACAGCGTTTGCAGCAGGACTCGGGGGAATTGGGGAGCTGGAGGTGGGGGTGATTTTTGGGGTATTTTTGGGGTATTTTTGGGACATTTTGGGGTGTCACTCACAGCGTTTGCAGCAGGGCTGGGTGGAATTGGGGAGCTGGAGGTGGTGGAGGTTTTTGGGGTATTTTGGGGTATTTTTGGGGTATTTTGGGGTGTCACTCACAGCGTTTGCAGCGGGACTCGGGGGAATCGGGGAGCTGGAGGTGGTGGAGGTTTTTGGGGTATTTTTGGGTATTTTGGGGTGTCACTCACAGCGTTTGCAGCCGGACTCGGGGGAATTGGGGAGCTGGAGGTGGGGGTGATTTTTGGGGTATTTTTGGGTATTTTTGGGTATTTTTGGGTATTTTTGGGGTGTCACTCACAGCGTTTGCAGCGCGACTGGGTGGAATCGGGGAGCTGGAGGTGGTGGAGGTTTTTGGGGTATTTTTGGGTATTTTTAGGACATTTTGGGGTGTCACTCACAGCGTTTGCAGCGGGGCTGGGCGGAATTGGGGAGCTGGAGGTGGGGGTGATTTTTGGGGTATTTTTAGGATATTTTGGGGTATTTTGGGGTGTCACTCACAGCGTTTGCAGCGGGGCTGGGTGGAATCGGGGAGCTGGAGGTGGGGGAGGTTTTTGGGGTATTTTTAGGATATTTTGGCTATTTTTGGGGTGTCACTCACAGCGTTTGCAGCCGGACTCGGGGGAATTGGGGAGCTGGAGGTGGGGGAGGTTTTTGGGGTATTTTTAGGATATTTTGGGGTATTTTGGGGTGTCACTCACAGCGTTTGCAGCCGGACTCGGGGGAATCGGGGAGCTGGAGGTGGTGGATGTTTTTGGGGTATTTTGGGGTATTTTTGGGGTGTCACTCACAGCGTTTGCAGCCGGACTCGGGGGAATTGGGGAGCTGGAGGTGGGGGTGATTTTTGGGGTATTTTTAGGATATTTTGGGATATTTTGGGGTGTCACTCACAGCGTTTGCAGCGGGGCTGGGCGGAATCGGGGAGCTGGAGGTGGGGGAGGTTTTTGGGGTATTTTTAGGATATTTTGGGTATTTTTGGGGTGTCACTCACAGCGTTTGCAGCTGGGCTCGGGGGAATCGGGGAGCTGGAGGTGGGGGAGGTTTTTGGGGTGTTTTTAGGATATTTTGGGTATTCTTGGGGTGTCACTCACAGCGTTTGCAGCGGGGCTGGGTGGAATCGGGGAGCTGGAGGTGGGGGTGATTTTTGGGGTATTTTGGGGTATTTTTGGGGTGTCACTCACAGCGTTTGCAGCAGGGCTGGGCGGAATTGGGGAGCTGGAGGTGGGGGTGATTTTTGGGGTGTTTTTGGGTATTTTTGGGGTGTCACTCACAGCGTTTGCAGCGGGGCTGGGTGGAACTGGGGAGCGGGAGGTGGGGGAGGTTTTTGGGGTATTTTGGGGTATTTTTGGGTGTTTTTGGGGTGTCACTCACAGCGTTTGCAGCAGGACTGGGTGGAATTGGGGAGCTGGAGGTGGGGGTGATTTTTGGGTTATTTTTGGGATATTTTAGGATATTTTGGGGTGTCACTCACAGCGTTTGCAGCGGGGCTGGGGGGAATCGGGGAGCTGGAGGTGGGGGTGATTTTTGGGGTATTTTGGGGTATTTTTGGGTGTTTTTGGGGTGTCACTCACAGCGTTTGCAGCAGGACTCGGGGGAATTGGGGAGCTGGAGGTGGTGGAGGTCGGGGTGCTGCTGCTCTGGTTGAAGATCTCATCCTCCATCTGGGAGTGGCTGGGGGGGGACGTGGCCACCAGAGCCTGCGCTGGGGGGGCACAGGGGGCACGGGGGGGGTCACTCTGGGCATCCCCCCCACCCCAAAAACCCCCCCAAAACCCCTCCTGGTCCTCCCCAAAAAATCCCCTTTCCAAACCCCCTTTTGCTCCCCAAAAATCCCACCCAGGGCCCAAAAAAATCCTAAAAAAATCTCCGTTTTTCCTCCAGAAAATTCAATTCTTTCTCCAATCCCCCATTTCCCAGCCCCTTTACTCCCATTTTTCCTGTTGTTTCCCCATTTTCCCTCCCATTTACCCAAATTCCCCTGCCCCTTTTCCCCCATTTTTCCCCATTATCCTGTTTTTTCCCCATTTCCCATTTTCCACCCATCTTTCCTCATTTCCCAGCCCCTTTTTCCCCATTCCCCCCATTTTCCCATTTTTTTTTCCCATTTCCCCCCGTTTTCCCCATTTTTTTTTCTATTTGCCACCCATTTTTCCCCATTTCCCCCCCATTCCCCCCAAGTTTCCCATTTCCCCCCCTTTCCCCAATTTTTGCCCCCATTTCCCCCTGTTTTTTCCCATTTTTCCCTGTTTCTTCCAGTTTATCCCCATTACCCCCATTTTTTTCCATTTCCCCGTTTTTCCCCCTTTCATTCCCATTTTCCCCCCTTTATCCCCATTTTCCCCCCTTTTTCCCATTTTTTCCCATTTCCCCCCATTTCCCCCCTGCTATCCCCATTCCCCCCCTTTTATCCCCATTTCCCCCCTTTTATCCCCGTTTTTCCCCCTTTTATCCCCGTTTCCCCCCTTTTATCCCCATTTCCCCCCTTTTATCAGCATTTCCCCCCTTTTATTTCCACTTTCCCCCCTTTTATCCCCATTTTCCCCTCTTTTATCCCCACTTCCCCCCTTTTATCCCCACTTTTCCCCCTTTCATTCCCACTTTTCCCCTTCTGTCCCTATTTTTCCCCCTTTTATCCCCATTTTATCCCCATTTTCCCCCCTTTTATCCCCAATTTTCCCCCTTTTATTCCCATTTCTCCCCCTTTTACCCCTGTTTTTTCCCCTTTTATTCCCACTTTTCCCCCTTTTATCCCCATTTCCCCCCTTTTATCCCCGTTTTTCCCCCTTTATTCCCATTTTCCCCCTTTTATCCCCGTTTTCCCCTTTTATCCCTGTTTTTCCCCCTTTCATTCCCACTTTTCCCCTTCTGTCCCTATTTTTCCCCCTTTTATCCCCATTTTATCCCCATTTTCCCCCCTTTTATCCCCAATTTTCCCCCTTTCATTCCCATTTTCCCCCTTTTTATACCCACTTTTCCCCCTTTTATTCCCACTTTCCCCCTTTTATTCCCACTTTTCCCCTTTTATCCCCATTTTTCCCCTTCTATCCCCATTTTTCCCCCTTTTATCCCCATTTCCCCCCCTTTTATCCCCATTTTCCTCCCTTTTATTCCCTTTTTCCCCCTTTTATTCCCTTTTTCCCCCTTTTATCCCCATTTTTCCCTCTTTTATTTCTGTTTTTCCCCCTTTTAGCCTCCTTTTATCCCCTTTTATCCCCGTTTCCCCCCCTTTTATTCCCATTTCCCCCCTTATATTCCCACTTTTCCCGTTTATTCCTGTTTTTCCCCCTTTTCCCCCATTTTTCCCCCTTTTACTCCCATTTTCCCCCCTTCTATCCCCATTTTCCCCCTTTTATCCCTGTTTTTTCCCCTTTTATCCCCCTTTTATTCCCGTTTTTCCCTGTTTTATCCCCGTTTTTGCCCTTCTATCCCCATTTCCCCCCATTTATCCCCGTTTTTCCCCCTTTTTTCCTCCTTTTATCCCCATTTTCCCCCCTTTTATCCCCATTTTTTCCCATTTTCCCCCTTCTAACCCCATTTCCCCCCCCCATCCCCGTTTTTTTCCCGTTTTCCCGCGTTTTGTCCCCGAGTTACGGATGTCGTCGAGGTCCAGGTCGTCGTAGAGGAACTCGTTCTCCTCGAAGTCGGGCTCCTGGCAGGAATCCACGTAATATTCCACGTCGTCCTTCAGCTTCCGCACGGGATCCACCGGGATCGAGTCGTTGTCCAGCATGCGCAGCAGCGTCTCCAGCATGCGCACGTGGAAGCGGTGCCGCTCCACCTGCCGCTTCAGCGCCTCGATGCGGTCCTGCTTCTGGGGAGAAAAACCCAAAAAACGGGAAAAATTACATCCAAAAATGGTAAAAATCATATTGGAGCAATGGGAGTAATGGGAGTAATGGGATTGGGGTCAGGGATCCCATGGGATGGATCCCCCAGGGCGGGATCTGCAGCGGTGCCGCTCCACCTGCCGCTTCAGCGCCTCGATCCGGTCCTGTTTCTGGGGAAAAAACACCCAAAAATGGGAAAATTTATATAAAAATATCAATAAAAACTCCTGGGAGCAATGGGAGTAATGGGAGTAATGGGACTGGGGTCAGGGATGGATCCCCCAGGACGGGATCTGCAGCGGTGCCGCTCCACCTGCCGCTTCAGCGCCTCGATCCGGTCCTGTTTCTGGGGCGAAAAACCCAAAAAATGGGAAAATTTAAATATTTAATTCCATAAAACCTCCTGGGAGCAATGGGAGTAATGGGATCCCCGGGAATGGGGTCAGGGATCCCATGGGATCCATCCCCCAGGACGGGATCTGGCAGCGGTGCCGCTCCACCTGCCGCTTCAGCGCCTCGATGCGGTCCTGCTTCTGGGGAGAAAAACCCAAAAAACGGGAAAAATTACATCTGAAAATGGTAAAAATCACATGGGAGCAATGGGATTGGTGACAGGATCCCACAGGATCAATGGGATGGATCCCCCAGGACGGGATCTGCAGCGGTGCCGCTCCACCTGCCGCTTCAGCGCCTCGATACGGTCCTGCTTCTGGGGAGAAAAACCCAAAAAACGGGAAAATTTATATCCAAAAATTGTAAAAATCATATTGGAGCAATGGGAACAAAGAGATCCCTGGGAATGGGCTCAGGGATCCAACTGGATCCATCCCCCAGGACGGGATCTGGCAGCGGTGCCGCTCCACCTGCCGCTTCAGCGCCTCGATGCGGTCCTGCTTCTGGGGTGAAAAACCCAAAAAACGGGAAAATTTACATCCAAAAATGGTAAAAATCATATTAGAGCATTGGGAATGAGGACAGGATCCCAAAGGATCCCATGGGATGGATCCCCCAGGACGGGATCTGCAGCGGTGCCGCTCCACCTGCCGCTTCAGCGCCTCGATCCGGTCCTGTTTCTGGGGAAAAAATGCCAAAAAATGGGAAAATTTAAATTATAAATTCCTAAAAACCTCCTGGGAGCAATGAGAGTAATGGGATCCATGGGATTGGGGTCAGGGATGGATCCCCCAGGACGGGATCTGGCAGCGGTGCCGCTCCACCTGCCGCTTCAGCGCCTCGATCCGGTCCTGTTTCTGGGGTGAAACACCCAAAAATGGGAAAATTTATATCCAAAAATGGTAAAAATCATATTGGAGCAAGGGGAGCAATGGGATCTCTGGGATTGGGGTCAGGGATCCAACTGGATCCATCCCCCAGGACGGGATCTGGCAGCGGTGCCGCTCCACCTGCCGCTTCAGCGCCTCAATCCGGTCCTGCTTCTGGGGAGAAAAACCCAAAAAACGGGAAAATTCACATCCAAAAATTGTAAAATTCATATTGGAGCAATGGGAACAAAGAGATCCCTGGGAATGGGGTCAGGGATCCAACTGGATCCATCCCCCAGGACGGGATCTGCAGCGGTGCCGCTCCACCTGCCGCTTCAGCGCCTCGATCCGGTCCTGCTTCTGGGGAGAAAAACCCAAAAAACGGGAAAATTTAAATAATTAATTCCTTAAAATCAGAAGAAATCCCTGGAATTGTGTCAGGGATCCACAGGATCCCACAGGATCCCATGGAATCCATCCCCCCTCAGGGGGATTGGGCAGCGGTGCCGCTCCAGGGACTCGATCCTGGCCTGATTCGGAGGGAAAAATGGGGGGAAATGGAAAAAAAATGGAAGAAAATGGGAAAAAAGGGAAAAAATGGGAAAAAAGGGGAAAAAATGGGGTAAAATTGGAAAAAAATATGGGAAAAAATGGGGGGAATAAGGAAAAAAAATGGGAAAAAATGGGAAAATTTGAAAAAATGAAAATTTTGGGGTAATTTCAGGATATTCTGGGTGATTTTGGAGTAATTTAAGGATATTTTGGGGGATTTTGGTGTGATTTTGGCGATTTTGGAGTAATTTCAGGGTATTTTGGGGTAATTTCAGGTCATTTTGGGTCATTTTAGGGTAATTTCAGGATATTTTGGGTGATTTTGGGGTAATTTCGGGATATTTTGGGTCATTTTAGGGTAATTTCAGGATATTTCCAGATATTCTGGGATATTTTTAGGGTGATTTTGGGGTAATTTCAGGATATTTCGGGATATTCTGGGATATTTTTAGGGGGATTTTGGGGTAATTTCGGGATATTCTGGGTGATTTTGGGGTAATTTCAGGATACTTTGGGATATTTTGGGTGATTTTGGGGTAATTTCAGGATATTTTGGGGTAATTTCAGGCTATTTTGGGGAAATTTCAGGCTATTTTGGGGAAATTTCAGGATATTTTGGGGATTTTGGGGTAATTTCAGGATACTTTGGGTGATTTTGGGGTAATTTCAGGATATTTTGGGGTAATTTCAGGCTATTTTGGGCACTCACATCCTTGTCTCCCTTTTTCTTGCGCGTCTGCACCGACAGCGACTCCACCTCGCTCTCGAACTGATCCACCTGCATGTTCAGCGTGTCGATCGTGTTCTGCAAAAAACACAAAAAAAACCCAAAAAAACAAAAATTCAGCCAAAGAGAAGAAAACAAAAAAAAAACTGGGCAAAAAAAAAAAATTTGGGAAAGATACATCGAATTTTGGGCGAAAAAACGACATTTTTGGGTGAAAAAATATGTTTTTATACAGAAATAAATGAATTTTTGTGACTAAAAAACCCAAAATTTTTGTAGAGCAAAAAAGGCATTTTTGTGATGGACAAAACGGGTTTTTATAAAGAATAAATTGCATTTTTTTGATAAATAAATGGATTTTTGTGATGAATAAAAGCATTTTTTTGGAATTTTTTCAGGAAATAGTAGATTTTACCAGGAAATACCGGATTTTTTCAGGAAATATTCCCTTCTTTTCTTTTTTTATTTTACCAAGAAATATCAGACTTCTTTTCTTAATTTCCCCAGGAGACCCTGGATTTTTAAACGAAATATTGGAATTTTTTAAAAATGAAATATCAGAATTTTTCAGGAAATGTCCGATTTTTTCAGGAAAAATTGGATTTTTTGCATGAAATATTCACATTTTTTAAATTTCACTATAAAATATTGTATTTTTTCAGTACAAATTGAATTTTTTTCAGGAAATATTGGATTTTTTAATTAAATATTCATTTTTTTTAATTTCACAATAAAATATTGATTATTTTTCAGGAAGAATTGGATTTTTTCATGAAATATTCAAAATTTTTTGGATTTCACCACAAAACATTGTATTTTTTCAGGAAAATTTGAATTTTTTTCAGGAAATACTGGATTTTTTCAAGAAAAATTAGATTTTTTCATGAAATATTCAATTTTTTTTTAATGTCACAATAAAATATTGTATTTTTTCCAGAAAAATTGATTTTTTTTCAGGAAATATTCAATTTTTTCATGAAATATTCATTTTTTTTTAATTTCACCATAAAATATTGAATTTTTTCAGAAAATATTGGATTTTTTTCATGAAAAATTGAATTTTTTTCAGGAAAAATTGGATTTTTTTTTTCAGGAAAAATTGTATTTTTTTCAGGAAAAATTGGATTTTTTTCAGGAAAATTTGATTTTTTTTCAGGAAAAAATGAATTTTTTTCAGGAAAAATCGAATTTTTTCACGAAACATTCCATTTTTTTTTCAATTTCACCATAAAATAATTGTATTTTTCCAGGAAAACCGGATTTTTTTTCCCTTTTTCTCACCGTCAGCCACTGCCCGACCTCCTCCTTCTCCTTCTGCGCGGGGTCGACCTTCTGCGCCAGCCCCAGCCCCTCCTTGCTGTACGCCTTCGTCTTCGTCTCGCGCTCCACCACCTTGAACCGCTCCATTTGCTGCCAGAACCCAAAATAAACCAAAAAAAACCAAATTTGGGATGGGCAAAACGGCCCACAGCCCCAAATTCAACATTTTCACCCAAAAATTCGCATTTTCCACGCAAAAATTCCCATTTTTCGCCCAAAAAATCCCCATTTTCTGCAAAAAAATCACATTTTTTGGACTTAAAATTCACACTTTCCACCCAAAAATTCCCATCTTCTAACAAAAAATTATTGGTTTTATTCTTAAAATTAATTTTTCAACATAAATCCCCGTTTTCTGCCCAAAATTCACATTTTTCACCCAAAAATTCCTGATTTCCACCCAGAAATTTCCATTTTCAGCCAAAATTCCCATTTTTCACCTAAATTTCCAATTTTCGAAATAAAATCCCCGGTTTTCCCTTAAAAATCCCATTTTTTGCCCAAAAATTCCATTTTCCCTTAACATCTCCATTTCCCATTTAAAAACTCACATTTTTGCTCAAAATTCCCACTTTTCACCCAAAATTTCGCATTTCCCATGCAAAAATTCACACTTTCCACCCAAAAATTCTTGGTTTTATCCTTAAAATTCGTTTTCCAACATAAATCCCCATTTTCTGCCCAAAATTCACATTTTTTCACCCAAAAATTCCCAATTTTCACCCAAAAATTCCCGTTTTCCAACAAAAATCCCTGTTTCTCCCATAAAATTCCCTTTTCCAACCAAAATTTCCCTTATTTCCCTTAAAATTCCTATTTTTTTGCACAAAAATTCCATTTTCCCTTAAAATCCCCATTTCCTGCCCAAAATCTCCCATTTTTTGCTCAAAATTCCCATTCTTTCGCCCAAAAATCCCCGTTTTCTGCAAAAAAAATCCAATTTTTTGACTTAAAATTCACATTTTCCGCCCAAAAATTCTCATCTTCTAACAAAAAATTATTTGTTTTATTCTTAAAATTCATTTTCCAACATAAATCCCCGTTTTCTGCCCAAAATTCACATTTTTCACTGAAAAATTCCTAATTTCCACCTAGAAATTCCCATTTTCCAACAAAAATCCCTGTTTCTCCCATAAAATTCCCTTTTCCAACCAAAAATTTCCTTATTTCCCTAAAAACACCATTTTTTTTGCACAAAAATTCCATTTTCCCTTAAAATCCCCATTTCCTGCCCAAAATCTCCCATTTTTTTCTCAAAATTCCCATTCTTTTGCCCAAAAATCCCCATTTTCTGCAAAAAAATCCCATTTTTTTGACTTAAAATTCACATTTTCCGCCCAAAAATTCCCATCTTCCAACCAAAAATTATTGGTTTTACCCTTAAAATTCGTTTTCCAACAAAAATCCCCATTTTCTGACCAAAATTCCCTTTTTCTGACTGAAAATTCACATTTTCCACCCAAAAATTCTCATCTTCTAACAAAAAATTATTGGTTTTATTCTTAAAATTAATTTTTCAACATAAATCCCCGTTTTCTGCCCAAAATTCACATTTTTCACCAAAAAAAATTCTAATTTCCACCCAGAAATTCCCATTTTCACCCAAAAAATCCCATTTCCAAGAATAATCCCTGTTTTTCCCATAAAATTCCCTTTTCCAACCAAAAGTTTCCTTATTTCCCTAAAAACACCATTTTTTTTGCACAAAAATTCCATTTTCCCTTAAAATCCCCATTTCCTGCCCAAAATCTCCCATTTTTTGCTCAAAATTCCCATTCTTTCGCCCAAAAATCCCCGTTTTCTGCAAAAAAAATCCAATTTTTTGACTTAAAATTCACATTTTCCGCCCAAAAATTCTCATCTTCTAACAAAAAATTATTTGTTTTATTCTTAAAATTCATTTTCCAACATAAATCCCCGTTTTCTGCCCAAAATTCACATTTTTCACTGAAAAATTCCTAATTTCCACCTAGAAATTCCCATTTTCCAACAAAAATCCCTGTTTCTCCCATAAAATTCCCTTTTCCAACCAAAAATTTCCTTATTTCCCTAAAAACACCATTTTTTTTTGCACAAAAATTCCATTTTCCCTTAAAATCCCCATTTCCTGCCCAAAATCTCCCATTTTTTTCTCAAAATTCCCATTCTTTTGCCCAAAAATCCCCATTTTCTGCAAAAAAATCCCATTTTTTTGACTTAAAATTCACATTTTCCGCCCAAAAATTCCCATCTTCCAACCAAAAATTATTGGTTTTACCCTTAAAATTCGTTTTCCAACAAAAATCCCCATTTTCTGACCAAAATTCCCTTTTTCTGACTGAAAATTCACATTTTCCACCCAAAAATTCTCATCTTCTAACAAAAAATTATTGGTTTTATTCTTAAAATTAATTTTTCAACATAAATCCCCGTTTTCTGCCCAAAATTCACATTTTTCACCAAAAAAAATTCTAATTTCCACCCAGAAATTCCCATTTTCACCCAAAAAATCCCATTTCCAAGAATAATCCCTGTTTTTCCCATAAAATTCCCTTTTCCAACCAAAAGTTTCCTTATTTCCCTAAAAACACCATTTTTTTTGCACAAAAATTCCATTTTCCCTTAAAATCCCCATTTCCTGCCCAAAATCTCCCATTTTTTGCTCAAAATTCCCATTCTTTCGCCCAAAAATCCCCGTTTTCTGCAAAAAAAATCCAATTTTTTGACTTAAAATTCACATTTTCCGCCCAAAAATTCTCATCTTCTAACAAAAAATTATTGGTTTTATTCTTAAAATTAATTTTTCAACATAAATCCCCGTTTTCTGCCCAAAATTCACATTTTTCACTGAAAAATTCCTAATTTCCACCTAGAAATTCCCATTTTCCAACAAAAATCCCTGTTTCTCCCATAAAATTCCCTTTTCCAACCAAAAATTTCCTTATTTCCCTAAAAACACCATTTTTTTTTGCACAAAAATTCCATTTTCCCTTAAAATCCCCATTTCCTGCCCAAAATCTCCCATTTTTTTCTCAAAATTCCCATTCTTTTGCCCAAAAATCCCCATTTTCTGCAAAAAAATCCCATTTTTTTGACTTAAAATTCACATTTTCCGCCCAAAAATTCCCATCTTCCAACCAAAAATTATTGGTTTTACCCTTAAAATTCGTTTTCCAACAAAAATCCCCATTTTCTGACCAAAATTCCCTTTTTCTGACTGAAAATTCACATTTTCCACCCAAAAATTCTCATCTTCTAACAAAAAATTATTGGTTTTATTCTTAAAATTAATTTTTCAACATAAATCCCCGTTTTCTGCCCAAAATTCACATTTTTCACCAAAAAAAATTCTAATTTCCACCCAGAAATTCCCATTTTCACCCAAAAAATCCCATTTCCAAGAATAATCCCTGTTTTTCCCATAAAATTCCCTTTTCCAACCAAAAAGTTCCTTATTTCCCTTAAAATTCCCATTTTTTTTCCAAAAATCCCATTTCTTCCCCCCAAAATCCAATTTTTTCCCCAAAAAATCCCATTTTTTCCCCCAAAAATCACATTTATTTCCCCCATAACTCCCATTTTTTCCCCCAAAAATCCCATTTTTTTCCCCCATAACTCCCATTTTTTCCCCCCAAAACTCCCATTTTTTTTCCCAAAATCCCCATTTTTTTTCCCAAAATCCCATTTTTTCTCCCATAACTCCAATTTTTTTCCCAAAATCCCCATTTTTTTTCCCAAAATCCCGTATTTTCCCCCCAAATCGCGCCGTTACCGTCTCGATGAGTTTGCGGTTGTCGATCAGCTGCCGCTTGTCTTTGATCTCGTTCGAGGCCACCCATGTCTTGATCTGGTCCCGCAGCCGCTGCGGGGAACCCAAAATGGCCCAAAATTACCCCAAATTCTCCAAAATTATCCCGAAATATTCAAAAAATGTCCAAAAACACCAAAAAACATCACAAAAACAGCCCAAAACGTCCCAAAATAGCACTTTTATCTCCCCCTTTTTCCCTTTTCCCCCTTTTTTCCTCTTTTCCCCCCATTTTTTCCCATTTATCCCCCTTTTTCTCCTTTTTCTCTTTTCTCCCCTATTTTTCCCTTTTTTTCCTCCTTTTATTCCCTTTTTTCCTATTTTTTCTCCTTTTATTCTTTTTTTCCCTTATCTTTTTCCCTTTTCCCCCCTTTTAGCCCCTTTTTCCCCCTTTCTTTCCCATTTCCCCCTTTTTCCTTTTCACATTTTTTATCTCCTTTTATTCCCCTTTTTCCTATTTTTTCTACTTTATTCTTTTTTCCCCTTTTGGTTTTTCCTTTTTCCCCCTCTTATTCCCTTTTCTCCCCTTTTTCCCCCTTTTATTCCCTTTTTCCCCCCTTTTATTCCCTTTTTTCCCCTTTTATTCCCTTTTCTCCCTTTTCCCCCCCTTTTCTCCCTTTTTTCCCCTTTTATTCCCTTTTCTCCCCTTTTTTCCCCCCTTTATTCCCTTTTTCCCTATTTTATTCACTTTTTCCCCCTTTTTTCCTTTTTTTCCTTTTTTCTCCCTTCCTTCCTCCCCCTTTTTTTTTCCTGTTTTTTTTCCCTTTTCTTCTCTTTTTTCCGCCTTTTCTTTCCAATTTTTTCCCCTTTTTACCTCTTTTTCCCATTTTCTTCCCTTTTCCTTTTTAATTCCCCCTTTTTCCCTTTTTTCACGATTTTTTCCTCCCTTTTCCCATTTTTATTCTCTTTTTTCCCTTTTCCCCCTTCGTTTTTTCCTTTTTTCCCCCTTTCTTTCCCCTTTTCTTCCCCTTTTATTCTCTTTTTTTCCTTTTTATTCCCTTTTCCCCCTTTTTTCTGTTTTCTCTTTTTCCCCTTTGTTTTCCCCTTTTTTCTCCTTTTTATCCCCTTTCTTTCCCATTTTTCTCTTTTTCCCCCATTTTTTTCCATTTTTTTCCCCTTTTTTATCCCTTTTTTCCCTTTTTCCTTTTTTTTTCCTCCCTTTTTTTCCCTTTTCCCCCATTTCCCCTTTTTCTCCTTTATTTTTCCCTTTTTTCTCCTCCTTTTTCTTCACATTTTTTTCCCTTTTATTCCCTTTCCCCCCTTTTTTCTTTTTTTTCTCTTTTTCCCGTTTTCCCCTTTTTTTTCCCATTTTTATCCCCTTTCTTTCCCATTTTTCTCCTTTTCCTCCATTTTTTCCCATATTTTTCCCCATTTTTATCCCTTTTTTCCCTTTTTCCTCTCCTTTTTTTCCCCATTTTCCCCTTTTTCTCCCTTATTTTTCCCTTTTTTTCCTCCTTTTTTTTCCACTTTTTTCCCTTTTTTTCCTCCTTTTTTTTTCCACTTTTTTTCCCTCCATTTTCTTTCCCCTTTTTTCCCATTTTTCCCTTTTTTCCCCCAAATCTGCACCTGCAGTTTTTTTATTTCCTTTTTCAGGTCGGCCTCGTATTTCTCCTTCTGGTTGGCGTTGGCGGCGTTGTGCAGCTGGGGGGAAAAAAAGGGAATTTTGGGGCATTTTGAGAATTTTGGGGCATTTTGAGAATTTTGGGGGGATTTGGGGAGATTTTAGAGGGTTCAGGGGATTTTTTCGGATTTTTCTGGGGGGTTTTTGGGGTTTTTTAGGGAAATTTTTGGAGGGATTTTTATGGGATTTGGGGACTTTGGGGGTATTTTTGGGGGTGTGGGGAAAGTTTTGGGGAATTTTGGGGGGATTTGAGGATTTTGGGGGATTTTGGGGGATTTTAGGGGGTCTGGAGGTTTTATTTGGGATTTTTTGGGATTTTAAAAAATTTTTAGGGGGATTTTGGGCGTTTTGGAGGGATTTCTATGAGATTTGGGAGAATTTGAGGGATTTTTGGGGGAATTTTTGGGGGGATATTTGGGGAATTTTGGGGGGGATTTTTGGGGGAATTTTTGGGGGCATATTTGGGGAATTTTGGTGGGAATTTTTGGGGGATTTTTGGGGGAGGAATTTAAGGAGTCTTGGTGGGAATTTTTGAAGGGAATTTTACGAGTTTTGGTGGGAATTTTTGGGGGGTTTTTGGTGGTTTTGGTGGGAATTTTTGGGGGATTTTGGGTGGTTTTTTGGGGGGAGGATTTTAGGGATTTTTGGTGGGAATTTTTGGGGGATTTTTGGGTATTTTGGGGGAGGATTTTAGGGATTTTTGGGTGGAATTTTTGGTGGGAATTTTTGGGGGGTTTTGAGGGGATTGTAGGGAGTTTTAGTGGGAATTTTTGGGGGATTTTCAGGGGGATATTTGGGGAATTTTGGTGGGAATTTTTGAGGGATTTTTGGGTATTTTGGGGGAGGATTTTAGGGATTTTTGGGTGGAATTTTTGGTGGGAATTTTTGCTGGGTTTTGAGGGGATTTTAGGGAGTTTTAGTGGGAATTTTTGGGGAGGATTTTAGGGAGTTTTGGTGGGAATTTTTGGGGGGATATTTGGGGAATTTTGGTGGGAATTTTTGGGGGATTTTTGGGGATTTTAGGGGGAGGATTTTAGGGATTTTTGGTGGGAATTTTTGGTGGTTTTTGAGGGGATTTTAGGGATTTTTGGTGGGAATATTTGGGGGATTTTTGGGAGGATATTTGGGGAATTTTGGTGGGAATTTTTGGGGGATTTTTGGGGATTTTAGGGGAGGATTTTAGGGAGTTTTGGTGGGAATTTTTGGGGGATTTTTGGGGGGATATTTGGGGAATTTTGGTGGGAATTTTTGGGGGATTTTTGGGGATTTTGGAGGAGGATTTTAGGGATTTTTGGTGGGAATTTTTGGGGGTTTTTGAGGGGATTAAAGGGAGTTTTAGTGCGAATTTTGGGGAGAATTTTAGGGATTTTTGGTGGGAATTTTTGGGGATTTGGAGGGAAGATTTTAGGGATTTTTGGTGAGATTCTTTGGGGGATTTTGAGGGAGGGTTTTAGGGAGTTTTGGGGGATTTTTGGGGATTTGGGGGGAGGATTTGAGGGATTTTTGGTGGGAATTTTTGGGGGTTTTTGAGGGGGATATTTGGGGAATTTTGGTGGGAATTTTTGGGGGATTTTTGGGGGGATATTTCAGGAATTTTGGTGGGAATTTCTGGGGGATTTTTGGGTATTTTTGGGTAGGATTTTAGGGATTTTTTGGGGGTTTTTGGGGTGCTGCCCCCTGACCTTCTGCCAGATGTCCTCGAACTGCTCCACCCCCTCCGACACCTTCTTCAGGCACCTGTCAATCTCCCCTGGGGGCGGGGCAACGTCACAGCCAATCAGAGCCGGCCTCGGGCCACACCCACAGCCCCACAGCCAATCAGAGCCGGCCTTGGGCCACACCCAGTGCCTCACAGCCAATCAGAGCCGGCCTTGGGCCACACCCACAGCCCCACAGCCAATCAGAGATGTCCTCGGGCCACACCCACAGCCCCACAGCCAATCAGAGCCAGCCTTGGGCCACACCCACAGCCCCACAGCCAATCAGAGCTGACCACACCCACAGCCCCACAGCCAATCAGAGCTGGCCACACCCACAGCCCCACAGCCAATCAGAGCCGGCCTTGGGCCACACCCACAGCCCCACAGCCAATCAGAGCTGACCACACCCACAGCCCCACAGCCAATCAGAGCCAGCCTTGGGCCACACCCACAGCCCCACAGCCAATCAGAGGCCATGCCCAGAGCCTCACAGCCAATCAGAGCTGGCCTCCGGCCACACCCACACACCCACAGCCAATCAGAGCTGGCCTTGGGCCACACCCACAGCCCCACAGCCAATCAGACCCACCAATGGACCACACCCAGTTTTCCACAGCCAATCAGAGCTGGCCTCGGGCCACACCCAGAGCCAATCAGAGCTGACCACACCCAGTGCCCCACAGCCAATCAGAGCCAGCCTCAGGCCACACCCAGAGCTCTGTAGCCAATCAGAGTCTCCCAGTGACCACACCCAGGCTGTCCCACCAATCAGAGGCTCTCATTGACCACAGCCAATCAGAGGCTCCCTCTGGCCCCACCCAGAGCCCCACAGCCAATCAGAGGCTCTCACTGACCACAGCCAATCAGAGCCACCCATGGACCACACCCAGGCTGTCCCAGCCAATCAGAGCCTCTCCCCGCGGCCCCGCCCACGCCGTCCCAGCCAATCAGGGCTCACCCTGCAGTTTCCTCTTGTCAGCCATGGCGGGGCGCTCTCGGCATCCCCTCGGGGGGCGCCTGCGGGGGAGGGGGGCAGGGACCCCAAAATTCACACGTGAACCCCAAAAATCCCCCCTGGGACCCCAAAACATCCCTGGGAACCCCAAAATCCTCCTGGGAACCCTAAAATCCCCCCTGGGAACCCCCAAAAACCCACTGGGAACCCCAAAATCCTCCCGGGAACCCCAAAATCCCCCTGGGACCCCCCCAAAAACCCCCCTGGGAACCCCAAAATCCCCACTGGGAACCCCAAAATCCACATGGGAACCCCAAAATCCTCCCAGGAACCCCAAAATCAACAGGGACCCCCCCAAAAACCCCCTGGGAACCCCAAAATCCACACGGGAACCCCCAAAATCCTCCCGGGAACCCCAAAATCTACACAGGAACCCCCCAAAATCCACACCGGAACCCCAAAATCCACACAGGGACCCCAAAATCCACATGGGGACCCCGAAATCCACACGGGAACCCTAAAAACCCTCTGGGACCCCAAAATCCTCCCAGGGACCCCAAAATCCTCCCGGGAGCCCCCAAAATCCACAGGGAACCCCCAAAATCCCCCCTGAGACCCCAAAATCCACCCGGGAACCCCTAAATCCACAGGGAACCCCCAAAAACCCCCCCTGGGAACCCCCAAAATCCTCCTGGGAACCCCCAAAATCCACACCAGAACCCCAAAATCCTCCTGAAAACCCCAAAATTCACAGAGACCCCCCCAAAATCCCCCCCTGGGACCCCAAAATCCCCCCTGGGAACCCCAAAATCTTCCCGGGACCCCGAAATCCTCATAGGAACCCCAAAATCCTCCCGGGAACCCCAAAATCCTCCCGGGAACCCCCCAAAATCCCCCCCTGGGACCCCAAAATTCCTCCTGAGACCCCAAAATCCTCCCAGGAACCCCCTAAATCCCCTATAGAGCCCCACAGACCCCATAAACCCTCTATAGAACCCCCACTGACCCCTATAGAATCCATAAATCCCCTACAGAACCCCTAAATCCCTATAGAGCCCCACAGACCCCATAAACCCCCTATAGAACCCCTTCAGGCCCCTATAGAATCCATAAATCCCCTACAGAACCCCTAAACCCCTATAGAACCCCTCCAGACCCCATAAACCCCCTATAGAGCCCCACAGACCCGGTAAACCCCCTACAGAACCCCCACTGACCCCTATAGAATCCATAAATCCCCTATAGAACCCCTAAACCCCCATAGAACCCCTCCAGACCCCTATAGACCCGCTATAGACCCCCCAACAATGCCCCATACCCCCTATAGAACCCCTAAGGATGCCCCATACCCCCTATATCCCCTATAGAACCCCTAAAGATGCCCCATACCCCCTATAGACCCCTATAGACCCGCTATAGACCCCCCAACAATGCCCCATACCCCCTATAGAACCCCTATATCCCCTATAGAACCCCTATAACCCCCTAACAAGGCCCTATACCCCCTATAGAACCCCTCTAGAACCCCTAAGAAGGCCCCACATCGCCTATAGAACCCCTATATCCCCTATAGACCCCATACAGGCCCCTACAGAACCCCTATATCCCCCTAAAAACGCCCTATACCCCCTATAGAACCCCCACAGCCCCCTCCAGACCCCTATAACCCCCAAACATCCCCTATAGAGGCCCTATAGAACCCCTATATCCCCCCACAGACCCCATATAGACTCCTATAGACCCCATAGAACCCCACAGACCCCTATAGAACACTTACAGACCCCAAACATCCCCTCCAGACCCCTATAGAACCCCTATATCTCCCCATAACCCCCAATTATCCCCTATATCTCCCCTTACATCCCCTGCAGATCCCCTATGTCCCCCCACAGAACCCTATAGACCCCCTAGATCCCCTCTAGACTCCCTACAGACCCCCTAACAAGGCCCTGCATCCCCTATAGATCCCCTATATCCCCTATAACCTCCTATATCCCCCCTATAACCCTCAATTATTCCCTACAGACCCCTACAGACCCCCTAACAAGGCCCTGCATCCCCTATAGATCCCCTATAACCCCTATAGACCCCCCATATCCCCCAATTATCCCCTATATCTCCCCTTACATCCCCCACAGACCCCCTATAACCCCTGAACATCCCCTATAGACTCCTTATAGACCCGCCTAGGCCCCTCCAGACGCCTTTAACCCCCGAATATCCCCTATAGATCCCCTATAGATCCCCTATAGATCCCCTAAATCCCCCTCCCCCGCCTCCCCTCAGGCCCCTCCCGCCCCCCCCCCCTCACCGGCAGCTCCCGAGGCGGCCCCGCCCGTTGGGGCCGCGGCGGCGATGGCGCGGGGATGTCGCGATAGCGTCACTCGAGCGCCGCCGCGTGCGGGGGGCGCCGCCGCCGCCGCTCCTCTCCCGTTTTTACTCCGTTTTTGTCCGGTTTGATCCGTTTTTCCTCCCGTTTTCCTCCCGTTTCTCCGCCGCTCCGCCGCCCCCTCCGCTCCTCCCGCCTCAGCGGCCTCCAAGATGGCGGCGGCTCCCTCAGCCCGCCCGCTCCGCCCCGCCCGCGCGCCCCGCCCCGCGCCGCGCGCTGATTGGGCGAACCGCCTGCCCGTCAACGACAGCCGCGCGGTGATTGGTTCATAGCAAAAAAGGCGGGAGGAAACGCGACGCTGTCAATCAAGGCAGCGCCGCGTTCCTATTGGTGGGGTTGTGTTTATGGCGGGGAAGGGGAGGGGTTAGGCAAAAGCCACGCCCTATAAGGCGGGACCGCGTGTAGAATACGCTTTCTTATTGGTCAGAATCGCTGTCACTCAGAGCGTTAAGAGAGTGGGCGCCGCCTTCGCTGATTGGCCGAGCAATGCTGCGAGAGGCGGGGCCACGCGCAAAGCTCTCCTGCTATTGGTTGTTTTTCCGAGCAGGTCAGCCAATAACAGCCGGCCGCACGCGGGGGGCGTGGCCAACGGGCTGAGCTGTCACTCAAAGTGGAGGCAGCCAATAGGAGGCGGAGTTGAGCAGAGTGCCCGCCCAGGGGGCGGGATACCCAAAATCCCTCAAAATAAGGCCCCAAAATCCGCCCCAAATTCCACAAAATCCGCTCCAAAAACCCAAAAAATCTGCCTCAAAATCCGCTCTATAACCCCCCAAAATGCACCTCAAAATCTGCCCAAAACCCCCCAAAATCCACCCCAAAACCCCCAAAATCCACCCCAAAATCCCCCAAAATCCACCCCAAAATCCCCAAAATCTGCCCCAAAATCCGCCCCAAAATCCTCAAAATCTGCCCCAAACTCTGCCCCAAAATCCTCAAAAACTGCCCCAAAAACCCCCAAAATCCGCCCCAAAATCCCACAAAAATCCGCTCAAAATCTGCCCCAAAATCCGCCCCAAAATCCCCAAACTCCACCCCAAAATCCCCCAAAATTTGCCCCAAAATTCCCCAAATCCGGGACCCCCCCCCCACCCTCAAAAATTCCCCAAAAAATTCTGATTTTTATTACAAAAAAATTCCAACATTTATAGAAAGTTCAGGAACGAAACACAAAATTGGGACTGGGGGGGGGAAAACACAAAAATTTTGGGGTTCAGGGGGTGGGGACCCCAAATTTGTCCCCCTTGAGCTGGAGGACACCCCAAAAATCCCCAAAAATTCCCTAAAAATTCAAATTATAATGGATAAAAGGGGAAGAAGTGAATTGGGGTGGGGGATTTTGGGGTTCCCAAAAAATTTTGGGGTTCCCCGGAATTTTGGGGTTCAGGGGGGTGGGGACCCCAAATTTGTCACCCTTGAGCTCGAGGACACCCCAAAAATCCCCAAAAAATCCCCAAAAATCCCCAAAAATTCAAATTATAATGGATAAAAAGGGAAGAAGTGAATTGGGGGTTGGTGGATTTTGGGGTTCCCAAAAAATTTTGGGGTTCCCAAAAAATTTTGGGGTTCAGGGGGGGTGGGGACCCCAAATTTGTCCCCCTCGAGCTGGAGGACCCCCAAAAACTCCAAAAAATCCCCAAAAATCCCCAAAAATTCAAATTATAATGGATAAAAAGGGAAGAATTGAACTGGGGGTAGGTGGATTTTGGGGTTCCCAAAGAATTTTGGGGTTCCCAGGAGGATTTTGGGAAAATTTTGGGAATTTTGGGGTTCAGGGGGAGGTGGGGACCCCAAATTTGTCACCCTCGAGCTGGAGGACACCCCAAAAACTCCCAAAAAATTCCCCAAAAATTCAAATTATAACGGATAAAAAGGGAAGAAGTGAATTGGGGTGGGGGGATTTTGGGGTTCCCAAATAATTTTGGGGTTCCCAGGAGGATTTTGGGAAAATTTTGGGAATTTTGGGGTTCAGGGGGGGTGGGGACCCCAAATTTGTCCCCCTTGAGCTGGAGGACACCCCAAAAATCCCAAAAAATCCCCAAAAATTCCCCAAAAATTCAAATTATAATGGATAAAAAGGGAAGAAGTGAATTGGGGGTGGGGGGATTTTGGGGTTCCCCAAATATTTTGGGGTTCCCAAAAAATTTTGGGGTTCAGGGGGGGTGGGGACCCCAAATTTGTCACCCTCGAGCTGGAGGACACCCCAAAAACTCCCAAAAAATTCCCCAAAAATTCAAATTATAACGGATAAAAAGGGAAGAAGTGAATTGGGGTGGGGGGATTTTGGGGTTCCCAAATAATTTTGGGGTTCCCAGGAGGATTTTGGGAAAATTTTGGGAATTTTGGGATTCAGGGGGGGTGGGGACCCCAAATTTGTCACCCTCGAGCTCGAGGACACCCCAAAAATCCTCAAAAAATCCCCAAAAAATTCCCCAAAAATTCAAATTATAATGGACAAAAAGGGAATAAGTGAATTGGGGGTGGGGGGATTTTGGGGTTCCCAAATAATTTTGGGGTTCCCAAAAAATTTTGGGGTTCAGGGGGGGGTGGGGACCCCAAATTTGTCACCCTTGAGCTGGAGGACACCCCAAAAATCCCCAAAAATTCCCCAAAAATTCAAATTATAATGGATAAAAAGGGAAGAAGTGAATTGGGGGTGGGGGGATTTTGGGGTTCCCAAAAAATTTTGGGGTTCCAATGGAATTTTGGGGGGATTTGGGGGTGGGGACCCCAAATTTGTCACCCTTGAGCTCGAGGAGACCCCAAAAATCCCAAAAAATCCCCAAAAATTCAAATTATAATGGACAAAAAGGGAAGAAGTGAATTGGGGGTGGGGGGATTTTGGGGTTCCCCAAATATTTTGGGGTTCCCCTGGAATTTTGGGGGGATTTGGGGGGGTGGGCACCCCAAATTTGTCACCCTTGAGTTCAAGGATACCCCAAAAATCCCCAAAAATTCCCAAAAAATTCAAATTATAATGGAAAAAAAGGGAAGAAGTGAATTGGGGGTGGGGGGATTTTGGGGTTCCCCAAATATTTTGGGGTTCCTCCAGAATTTTTGGGGTTCAGGGGGGTGGGGACCCCAAATTTGTCACCCTCGAGCTGGAGGACACCTCAAAAACTCCCCAAAAATCCCCAAAAATCCCAAAAAATTCCCCAAAAATTCAAATTATAATGGAGAGAAATAGAATAAGTGAATTGGGGGTGGGGGGATTTTAGGGTTCCCAAAATATTTTGGGGTTCCTCCGAAATTTTGGGGTTCAGGGGGGGGTGGGGACCCCAAATTTGACCCTCTGAAGCTCAAGGACACCCCAAAAATCCCCAAAAATTCCCCAAAAATTCAAATTATAACGGATAAAAAGGGAAGAAGTGAACTGGGGGTGGGGGGATTTTGGGGTTCCCAAAGAATTTTGGGGTTCCCAGGAGGATTTTGGGAAAATTTTGGGAATTTTGGGGTTCAGGGGGGGGTGGGGAACCCCAAATTTGTCCTCCTCGAGCTGGAGGACACACCAAAAATCCCCCAAAAATTCAAATTATAATGGATAAAAAGGGAAGAAGTGAATTGGGGGTGGGGGATTTTGGGGTTCCCAAAGAATTTTGGGGTTCCCAGGAGGATTTTGGGAAAATTTTGGGAATTTTGGGGTTCAGGGGGGGGTGGGGACCCCACTTTTTTCGCCCTTGACCTTGAGGAACTCGGCCATGCTGGAGAAATATTTCTGGTTGGCCTCGGCCACTTTCTTCTCGGCCGCCTGCGGGTTCACGATCTCCAGACCCTGAAAAAAACCAAAATTTTGGGGTGCCCCAAAAAAATTTGGGGGTTCCCAGGAGGATTTTGGGGTTCCCAGGAAAAAATTTGGGGGGTTGTGGGTTTATTTTGGGGGGTTCTGGGTTGATTTTTGGAGGTTTTGGGTGGATTTTTGGAGGTTTTGGGGGTTCTGGGTTGATTTTGGAGGTTTTGGGTTGATTTTTGGGGTTCCCAGGAGGATTTTGGGGGGTTCTGGGTTCCAGGTGATCCCAAACCCATCCAGGACCCCCCAAATCCCACCCAAACCCCCTCAGGCCCCCCCAAAAACCCCCTCAGAACCCCCCAAATCTCCCCCAATCCCCCCCAAAACCCCCCCAAACCCCCCAGGACCCCCAAAATCCCACCCAAACCCCTCCAGGACCCCCCCAAATCTCCTTAAATCCCACATAAACCCTCCGAAACCCCCTCCAGGACCCCCTAAATCCCCCCAAACCCCCCATAGGACCCCCAAAATCCCCCTAAAGCCCCCCAAAACCCCCCAAATCCCCCCAGGACCCCCAAAACCCCCCCAAATCCCCCCAGGACCCCCAAAATACCATGAAATCTCCCCAAAACCCCCCCAGGACCCCCCAATATCCCCCCAAAATCCCGCCCAAACCCCCCATAGGACCCCCAAAATCCCCCCAAATCTCCCCCAAACTCCCCCCAGGACCCCCAAAATCCCCCCCAAAACCCCCCCAAACCCCCCGAGGACCCCCCAAACCCCCCCAAATCCCGCCCAAAATCCCCCCAAACCCCCCCAGGACTCCCCAAATCTCCCCTAATCCCCCCAAATCTCCCCCAAACCCCCCCACGACCCCCAAAACCCCCCCAAAACCCCTCCAGGACCCCCCAAAATCTCCCCAGTTCCCCCCAGGACCCCCCCAAACCCCCCCAATCCCCCCCAAATCTCCCACCCAAACCCCCCCAGGACCCCCAAATCTCCCCCAAAACCATCCAGGACCCCCCAAAATCCCCTCCAAACCCCCCCAAAATCCCGCCCAAACCCCCATAGGACCCCCAAAATCCCCCCAAATCTCCCCTAATCCCCCCCAAATCTCCCCCAATCCCCCCCAAATCTCCCCCAAATCTCCCCAAAACCCCCCCAAAACCCCCCAAATCTCCCCAAAACCCCTCCAAAATCCCCCCAAACCCCCCCAAAACCCCCCAAACCCCCCCAGGACCCCCCAAACCCCCCAAAGCCCCCAGCCCACCTGCAGGGGGGTGAAGGCCACGCTGGAGGCCGTCCCCGAGCTGCGGTCGCGGATGGTGGATTTGCCTCCGTACACCACGCTCTGCTTCTGCAGCGTCCTCTGCGGGGTTCATTAGGGTTAATTACGCTAATTACCGCTAATTACAGCCCGGGGATGGGGTCAGGCACCTGCAGGGTTTTGCTGATCCGAGCCTTGGTGGCCTCGTTGACCTGAGTCTGGCGCACGCGGCCGCTGCCCGCCTTGCCCAGGTGGCCCAGGCTGAAGCCCAGGTCCTCCTGGTAGGCGTCCTCCTCGATCTGAGGGGAAAACGGGGTGAAAAACGGGGAAAATGGGAAAAAATGGGTGAAAAATGGGATTTTGGGGGGTTAAAATGGGGTTACAGGGGGAAAAATTGGGATTAAAATGCGATTAAAATGGAGTTTGAGGGTCCCAGGTGGCCCAGGCTGAAGCCCAGGTCCTCCTGGTAGGCGTCCTCCTCGATCTGAGGGGAAAACGGGGTTAAAAACCACAAAAACGGGAAAAAATGGGTGAAAAATGGGATTTTGGGGGGTTAAAATGGGGTTAAAATGGAGTTTGAGTGGTTAAAGTGGGGTTAAAGTGGGGGGAAAATGGGGTTTAGGGGTCCCAGGCTGAAGCCCAGGTCCTCCTGGTAGGCGTCCTCCTCGATCTGAGGGGAAAACGGGGTTAAAAATCGCAAAAACGGGAAAAAATGGGTGAAAAATGGGATTTGGGGGGGTTAAAACGGGGTTAGAGGGGGAAAATTGTGATTAAAATGGGGTTAAAGAGGGGGAAAATGGGGTTTAGGGGTCCCAGGCTGAAGCCCAGGTCCTCCTGGTAGGCGTCCTCCTCGATCTGAGGGGAAAATGGGGTTAAAAACAGGGAAAATGGGAAAAAATGGGTGAAAAATGGGTGAAAAATGGGTGAAAAATGGGATTTTGGGGGGTTAAAATGGGGTTAAAGGAGGAAAAAATGGGGTTTTGGGTGGGTAAAATGGGGTTAAAATGGGGTTTGGGGGTCCCAGGCTGAAGCCCAGGTCCTCCTGGTAGGCGTCCTCCTCGATCTGAGGGGAAAACGGGGTTAAAAACGGGGAAAATGGGAAAAAATGGGTGAAAAATGGGATTTTGGGGGGTTAAAATGGAATAAAATGGTGTTTTGGGGGGTTAAAATGAGATTAAAGGGGGGAAAATGGGATTTAAGGGTCCCAGGCTGAAGCCCAGGTCCTCCTGGTAGGCGTCCTCCTCGATCTGAGGGGAAAACGGGGTGAAAAACGGCGAAAATGGGAAAAAATGGGTGAAAAATGAACAAAAAATAGGATTTTGGGGGGTTAAAATGGGGTTAAAATGGAGTTTGAGTGGTTAAAATGGGGTTAAAGGGAGGGAAAATGGGGTTTGGGGGTCCCAGGTGGCCCAGGCTGAAGCCCAGGTCCTCCTGGTAGGCGTCCTCCTCGATCTGAGGGGAAAATGGGGTTAAAAACCGCAAAAACGGGAAAAAATGAACAAAAAATGGGATTTTGGGGGGTTAAAATAGGGTTAAAGGAGGAAGAAATGGGGTTTTGGGTGGGTAAAATGGAGTTAAAATGGGATTTGGGGGTCCCAGGTGGCCCAGGCTGAAGCCCAGGTCCTCCTGGTAGGTGTCCTTCTCAATCTGAGGGGAAAATGGGGTTAAAAACAGTGAAAACGGGAAAAAAATAATTATAAAATACAATTTCAGGGGTTTTAAAGGGTAAAAACTGGGATTTTGGGGGGTTACAATGAGAATAAAGGGGGGAAAATGGGATTTAAGGGTCCCAGGCTGAAGCCCAGGTCCTCCTGGTAGGCGTCCTCCTCGATCTGAGGGGAAAACGGGGTTAAAAACCGCAAAAACGGGAAAAAATGGGTGAAAAATGGGATTTTAGGGGGTTAAAATGGAAGTAAAGGGGGAAAAATTGGGGTTTAAATGGGGTTAAAGAGGGGGAAAATGGGGTTTAGGGGTCCCAGGTGGCCCAGGTCCTCCTGGTAGGCGTCCTCCTCGATCTGAGGGGAAAACGGGGTGAAAAACCGCAAAAACGGGAAAAAATGGGTGAAAAATGGGATTTTGGGGGGTTAAAATGGGGTTACAGGGGAAAAATTGGGGTTAAAATGGGGTTAAAATGGGGTTTGGGGGTCCCAGGCTGAAGCCCAGGTCCTCCTGGTAGGCGTCCTCCTCGATCTGAGGGGAAAATGGGGTTAAAAACCTCAAAAACGGGAAAAAATGGGTGAAAAATGGGATTTTGGGGGGTTAAAATGGGGTTAGAGGGGGAAAATTGGGGTTAAAATGGGGTTTAGGGGTCCCAGGTGGCCCAGGCTGAGGCCCAGGTCCTCCTGGTAGGCGTCCTCCTCGATCTGAGGGGAAAACGGGGTTAAAAACCGCAAAAACGGGAAAAAATGGGTGAAAAATGGGTGAAAAATGGGTGAAAAATGGGATTTTGGGGGGTTCAAATGGGGTTTGAGTGGTTAAAATGGGGTTAAAATGGGGTTAAAATGGGGTTGAGGGGTCACAGGCTGAAGCCCAGGTCCTCCTGGTAGGCGTCCTCCTCGATCTGAGGGGAAAACGGGGTTAAAAACGGCAAAAACGGGAAAAAATGGGTGAAAAATGGGATTTTAGGGGGTTAAAATGGAAGTAAAGGGGGAAAAATTGGGGTTTAAATGGGGTTAAAGAGGGGGAAAATGGGGTTTAGGGGTCCCAGGTGGCCCAGGTCCTCCTGGTAGGCGTCCTCCTCGATCTGAGGGGAAAACGGGGTGAAAAACCGCAAAAACGGGAAAAAATGGGTGAAAAATGGGATTTTGGGGGGTTAAAATGGGGTTACAGGGGAAAAATTGGGGTTAAAATGGGGTTAAAATGGGGTTTGGGGGTCCCAGGCTGAAGCCCAGGTCCTCCTGGTAGGCGTCCTCCTCGATCTGAGGGGAAAATGGGGTTAAAAACCTCAAAAACGGGAAAAAATGGGTGAAAAATGGGATTTTGGGGGGTTAAAATGGGGTTAGATGGGGAAAAATTGGGTTAAAATGGGGTTAAAATGGGGTTAAAATTGGGTTAAAATGGGGTTAAAATGGGGTTTGGGGGTCCCAGGTGGCCCAGGCTGAAGCCCAGGTCCTCCTGGTAGGCGTCCTCCTCGATCTGAGGGGAAAACGGGGTTAAAAATGGGGAAAATGGGAAAAAATGGGTGAAAATGGGTGAAAAATGGGATTTTGGGGGGTTAAAATGGGGTTAGAGGGGGAAAATTGGGATTAAAATGGGGTTAAAATGGGGTTAAAATTGAGTTAAAATGAGGTTTGGTGGTCCCAGGTGGCCCAGGCTGAAGCCCAGATCCTCCTGGTAGGCGTCCTCCTCGATCTGAGGGGAAAATGGGGTTAAAAACGGGGAAAATGGGAAAAAATGGGTGAAAAATGGGTGAAAAATGGGATTTTGGGGGGTTAAAATGGGCTTAGAGGGGGGAAAATTGGGGTTAAAATGGGGTTTAGGGGTCCCAGGCTGAAGCCCAGGTCCTCCTGGTAGGCGTCCTCCTCGATCTGAGGGGAAAACGGGGTTAAAAACCGCAAAAACGGGAAAAAATGGGTGAAAAATGGGTGAAAAATGGGATTTTGGGGCGTTAGAGTGGGTAAAATGGGGTTAAAATGGGATTAAAATGGGGTTTGGGGGTCCCAGGTGGCCCAGGTCCTCCTGGTAGGCGTCCTCCTCGATCTGAGGGGAAAACGGGGTTAAAAACCGCAAAAACGGGAAAAAATGGGTGAAAAATGGGTGAAAAATGGGATTTTGGGGCGTTAGAGTGGGTAAAATGGGGTTAAAATGGGATTAAAATGGGGTTTGGGGGTCCCAGGTGGCCCAGGTCCTCCTGGTAGGCGTCCTCCTCGATCTGAGGGGAAAACGGGGTTAAAAATGGGGAAAATGGGAAAAAATGGGTGAAAAATGTGATTTTGGGGGGTTAAAATGGGGTTAGAGGGGGAAAAATTGGGGTTAAAATGGGGTTAAAATGGGATTTAGGGGTTCCAGGTGGCCCAGGCTGAAGCCCAGGTCCTCCTGGTAGGCGTCCTCCTCGATCTGAGGGGAAAATGGGGTGAAAAACGGCAAAAACGGGAAAAAATGGGTGAAAAATGGGAGAAAAATGGGATTTTGGGGGGTTAAAATGGGGTTAGAGGGGGAAAAATTCGGTTAAAATGGGGTTAAAGAGGGGGAAAATGGGGTTTAGGGGTCCCGGGCTGAAGCCCAGGTCCTCCTGGTAGGCGTCCTCCTCGATCTGAGGGGAAAACGGGGTTAAAAATGGGGAAAACGGGAAAAAATGGGTGAAAAATGGGATTTTGGGGGGTTAAAATGGGGTTACAGGGGGAAAAATTGGGTTAAAATGGGGTTTAGGGGTCCCAGGCTGAAGCCCAGGTCCTCCTGGTAGGCGTCCTCCTCGATCTGAGAGGAAAATGGGGTTAAAAACCGCAAAAACGGGAAAAAATGGGTGAAAAATGGGTGAAAAATGGGATTTTGGGGGGTCAAAATGGGGTTTGATGGTTAAAATGGGATTAAAATGGGATTAAAATGGGATTAAAATGGGGTTTAGGGGTCCCAGGCTGAAGCCCAGGTCCTCCTGGTAGGCGTCCTCCTCGATCTGAGGGGAAAACGGGGTTAAAAACGGCAAAAACGGGAAAAAATGGGTGAAAAATGGGATTTTGGGGGGTTAAAATGGGGTTTGAGGGGGAAAAATTGGGTTAAAATGGGGTTAAAATGGGGTTAAAATGGGGTTTGGGGGTCCCAGGCTGAAGCCCAGGTCCTCCTGGTAGGCGTCCTCCTCGATCTGAGGGGAAAACGGGGTTAAAAATGGGGAAAATGGGAAAAAATGGGTGAAAAATGGGTGAAAAATGGGATTTTGGGGGGTTAAAATGGGCTTAGAGGGGGGAAAATTGGGGTTAAAATGGGGTTTAGGGGTCCCAGGCTGAAGCCCAGGTCCTCCTGGTAGGCGTCCTCCTCGATCTGAGGGGAAAACGGGGTTAAAAACCGCAAAAACGGGAAAAAATGGGTGAAAAATGGGTGAAAAATGGGATTTTGGGGCGTTAGAGTGGGTAAAATGGGGTTAAAATGGGATTAAAATGGGGTTTGGGGGTCCCAGGTGGCCCAGGTCCTCCTGGTAGGCGTCCTCCTCGATCTGAGGGGAAAACGGGGTTAAAAACCGCAAAAACGGGAAAAAATGGGTGAAAAATGGGTGAAAAATGGGATTTTGGGGCGTTAGAGTGGGTAAAATGGGGTTAAAATGGGATTAAAATGGGGTTTGGGGGTCCCAGGTGGCCCAGGTCCTCCTGGTAGGCGTCCTCCTCGATCTGAGGGGAAAATGGGGTTAAAAACCGCAAAAACGGGAAAAAACGGGTGAAAAATGGGATTTTGGGGGGTTAAAATGGGGTTAGAGGGGGGAAACTTGGGGTTAAAATGGGGTTAAAATGGGGTTTAGGAGTCCCAGGTGGCCCAGGTCCTCCTGGTAGGCGTCCTCCTCGATCTGAGGGGAAAACGGGGTTAAAAATGGGGAAAATGGGAAAAAATGGGTGAAAAATGTGATTTTGGGGGGTTAAAATGGGGTTAGAGGGGGAAAAATTGGGGTTAAAATGGGGTTAAAATGGGATTTAGGGGTTCCAGGTGGCCCAGGCTGAAGCCCAGGTCCTCCTGGTAGGCGTCCTCCTCGATCTGAGGGGAAAATGGGGTGAAAAACGGCAAAAACGGGAAAAAATGGGTGAAAAATGGGAGAAAAATGGGATTTTGGGGGGTTAAAATGGGGTTAGAGGGGGAAAAATTCGGTTAAAATGGGGTTAAAGAGGGGGAAAATGGGGTTTAGGGGTCCCGGGCTGAAGCCCAGGTCCTCCTGGTAGGCGTCCTCCTCGATCTGAGGGGAAAACGGGGTTAAAAATGGGGAAAACGGGAAAAAATGGGTGAAAAATGGGATTTTGGGGGGTTAAAATGGGGTTACAGGGGGAAAAATTGGGTTAAAATGGGGTTTAGGGGTCCCAGGCTGAAGCCCAGGTCCTCCTGGTAGGCGTCCTCCTCGATCTGAGAGGAAAATGGGGTTAAAAACCGCAAAAACGGGAAAAAATGGGTGAAAAATGGGTGAAAAATGGGATTTTGGGGGGTCAAAATGGGGTTTGATGGTTAAAATGGGATTAAAATGGGATTAAAATGGGATTAAAATGGGGTTTAGGGGTCCCAGGCTGAAGCCCAGGTCCTCCTGGTAGGCGTCCTCCTCGATCTGAGGGGAAAACGGGGTTAAAAACGGCAAAAACGGGAAAAAATGGGTGAAAAATGGGATTTTGGGGGGTTAAAATGGGGTTTGAGGGGGAAAAATTGGGTTAAAATGGGGTTAAAATGGGGTTAAAATGGGGTTAAAATGGGGTTTGGGGGTCCCAGGCTGAAGCCCAGGTCCTCCTGGTAGGCGTCCTCCTCGATCTGAGGGGAAAACGGGGTTAAAAACGGCGAAAATGGGAAAAAATGGGTGAAAAATGGGTGAAAAATGGGTGAAAAATGGGATTTTGGGGGGTTAAAATGGGGTTAGTGGGGGAAATATTGGGGTTAAAATGGGGTTAAAATGGGATTTAGGGGTTCCAGGTGGCCCAGGCTGAAGCCCAGGTCCTCCTGGTAGGCGTCCTCCTCGATCTGAGGGGAAAATGGGGTTAAAAACGGGGAAAACGGGAAAAAATGAACAAAAAATGGGATTTTGGGGGGTTAAAATGGGGTTTGAGTGGTTAAAATGGGGTTAAAATGGGGTTAAAATGGGGTTTAGGGGTCCCAGGTTGCCCAGGCCGAAGCCCAGGTCCTCCCGTAGACCTCTTCCTTGATCTGAGGGGAAAACGGGGTTAAAAACGGCGAAAACGGGAAAAAATGGGTGAAAAATGGGATTTTGGGGGGTTAAAATGGGGGTTGAGTGGTTAAAATGGGGTTAAAATGGGGTTAAAATGGGGTTTAGGGGTCCCAGGTGGCCCAGGCCGAAGGCCAGGTTTTCCTGGTAGGCCTTCCTTGATCTGAGGGGAAAATGGGGTTAAAAATGAGAAAAATGGGCAAAAATACATAAAAATCAGTAAAATAATAAGATTTAGGGGGGTTAAAATGGGGTTTAGTGATAAAAATTGGGATTAAAGAGGGGAAAATGTCATTTTTAGGTCCCAGTTGGCCCAGGCCGAAGCCCAGGTTTTCCTGGTAGGCCTTCCTTGATCTGAGGGGAAAATGGGGTTAAAAATGGGAAAAACAGGCAAAAATACATAAAAACTGGTAAAATAATAAGATTTAGGGGGGTTAAAATGGGGTTTAGTGATAAAAATTGGGATTAAAGGGGGGAAAATGGCATTTTTGGGTCCCAGTTGGCCCAGGCCGAAGGCCAGGTTTTCCTGGTAGGCCTTCCTTGATCTGAGGGGAAAATGGGGTTAAAAATGGGAAAATAAGTAAAAATAGGTAAAAATCGGTAAAAAGACATAAAATAATGAGATTTGCGAGTATTAAAATAGGATTTAATGAGAAAAATTTGGGTTAAAGAGGGGAAAATGGGATTTTTAGGTCCCAGTTGGCCCAGGCCGAAGGCCAGGTTTTCCTGGTAGGTGTCCTCCTTGATCTGAGGGGAAAACGGGGTTAAAAATGGGAAAATAAGTAAAAATTGGTAAAAATTGGTAAAAAGACATAAAATAACGGGATTTGGAATATTAAAATGGGATTTAATGAGAAAAATTTGGGTTAAAGAGGGGAAAATGGGATTTTTAGGTCCCAGTTGGCCCAGGCCAAAGCCCAGGTTTTCCTGGTAGGCCTTCCTTGATCTGAGGGGAAAATGGGATTAAAAATGGGAAAATAAGTAAAAATAGGTAAAAATTGGTAAAAAAATATAAAATAACAGGATTTGGTAATATTAAAATGGGATTTAATGAGAAAAATTTGGGTTAAAGAGGGGAAAATGGGGTTTAGGAGACCCAGGGTGCCCAGGCCTCTTCCTCAATCTGAAGGGGAAATGGAGTTAAAAACATTTTAAAAATTGATCAAAAAAGGTAAAAATAAATAAAAATAGATAGAAATAGGTAAAAATAGGAAAAAAATTTATAAATATAGATAAAAGAATGGGATTTGTGGGTGTTAAAATGGGGTTTAGTGAGAAAAATTGGGGTTAAAGGGGGGGAAATGGGGTTTAAAAAGGGAAAAAATGCGGGAAAAAAGGGATTTTGGGGTCCCAGGAAGGTAAAAGTGGAGATTTGGGGGATTAATTAGCGTTAATTAGGGTTAATTACCTCCCCAAAGCTCATCCTGTTGGCCTGCTTGCGAATCTCCGTCAGCCCCAGGCGCTCCTTCATCTTCCGGTAGCTGCATTAATTAAGGACTAATTAGGGGTTAATTAGGAGGGATTTAGGGGTTGATTGGGAGTTAATTGGGGGGTAATTAAGGGTGTTAATTGGGGGTAATTAAGGGGTTGATTGGAGGTTAATTGGGAGATAATTAAAGGGTTAACTGAGATTGATTTCAAGTTCATTGGTTAATCAGGAACTAATTAGGTCTCAATTAGGGATTAATGAGTGGTTAATTGGGGATTAATTAGGGGTTGATCCTGAATTCATTAAGACCTAATCAGGGACTAATTAGGTCTTATTTGGAGATTAATTAGGGGTTATTCAGGGGATTAATTTGGGTCTAGTCATGAATTATTTAGGTCTTAATTGGGGATTATTTAGGAATTAATCAAGAATTCACAAAGATCTAATCAGGGATTAATTAGGTCTGAATTGGGGACTAATTAGGGGTCAATCAGGTATTAATTAGGCCTTAATTACCCCTTCATTAGCGCGTTAATTACAGGGGCCTCACCAGGCCGGATGTGGGAATCACCAGGAACCTCCACCCGAGCCTAACCCGGCACTAACCAGGAGCCAATCAGGGGCTAATTAAGGACTAATTGAGACTAATTAAGGCTAATTAGCGCTAATTAACTCACCGCCGGCCCCCCCTCTTCTTCCTCTGCCCGTCCAGCGGCGCCGGCAGCGGCTTCACCTGCTTGACCGGGGGCGGCTCCTGCCACTTGTCGAACTTGCGCTCGATCTCCTCCTTCAGCTCGTAACCAACCTGGAATCCCAAAATTCCCAAAATTCTGATGGAATTTCCCAAAATTCTGATGGAATTTCCCAAAATTCTGATGGAATTTCCCAAAATTTTGGGGTTTTTGGGAATTTTTGGGGGGTTTTGGGGGATTTTTGGGGTTCCCGCCACTTGTCGAACTTGCGCTCGATCTCCTCCTTCAGCTCGTACCCCACCTAAAATCCCCAAAATTTTGGGAATTCTGGGGCAATTCCCAAAATTCTGATGGAATTTCCCAAAATTCTGATGGAATTTCCCAAAATTTTGGGGTTTTTTTTGGGAATTTTGGGTGTTTTTTTGGGAATTTTGGGGGTTTTTCCCAAATTTTTGAGGGATTTTTGGGGTTCCCGCCACTTGTCGAACTTGCGCTCGATCTCCTCCTTCAGCTCATAACCAACCTGAAATCCCCAAAATTCCCAAAATTCTGATGGAATTTCCCAAAATTCTGATGGAATTTCCCAAAATTCTGATGGAATTTCCCAAAATTCTGGGTTTTTTTGGGGAATTTTGGGGGTTTTTCCCAAATTTTTGGGGGATTTTTTTGGGTTCCTGCCACTTGTCGAACTTGCGCTCGATCTCCTCCTTCAGCTCGTACCCCACCTGGAAATCCCCAAAATTCCCAAAATTCTGGGGCAATTCCCAAAATTCTGATGGAATTTCCCAAAATTTTGGGGGATTTTTGGGGAATTTTGGGGTTTTTTTGGGAATTTTGGGGGTTTTTTGGGGAATTTTGGGGTTTTTTTTTAGGGTTCCTGCCACTTGTCGAACGTGCGCTCGATCTCCTCCTTCAGCTCGTACCCCACCTGGAAATCCCCGAAATTCCCCAATTTCGGGGCAATTCCCAAAATTCTGATGGAATTTCCCAAAATTTTGGGGGTTTTTTGGGAATTATGAGGTTTTTTGGGGGAATTTTGGGGTTTTTTTTGGGGAATATTGGGGTTTTTTTTTGGGGTTCCCGCCACTTGTCGAACTTGCGCTCGATCTCCTCCTTCAGCTCGTACCCCACCTGGAACCCCAAATTCCCAAAATTCTGATGGAATTTCCCAAAAATCTGATGGAATTTCCCAAAATTTTGGGGTTTTTTTGGGAAATTTTGGGGTTTTTCCCAAATTTTTGGGGGATTTTTGGGGCTCCTGCCACTTGTCGAACTTGCGCTCGATCTCCTCCTTCAGCTCGTAACCAACCTGGAATCCCCAAAATTCCCAAAATTCTGATGGAATTTCCCAAAATTCTGATGGAATTTCCAAAAATTTTGGGGTTTTTTTTGGGAATTTTGGGATTTTTTTTGGGAATTTTGGGGGGTTTTTTTGGGGTTCCCGCCACTTGTCGAACTTGTGCTCGATCTCCTCCTTCAGCTCGTACCCCACCTGGAAATTCCCAAAATTCCCAAAATTTTGGGGGAATTTCCCAAAATTTCGGGGGAATTCCCAAAATTTTGGGGGTTTTTTGGGAATTTTTGGGGTTTTTTTGGGGAATTTTGGGGGTTTCTTTGGGGGTTCCTGCCACTTGTCGAACTTGCGCTCGATCTCCTCCTTCAGCTCGTACCCCACCTGGAAATTCCCAAAATTCCCAAAATTCTGATGGAATTTCCCAAAATTCTGATGGAATTTCCCAAAATTTTGGGGTTTTTTTGGGGAATTATGGGGTTTTTGGGGGGAATTTTGGGGTTTTTTTGGGGAATTTTGGGGTTTCTTTTGGGGCTCCTGCCACTTGTCGAACTTGCGCTCGATCTCCTCCTTCAGCTCGTACCCCACCTGGAACCCCAAAATTTCCAAAAGTTCGGGCCAATTTCTAAAATTTTGGGGCGATTCCCAAAATTTCAGAGTAATTCCCAAAATTTTGGGGGATTTTTGGGAATTTTTGGGGGATTTCTGGGAATTTTTGGGGTTTTTTTGGGGCTCCTGCCACTTGTCGAATGTGTGCTCGATCTCCTCCTTCAGCTCGTACCCCACCTGAAATCCCTGAAATTTCGGGAATTCTGGGGCAATTCCCGAAAATTCGGGGGAATGCCCAAAATTTCGGGGGAATGCCCAAAATTTTGGGTGGTTTTGGGGAATTTTGGGGCGACCTTTCCGTCCTGGCTCTCGTGGAAACTGTCCACCCGCGCTGCCAACGTGCACTTGGCGGCCACCAGCCGAGCGGCTTTTCTGCGCAGGTCCTGCAGGGACGGATTTGGGGGATTTTGGGGTTTTTTGGGGGATTTTGGGGGGATTGGGGGGATTTGGGGGGATTTTCAGACACTTTGGGGAGATTTTAGGGAGATTTTGGGGGGTTTTGGGGGGATTTGGGGTTTTCTTGGGGTGATTTTAGGGGGATTTTAGGGAGACTTTTGTGGGTTTTGGGGGGTTTTTGGGGGGATTTAGAGACATTTTGGGGGAATTTTGGGGGGATTTTGGAGGGATTTTGGGAGGATTTTGTGGAATTTTTGGGAATTTTGGGGGGTTTTGGAGGATTTTGGGGGGATTTGGGGGTATTTGGGGGATTTTGGGGGGATTTTGGGGGGATTTTGGGGGCATTTTGGGGAATTTTGGGGGGGATTTGGGGGATTTTAGGGAAATTTTGGTGGGTTTTGGGGGGATTTTTGGGAGAGTTTTTGGGGGGATTTGGGGGATTTTGGGGGGATTTGGGGGATTTTGGGGAATTTTGGGGGGATTTGGGGGAGTTTTGGTGGGTTTTGAGGGGATTTTGGGAGAGTTTTGGGGGGATTTGGGGGGATTTTGGGGGGATTTGGGGGGATTTTCGGGGGTTTTGGGGGGTTTTTGGGGGGATTTGGGGGATTTTGGGGAATTTTGGGGGGATTGGGGGGATTTTGGGGGTGATTTGGGGGGATTTTAGGGAGATTTTGGGGGGTTTTGGGGGGATTTTTGGGAGAGTTTTGGGCGGATTTGGGGGATTTTGGGGGGGTTTTGGGGGGATTTTGGGGGAATTTTGGAGGGATTTTTGGAGGATTTTGGGGAATTTTTGGGAATTTTGGGGGGTTTTGGAGGATTTTGGGGGGATTTGGGGGGATTTGGGGGGATTTGAGGGATTTTGGGGGGATTTTGGGGGGATTTTGGGGGGATTTAGGGAAATTTTGGGGATTTTGGGGAATTTTGGGGGGTTTTAGGGAGATTTTGGGGGGATTTTGGGGGCATTTGGGGAAGATTTTCGTGGGTTTTTGGGGGGATTTTGGGGGGATTTTGGGGGGATTTTGGGGGCATTTGGGGAAGATTTTCGTGGGTTTTTGGGGTGATTATGGGGGATTTTAGGGAAATTTTGGTGGGTTTTGGGGGGATTTGGGGAATTTTGGGGAATTTGAGGGAATTTTGGGGGGATTTGGGGGGGATTTGGGGGGATTTTAGGGAGATTTTCATGGGGTTTGGTGAGTTTTTGGGGGATTTTGGGGGGATTTGGGGGATTTTGGGGGAATTTGGGGGAGATTTTCTTGGGTTCTGGGGGGTTTTTGGGGGGATTTTGGGGGTATTTTTAGGGTTACTTTGGGGTGATTTTGGGGTGATTTTGGGGGTATTTTGGGGGTATTTTTAGGGTGATTTTGGCGGTATTTTTAGGGTTAATTTGGGATGATTTTGGGGGTATTTTTGGGTTATTTTGGAGGTATTTTTAGGATGATTTTGGGGTTATTTTGGGATGATTTTAGGGTTATTTTTAGGGTTATTTTAGGGTAATTTTGGGGTGTTTTTGCTCACTCACGGGGGGCAGGGACTGCACGATGGGATGATTTTGGGGGTGTTTTTTGGGTTATTTTGGGGGTATTTTTAGGATGATTTTGGGATGATTTTGGGGTGATTTTGGGGTGATTTTGGGGTGTTTTTGCTCACTCACAGGGGGCAGGGACAGCACGATGTCGCTGGGGATTTTGGGATGATTTTAGGGTTATTTTTAGGGTGATTTAGGGGTGATTTTCAGAGTATTTTTAGGACGACTTTGGGGTTATTTTGGGATGATTTTGGGGTAATTTTGGGGGTATTTTTAGGATGATTTTGGGATGATTTTGGGGTTATTTTGGGATGATTTTGGGATGATTTGGGGGTGTTTTTGCTCACTCACAGGGGGCAGGGACTGCACGATGTCGCTGTGGATTTTGGGGTGATTTTGGGGTTATTTTGGGGGTATTTTTAGGATGATTTTGGGGGTATTTTGGGCTAATTTTGGGCTAATTTTGGGATGATTTTCCACACTCACGGGGGGCAGGGACTGCACGATGTCGCTGTGGATTTTGGGATGATTTTGGGGTTATTTTTATAGTTATTTTCAGGTGATTTTGGGGCTATTTTGAGGGTTATTTTGGGGTGATTTTGGGATGATTTTAGGGTGATTTTAGGGTGATTTTGGGGTGATTTTGGGGTGATTTTGGGGTGATTTTGGGGTGATTTTGGGGGTATTTTTAGGATGATTTTGGGATGACTTTGGGCTGATTTTGGGGTAATTTTGGGGTGATTTTCCACACTCACGGGGGGCAGGGACTGCACGATGTCGCTGTGGATTTTGGGATGATTTTGGGGTTATTTTTATAGTTATTTTCAGGTGATTTTGGGGCTATTTTTAGGGTTATTTTGGGGGTATTTTTAGGATGATTTTGGGGTTATTAGGGGATGATTTTGGGATAATTTTGGGGTGTTTTTGCTCACTCACAGGTGGCAGGGACTGCACGATGTCGCTGTGGATTTTGGGATGATTTTGGGGGTATTTTTAGGGTGATTTTGGGATGATTTTGGGGTTATTTTGGGATGATTTTAGGGTTATTTTGGGGTGATTTGGGGGTGATTTTGCTCACTCACGGGGGGCAGGGACTGCACGATGTCGCTGTGGATTTTGGGATGATTTTGGGATGATTTTAGGGTTATTTTAGGGTTATTTTGGGGGGATTTTTAGGATGATTTTGGGGTTATTTTGGGATGATTTTGGGGTGATTTTGGGATGATTTCGGGGTGTTTTTGCTCACTCACGGGGGGCAGGGACTGCACGATGTCGCTGTGGATTTCGGGATGATTTTGGGGTTATTTTTAGAGTTATTTTCAGGTGATTTTGGGGCTATTTTGAGGGTTATTTTGGGGTGATTTTGGGATGATTTTAGGGTGATTTTAGGGTGATTTTGGGGTGATTTTGGGGTGATTTTGGGGTGATTTTGGGGTGATTTTGGGGGTATTTTTAGGATGATTTTGGGATGACTTTGGGCTGATTTTGGGGTAATTTTGGGGTGATTTTCCACACTCACGGGGGGCAGGGACTGCACGATGTCGCCGTGGATTTTGGGATGATTTTGGGGTTATTTTTATAGTTATTTTCAGGTGATTTTGGGGCTATTTTGAGGGTTATTTTGGGGTGATTTTGGGATGATTTTAGGGTTATTTTTAGGGTTATTTTAGGGTTATTTTTGGGCTGATTTTGGGATGATTTTGGGATGTTTTTGCTCACTCACAGGTGGCAGGGACTGCACGATGTCGCTGTGGTAGATGAAGCCGGTGTGGGGCAGGACGGAGGTGGAGGAGAAGCCCGAGAGCGTTCGGCGTTGGGCGCCCAGCAGGAGGATGTTACACGCCGGCAGCTTGGACAGGGGGGTCAGGCCCCCAGCCACCCCTAAAAATGCACAAAAATTATCCTAAAATAGCCCAAAAATAGCCCAAAATCAGCCCTGAATCACTGCGGGGTCAGGCCCCCAGCCACGCCTAAAAACAGATTAAAAATATCCTAAAATAGCCCAAAAATAGCCCAAAATCAGCCCTGAATCACTGCGGGGTCAGGCCCCCAGCCACCCCTAAAAATGAAATTAAAATATCCTAAAATAGCCCAAAAATAGCCCAAAATCAGCCCTGAATCACTGCGGGGTCAGGCCCCCAGCCACACCTAAAAATAAATAAAAATTATCCTAAAATAACCCAAAAATAGCCCAAAACCACCCCTGAATCACTGCGGGGTCAGGCCCCCAGCCACGCCTAAAAATGCACAAAAATTATCCTAAATTATCCCAAAAATAGCCCAAAATCAGCCCTGAGTCACTGCGGGGTCAGGCCCCCAGCCACGCCTAAAAATGAAATTAAAATATCCTAAAATAGCCCAAAAATAGCCCAAAATCAGCCCTGAATCACTGCGGGGTCAGGCCCCCAGCCACCCCTAAAAACAGATTAAAAATATCCTAAAATAACCCAAAAATAGCCCAAAATCAGCCCTGAGTCACTGCGGGGTCAGGCCCCCAGCCACGCCTAAAAATGCACAAAAATTATCCTAAAATAGCCCAAAAATAGCCCAAAATCAGCCCTGAATCACTGCGGGGTCAGGCCCCCAGCCACACCTAAAAATGAAATTATAATATCCTAAAATAGCCCAAAAATAGCCCAAAATCAGCCCAAAAATGACCCTGAAATAGCCCAAAAATTACCCCAAAAATGCCTTAAAATAGCCCAAAAAATGCCCCAAGCATAACCCTAAAACATCCCAAAAATAGCACAAAAATAACCCTGAAATACCCCCAAAAATGCCCCCAAAATAACCCTAAAGCACCCCAAAATTACCACGAAAATAAGCCTAAAACACCCCAAAAATAGCCCTGAAATACCCCAAAATTACTCCAAAAATACCCTTAAAAACACCCCAAAAATAGCCCTAAAACACCCTTAAAAATGCCCCAAAAATACCCCAAAAATACCCCAAAATTATCTCAAGTTTACTCCAAAAATAACCCCAAAACACCCCAAAAAAAAAACCCCAAAATAACCCTGAAATACCCCAAAAAATACCCCAAAAAATTCTAAAATATCCCAAAAAATACCCCAAAAATATCCCAGAAATACCCCAAAAATACTCAAAAATTATCTCAAGTTTACACCAAAAATAACCCCAAAACACCCCAAAAAATACCCAAAAATCCCCTCAAAAAAAACCCAAAAAATAACCCTAAAACACCCCAAAAAAACCCAAAACCACAGCGGGGTGACCCCAAAATTCGGCGGTTTTGGGGCGATTTTAGGGCCGTTTTCTGGGGGAATTTTGGGGTTTTTTGGGGGGAATTTTGGGTTTTTTTGGGGGAGTTTTTTGGGGGATTTTTGGGAATTTTTTGGGGGGTTTGGGGTGGATTTTTGGGGTTTTTTTGGGGTTTTTTTTTGGTATTTTTTCGTGATTTTTTGGGGGTTTTTTGGGGGGGGGTTGGGGTTTTTTTGGGGTGGGATTTTTGGGGTTTTTTGGGATTTTTTGGGGAATTTTTGGGGTTTTTTCTGAGGGGATTTTTGGGGTTTTTTGGGAGGTGATTTTTGGGGTTTTTTGGAATTTTTTTTGGTTTTTTGGGAATTTTTTGGGTTTTTTTGAGGGGATTTTGGGGTTTTTTTTGGGTGGGATTTTTGTGGTTTTTCGGATTTTTTTTGGTTTTTTTGGGAATTTTTTGGGTTTTTTTTCAAGGGGATTTTTGGATTTTTTTGGGAGGGGATTTTTGGGGTTTTTGGGGTTTTTTTGGGGGGATTTTTGGGGGTTTCTGGGGGAATTTTTGGGGAATTTTTTTGGGTTTTTTTGGGAGGTCTTTTGGAGTTTTTTAGGGGGGATTTTTGGGGTTTTTTGGGGGGATTTTTGGGGGGTTTCTGGGGGGGATTTTTGGGGAATTTTTGGGAAGTTTTTAGGGGGGATTTTGGTTTTTTTGGGGGTTTTTTGGGGTTCTCACCCATGATCTTGGCAGCGGTGGAGGCCCCGAGGATGAGGGAGAGGTTGGGGGCGATGAAGGACACGGAGACGCCATTTTGGGACGCCATTTTGGGGCGTTTTTGGCTATTTTGGACGCGTTTTTTGAGGGGATTTTGGGTTTTTTTGGGGAAATTTTGGGGTTTTTTTGGGTTTTGGGGTTCTCACCCATGATTTTGGCAGCGGTGGAGGCCCCGAGGATGAGGGAGAGGTTGGGGGCGATGAAGGACATGGGGACGCCATTTTGGGACGCCATTTTGGGATGTTTTTGGCTATTCTAGACCCATTTTTTTCGGGGATTTTGGGGTTTTTTTGGGTTTTTTGGGTTTCTCACCCATGATTTTGGCCGCCGTGGAGGCCCCGAGGATGAGGGAGAGGTTGGGGGCGATGAAGGACACGGGGACGCCATTTTGGGACGCCATTTTGGGGCGTTTTTGGCTATTTTAGACCCATTTTTTTTCGGGGATTTTGAGGTTTTTTTGGGAAATTTTGGGAAATTTGGGGATTTTTTAGGTTTTTTGGTTTCTCACCCATGATCTTTGCAGCTGTGGAGGCCCCGAGGATGAGGGAGAGGTTGGGGGCGATGAAGGACACGCGGACGCCATTTTGGGACGCCATTTTGGAGCATTTTTGGCTATTCTAGACCCATTTTTTTCAGGGATTTTGGGTTTTTTTTGGGTTTTTTGGGTTTCTCACCCATGATCTTGGCGGCCGTGGAGGCCCCGAGGATGAGGGAGAGGTTGGGGGCGATGAAGGACACGGGGACGCCATTTTGGGACGCCATTTTGGGGCGTTTTTGGCTATTTTACACCCGTTTTTCACTGGAATTTTGGGGTTTTTTTGGGTTTTTTTGGGTTTTTTGGGGTTCTCACCCATGATCTTGGCAGCGGTGGAGGCCCCGAGGATGAGGGAGAGGCTGAGGGCGATGAAGGACACGGGGACGCCATTTTGGGACGTTTTTTGTGCATTTTTTTGGCATTTTTGGCTATTTTAGACCCGTTTTTCGCTGGAATTTTGGGGTTTTTTTGGGAAATTTTGGGTTTTTGGTTTCTCACCCATGATCTTGGCAGCCGTGGAGGCCCCGAGGATGAGGGAGAGGTTGGGGGCGATGAAGGACATGGGGACGCCATTTTGGGACGCCATTTTGTGTCATTTTTTTGGCATTTTTGACCCGTTTTTCGCTGGAATTTTGGGGTTTTTTTGGGGAATTTTGGATATTTTTGGTTTCTCACCCATGATCTTGGCCGCCGTGGAGGCCCCGAGGATGAGGGAGAGGTTGGGGGCGATGAAGGACATGCGGGACTCGACGTACTCGTAGATTCGCAGTTTGGCCCCGCTCAGCGCCAGCGCCATGTCGCACGCGTCCTCGATGCGCCCCAGCTCCTCCTCGGACAGCTGCTGCCTGGAATTCCCAAAAAACACCCCAAATTGGGCATGGAAACCCCAAAAAATATAAAATCCACACAAATTCGGGCATGGGCACCCTAAAAACCAAAAAAACCCCACCCAAAAATCTCAAAAAACACCCCAAATTCGGGAATGGGCACCCCAAAAAACACAAAATCCACATAAATTCGGGCATGGACGCACAAAAAACCCAAAAAAACCCCACCCAAAAACCCAAAAAAACCCACCCAAAAACCCCAAAATCCACCCTCAAAAGCCCTAAAATCCACCCCCAAAACCACCCCTAAAAACCCCAAAAAACACCCAAATTCAGGCATGGACACCCAAAAAAAACCCACCCAAAAACCTCAAAATTCATCCAAATTCGGGCATGGACACCCCAAAAAACACAAAAAACACCCCAAAAACCACAAAATCCACCCAAATTCAGGCATGGTCAGCCCAAAAACCCAAAAAACCCACCCAAAAACCTCAAAATCACCCCTAAAAAAACACCCCCAAAAACCCCAAAATCCACCCCAATTTGGGCATGGTCACCCCAAAAACCCAAAAAAACCCACCCAAAACCTAAAAATCTACCCCCAAAAAAACACCCCCAAAAACCCCAAAATCCACCCGAATTCAGGCATGGACACCCCAAAAACCCAAAAAAAACCCACCCCCAAAAACCACAAAATCCACCCCCAAAAGCACCCCCAAAATCCACCCCAATTCAGGCATGGACACCCCAAAAACCTCAAAATCCACCCAAATTCGGGCCTGGATGCACCAAAAACCCAAAAAAACCCACCCAAAAACCCAAAAAAACCCACCCAAAAACCTCAAAATCAACCCAAATTTAGGCATGGACACCCCAAAAACCCAAAAAAAACCCACCCCCAAAAACCACAAAATCCACCCCCAAAAACACCCCCAAAATCCCCAAATTCTCCCCAAATCCCCCCCAAATTTCCCCCCGAACACCCCAAAATCCCCTAAAATCTCCCAAAATCCCCAAATTTCCCCCAAAATCCCCCAAATTGTCCCCAAAATCCCCCAAATCCCTCCCAAAATCTCCCTAAAAATTACCAAAACCATCCCCCAAAATCCCCCAAAAATCCCCAAATTCTCCTCAAATCCCCCCCAAATTTCCCTCCAAACACCCCAAAATCCCCTAAAATCTCCCAAAATCCCCCAAATTTCCCCCAAAATCCCCCAAATTTTCTCCAAATCCCCCAAGACCCCCCAAAATCTCCCCAAAAATTACCAAAAGAATCCCCCAAAACCCCCCCAAAAATCCCCAAATTCTCCCCAAACCCCCCCCAAATTTCCCCCCGAACACCCCAAAATCCCCAAAAATCCCCCAAAATCCCCAAATTTTCCCCAAATCCCCCCCAAAATCTCCCAAAAAAAATACAAGAAAAATCCCCCAAAACCCCCCAAAACCCCCCAAATCCCCCCAAAAATCCCCCAAAACCCATTCTAAAAAACCCCCAAAGTTCCCCCAAAATACCCCCCAAAATCCCCAAATTCTCCCCAAATCCCCCCTAAATTTCCCCCTGAACACCCCAAAATTCCCCCAAAATCTCCCAAATTTTCTCATATCCCCCCAAAATTGCCAAAAATGATCAAAATATTCCCCAAAATCCCCCCAAATTCCCCCCAAACCTCCCCAAATCCTCCCCAAATTCTTCCCAAAAATTACCAAAAAAATCCCCGAAAACCCCCAAATTCTCCCCAAATCCCCCCCAAATTTCCCCCGAAACCCCCCAAAAAACCCCCCAAGTTTCCCCAAAATCTCCCAAAAATTACCAAAAAAATCCCCCCAAAAAACCCCAAAACTCCCCAAAATCCCCCCAAAAATTACAAAAAAAATCCCCCAAAATCCCCCCAAAACCCCCCAAAAATCCCCAAATTCTCCCCAAATCCCCCCCAAATTTCCCCCCGAACACCCCAAAATCCCCTAAAATCCCCCAAAATCCCCAAAACGCCCCAAAATCCCCAAATTGTCACCCCTGGGTGGTGGAGGCCGTCACGCTGACCACCATGATGGTGGCGTTGGTCAGGATCTGCTGCACGTTCTCGTTGTTCTTGCACTTGTCCAGGGAATTGCCCAATTCCTGCCAAATTCACCCCAAAATCGGCACCTGGCTCAGGGCACCCCGAAAGCCGCCCCAAAATCCCCCAAAAATCAAAAAAAAAAGCAAAAATAAAGCTTAAAAATTCACAGAAATACACCTCGAAACTCAAAAAAAAAAACCAACAGAAAAGCTCAAAAATCCACCAAAAAATGCCCCAAAAATAAAAAAAAAACACCCCAAAATAAAAAAAAACCCACCCCAAAAATCAAAAAAAAACAACAGAAAAGATCAAAATCCACCCCAAAATAAAACCTAAAATTGCTAAAAGAAACCATCAAAACCCAGCCCAAAATCCTCAAAAAATACCCCAAAAACCACCCCAAAATTCTAAATTTCCTAAAAAAAATCACAAAATAGCAAAAAAAAACCCAAAAGAAAAAAGCAAAAAAAGCAAAAAAAAAGCTCAAAAATCCACAAAAAAACAGCCCAAAAATAAAAAAGAAACCCACAGAAAAGCTCAAAATCCCCCCAAAAAAACCCACCAAGAACCAGCCCAAAGTCCCCAAAAAATACCCCAAAAACCACCCCAAAATTCAAAATTAACTAAAAAAAAATCACAAAATAGCAAAAAAAAAACCCAAAGAAAAAAAGCAAAAAAACCAAAAAAAAACCAAAAAAACTGATTTTCGGGGTATTTAGGTTTTTGGGCTATTTTGGGGTTCCCCAGATGATTTTTGGGGCCGTTTTTGGGGTATTTGGGGTTCCCAAGGTGATTTTTGGGGTAATTTGGGGTTCCCAATGTGATTTTTGGGGCATTTAGGGGATTTTTTGGGGCACTTTTGGTCATTTTTGGGGTATTTGGGGTTCCCCAGGTGATTTTTGGGGCGCTTGGGGCAGTTTTTGGGGTATTTTGGGGTTCTCAGATGATTTTTGGGGTATTTTGGGGTTCCCAGGTGATTTTTGGGGCATTCAGGGGGATTTTTGGGGCGTTTTTGGCCATTTTTGGGGTATTTTGGGGCGCTTTGGGCTGTTTTTCTGTTATTTTGAGGTTCTCAGGTGATTTTCGGGGAATTCAGGGGGATTTTTGGGGCACTTTTGGCCATTTTCGGGGCGTTTTTGGCCATTTTGGGGCACTTTTGGCCATTTTTGGGGTATTTTGGGGCACTTTTGGCCATTTTTGGGGTATTTTGGCCATTTTTGGGGCGTTTTTGGCCATTTTTGGGATATTTAGGCCATTTTTGAGGCGCTTTTGTCCGTTTTCGGGGTATTTTGGGGCGCTTTTGTCCGTTTTTGGGTTATTTTTGCCATTTTTGGGCTATTTTGGGGCACTTTGGGCTATTTTTGTGTTATTTTGGGGTTCCCAGGTGATTTTTGGGGCATTTTGAGGAATTTTTGGGGCACTTTTGGCCATTTTTGGGATATTTAGGCCATTTTTGGGACGCTTTTGTCCGTTTTCGGGGTATTTTGGGGCGCTTTTGTCCATTTTTGGGGTATTTTGGGGCACTTTTGGCCATTTTTGGGGCATTTTTTGCCATTTTTGGGGCGCTTTTGGCCGTTTTTGGGGTATTTTGGCCATTTTTGGTGCGCTTTGTGCCATTTTTGGCCAATTTTGGGGTATTTTCTCCATTTTCGGGGCGCTTTTGGCCATTTTTGGGGTATTTTGGCTGTTTTAGGGGTATTTTGGGGCACTTTGGCTCATTTTTGAGGCACTTTCGGCCATTTTTAGGGCAATTTTGGCCATTTTTGGGGTATTTTGGGGTATTTTGTCCATTTTTGGGGCACTTTTGACCATTTTGGGGGTATTTTGAGGCACTTTTGGCCATTTTCGGGGCACTTTTGGCCATTTTTGGGGTACTTTTTGGCCATTTTTTGAGGCACTTTCGGCCATTTTTAAGGCAATTTTGGCCATTTTTGGGGTATTTTGGGGCACTTTTGGCCATTTTCGGGTCACTTTTGTCCATTTTTGGGCTATTTTGCCCATTTTTGGGGCGTTTTTGCCCATTTTCGGGCCCCACCTTGACGGTGCGGATGTAATCCAGCGCGTTGGGCACCAGCGACTCCAACTCCGGGAAACGTTTGGAATATTTATCCCGGATGAATTTGTGGATGATGTCTGTGGGGAACCCCAAAAATCCCCAAATTAGATCCCAAAATCCCCCAAAATCCCCCCAAAATCCCCCAAAATCCCCCCAAAATCCCCCAAAATCCCCCAAAATCCCCCAAAATCCCCCCAAAATCCCCCAAAATCCCCCAAAATCCCCCCAAAATCCCCCCAAAATCCCCCAAAATCCCCCCAAAATCCCCCAAAATCCCCCCAAAATCCCCCAAAATCCCCCCAAAATCCCCCAAAATCCCCCCAAAATCCCCCAAAATCCCCCAAAATCCCCCCAAAATCCCCCAAAATCCCCCCAAAATCCTCCAAAATCCCCCAAAATCCCCCAAAATCCCTCAAAATCTCCCAAAATCCCCCAAAATCCCCCAAAATCCCCCAAAATCCCCCCAAAATCCCCCAAAATCCCCCAAAATCCCCCCAAAATCCCCCAAAATCCCCCCAAAATCCTCCCAAAATCCCCCCAAAATCCCCCCAAAATCCCCCAAAATCCCCCCAAAATCGCCACAAAATCTCCCAAAATCCCCCAAAATCCTCCAAAATCCCCCAAAATCCCCCCAAAATCCCCCCAAAATCCCCCCAAAATCCCCCAAAATCCCCCCCAAATCCCCCAAAATCCCCCCAAATCCCCCAAAATCCCCCAAAATCCCCCCAAAATCCCCCAAAATCCCCCAAAATCCCCCCAAAATCCCCCAAAATCCCCCGAAATCCCCAAATCTCACTCAGCTCGTTCTCGATCTCCACCGTCAGGTTGTTGGCGTCCACGATCACCCGGTACTCGGGCGCCGCCTCCACCGGCCCCAAAACTGCCCGAAAAAGGGGAAATCCACCCAAAATTCCAGCAGGAAATCCCAAATTTCCCAAATCCGACCAGAATTCCCAAAAATCCCACCGAGAACGCCCAAAAATCCCGCCGAGAATGCCCAAAAATCCCACTCAGAATGCCCGAAAATCCCACTAAAAGAGGTTCCCAAAACTGCCCAAAAATGGGGAAATTCACCCAAAATCCCAACAGGAAATTCCAAAATTCCTGAATCTGGCCAGAATTCCCAAAAATCCCGCCCACAATTCCCAAAAATCCCACCCAGAATGCCCAAAAATCCCCCCAAAAACCCCCAGTTCTGCTCCAAAACTGCCCAGAAACAGGGAAATCCACCCAAAATTCCAGCGGGAAATCCCAACATTCCCAAATCCGACCACAATTCCCAAAAATCCCACCCAGAATGCCCAAAAATCCCACTAAAAGAGGCTCCCAAAAGTACCCTAGAAATGGGGAAATCCACCCAAAAATCCCACCCAGAATTCCCAAAAATCCCACCCAGAATTCCCAAAAATCCCACCCAGAATGCCCAAAAATCCCAACGGGGAAACCCAAAATTCCCCCCAAAATCCCAGCAGGAAATCCCAAAATCCACAAAAAATTCCCAAAAATCCCACCCAAAATTCCCAAAAAATCCCCCCAAAAATCCCCAAATCCATCCAAAAATCCCCAGAATCCCCTTAAATTACCCAAAATCTTTCCCCCAAAAAAGTGGGATTTGGAGGTTTGGGATCCTGTATTTTTGGGATTTTCAGGATTTTGGGGATTTGGGATCCTGGAATTTTGAACTTTGGGATCCAGATTTTGGGGATTTTTGGGAATTTTGGGGATTTGTGATTCCGGATTTTTGGGATTTTTGGGATTTGGGATCCCGGATTTGGGGGATTTTTGGGGATTTTTGGGATTTCGCATCCCGATTTTTGGGATTTTGGGAATTTTGGGGATTTAGCATCCCGATTTTTGGGATTTTGGGGATTTTTGGGAATTTTGGGATTTGGGATCCCGGATTTTGGGGATTTTTGGGAATTTTGGGATTTAGGATCCTGGATTTTGGGTTTTTTCAGAATTTGGGGATTTGGGATCCCGGATTTGGGGGATTTTTGTGAATTTTGTGATTCGGGATCCCGGATTTTTGGGATTTTGGGAATTTTGGGGATTTGTGATCCCAGATTTTTGGGATTTTGGGGATTTGGGATCCCGGATTTTGGGATTTTTGGGAATTTGGGACCCGGACTCACCTTCGGCCGCCCGCGGCTGCTTCCCGATGTACTCCTCGATCTTCTGCATGATCTCGGCAAACTGCGGGAAAAATCCACATTCCGGAATTTTGGGGGTTTGGGGGAATTTTTGGGAATTTTGGGGTTTTTTTGGGATTTATTTGGGGATTTTTTGGGATTTATTTGGTAGTTTTGGGGGAATTTTGGGATTTATTTGGAGACATTCGGGATTTTTTCGTGATTTTTGGGGATTTCTTTGGGAATTTTTGGGATCTATTTGGGAATTTTTGGGATTTATTTGGACATTTTTGTGACTTTTTGGGGATTTTTTGTGATTTATTTGGAGATTTTTGGGGATCTCTTTGGGAATTTTTGGGATTTATTTGGGATTTTTTGGGATTTATTTGGAGATTTTTGGGGATTGTTTTGGGATTTATTGGGGATTTTTGCAATTTATTTGGGGTTTTTTAGGAATTATTTGGAGATTTTTGGGGATTTATTTGGGATTTTTTTCGGGAGTTTTGGCATTTATTTGGGTTTTTTGGGGATTTATTTGGGATTTATTTGGAATTTATTTGGGGATTTTTGGCAATTTTTTTTGAGATTTTTGGGATTTATTTGGGAATTTTGGGGGGTTTTTCTGGGATTTATTTGGAGATTTTGGGAATTTATTTGCGGATATTTTGTGATTTATTTGGGGATTTTTGGGGTTCATTTGGGATTTTGTGGGATTTATTTGGGAATTTTTTGGATATTTTGGGGATAATTTGGGCATATTTTTGGGATAATTTCAGGATAATTTGGGCATATTTTTGGGATAATTTCAGGATACTTTGGGTATATTTTTGGGATAATTTCAGGATATTTTGGGTACATTTTTGGGATATTTTTGGGATATTTTGGGGATAATTTCAGGATAATTTCAGGATATTTTTGGGATAATTTCAGGATATTTTGGGGATAATTTCAGGATAATTTCAGGATACTTTGGGTATATTTTTGGGATAATTTCAGGATATTTTTGGGATATTTTTGGGATATTTTAGGATATTTTTGGTGTCTCTTACCCCCCTGGACCCCCAGAGTTTGGCGATGCTCCTGACGCTCTCGATGGATATTTTGGGGGTATTTTGGGGATAATTTCAGGATAATTTCAGGATATTTTGGGTATATTTTGGGGATATTTTGGGGATAATTTGGGGATAATTTAGGGATGTTTTTAGGATATTTTTGGGTACATTTCAGCCCCACTTACCCCCCTGGACCCCCAGAGTTTGGCGATGCTCCTGACGCTCTCGATGGATATTTTGAGGATATTTTTGGGATAATTTCAGGATACTTTGGGTATATTTTTTGGGATAATTTCAGGATAATTTGGGTATATTCTTGGGATAATTTCAGGATATTTTGGGTACATTTTTGGGATATTTTTGGGATATTTTGGGTATATTTTTGGCGTCTCTTACCCCCCTGGACCCCCACAGTTTGGCGATGCTCCTGACGCTCTCGATGGATATTTTTGGGATATTTTGAGGATATTTTTGGGATATTTTGGGGATAATTTCAGGATATTTTTAGGATATTTTGGGTACATTTTTGGGATATTTTTGGGATATTTTGGGTACATTTTGGTGTCTCTTACCCCCCTGGACCCCCAGAGTTTGGCGATGCTCCTGACGCTCTCGATGGATATTTTGGGGGTAATTTCAGGATATTTTTGGGATAATTTCAGGATATTTTGGGGATAATTTGGGGATATTTTGGGGATAATTTGGGGATATTTTGGGGATAATTTGGGGATAATTTAGGGATGTTTTTGGGATATTTTGGGTACATTTTTGGTGTCTCTTACCCCCCTGGACCCCCAGAGTTTGGCGATGCTCCTGACGCTCTCGATGGATATTTGGGGGATATTTTGGGGATAATTTCAGGATAATTTCAGGATATTTTTGGGATAATTTCAGGATAATTTCAGGATATTTTGGGGATAATTTGGGGATAATTTGGGTACATTTTTGGGATAATTTCAGGATATTTTGGGTACATTTTTGGGATATTTTTGGGATAATTTGGGGATAATTTCAGGATAATTTGGGCATATTTTTGGGATAATTTCAGGATAATTTCAGGATATTTTTGGGATAATTTCAGGATATTTTGGGGATAATTTGGGTACATTTTTGGGACATTTTTGGGATATTTTTGGCAGCTCTTACCCCCCTGGACCCCCACAGTTTGGCGATGCTCCGCACGCTCTCGATGGATATTTGGGGGATATTTTGGGGATAATTTCAGGATAATTTGGGTATATTTTTGGGACATTTTTGGGATATTTTTTGGGATATTTTGGATATAATTTTGGCAGTTCTTACCCCCCTGGACCCCCAGAGTTTGGCGATGCTCCTGACGCTCTCGATGGATATTTTGGGGATATTTTTGGGATAATTTCAGGATATTTTGGGGATATTTTTAGGACATTTTGGGGATATTTTGGGTATATTTTGGGGATGTTTTTAGGATATTTTTGGGTACATTTCAGCCCCACTTACCCCCCTGGACCCCCAGAGCTTGGCGATGCTCCGCACGCTCTCGCCGCCCTCGGGCGCCTCCGGCTCCTCCCGCACCTCCTCGATCGGCCCCTCCCCCCCCTCGGAGCCTTCGGCCTCCTCCTCCTCCTCCTCCCCTGCGGCCTCCTCCAGGTCCGCCAGCAGCTCATCGGCCAGCGACATGGCACTGGGGGGACTGGGATAAACTGGGAGGGACTGGGAGCAACTGGGAGCACTGGGAATGGGATTGGGAGGTAACTGGGAGGGGTTAAATGGGGACTGGGGGCACTGGGATAAACTGGGATAAACTGGGAGGGACTTGGAGGGGTTAAAGGGGGACTGGGATGGACTGGTTTATACTGGAAGGGAACTGGGGGGGACTGGGAGGGAACTGGTTTATACTGGGAGGGACTGGGAAGGACTGGGATGGACTGGGAGATACTGGGAAGGGTTAAATGGGGACTGGGAGGGACTGGGAGGGGTTAAATGGGGACTGGGAGGGACTGGGACAAACTGGGAGGGGTTAAAGGGTGACTGGGACAAACTGGGAGGGAACTGGGAGGAACTGGGAGGGAACTGGGAGGAACTGGGAGGGAACTGGGAGCACTGGGAGTGGGACTGGGAGCAACTGGGAGGGACTGAAAGGGATTGGGAGGGTTTAAATAGGGACTGGGATAGACTCAGAGTGACTGGGAGTGAACTGGGAGGGACTGGGAGGGAATTGGGGGGCACTGGGAGGGACTGGGAGGGAATTGGGAATGGATTACAGAGGACTGGGATGAACTGGGAGTAAACTGGGAGGGACTGGGAGTGACTGGGACGGACTGGGACAAACTGGGAGGGACTGGGAGGGGTTAAAGGGGAACTGGGAGGGACTGTGACGGACTGGGAATGGGACTGGGAGGGACTCAGAGTAACTGGGAGGGACTGGGATGGACTGGGAGGGACTGGGAGGGGTTAAAGGGGCACTGGGACAAACTGGGAGGGACTGGGAAAGGATTAGAGAGGACTGGGATGAACTGGGAGTAACTGGAAATGGTCACTGGGAGGGACTGGGATGAACTGGGAGGGACTGGGAGCGCTGGGAACAGAGCAGAGACACCTCCCAGTTAGAAACGGCCCCAAACTGGGATAAACTGGGAGCAGCCCCGAGGCCCTCCCCCCTCCCACCCCCAAAATCCCCAAAATTCCCCCAAAATCTGCCAAATTCCCCCAAATTCCCCAAAATTTCCCCCGAATTCTCCCAAAATTTCCACAAATTTCCCCCAAATTTCCCCAAATCCCCACAAATTTCCCACAAATTCCGCCGAATTCCCCCAAAATTGTCTCCAAATTCCCAAAAATTTCCCCCGAATTCCCCCAAAATTCCCACAAATTTCCTCCAAAATCCCCCAAATTTTACAAATTTCCCCCAAATTTTCCCCGAATTTCCCCCAAATTTTATCCAAATCCCAACAAATTTCCCACAAATTTCCACAAATTTCCACAAATTTCCCACAAATTTCCCCCAAATTCCCTCCAAATCCCCACAAATTTTACAAATTTCCCCCAAACTCCCCCGAATTCCCCCAAATTCCTCCAAATTTCCCCCAAATTTCCCCGAATTTTCCCCGAATTCCTCAGAATTCTAAAAGTTCCCCCAAATTTCTCCCAAATTCCCCCAAATTCCCCCAAAATTCTCCCAAATTTCCCCCAAATTTTCGCTCCTTCACCTCCCGCCGCTCCCGTCGCAGCCGCTTTGACGTCACTGGCGGCGGGCCGGATCTGACGTCACTTCCCGCGCGCCGCCGCTGTCTCAGTGACGTCATCGCCGCGCGCCGGGCCCGGTCCGTTCCTCCCCTCCCCCCCCGCGGCGGGAGCGCCGCGCGCGGCCCCGCCACAGTGACGTCATCGGGCGGTGCGTGACGTCACGGGGCAACGGGGGGGACTGGGATGAACTGGGATGGACTGGGAGCAACTGGAAGTGGGGATTGGGGGCACTGGGAGGGACTGGGAGGGACTGGGAGCGATCAGAGGGGAACTGGGATGGACTGGGATGAACTGGGAGGGACTGGGAGCAACTGGGAGGGGTTAAAGGGGGACTGGGATTAACTGGGAGGGAACTGGGGGCACTGGGAGGGACTGGGAGCAACTGGGAGTGGAGGGAGGGGGAACTGGGATGAACTGGGATGAACTGGGAGGGAACTGGGACGGAGTGGGAGCAACTGGGATGAACTGGGAAGGGGGGGAGAGGGAACTGGGGGCACTGGGAGCAATTGGGATGAACTGGGAGCAACTGGGATGGACTGGGATGGGACTGGGGTGGACTGTGAGTGATCAGAGGGGAACTGGGATGGACTGGGAGGGAACTGGGAGCAATTGGGAGCGACTGGGAGCGACTGGGAGTGGGGACTGGGGGCACTGGGAGGGAACTGGGATGAACTGGGATGGACTGGGAGCAACTGGGAATGGGGACTGGGGGCACTGGGAGGGACTGGGATGAACTGGGAGCAACTGGGAGGGAACTGGGATGAACTGGGAGGGACTGGGGGGGCACTGGGAGCGATCAGAGGGGAACTGGGGGTACTGGGAGGGACTGGGAGCAACTGGGAGGGAACTGGGATGGACTGGGAGTGATCAGAGGGGAACTGGGATGAACTGGGAATAGGGGGAGGGGATACTGGGGGGGACTGGGAGCGGGAATTGAGGGAACTGGGATGGACTGGGATGGACTGGGATGGACTGGGAGGGAACTGGAAAAGGGTGGAAGGGGTAACTGGGATGAACTGGGGGCGATCAGAGGGGAACTGGGAGGGACTGGGATGGACTGGGAGCGATCAGAGGGGAACTGGGATGGACTGGGAATAGCGGGAGGGGATACTGGGGGGACTGGGAGCGGGAATTGAGGGGACTGGGATGAACTGGGGTGGACTGGGAGGGACTGGGAGCGACTGGGATGGACTGGGAGAGAACTGGGGGCACTGGGAGGGACTGGGAGGAACTGGGGGGTAACTGGGAGTGATCAGAGGGGAACTGGGATGAACTGGGAATAGCGGGAGGGGATACTGGGGGGACTGGGAGTGGGAATTGAGGGAACTGGGATGAACTGGGAGGAACTGGGTGGGCACTGGGATGGACTGGGAGTGATCAGAGGGGAACTGGGATGGACTGGGAGGAATTGGGAGGGACTGGGAGCAACTGGGAGCACTGGGGGCACTGGGATGAACTGGGATGGACTGGGATGGACTGGGAGGGACTGGGAACAACTGGGAGTGATCAGAGGGGAATTGGGATGAATTGGGAGCAACTGGGAGCAACTGGGAGCAACTGGGAGCAACTGGGAGCAACTGGGAGCAACTGGGAGTGGGGACTGGGGGCACTGGGAGGGAACTGGGATGAACTGGGAGTGATCACAGGGGAACTGGGATTAACTGGAAATAAGGGGAGGGGATACTGGGGGGACTGGGAGGGGACTGGGGGCACTGGGAGGGAACTGGGAGAAATTGGGAGGGACTGGGAGGGGACTGGGATGAACTGGGAGGGACTGGGAGCAACTGGGAGTGGGAACTGGGGGCACTGGGAGGGAACTGGGAGGAACTGGGATGGACTGGGAATAGCAGGAGGGGATACTGGGGGGACTGGGAGTGGGAATTGAGGGGACTGGGATGAACTGGGAGCGATCAGAGGGGAACTGGGATGAACTGGGAGGGACTGGGAGGGAACTGGGAATGGGGACTGGGGGCACTGGGAGGGACTGGGATGAACTGGGAGCAACTGGGAGGGAACTGGGATGAACTGGGATGGACTGGGAGGGAACTGGGAGCGATCAGAGGTGAACTGGGATGAACTGGGAATAGGGGGAGGGGTACTGGGGGGGACGGGGAACGGGAATTGAGGGAACTGGGGGCACTGGGAGCAACTGGGAGGGAACTGGGATGGACTGGGAGCACTGGGAATGGGGACTGGGGGCACTGGGAGGGAACTGGGGTGAACTGGGATGAACTGGGAGCGATCAGAGGGGCACTGGGAGGGACTGGAAGAGACTGGGAGTGGGGACTGGGGGCACTGGGATGAACTGGGAGGGACTGGGAGTGATCAGAGGGGAACTGGGATGGACTGGGAGCAACTGGGAGCACTGGGAGCAACTGGGGGGGGAACTGGGAGTGATTAGAGGGGAACTGGGATGAACTGGGAGGGACTGGGAGGAACTGGGAGTGATTAGAGGGGAACTGGGATGAACTGGGAATAGGGGGAGGGGATACTGGGGGGACTGGGAGCGGGAATTGAGGGAACTGGGATGGACTGGGAGCACTGGAAGGGAACTGGGATGGGCTGGGAGCAACTGGGAATGGGGACTGGGAGCACTGGGATGAACTGGGAGGCGATTGGGAGTGGAGGGAGGGGGAACTGGGATGGACTGGGGGGAACTGGGAGTGATCAGAGGGGAACTGGGATTAACTGGGATGGACTGGGATGAACTGGGAGTGAATTTGGGACCCCCCCCCCCATAAGGCAGATTTTGGGTGGATTTGGGGCAATTTGGGTGAATTTTGGGAAGTTTTGGGCAATTTTACAGCGGAATTTTGGGTGGGTTTTGGGGTTAATTTTGGGTGGATTTGACACGAATTTTGGGTTTATTTGGGGTGATTTTTGGGTTAATTTTGAGTGAATTTTGGGTGATTTTTGGGTGATTTTAGGGTTAATTTTGGGTGATTTTTGGGTTAATTTGGGGTGATATTTCAGGGGATTTTTGGGTGAATTTTGGGTTAATTTTGGCTGATTTTTTTGCATTAATTTTGGGTGATATTTCAGTGGATTTTGGGTTAATTTTGACCGATTTTTGGGTGAATTTCAGGTGACTTTCAGTGGATTTTTGGGGGATATTTCAGTGGATTTTTGGGTGAATTTGGGGTGATTTTAGGGTGATGATTTGGGTTAATTTTGGCTGATTTTTGGGTGAATTTTGGGTGCTATTTCAGTGGATTTTTGGGTGAATTTTGGATGATTTTCAGGCAATGTTTGGGGTTTATTTGGGGTGAATTTTGGGTGATTTATGGGTTACTTTTGGGTGATTTTGGGGTGAATTTTGGGTGCTATTTCAGCAGATTTTTGGGTGAATTTCGGGTGATGTTTGGGGTTAATTTTGGCCTATTTTTGGGTGAATTTTGGGTGATATTTCAGTGGATTTTTGGGTGAAGTTTGGGTGAATTTCAGCTGATTTTTGGGTGAATTTTGGGTGATATTTCAGTGGATTTTTGGGTGAATTTTGGGTGAATTTCGGGTGATGTTTGGGGTTTATTTTGGGTGAATTTTGGGTGAATTTCGGGAGATTTTTGGGCGATGCTTGGGGGTAATTTTGGCCAATTTTCGGGTGAATTTTGGGTGAATTTCGGGTGATTTCTGGGCGATGTTTGGGGTTAATTTTGGCCGATTTTCGGGTGAATTTTGGGTGCTATTTCAGTGGATTTTTGGGTGAAGTTTGGGTGATTTCCGGGCGATGTTTGGGGCTAATTTTGGCCAATTTTTGGGTGACTTTTGGGTGAATTTTGGGTGATTTTTGGGCGATGTTTGGGGCTAATTTCGGCCGATTTTCGGGTGAATTTTGGGTGATTTTCGGGCGATATTTGGGGTTAATTTTGGCCGTTTTTGGGGTGAATTTTGGGTGATATTTCAGTGGATTTTTGGGTGAATTTTGGGCGATTTTCGGGTGAATTTTGGGTGAATTTCGGGTGATTTCCGGGCGAGGTTTGGGGTTAATTTTGGCCGATTTCTGGGTGAATTTTGGGTGAATTTCAGGTGATTTTAGGGTGATGTTTGGAGTTAATTTTGGCCGATTTTCAGGTGAATTTTGGGTGAATTTCGGGTGATTTTCGGGCAACGTTTGGGGTTTATTTGGGTGACGTAGGGGTTAATTTCGGGTGATTTCCGGGCGATATTTGGGGCTAATTTCGCCCGATTTTCGGGTGAATTTCGGATGATTTCCAGGCGATGTTTGGGGCTAATTTTGGCCGATTTTCGTGTGAATTTTGGGTGAATTTCGGGCGATTTTTGGGCGATGTTTGGGGGTAATTTTGGCCGATTTTCGGGTGAATTTCGGGTGATTTCCAGGCGAGGTTTGGGGTTAATTTTGGCCGATTTCTGGGTGAATTTTGGGTGAATTTCAGGTGATTTTAGGGTGATGTTTGGAGTTAATTTTGGCCGATTTTCAGGTGAATTTCAGGCGATATTTCAGTGGAATTTTGGCCGATTTTCGGGTGAATTTTGGGTGAATTTTGGGTGAATTTCGGGCGATGTTTGGGGTTTATTTGGGGTGAATTTTCGGGTGAATTTCGGGTGATGTTCGGGCGATATTTGAGGCTAATTTTGGCCGATTTTTGGGTGAATTTCAGGCGATTTCCGGGTGATGTTTGGGGTCAATTTCGGCCGACTTTTGGGTGAATTTTGGGTGACTTTTGGGTGCTATTTCAGCGGATTTTTGGGTGAATTTTGGGTGATTTTCAGTGGATTTTTTGGGGATATTTCAGCGGATTTTTGGGTGACTTTTGGGTGAATTTCGGGCGATTTCCGGGCGATATTTGGGGCTAATTTTGGCCAATTTTCGGGTGAATTTTGAGTGAATTTCGGGTGATTTCCGGGTGATGTTTGGGGCTAATTTCGGCCGATTTTCGGGTGACTTTTGGGTGAATTTTGGGTGAATTTCAGGTGATGTTTGGGGTTTATTTGGGGTGAATTTTGGGTGATTTTCAGGTGATTTCTGGACAATATTTGAGGCTAATTTTGGCCAATTTTCAGCTGACTTTTCCCCCCCCAGGCATGGCGGGCGTCTCCTTCGAGGAGTTCTCGGCGCCGCCGGGCGCGGAGCTGGCGCTGGAGCCGCTCTTCGGGGGGAACATTCTGGAAAGCGAAGGCGAGCCCGAGGCGGGGCCCGAGGGGGGCGGGGCAGCCCAGGCCCCGCCCCTCCCCCCCACGCCCCGCCCCCTGCGCGGGGGGCGTGGCCAGGAGCGGGGGGGGGAGGGGCCGGGGGGGGAGGGGCAGGGGGGCGAGGACTCCCCGGAGCTGCGGCGGCGGCGGATGAAGCTGCAGGCGCTGGGGCGGCGCTGCCGCGAGATACGACAGGTAAAGGTGGGGCCGGGACACGCCCACAAGATGGCGGGGGAGTGGGGAAAGTGGTGGACACGCCCACAAAATGGCGGGGGGCGGGGAAAGTGGTGGCCACGCCCACAAGATTGCGGGGGGCGGGGAAAGTGGTGGCCACGCCCACAAAATGGCGGAGGCCATATGCACAACATGGCGGCCATATGCACAACATGGCGGCCATATGCACAAAATGGTGGCCACACAACATGGCGGCCACACGCTCAAAGTGGCGGACACACAAAATGGCGGTCACGCTCACAAGGTGGTGGCCACACCCACAAAATGGTGCTCACACAATATGGCGGCCACACGCACACAGTGGTGGCCACGCCCACAAAATGGCGGAGGCCATATGCACAACATGGCGGCCATATGCACAAAATGGTGGCCTCACGCACAACATGGCGGCCACGCCCACAAAATGGCGGAGGCGCTCACAGGATTGTGGCCACGCCCACAAAATGGCGGTCACGCTCACAAGGTGGTGGCCACGCCCACAAAATGGCGGAGGCGCTCACAGGACTTTAGCCACGCCCACAAAATGGCGGGCACACATGGCAGCCACACCCACAAAATGGCGGACACACAACATGGTGGCCATGCCCACAAAATGGCGGCGGCCATATGCACAACATGGCGGCCAGACCCACAAAATGGCGGCCACACAAAATGGCGGCCACATGCAAAGGGGGTGGCCATGCCCACAAAATGGCGGAGGCCACATGCACAACATGGCGGCCATACGCACAAAATGGCACCCACACCCAAAAAATGGCGGCCACACACACAAAATGGCGGAGGCGCTCACATGATTGTGACCACACCCATAAAATGGCAGCCACACAACATGGCAGCCATATGCACAAGGTGGTGGCCACACCCACAAAATGGCGGCCACACAACATGGCTGCCACACGCACAAAATGGCGGAGGTGCTCACATGGTTGTAGCCACGCCCACAACATGGCGGGCACACAACATGGTGGCCATACGCACAAAATGGCGGCCACGCCCACAAAATGGCGGGCACACTAAATGACGGCCACATGCAAAGGGGGTGGCCACGCCCACAAAATGGCGGAAATGCTCACATGATTTTAGCCACGCCCACAAAATGGCGACCACACAACATGGCGGCCACATGCACAAAATGGCGGCCACACAACATGGTGGCCAAACACATAAAATGGCGAGTACACAAAATGGCGGAGGCCACATGCTCAAAATGGCGGCCACACCCACAAAATGGCAGATGTGCTCACAGGATTGTGGCCACGCCCACAAAATGGCGGCCACACCCACAAAATGGCGGACACACAACATGGCGGCCACACACACAAAATGGCGGCCACACCCAAAAAATGGCGGCCACACACACAAAATGGCGGAGGCGCGCACATGATTGCAGCCACGCCCACAAAATGGCGGCTATATGCACAAGGTGGTGGCCACGCCCACAACATGGCGGAAATGCTCACATGGTTGAAGCCCCGCCCACTTTGGCCCCTCCCCCGCAGGTGAACGCGCGGGCGCTGCAGCGGCTGCGACAGGTGCAGCGGGAGACGCGCCGCATGCGGCTGGAGCGCAGGTGAGACCCAAACGCACCTGGGACACGCCCACCTCACCTGGGCCACACCCTCACCTGGGGGAGGAACACACCTGGGCCACGCCCTCACCTGGGGGAGGAACACACCTGGGCCACGCCCTCACCTGGGGGAAACACACCTGGGCCACGCCCTCACCTGGGGGAAACACACCTGGGCCACGCCCTCACCTGGGGGAAACACACCTGGGCCACGCCCTCACCTGGGGGAGGAACACACCTGGGCCACGCCCTCACCTGGGGGAGGAACACACCTGGGCCACGCCCTCACCTGGGGGAAACACACCTGGGCCACGCCCTCACCTGGGGGAAACACACCTGGGCCACGCCCACACCTGGGGGAAACACACCTGGGCCACGCCCTCACCTGGGGGAAACACACCTGGGCCACGCCCTCACCTGGGGAGGGAACTCACCTGGGCCACGCCCACACCTGGGGGGGGGAAACACACCTGGGCCACGCCCTCACCTGGGGGGGAAACACACCTGGGCCACGCCCTCACCTGGGGGGGGAAACACACCTGGGCCACGCCCTCACCTGGGGAGGGAACTCACCTGGGCCACGCCCACACCTGGGGGGGAAACACACCTGGGCCACGCCCTCACCTGGGGGGGAACTCACCTGGGCCACGCCCTCACCTGGGGGGGAAACACACCTGGGACACGCCCTCACCTGGGCCACACCCACACCTGGGTCACGCCCTCACCTGGGGAAGGAAACACACCTGGGCCACGCCCACACCTGGGCCACGCCCTCACCTGGCCACGCCCACACCTGGCCCCGCCCTCACCTGGGCCACGCCCTCACCTGGGGGGACACACCTGGGCCACACCCCCACCTCTGGCCCCGCCCCCTGGCCCCGCCCCGCAGGTTCCTGATGCAGGTGCTGGACGCTCACGGGGATCGGTACCGGCAGGGACAGCTGACCCTGCTGCTGCAGGTGGGACACCAAAACCACCCGAAATCACCCCAAAAATAACCCAAAAATAACCCGAAAGCACCCCAAAAAATAACCCCAAAAATCACCCCAAAAATAACCCCAAATCACTCCAAAATTAACCCAAATCAACCCGAAAATCAACCCGAAAATCCCCTAAAAATAACCCCAAAGCATCCAAAAATAACCCCAAACCAACCCAAAAATCCCCTTAAAATAACCCCAAATAACCCCAAAAATAACCCAAAATCACCCCAAAAATCCCCTAAAAATAACCCCAAAAAGCCCCTAAAAATAACCCCAAAAAGCCCCTAAAAATAACCCCAAATCACCCCAAAAATAACCCCAAGACACCGAAAAAATAACTCCAAATCAACACAAAAATCCCCTAAAAATAACCCCAAATAATCCCAAAAATAGCTCAAAAATAACCCAAAAATCCCCTAAAAGTAACACGAAATAACCCAAAATTACCCAAAAATCACCCCAAATCAACCCGAAAGTCCCCTAAAAAGAACCCCAAATCACCCAAAAAGAACCCCAAATCACCCAAAAATAACCTGAAATCACTTCAAAAATAACCCCAAAAATCCCCTAAAAATCACCCCAAAACCAACCCGAAAATCTCCTAGAAATGACCACAAAGCACCCCAAAAATAACCCCAAATCACCCCAAAAATCCCCTAAAAATAACCCCAAAGCACCCAAAAAATAACCCCCAAAACCACCCAAAATCAACCGGAAAGTCCTCTAAAAATAACCCAAAATCAACCTGAAATCACCCCAAAAATAACCCAAAAATCCCCTAAAAATAACCCCAAATCACCCCAAAATAAACCCAAATCTCCCCTAAAAATAATTCCAAATCACCCCAAATCTACCCCAAATCGCCCCATATCAACCCAAAAATCCTCTAAAAATAACCCCAAAAATCCTGAACCCCCAAATTTCACCCCCCAGCACCCCCAAACCTGCCCTGACCTCCCAAATCCCCCCAGGACCCAAAATTCTCCCCCAAAATCTCCCCCAAGCCCCCCCAGGACCCCCCAAACCCCCTCAGAACCCCCCAAAACCCCCCTGACCCCCCAAATTTCCCCCCAGGACCCCAAAACCCCCCCAAGACCCCTAATTCCCCCCCAGGACCCCCCAACCCCCCCAGGACCCCCCAAATTTCCCCCCCAGGACCCCCAAACCCCCCCAAATCTCCCCCAAGCCCCCCCAGGACCCCAAAATTTCCCCCAATTTCCCCCCCTGATCCCCCAAATTTCACCCCCCAGGACCCCCAATTTCCTCCTGACCCCCCAAATTTTCCCCCCTGATCCCCCAAATTCCCCCCCAGGACCCCCCAAACCCCCCCAGGACCCCCAAAACCCCCCTGACCCCTCCCCAGAACCCCAAAACCACCCCTGGGACCCCCAAATTTCCCCCCCAGGACCCCCCAAATTTCCCCTCTGGGACCCCCCAAACCCCCCCAGGACCCCCAAATTCCCCCTCAGTACCCCAAAAACCCCTCTGGGACCCCCAAATTCCCCCCTGACCCCCCAAATTCCCCTCCCCAGGACCCCCAAATTCCACCCCCCGACCCCCAAATTCCACCCCCCGACCCCCAAATTTCGCCCCCCCTGAACCCCCAAACCCCCCCGACCACCACCAAATCCCCCCCAGAACCCCAAATTTCCCCCCTGACCCCCCAATTCCCCCCCAAATTCCCCCCTGGACCCCCCAAATTTCACCCTCCAGCACCCCCAAACCTGCCCTGACCCCCCAAAATCTCCCCAAATTCCCCCAGGAACCCCCAAATCCACCCCAGGACCCCCAAATTACCCCCAGGACTACCCAAACCCCCCAAATTTCACCCCCAAACCCACCCCAGGACCCCCCAAACCCCCCCAAATCTCCCCCAAGCCCCCCCAGGACCCCCCAAACCCCACCCAGGACCCCCCAAATCCCCCCCAGAACCCAAAATTCTCCCCCAAAATCCCCCCAAACCCCCCTGACCCCCCAAAATTCCCCCCGACCCCCCAACCCCCCCCTGACCCCCCAAACCCCCCCACTGACCCCCCAATCTCCCCCCAGGACGAGGGGGGTCCCTCAGGGGGGGTCGCTGCCGCCCCTCCCCCCCCCGGGAACGCCGAGAACGAACCCCCCGGGGGGGGCCCCCCCGCCCCTCCCCCACCGCCCCCCAAAACCCCCCCGGAGCCCCCCGGGCCCAAACGGCGCCGCCGAGACCCCCGGGGGGGGCGCAGGGGGGGACCCCAAAACCCCCCCAGACCCCAAAGGGCCCCCCAGAACCCCCCCGGGGGGGGCACCCAGGTAAGGGGGGGGGGGGATTTGGGGGTCCCGGGGGTGGGTTTGGGGGAATTTGGGGGGATTTGGGGGGGTTTGGGGGTCCCGGGGGGCGGTTTTGGGGGGATTTGGGGGTCCCGGGGGTCGGATTTTGGGGGGTTTGGGGGTCCCGGGGGGCGGTTTTGGGGGGATTTGGGGGGATTTGGGGGTCCCGGGGGTCGTTTTTGGGGGGATTTGGGGGTCCCGGGGGTCGGATTTTGGGGGATTTGGGGGTCCCGGGGGTCGGTTTTGGGGGGTTTGGGGGTCCAAGGGTCGGTTTTTGGGGGTTTGGGGTAATTTTGGTGGTTTGGGGGGTCCCAAGGGTCGGTTTTGGGGGGTTTGGGGGGTTTTGGGGGGATTTGGGGGTCCCAAGGGTCGGTTTGGGGGGTTTTGGGGCGTCCCAAGGGTCGGTTTGGGGTAATTTTGGGGAGATTTAGGGGTCCCAAGAGTCACTCTGGGGGGATGGGAAGGGATTTTGGGGGGACTTGGGGGGGTTTTGGGGGGTCCCGGGGGTCGGTTTTGGGGTAATTTGGGGGGGGTTTGGGGGGGATTTGGGGAGTTTGGGGGTCCCAAGGGTCGGTTTTGGGGGGGATTTGGGGGTCCCAAGGGTCGGTTTGGGATAATTTTGGGGGGGTTTGGGGGGGGTTTGGGGTAATTTTGGGGGGGTTTGGGGGTCCCAAGGGTCACTTTAGGGGGGTTTTGGGGGTCCCGGGGGTCAGTTTTGGGGGGTTTGGGGGGATTTGGGGTAATTCAGGGGGTTTTGGGGGGTCCCAAGTGTGAGTTTGGGGGGCTGGGAAGGGATTTGGGGGGATTTTGGGCGGTTTGGGGGTCCCAGGGGTCGGTTTTGGGGTAATTTTGGGGGGTTTGGGGAGTTTGGGGGTCCCAAGGGTCAGTTTTGGGGGGTTTGGGGGGTCCCAGGGGTCGAGTTGGGGTAATTTGGGGGGGATTTGGGGGTCCCGGGGGTCAGTTTTGGGGGGATTTGGGGGTCCCAAGGGTCGGTTTTGGGGGGGATTTGGGGTAATTTTGGGGGTCTCAAGAGTCGCTCTGGGGGGATGGAAATGGATCTTTGGGGGTTTGGGGTAATTTTGGGGAGTTTGGGGGTCTCAAGGGTCGATTTTGGGGGATTTGGGGGGATTTGGGCGTCCCAAGGTCTGTTTTGGGGGGATTTGGGGGGGATTTGGGGGTCCCACGGGTCGGTTTGGAGTAATTTTGGGGGACTTGGGGGGAATTTGGGGGGTTTTGGGGGTCCCAAGTGTCGGTTGGGGGGGGTTTTGGGGTCCCTTTTGGGATATTTTCAGTCCCTTTTTGGCTATTTTGGGGTTCAGGGATATTTGGGGTCCCTTTTGGGGTTCAGGGGGTTTTGGGGTCCCTTTTGGGCTATTTTGGGGTCCCTTTTGGGATATTTTGGGGTCCTTTTTGGGCTATTTTGGGGTTCAGGGATATTTTGGGGTCACTTTTGGGGTTCAGGGGGGTTTTGGGGTCCCCTTTGGGGTCTGACCCCTCCCCCTCTCCCCAGCTCGGCCCCTCCCCCCCCTGGGGCCCCCCGAGCCCCCCCGAGAGGCCCCCGAGGGTCCCCAAATTCTCCGACTTCGACTGAGACCCGCGGGGGGACCCCAAAATCCCCCAAAAAAACCCCAAAAAACTCAAATTTCTCAATAAACGAAACTCCAACACCAAAAATTTCCTTTTGATTCTGTATTTTTGGGGTTCCAGAGCTGAAAATCCCAAATTCCCCTCAAAAAACACCAAATCCCAAAATCCCCCCCAAAAATCCCAAAATCCCCTCCCAAAACTCCCCAAATTCCCACAAAAATCCAAAAATCCCCTCCCAAATTCCCCCAAAATCCGCGTCCAAAAATCCCAAATCCCCCCAAAAATACCAAACCCCAAAATCCCAAATCCCCCCCAAAAATACCAAACCCCAAAATTCCCCCCAAAGACCCCAAAATCCCCCCAAAATCCCCTCCCAAATCCCCCAAAATCCGTATCCAAAAATATCCCCAAAAAACCCTAAAATCCCCCAAAATCCTCCCAAAATTCCCAAAATCCTCCCAAAATCCCCCCCCAAAACCCCAAAATCCTCCCAAAATCCCTCCAAAAATCCCAAAATTCCCCCAAAAATCTCCCTACAAACCTCCAAAAATCCCCCAAAAATCCACCCAGAAATCCCAAAATTGTCCACAAAATCCCCCCCAAAAAACCCCCAAAAATCCCCAAATCCCCCCAAAACACCCAAATTTCTCAATTAAAAAAAAAATCCCCCCAAAAACCCCCCAAAAGCCAAAAAATCCGCCCAAAAATCCCCAAATCCCCCTAAAAACTCCAAAATCTCCTCAAAATCCCCAAAATGCCCCCAAAAACCCCAAAATTCCCCCTCAAATTTCTCAATAAACAAAACCCCCCCAAAAATCACCACAAAGTCCCCCCAAAAACCCCAAAATCCCCCTAAATCCCCCTAAAAAACCCCAAAATCGCCCCCAAATCGCCCAAAAACCCCAAAATTCCCCCAAAAATCCCCCAAATCCCCCCAAAATCCCCCAAAAAAACCCCAAAATCGCCCCCAGATCACCCAAAACCCCCCAAAATCCCCCAAAAACCCCAAAATTCCCCCCAAATTTCTCAACAATCCCCCCCAAAACCACCACAAAATCCTCCCAAAAATCCCAAAATCCTCCCAAAATCCCCAAAATCCCCCCAAATCCCCCTAAAAACCCCAAAATCTCCTCAAAATCCCCAAAATCCCCCTAAAATTCCCCCAAAGAACCCCAAAATCGCCCCCAAATCACCCAAAAACCCCAAAATGCCCCAAAAATCCCCAAAACCCCAAAATCCCCCAAAATCCCCCCCAAATTTCTCAATAAACAGCAAAACCCCAAAACCGCCACAAACTCCTCGTTTCGTTTCTGTATTTTTGGGGTTCCGCCTTTGGGACCCCCCAAAATCCCCCTCAGGGGTGGGGGGGGGTTCCCCAAACTGGGGGTCGGATTTTGGGGTGAATTTGGGGGATTTTGGGTCGCTCAGAGCTGCCGCAGCCAGGCCAGGCCGGGGCCCTGGGGGGCACAGGGGTGCGGGGGCACCTCGGGGTGGCGGCCGTCGTCCCGCACGGGAACTGGGGGGAAATTTGGGGGGTCAGGGGGTCCCCGAAATCGGGGGGACCCCAAAAACCCCAAATTTGGGATCGGGGGGGGGAATTTTGGGGGTTTTGGGGGACATTTGGGACATTTTGGGGGGGATTTGGGGGAGTTTTGGGGGGGATTTGGGGCAGATTTGGGGGGTATTTGGGGGTCCTAAAATGGACAAATTTGGGGTTTTGGGGGGAAATTTGGGGGGTCAGGGGGTCCCCGAAATCGGGGCACCCCAAAAACCCCAAATTTGGGATCGGGGAGGGGAATTTTGGGGGGTTTGGGGGGGATTTGGGGCGTTTTGGGGGAGTTTTAGGGGGAATTTGGGGGTCCCAAAAGGGACAAATTTGGGGTTTTGGGGGGAAATTTGGGGGGTCAGGGGGTCCCCAAAATCGGGGGCACCCCAAAAACCCCAAATTTGGGATCGTGGAGGGGGAAGTTTGGGGGAGTTTTGGGACATTTCGGGGGGAATTAGGGACATTTTGGGGGGGATTTTGGGGGGAATTTGGGGGAGAAATTGGGGGGATTTTTGGGGGGTTTGGGGGAGATTTGGGGGGTCAGGAGGTCCCCAAAAACGGGGGGACCCCAAAAACCCCAAATTTGGGATCGTGGGGTGGGATTTGGGGGGATTTGGGGCAGTTTTGGGACATTTCGGGGGGGATTTGGGGGGTTTTGGATTATTTTTGGGGATATTTTGGGGCTGATTTTGGGGCTGATTTTGGGCAGATTTTGGGGCTGATTTTGGGGTGTTTAAGGGGCTGATTTTGGAGTGTTTTTAGGGGTATTTTGGGCTGATTTTGGGGTGTTTCAGGGATATTTTGGGGCTGATTTTGGGGATATTTTGGGGCTGTTTTTAGGGGTATTTTGGGGCTGTTTTTAGGGTGTTTCAGGGATATTTTGGGGCTGATTTTGGGGTGTTTTAGGGATGTTTTGGGGCTGTTTTTAGGGATATTTTGGGCAGATTTTGGGGCTGTTTCAGGGATACTTTGGGGCTAATTTTGGGGCTGTTTTTAGGGATATTTTGGGCAGATTTTGGGGGTATTTTGGGGCTGATTTTGGAGTGTTTTTAGGGGTATTTTGGGGCTGTTTTTTTTAGGGATATTTTGGGCAGACTTTGGGGCTAATTTTAGGGTGTTTTAGGGATATTTTGGGGCTGTTTTTAGGGATATTTTGGGCAGATTTTGGGGCTGTTTTGGGGGTGTTTCAGGGGTATTTTGAGGCTGATTTTGGGGCTGTTTTGGGGCTGTTTCAGGGATATTTTGGGCAGATTTTGGGAGTATTTTGGGGCTGTTTTCAGGGATATTTTGGGTCTGTTTTTAGGGATATTTTGGGGCTGTTTTGGGGGTGTTTCAGGGATATTTTGGGGCAGATTTTGGGGCTGTTTTTAGGGATATTTTGGGGCTGTTTTTAGGGTGTTTTAGGGATATTTTGGGGATGATTTTGGGGTGTTTCAGGGATATTTTGGGGCTGATTTTGGACAGATTTTGGGGCTGTTTTGGGGGTGTTTTTAGGGGTATTTTGGGCAGATTTTGGAGATATTTTGGGGCTGTTTTTGGGGATATTTTGGGCAGATTTTGGGCTGATTTTGGGACTGTTTTTAGGGTGTTTCAGGGATATTTTGGGGCTGATTTTGGACAGATTTTGGGGCTGGTTTTAGGGTGTTTTAGGGATATTTTGGGGCTGTTTTTAGGGATATTTTGGGGATATTTTGGGGCTGATTTTGGGGCTGTTTTTAGGGTGTTTCAGGGATATTTTGGGGCTGTTTTTAGGGATATTTTGGGGCTGTTTTTGGGGATATTTTGGGGCTGTTTTGGGGCTGTTTCAGGGATATTTTGGGGCTGTTTTTAGGGTGTTTCAGGGATATTTTGGGGCAGATTTTGGGGCTATTTCAGGGATATTTTGGGGCTGTTTTTAGCGATATTTTGGGCAGATTTTGGGTATATTTTGGGGCTGTTTTTAGGGGTATTTTGGGGCTATTTTGGGCAGATTTTGGGGCTGTTTTGGGGCTGTTTCAGGGCTATTTTGGGCAGCTTTTGGGGCATTTTGGGGCACTGGAGGCTCCATACCGGGGTAGGTGTAGGGCGTGGCCTGGTTGATCATTCCCGAGTATTTGGTGAAGGGGCTCAGCAGCGGCGACACCAACGCTGGGGGAGGGGCGGGGGGGGTCAGGGGGACCCCAAAAATCCCCCAAAACCCCCCAAAAAACCCCAAATCCCCCCGGGGCTCACCCAGGGCGGCGATGCCGAAGCTGGCGGCGATCACCGGCTCCTTGGCCCACAGCGAGCGCAGCGCGGCGGCCAGGCCTGGGTGGGACCAGAGTGATCAAAAACGGGCAAAACAGCCCAAAATAACAGCCCAAACAGACCCAAAACAACCCAAAATAACAGCCCAAATAACAGCCCAAAACAGCCCAAAATAACAGCCCAAAATAGCCCAAAAATAGACCCAAAACAGCCCAAAATAACAGCCTAAAATAGCCCAAAACAGCCCCAAAACAGCCCAAAATAACAGCCCAAAATAGCCCAAAATACCAGCCCAAAATAGCCCAAAAACAGCCCCAAAACAGCCCAAACAGACCCAAAACAGCCCAAAATAACAGCCCCAAAATACCCAAAGACAGCCCCAAAATAACAGCCCAAAAACAGCCCCAAAATAACAGCCCAAAATAACAGCCCAAAATAACCAAAAACAGCCCCAATACAGCCGAAAATAACAGCCCCAAAATATCCCAAAAATAGCCAAAACCAGCCCAAAATAACAGCCCCAAACAGCCCCAAAATACCCCAAAACAGCCCCAAAATACCCAAAACCAGCCCAAACAGCCCCAAAATACCCAAACAGCCCAAAATAACAGCCCCAAAATACCCCAAAATAGCCAAAACCAGCCCAAAATACCCCAGAAAATCCCAAAATACCCTAAAATACCCAAATAACAGCCCAGAAATACCCCAAAATACCCAAAACTACCCCAAAATACCCAAAACAGCCCAAAATACCCCAAAGCAGCCCAAACAGCCCCAAAATACCCAAAAACAGCCCAAAGCAGCCCAGAAATACCAAAAAATACCCAAACAGCCCAGAAATACCCAAAAATAGCCAAAACCAGCCCAAAATACCCCAGCAAATCCCAAAATACCCAGAAATACCCCAAATACCCCAAAATACCAAAAAAACACCCCAAAACAGCCCAGAAATACCCCAAAACTACCTCAAAATAGCCCAAATCCCCTCAGGACCCCCCAAATCCTCTCCACACCCCCCGAATTTCCCCAAATTCCCCCCAAATCCTCTCCTGACACCCCAAATCCCCTCAGGACCCCCCAAATCCCCCCAAAATCCCCCCAAATTCCGCCCCCCACTCACGTCCCGCCATCCCCTCCCCCCTCTCAAGGGCGTCCGCGCGCTGATGACGTCACGCGTCGGGAGAAAAGGGGCGGAGCTCGTCTCGGTGACGTCATCGCGCAGGGGGCGGGGCCTGGGCGGGAAGCGAAAGGGAAAGTGGGGGAGGGGCGGCGGCAGCGCGAGGTAAGGGGGGGGGGGGGAGGGACCCCCAAATTTGGGGAGGGGGTCCCCAAGGGTGGGGGGAGGGCGAGGGGGCGGATTTGGGGATTTTTTGGGGGGTTTTGGGGTGGGGGAGGGGAAAGCGAAGGTCCCAAATCGAAACGCGGGAAAAAAACTCAAATTTGGGGAGGGGGTCCCCAAATTAAGGTGGGGGGGAGGGGAGGAATTGGGAATTTGGGGGAATTTGGGGGGGGGAGGGAATTGGGGAGGGTCCGACCCTTTTTTGGAGGGGGGTGTAAATATGGGGATGGGGGAGGGGAAACTGCGTGACCGCCCCCCCAAATTCTGGGTGGGGTCCCCCAAAATCTGAGCCGACCCCCCCCACCCCAGGGACCTCCGGAGACCCCCAGAGACCCCCAGGGACCCCCAAAGACCCCCAGGGACCCCCCCCGGCCATGGGGACCCTGCGGTGGCTGGAGGGGGAGGGGCTGGACACGCTGGACCTGCTGGTGCCGGACTGGGAACGGCCAGGTGGGAACTGGGGGGGCTGGGGAGGGGTCTGGGGGGTTTGGGGGGGATTTGAGGGGGTCTGGGGGTGGTTTGGGGGTGTCTGGGGGTGGTTTGGGGGGATCTGGGGGTGGTTTGGGGGGATCTGGGGGTGGTCTCAGAGGATCTGGGGGGGTCTGAGAGGGTCTGGGGGTGGTTTTGGGGGGTCTGGGGGTGGTTTGGGGGGTCTGGGGGTGGTTTGGGGGTGTCTGGGGGTGGTTTGGGGGGATCTGGGGGTGGTTTGGGGGGATCTGGGGGTGGTCTCAGAGGATCTGGGGGGGTCTGAGAGGGTCTGGGGGTGGTTTTGGGGGGTCTGGGGGTGGTTTGGGGGGATCTGGGGGTGGTTTTGGAGGGTCTGGGGGCATTTGGGGGTGGTCTGGGGGCATATGGGGGTGGTCTGGGGGGCTTTGGAGGTGGTTTGGGGGGCTCTGGGTGTGGTCTCAGGGGGTCTGGGGGGATTTTGGGGGACTGATGAGAGGTCTCAGGGGGTCTGGGGGTGGTCTGAGGGGGTCTGGGGGTGATTTGAGGGGTCTGGGGTGTTCTCGGGGGGTTTTGGAGGGGTCTGGGGTGGGCTCGGGGAGTTTGGGGGAGTCTGGGGGTGGTTTGAGGGGGTCTGGGGATGGTTTAGGAGGGGTCTGGGGGGGATTTGGGGGGTCTGGGGGGGATTTGGAGGGTCTGGGGGTGATTTGTGGGGGTCTGGGGGTGGTTTGAGGGGATCTGGGGGTGGTTTTGGAGGGTCTGGGGGTGGTTTGAGGGGGTCTGGGGGTGGTTTTGGAGGGTCTGGGGGGGTCTGGGGTAGTTTCAGGGGGTCTGGGGGAGATTTGAGGGGGTCTGGGGGTGGTCTCAGGGGGTCTGGGGGGGGTCTGGGGTGGTTTGAGGGGGTCTCGGGGGGTTTTGGGGGTGGTCTCAGGGATCTCTGGGGGTGGTTTGAGGGGGTCTGAGGGTCTGGGGGTGGTTTGGGGGGTCTGTGGGGGTGTTTTGGGAGGTCTGGGGGGGATTTGGGGGTGTCTGGGGGTGGTTTTGGGGGGTCTGAGAGGGTCTGGGAGTGTTTTGGGGGGGTCTCTGGGGGTGTTTTGGGGGTCTCTGGGGGTGTTTTGGGGGTGTTTTGGGGGGTCTCAGGGGTGGTTTGGGGGTGTCCCCCCTCTGTGACCCCCCTGTCCCCCCCAGACCCCGCAGAGCCGCCCTGGGAAGCGCCGCGCCGCCGGGGGGGCTCCGGGGGGGCTGCCAAGCCCCGGGACGCGCCCCCCACCCCAAAAAAGGCCAAGAGAGGGGCGCGGGGACCCCCCAAAAAACCCCGCGGGACCCCTCCCCAACCCCTGAAGGGCTCCCAGGGCTGCGGGACCCCCAAAATCCCCTCGGGGACCCCCCGAGTTCCCCCGCGGGGGTCTGGGCCCCCCCCTTGGGGACACAAGGGGACCCCAAAAAGTGACCCCCGGAGCCCCAAAACCCCCCCTTGGGGCCACCTGAGCCCCCCCAGAGACCCCCAGGGCCACCTGAACCCCCCCAGAGACCCCCAAAGAGACCCCCAGGACCACCTGAGCCCCCCCAGAGACCCCCAAAGAGACCCCCAGGGCCACCTGAGCCCCCCCAGAGACCCCCGGGACCACCTGAGCCCCCCCAGAGACCCCCAAAGTGACCCCCAGGGCCACCTGAGCCCCCCCAGAGACCCCCAGGACCACCTGAGCCCCCCCAGAGACCCCCAAAGAGACCCCCAGGGCCACCTGAGCCCCCCCAGAGACCCCCAGGGCCACCTGAGCCCCCCCAGAGACCCCCAGGGCCACCTGAGCCCCCCCAGAGACCCCCAGGACCACCTGAGCTCCCCCAGAGACCCCCAAAGAGACCCCCAGGACCACCTGAGCCCCCCCAGAGACCCCCAAAGAGACCCCCAGGACCACCTGAGCCCCCCCAGAGACCCCCAAACCGTCCCCCACCCCTTTTCCCCTCAGAAACCCCCTCAGGACCCCTCTCAAGTTCTGCCTCAGTTTCCCCCTAAGGGTGCCCCTCATTTTTCCCCTCATGTTTCCCCTCAGGACCCCCCTCACGTTTCCCCTCAGATTCCCCGTCAGGACCCCGCTCCCCTTTCTCCTCACCTTTCCAGCCACCTTTCCCCTCACATTTCCCCTCAGATTCCCCCTCAGGACCCCCCTCACCTTTCCCCTCAGGTTTCCCCTCACCTTTCCCCTCACATTTCTCCTCAGGACCCCCTTTACATTTCCCCTCAGGTTTCCCCTCAGGACCCCTCTCATGTTTCCTCTCAGGTTTCCCCTCAGGACCCCACTCATCTTTCTTCTCACATTTCCAGCCACCTTTCCCCTCACGTTTCCCCTCAGGACCCTCTTGAATTTCCCCCTCAGGACCCCCCTCAGGTTTCCCCTCACATTTTCCCTCAGGGCCCCGCTCACCTTTCCCCTCACCTTTCCCCTGAGGTTTCCCCTCACCTTTCCCCTCAGGTTTCCTCTCAGGTTTCCCCTCACATTTCCCCTCAGGTTTCCCCTCACATTTCCCCTCAGATTCCCCCTCAGGACCCCACTCACATTTCCCCTCACCTTTCCCCTCAGGTTTCCCCTCACACTTCCCCTCACCTTTCCCCTCAGGACCCCGCTCACCTTTCTCCTCGCGTTTCCAGCCACTTTTCCCCTCACATTTCTCCTCAGATTCCCCCTCAGGACTCCCCTCATGTTTCCCCTCAGGTTTCCCCTGAGGTTTCCCCTCACATTTCCCCTCAAGACCCTCTCGAATTTCCCCCTCAGATTCCCCCTCAGGACCCCGCTCACCTTTCCCCTCACATTTCCCCTGACATTTCCCCTCAAGACCCTCTCGATATTCCCCCTCAGGACCCCGCTCACATTTCCCCTCAGGACCCCCCTCACCTTTCCCCTGACATTCCCCCTCAATCCCCTCTCCCCTTTCCCCCTCACCACCCCCTCCCTGACTCCCCCTCCCCACCCCTCCCCTGTGCCGAGGCGGACTCTCTGACCCTCTCCCGCCAGCTCCGTGCCCTGCTGCGCCCTCACCCCGCGGGTCTCTCCCTGTTCGAGCTGCGCGCCGCCTACAGCGCCGCCTACCGCCGCCCTCTGCCCATGGGCGGCGCCGCCTCCGCGCGGCTGCGCCTGCGCCAACTGCCGGGGGCGGCGCTGCGCATGCGCGGCTGCGGCGTGCAGACCCGGGTGCTGCCGCCTAGCGGCGCGGAGGACCGAGGCTGGGAGGGGGAGGGGACCCCGCGGGCGGCATCGCCGAATCGCGACAGGACCCCCCCGGCGACACCCAAAATGGGTCGCGACAGGGAGGGGGGCGTCCCCCGGGGGTCCCCGAGGTGTGGTGGAGAGGTGGTGGCTTGTTCTGTCGCCCCCCGTGTCGCGATAGGCGGGGTGTCGCCAGGCGCTGTCGCGATAGGCGGAGTGTCGCTGAGGGATGTCGCGATAGGCGGAGTGTCCCCAGATGCGGCCACGACACCCTCAGTGTCCCCCGAGTCTGGCAACCCCCGTGTGGGGACCCTCGCGGTGTCCCCAAGTCGTGTCGCGACATCCAGAATGTCGCCAAATCGTATCGCGACATCCAGAGTGTCCCCAAATCCTATCGTGACATCCAGAGTGTCCCCAAATCCTATTGCGACCCCTAAAATGTCCCCAAATCCTGTCGCGACCCCTAAAATGTCCCCAAATCCTGTCGTGACACCCAGAGTGTCCCCAAATCCTGTCGCGACATCCAGAGTGTCCCCAACTCCTGTCGTGACATCCAGAATGTCCCCAAATCCTGTCGTGACATCCAGAATGTCCCCAAATCCTGTCGCGACATCCCGAATGTCCCCAAATCTTATCGTGACCCCCAGAGTGTCCCCAAATCCTGTCGTGACATCCAGAATGTCCCCAAATCCTGTCGTGACACTCAGAACGTCCCCAGATCCTGTCGCGACCCCCCGTGTCGGGACCCTCGGGGTGTCCCCAAGTCCTGTCGCGACATGCAGAACATCCCCAAATCCTGTCGTGACCCCTAAAATGTCCCCAAATCCTGTCGCGACATCCAGAACGTCCCCAAATCCTATCGCGACCCCCAGAGTGTCCCCAGCTCCTGTCGTGACACCCAGAGTGTCCCCAAATCCTATCGCGACATCCCCGCCCCCGCCCCGCCCCGAGCGCTGCACGCTGCTCTAAGGGCGCGGCCCCGAATTTCCCGGATTTTCACCCAAAAATGGGCAAAAAAGGCGAATTTTTGTACCAAAAACGGGCAAAAATGTCGGATTTGTATCCCAAAAAATGAGGAATAAATGGTCAATTTTTGTAGCAAAAATGAGCAATAAATGTTCAATTTTTGTATCAAAAATGAGCAAAAAATGTGGAATTTTTATACAAAAATTAGCTATAAATGTTCAATTATAATCCCAAAAAATGAGGAATAAATGGTAAATTTTTGTATCAAAAATGAGCAATAAATGTTGAATTTTTGTACCAAAAACGAGCAAAAAATGTCAAATTTTTATATAAAAATGAGCAATAAATGTTAAATTCTAATCCCAAAAATGAGCAAAAAATGTTCAATTTTTATACCAAAAACGAGCAAAAAATGTCCAATTTTTATACAAAAACGAGCAATAAATGTTAAATTCTAATCCCAAAAATGAGGATAAAATGTTTAATTTTTATCCCAAAAAGGGGCAATAAAATGTTTTTTTTTCCCCAAAAAATGTTGAATTTAAACCCCAAAACGAGTAATATAAAATATTAAATTTTAAGCCTAAAAGTGGACAATAAAATGTTAATTTTTTCCCCCAAAAAATGCACCAAAAATTGGGGATTTCCCCCCAAACCGAGCGCCAAAAGACGAAGCAGTCGAGGCCCAATTAAGCTCATTAAGGTTTAATTAGGGGGGGGCTCCTGGGGGAGGGGCGGCGATTTTGGGGTGAATTTGGGGGTTTTGGGGTGCCCCGTGTGGGGGAGGGGCTCAGCCTGTGGAGAGAGGGGGGAGGGTCAAGGAGAGACCCCAAAAAACCCCCCGGACCCCCCAAAATCCTCCTGGGACCCCCCAAAAACCACCCAAACACCTCAAATCCCCCCAAAATCCCCTCAAAATCCCCCCAAATCCCCTCAAGAACCCCAAAATCTCCCAAACCCCCCCAGAATCCCCTAAAACCCCCAAAATCTACTCAAATCCCCTAAAATCCCCAAATTCCCCCCAAAAAACCCCAAATCCCCCCCCAAAAAACCCAAATCCCCCCAAATTCCCCTCCAAAAACCCCAAATCCCCCCAAAAAACCCAAATCCCCCCAAATTCCCCCAAAAAAACCCAAATCCCCCCCAAAAAAACCCAAATCCCCCCCAAAATCCCCCAAAATACATTCTAAAAAAAACCCCAGAAGTTCCACCAAAATCCCCCCATAATTCCCCCCAAAACCCCCCAAAATCCCGTAAAACCCCCCAAAATGTACTCAAAACCCGCTAAAATCCCCCCAAAAAACCCCAAATCCCCCCAAAATCCCCCAAAACCCATTCTAAAAAAATCCCCAAAATCCCCCCAAAAGCCCCCAAAATCCACTCAAAAAAACCCCAAATTCCCCCAAACCTCCCCCCAAAATCCCCTAAAACTCCCCAAAATCCACTCACAAAAAACCCCAAAATCCCCCCCAAAATCCCCCCAAAACCCTTCAAACCCCACCCAAAAATCCCCCAAAACCCCCCAAAATCCCCCCCAAACAACCCCAAAAACCCCAAATGCCCCCAAAAATCCCCCAAAACCCATTCTAAAAAAAAACCCCAAAAGTTCCCCCCAAAACCCCCTAAAAACACCCCAAAATCCCCCCCAAATCCCCCAAAACCCTTCAAACCCCACCCAAAAATCCCCCAAAACCCCCCAAAATCCACTCACAAAAAACCCCAAAATCCTCCCCAAAATCCCTCCAAAACCCTTCAAACCCCACCCAAAAATCCCCCAAAACCCCCCAAAATCCACTCAAAAAAAACCCCAAAACCCCCCCAAAATCCCCCAAAAACCCCCCAAACCCCCCAAACCCTCCAAAATCCCCCAAAAATCCCCCCAAACCCCCCAAAAGCCCCCAAAACCCCCCAAACCCCTTCAAACCCCACCCAAAAATCCCCAAAACCCCCCAAAATCCCCTAAAATCCCCCAAAACCCACTCACAAAAATCCCCTCAAAACCCTTCAAACCCCACCCAAAAATCCCCAAAACCCCGCAAAACCCACTCACAAAAAACCCCAAAATCCCTCCCAAAATCCCCCAAAAACCCCCCAAACCCCCCAAAATCCCCCGCAAAATCCCCCGCAAAATCCCCCCCAAACTCCCCCCAAAACCCTTCAAACCCCACCCAAAAATCCCCCAAAACCCCCCAAAACCCACTCAAAAAAAACCCCCAAAATCCCCCAAAACCCCCCGAAATCCCCCCAAACCCTCCAAAATTCCCCCAAAAATCCCCCCAAATCCCCCCCCAAAAATCCCCTAAAATCCCCCAAAACCCACTCTAAAAAAAATTCCAAAAGTTCACCCAAAATCTCCCCAAAATCCCCTAAAATCCCCCCAAAACCCACCCAAAATCCCCCTAAAATCCCGTAAAACCCCTCAAAATCTACTCAAATCCCCCCAATTTCCCCCCAAAAAACCCCAAATCCCCCCAAAAATCCCCCAAAACCCATTCTAAAAAAAACCCCAAAGTTCCCCCAAAATCCCCCAAAACCCCCCAAAATCCCCTAAAAACCCCCCAAATATCCCCTAAAACCCCGCAAAAACCCGCTCACAAAAAACCCCAAAATCCCCCCAAAATCCCCCCAAAACCCTTCAAACCCCACCCAAAAATCCCCCAAAACCCCCCCAAATCCCACCCAAAAATCCCCCAAAACCCCCCAAAATCCACTCACAAAAAACCCCAAAATCCCCCCCCAAAATCCCCCCCAAAATCCCCCCCAAACTCCCCCCAAAACCCTTCAAACCCCACCCAAAAAAACCCAAAATCTCCCCAAAAATCACCAAAAAAAAACCCCAAAACCCCCAAAAATCATCCAAAAAAACCCCCAAAAACCCTCCCAAACCCCCCAAAATCCACTCAAAAAAAACCCCAAAAATCACCAAAAAAACCCCCCAAAACCCCCAAAAATCATCCAAAAAAAACCCCAAAAAAACCCCAAAACCCCCCAAAATCCACTCAAAAAACCCCCCAAAAAATCCCCCAAACCCCCCTAAAATCCATTTAAAAAAAAACCCCAAATCCCCCCAAAAATCACCAAAAAAAAACCCCAAAACCCCCAAAAATCATCCAAAAAAAACCCCAAAAAAAATCCCCCAAAACCCCCCAAAAATCACTCAAAAAATCCCCCCAACCCCCGTTACCTTTTTTGGGGGTCTCAGGGCAGCAGCAGCAGCGCCCCCAGCCCCAGCAGGAGCCCCCCAAGTTTGGGGGTCCCGGGGGGGATTTGGGGGGCGGCCGAGGGGGGACACGGGGGGGGCAGCTCGGCCGGGGGGGGCTCCGGGCTCCAGGGCAGATCTGGGGGGGCACGGCAGATTTGGGGGATTTGGGGGATTTTGGGGGGATTTTGGGGGAATTTTGGGAGGGATTTTGGGGGGATTTGGGGAGATTCTGGGGTGATTTGGGGGATTTGGGGGGATTTGGGGGAGATTCAGGGGATTTGGGGTTCGGGAAAGGGATTTGGGGGGATTTGGGGGATTTTGGGGGGGTTTTGGTGGGGATTTGGGGAGATTTGGGGTGGTTTGGGGGGGATTTTGGGGGAATTTGGGGGATTTGGGGTTCGGGGGTGGCTGTTTTGGGGGAATTTGGGAGGGTTTTGGGGGGATTTTGGGGGATTTGGGGGGGATTTGGGGGGATTTTGGGGTGATTTTGGGGGATTTGGGGTTTTGGGGGGGATTTGGGGTTCGGGAAAGGGGGTTTGGGGGAATTTGGAGGGATTTGGGGGGATTTTGGGGGATTTTGGGGGGATTTGGAGGGATTTTGGGGGAGATTCAGGGGATTGGGGGTTGGGGGGCTGTTTTGAGGGAATTTGGGGGGGTTTTGGGGGGGATTTGGGGTTCGGGAAAGGGATTTGGGGGGATTTTGGGGGAGATTCAGGGGATTTGGGGTTTGGGAAAGGGGGTTTGGGGGGATTTTGGGGGATTTTGGGGGGATTTGGGATTCGGGAAAGGGATTTAGGGGGGATTTTGGGGGAGATTTGGGGTTCGGGGGGGCTGTCTTGAGGGAATTTGGGTGTTCGGGGGGATTTTGGGGTGGTTTGGAATAGTTCAAAGCGGCTTTTTGGGGCCCCACTCACCAGGGGGGTCCCGCAGCCAGAATTGAGGGGTTCAGAGGGATTTTAGGGTGGATTTTTGGGATTGGGTTTGAGGTGTTCAGAGGGATTTTAGGGTGGATTTTTGGGATTGGGTTTGAGGTGTTCAGAGGGATTTTAGGGTGGATTTTTGGGATTGGGTTTGAGGGGTTCAGAGGGATTTTAGGGTGGATTTTAGGGATTTTTTGGGGGATTTTGAAGTGCCATTCTCCAGGGAGTGCCGCAGGCGGATTTGAAGGGTTCAGAGGGGTTTTAGGGTGGAGTTTTGGGATTTTTGGGATTGGGTTTGAGGGGTTCAAAGGGATTTTAGGGTGGATTTTTTGGGATTTTTAGGATTTTTGCACTCACCGGGGGGGTCCCGCAGCCGGGCCCGCAGAGCCCCCAGCGCTCGGCTCAGGTTCCTCAGGGTCCCCTCCAGCCGCGCGTTCTCTCCCCGCAGCCCCCGCAGCGTCTCCTGCAGCTGGAAGGGATCCCCCCGCCCCAAAATCAGCACGGCCGCCAGCGCCACGGCCCCCCAAAACCCCATGGCCGCCCCCGAGCTGGGATCGATCCCCCAAAATCGTCACTGACCCCCCCCGAGCTGATATTGATCCCCCCTCACGTCACTGATCCCCCCAGGGTTGCCATTGATCCCCCCCAATGTCATTGATCCCCCTCCCAAAGTCATATCGATTCCCTCCCCCAGAGTAATTTCCCCCCTCAATGTCATTGATCCCTTTTTTTGTCACATTTTCCGCTCTTTTCTTCCCCCCCTCACGTTTTCCCGCCCTTTTTACTCCCCTCACGTTTTCCCGCCCATTTTTCCCCTCACGTTTTCCCGCCCTTTTTCTCCCCTCACGTTTTCCCGCCCATTTTCTCTCCCCTCACGTGTTCCCGCCCATTTTCTCTCCCCTCACGTTTTCCCGCCCATTTTCTCCCCTCACGTTTCCAGTATATCCCAGTGCAAACCAGTATAACCCAGTTTAGCCCAGTATACCCCAGTACATCCCAGTATATCCCAGTACAACCCAGTATATCCCAGTATACCCCAGTATAACTCAGTATAACCCAGTACATCCCAGTATATCCCATTATATCCCAGTACAGCCCAGTATATCCCAGTATATCCCAGTACACCCCAGTACATCTCGCTATAACCCAGTATATCCCAGTACATCCCAGTACATCCCAGTACATCCCAGTATATCCCAGTATATCCCAGTGCCCCGCCCCATTCCCCCCCCCACGCTCACTTTGGGTTAAAATTTCGCCTTTTTGGCTCCGGCGCGCGGACGTGGCGCGCGGCAGCCAATGGGAGCGCGCCTCGCCCCGCCCCACGAGGGCTCGGCCAACGCTGATTGGTCGATAACCGCAAAGGGGGCGTGGCCAAAGCTGTGAGGGGCAGCGGGACCCCCCCGGGGTTGGGGCAGGACGAGACGAGGTGAGGGGGGGGCGAATTTTGGGGGGGTTTTAGGGGATTTTGGGGGTGTCTTGAGGGTCCCGAAGGGTCCTGAGGGGTTTGGGGGGATCTGGGGAGGATTTGGGGGAGTTTTCGGGGAGTTTTGGGGGGTTTTAGGGGAGTTTTGGAGGGGTCTGAGGGGATTTTGGGAGGGTCCTGAGGGGTTGGGGGGGGGTCTGAGGGGGATTTGGGGGATTTTGGGGTGTCCTGAGGGGGATTTTGGGGGGGTCTTGTGGGATCCCAAAGGGTCCTGAGGGGTTTGGGGGGTCTGAGGAGGATTTGGGGGAGTTTTGGGGGGTCTCGGGTGGGATTTGAGGGGGATTTTGGGGGGTCTTGAGTGTCCTGAGGGGTTTGGGGGGGTTTAGGGATGATTTGGGGGAGTTTTAGGCGGGTTATAGGGACATTTTTGGGGTATTTTGGGTCATTTTGGGTTCATTTTGCTCCATTTGGGCTCGTTTAGGAGCATTTGGGGTCGGTTTAGGGACATTTTGGGCTCATTTCTCTCTAATTTGGGACATTTTGGGCTCATTCCTCTCCGTTTTGGGCTCATTTCTCTCTATTTTGGGACACTTTTCTCTCATTGCTCTCTAATGTGGGCTCATTTTTCTCCATGTTGGGGCATTCTGGGTTCATTTCTCTCTATTTTGGGACACTTTCGGCTCATTGTCTCTAATGTGGGGTAATTTCGCTCCATGTTGGGGCATTTTGGACTCAAATCTCTCCATTCTGGGCTCATTTCTCTCCATTTTGGGACATTTTGGGCTCATTCCTCTCCGTTTTGGGCTAATTTCTCTCCATGTTGGAGCATTTTGGGCTCATTTCTCTCAATTTTGGGACACTTTGGGCTAATTTCTCTCCATTTTCGGCTCATTTCTCTCCATTCTCACCTCATTTCTCTCAATTTTTGGGCTCATTTCTCTCCATTCTCACCACTTTTCACCCATTTTTCCCTGATTTCTGCTTTTTTTTCCCACAGATGCAGCTGTGGCCGCTCTGGCCCCTGCTGGCTCTGGCCCTCGGGGGGTCCCCCCACGCCCCCCACCCACATTTCGGGGCTCCCCCCTCGCACGACCACGACCCCGAGGGGCTTTTTTGGGACCACGCGGCCATTTGGGGAGCGCAGGAGGCGCGGGAGCAGCGGGAGCTGCCCCCCGAGGAGTCGCGACGGCGTCTGGGGTGAGAGGCACAAAGTCCCCAAAAACACACCAAAAATTCCTGAAAATTTCCTGAAAATTCTCCCAAAAATTCCTGAAAAATCTCCCCAAAAATTCACCAAAATTTCCTGAAAATTCTCCCAAAAAATCCTGAAAACTTCCCGGAAAAATCCCTGGAAATTCCCCCCAAAATTCCCGAAAATTAGCCAAAAACTTCACTAAAAATTCCTGAAAAATTTGTGAAAATTGCCCCCAAAATTCCTGAAAAATCCCCCCAAAATCCCTGAAAAATTAATGAGAATTCCTCCAAAAATCCCTGAGAAATTAATGAGAATTCCCCCAAAAAATTCCTGAAAATCCCCCCAAAAATTCACTAAAAAAAATCGTGAAAATTCGCTAAAAATTCCCCCAAAAATGCCTGAAAAATTCATGAGAATTCCCACAAAATTCCTGAAAATCTCCCTGAAAATTCACTAAAAATTCCCCAAAATTCCTGAAAAATTCCTGAAAAATCAATGGAAAACTCTTCCAAAAATCCCCAAAAATTCACTAAAAATACCCCCAAAATTTCACTGAAAATACCCTCAAAAATTCACAAAAATTCGTGAAACTTCGCTAAAAATTCCCCCCCAAAATTCCTGAAAATTTCCCAAAAATTCAGTAAAAATTCCCCCAGAAATTCCTGAAAAATTCATGAGAATTCCCCCAAAAATTCCTGAAAATTCCCCCCAAAAATTCACTAAAAATTCCCAAAAAATATCTGGAAAAGTCCCCTAAAATTCACTAAAAATTCCCCAAAATTCCTGAAAAATTCCTGAAAAACTCCAAAAAAATCCCAAAAAATTCACTAAAAATACCCCAAAAAATTCACTAAAAATTCCAGAAAATTCCCCCAAAAATTCACAAAAAAAAAAATTCGTTAAAATTCGCTAAAAATTCCCCTAAAAATTCCTTCAAATTTCCTGAAAATTCTCCAAAAAAAAAAAATCCTGAAAACTTCCCAGAAAAATCCCTGGAAATTCCCTTCAAAATCCTTGGAAATCCCCCCCCAAAATTCCCGAAAATTAGCCAAAAATTCACTAAAAATTCCCCCACAAATTCCTGAAAAATTCATGAGAATTCCCCCAAAATTTCCTGAAAAATCCCCCCCAAAATTCACCAAAAATTCCCTAAAATTCACTAAAAATTCCCCCAAGATTCCTGAAAAATCACTGGTAAAGTCCCCGAAAATTCGTAAAAATTCCCCCAAAAATTCACCAAAAATTCCTGAAAAATTCGTGAAAATTCTCCCAAAAAATCCTGAAAACTTCCCGGAAAAATCTCTGGAAATTCCCCCCCAAAATTCCCGTAAATTTCAAAAAAATTCACTAAAAATTCCCCCAAAAATTCCTGAAAAATTCGTGAAAATTCCCCCAAAATTCCTGAAAATCTCCCCAAAAATTCACTAAAAATTCCCCCCAAAATCCCTGAAAAATTCATGAGAATTCCCCCAAAAATTCACTAAAAAAATTCGTGAAAATTCTCCAAAAATTCCCCCAAAAATCCATTAAAAATTCATGAGAATTCCCCCAAAAATTCCTGAAAAATCCCCCCAAAAATTCACTAAAAATTCCCAAAAAATATCTGGAAGAGTCCCCAAAAATTCCCCCAAAATTCCTGAAAAATTCCTGAAAAATCACTGGAAAACTCCCCAGAAAATCCCCGAAAATTCACTAAAAATACCCTAAAAAATTCACTGAAAATTCACTAAAAAAAAATTCGTGAAAATTCGCTACAAATTCCCCCAAAAAATTCCTGAAAAATTTGTGAAAATTCTGAAAAATTCAGTAAAAATTCTCTCAAATTTCCTGAAAATTCTCAAAGAAAATCCTGAATACTTCCCGAAAAAATCCCTGGAAATTCCCCCCAAAATTCCCGAAAATTAGCCAAAAATTCAGTAAAAATTCCCCCAAAAATCCCTGAAAAATTCATGAGAATTGCCCCCAAAATTCCTGAAAATCCCCCCAAAAATTCACAAAAAATTCCCCCCAAAATCCCTGAAAAATTCTTGAAAATTCCCCCCCAAATTCCTGAAAATTCCCCCCAAAATCCCTGAAAAATTCATGAGAATTCCTCCAAAAATCCCTGAAAAATTCATGAGAATTCCCCCCAAAATTCCTGAAAATCCCCCCAAAAATTCACTAAAAAAAATCGTGAAAATTCTCCAAAAATTCCCCCAAAAATCCCTGAAAAATTCATGAGAATTCCCCAAAAAAATTCCTGAAATCCCCCCCAAAAATTCACTAAAAAATTTGTGAAAATTCGCTAAAAATTCCTCCAAAATTCCTGGTAAATTCATGAGAATTACCCCAAAAATTCCTGAAAATCCCCCCAAAAATTAACTAAAAAATCCCAAAAAATATCTGGAAGAGTCCCCAAAAATTCCCCCAAAATTCCTGAAAAATCACTGGAAAACTCCCAAAAAATCCCAAAAAATTCACTAAAAATACCCCAAAAAATTCACTAAAAATTCCTGAAAATTCCTCCAAAAATTCCTGACAAATTCATGAAAATTCTCAAAAATTCACTAAAAATTCCCTCAGATTTCCCAAAAATTCTCAAAAAAAAAAAAAAAAAAATCCTGAAAACTTCAAAAAAAAAATCTCTGGAAATTCCGCCCCAAAATTCCCTAAAATTCACTAAAAATTCCCCCAAAATTCCTGAAAAATTCATGAGAATTCCCCCCAAAAATTCACTAAAAATTCCCGAAAAATATCTGGAAAAGTCCCTAAAAATTTGTAAAAATTCCCCCAAAAATCCTGAAAATCCCCCCAAAAATTCACTAAAAATTCCCTAAAAATCCCTGGAAAAGTAAAAAAAAATCCCCAAAAATTCACTAAAAATATCAAAAAAATTCCTATATATTTTTTAAATATCCTTAAAAAAATCCCAAAAAATTCATTATAAATTCCCCAAAAAATCTCAAAAAATTCATTATAAATTCACAAAAACTCTCTAAAAACACACAAAAAATTCCTGAATTTTTTTTTTATAAATCACTAAAAGTTCCTTAAAAATTCTTTTAAAATTCCTAAAAAATTCTATAAAAATTCCTGAAAAATTCTGTAAAAATTCCTGAAAAATTCTTTAAAAGTTCCTTAAAAATTACTGAAAAATTCTTTTTAAATTACTGAAAAATTCTATAAAAATTCCTGAAAAACTCTATAAAAATTCCTTAAAAATTCTATAAAAATTCCTAAAAAATTCTAAAAAAATTCCTAAAAAATTCTATAAAAATTCCTTTAAAATTCTTTAAAAATTACTGAAAAATTCTATAAAAATTCCTAAAAAATTCTTTAAAAATTCCTGAAAAAATTCCCAGAAAACTCTCCAAAAACCCCCAAAAAACCCACTAAACTATCCCAAAAAAACCCGCTAAAAATTCCCCTAAAAAATCACCAAACCCCCCTAAAAATATTTACCAAATCCCCCTTTAAAAAATTTGCAAAATCCTCCAAAAATCCCCCCCAAAAAATTCCCAAAATCCCCCAAAAATCCCCCAAAAACCCCCAAAATAAATCAAATTTCCCGTTGTCAGGCTGCTGGTGTCGCGCATGGACGCGGACGGCTCGGGGCAAGTCTCGCGAGAGGAGCTGCGCGGCTGGATCCTGCGCAGGCACGGCGGCGCCCGCCAGGAGGCGCTGCGGGATCACCGCGCGCGCCTCGACCGCGACCGCGACGGCGCCGTCACGTGGAGCGAGTTCGCGCGGGAGAACTTCGGGGAGAGCCGTGAGGGGAACCCGCGGGTTTTAAAGGGGTTTTTGGGGGGTTTTTTAAGGGGTTTTTATAGGGGTTTTTGGGGGGGTTTTTAGAGGGGTTTTGGGGTTTTTTGGGGTTTTTTTTGGGGGGTGTTGGAAGGGATTTTTTGGGGTTTTTTAGAGGGGTTTTTGGGGTTTTTTTAAGGGGTTTTTGGGGGGTTTTTCATGGGTTTTGGGGGGATTTTTTGACTTTTTTTTGGGGATTTTTAGAGGTTTTTTAAGTTTTTTTGGGATTTTTTTAGAGGTTTTTTTGTGGATGTTTTGGAGTTTTTTAGGGTTTTTTGAGGATTTTTAATTTTTTGGATTTTTGGCGGTTTTTTTAAAGGGTTTTTTGGGGATGTTTTAAATGTTTTTTTGGGGGAGATTTTTTGAGGTTTTTTTTTTTGAATTTTGGTGGTTTTTTTGTGGATTTTTAGGGGTTTTTGAAGGTTTTTTTTACGGGATTTTTTGGGGATTTTTAAACTTTTTTTGTGAGGAGATTTTTTGAGGATTTTTTGGGATTTTTTTGAGTTTTTTATAAAGTTTTTTTGGGATTTTTTAAGAGGGTTTTTTTGTGGATTTTTAAAAGGTTTTTTGTGGGGGGATTTTTGAAGGATTTTTGGGATTTTTTTTTTGAGGTTTTTTTAAACGTTTTATGGGATTTTTTTAGAGGGTTTTTTTGTGGATTTTTTAGAGTTTTTTTTTTATTATTTTTTAAAGGTTTTTTGTGGGGGAATTTTTTGAGTTTTCTTTGGGGAATTTTTGGGGTTTTTTTGTGGATTTTTAGGGGTTTTCAAAGAGGTTTTTTTAGGGGTATTTTTGGGGGGTTTTTTAAAGGGTTTTTTATGGGGGTGTTGGAAGGGATTTTTTGGGGTTTTTTAGAGGGGTTTTTGGGGGGTTTTTAGTGGGTTTTGGGGGGATTTTTTAGGTTTTTTGGGAATTTTTTTTGAGGTTTTTTTTTGGATTTTTTAAGAGGGGTTTTTTTGTGGATTTTTTGGGGTTTTTTAGGAGGTATTTTTGAAAGCTTTTTAAAGAAATTTTTGGGATTTTTAAGGAGTTTTTTTTGATGGATTTTTAAATTTTTGGAATTTTTGGGGTTTTTTTGTGGATTTTTAAGGGGTATTTTTTAGGAGATTTTTTTGGAATTTTTAGGGGATTTGGGGGGTATTTTTGGGCTTTTTTAGGTTTTTTTTGTGGATTTTTTGAGGTTTTTTTTGGGAATTTTTGGGGGTTTTTTGTGGACTTTTAGGGGTTTTTGAAGGTTTTTTTTAGGGGATCTTTGGGGAATTTTTAGGGGATTTTGGGGATATTTTTGTGTTTTTAATAGGATTTTTTTGGCGGTTTTTTGGGATTTTTTTACCACTTTGTTGGCAATTTTTGGGTTTTTTTTTTTGCCCTTTTTTTTGCGATTTCTTTGCGGTTTTTTAACAATTTTGGGTGGAATTTTTTGGGATTTTTTTTTTTTTTTTTTTTTTTAGTGATAATTTTCCCTTTTTTTTCCCTTTCCAGAGGATTTTGGGGGCTCCCCTGACCCCGATTCCCACCGGAAGCTTCTGGAACGTTCCCGGCGCCGTTTCCGGGCGGCCGACGAGGACGGGGACGGGCGGCTCGAGGCCGCCGAGCTCGACGCCTTCCTGCACCCCGAGGACTTCCCCCGGCTCCAGGACCTGGTGGTGCAGGTCAGAATTCCCAAAATTCCCAAAATCCCAAAATTCCCCCAAAAAAATCCCGTAATTCCCAAAAAAATCCCGTAAATTTTGAGGGTTTGGGGCCATTTTGGGTCATTTTTAGAGATTTTCGGGGGTGTTTGGGGTCAAATCCGAGCACTTGATCCTGGACCAGGTGAGAATTCCCAAAAATCTCAAAATTCCCAAAAAAATCCCGGAATTCCCAAAAAAATCCCCGAAATTTTGAGGGTTTGGGGCAATTTTGGGTCATTTTTAGAGGATTTTGGGTCATTTTTAGAGGATTTTGGGGGGTTGAGGCTGAGTTCCTGATCCCGGAGCAGGTGAGAATTCCCAAAATTCCCAAAAAAAATCCAGGATAAATCGCGAAAACCGCACCGAAAACGGTCAAAAATTGGGATTTTTAGAGGATTTTTAGTGGATTTTTTGGGGGTTTTTTTGACTTTTGGGGGATTTTTAGGAATTTGGGCGGTGCAGGTGAGAATTCCCAAAATTCCCAAAAAATTCCAAAATTCCCAAAAAAAATCCCGGAAAAATCGTGAAAACCGCACCGAAAACGGTCAAAAAATGGGATTTTTAGAGGATTTTTTGTGATTTTGGGGTGGATTTTGGGACTTTCTGAGGCTCCAGGACCTGGTGGTGCAGGCCAGAATTCCCAAAATTCCCAAAAAATCCCAAAATTCCCTAAAAAAATCCCAGAAAAATTGCGAAAACTGCACTGAAAACGGCCAAAAAATTGGATTTTTAGAGGATATTTGGTGGATTTTTTGGTGGTTTTTGGGATTTTTGAGGATTTTTTAGGGATTTGGGCGGTGCAGGTCAGAATTCCCAAAATTCCCAAAAAATTCCAAAATTCCCAAAAAAAATCCAGGAGAAATCGTGAAAACCGCACCGAAAACGGTCAAAAAATGGGATTTTTAGAGGATTTTTGATGATTTTGGGGGGGATTTTGGGACTTTCTGAGGCTCCAGGACCTGGTGGTGCAGGTGAGAATTCCCAAAATTCCAAAAAAATTCCCAAATTCCCAAAAAATCCCAAAATTACCCAAAAAAAATCCCGGAAAAATCGCAAAAACCGCACCGAAAACGGTCCAAAAATGGGATTTTTAGAGGATTTTTGGTGGATTTCTTGGTGGTTTTTGGGATTTTTAAGGGATTTTTTAGGGATTTGGGCGGTGCAGGTGAGAATTCCCAAAATTCCCAAAATTCCAAAATCCCAAAAAAAAAATCCCGGAAAAATCGCGAAAACCGCACCGAAAACAGTCAAAAAATGGGATTTTTAGAGTATATTTAGTGGATTTTTTGGGTGTTTTTTGGGACTTTCTGAGGCTCCAGGACCTGGTGGTGCAGGTCAGAATTCCCAAAATTCCCAAAATCCCAAAATTCCCAAAAAAAATCCAGGAGAAATCGTGAAAACCGCACCGAAAACGGTCAAAAAATGGGATTTTTAGAGGATTTTTGGTGGATTTCTTGGTGGTTTTTGGGATTTTTAAGGGATTTTTTAGGGATTTGGGCGGTGCAGGTCAGAATTCCCAAAATTCCAGAATCCCAAAAAAAAATCCCAGGAAAATCGTGAAAACCGCACCGAAAACGGTCAAAAAATGGGATTTTTAGAGGATTTTTAGTGTATTTTTTTGGGTTTTTTTTGACTTTTGGGGATTTTTAGGGATTTGGGCAGTGCAGGTCAGAATTCCCAAAATTCCCCAAAAATCCCAAAATTCCCAAAAAAAAATCCCAGGAAAATCGCGAAAACCGCACCAAAACCGGTCAAAAAATGGGATTTTTAGAGGATTTTTGGGGGGATTTTGGGACTTTCTGAGGCTCCAGGACCTGGTGGTGCAGGTCAGAATTCCCAAAATTCCCGGAATTCCAAAATTCCCAAAAAAAATCCTGGAAAAATCGCGAAAACCGCACCGAAAATGGTCAAAAAATGGGATTTTTAGAGTTTTTTTGGTGATTTTTGGGGGGTTTTGGGACTTTCTGAGGCTCCAGGACCTGGTGGTGCAGGTGAGAATTCCCAAAATTCCCAAAAATCTCAAAAAATCCCAAAATTCCAAAAAAAATTGCGGAATTCCCAAAAAAATCCCAGAAAATTTGAGGTTTCGGGGCCATTTTGGGTCATTTTTAGGGGATTTTGGGGCATTTTTGGGTGTTTTTGGGGTTGAGGCCGAGCACCTGATGCTGCACCGGGTGAGAATTCCCAAAAATCCCAGAATTCCCAAAAAAATCCCAGAATTCCCAAAAAAATCCCAGAAATTTTGATGTTTTGGGGCATTTTGGGTCATTTTTAGGGGAATTTGGGGCATTTTTAGAGATTTTCGGGGGTGTTTGGGGTCAAATCCGAGCACTTGATCCTGGACCAGGTGAGAATTCCCAAAAATCTCAAAATTCCCAAAAAAAAATCCCCGAAATTTTGAGGGTTTGGGGCAATTTTGGGTCATTTTTAGGAGATTTTAGGTCATTTTTAGAGGATTTTGGGTCATTTTTAAAGGATTTTGGGGGGTTGAGGCTGAGCTTCTGATACTGGAGCAGGTGAGAATTCCCAGAATTCCCAAAATTCCAAAATTCCCAAAAAAAATCCCGGAAAAATCGCGAAAACCGCGCCAAAAACGGTCAAAAAATGGGATTTTTAGAGGATTTTTAGTGTATTTTTTGGGTTTTTTTTGACTTTTGGGGGATTTTTAGGGGTTTGGGCAGTGCAGGTGAGAATTCCCAAAATTCCCCAAAAATCCCAAAATTCCCAAAAAAAAATCCCAGGAAAATCGCAAAAACCGCACCAAAAACGGTCCAAAAATGGGATTTTTAGAGGATTTTTGGTGGACTTTTGGTGTTTTTTGGGATTTTTGGGGGATTTTTTAGGGATTTGGGTGGTGCAGGTGAGAATTCCCAAAAAAATCCAAAATTGCCAAAACAATCTAAAATTCATGAAAAAAAAGAAAATTCCTGAAAAAATTCCTGGGGAATTTTTTTTTTTTTTAAATTAATTTTCCAGGATTTTTTTTTTAATTTTAAATGAATTTTCCAGGGAATTTTGGGGATTTTTTTCGACTTTTTGGGGAATTTTCCAGGAATTTTGGGGAATTTTTCTGGGGAAGTTTTTCAAATGTTTGGGGAATTTTTCTGGAATTTTTTTGGAAAAGTTTGGGAATTTTTTGGGGAATTATTTTGGATTTTTTTCCAGGAATTTTTCGGGGAATTTGTTTTAAATTTTGGGGAATTTTCCAGGGAATTTTTGGTACATTTTGGGTCAAAATTCCCAAATTTTGCCTCCCCAGGAGACGATCGAGGACCTGGACCGGGACGGGGACGGATTCATCCAGGTGGACGAGTACATCGGTGAGCAGATTTCGGGAATTTTGGGGAAAATTTGGGATTTTTTGGGAATTTTGAGAATTTGGGAATTTTTGGGGGAATTTTGGGAGTTTTTGGGGGAATTTTGGAAATTTTTAGGGGATTTTTTTTTATTTTTTGGGAATTTTTGTGATTTTTTGGGGTTTTTGGAGGGACTTTTGGTGGCATTTTTTGGGGATTTTTTGGGGCTTCTTTGGGATTTTTTTGGGATTTTTTTTGGGCTTTTTTGGGGATTTTTTTTTTTAACTTTTGTAGCATTTTGGTGGGGTTTTGGGAATTTTTTGGCTTTTTTTGGGCCTTTTCTCAGGGGATTTTTTCGTGATTTTTTTTTTTTTATGGGATTTTTTGCAGCATTTTTTGGGGTTTTTTGGGGTTTTTTTGTGGCTTTTTTGGGATTTTTGGGGAAGTTTTTTGGGTTGATTTTTGAGGGATTTTTTGGGTCTTTTGAAGATTTTTGAGGAGGTTTTTTTGGGATAGTTTTTGGGATTTTTTTGGGATTTTGGGGAGGTTTTTTGGGGATTTTTTTTGGGTGTTTTTTGGATTTTTGTGGGATTTTTTGCAGCATTTTTTGGGGTATTTTTGGTGGTTTTTTGTGACTTTTTTTGGGGATTTTTGAGGAAGCTTTTTAGGTTGATTTTTAGGATTTTGGAGCATTTTTTTGGGGTTATTTTTTGGTTTTTTGATTTCTTGCAGAATTTTGTTTTGTATTTTCACATTCTTAAATTTTTTTTCAGGTTTTTTTGTGGAGTTTTTGGGGATTTCTGAGGAACTTTTTTAGAGTAATTTTCAGGATTTCGGAGCATTTTTTGGGGTGTTTTTTTTTTGTATTTTTTCCGATTTCTTGCGGAATTTTTTTTTTATCTTTTCTCACTTTTTTGGGGTTTTTTTGGGGGTTTTTTTGTGGCTTTTTTGCGATTTTTAGGGAAGTTTTTTATGTTGATTTTTATGATTTTGGAGGATTTTTTTGGTTTTTTTGTTTGTTTGTTTGTTTGTTTTTTCTGATATCTTGTGGAATTTTGTTTTGGTTTTTTGTGATTTCTTGCTGATTTTTTTTTGTTTTTTCACATTTTTGGGGTTTTTTTGGGGATTTTTGAGGAACTTTTTTAGGGTAATTTTCAGGATTTTGGAGCATTTTTTGGGGTGGTTTTTTTTATTTTTTTCCGATTTCTTGTGGAATTTTTTTTTGTTTTTTCACATTTTTAAGTTTTTTTGGTATTTTTTTGTGGCTTTTTTGGGTATTTTTGAGGAACTTTTTTAGAGTAATTTTCAGGATTTTGGAGCATTTTTTGGCGTATTTTTTTTTATTTTTTCCAATTTCTTGCAGATTTTTTTTTGGTTTTTTTCCCATTTCCCCCTTTTTTCTGCAATTTATGTCTTTTACCAACTTTTCCTTTTTTCCCCCTCAGCTGATTTATTCGAGGGCCCCCCGGGCTCCCCGGAGCCCCCCGAAATCCTCCGGGAACGGGAACAATTCCTGCGGAATCGGGATCGCGACGGCGACGCCCGACTGGGACCCGACGAGGTCAAATTTTGGCTCAGCCCCCCCAGCCCCGACTGGGCCGGGGTCGAGGCCGAGCACCTGATCCACCACGCCGACCTGGACCAGGTGAGAATTCCCAGAATTCCCAAAAAAATCCCGCAATTCCCGGAAAAATCCCGGAAAAATTGAGGTTTTGGAGGCATTTTGGGGCATTTTTAGGGCATTTTGGGGGGTTTTGGGGGTTAAGGCTAAGCTCCTGATGGTGGACCAGGTGAGAATTCCCAAAAATCCCAGAATTCCCAAAAAAATCCTGGAAATTTTGAGGGTCTGGGGCCATTTTTAGGCATTTTTAGGGGATTTTGGGGCATTTTTAGGGGATTTTGGGGCATTTTTAGGGCATTTTGGGGGGTTTTTGGGGTTAAGGCTAAGCTCCTGATGGTGGACCAGGTGAGAATTCCCAAAAATCCCAAAATTCCCGAAAAAATCCCGGAATTCCCAAAAAAATCCCGGAAATTTTGAGGCTTTGGGGCCATTTTTAGGCATTTTTAGGGGATTTTGGGGCATTTTTAGGGTATTTTAGAGGGTTTTTGGGGTCAAATCCGAGCACTTGATCCTGGACCAGGTGAGAATTCCCAAAATTCCCGAAAAAATCCCGGAATTCCCAAGAAAATCTGGGAATTCCCAAAAAAAGCCCCGAAAATTTGAGGGTTTGGGGCCATTTTGGGTCATTTTTAGGGAATTTTGGGGCATTTTTAGGGCATTTTTGGCGGTTTTTGTGGTCAAGTCCCAGCACTTGATTATGGACCAGGTGAGAATTCCCAAAATTCCCAAAAAAATCCTGGAATTCCCAAAAAAATCCTGGAATTCCCAAAAAAATCCCGGAAAATTTGAGGGTTTGGGGCCATTTTTAGGCATTTTTAGGGGATTTTGGGGCATTTTGGGGGGTTTTTGGGGTCAAATCCGAGCACTTGATCCTGGAGCAGGTGAGAATTCCCAAAATTCCTGGAATTCCCAAAAAAATTCCAGAATTTCCAAAAAAAATCCTGGAATTCCCAAAAAAATCCCGGAAATTTTGAGGGTTTGGGGCCATTTTTAGGCATTTTTAGGGCATTTTGGAGGGTTTTTGGGGTCAAATTCGAGCACTTGATCCTGGACCAGGTGAGAATTCCCAAAATTCCCAAAAAAATCCCAGAATTCCCAAAAAAATCCCAGAATTCCTAAAAAAATCCCAGAAATTGTGAGGGTTTGGGGCCATTTGGGGTCATTTTTAGGGGATTTTGGGGCATTTTTAGGGGATTTTGGGGCATTTTTAGGGCATTTTTGGGGGGTTTTGGGGTCAAATCCGAGCACCTGATCCTGGACCAGGTGAGAATTCCCAAAATTCCTGGAATTCCCAAAAAACTCCCCGAATTCCCAATAAAATCCCGGAATTCCCAAAAAAATCCTGGAAATTTTGAGGGTTTGTGGCCATTTTGAGTCATTTTTAGGGGATTTTGGGGCATTTTTAGGGGATTTTTTGGGATATTTTGGGGATTTTTTAGGAATATTTTGGGGGATATTTTTGGGATATTTTGGGAATTTTTTAGAGATATTTTGGGATTTTTTTTGAATATTTTAGGAATTTTTTAGGGATATTTTGGGATTCTTTGTGATTTTTTTGGGGGATATTTTGGGAATTTTTTAGGGATATTTTTGGGGATTCTTTGTGAATTTTTTGGGATATTTTGGGAATTTCTTGGGATATTTTGGGGAGATTTTTTTGGGATATTTTGGGAATTTTTTTGGGGGGTTTTTAGGATTATTTTGGGTGAGATTTTTTTGAATTTTCCCAATTTTTCCCGAATTTTCCCCAGGACGGGGCCCTGACCCGGGAGGAGATTTTGGGGCGTTGGGAACTTTTCGTGGGGAGCCGCGCCACCGACTACGGGCAGGACCTGCACCGGGCCCACGACGAGCTCTGAGCCCCAAAAACCCCAAAAACAGCCCCAAAAATAGTCCCAAAAATTCCCAGAAATAGTCCCAAAAACAGCCCCAAAAATAGTCCCAAAAACAGCCCCAAAAATCCCCAAATACATCCCCAAAAATCCCCAAAAATAGTCCTAAAAATTCCCAAAACCAGCCCCAAAAATTCCCTAAAATAGCCCCAAAAGTTCCCAGAAATATCCCCAAAAATCCCCAAAAATAGTCCCAAAAATTCCCAGAAATATCCCCAAAAACCCCCAAAAATAGTCCCAAAAATTCCCAAAAACAGTCCCCAAAAATTCCCTAAAATAGCCCCAAAAATCCCCAAATACATCCCCAAAAATCCCCAAAAGTAGTCCCAAAAACAGCCCCAAAAATCCCCCAAAATCCCCAAAAATAGTCCCAAAAATCCCCAAAAATAGTCCCAAAAATTCCCAGAAATATCCCCAAAAATCCCCCAAAATAGTCCTAAAAATTCCCCCAAAATAGTCCCAAAATTAGTCCCAAAAATCCCCAAAAATATCCCCAAAAAAATCCCCAAAAATTCCCAAGAGTAGTCCCAAAAATAGTCCCAAAAATTCCCAGAAATATCCCCCAAAACGTCCCCAAAAATCCCCAAAAATAGTCCCAAAAATAGTCCCAGAAATATCCCCAAAAACAGCCCCAAAAATCCCCCAAAACAGCCTCAAAAATAGTCCCAAAAATTCCCTAAAATAGACCCAAAAACAGCCCCAAAAACATCCCTAAAAACATCCCCAAAAACAGCCCCAAAAATCCCCAAAAACATCCCCAAAAATAGTCCCAAAAATTCCCAGAAATATCCCCAAAAATAGTCCCAAAAATATCCCCCAAAAAATTCCCAAAAATATCCCCAAAAAATTCCCAAAAATATCCCCTAAAATATCCCCTAAAATAGTCCCAAAAAATTCCACAAAAATTCACAAATAATTCCCAAAATATTCCCAAAAATATCCCCAAAAATTTCCCAAAATAACCCAAAAAAATTCCAAAAAGAATCACCAAAATATACCCAAAAGATTCCCAAAATTATCCCAAAAATATCCCCAAAAATTCCGAATTTTGGGATCTTTGGGAATAAAAATTCGGGGTCGTTCCCCCAAATCCCAAAAATTCTGAGCCGGAGTCGATTTTGGGGGGAAAATTGGGAATTTTGGGAAAAAAAGGGAATTTTGGGGGGAAAAAAAGGAATTTTGGGTGGAAAATGGGAATTTTTAGGGGGGAAAAATGGGAATTTTTAGGGGGGAAAAATGGGAATTTTTAGGAGGAAAATGGGAATTTTGGGGTAAATTGGGGATTTTGGGGGGAAATTGGGAATTTTGGGGGGAAAATGGGAATTTTTAGGGGGAAAAATGGGAATTTTGGGGGGAACTGGGGATTTTGGGAAGAAAAAATTGGGGATTTTGGGGGAAAAAGGGATTTTGGGAAGAGAAAATTGGGGAATTTGGGGAAAAAATGGAATTTTGGGGGGGAAATGGGGATTTTAGGGGGAAAATGGGAATTAGGAGAAAAATGGGAATTTTTAGGGGGGGAAAATTGGGAATTTGGGGGGAAATTGGGGATTTTAGGGGGAAAATGGGAATTAGGAGGAAAATGGGAATTTTTAGGAGGGGAAATGGGAATTTTGGGGGAAATTTGGAATTTTTGGGGGAAATTGGGAATTTTCGGGGGAAATTGGGGATTTTGGGGGAAAAATGGGAATTAGGAGAAAAATGGGAATTTTTAGGGGGGAAAAATGGGAATTTGGGGGGGAAATTGGGGATTTTTGGGAAAAAAAGGGATTTTGGGAAGAGAAAATTGGGGAGTTTGGGGAAAATTGGAATTTTGGGGGGTAAATGGGGATTTTAGGAGGAAAATGGGAATTTTTAGGAGGGGAAAATTGGGAATTTTTGGGGGGAAAATGGGAATTTTTGGGGAGAAAATTGGGGATTTTGGGGGAAAATTGGGGATTTGGTGGGGGGAAATTTTTGGGGTGATAATTCCTGATTTTGGAGGGTCCCCAAATGTCCACGACCCCAAAATTGGGAATTTTAGGAAAAAAAAAAAAAAATAAAAAGAGGCGGGATCGGCCCCTCCCCCACCCCCCAACCCAAATTTGGGGCTCCTGGGGGGGGGTGGGGGAGGGGTGACCCGTCCCAAATTCCCCAAATTTGGGTCCCGGAGGGTCCTCGGGGACTCGGCCGAGATTTTTTCCCTTTTTTTTTTTTGGGAAAAATCCCAAATTTAGTTCAGGATCCCTTTGGGAACCCCCTAAAGCGCCTCCCAAGCGACGCGGCCCCTTTAAGAGAAGCCACGCCCACGCGGCCTCATTTGCATAACCACGCCCATTGCCGCAGGGCGAGGCCACGCCTTCTCCATAGAAATCAATGTGCGGTTAAGCCACGCCCCTTATTTAAATCAATGTCAGCTAAGCCACGCCCCCTCCATTGAAAGAAGCGGTGTATATCTAAGCCACGCCCCTATATGCAAAACAACGGGGCTAAGCCACGCCCCCTCCCGGCGCGCCTCTCAATTGCCGCAATGCCGAGGCCACGCCCCCCGCCCCTCAAAGCCACGCCCACGGCGCGAAGCCACGCCCCCTTTTCGGCTGCCGCGGGGCCCGGTCCGAGTGTCCGTGGGTCTGTCCGAGTGTCCGAGTGTCTGTGGGGCTGTCCGTGTGTCCGTGGGGCTGTCCGAGTGTCCGTGGGTCTGTCCGAGTGTCCGAGTGTCCGTGGGGCTGTCCGAGTGTCCGAGTGTCCGTGGGGCTGTCCGAGTGTCCGTGGGTCTGTCCGAGTGTCCGAGTGTCCGTGGGGCTGTCCGAGTGTCCGTGGGTCTGTCCGAGTGTTCGTGGGGCTGTCCGAGTGTCCGTGGGGCTGTCCGAGTGTCCGTGGGGCTGTCCGAGTGTCCGTGGGTCTGTCCGAGTGTCCGTGGGGCTGTCCGTGTGTCCGAGTGTCCGTGGGTCTGTCCGAGTGTCCGTGTGTCCGTGGGGCTGTCCGAGTGTCCGTGGGTCTGTCCGAGTGTCCGTGGGGCTGTCCGTGTGTCCGTGGGTCTGTCCGAGTGTCCGTGGGTCTGTCCGAGTGTCCGAGTGTCCGTGGGGCTGTCCGAGTGTCCGTGGGGCTGTCCGAGTGTCCGAGTGTCCGTGGGGCTGTCCGGGTGTCCGTGGGTCCAGCTGAGTGTCCGTGGGTCTGTCCGAGTGTCCGTGGGGCTGTCCGAGTGTCCGTGGGGCTGTCCGAGTGTCCGAGTGTCCGTGGGGCTGTCCGAGTGTCCGTGGGTCCAGCTGAGTGTCCGTGGGGCTGTCCGGGTGTCCGTGGGGCTGTCCGAGTGTCCGTGGGGCTGTCCGAGTGTCCGAGTGTCCGAGTGTCCGTGGGGCTGTCCGAGTGTCCGTGGGGCTGTCCGAGTGTCCGTGGGTCCAGCTGAGTGTCCGTGGGTCTGTCCGAGTGTCCGAGTGTCCGTGGGTCTGTCTGAGTGTCCGTGGGTCCAGCCGAGTGTCCGTGGGTCTGTCCGAGTGTCCGTGGGGCTGTCCGAGTGTCCGAGTGTCCGTGGGTCTGTCCGAGTGTCCGTGGGTCTGTCCGTGTGTCCGAGTGTCCGTGGGGCTGTCTGAGTGTCCGTGGGTCTGTCCGAGTGTCCGAGTGTCCGTGGGTCCAGCTGAGTGTCCGTGGGTCCGGCCGCGTGTCCGAGCAGCGTCCGAGTGGCCGGAGAGTTCAGGTCAGTCCTGGGGTGGGCTTCAACAGCCCCTCGTGGGTGTGTCCGTCTGTCTGTCTGTCCAAGTGTCCATCTGTCCGAGTGTCCGTGGGTGTGTCCATCTGTCCAAGTGTCCATCTGTCCGTGTGTCCATCCCAGTGTCCATCTCAGTGTCCGTGGGTGTGTCCACCCCTGTGTCCACTCCCCTGTCCGTGTGTCCATCCCGGTGTCCACCCCTGTGTCCACTCCTGTGTCCATCCCTGTGTCCATCCCTGTGTCCACTCCCCTGTCCGTAGATTTGTCCCAGTGTCCATTTCAGGGTCCATCTGTCCATCTCAGTGTCCATCTCAGTGTCCATCCCAGTGTCCATCCAGTGTCCGTGTGTCCGTCCCTGTGTCCATCCCAGTGTCCACTCCTGTGTCCACTCCAGTGTCCATCCCGGTGTCCACTCTTGTGTCCACTCCTGTGGCCATGGGGCTGTCCATCTGTCCGAGTGTCCGTGGGTCTGTCCTTGTGTCCATCCCAGTGTCCACTCCAGTGTCCACTGCAGTGTCCGTGAGTCTGTCCCAGTGTCCACTCCGGTGTCCACTCCAGTGTCCGTGTGTCCATCCCAGTGTCCACTCCTGTGTCCACTCCAGTGTCCATCCCGGTGTCCACTCTTGTGTCCACTCCTGTGGCCATGGGGCTGTCCATCTGTCCGAGTGTCCGTGGGTCTGTCCTTGTGTCCATCCCAGTGTCCACTCCAGTGTCCACTGCAGTGTCCGTGAGTCTGTCCCAGTGTCCACTCCGGTGTCCACTCCAGTGTCCGTGTGTCCATCCCAGTGTCCACTCCTGTGTCCACTTCCGTGTCCGTGTGTCCATCCAGGTGTCCTTGTGTCCATCCAGGTGTCCGAGTGTCCATCCCAGTGTCCGTGTGTCCATCCCGTGTCCATCCAGGTGTCCGTGTGTCCATCCAGGTGTCCGGCCGTCCGCCCATGGCTCCGTCCAGGTGTCCGTGTGTCCATCCAGTGTCCGTGTGTCCATCCAGGTGTCCGGCCGCCCGCCCATGGCTCCGTCCAGGTGTCCGTGTGTCCATCCAGTGTCCGTGTGTCCATCCCAGTGTCCACTCCCCTGTCCGTGTGTCCATCCCAGTGTCCATCCACTGTCCATCCCTGTGTCCACTCCAGTGTCCATCCCAGTGTCCATCCAGTGTCCGTGTGGCCGTCCCAGTGTCCATCCCAGTGTCCATCCCAGTGTCCATCCCAGTGTCCATGTGTCCATCCAGTGTCCGTGTGTCCATCCAGGTGTCTCTGTGTCCATCCAGGTGTCCGTGTGTCCATCCAGGTGTCCGGCCGCCCGCCCATGGCTCCGTCCAGGTGTCCGTGTGTCCGTCCAGGTGACCGTGAGCGCGTCCAGGTGTCCGTCCGGCTGTCCTTGGATCCGTCCGGATGTCCAGCTGTCCGTCCAGGTGTCCGTGGGTCTGTCCAGGTGTCCGTGTGTCCATCCCAGTGTCCACCCAGTGTCCATCCAGTGTCCATCCAGTGTCCATCCCAGTGTCCATCTTTGGTTCTAGTGAGGCCGGAGCGGTCAATGGTCAGTGGCCGGAGTGTCCATGTGTCCATCCAGTGTCCATCCCAGTGTCCATCCCAGTGTCCATTTGTCCATCCCATTGTCCGTGTGTCCATCCCAGTGTCCATCCAGTGTCCATCCCAGTGTCCATCCCAGTGTCCGTGTGTCCATCCCAGTGTCCATCCCAGTGTCCATCCCAGTGTCCATCTGTCCATCCCAGTGTCCATCTGTCCATCCCAGTGTCCATCCCAGTGTCCATTTGTCCATCCCAGTGTCCATCCCAGTGTCTATTTGTCCATCCCAGTGTCCATCCCAGTGTCCATCCAGTGTCCATCCCAGTGTCCATCCCAGTGTCCATCTGTCCATCCAGTGTCCGTCCAGTGTCCATCCCAGTGTCCATCCCAGTGTCCGTGTGTCCATCCAGTGTCCATCCAGTGTCCATCCCAGTGTCCATCCAGTGTCCATCCCAGTGTCCATCCATGTGTCCATCTCAGTGTCCATCCCAGTGTCCATTTGTCCATCCCAGTGTCCATCCCAGTGTCCATCCGTGTGTCCATCTGTCCGTCCCCCTGACCTCTCCCCTCTCCCCGCAGCCGTCCGTCCGTCTGTCCGTCCATGGCGCTGGCGGAGCCGGAGCGGTCAGCGGCCGGAGGAGTGGCCGGAGGAGTGGCCGTGTCCATCCAGTGTCCATCTGTCCATCCCAGTGTCCATCCCAGTGTCCATCCAGTGTCCATCCCAGTGTCCATCCCAGTGTCCATCCAGTGTCCATCCCAGTGTCCATCCAGTGTCCATCCCAGTGTCCATCCAGGTGTCCGTGTGTCCACCCCAGTGTCCATCCCAGTGTCCATCCCAGTGTCCATCCCAGTGTCCATCTGTCCATCCCAGTGTCCATCTGTCCATCCCAGTGTCCATTTGTCCATCCAAGTGTCCATCCCAATGTCCGTGTGTCCATCCCAGTGTCCATCCAGTGTCCATCTGTCCATCCCAGTGTCCATCTGTCCATCCCAGTGTCCATTTGTCCATCCAAGTGTCCATCCCAATGTCCGTGTGTCCATCCCAGTGTCCATCCAGTGTACATCTGTCCATCCCAGTGTCCATCCCAGTGTCCATCCCAGTGTCCATCTTTGCTTCCACTGACCACTGGAGCGGTCAGTGGCCGGAGTAGCAGCGTCCATCCCGATGTCCGTGTGTCCATCCCAGTGTCCATCCCAGTGTCCATCCAGTGTCCATCCCAGTGTCCATCCAGTGTCCGTGTGTCCATCCCAGTGTCCATCTTTGCTTCCACTGACCACTGGAGCGGTCAGTGGCCGGAGTAGCCATGTCAATCTGTGTGTCCACCCAGTGTCCATCCGTGTGTCCATCTGTCCGTCCCCCTGACCTCTCCCCTCTCCCCGCAGCCGTCCGTCCGTCCGTCCGTCCATGGCGCTGGCGGAGCCGGAGCGGTCAGCGGCCGGAGGAGTGGCCGGAGGAGTGGCCGTGTCCGTGTGTCCATCCAGTGTCCATCCAGTGTCCATTTGTCCATCCCAGTGTCCATCCCAGTGTCCATCCCAGTGTCCATCCCAGTGTCCATCCAGTGTCCATCCCAGTGTCCATCCCAGTGTCCATCCCAGTGTCCATCCAGTGTCCGTGTGTCCATCCCAGTGTCCACCCAGTGTCCATCTGTCCATCCCAGTGTCCATCCCAGTGTCCATCCGTGTGTCCATCCCAGTGTCCATCCAGTGTCCATCCCAGTGTCCATCCAGTGTCCATTTGTCCATCCCAGTGTCCATCCCAGTGTCCATCCAGTGTCCATCTTTGCTTCCACTGACCACTGGAGTGGTCAGTGGCCGGAGTAGCAGTGTCCATTCCAATGTCCACCCAGTGTCCACCCAGTGTCCATCCAGTGTCCATCCCAGTGTCCATCCAGTGTCCATCTGTCCATCCCAGTGTCCATCCCAGTGTCCATTTGTCCATCCAGTGTCCGTGTGTCCATCCCAGTGTCCATCCCAGTGTCCATCCCAGTGTCCATCCCAGTGTCCATCTCTGTGTCCATCCAGTGTCCATCCGTCCGTCCCCCTGACCTCTCCCCTCTCCCCGCAGCCGTCCGTCCGTCCGTCCGTCCATGGCGCTGGCGGAGCCGGAGCGGTCAGCGGCCGGAGGAGTGGCCGGAGGAGTGGCCGGAGGGGTGCGGCCGCTGTTCTGCCGCCGGGGGGCGCTGCGGCACAAGGTGGTGCACGAGGTGAAGAGCCACCGGTTCACGGCCAGGTTCTTCAAGCAGCCGACCTTCTGCAGCCACTGCACGGACTTCATCTGGTCAGTGACACACCTGAGACACACCTGGGCAGGTGGGACACACCTGGGGACACACCTGGGACACACCTGAACACACCTGTGACACACCTGAACACACCTGAACACACCTGGACAGGTGTGACACACCTGGGTCATACCTGGACATGGATCTGTCCATCAAACACGGAGGGTTCCTCGAGGAACCGACCTTCTGCAGCCACTGCACGGACTTCATCTGGTCAGTGACACACCTGGGACACACCTGGGGGGACACCTGGGACACACCTGGGACACACCTGGACAGGTGTGATACACCTGGACACAGCTGGACACAGCTGGGGCACACCTGTGTCCATCAAACATGGAGGGTTCCTCGAGGAACCGACCTTCTGCAGCCACTGCACGGACTTCATCTGGTCAGTGACACACCTGGGCAGGTGGGACACACCTGGGGACACCTGGACACAGCTGGGGCACACCTGGGTACAGCTGGACACACCTGGACATGGCTCTGTCCATGAAACATGGAGGGTTCCTCGAGGAACCGACCTTCTGCAGCCACTGCACGGACTTCATCTGGTCAGTGACACACCTGGGCAGGTGGGACACACCTGGGGACACACCTGAACACACCTGAACACACCTGGGAGGGATGGGACTCACCTGTGTCCATCAAACACGGAGGGTTCCTCGAGGAACCGACCTTCTGCAGCCACTGCACGGACTGCAGCTGGTCAGTGACACACCTGGGACACACCTGTGACACACCTGAACACACCTATGACACACCTGAACACACCTGGACAGGTGTGTCACAGCTGGACATACGTGTGTCACACCTGTGTCCATCAAACACGGAGGGTTCCTCGAGGAACCGACCTTCTGCAGCCACTGCACGGACTGCAGCTGGTCAGTGACACACCTGGGGACACACCTGGACACACCTGGACAGGTGTGATACAACTGGGTCACACCTGGGCACACCTGTGTCCATCAAACATGGAGGGTTCCTCGAGGAACCGACCTTCTGCAGCCACTGCACGGACTGCAGCTGGTCAGTGACACACCTGGGCAGGTGGGACACACCTGGGGGGGACACCTGTGACACACCTGGACAGGTGGGACACACCTGTGACACACCTGTGTCCATCAAACATGGAGGGTTCCTCGAGGAACCGACCTTCTGCAGCCACTGCACGGACTGCAGCTGGTCAGTGACACACCTGGGCAGGTGTGACACACCTGGGGGCACACCTGTGACACACCTGTGTCCATCAAACATGGAGGGTTCCTCGAGGAACCGACCTTCTGCAGCCACTGCACGGACTTCATCTGGTCAGTGACACACCTGGGCAGGTGGGACACACCTGGGGACACACCTATGACACACCTGGACAGGTGGGACACAGCTGGACATACGTGTGTCACACCTGTGTCCATCAAACATGGAGGGTTCCTCGAGGAACCGACCTTCTGCAGCCACTGCACCGACTTCATCTGGTCAGTGACACACCTGGGCAGGTGGGACACACCTGGGACACACCTGGGGCACACCTGGACAGGTGTGACACACCTGTGTCCATCAAACATGGAGGGTTCCTCGAGGAACCGACCTCCTGCAGCCACTGCACGGACTGCAGCTGGTCAGTGACACACCTGGGCAGGTGGGACACACCTGGGGGGACACCTGGGCAGGTGTGACACACCTGTGTCCATCAAACATGGAGGGTTCCTCGAGGAACCGACCTTCTGCAGCCACTGCACGGACTGCAGCTGGTCAGTGACACACCTGGGACACACCTGGACAGGTGTGCCAGGTGTGCCCAGGTGTGCCCAGGTGTGTTTTGGGCATGCCCAGGTGTGTTTGGGTGTGCCCAGGTGTGCCCAGGTGTGCCCAGGTGTGCCCAGGTGACCCCTCCCCATTTCTCTCTCTCCTTTCAGGGGCATCGGCAAGCAGGGCCTGCAGTGCATGGGTGAGTGAGCCCAAAATTCCCAAAACAGCCCCAAAATGACCCAAAATCCACCCCAAATCCTCAATAGCCCAAATTCCCCAAAATTCCCCCAAAATCCACCCCAAAATAGCCCAAAATCCAACCCGAAATATCCCAAAATCCACCCCAAAATCCCCAAAAAATGCCCCAAAATCCACCCCAAAATCCTGAAATTCCCCAAAAATACCCCAAAATTCCCCCAAATCCACCCCGAAATATCCAAAACATACCCCAAAATCCACCCTGAAATCCTCAAATTCCCCATAAATAACCCAAAATTCCTCAAAATCCACCCCAAAATCTGCCCCGAGATCCCAAAAAAATCTGCCAAAAGCCACTCCAGAATCCCCAAAAAATCCTCCAAAATCTGCCCCAAAATTCCCCCAAATCCACCCCAAAATTCCCCCAAAATTCCATAAAATGCACCCCAAAATCCCCAAAATACCCCAAATTCTACCCCAAAATCCACCCCAAAATCCACCCCAAAATCCCCAAAATCCACCCCAAGATCCCCAAAAAATCCTCCAAAATCCGCCCCGAAATTCCCCAAAATCCACCCCAAAGTTCCCCCAAAATTCCCTGAAATCCACCCCAAAATTCCCCAAAATCCACCCCAAAATATCCAAACAATTCCCCAAAATCCACCCCAAAATTCGTCCCAAAATCCTTCCTGAGAACCCAAAAATTCCCAAAATTCTCCCAAAATTCCCTAAATTCCCTCAAAATTCCCCCAAATTTCCCCCAAATCCTCCCCAATTCCCCAAAAATTCCCCAAAATCCTCCCTGACAACCCAAAAATTCACAAAAATTGTCACAAAATCTCCCAAAATTTCCAAATTTCCCCAATTTTCGGGTTCGGGGTGGGCGTGGCCTGGGGATGATTGACAGGTGGGGCTGTGTTGCCATGACAACCACGGAGCGGAAATTTGGGATTTTTAGGGGAATTTTGGGGTGTTTTGGGGGGAATTTGGGATTTTGGGGAATTTGGGGGGAATTTTGGGAGGTCCTGGAGGGAATTTGTGGGAATTTTGGGCAGAAATTTGGGAATTTTGGGGGGGAAATTCGGGAATTTTGGGGGGATTTTGGGGGAATTTGGGGGGAAAATTGGGAATTTTGAGGGAATTTTGGGGGAATTTTGAGGGATTTTGGATTTTGGGTGAATTTGGGGATTTTAAAGCGAATTTTTGAGATTTTTGGGAAATTTTGGGAATTTCAAGGGGATTTTTTTGGGGAGTCGTTTTGGGAATTTTGGGTGGTAATTTTGGGATTTTTAAGGGGAATTTTGAGGGGATTTTTTTGGGGAGTTTTTTTGGGGAATTTTTGGGGAGAATTTGGGGAATTTTCCGTGGGAATTTTGAGGGGATTTTTTTGGGATTTTTGGAGAATTTTGAGTGAAATATCGCTAATTTTAAGGGAATTTTGAGAGGAATTTTGGTACTTTTTTTGTTTTAATTTTGGGAATTTTAAGTGGAATTTTGAGGGGAATTTTGGGGCTTTATTTGGGAATTTTTGGGGGATATTTGGGTGGAATTTTGGGTGGAATTTGGGTAATTTTAAGGGAATTTTGAGGGGAATTTTGGTACTTTTTTTTTTATTATTTTGTGAATTTTAAGGGGAATTTTCCGTGGGAATTTTGGGACTTTATTTGGGAATTTTTTGGGGGATATTTGGGTGGAATTTTGGGTGGAATTTGGGGGATTTTGACCCTTTTTTTTGGCAGTTTGCAGCTTCGTGGTTCACAAACGGTGCCACGAATTCGTCACCTTCGAATGTCCTGGAGCCGGGAAGGGACCCCAGACTGACGTGAGTCCCAAAAAATTCCCAAAAATTCCCAAAATTCCCCACAAAAATCCCCCCAAAAATCCCCACAAACCTTCCCAAAAATTCCCTAAAAATTCACCTTAAAAATTCCCAAAATTCACTCAAAAATCCCCCAAAACTTCACAAAATCCCCTCCAAAATTCCCTAAAATTTCCTTTTAAGTTCCCCAAAAAAAAATCCCCACAAAAATCCCCCAAAAATTCCCCAAAATCTCCCAAAAATATTCCCAAAAAATTCCCCCAAATCCCCCCAAAAATCCCCCCAAACCTTCCCAAAAATTCCCTAAAAATTTGCATTAAAACTCCCCTAAAAATTCCCAAAATTCACTCAAAAATCCCCCAAAACTTCACAAAATCCCCTCCAAAATTCCCTAAAATTTCCTTTTAAGTTCCCAAAAAAAAATGCCCCCAAAATTCCCAAAAATCCCAAAAGAATTCCCCAAAAAACTCCCAAAAATCCCCACAAAAATCCACCCAAAAATCACCACAAACCTTCCCAAAAATTCCCTAAAAATTCGCATTAAAACTCGCCTAAAAGTTCCCAAAATTCACTCAAAAATCCCAAAAAATTCCCCAAAAATCCCCCCAAAATTCCCTAAAATTTCCCTTTAAGTTCCCAAAAAAAATGCCCCCAAAATTCCCCAAAATCTCCCAAAAAAATTCCAAAAAAAATTCCCAAAAAATTCCCAAAAAATTCCCAAAAGTCCCCACAAAAATCCCCACAAACCTTCCCAAAAATTCCCTTAAAATTCGCTTTAAAACTGCCCTAAAAATTCCCCAAAAATCTCCTCAAAAATCCCCCCAAAATTCCCTAAAATTTCCCTTTAAATTCCCAAAAAAATTCCCGCAAAATCTCCCAAAAATCCCCCAAAAATTCCCCAGAAATCCCCCAAAATCTCCCCAAAAATTCCCCCAAATCCCCCCCAAAATCCCCCCAAAACTTCCCAAAAATCCCCCAAAAATTCCCTAAAATTTCATCTTAAAATTCCCTAAAAATTCCCCAAAAAATCCCCCCAACAATTCCCCAAAAAAACGCAAAAATTCCCTAAAATTTCCCTTTTAAGTTCCCAAAAAAAACCCTCAAAAAATCCCCCAAAATCTCTCCAAAAATTTCCAAAAAATTCCACAAACCCCCCCCAAACCCCCCCAAAACTTCCCTAAAAATTCACCTAAAAATTCCCCCAAATCCCCCACAAAATTCCCCAAAAATACCCCCAAAATTCCCTAAAATTTCCCTTTTAAGTTCCCAAAAAAAAACCCCAAAAGTTCCCCAAAATTCCCAAAAAATCCCCCCAAAATCCCTGTAAAATTCTCCTTAAAATTCCCTAAAATTTCCTTTAAAAAATCCCCCAAAATCTCCCCCAAAAATTTCCAAAAAATTCCACAAAACCCCCCAAAACTTCCCAAAAATCCCCCCAAAATTCCCCTCAAAATTCCCAAAAATTCCCCCAAAAATTCCCCCAAAATGCCCCAAAAATTCCCAAAAATCCCTGGAAAATTCCCCTCAAAATTCCCAAAAAATCCCCCATAACTCCACAAAAATTCCACCCAAAATCCTCATTTTTTTACCCAAAATCCCCATTTTTTGACCAATAATCCCCATTTTTTCACCCAAAACCTCAGGTTTTTTCCCCAAAATTTTGGGAATTCCACCCAAAATTTGGGAATTCTCTCTCAGGACCCCCGGAACGATCCCAAATTTCTGGTGCACAGCTCCCAAATTTAACCCTTTAAATCCCGGACATTTCACCCAAAATCCCCATTTTTTTCCCAAAATCCCCAATTTTTTTCCCAAAATTTTGGGAATTCCACCCAAAATTTGGGAATTTTCCCCAAATCCCCAAAATTCACTAAAATTTAACCCTTTAAACCCTGTAAATTCCGCCCAAAACCCCCAATTTTGGGCCAAAAATCCTCATTTTTTGACCGAAAATCCCCATTTTTTCGCCCAAAATCCTCATTTTTTCACCCAAAACCTCCGGGTTTTTTCCCAAAATTTTGGGAATTGGCCCCAAAATTTGGGAATTCTCTCTCAGGACCCCCGGAACGAGCCCAAATTTCGGGTGCACAGCTCCCAAATTTAACCCTTTAAACCCCGGACATTTCACCCAAAATCTCCATTTTTTTCCCAAAATCCCCAATTTTTTCCCCAAAATTTTGGGAATTCCACCCAAAATTTGGGAATTTTCCCCAATTCACCAAAATTCACCAAAATTTAACCCTTCAAACCCTGGATGTTCCAAGTAAATCCCCATTTTTAGGCCGAAAATCCCCATTTTTTCACCAAAAATCCTCATTTTTTCACCCAAAATCCTCATTTTTTCACCTAAAACCTCCGGGTTTTTTCCCAAAATTTTGGGAATTGGCCCCAAAATTTGGGAATTCTCTCTCAGGACCCCCGGAACGAGCACAAATTTCGGGTGCCCAGCTCCCAAATTTAACCCTTTAAACCCCGGACATTTCACCCAAAATCTCCTTTTTTTTCACCCAAAATCCCCAATTTTTTCCCAAAAATTTTGGGAATTCCACCCAAAATTTGGGAATTTTCCCCAAACCCCCAAAATTCACCAAAATTTAACCCTTTAAGCCCTGGAAACTCCACCAAAAATCCCCTTTTTTGGGCCCGAAAATCCCCATTTCTTGACCAATAATTCCCATTTTTTTGCCCAAAATCCCCAATTTTTTCCCCAAAATTTTGGGAATTCCACCCAAAATTTGGGAATTTCCCCAAAATCCCCAAAATTCACCAAAATTTAACCCTTTAAACCCTGGAAACTCCACCAAAAATCCCCTTTTTTGGGCCTGAAAATCCCCATTCTTTGACCAATAATCTCCATTTTTTTTGCCCAAAATCCCCAATTTTTTCCCCAAAATTTTGGGAATTCCACCCAAAATTCGGGAATTTCCCCAAACCCCCAAAATTCACCCAAAATTAACCCTTTAAACCCTCGAAACTCCATTTAAAATCCCCATTTTTGGGCCAAAAATCCTCATTTTTTGACCGAAAATCATCATTTTTTCGCCCAAAATCCTCATTTTTTCACCTAAAACCTCCGGGTTTTTTCCCAAAATTTTGGGAATTCGCCCCAAAATTTGGGAATTCTCTCTCAGGACCCCCGGAACAAGCACAAATTTCGGGTGCACAGCTCCCAAATTTAACCCTTTAAACCCCGGACACTTCACCCAAAATCTCCATTTTTTTTCCCAAATCCCCAATTTTTTCCCCAAAATTTTGGGAATTCCACCCAAAATTTGGGAATTTCCCCCAAACCCCCAAAATGCACCAAAATTTAACCCTTTAAACCCTGGAAACTCCAAGTAAAATCAGCATTTTTGGGCCGAAAATCCTCATTTTTTGACCGAAAATCTTCATTTTTTCGCCTAAAATCCTCATTTTTTCACCCAAAACCTCCGGGTTTTTTCCCAAAATTTTGGGAATTGGCCCCAAAATTTGGGAATTCTCTCTCAGGACCCCCGGAACGAGCACAAATTTCGGGTGCCCATCTCCCAAATTTAACCCTTTAAACCCCGGACACTTCACCCAAAATCTCTATTTTTTTTCCCAAAATCCCCAATTTTTTTCCCAAATTTTGGGAATTCTGCCCAAAATTTGGGAATTTCCCCCAAATCCCCAAAATTCAGTAAATTTAACCCTTTAAACCCTGGAAACTCCACCAAAAATCCCCATTTTTGGGCCAAAAATCGTCATTTTTTGACCAACAATCTCCATTTTTTTTTGCCCAAAATCCCCAATTTTTTCCCCAAAATTTTGGGAATTCCACCCAAAATTTGGGAATTTCCCCCAAACCCCCAAAATTCACCCAAATTTAACCCTTTAAACCCTGTAAATTCCAAGTTAAATCCCCATTTTTAGGCCGAAAATCCTCATTTTTTGACCGAAAATCCCCATTTTTTTTCCAAAATCCCCAATTTTTTCCCCAAAATTTTTGGAATTCCACCCAAAATTCGGGAATTTCCCCCAAACCCCCAAAATTTAACCCTTTAAACCCCGGAAACCACCAAAAATCCCCATTTTTGGGCCGAAAATCCTCATTTTTTAACCGAAAATCTTCATTTTTTTGCCCAAAATCCTCATTTTTTCACCCAAAACCTCCGGGTTTTTTCCCAAAATTTTGGGAATTGGCCCCAAAATTTGGGAATTCTCTCTCAGGACCCCCGGAACGAGCCCAAATTTCGGGTGCACAGCTCCCAAATTTAACCCTTTAAACCCTGGAAACTCCACCAAAAACCCCCATTTTTGGGCCTGAAAATCCCCATACTTTGACCAATAATCTCCATTTTTTTTGCCCAAAATCCCCAATTTTTTCCCCAAAATTTTGGGAATTCCACCCAAAATTCGGGAATTTTCCCCACACCCCCAAAATTCACCAAAATTTAACCCTTTAAACACTTGAAACTCCACCCAAACCCCCCATTTTCGGGCCAAAAATCCTCATTTTTTCACCGAAAATCTTCATTTTTTCGCCCAAAATCCTCATTTTTTCACCCAAAACCTCCGGGTTTTTTCCCAAAATTTTGGGAATTCCACCCAAAATTTGGGAATTCTCTCTCAGGACCCCCCGAACAAGCACAAATTTCGGGTGCACAGCTCCCAAATTTAACCCTTTAAACCCCGGACACTTCACCCAAAATCTCAATTTTTTTTCCCAAAATCTCCATTTTTTTCCCCAAAATTTTGGGAATTCCACCCAAAATTCGGGAATTTTCCCCAAATCCCCAAAAGTCACCAAAATTTAACCCTTTAAACCCTGGAAATGCCAAGTAAAATCCCCATTTTTGCACCAAAAATCCTCATTTTTTCACCGAAAATCTCCATTTTTTTTCCTAAAATCCTCATTTTTTCACCTAAAAGCTCCGGGTTTTTTCCCAAAATTTTGGGAATTGGCCCCAAAATTTGGGAATTCTCTCTCAGGACCCCCGGAACGATCCCAAATTTCGGGTGCACAGCTCCCAAATTTAACCCTTTAAACCCCGGACACTTCACCCAAAATCCCCATTTTTTTTCCCAAAATCTCCATTTTTTTTCCCAAAATCCCCAATTTTTTCCCCAAAATTTTTGGAATTCCACCCAAAATTCGGGAATTTCCCCCAAATCCCCAAAATTTAACCCTTTAAACCCCGGAAACCACCAAAAATCCCCATTTTTGGGCCGAAAATCCTCATTTTTTCACCAAAAATCCCCATTTTTTTGCCCAAAATCCTCATTTTTTCACCTAAAACCTCCGTGTTTTTTCCCAAAATTTTGGGAATTGGCCCCAAAATTTGGGAATTCTCTCTCAGGACCCCCGGAACAAGCACAAATTTCGGGTGCACAGCTACAGCAGCCCCACCTTCTGCGACCACTGCGGCTCGCTGCTCTACGGCCTCGTGCACCAGGGCATGAAGTGCTCCTGTGAGTCCCAAATTTGGGGAAAATTTGGGGGATTTTGGGAAATTTTGGGAAATTTGGGAAATTTGGGAAAAAATTTCGGGGGGATTTGGGGAAAATTTGGGGGATTTGGGGGTTTTTTAAGGGGGTTTTAAATGAATTTTTGGGGATTTTTAAGGGATTATTTTGAATTTTTGGGGGGTTTTGGGGAAGTTTTGAGGGAATTTTGGGATTTTTTGGGGGAATTTGGGGAATTTTTGGGGAATTTTGGGATTTGGGGGATTTTGGGGATTTTTTGGGGGATTTTGGGGATTTTTGGGAATTTTTAGGGGATTTTTGGGGGGATTTGAGGAATTTTGGGGAATTTTTAGGGGATTTTGGGGATTTTTTTAGGGGGGTTTTGGGGTGTTTTTGAGCATTTTGGGAATTTTTGGGGGGATTTCCTGGAAATTCTTGGGGGGAATTTTAAGGAATTTTCATTATTTTTATGGAATTTTGGGAAAATTTGGGAGTTTTTGGGGGGATTTTGGGGTTCGGAAACAATTTGGGAGAATTTGGGGGAATTTTCAGAAGATTTTGGGAATTTTATGGGGATTTTTGGGGGGATTTTTATTTTGGTTTTTCAAGGGATTTTTAGGAATTTTTTGGGAATTTTGGGGATTTAGGAAAAAGATTTGTGAGGATTTAAAAGGAATTTTTGGAGGAAAAATCCATAAAAAATCCACGAAAAAAATCCATTAAAAAATCCGATTTTTTTGCTTTTTGCGCCATTCTGACCCCCAAAAATACCCAAAAATTCCCAAAAATTCCCAAAAAATTCCCGAAATTCCCGTTTTTCCCAGGCTGCGAGATGAATGTGCACAAACGCTGCGTGCTGGGGGGAAAGTGCGCAAAAATCCATAAAAAATCCGATTTTTTTGCTTTTTGGGCTGTTCTGACCACCAAAAACTCCCAAAAATTCCCAAAAATTCCCAAAATTCCCAAAATTCCCAAAATTCCCAAATTTCCCAGGCAGTGACACAAGAATTCAGAAATGCTGCATTCACAGGGGGAAAAAGGCGCAAAAATCCATTAAAAATCCGTAAAAAATCCGATTTTTTTGCTTTTTGGGCCGTTCTGACCCCCAAAAACTCCCCAAAAATTCCCAAAAATTCCCAAAAATTCCCAAAATTCCCAAATTTCCCAGGTAGTGACAAAGGAATCCCCAATCGCTGCAGTCAGAGGGGATTTTAGGGAAAAATATGCAAAAAATCCATAAAAAATCCGATTTTTTTGCTTTTTGCGCCATTCTGACCCCCAAAAACTCCCAAAAAATTCCCCAAAATTCCCAAATTTCCCAAATTTCCCAGGCTGAGACACAAGAATTCACCAACAATGCATTCACAGGGGGAAAAAAGGCGCAAAAATCCATAAAAAATCCATTAAAAATCCGATTTTTTTGCTTTTTGCGCCGTTCTGACCCCCAAAAACTCCCCAAAAATTCCCAAAAATTCCCAAAAATTCCCAAATTTCCCAGGCTGAGACACAAAAATTCACAAACGATGCGTCCACGGGGGGAAAAAAGGCGCAAAAATCCATAAAAAATCCGTAAAAAATCCAATTTTTTGCTTTTTGCGTCGTTTTGACCCCCAAAAACTCCCAAAAAATTCCCAAAAATTCCCAAAAAATTCCCGGAATTCCCGTTTTTCCCAGGCTGCGAGATGAACGTGCCCAAACGCTGCGTGCTGGGGGAAAAATATGCAAAAAATCCATAAAAAATCCGATTTTTTTGCTTTTTGCGCCGTTCTGACCCCCAAAAACTCCCGAAAAATTCCCAAAAATTCCCAAAAAATTCCCAAAATTCCCGTTTTTTTCCAGGCTGCGAGATGAACGTGCACAAACGCTGGCTGGGGGGAAAAATGTGCAAAAAGTCCGTAAAAAATCCATTAAAAATCCGATTTTTTTGCTTTTTGCGCCGTTCTGACCCCCAAAAACTCCCAAAAAATTCCCAAAAATTCCCAAAAATTCCCAAAATTCCCAAATTTCCCAGGCTGAGACACAAGAATTCACAAACGATGCATTCACAGGGGGAAAAAGGCGCAAAAATCCATAAAAAAAATCCATAAAAAATCCGATTTTTTTGCTTTTTGCGCCGTTTTGACCCCCAAAAACTCCCAGAAAATTCCAAAAAATTCCCAAAAAATTCCCAAATTCCCAAATTTCCCATGCTGAAACACAAGAATTCACAAACGATGAGTTCACGGGGGGAAAAGGCGCAAAAATCCATTAAAAATCCGTAAAAAATCCAATTTTGTTGCTTTTTGCGCCGTTCTGACCCCCAAAAACTCCCCAAAAAATTCCCAAAAATTCCCAAAAAATTCCCGAAATTCCCGTTTTTTCTACGGAGTGGCAAAGGAATCCACAATCGCTGCAGTCAGAGGGAATTTTAGGGAAAAATATGCAAAAAATCCATAAAAAATCCGATTTTTTTGCTTTTTGCGCCGTTCTGACCCCCAAAAACTCCCGAAAAATTCCCAAAAATTCCCAAAATTCCCAAAATTCCCAAATTTCCCATGCTGAGACACAAGAATTCACAAATGATGCCTTCACGGGGGGAAAATGCGCAAAAATCCATAAAAAATCCATAAAAAATCCGATTTTTTTGCTTTTTGCACCGTTCTGACCCCCAAAAACACCCGAAAAATTCCCAAAAAATTCCAAAAATTCCCAAAATTCCCAAATTTCCCAGGCTGAGACACAAGAATTCAGAAATGGTGCGTTCAGGGTGGGATTTTTGGTGAAAAATCCATAAAAAATCCGTAAAAAATCCGATTTTTTTGCTTTTTGCGCCATTCTGACCCCCAAAAACACCCGAAAAATTCCCAAAAATTCCCAAATTCCCAAATTTTCCAAATTTCCCAGTCTGAGACACAAGAATTCACAAACGATGCGTTCATGGGTGAAAAATGTGCAAAAAATCCATTAAAAATCGGATTTTTTTGCTTTTTGGGCTGTTCTGACCACCAAAAACTCCCAAAAATTCCCAAAAATTCCCAAAATTCCCAAAATTCCCAAAATTCCCAAATTTCCCAGGCAGTGACACAAGAATTCAGAAATGCTGCATTCACAGGGGGAAAAAGGCGCAAAAATCCATTAAAAATCCGTAAAAAATCCGATTTTTTTGCTTTTTGGGCCGTTCTGACCCCCAAAAACTCCCCAAAAATTCCCAAAAATTCCCAAAAATTCCCAAAATTCCCAAATTTCCCAGGTAGTGACAAAGGAATCCCCAATCGCTGCAGTCAGAGGGGATTTTAGGGAAAAATATGCAAAAAATCCATAAAAAATCCGATTTTTTTGCTTTTTGCGCCATTCTGACCCCCAAAAACTCCCAAAAAATTCCCCAAAATTCCCAAATTTCCCAAATTTCCCAGGCTGAGACACAAGAATTCACCAACAATGCATTCACAGGGGGAAAAAAGGCGCAAAAATCCATAAAAAATCCATTAAAAATCCGATTTTTTTGCTTTTTGCGCCGTTCTGACCCCCAAAAACTCCCCAAAAATTCCCAAAAATTCCCAAAAATTCCCAAATTTCCCAGGCTGAGACACAAAAATTCACAAACGATGCGTCCACGGGGGGAAAAAAGGCGCAAAAATCCATAAAAAATCCGTAAAAAATCCGATTTTTTTGCTTTTTGCGTCGTTTTGACCCCCAAAAACTCCCAAAAAATTCCCAAAAATTCCCAAAAAATTCCCGGAATTCCCGTTTTTCCCAGGCTGCGAGATGAACGTGCACAAACGCTGCGTGTGGGGGAAAAATGTGCAAAAAATCCATAAAAAATCCATAAAAAATCCGATTTTTTTGCTTTTTGCGCCGTTCTGACCCCCAAAAACTCCCGAAAAATTCCCAAAAATTCCCAAAAAATTCCCGAAATTCCCATTTTTTCCAGGCTGTGAGATGAACGTGCACAAACGCTGCGTGCTGGGGGGAAAAATGTGCAAAAAATCCATAAAAAATCCATAAAAAATCTGATTTTTTTGCTTTTTGGGCCGTTCTGACCCCCAAAAACTCCTGAAAAATTCCCAAAAAATTCCAAAAAATTCCCAAAAATTCCCAAATTTCCCAGGCTGAGACACAAGAATTCAGAAATTCTGTGTTCAGGGTGGGATTTTCGGCGAAAAATAGGCAAAAAATCCATAAAAAATCCGATTTTTTTGCTTTTTGGGCCGTTCTGACCCCCAAAAACACCCAAAATATTCCAAAAAATTCCCAAAAAATTCCCGAAATTCCCATTTTTTCCAGGTTGTGAGATGAACGTGCACAAACGCTGCGTGCTGGGGGGAAAAACATGCAAAAAATCCATAAAAAATCCATAAAAAATCCGATTTTTTTGCTTTTTGCGCCGTTCTGACCCCCAAAAACTCCCAAAAAATTCCAAAAAATTCCCAAAAATTCCCAAAATTCCCAAATTTTCCATGGAGTGACAAAGGAATCCGCAATCGCTGCAGTCAGAGGGGATTTTAGGGAAAAATATGCAAAAAATCCATAAAAAATCCGATTTTTTTGCTTTTTGCGCCATTCTGACTCCCAAAAACTCCCGAAAAATTCCCAAAAATTCCCAAAATTCCCAAAATTTCCGAATTTCCCAGTCTGAGACACAAGAATTCACCAACAATGCATTCACAGGGGAAAAAAAAGGCACAAAAATCCATAAAAAATCCGTAAAAAATCCGATTTTTTTGCTTTTTACGCCGTTCTGACCCCCAAAAACACCCGAAAAATTCCCAAAAATTCCCAAAAAATTCCCGAAATTCCCATTTTTTTCCCAGGCTGCGAGATGAACGTGCACAAACGCTGCGTCCAGAGCGTTCCGAGTCTCTGCGGCGTCGACCACACCGAGAGGAGGGGGCGGCTCCAGATCCGCATCCAGGCGCTGCCCGGGGAGCAGCTCCACGTCACAGGTGCCAAAAATTCCCAAAATATTCCCAAAAATCCCTCGGGAATCAGCTCGGGAATTCCTGGGAAGCGTCAGGGAAAAAAACCCCGCGAAAATCCGGTCAAAATGGGGGAAAAATGGGAAAAATCCTGAAAATTTGGCTCAAAATTGAGCTGGGAGAGCCCAAAATTTCCAGAAATTTCTAAAAATTCCCAAAAATTCCACAGGAATGAGCTCGGGAATTCCTGGGAATGGTCAGGGAAAAAAACCCCGCGAAAATCCGGCCCAAAATGGGGGAAGAATTGGGAAAAATCCTGAAAATTTGCCTCAAAATTGAGCTGGGAGATCCCAAAATTCCCAAAAATTCCTAAACATTCCCAAAAATTCCTCGGAATGAGCTCGGGAATTCCTGGAATTTTTTCCTGGAATTCTGGGAATTCCCGGTGGGAAAATCCCAGAACTTGATCCCAAAATCTCTCAGATCCCAAATCCCAAAAAACCCCAAAAATCCCATTTTTTTTTCCCATTTTTTGGCCGTTTTTCCCATTTTTCCACCGTTCTTTGCCATTTTTCCACCGTTTTTTCCCCAAATTCCTGGAATTTTTTCCTGGAATTCCTGGAATTCCCAGTGGGAGAATCCCAGAATTTCTCCAATCCCAGATCCCAAAAACCCTCAAAAAATCCCATTTTTTTTCCCATTTCTTGGCCGTTTTTCCCATTTTTTGGCCGTTTTTCCCATTTTCCGACCGTTTTCCCCCAAATTCCTGGAATTTTTTCCTGGAATTCTGGGAATTCCTGGTGGGAAAATCCCAGAACCTGATCCCAAAATTTCTCCAATCCCAGATCTCAAAAACCCCCAAAAATTCCATTTTTTGGGCCATTTTTTGGCCGTTTTTGGCCGTTTTTTCACCGTTTTTTGTCATTTTTTCACCGTTTTTTCCCAAATTCCCGTTTTTTTTCCCCAAATCCGCAGTGGGCGAGGCCCGGAACCTGATCCCGATGGATCCCAACGGGCTCTCGGATCCCAAATCCCAAAAATCCCCAAAAATCCCATTTTCTTCCCATTCTTTGGCCATTTTTCCCATTTTTTCACCGTTTTCCGCCATTTTTTCTCCGTTTTTTCCCCAAATTCCTGGATTTTTTTTCTGGAATTCTGGGAATTCCTGGTGGGAAAATCCCAGAACCTGATCCCAAAATCTCTCAGATCCCAAATCCCAAAAACCCCCAAAAATCCCTTTTTTTTCCCATTTTTTCCCCATTTTTTGGCCGTTTTTGTCATATTTCCACCATTTTTCGCCATTTTTTCACCGTTTTTTCCCCAAATTCCTGGAATTTTTTTCTGGAATTTTGGGAATTCCCGGTGGGAAAATCCCAGAATGTGATCCCAAAAAAAACCCCAAAAAATCCCTTTTTTTTGGCCATTTTCCGCCATTTTTTAGCCGTTTTTGGCCATTCTTTGACCGTTTTTGGCCGTTTTTTCACCGTTTTTTCCGGGATTTTTTCCCAAATTCCCGTTTTTTTCCCCCAAATCCGCAGTGGGCGAGGCCCGGAACCTGATCCCGATGGATCCCAACGGACTCTCGGATCCGTACGTGAAGCTGAAGTTGATCCCCGACCCCAAAAACGTCTCCAAGCAGAAAACGCGGACGGTGAAGGCGACGCTGAACCCCGTGTGGAACGAGGCCTTCCTCTTGTGAGAAAAATGGGGCAAAAAACGGGGAAAACGGGAAAAAATCCGCGGGGAAAATTGGGGGGAAATTGGGAAAAAATCAGGAAAAAAATTGGGGAAAAAACGGTGAAAAAATGGGGAAAAATGGTTGAAAAATGGAGGAAAACTGGTTAAAAAATGGGAATAAAAGGGGAAAAAATTAGGGGGAAATGGGGAAAAAATAACAGGAAAAAATGGGGAAAAAAGAGGGAAAATTGGGGAAAAAAATAACAGGAAAAAATGGGGGAAAAAAGGAAAAAAATTGGAAAAAGAAATAGGAAAAAAAGGGAAAAAAATGGGAAAAAAAATCAGGAAAAAAAGGGTGAAGGCGATGCTGAACCCGGTGTGGAACGAGGCCTTCCTCTTGTGAGAAAAATGGGGCAAAAAACGGGGAAAACGGGAAAAAATCCGCGGGGAAAAAATTGGGGGGAAATTGGGAAAAAATTGGGAAAAAAACGGGGGGAAAACGGTGAAAAAACAGAGGAAAAATGGTGAAAAAATGGGAATAAAAGGGGGAAAAATATGGGGGAAATGGGGAAAAAATATCAGGAAAAAATGGGTAAAAAAGAGGGGAAATTGGGGAAAAAATAACAGGAAAAAATGGGGGAAAAAAGGAAAAAATTTGGAAAAAGAAATAGGAAAAAAAAGGGAAAAAAATGGGAAAGAAAATCAGGAAAAAAAGGGTGAAAGCGACGCTGAACCCGGTGTGGAACGAGGCCTTCCTCTTGTGAGAAAAATGGGGCAAAAAAGGGCGAAAACGGGAAAAAATCCACGGGGAAAATTGGGGGGAAATCGGGAAAAAATTGGGGGAAAATCGGTGAAAAAATGGGGAAAAATGGTTGAAAAATGGAGGAAAAATGGTTAAAAAATGGGAATAAAAGGGGGAAAAATATGGGGGAAAATGGGGAAAAAAAAGGAAAAATTGGGGAAAAAATAACAGGAAAAAATGGGGGGAAAAAAGGAAAAAATTGGAAAAAGAAATAGGAAAAAAAAGGGAAATAATGGGAAAAAAAATCAGGAAAAAAAGGGTGAAGGCGACGCTGAACCCGGTGTGGAACGAGGCCTTCCTCTTGTGAGAAAAATGGGGCAAAAAAGGGCGAAAACGGGAAAAAATACACGGGGAAAATTGGGGGAAATTCGGGAAAAAAATCAGGAAAAATTGTGAAAAAATCGGGAAAAAATCGGGGAAAAATCGGTGGAGAAATGGAGGAAAAACGGTGAAAAAATGGGAATAAAAGGGGAAAAAATGGGGGTGGAAATGAGGAAAAAAAGAGGGAAAATTGGGGAAAAAATAACAGGAAAAAATGGGGGAAAAAAGGAAAAAAATTGGATAAAGAAATGGGAAAAAAATGGGAAAAAAAATCAGGAAAAAAAGGGTGAAGGCGACGCTGAACCCGGTATGGAACGAGGCCTTCTTCTTGTGAGAAAAATGGGGCAAAAAAGGGCAAAAACGGGAAAAAATCCACGGGGAAAATTGGGAAAAAATTGGGGAAAAATCGGGGGAAAAATGGTGAAAAAATGGGGAAAAATGGTTGAAAAATGGTGAAAAAATGGTGGAAAATTTGGAATAAAAGGGGAAAAAATGGAGGGGAAAATGGGGAAAAAAGAGGAAAAATTGGGGAAAAAGTAACAGGAAAAAATGGGGGAAAAAAGGAAAAAATTTGGATAAAGAAATAGGAAAAAAAGGGGAAAAAAATGGGAAAAAAAATCAGGAAAAAAAGGGTGAAGGCGACGCTGAACCTGGTGTGGAATGAGGCCTTCCTCTTGTGAGAAAATGGGGCAAAAAAGGGCGAAAACGGGAAAAAATCCACGGGGAAAATTGGGAAAAATTTGGGAAAAAATTGGGGAAAAAATGGGAAAAAAACGGGGGGAAAACGGTGGAAAAATGGAGGAAAAATGGTTAAAAAATGGGAATAAAAGGGGAAAAAATATGGGAGAAATGGGGAAAAAATGACAGGAAAAAATGGGGAAAAAAGAGGGGAAATTGGGGAAAAAATAACAGGAAAAAATGGGGGAAAAAAGAAAAAAATTGGGAAGAAGAAATAGGAAAAAAATGGGAAAAAAAAACAGGAAAAAAAATCAGGGAAAAAAGGGTGAAGGCGACGCTGAACCCGGTGTGGAACGAGGCCTTCCTCTGGTGAGAAAAATGGGGCAAAAAAGGGCGAAAACGGGAAAAAATCCGCGGGGAAAATATTGGGGGGAAATCGGGAAAAAATTGGGGGAAAATTGGGAAAAAATTGGGGAAAAAACGGGAAAAAATGGGGGGAAAATGGGGAAAAAATGGAGGAAAAATGGTGAAAAAATGGGAATAAAAGCAGAATAAAAGGGGAAAAAATGGGGGGGGGAAATGGGGAAAAAAGAGGGAAAATTGGGGAAAAAATAACAGGAAAAAATGGATGAAAAAAGGAAAAAATTTGGAACAGAAATAGGAAAAAAATGGGAAAAAATCGTTAAAAATCACTAAAAATCCAGGGAAAAAGTTGAGGGTATTTTCTGGAATTCCCAAAATTCCCAGATTTTTCCCCAAAATTTCTCCATTTCAGGCTCCTGCAGGGGGTGGAAAATTGGGGAAAAATCCAGGAAAAATTTGGGAAAAATTCAGAGAAAATTTTGGGAAAAATCCTGGGAAAATTTGGAGGAAAATGGGGAAAAAATGCTGGAAAATCAAGAAAAAATGTGGGAAAAATTCAGGAAATTTGGGAAAAATCAGGGAAATTTGGGGGAAAAATCAAGGAAAAATGGGGAAAAATCAGGAAAAAATTGGGGGGGTTTTGGGAAAAAGAGTGAAAAATTCAGGAAAAATTGGGGAAAAATTTGGAATAATTTGGGAAAAATTGGGAAAAAATTGGGAACATTTTGGTGAAAAGTCAGGGAAATATTCGGTGAAAATGGGGAGGAATTTGGGAAAAAGTCTGGAAAAATTCAGGGAAAAGTGGGAAGAAATTGGGGAAAATACAGAAAAAGATTGGGAATAATTTGGGAAAAATTGGGAAAATTTAGGAAAAATTTTGGGAAAATGTGGGGAAAATCCTGGGAAAATTGAGGTGAAAAATCAGGGAAATATCTGGGGAAAATGGGGAGGAAATTGGGAAAAATTCTGGAAGAATTTGGGAAAAAATGTGAATAAATGGGAATAATTCAGGAAAAAATGGGAATAAATTGGGGAAAATCCAGAAAAAAAATGGGAATAATTCAGGATAAATTGGGAAAAAATTTGGAGGGGAAATGAGGAAAAATGTAGGGAAAAATATGGAAAAAATGGGGAAAAATGGCAAAAAAAATGCCAAAAAATCAGGGAAAAAAGCGGAAAAATCAGACAAAAGCGGAGGAATTTTTGGGAATTTTTTGGGAAAAGTGGGAAATTCCCAGAATTCCCAGATTTTTGTTGGAATTCCAGCTCGCTGCGGCCCGGGGACGCGGAGCGGCGGCTGTCGGTGGAGGTTTGGGACTGGGACCGAACCTCTCGGAACGATTTCAGGGAAAATGGAGAAAAAATGGGAAAAATCAGGAAAAATTTGGGAGAAATTCAGGAAGAAATTGGCAAAAATTTGGGGGAGAAAAATTTTGGGGGAAAAGTGTGGAAAATTGCGAAAAATTCAAGAGAAAAAGGGGGGAAAATTAGGGGAAAATCAGGGAAATTTGGGAAAAATTGGTGAAAATTCAGAAAAAAAATCAGGAAAATTTGGGGAAAATCCTAGCAAAATTTACGTGCAAAGCAGGGAAAATTTGGGAAAAAATGGGGAAAATTCAGGGAAACAATCAGGAAAATTTGTGGAAAATTTAAGGGAAAATTAGGGAAAATTTGGTGAAAAATGGGGAAAAATCAGGGGAAAATCGTGAAAAATTCAGGAAAAAAAGGAAAAATCAGGGAAATTCAGGAATAATTTGGAAAAAAGTTGGGAATAATTCAGGAAAATTTGGAAAAAAATTGGGAATAATTCAGGAAAATTTTGGGAAAATGTGAGGGGAAAATGAGGGAAAATTGAGGATAAAATGTGGAAAAAATGAGCGAAAAATGGTGAAAAAATCGCTAAAAATTCAGAAAAAAAACGGAAAAATCAGGGAAAACTCAGGAAAATTCAGGAAAAATTTGGAAAAAAGTTGGGAATAATTCAGGAAAATTTTGGGAAAATGTGGGGGAAAAATGGGGGAAAAATAAGGAAAAAATAGGCAGAAAATCACTAAAAATTCAGAAAAAAAAGCGGAAAAATCAGGGAAAAAAGGAGAAAACGTTGGGAATTTTTGGGAAATGTTGGGAATTTTTGGGAATTCCCAGAATTCCCATATTTTTGTTGGAATTGCAGCCCGCTGCGGCCCGGGGACGCGGAGCGGCGGCTGTCGGTGGAGGTCAGGGAAAATTTGTGGGAAAATGGGGGAAAATCAGGGGAAAATCGTGAAAAATTCAGGAAAAAAATTGGAAAAATCAGGGAAAAATCAGGAAAATTCAAGAAAAATTTGGGAATAGTTCAGGGAAATTTGGAAAAAAATTGGGAATAATTTGGGAAAATTTTGGAGGAAAAATGAGGAAAAATTAAGGGAAAAATATGGAAAAAATGGGGAAAAAATTGCTAAAAATTCAGGGAAAAATCGGGAAAAAATGGGACAAAGTGCAGGAATTTTTGGGAAATGTTGGGAATTTTTTTGGAAAAGTTGGGAATTGCCAGAATTCCCAGATTTTTGTTGGAATTGCAGCCCGCTGTGGCCTGGGGACGCGGAGCGGCGGCTGTCGGGGCAGGTCTGGGACTGGGACCGAACCTCGTGGAACGATTTCATGGGAAAATGGAGAAAAAATGGGAAAAATCTGGGAAAATCGTGGGAAAAATCCAGGAAATTTGGGAAAATTGGGGGAAAATTTTGGGAAAATTGGGGGAAAATGTGGGGGGAAAATGAGGGAAAATTGAGGGAAAAATATGGAAAAAAAGGGCGAAAAATGGGCAAAAATGGTGAAAAAATCGCTAAAAATTCAGGAAAAAAGCAGAAAAATCAGGGGAAAATCGGGAAAAATTGGGAAAAATTCAGGAAAAAATTTGGGAAATTTTGGGAAAAATAGTGAAAAATTCAGGAAAAATTCAGGGAAAATTTGAGAAGAAATGGCGGAAAATAGGGGTAAAATCATTAAAAATTCAGGAAAAAAATCGGAAAAATCAGGGGAAAATCAGGAAAATTTGGGAAAAAATTGGGAATAATTCAGGGAAATTTGGAAAAAAATTGGGAATAATTTGGGAAAAATTTAGGAAAATGTGAGGGGAAAATGAGGGAAAAATTGAAGGAAAAATATGAAAAAATGGGGGAAAATGGCAAAAAAATCGCTAAAAATTCAGGGAAAAAAGCGGAAAAATCAGGGAAAATTCAGGAAAAATTTGGGAAAATTGGGGGAAAATTTTGGGAAAATTGGGGGAAAATGTGGGGGGAAAATGAGGGAAAAATTTGGAATAATTTAGGAAAAATTGGGAAAAAATTGGGAGCATTTAGGTGAAAAGTCAGGGAAATATTCGGCGAAAATGGGGAGGAAATTGGGAAAAAGTCTGGAAAAATTTCAGGGAAAAGTGGGAAGAAATTGGGGAAAATTGAGAAAAATTTATGGAAAATTCAGGAAAAATTGGGGAAAAGTTGGGAATAATTCAGGGAATTTTTTGAAAAATCCTGGGAACATTTAGGCGAAAAAGAGGGAAATATTTGGTGAAAATGGGGGGGAAATTGAAAAAAATTCTTGAGAAATTCAGGAAAAAATGGGAAGAAATTGGGGAAAATTGAGAAAAAAGTTGGGAATAATTCAGGAAAATTTTGGGAAAATTTGGGGCCAAATTCATGAAAAATTCGAAGGAAAAATGAGAAAAAAATCCAGGAAAAATCATGAAAAATCGCTAAAAAATCATGGAAAAATAGGGAAAAATCAGGAAAAAGTGCAGGAAATGTTGGGAGTTTTTGGGATTTTTTTGGAAATTCCCAGAATTCCCAGTTTTTTGTTGGAATTCCAGCTCGCTGCGGCCCGGGGACGCGGAGCGGCGGCTGTCGGTGGAGGTTTGGGACTGGGACCGAACGTCCCGGAACGATTTCATGGGCGCCATGAGCTTCGGCGTGGCCGAACTGCTCAAGGGACGCGTCGACGGATGGTGAGGGGGAAAAATGGGGTTTTGGGGAAAAATGGGGATTTTGGGGAAAATTGAGATTTTTGGGGGGAGAAATGGGGATTTTGGGGGGGATTTTAGGGGGAAAATTGGAATTTTGGAGATTTTTTTGGGATTTTGGGGGGCGGAAAATGGGGATTTTGGGGAAAAATATGGGGATTTGGGGGGGAAAATGGGGATTTTGGGAGAAAATTTAGATTTTTGGGGGGGATTTTGGGGTAAAAATGGGGATTTTGGGGAAAAAATGGGAATTTTGGGAGAAAATTGAGATTTTTGGGGGGAAAATTGGGGGAAAAAATGGGAATTTTGGGGATTTTTTGGGGGGGAAAATGGGATTTTGGGGGGAAAAATGGGAATTTTGGGGAAAAATGGGAATTTTGGGGATTTTTTTGGGGGGGAATTGGAATTTTGGGAGAAAATTGAGATTTTTGGGGGGAAAATTGGGGGAAAAAATGGGAATTTTGGGGATTTTTTGGGGGGGAAAATGGGATTTTGGGGGGAAAAATGGGAATTTTGGGGAAAAATGGGAATTTTGGGGACTTTTTTGGGGGGGAATTGGAATTTTGGGAGAAAATTGAGATTTTTGGGGGGATTTTGGGAGGGAAAAATGGGGATTTTGGGGGAAAATGGGGATTATGGCGATTTTGGGGAAGAAATGGGAATTTTGGGGGGGAAAATGAGGATTTCGGGGGGAAAATGGGAAATTTTGGGGGAAAATGGGGATTTCAGGGGGAAATTGGGAATTTTGGGGGAGGGAAATGGGGATTTTGGGGGGATTTTGGGGGAAAATGGGGATTTTGGGGGGAAATGGGAATTTGGGGGATTTTTTGGGGATTTTGGGGGGGGGAATTGGAATTTTGGGGGGATTTTTTGGGAATTTTGGGGGGATTTTTTAGGAATTTTGGGCTGTTTTTCCTGGATTTTTGGGAATTTTGGGATTTTTGAAGCAGCTTCGAGGAGTACCTTCTCCAAAATATCCCAAAATTCCCAAATTTTCCCCCAAATTCCCCAATTTTTTAGGTTCAAGCTGCTGAACCAGGAGGAGGGCGAATATTACAACGTCCCCGTGGCCGACACCGACGACTGCGGCCTCCGGCCCAAATTCGAGGTTTGGAACCCCAAAATTCCCAAAAAATTCCTCAAAATTTGGAGAATTTCCCAAAATTCCCTGAAAAGGAAAAAAATCCCACCCAGAAATCAAAAAAAATCCCGAAAAAAACCTCCAAGAAACACTAAAAATCGCCCAAAATTAAAAAAAAAATTAAAAAAAATCAGAATTATTCCAAAAAAATTCCAAGGAATTCCCAAAAATCCAAGAAATTCTTAGAATTTATAACAAAGAAAAAATCCTGCCTAGAAATCCTCCAAAAAAACACCAAAAATGCCCCAAAATTCTAAAAAAATTCCCCAAAAGTTCTGAGAAATTCCCAAAATTCCCAGGAAAGGAAAAAAAATCCCACCCAGAAATCTGCAAAAAACAAAAAATCCCCAAAAAAACCCAAAACCCCCCAAAAATTTTAAAAAAATGGAAAAAATCCAAAACATTCCAAATGATTCCGAAATAATCCCCCAAAAAAATTTTTAAATCCAAAAAAAATCCTGAAAATTCCCCAAAAATTAAAAAAAATCCCAGAATATTTCTAAAAAAATTCCAAAAATTCTTCCAAAAAGTCCCCAAAAATTCCCAAAATCCCCAAATATTTTTCTCAAATCCCCAAAATTTCCTCAAATTCCTCAAAAATTCTGAATTTCTCCCAAATTTTGTATTTTTTCAGGCTTGCAATTATCCGCTGGAGCTGTACGAGGTAAAATTGGGGGGAAAAAAGGAAAAAAATTGGGGAAAATTTGGGATGAAATTGGGATAAAAATAGGGGAAAAAAGGGAAAATTTGGGGGAAAATGTGGGAAAATTGAGAGGGAAAAATTGGGATAAAATTGGGATGAAAAAAGGGGAAAAATAGGGAAATTTTGGGGGAAAGTGCAAGAAAAATTGGGATAAAAAGAGAGGAAAAAAGGGAAAAATGGGAGAAAAATGGGGGGAAAAATGGGGAAAATGGGGGAAAACTGCAGAAAAAAGGCAGAAAAACATGGGGGAAATGGGAAAAATTGGGAAAATAGGAAAAATGGAAGAAAAATGGGTAAAAAAAGTAAAAATTGGTAAAAAATGGGGGGAATTGGGGAAAAATGGGGAATATGGGGAAAAAGTGCAGGAAAAAGGCAGAAAAAATGGGGAAATGGGAAATTTCAGAAAAATGCAAAAAACAAGGAAAAATTGGGGGAAAATGGAGAAAAATGGGGGAAAATTGGGGAAAAAATGGGCGAAAAATGGGAAAAAATTGGGAGAAAAATGGGAAAAAATGGGGGAAAATTGGGAAAAAATGGGAGGGGAAAAGAGAAAAAATGGGAGAAAAATGCGAAAAAAATGGGGGAAATTGGGAAAAAATGGGAGAAAATTGGGAAAAAATAGGGAGAAAAATAGGAGGAAAATGGGAAAAAATGGGGGAAAATTAGGAAAAAAATGGGGGAAAATTGGGAAAAAAATGAGGAAAATGTAGGAAAATGGGAAAAATGTAAAACAATGGGAAAATTGTTGAAAAAAAAGGAATTTTTTGTCATTTTTTCCCTGCAGAAAGTGCGTCGGGGGCCCGGCCCCTCCCCCAGCCCCTCCCCCCTCCCCTCCCCCAGCGAGGCCAAGCGGAGCCTCCCCGGCAGCGGCCGCTCCCAACTCGGGGACTTCAACTTCCTGATGGTGCTGGGCAAGGGCAGCTTCGGCAAGGTCAGATTCCCGAAATTCCCAAAAATCCGGGAATTCCCAAAAAAAAAACGGGGAAAAACGGTGAAAAAATGGCGAAAAACGGTCAAAAAATGGCCGGAAAACGGCCAAAAATGGGGGAAAAGTGACAAAAAATGCCCCAAAATCAGCCCAAAATTTATCTGGGGGAGGTGAGATCCAGAATTCCCAAAATTCCCAAAAATCCGGGAATTCCCAAAAAAAATCTGGGAAAAATCCCCCAAAAAATGGGAAAAATGGGGGAAAATGGCCCAAAATGGCAAAAAATAGGCTCAAAAGGAGCCAGAATCAACCCAAAAATCACTTGGGGGTTGGTGAGATCCAGAATTCCCAAAATTCCCGAAAATCGGGGAATTCCCAAAAAAAATCCGGGGAAAATCGGTGAAAAAATGGCGAAAAACGGTTAAAAAATGGTCAAAAAATGGGGAAAATGGAATAAAAATGGCCCTAAATGGAGCCAAAATCAACCCAAAAATCATCTGGTGGTGGTGAGATCCAAAATTCCCAAAATTTGGGAATTCCCAAAAAAAATCCGGGGAAAATCGGTGAAAAAATGGCGAAAATGGTCCAAAACTGGCCCCAAAATGCCCCAAAATCAGCCCAAAATTTATCTGGGGGTGGTGAGATCCAGAATTCCCAAAATTCCCAAAAAATTCCCAAAAATCGAAAACCATTTGGGAAGTACTTAGATCGTTAAATAGCACCAAAATCCATGCAAATGGAGTAAAAAAATCGAAAAAATCATTTAAAATAGCCAAAAAAATGGGAAAAAATGGAAAAAAATTCCTAAAAAATGGGGAAAATTCCCAAAAATTCCCAAAAAATTCCCAAAAATTGGAAATCGTTTGGGAAATACCTAAATTTTTAAATAGTACCAAAACACATGCGAATGGAGTAAAAATAATTGAAAAAAATCAGAAAAAATCAGAAAAAAATCAAAAAAATCTGGAAAAAGTTCCTAAAAAAATGGGGAAAATTCCCCAAAAATTCCCAAAAATTCCCAAAAAATTCCCAAAAATCGGAACTCGTTTGGGAAATACTTGAGATCGTTAAATAGCACCAAAACACATGAAAATAGAGTAAAAATAATAAAAAAAATCGTAAAAAATCATAAGAAATTGGGAAAAAATGGAAAAAAATTCTTAAAAAAATGGGAAAAATTCCCCAAAAAACGCGGAATTTTCTGTCAGGTGATGCTGGCGGAGCGTCGGGACTCGGCCGAGCTCTTCGCCATCAAGATCCTGAAGAAGGACGTGGTGGTCTCAAAAATCCCGGAAAAATGGGAAAAATTCAAAAAAAAATCCTAAAAAAATTCCTAAAAATTGCCAAAAAATTGCCAAAAAATTGCCAAAAATTCCCAAAAAATTCCCAAAAATGGGAAATCGTTTGGGAAATACTTAAATTGTTAAATATCACCAAAAGCCATGAAAATAGAGTGAAAATAATCAAAAAAATCATAAAAAATCGGAAAAAATTCGAAAAAATCAGGAAAAAATTCCAAAAAATTCCCAAAAAATTCCCAAAAAATTCCCAAAAATCGGAAATCATTTGGGAAATACTGTAATTGTTAAATAGCACCACAATCCTTGCAAATGGAGTAAAAATAATTTAAAAAATCATAAAAAATGGGGAAAAAAAAGGAAAAAAATTCCCAAAAATTCCCAAAAAATCCCAAAAAATTCCCAAAAATCGGAAATCGTTTGGGAAACACTTGAGGTTGATAAATAGCACCAAAACCCATGAAAATATTCTAAAAATAATCGAAAAAAAAAAAAATCATAAAAAACCAAGAAAAATTTGGAAAAAAATGGAAAAAAATTCCTAAAAATTCCCAAAAAATGGGGAAAATTCCCAAAAAATTCCCAAAAATCGGAAATAATTTGGGAAACACTTGAGGTCATTAAATAGCACCAAAACCCGTCCAAATATAGTTAAAATAGTCAAAAAATATCATTAAAAATTGGAAAAAAATGGGAAAAAATTCCAAAAAATTCCCAAAAAATTCCCAAAAATTTCCAAAAAATTCCCAAAAATCGGAAATCGTTTGGGAAATACTTGAGGTTGTTAAATGGTGCCAAAACCCTCAGAAACAGAGTGAAAATAATAAAAAAAAATCGAAAAAAATCATTAAAAATCGCGAAAAATTGGGAAAAAAAATTGAAAAAAATTCCAAAAAAATGGGAAAAAATTCCCGAAAAAACCTGGAATTTTCCGGAACATTCCGACAGGTGATGCTGGCGGAGCGTCGGGACTCGGCCGAGCTCTTCGCCATCAAGATCCTGAAGAAGGACGTGGTGGTGCCCCAAAAATCCCGGAAAAATGGGAAAATTCAAAAAAAAATTCCCAAAAAAATTCCCAAAAAATTCCCAAAAAATTCCCAAAAATGGGAAATCGTTTGGGAAATACTTAAATTGTTAAATATCACCAAAAGCCATGAAAATAGAGTGAAAATAATCAAAAAAATCATAAAAAATCGGAAAAAATTCGAAAAAATCAGGAAAAAAATCCAAAAAATTCCCAAAAAATTCCAAAAAAATTCCCAAAAAATTCTCAAAAAATTCCCAAAAGTCGGGAATCATTTGGGAAATACTTAAATTGTTAAACAACGCCAAAACCAGTGAAAATAGAGTAAAAAAATAGAAAAAAAATTTAAAAATCAGGAAAAAATCCTAAAAATTCCAAAAAAATTCCAAAAAATTCCCAAAAAATTCCCAAAAAATTCCCAAAAATCTGAAATCGTTTGGGAAATACTTGAGGTCATTAAATGGCACCAAAACCCTCAGAAACAGAGTGAAAATTATCGAAAAAAATCATAAAAAATCATAAAAAATTTTTTAAAAATCAGAAAAAACCCGGAAAAAATCCCAAAAAAAACGGGAAAAATTCCCAAAAAAACCTGGAATTTTCCGTCAGGTGATGCTGGCGGAGCGTCGGGACTCGGCCGAGCTCTTCGCCATCAAGATCCTGAAGAAGGACGTGGTGGCCCCAAAAATCCCGGAAAAATGGGGAAAATTCCGAAAAAAAACCTAAAAAAATTTCCAAAAAATTCCCAAAAATTCCCAAAAAATTCCCCAAAATCGGAAATCGTTTGGGAAATACTTAAAGTGTTAAATATCACCAAAAGCCATGAAAATAGAGTGAAAATAATCAAAAAAATCATTAAAAATCGCAAAGAAGTGGGAAAAAACGGGAAAAAATTCCAAAAAATTCCCAAAAAATTCCCAAAAATCGGAAATCCTTTGGGAAATACTTGAGAGCATTAAATAGCACCAAACCCATGAAAATAGAGTAAAAAAATCGAAAAAAATCGAAAAAAAATCAGAAAAAAATCAAGAAAAAATAGGAAAAAATGGGATAAAATTCCTAAAAAAATGGGGAAAATTCCCAAAAATTCCCAAAAAATTCCCAAAATTCTGAAATCGTTTGGGAAATACTTGAGGTTGTTAAATAGCACCAAAACCCATGAAAATATTCTAAAAATAATCGAAAAAAATAATAAAAAATCACCAAAAAAAAGGGAAAAATTCCGAAAAAAACTGAAAAATTCCCAAAAAAACCGGGAAAAATTCCCAAAAAAACCCGGAATTTTCTGTCAGGTGATGCTGGCGGAGCGTCGGGACTCGGCCGAGCTCTTCGCCATCAAGATCCTGAAGAAGGACGTGGTGGCACCAAAAATCCCGGAAAAATGGGAAAAAAATCCCAAAAAATTCCCAAAAATTCCCCAAAAAATTCCAAAAATTCCCAAAAATTCCCAAAAATCTGAAATTGTTTGGGAAACACTAAAATCGTTAAATAGCACCAAAACCCGTGCAAATAGAGTAAAAAAAATGTAAAAAATCATAAAAAATCAGAAAAAATGGGAAAAAATTCCTAAAAATTCCCAAAAAATTCTCAAAAAATTCCCAAAAATCGGAAATCATTTGGGAAATACTTAATTGTTAAATAGCACCAAAACCCGTGCAAATAGAGTGAAAATAATAAAAAATAATCATAAAAAATAAAAAAAAAATTGGAAAAAAATGGAAAAAAATTCCTAAAAATTTTCAAAAAACTTCCAAAAATTCCAAAAAAATTCCCAAAAATCAGAAATCATTTGGGAAATACTTAAGATTGTTAAATAGTGCCAAAACCCATGAAAATAGAGTAAAAAAATCGAAAAAAAAATCGTAAAAAATCAGAAAAAATCAGAAAAAAATCAGAAAAAAACAGAAAAAAATCCCAAAAAACTCCCAAAAATTCCCAAAAAATTCCCAAAAATCGAAAATCATTTGGGAAATATTTGAGGGCGTTTAATAGCACCAAAAGCCATGAAAATAAGAGTAAAAAAATCGAAAAAAAATCGAAAAAAATCATAAAAAATCCAAAAAAAATGCAGAAAAAAGGGGATAAAATTCCTAAAAATTCCCAAAAAAACATGGAATTTTCCGGAATTTTCCTTTAGGTGATGCTGGCGGAGCGTCGGGACTCGGCCGAGCTCTTCGCCATCAAGATCCTGAAGAAGGACGTGGTGGTGCAGGACGACGACGCCGCCTCCACCATGGTGGAGAGGAGGGTCCTGGCGCTGGGACCCCGCCCCCACTTCCTCACCCACCTGCACTCCACCTTCCAGACCCCCGTGAGATACTGGGATAAACTGGGAATGAACTGGGATGGACTGGGAGGGACTGGGAGTCAATGGGAGTCAATGGAAGGGGAGATTTGGGGTGGACTGGGATGGAGGGAGGGGACTTGGATGGACTGGGAGCAACTGGGATGGACTGGGATTAACTGGGAATAAATTGGGAGGGACTGGGATGGACTGGGAGAGGGTTCAAGGAGACTGGGATGGACTGGGAGCAACTGGGAGGGACTGGGAGTGACTGGGAGGGACTGGGATGGACTGGGAGCCAATGGAAGCCAATGGAAGGGGAGATTTGGGGTGGACTGGGATGGACTGGGAATAAATTGGGAGGGACTGGGATGGACTGGGAGCAACTGGGAAGGGACTGGGATGGACTGGGAGAGGATTCGAGGGGACTGGGATGGACTGGGAGGGACTGGGATGGACTGGGATAAACTGGGAGTCAACTGGGAGCGACTGGGATGGACTGGGAGTCAATGGGAACCAATGGGAGCCAATAGGAGCCAATGGAAGGGGAGATTTGGGGTGGACTGGGATGGACTGGGATGGACTGGGAGGGACTGGGAGAGGATTCGGACAGACTGGGATGGACTGGGAATAAACTGGGAGGGACTGGGATAGACTGGGAGTCAACCGGAACCAATGGGAGCCAATGGGAGCCAATGGAAGGGGAGATTTGGTGCACTGGGAATGGGAACTGGGACTTACTGGGATGGACTGGGATGAACTGGGAGTGACTGGGATGGACTGGGAATAAACTGGGAGGGACTGGGATGGACTGGGAGAGGATTAGAGGGGACTGGGATGGACTGGGAGAGGATTGGGACGGACTGGGATGGACTGGGAATAAACTGGGATTAACTGGGAGTCAACTGGGATGGACTGGGAGGGACTGGGAGGGACTGGGAGAGGATTCGAGGGGACTGGGATGGACTGGGATTAACTGGGATGGACTGGGAGTCAACTGGGAGCGACTGGGAGCGACTGGGATGGACTGGGAGGGACTGGGAGGGACTGGGAGTCAATGGGAGCCAATGGGAGCCAATGGAAGGGGAGATTTGGCGCACTGGGAATAAGAACTGGGACTGACTGGGATGGACTGGGAGCAACTGGGATGGACTGGGAGCAACTGGGAATAAACTGGGAGGGACTGGGAGCAACTGGGAATCAATGGGAGCCAATGGAAGGGGAGGTTTGGCGCACTGGGAATGGGAACTGGGACTTACTGGGATGGACTGGGAGCAACTGGGATGGACTGGGAGTAAACTGGGACGGACTGGGAGTTACTGGGATGGACTGGGAGGGACTGGGATGAACTGGGAATTACTGGGAATACACTGGGAATTACTGTGATGGACTGGGAGCAACTGGGATGTACTGGGAGTTACTGGGATGAACTGGGAGTTACTGGGATGAACTGGGAGTTACTGTGATGGACTGGGAGCAACTGGGATGAACTGGGAGTTACTGGGATGAACTGGGAGTTACTGTGATGGACTGGGAGCAACTGGGATGAACTGGGAGTTACTGGGATGAACTGGGAGTTACTGGGATGAACTGGGAGTTACTGGGAGCGACTGGGATGAACTGGGAGCCAATGGAAGAGGAGATTTGGGTTATACTGGGAGAGCAAACTGGGAGCAAACTGACCCAAACCGGTCAGAACCAGTCCAAACCGGTCCAAACCGGTCCAAACTGGTCCAAACTGGTCCAAACTGGTTTAAACTGGTCCAAACTGGGCGGCAGGACCGGCTGTACTTCGTCATGGAGTACGTCACCGGCGGCGACCTCATGTACCACATCCAACAGGTCGGCAAGTTCAAGGAGCCCCACGCGGCGTGAGTCGGCCAAAATTCCCGGAATTCCGCCTAAAATATTCCCAGGAATTCCGGGAATTCCGCGGGAGGAGGCGGGAGAGGGAAATTCCCGAAAAAATCCCGGGAAAAACGGGGAAAATATGGAAAAATTACATCAAAATGCCTTGAAATTCCTTAAAATGCAGCCAAAAATTCACCTAAAAAACCAAAATTCCCGGAATTCCGCCCAAAATATTCCCGGGAATTCCAGGAATTCCTCGGGAGGAGGTGGGAGAGGGAAATTCCCAAAAAAATCCCGGGAAAATCGGGGAAAATATGGGAAAAATCCATCAAAACGCTTCAAAATTCAGCCTGAAATTCGCTTAAACATACCAAAATTCCTGGAAGTCCACCCAAAATATTCCCGGGAATTCCGGGAATTCCGCGGGGGGAGGCGGGAATGGGAAATTCCAGAAAAAATCCCGGGAAAAACGGGGAAAATATGGAAAAATCCATGAAAATGCCTCGAAATTCCTTAAAATTCAGCCAAAAATTCACTTAAAGACACCAAAATTCACTTAAAAACCCAAAATTCCCGGAATTCCACCCAAAATATTCCCGGGAATTCATCGGGAGGAGGCGGGAATGGGAAATTCCCGAAAAAATCCCGGGAAAATCGGGGAAAATATGGAAAAATTCCATCAAAATACCTCAAAATTCAGCCTGAAATTTGCTTAAAGACACCAAAATTTTAGGAATTCTCCCCAAAATATTCCCGGGAATTCTGGGAATTCCTCAGGGGGAGGCGGGAATGGGAAATTCCCAAAAAAATCCCCAAAAAAACGGGGAAAATATGGAAAAATTCCATGAAAATCCATCAAAATGCCTCAAAATTCAGCCTGAAATTCGCTTAAAGACACCAAAATTCCAGGAATTCTGCCCAAAATATTCCCGGGAATTCCGGGAATTCCTCGGGAGGAGGCGGGAGAGGGAAATTCCCAAAAAAATCCCGGGAAAAACGGGGAAAATATGGGAAAAATCAATGAAAATACCTCAAAATTCCTTAAAATTCAGCCAGAAAGTCACTTAAAAGACACCAAAATTCCCGGAATTCCGCCCAAAATATTCCCGGGAATTCCGGGAATTCCGCGGGGGGAGGCGGGAATGGGAAATTCCCGAAAAAATCCCGGGAAAATCGGGGAAAGTATGGAAAAAATCCAAGAAAAACCCATGAAAATGCCTCAAAATTCAGCCCAAAATTTGCTTAAAGACACCAAAATTCCCGGAATTCCGCCCAAAATATTCCCGGGAATTCCGGGAATTCTGGGGAGGAGGCAGGAATGGGAAATTCCGGAAAAATTCCCGGGAAAATATGGAAAAATTCCATCAAAATACCTCGAAATTCAGCCCAAAATTTGCTTAAAGACACCAAAATTCCCGGAATTCCACCCAAAAGATTCCTGGGAATTCCGGGAATTCCTCAGGGGGAGGCGGGAATGGGAAATTCCCGAAAAAATCCCGGGAAAAACGGGGAAAATTTGGGAAAAATCAATGAAAATACCTCAAAATTCCTTAAAATTCAGCCAAAAATTTATTTAAAAACCCCAAAATTCCCGGAATTCCGCCCAAAATATTCCCGGGAATTCCGGGAATTCCGCAGGGGGAGGCGGGAGAGGGAAATTCCCGAAAAAATCCCGGGAAAAACGGGGAAAATATGGGAAAATTACATCAAAATACATCGAAATTCAGCCAAAAATTCATTTAAAGGCACCAAAATTCCCGGAATTCCGCCCAAAATATTCCCGGGAATTCCGGGAATTCCGCGGGAGGAGGCAGGAATGGGAAATTCCCAAAAAATATGGAAAAATTCCATGAAAATCCATCAAAATGCCTCAAAATTCCTTAAAATTTAGCCCAAAATTCACTTAAAGACACCAAAATTCCAGGAATTCTGCCCAAAAGATTCCCGGGAATTCCGGGAATTCTGGGGAGGAGGCAGGAATAGGAAATTCCCGAAAAATATGGAAAAATTCCATGAAAATCCATCAAAATGCCTCAAAATTCCTTAAAATTCAGCCAAAAATTCACTTAAAAACCCAAAATTCCCGGAATTCCACCCAAAATATTCCCAGGAATTCCGGGAATTCCATGGGAGGAGGCGGGAGAGGGAAATTCCCAAAAAATTCCCGGGAAAATCGGGAAAAATCCAAGAAAATCCAATTAAAATCCATGAAAATGCCTCAAAATACCCCCCAAAAAATATTCCCCAAAATTCTGAGAATTTTCCCAATATTTTCCCGAAATTATTCCCAAATTTCACAATTTTCCCTCAATTTTTCCAAATTTTCCCAATTTCCCCAAATTTTCCCAATTTTCCCTCGATTTTTCCCAGTTTATACAAATTTTTCCCCATTTTTCATCATTTTCCCCAAATTTCTTTCAAAAGTTTTCCCAAATTTTCCAGATTTTCCAAATTTTTAATCTTTTCCCCCAATTTTCTCCAAACTTTTTTCAATCTCCCGAATTTTCCTTTGATTTTTCCCATTTTTTCCCAATTTTCCCTTTATTTTTCCCAATTTACTCAAAATTTTCCAAATTTTTAATATTTTTCCCAATTTTCTCCAAACTTTTTTCAATCTCCCAAATTTTCCTTTGATTTTTCCCAATTTTTTCCCAATTTTTTCCCAATTTCCTTTGATTTTTTCCAATTTATTCAAAATTTTCCCAATTTTTCCCAATTTTTCCCAAATTTCCACCAAGTCTTTCCCCAAATTTCCCCAAATTTTCTTTTTTTTCCCGAATTTTCCCAATTTTTCATTATTTTCGCATTTTTTCCCAATTTTTACGCAATTTTCTCAATTTTTCCCCATTTTCCCCCATTTTCCCCCAATTTTCCCAATTTCTTCCCAATTTTTACCCAATTTTTCCCCAATTTTCCCAATTTTCCCCTATTTTTTTAAAATTTTCCCTGTTTTTTTTAATTTGCTTAATTTTCCCCCAAATTTTCCCAGATTTTTCCCAATTTCTCCCAAAATTTTTCCCAAAATTTCCCAATTTTTTCCAGGTTTTACGCAGCCGAAATCGCCATCGGTCTTTTCTTCCTGCACAACCGAGGGATCATCTACAGGTGAGTGCCCAAAAAATTCCAAAAAATTCCAAAAAATTCCCAAAAATCCTTTCCTAAAATTAAAAAAATCCCATCAAAATCCCAAAAAAATCCCAAAATTCTCAGAAAAACTCCCAAAAAATTTGAAAATAACTCCCCAAAAATTCTCAAAATATTCCCAAAAAATTCCCCAAAAATTCCCAGAAAAATTCCCAAAACTTACCTGGAAAATTGATTTAAAAAATCAAGAAAAAAATCAGAATAGTCATTAAAAATCACCAAAAAATTAATAAAAAACACCAAAAATTTGGAAAAAATTCCTGAAAAAATTCCCAGAAAAATTCCCAAAATAACCTGGAAAACTGCAAAAAAAAATCAAGAAAAAATCATAATATTCAATAAAAAATCACCCGAAAAATAAAAAAAAAAAAAAAAAAACAAAAAATTCCCAAAAATTAAAAAAAAATTCCCACAACATTCCAAAAAAGTTCCCAAAAAATTCCCAAAAAATTCCCCAAAAAATTCCCAAAACTCACCTGGATAATTGAAAAAAATTTAAAAAAAAAAAAAAAAAAATTCAATAAAAAATCACCCAAAAAATTCCCAAAAAATTAAAAAAAATTTTTTTTAAATTCCCAAAAAATTCCCATAAAATTTGGAAAAAATTCCCAGAAAAATTCCCAAAACTTACCTGGAAAATTGAATAAAAAAGTAAAAAAAAATTCCAAATATTCAATAAAAAAATCACCAAAAAATGAAAAAAAAAACCAGAAAATTCAGAAAAAAAAATCAGAAAAATTCCCAAAAATATCCCAAAAATCCCAAAAATTCCCAAAAATTCCCGAAATTCCCCAAAATTGCAGGGACCTGAAGCTGGACAACGTGATGCTGGACGCGCAGGGCCACGTGAAGATCACGGATTTCGGGATGTGCAAAGAGAACATCGGCCCCGGCGGCAGCACCAGAACCTTCTGCGGGACCCCCGACTACATCGCCCCCGAGGTCGGAATTCCCAAAATTCCCGGAATTCCCGGAATTCCCGAAAATTTTGGGGATTCTGGGAAAAAACCGCGCGAAAAACGGGGGGAAAACGGTGAAAAAATGGGAAAAAACAGGGAAAAAATGGGATTTTTGGGGGGCTTTTGGTGATTTTTTTTTTTGATTTTTGGGGGATTTTTGGTAATTCCCGGAATTCCCAAAATTCCCCAAAATTCTGGGAATTCTGGGAAAAAAACTCGCGAAAAACGGGTGAAAAATGGCGAAAAAACGGCGAAAAAATGGGATTTTTGGGGGGTTTTTCGGGATTTTTTTGGGATTTTTGGGGGGGTTTTGGGGGGTTTTTGGGAATTCCCAAAATTCCTGAAAATCTGGGAAAAATCCATGAAAAAAATGGGAAAAATTGACAAAAAGAGGAGAAAATAGGGATTTTTTTTGGAGATTTTTTAGGATTTTTGTAGACATTTTGGGGATGTTTTGGGATTTTTTTTTCCTTGGTTCTTTGGGATATTTTCGGAACTTTTGGGAATTTTGGGAACCCCCGACTACATCGCCCCCGAGGTCGGAATTCCCGAAATTCCTGAAAATTCCCGAAATTCTGGGAAAAAACCGCGCGAAAAACGGGTGAAAAAACAGGTGAAAATCGGCGAAAAAAAGGGGAAAAATCGGATTTTTGGGGGAATTTTTGGTGATTTTTGGGGGTCTTTTCTTGGGGTTTTTTAGGGATTTTTTTGGGAATTTTTTGGAGGTTTTTTCCCAATATTTTGGGAGGTTTTTGGGAATTCCCAAAATTCCCAAAAATCCGGGAGGGAAAAAAGGATTAAAAAAATGGGGAAGATGGGGGAAAAAATCAGGAAAAATTGGATTTTTTTGGGGGGATTTTTGGGGATTTTTTGAGGATTTTTGGTACCATTTTTAGAAATCCCAAAATTCCCAAAAATTCCCAAAAATCCTGAAAAAAAATGGAAAAAAATTGTCAAAAAATGGGGGAAAAAAAAGGGTTTTTTGAGGGTTTTTTGGGCGATTTTGGTGGGGTTTTTTTTGGGAATTTCGGGGGAATTTTGGGAATTCAGGAATTTTGGGAATTTTTGGGAATTTTGGGCTGGGAATTTTGGCAGATCATCGCGTATCAGCCCTACGGGAAGTCGGTGGATTGGTGGTCCTACGGCGTTCTGCTCTACGAGATGCTCGCCGGGCAGGTCGGAATTCGGGAAATTTTTGGGAATTTTGGGGGAATTTTGGGAATTTTGGGTTTTTGGGGAATTTTGGGGGAATTTGGGTGGAAATTTGGGGGAAATTTTGGGGGAAAATGGGGATTTTGGGGGGAAAAATGGGGATTTTTTGGGGATTTTTTTTGGAATTTTAGGGGGATTTGGGGCGGAATTTTGGGGAATTTTTTTGGGGAATTTTGTGGGGGAATTTGGGGAAATTTTTAGGATTTTTGGGGGGAATTTTTGGGCATTTTTGGGGAATTTGAGGGGATTTAGGCGGGAATTCAGGGGAAATTTTGGGAAAAATGATTTTTTTTGAATTTTAGGGGGTTTGGGAATATTTTGGGGATATTTTGGGGATATTTTGGGGATAATTCAGGAATATTTGGGCGATATTTTAGGGCTATTTTTGGGATATTTTAGGATTATTTTGGGGATGTTTTGGGGTTATTTGGGGAGTATTTTGGGGTGATTTTGGGGATATTTTGCGGATATTTTTGGGGATTATTTGGGAATAATTTAGGAATATTTTGAGGATATTTTAGTGTTATTTTGGGAATATTTGAGGAATATTTTGGGGCTATTTGGGGGATATTTTGGGGTAATTTCGGGGATAATTCAGGAATATTTTGGGGCTTTTTGGGGAGTATTTTGGGGTGATTTTGGAGATATTTTTGGGGATAATTTCGGGATATTTTGGGGTAATTTTGGGGATATTTTGGGGATAATTCAGGAATATTTTGGGGCATTTTTGGGATATTTTGTGAAAAATTGGGGGATATTTTTGGGGTGATTTTGGGGCTATTTGGGGAGTATTTTGGGGTAATTTTGGTCGTTTTTGACGTCCGCAGCCCCCGTTTGACGGCGAGGACGAGGACGAACTCTTCCAGTCCATCCTGGAGCAGACGGTGACGTACCCCAAAGCGCTGTCCCGCGAGGCCGTGGCCATCTGCAAGGGGGTGAGAGCCCCAAAATTCCCAAAAATTCCCAAAATTCCCAAAATCCACAAAAAATTCACAAAAATCCAAAAAAAAATTCGCAGAAAAACGCCGAAAAAATGACCAAAATGGCCCAAAAAACCTCCAAAAACGCCCCAAAATTCAGGAAAATTCGAAAACAATTCAAAAAATGTCACGAAAAATTCCAGAAAAATTTAAAATAAAATTCCCAAAAAATTAATGAAAAAAATATTTTTAAAGAATAAAAAAATCCCAAAAAATCACCAAAAATTCCCCCAAAAAATAAAATCATGGTGTTGTACCCCAAAGCGCTGTCCCGAGAGGCCGTGGCCATCTGCAAGGGGGTGAGAGCCAAAAAATTCCCTAAAATTCCCAAAATTCCCAAAAAATTCCCAAAATTCCCAAAATCCAGCGAGTCCCAAAAAAAATCCAAAAAAAATCAGCAAAAAAAAAACCGAAAAAATGACCAAAATGGCCCAAAAAACCTCCAAAAACGCCCCAAAATTCTGGAAAAATTCGAAAAAAAATTCAAAAAATGTCATGAAAAATTCCAGAAAAATTTAAAATTAAATTCCCAAATACTTCATGAAAAAAAAAATTAAAAAATAAAACAAAATCCCAAAAAATCACCAAAAATTCCCCCAAAAAATAAAATTGTGGTGTTGTACCCCAAAGCGCTGTCCCGAGAGGCCGTGGCCATCTGCAAGGGGGTGAGAGCCCAAAAATTCCCAAAATTCCCAAAATCCAGCGAGTCCCCAAAAAAATCCAAAAAAAATCCGCAAAAAAACGCCGAAAAAATTACCAAAATGGCCCAAAAGACCTCTAAAAATGCCCCAAAATTCAGGAAAAATTCAAATAAAAAATAGAAAAAATGTCACGAAAAATTCCAGAAAAATTTCAAATCAAATTCCCAAAACTATTGGGAAAAAAATTCCTAAAAATACCCAAAAAATCACCAAAAATTCCCAAAAAACCCTTAAAAAATTCCATTTTTAGGGTAAATTTCACCCATTTTTACCCCGGTTTTTTTTTCGCCATTTTCCCAAATTTCCTCCAATTTTCTCGCTGTTTTTTTTTTTATTTTTCTGGGAATTTGGGGAATTTTCAGAAATTTGGGAATTTTTGGGGCATTTTTTGTGAATGATTTATGGGAATTTCCTTCTCCCAGACCCATTTTTAGGCTTAATTTCACCCATTTTTATCCCTTTTTTTTCACCATTTTCCCATTTTTCCTCCGATTTCCTCACTTTTTTTTTTTATTTTTCTGGGAATTTCGGGAAATTTGGGAATTCTTGGAATTTTTGGGGGATTTTATTTGCGTTTTATGGGACTTTCCTTCTACCAAAGCCGTTTTTAGGCTTAATTTCGCCAATTTTTATTCCTTTTTTTCCGCCATTTTCCCATTTTCCCTCCGATTTCCACGCGGATTTTTTTCTTTTTCTGGGAATTTCGGGAATTTTGGGAATTCTTGGAATTTTTGGAGTATTTTTTTGGATGAGTTATGGGAATTTCCATCTCCCAGACCCATTTTCAGGCTTAATTTCGCCCTTTTTTCCCCCTTTTTTTTTTGCCATTTTCCCATTTTTCCTCCGATTTCCACGCGGTTTTTTTTGTTTTTCCGGGAATTTGGGGAAATTTGGGAATTTTTCCCTCGGCAGTTCCTGACCAAGCACCCCGGGAAGCGGCTGGGGGCCGGTCCTGGGGGGGGAACAGGAGGTTCGGGGTCACCCCTTCTTCCGCCGGACGGACTGGGAGCGGCTGGAGCGGCTGGAGGTGCCGCCCCCCTTCACCCCCCGCCCGGTGAGTGACCCCAAAAATGGCCAAAAGCACCCCAAAAATAAATCCAGAATATCCCCAAAATATCCCCAAAAATAGCCCTGGAATATCCCCAAAAAATACCCAAAAATATCCCCAAAATAACCCAAAATAGCCCCAAAATAACTCAAAATATCCACAAAATATCCCCAAAAAATAACCCAAAATATCCCCAAAAATAACCCAAAATATCCCCAGAATCGGCCCAAACATGTCCCCAGAAATGCCCCAGAACATTCGCCAAAATATCCCAAAATAGCCCCAAAATAGCCCCAAAATCACCCCAAAAATAGCCCCAGAAGATCCCCAAAATCAGCCCCAAAAATAGCCCAAAATATCCCCAAAAATAACCCAAAATATCCACAAAAATAGCTCCAGAATATCCCCAAAATCAGCCCCAAAATAGCCACAAAATATCCCCAAAATCACCCCAAAAATAGCCCCAGAGAAACCCCAGAATATCCCCAAAATCAGCCCCAAAATATCCACAAAATATCCCCAAAATGACTCAAAATAGTCACAAAAATAGCCCAAAATATCCCCAGAATAACCCCAAAATCAGCCCAAAAATAGCCCCAGAATATCCCCAAAATCAGCCCCAAAAATAGCCCCAGAATATCTCCAAAATCAGCCCCAAAAATAGCCCCAAAATATCCCCAAAAAATCCCTAAAATAGTCCAAAAGAAACCACAAATCCACCCCAAAATAGTCCCAAAATATCCACAAAATCAGCCCCAAAATATCCCCAAAAATCCCAACTTTTCCCCAAAATTCCCCCTTAAAAATCCCCAAAATTCCAAACTTTTCACCTAAAACTCCCCCCAAAATCCCCCCTAAAAATCCCAAAACATCCCCAAATTTTCCTCTAAAATTCCCCCTAAGAATCCAAAAAATCCCCAAATTTTCCTCTAAAATTCCCCTAAAAATTCCCCCTAAAAATCAAAAAAAAATCCCAAATTTTCCTATAAAATTCCCCTAAAATTTCCCCTAAATTCCCCCTAAAAAGCCCAAAAATATCCCAAATTTTCCCCAAAATTCCCCTTAAAAATACCCCCTAAAAATTCCAAACTTTTCGCCTAAAATTCCCCCCAAAAATCCCAAACTTACCCCAAATTTTCCCTAAAAATTCCCCCCAAAAATTCCCAAATTTTCCCCTAAAATTCCCCCCTAAAAACCCCAAACCCCCCCAAAAAAAACCCCATTTTCCCCAAACTCCCCCCCTTATTTCCCCCAAAAACCCCCCTTATCCCCCCCATTTTTCCCCCCCTCCTCCCTTTCATTTTCCCCCACCTTTCCCCCCTTTTCCCCCAAATCCCACCCCTTAAAATTTACCCAAAATTTCTTCTTTTTCCCCCAAAAAAGTGCGGCCGGAACGGGGAGAACTTTGACCAGTTCTTCACTCGCGCCCCCCCCGCGCTGACGCCGCCGGACGCGTTGGTCCTGGCCGGGCTGGACCAAGCCGAGTTCGAGGGGTTCAGCTTCACCAACCCCGACTTCCCGCAGCCCCCCGGCTCCCTCGTCTGACCCCCCAAAATTTGGGGAACACCCCCTGAAAAATTTGGGGTGGTCCGACCTCGAATTCCCAAAAAATTCCCAAAAAATTTCCCAAAAAAATTGATTATTTTGAGGTTTTTCCCCCTATTTGGGACTGTACCAAGTTTGGGACCCCCCCTATTTTGGGCTGGACCAAGTTCAGGGAATCCCCCAAAATTTTGGGGAACCCCCCCTGAAAAAATTGGGATGGTCCGACCTCGAATTCCCAAAAAAAAACCAAAAAAACCCCAAAAAATTCAAATTTTTTTGAGTTTTTTTCCCCTATTTTGGACTGTACCAAGTTCAGGGACCCCCAGACCCCAAATTCAAAAAAAAATCCAAAAATTTCCCCAAAAAATTTGATTATTTTGAGGTTTTTCCCCCTTATTTTGGACCATACCAAGTTCATGGACCAAGTTCTAGGATCTCCCCAAAAAAATTTTGGATCCCCCAACCTTCAATTCCCAAAATATTCCAAAAAAATGCCCAAAAAATTGATTATTTTGAGTTTTTCCCCCCTGTTTTGGACTGTACCAAGTTCAGGGACCACCAGACCCCAAATTCCCAAAAAATCCCCAAAAAAATTCGATTATTTTGAGGTTTTTTTCCCCCTATTTTGGACTGGACCAAGTTCAGGGATCCCCAAAAACTTTGGGATCCCCCGACCCCGAATTCCCAAAAAAACCCCATCAAATTCCAAAAAAAATTGACTTTTTTGAGGTTTTCCCCCCTGTTTTGGACTGGACCAAGTTCAGGGATACCCCCAAAAAATTTGGGATCCCCCGACCCCGAATTCCCAAAAAAACCCAAAAAAATTTAAAAAAAATTTGATTATTTTGAGGTTTTCCCCCCCTATTTTGGACCGTACCAAGGTTAGGACCCCCCTGTTTTGGACTGGACCAAGTTTTGGGATCCCTCAAAAAAAATTTGGGATCCCCCGACCCCGAATTCCAAAAAAATTCCCAAAAAAACAAAAAAAATTTGATTATTTTGAGTTTTTTCCCCCCTATTTTGGACTGTACCAAGTTTGGGACCCCCCCCTATTTTGGGCTGTACCAAGTTCAGGGATTCCCCCCAAAAAATTTGGGATCTCCCAACCCCAAAATTCCCAAAAAATTCCAAAAAAATTGACTTTTTTTGAGGTTTTCCCCCCCTATTTTGGACTGGACCAAGTTTTGGGATCCCCCAAAAAAATTTGGGATCCTCAGACCCCAAATTGCCAAAAAATTCCCAAAAAATCCCTTAAAAATCCAAATTATTTTGAATTTCCCCCAATTTTGGGGTTTTTTCCAAAGATTTTGGGGTTTTTTTCCCAAAAAAATTCCCACTAAAATTTGGGGTCCCCCTAAAAATTCCCAAATTTTAACCAAAAAATTCTTTAAAATTCGAAATTTTTCCCCAAATTTTGGGATTTTTTCCCCCCCCCAATTTTGGGATTTTTGCCCCTCCCCCCCCTGAAATTTTGGGATTTTTCCACCCAAATTTTAGGGATTTTTCCCCAAAATTTTGGGAATTTTTTCCCTCCCAGCTGTGACTCCTCCTGGGATGAGCGGGGAGGACCCAAAATCCCCCAAAAATCCAAAAATTTCCCCAAAATTTCCTCAAGATCCCCAAAATTTTCCAAACTTTCCCAAAAAATGCCAAAATTTTCCCTAAATTCCTCCAGAATTTCCTGAAATTGTTTAAAAATTTCCCCCAAAAATCCCAAATTTTCCCAAATTCCCCCAAAAATAAAAAAAAATCCTCCCAAAAATCCCAAATTTTCACAAATTCCCCCAAAAAATCCCAAAAAATCCTGAAATTTCCCAAATTCCCCCAAAAATCCCAAAAATTCACCCAAAATTTCAAAAAAAAATCCCAATTTCTTCCCGAGTTTTCCCCCCAAAAAATCCCAAAATTTCCCCCAAAAATCCCAAAAATTCTCCCCAGAAATCCCCCAAAATTCCCCAAAAAATCCCAAATTTTCCCCAAAATCCCAAAATTTCCCCAAAATCCCCAAATTTTCCCCAAAATTTCCCCAAAAATCCCAAAATTTCCCCAAATTTCCGCTCCCTCAATAAAGTCGCTGAGCCCGTCCGGAGCCTCTTGGGTGCCTTTGATTGAACTGGTTTATACTGGTTTATACTGGGAGGGACTGGAGGAACTGGTTTATACTGGTTTATACTGGTTTATACTGGGAGGGTTTTTGGGGAACTGGTTTATACTGGTCTGGATTGATCTGAACTGGTTTATACTGGGAGGGACTGGTTTATACTGGGAGGGTTTGGGGGCAACTGGTTTATATTGGGAGGGACTGGTTTATACTGGTTTATACTGGGAGGGACTAGTTTATACTGGTTTATACTGGTTTATACTGGGAGGGACTGGGGGAACTGGTTCGGACTGGTCTGGATTGATCTGAACTGGTTTATACTGGTTTATACTGGTTTGGACTGGGAGGGTTTGGGGAGAACTGGTTTATACTGGGAGGGACTGGGAGAACTGGTTTATACTGGTCTGGATTGATCTGGACTGGTTTATACTGGTTTGGACTGGTTTATACTGGGAGGGGGCAACTGGTTTATACTGGGAATCCCAGAACCCCAAACTGGTTTATACTGGGACCCCAAACTGGTTTATACTGGGACCCCAAACTGGTTTATACTGGGAGCCCAAACTGGTTTATACTGGGAGCCCAAACTGGTTTATACTGGAGCCCCAAACTGGTTTATACTGGGAGCCCAAACCGGTTTATACTGGTTTGGACTGGTTTGGACTGGTTTGGACTGGGGGATTTGGGATTTTGGGGGCAAAATTTGGGGTTTTTTTGAGGGGAAAAATGGAAAATTTGGGGGTTTTGGGAGGATTTGGGATTTAATGGTGAAATTTGGGATTTGAGGAGAAAATTTGGGATTTTGGGGGGAAATTTGGGATTTTTGGGGGAACATTTGGGATTTTGGGGGAAAATTTGGGATTTTTTGGGGGAAATTTGGGATTTTTGGGGTGAAATTTGGGATTTTTGGGGTGAAATTTGGGATTTTTGGGGTGAAATTTGGGATTTTTGGGGAAGAAATTTGGGAATTTGGGAGGATTTGGGATTTTGGGGTGAAATTTGGGATTTTTGGGGGAACATTTGGGATTTTTGGGGAAGAAATTTGGGAATTTGGGAGGATTTGGGATTTTGGGGGGGAAATTTGGGATTTTTGGGTGAAATTTGGGGGTTTGTGGTGACATTTGGGATTTTTGGGGGGCAAAATCCAGAATTTTCGGGGGATTTGGGATTTTTGGGGTGAAATTTGGGATTTGGGGGGATAATTTGGGAATTTAGAAGGGAAAATTGGTATTTTTGGGGGGCAATTTGGGATTTTTGGGAGATTGGAGATTTTTTTGGGAGGAATTTGGGATTTGAGGGGAAAATTTGGGATTTTTGGGGTGAAATTTGGGATTTTTGGGGTGAAATTTGGGATTTTGGGGGAGAAATTTTGAATTTTTGGGGAGAAATTTGGGGTTTTGGGGGGGAAATGGAATTTTTGGGGGGATTTTGTGAGGATTTGGGATTTTGGGGGGGAAATTTGGGATTTTGGGGGTGAAAATTGGGATTTTTGGGTTGAAATTTGGGGTGAAATTTGGGATTTTTCGGGTGAAATTTGGAGGTTTTGGGGTGAAAATTGGGATTTTGGGGATGAAAATTGGGATTTTGGGGTCACATTTTGGATTTTGGGGGTGAAATTTGAGATTTTAGAGGGGAAAATTTGCATTTTTGGGGCTGAAATTTGGGATTTTGGGGGGAAATTTGGGATTTTTGGGGTGACATTTGGGATTTGAGGAGAAAATTTGGGATTTTGGGGATGAAATGTGGGATTTTTGGGGTGAAATTTTGAATTTTTGGGGAGAAATTTGGGGTTTTGGGGGGAAATGGAATTTTTGGGGGGATTTTGTGAGGATTTGGGATTTTGGGGGGGAAAATTTGGGGTTTTGGGTGAAATTTGGGATTTTTGGGTTGAAATTTGGGGTGAAATTTGGGATTTTTCGGGTGAAATTTGGGGGTTTTGGGGTAACACTTGAGATTTGAGGGGAAATTTTGGGATTTTTGGGGTCACATTTGGGATTTTGGGGGTAAAAATTGGGATTTTGGGGATGAAAATTGGGATTTTGGGGAAAAATTTGGGATTTTAGGGAGTGACATTTGGGATTTGGGGGGCAAAATCCGGAATTTTTGGGGGATTTGGGATTTTTTGGGGTGAAATTTGGGATTTGGGGGGATAATTTGGGAATTTAGAAGGGAAAATTGGTATTTTTGGGGGGCAATTTGGGATTTTTGGGAGATTGGAGATTTTTTTGGGAGGAATTTGGGATTTGAGGGGAAAATTTGGGATTTTTGGGGTGAAATTTGGGGGTTTTGGGGAGGATTTGGGATTTTGGGGTGAAATTTGGGGGTTTTGGGGGAAAAATGGAAATTTTGGGGGGATTTTGTGTGGATTTGGGATTTTGGGGTGAAATTTGGGGGTTTTGGGGAAAATTTGGGATTTGACGGGAAATTTTGGGATTTTTTGGGTCACATTTTGGATTTTGGGGGTGAAAATTGGGATTTTTTGGGAAAATTTGGGATTTGGGGGCTGAAATTTGGGGTTTTTGGGTGAAATTCGGGATTTTTGGGAGGAATTTGGGATTGGAAGGGAAAATTTGGGATTTTTGGGTGAGATTTGGGGGTTTTGGGGTTGAAAATTGGGATTTGGGGAGTAAAACCTTCAATTTTGGGTCAATTCGGGATTTTTTGGGATGAAATTTGGGATTTTAGGGGATGGGATTTGGGGGGAGGAGCAAAATCTTCACTTTTGGGGGGATTTGGGATTTTTGGGGTGAAATTTGGGATTTTGGGGGTTCAAATTCCCGATTTTTGGCACCAATTCCTATTTCGGGATGGGTAATTCGCCCCGTTTTTGAGGGGAAAAAATTGAATTTTGGGTTGAATTTTCTCCTCTAGGGTCCCTTTTTCTCCCCCCCCTTTTAATTTTTCATTTTTAATGTTTCATTTTTCATTTTAATTTTTTATTTTTAATTTTTGATGTTTAATTTTTAATTTTTAATTTTTAATGTTTAATGTTTATTTTTTAATTTTTAATGTTTATTTTTTAATTTTTAATGTTTAATTTTTAATGTTTATTTTTTAATTTTAAATTTTAATTGTTTATTTTTTAATGTTTAATGTTTAATTTTTAATGTTTCTTTTTAATTTTTAATTTTTATTGTTTATTTTTTAATATTTAATATTTAATATTTAATATTTAATATTTAATATTTAATATTTAATATTTAATATTTATTTTTAATGTTTAATTTTTAATTTTTAATAATATTTATTTTTTAATTTTTTATTTTAATTGTTTATTTTTAATGTTTATTTTTTAATATTTATGTTTTAATGTTTAATTTTCTAATTTTTAATAATTTTCAATAATTAATATTTAATATTTATTTTTAATTTTTAATCAATTTTTTAATGAAAGGGGAAAAACCGCCGACACCCAAACCCCCAAAATTCCTTTTTTTTTTTTTTTAAAACCCCAAAAATCCCAATTTTCCCTCATTTTTAGAGGGTGGGGGAGGGGCGCTGCGGGTGCGCGGCCCCTTTAAGAGCGGCGGCGATGACGTCACGCGGTGCCCGTTTGGGGGGGGGTTTTGGTGCCCATCCCCCCTCCCCCCCCCATCCCCCACCCCCCCCTCCCCCCCCCGCGTCCGTTTGTCCGTCCCGCGCCTCCGGCCCGGCCCCGCCGCAGCGGCCGCAGCAGCGCCCGGGGAGGCTCCGTCCGTCCGTGTGTCCGTCCGTGTGTCCGTCCGTCTGTCCGTCCGTCTGTCCGTCCGTCTGTTTGTCTGTCCGTCCGTCTGTCCGTCTGTCCGTCCGTGTGTCTGTCCGTGTGTTTGTCCGTCTGTCCGTCCGTCTGTCCGTCTGTCTGTGTGTCCGTGTGTCCGTCCGTGTGTCCGTGTGTCCGTCCGTGTGTCCGTCTGTCCGTCCGTTCGTGTGTCCGTCCGTCCGTCCGTCCCCGCATCCTCCATCCATCCCCGTGTCCGTCTGTCCGTCTGTCCGTCCCCCCCCGTGTCCGTCTGTCCGTCCTTCCCCGCGCATCCTCCTGTCTGTCTGTCCGTCCTTCCCCGCATCCTCGTGTCTGTCCGTCTGTCCGTCCTTCCACCCATCCCCGTGTCCGTCTGTCCTTCCCCCCTTTCCTGTGTCCGTCTGTCCTTCCCCCGCGTCCTCCATCCATCCCCGTGTCCATCTGTCCGTCCTCCCCCCTCCGCGTCCTCCGTCCTTCCCCGCATCCTCCTGTCTGTCCGTCCGTCTGTCCGTTCTCATCCCCCCACCCGTGTCCGTTTGTCCTTCCCTCGCGTCCCCGCATCCTCCATCCATCCCCGTGTCCGTCTGTCCGTCCTTCCCCGTATCCCCGTGTCCGTCTGTCCTTCCGTGTCCTCCATCCCCGTCCCCATCCCCCCCCGGTTTCCGTCTGTCCTTCCCTCGCGTCCCCGCATCCCCCCCCGTGTCCGTCTGTCCTTCCGTGTCCTCCATCCCCCCCCATCGCCCCCCCGGGTCCGTCTGTCCTTCCCCGCATCCTCCGTGTCCGTCTGTCCGTCCGTCCTTCCCCCGCATCCTCCATCCATCCCCGCGTCCTCCATCCGTCCCCGTGTCCGTCTGTCCGTCCTTCCCCGCATCCCTCCCTCTTGTCCGTCTGTCCTTCCCCCGCATCCTCCTGTCTGTCCTTTCCCCGTCCTTCCCCGCGTCCTCCATCCCTCCCCGTGTCCGTCTGTCCTTCCGTGTCCTCCATCCCCCCCCCGCCCCCCCCGTGTCCGTCTGTCCGTCCCCCCGCGTCCTCTGTCCCCGTCCCCGTCCCATCCCCCCCCGTGTCCGTCTGTCCTTCCCCGCATCCTCCTGTCCTCCATCCCACCCTCCCCAAACCCCGTGTCCGTCTGTCCGTCCCCATCCCCCCCAGCCCGTGTCCGTCTGTCCTTCCGTGTCCTCCATCCCTCCCCCCCGTGTCCGTCTGTCCGTCCGTGTCCTCCATCTCCGCATCCCCGTGTCCGTCCGTCTGTCCTTCCTCCATCCCCGCATCCTCCATCCATCCCCGTGTCCGTCTGTCCCCCCGTGTCCCTCTGTCCCCCCGTGTCCGTCTGTCCGTCCCCCCTTTCCCGTGTCCGTCTGTCCGTCTGTCCCCCCGTGTCCTTCTGTCCATCCCCCCCCCCGTGTCCCCTTTCCCGTGTCCGTCTGTCCTTCCTCCATCCTTCCCCGCATCCTCCATCCCCCCCGTGTCCGTCTGTCCGTCCGTGTCCCCTTTCCCGTGTCCCTCCGTCCCCCCCCTGTCCGTCTGTCCGTCTGTCCATCCCCCCGTGTCCGTCTGTCCGTCTGTCCCTCTGTCCGTCTGTCCCCCCCTGTCCCGTGTCGGTCTGTCCGTCCCGTCCCGCTCCGATGGCGCGCGGGGCCCGCGGGGCAGCGACGGCGCCGTGAGAGGGTGAGAGAAATGGGGGGAATTTGGGGAATTTGGGGATTTTGGGGAATTTGGGGGGAAATTTGGGGGATTTTGGGGGATTTTGGGGGAATTTGGGGGAATTTTGGGGGATTTGGTGGGAATTTTGGGGATTTTGGGGGGATTTTCGGGGAAATTTGGGGAAAATTGGGGAAATTTGGGGGATTTGGGGGGATTTTGGGGAATTTTGGGGGAATTTTGGGGGATTTTGGGGGAATTATGGGGAGATTTGGGGGAATTTTGGGGGAATTTGGGGGAATTTTGGGGAGATTTTGGGGGAATTTGGGGAAATTTGGGGGATTTTGGGGAGATTTTGGGGGAATTTTAGGGGAATTGTTGGGAATTTTGGGGGAATTTTGGGGTAATTTAGGGGAATTTGGGGGAGAATTTGGGGTAATGTAGGAGAATTTGGGGGGATTTTGGGGATTTTGGGGGGATTTTGAGGGAATTATGGGAGATTTTGGTGTAATTTGGGGGAATTTGGGGGATTTTTGGGAATTTCTGGGAATTTTGGGGGGATTTGGGGAAAATTGGGGGGATTTGGGGAAAATTTAGGGGGAAATTATGATAATTTGGGGGACTTTGAAGGATTTTGGGGAATTTGAGGGGATTGGGGGGAATTTTGGGGGGATTTGGAGAAATTTGGGGGAAGTTTTGGGGAATTTTGGGGGATTTTGGGAGGGTCCCTTTATCCCGAAATTGCTCCGAATTCAACCCAAAAATTCCCCAAATCCCAAAAATTCCCCCAAATCCCCAAATTCCCCCAAATCTCCCCATTTTTTCCTCTAAAATCCCCCAAAATCCCCAAAAATCCCCCAAATTTCCCTCCCCGCCCCTTCCCCCCCCAAATTCCCTCAAACCTTCCCAAACTTCCCCAAATTTTCCCGAAATCCCCCAAATTTCTCCGCCCACTTTTAACCCCTTCATCCCCACAGGCCCAAAAAACTCCCCAAAAAACTCCCCAAAATCATCCCGAAATCATCCCAAAATTATCCCGGAATTATCCCAAATTATCCCAAAATTATCCCGGAATTATCCCAAAATTATCCCGGAATTATCCCAAATTTATCCCAAAATTATCCCAAAATTCATCCCAAATGATCCCAAAAAAGATCCCAAAATTATCCCAAAATTATCCCAAATGTATCCCAAATGTATCCCAAACTTATCCCAAAATTATCCCAAATTATCCCAAAATTTATCCCAAAATTTATCCCATAATTTATCCCAAAATCATCCCAAAATTATCCCAAATTTATCCCAAATTCCCCTTCCGGCCTCTTCCCCTTTTTAACCCCTTCGTGCCCGACTCGCTCCCCTGATCCTCCGAAACGGCCCCGAAACCTCCAAAAATCCCCAAAAAATGACCAAAAATCCCCAAAATTCCCCAAAATCCCCCAAAATTCCCAAAAATTCCCAAAAAATCCCCAAATTTCCCTCTCTGACCATTCCCCAGCCACTTTTAACCCCTTCATGCCCACATTGCTCCAACATACGATCAAAAACCCTTAAAAAATCACCAAAAAATCGGGAAAAAATCGGAAAAAATCCCAAAAATTCCTAAAAAATTCCCAAAAATTCCCAAATTTCCTACTCTGACCCTTCCCAGCCACTTCCCAGCCATTTTTAACCCTTTCATCCCCACATTGCTCCAACATACCCCCAAAAACCCTTAAAAAATCGCCAAAAAATTGGGAAAATAATCGGGAAAAATTCCCAAAAATTCCCAAAGATTCCCAAAAAATTCCCAAAAAATTCCCAAATTTTCCTCTCTGACCATTCCCAGCCACTTTTAACCCCTTCGTGCCCACATTACTGCTCCAATCTGCTCCTCACACCCGCCCTCAACCTCAGCCTATAAACCTCCAAAAATTCCCAAAAAATTCCCAAAAATCCCAAAAAAATTCCCAAAAAATCCCAAAAAATTCCTGAATTTCCATCTCTGACCATTCCCAGCCACTTTTAACCCCTTCGTGCCCACATTGCTCCCTGGATCCCTCCTCACACTCATCCTCAACGTTGCCCTAAAAACCTCCAAAAATCACCCCAAAATTCAAAAAAATTCCCGAAATTCCCCAAAATTCAAAAAAAATTCCAAAAAAATTCCCCAAAATTCCCCAAAATTCCCACATTTCCTACTCTGACCCTTCCCAGCCACTTCCCAGCCATTTTTAACCCCTTTGTGCCCGCATTGCTCCAACATACGCCAAAAACCATTAAAAATCACCAAAAAATCGGGAAAAAATCGGGAAAAATTCCCAAAATTCCAAAAAATTCCAAAAAAATCCCAAAAATTCCCAAAAATTCCCAAAAAATCCCAAAAAATCCCCAAATTTCCCATCTCAGCCAATTCCCCACCCATTTTTAACCCTTTCGTCCCCGCCTCACTCCAACATACCCCAAAAAACCCTTAAAAAACCACCAAAAAATTGGGAAACAAAATTAGGAAAAATTCCCAAAATTCCCAAAAAAATTCCCAAATTTCCCATCCACTTCCCATTCATTTTTAACCCCTTCGTGCCCACATTGCTCCTCCATTCTGCTCCTCACACCCGCCCTCAACCTCAGCCTAAAAACCTCCCAAAATTCCCAAAAAATTCCCAAAAAATCCCAAAAAATTCCCAAAAAATTCCCAAAAAAATCCCAAAAATTCCCAAAGAATCCCCAATTTCCCTCTCTGGCCCTTCCCAGCCACTTTTAACCCCTTCATGCCCACGTTGCTCCAACATACCCCCAAAAACCCTTAAAAAACCACCAAAAAATCAGGAAAAAATCGGGAAAAATTCCAAAAAAATTCCCAAAAAATTCCCAAAAAATTCCCAAAAATCCCCCCAAAAAATTCCCAAATTTCCCATCTCAGTCTCTTCCCATTCATTTTTAACCCCTTCGTGCCCTCATTGCTCCCCAGATCCCTCCTCACACCCGCCCTCAACCTCGCCCTAAAAACCTCCAAAAATCCCCCCAAAATTCCCAAAAAATTCCCAAAAAATCCTAAAAAATTTAAAAAAAATTCCCAAAAAATTCCCAAAAAATTCCCAAAAAATTCCCAAATTTCCCCTCTCAGCCTCTTCCTGTTCACTTTTAACCCCTTCGTGCCCACATTGCTCCAACATACGATCAAAACCCCTTAAAAAATCACCAAAAAATCGGGAAAAAATCGGAAAAAATTCCAAAAAATCCCAAAAATTCCCAAAAAATCCCCAAAATTCCCAAATTTCCTACTCTGACCCTTCCCAGCCACTTCCCCAGCCATTTTTAACCCCTTCGTGACCGTTTTGCTCCAACATACCCCCAAAAACCCTTAAAAAATCGCCAAAAATCGGGGAAAAAAGCGAAAAAAAACGGGAAAAATTCCCAAAAATCCCCAAAAAATTCCCAAAAAATCCCAAAATATTCCCAAAAAATTCCTGAATTTCCCTCTCTGACCCTGAATTTCCATCTCTGACCCTTCGCATTCACTTTTAACCCCTTCATGCCCAAATTGCTCCAACATAGCCCCAAAAACCCTTAAAAAAACACCAAAAAATCGGGAAAAATTCCCAAAATTCCCAAATTTCCCAGGTGTCAGGATGAGCTCGTGCAGCTCGCGGGCGCTGACGCTGCTGAGCAGCGTTTTCGGGGCCTGTGGGCTGCTCCTGGTGGGAATCGCCGTCTCCACCGACTATTGGCTCTACATGGAGGAGGGCGTCGTGTCCCCCCAGAACCAGAGCACCGAGGTGCGCATGGCGCTGCACGCCGGCCTCTGGCGCGTCTGCTTCTTCGCAGGTAGCCACGAAAATTCCCAAAAAAATTTGGGAATTGTGGGGAAAAAAATTGGGATTCCAGGGAAAAAAATTTGAGGTGGATCGGATGAAAAATGGGGGAGATATGGGGGTTAAAATGCAAAATAAATTGAATTTTTGGGGCTCTGGCGCATCAGATTCATCGCAGAGAGACTCAAAAAATTCCCAAAAATATCCCGGAAAAAATTCTGGGATTCCAGGGAAAAAAATTTGGGGTTGATCGGATAAGAAATGGCCGAGTTATGGGGCTTAAAATGCAAAAAAAATTGAATTTTTGGGGTATTTTTCCAGGCTCTGGCGCATCGGATTCATCGCAGAGAGACTTGAAAAAATCCCAAAAAATATCCAGGAAAAATTTGGGATTCCAGGGAAAAAAATTTGGGATGGATCGGAGAAGAAATGGCCGAGATATGGGTGTTAGAAGGGGAAATAAATGAAATTTTTTTCTGTGTTTTTTTGGACCCAAAATTCCCAAAAATATCCCGGAAAAAATTTGGGATTCCAGGGAAAAAAATTTGGGGTCGATCGGATGAAAAATGGCCGAGTTATGGGGGTTAAAATGCAAAATAAATTGAATTTTTGGGGCATTTTTCTGGGCTCTGGTGCATCGGATTCATCACAGAGAGACTCAAAAAATTCCCAAAAATATCCTGGAAAAATTTGGGATTCCAGGGAAAAAAATTTGGGATGGATCGGATGAAAAATGGCCGAGATACGGGGGTTGGAAGGGGAAATAAATGGAATTTTTGGGGTATTTTTCAGGCCTCTGGCGCGTCTGCTTCTTCGCAGGTACCCCGAAAATTCCCAAAAAAATTCTGGGATCAATGGGAAAAAAATTGGGATTCCAGGGAAAAAAATTTGGGGTCGATCGGATGAAAAATGGAGAAGATATGGGGGTTAGAAGGGGAAATAAATGGAATTTTTGGGGTATTTTATGGGCCAAAAATGTCTTGGAAAAATTCTCAGATTGGAGGGAAAAATTTGGGATTCCAGGGAAAAAAATTTGGGATCGATCGGATGAAAAATGGCCGAGATACAGGGGTTGGAAGGGGAAATAAATGGAATTTTTTCTGTATTTTATGGGGCCAAAATTCCCAAAAATCTCCTGGAAAAAATTTGGGATTCCAGGGAAAAAAATTTGGGATCGATTGGAAAAAATTTGGGATTGATCGGATGAAAAATGGCCGAGATACGGGGGTTAGAAGGGGAAATAAATGGAATTTTGTGGGATTTTTCCGGCCTCTGGCGCATTGGATTCATCACAGAGAGACTCGAAAAAATCCCAAAAATATCCAGGAAAAATTTGGGAATTGTGGGAAAAAAATTTGGGATGAATCGGATGGAAAATGGCCGAGATATGGGGGTTAAAATGCAAAATAAATGGAATTTTTGAGGCATTTTTTGGGGTCCAAAATTCCCAAAAATATCCCGGAAAAAATTTGGGATTCCAGGGAAAAAAATTTGGGATCGATCGGAAAAAAATTGGGGTCGATCGGATGAAAAATGGGGGAGATACTGGGGTTAGAAAGGGAAATAAATGAAATTTTTGGGGCATTTTTTGGGGTCCAAAATTCCCAAAAATATCCCGGAAAAAATTCTGGGATTGGAGGGAAAAAAATTTGGGAATTGTGGGGAAAAAATTTGGGATCGATCAGATGAAAAATGGCCGAGATATGGGGGTTAGAAGGGGAAATAAATGGAATTTTTGTGGGATTTTTTCGTGCCCAAAATTCCCAAAAATATCCCGGAAAAAAATTGGGAATTGTGGGGAAAAAATTTGGGATGGATCGGAAAAAATTTGGGATCGATCGGATGAAAAATGGCCGAGATACGGGCGTGAGAAGGAAAAATAAATGGAATTTTGGGAACATTTTGGCCTCGTTTAAGGTGAATTTTGGCTGAATTTTGGGTAAATTTTGGATGAATTTTGGATGAATTTTGGGTGAATTTTGGATGAATTTTGGATGAATTTTGGGTGAATTTTGGGTGAATTTTGGATGAATTTTGGGTGAATTTTGGATGAATTTTGGGTGAAATTTTGGGTGAATTTTCGGATAATTTTGGGCTCATTTAAGGTGAATTTGGGGTGAATTTTGGGGTGAATTTTGGGGTGAATTTTGGGGTTAATTTTGGATGAATTTTGGGGTAATTTGGGCTGATTTTGGGATGAATTTTGGTTAATTTTGGGTTTAATTTTGGGTTAATTTGGGCTGATTTTGGGCTCATTTTGGGCCGAATTTGGGATATTTTTTGGCTGATTTTTGGTTAATTTTGACTAATTTGGGGATTCATTTTGGGGTTGAATTTGGAGTTAATTTGGGGCCGATTTTTGGTGAATTTTGGGGCGATTTGGGCTGATTTTGGGGCCGATTTTTGGTGAAATTGGGGCTGATTTTTGGGCCAATTTTGGGATATTTTTTGGCTCATTTTGGGCTAATTTTGACTAATTTGGGGATAATTTTGGGGTGAATTTGGAGTTAATTTGGGGTGAATTTGGGCCGATTTTTGGCGAATTTGGGGCCAATTTGGGGATATTTTTTGGCTAATTTTGACTAATTTGGGGATTCATTTTGGAGTTAATTTGGGGTCAATTTTTGGTGAATTTTGGGACGATTTTGGGCTAATTTTGACTAATTTGGGGATTAATTTTGGGGGGAACTTGGAGTTAATTTTGGGTTAACTTCGGGCTAATTTTGGGCTCATTTGGGGATGATTTGGGGATATTTTTTGACTAATTTGGGCTAATTTTGGGGTTAATTTTTGCTAATTTCAGAGTTGATTTTTGGTGAATTTTGGGCCAATTTTGGGATATTTTTTGGCTGATTTTGGGTTAATTTTGACGAATTTGGGGATTAATTTTGGGGTTGATTTGGAGTTAATTTGGGGCCGATTTTTGGTGAATTTTGGGCTGATTTTGGGATATTTTTGGACTAATTTTGGTCTAATTTTGATGAATTTGGGGATTAATTTTGGGGTGAATTTTGGGGTGAATTTGGGGGCAATTTTTTGTGAATTTGTGGCCAATTTTGGGCCAATTTTGGGTGATTTTGGTAATTTTGGCGCAGGGCGGGAGAAGGGGCGCTGCGTCGCCTCCGAATATTTCCTGGAGCCGGAGCTGAACTTGGTGACGGAAAACACGGAAAACATCCTCAGTAAGGCCGGAATTCTGGGAATTTCGGGAATTCCGGGAATTTCGGGAATTTCGGGAATTCCGGGAATTTTGGGGTGAAGTTTGGGGGAATTTTGGGAATTTTTGGGGGGGATTTTGGGGCTATTTGGGGAATTTTGAGGGAATTTTGGAGGGATTCTGGGGGGATTTTGGGAATTTGGAGAGAATTTTCAGGAGAATTTGGGGGATTTTGGGAATTCTGGGAATTTTGGAGGGAATTTCAGGGATTTTGGGGATATTTCGGGAATTTTGGGGAATTTGAGGGGAATTTTCTGAGAATTTTGGGGGAATTTTTTGGAATTTTTGGGGGATTTGGGGGATGATTTTGGGGCAGAATTCCGGGAGATTTTTGGGTAAAATCTGGGATTTTTTTTGGAATTTTGGAGGGAAATTTGGGGAATTTGGGGGAGATTTTTTGGGGTTTTTTTGGTTTTTTGTGGTCTGGAAATTTCAGATTTTTTTGGGATGTTCCTGAGGCTCTCGGGGTGAATTTGGGGGAAATTTTGGGAGGATTTGGGGTTAATTTGGGAGAGATTTTGGGGAAATTTTGGAGACAAATTTTGGTGACATTTTGCGGTGGATTTGAGGTAATTTGGGGACGTTTTTTGGTTTTTTTTGGTTATTTGTGGTCTGGGAATTTCGGGGTTTTTTTGGGATGTTCCTGAGACTCTCGGGGTGAATTTGGGGGAATTTTGGGAGGATTTTGGGAGGATTTTGGGGGTTCCCGACGTTTTTTGGCCCCCCCAGAGACGGTGAGGACGGCCACGCCCTTCCCCATGGTCAGTCTCTTCCTGGTCTTCACCGCCTTCGTCATCAGCAACGTGGGGCACATCCGGCCCCAGAGGACCCTCCTGGCCTTCGTCTCGGGCATCTTCTTCATCCTCTCGGGTGAGGGAGACCCCCCAAAAATCAAAAAACCCCAAAAAAATCCGATTTCACCCCAAAAATCTGCGCCAAAATCAGCCCCGGACCCCCATTCCCACCCCTGGGGCTTCATGGTTCTCTGCAGGGTGGGAGACCCGAAATTGGCTCAAATCTCCCCAAAATTTCCCCAAATCTCCCCAAAATGGACCCAGACATCCCCTCCAGGATCTCCAAAAATCAAAAATCCCCAAAAAAATCCGATTTCTCCCCAAAAATCTGCGCCAAAATCAGCCCCAGACCCCCATTCCCACCCCTGGGGCTTCATGGTTCTCCTTGGGGTGGGAACCCCAAAATTGGCTCAAATCCCCCCAAAATTGGCTCAAATCCCCCCAAAATGGACCCAGACATCCCCTCCAGGACCTCCTAAAATCAAAAAACCCCAAAAAATCCGATTTTACCCCAAAAATCTGCGCCAGAATCAGCCCCGGACCCCCATTCCCACCCCTGGGGCTTCATTGTCCTCTGCAGGGTGGGAGACCCAAAATCGGCTCAAATTTCCCCAAAATTTCCCCAAATCTCCCCAAAAATCGGCTCAAATCCCCCAGATTTTCCCAAATTTTCTGGAATTTCCTGGAATTTTCCCAAATTTCCCCCCAAACCCTCCCCAAACTCTCATTTCTCCCAATTTCCCCCCATTTTTTGCCATTTTTGGCCATTTTTTCCCCATTTTTTTGCCGTTTCCCCCTCAAATTTCCCGGAATCTCCTGGAATTTTCCAGAATTTCTGGATTTCCCTGGAATTTTCTGGAATTTCCTGGAATTTTCCCAAATTTCCCCCAAACCCTCCCCAAACTCTCATTTCTCCCCATTTCCGCCCCATTTTTGGCCATTTTCTCCCCAATTTTCTCATGTTGGCCATTTTTGGCCATTTTCTCCCCATTTTTCACCATTTTTTGGCCATTTTTGGCCGTTTTCCCCCCGAATTTCCCAGAATTCCACGGATTTTTCCAGAATTTTCTGGATTTCCCTGGAATTTCCCGGAATTTCCCCAAATTCCCCCCCAACGCTCATTCCTCCCCATTTCCCTCCCAATTTTTTACCATTTTCCCACCATTTTCTCCCCATTTTCCACCATTTTCTCCCCATTTTTTGCCATTTTCCCCCCAAATGTCCCGGAATCTCCCAGAATTTTCTGGATTTCCCCGGAATTTCCTGGAATTTCATGGAATTTTCCCAAATTCCCCCCCAAACGCTCATTTCTCCCCATTTCCCTCCTACCCCCAATTTTTTACCATTTTTTCACCATTTTCTCCCCATTTTTCACCATTTTTTTGCCATTTTCCGCCATTTTCCCCCCAAATTTCCCAGAATCTCCCGGAATCTTCTGGAATTTTCTGGAATTTCCTGGAATTTTCCCAAATTTCCCCCCAAACGCTCATTCCTCCCCATTTACCCCACCACCACCAATTTTTTGCCATTTTTTCACCATTTTCTCTCCATTTTTCACCATTTTCTCCCCATTTTTCGCTGTTTTCCCCCCAAATTTCCCAGAATCTCCCAGAATTTTCTGGAATTTTCTGGAATTTCATGGAATTTTCCCAAATTCCCCCCAAACGCTCATTCCTCTCCATTCCCTCCCAATTTTTTACCATTTTTTCACCAATTTCTCCCCATTTTTCACCATTTTTTTGCCATTTTTGGCCGTTTTTCCCCCGAATCTCCCGGAATCTCCTGGAATTTTCTGGAATTTCATGGAATTTTCCCAAATTCCCCCCCAAACACTCATTCCTCCCCATTTCCCCCCCCAATTCTCTCCCCATTTTTCACCATTTTCTCCCCATTTTTCACCATTTTTTTGCCATTTTCCGCCATTTTTACCCCCAAATTTCCTGGAATCTCCCGGAATTTTCTGGATTTCCCTGGAATTTTCTGGAATTTCATGGAATTTTCCCATATTTCCCCCCAAACGCTCATTCCTCCCTATTTTCCCCACCCCCCAATTTTTTACCATTTTCCACCATTTTCTCCCCATTTTTCACCATTTTTTCCCCATCTTTCACCATTTTCCCCCCAAATTTCCCAGAATCTCCTGGAATTTTCTGGATTTCCCCGGAATTTTCTGGAATTTCATGGAATTTTCCCAAATTTCCCCCCCCAAACCCTCATTCCTCCCCATTCCCCCCCATTTTTAACCATTTTTTCACCATTTTCTCCCCATTTTTAAGCATTTTCTCCCCATTTTTCGCCGTTTCCCCCCCCAAATTTCCCGGAATTTTCCGGAATCTCCCGGAATCTTCTGGAATTTTCTGGAATTTCCTGGAATTTTCCCAATTTCCCCCCAAACGCTCATTCCTCCCCATTCCCCCCCAATTTTTTACCATTTTTCCATCATTTTCTCCCCATTTTTCACCATTTTTTTTGCCATTTTTGACCGTTTTCCCCCCGAATTTCCTGGAATTTCCCGGAATTTCCCGGAATTTTCTGGAATTCCATGGAATTTTCTGGAATTTCGGTCCCCAGGGCTGTCTCTGGTGGTGGGGTTGGTTCTCTACATCTCCAGCATCAACGACGAGGTGATGAACCGGCCCGGCGGCTCCGAACAATATTTCCAGTATCGCTACGGGTGGAGCTTCGCCTTCGCCGCCTCCTCCTTCCTGCTCAAGGAGGTCAGTGCCGAAAAAACGGGAATTTTCCAAAAAAAATGGGAATTTTGGGAAAAAAAATGGGAATTTTAGGTGAAAAAATGGAGTTTCTAGGTGAAAAAATGGAGTTTTTAGGATGAAAAATGTGATTTTTACGTGAAAAAAAAGTGGGACTTTTATGCCCGAAAACACCGGGGGAAATAAAGATTTCTCACGTAATTCCTGGATTTATCCAAAAAAAAATGGGAATTTTGGGTGAAAAAATGGGAATTTTGGGAAAAAAACCCAGGTTTTTAGGTGAAAAAATGGGAATTTTATGAGGAAAAATGGGATCTTTACGTGAAAAAAAATGGGAATTTCATGCCCAAAAACACCGGGGAAAATAAAGATTTCCCACATAATTCCTGGTTTTCCAAAAAAAATGGGAATTTTGGGTGAAAAAAGGGGAATTTTGGTGAAAAGCTGGGGGTTTCAGGGCAGGCTCCGAACAATATTTCCAATATCGCTACGGATGGAGCTTCGCCTTCGCCGCCTCCTCCTTCCTGCTCAAGGAGGTCAGTGCCGGAAAAACGGGAATTTTGGGAAAAAAATGGGAATTTTGGGAAAAAAACCGGAGTTTTTAGGTGAAAAAATGGAGTTTCTAGGTGAAAAAATGGAGTTTTTATGATGAAAAATGTGGTTTTTACGTGAAAAAAATGGGATTTTTATGACCAAAAACACCGGGGAAAAAAAAGATTTCCCACGTAATTCCTGGTTTTCCCAAAAAAAAAATGGGAATTTTGGGAAAAAAAACCTGGAGTTTTTAGGTGAAAAAATGGAGTTTCTAGGTGAAAAAATGGAGTTTTTATGATGAAAAATGCGGGTTTTATGTGAAAAAAAAGGGATTTTTATGACCAAAAAACACCGGGGAAAATAAAGATTTCCCACATAATTCCTGGTTTTCCCAAAAAAAATGGGAATTTTGGGTGAAAAAAGGGGAATTTTGGTGAAAAGCTGGGGGTTTCAGGGCAGGCTCCCAGCAATATTTCCAATATCGCTACGGATGGAGCTTCGCCTTCGCCGCCTCCTCCTTCCTGCTCAAGGAGGTCAGTGCCGGAAAAACGGGAATTTTCCCAAAAAAACGGGAATTTTGGGTGAAAAAATGGAGTTTTTAGGTGAAAAAATGGAGTTTCTAGGCGAAAAAATGGAGTTTTTATGATGAAAAATGCGATTTTTATGTGAAAAAAAAAAGGGATTTTTATGACCCAAAACACGGGGGAAAATAAAGATTTTGCGCATAATTCCTGGTTTTCCCAAAAAAAATGGGAATTTTGGGTGAAAAAAAGGGAATTTTGGGAAAAAAACCGGAGTTTTTAGGTGAAAAAATGGAGTTTTTATGATGAAAAATGCGGTTTTTACGTGAAAAAATGGGATTTTTATGCCCCAAAACACCGGGGAAAATAAAGATTTCCACATAATTACTGGTTTTCCCAAAAAAAAAAAAAAAAGGGAATTTTGGGTGAAAAAATGGGAATTTTGGGGAAAAACCCCGAGTTTTTAGGTGAAAAAATGGGAATTTTATGAGGAAAAATGGAATTTTTACGTGAAAAAAAAAGGGATTTTTATGACCAAAAACACGGGGGAAAATAAAGATTTCCCACGTAATTCCTGGTTTTCCCAAAAAAAAGGGAATTTTTGGGAAAAAAATGGGAATTTTAGGTGAAAAAATGGAGTTTTTAGGTGAAAAAATGGAGTTTTTATGATGAAAAATGCGATTTTTATGTGAAAAAAAATGGGATTTTTTTGACCAAAAACACGGGGGAAAATAAAGATTTCCCACGTAATTCCTGGTTTTCCCCCCAAAAAAATGGGAATTTTGGGTGAAAAAAATGAAAATTTTGGGAAAAAAACCCCGAGTTTTTAGGTGAAAAAATGGGAATTTTATGAGGAAAAATGGAATTTTTACGTGAAAAAAATGGGATTTTTATGCCCAAAAACACGGGGGAAAATAAAGATTTCCCACGTAATTCCTGGTTTTCCCAGAAAAAATGGGAATTTTGGGGGGAAAACGGGAATTTTGGGGGGAAAAATGGAGGTTTTAGGAGGAAAATTGGAGTTTTTGGGTGAAAAAATGGGAATTTTATGATAAAAATGGGACTCAGGTGTGCCCAGGTGTGTCACAGGTGTGACTCAGGTGTCACTAACTGTTCTCTCTGTTCCAGGTGTGTCCAGGTGTGTCACAGGTGTCACTAACACATTTCTCTCTCTGTTCCAGGTGTGTCACAGGTGTCACTAACTCCACTCTTTCTCCATTGCAGGGCACAGGTGTGATGTTGGTGTGCCCAGGTGTGTCACAGGTGTGTCACAGGTGACACTAACCCCTCTCTCTCTGTTCCAGGTGTGTCACAGGTGTGTCACAGGTGTCACTAACTCCACTCTTTCTCTGTTGCAGGGCACAGGTGTGATGTTGGTGTCCACAGGTGTGTCTCAGGTGTCACTAACCCCTGTCTCTCTGTTCCAGGTGTGTCACAGGTGTGCACAGGTGTGCACAGGTGTGTCACAGGTGTGTCTCTCTCTCTCCACAGGGCGCAGGTGTCACTCAGGTGTCACTAACACATTTCTCTCTCTGTTCCAGGTGTGCACAGGTGTGCCCAGGTGTGTCACAGGTGTCACTAACTCCACTCTTTCTCCATTGCAGGGTGCAGGTGTCACTCAGGTGCACACAGATGCACACAGGTGTATCACAGGTGTGTCACAGGTGTGTCACTCAGGTGTGTCACAGGTATAACCAGGTGTGTCTCTCTCTGTTGCAGGGCGCAGGTGTGATGTCGGTGTACCTGTTCACCAAGCGCTACACCAAGGAGGAGCCGTGTCACACACAGGTGTGACACACACAGGTGTGACACACTCAGGTGTGCACAGGTGTGCACAGGTGTGTCACAGGTGTCACTAACACATTTCTCTCTCCCCATTACAGGGTGCAGGTGTCACTCAGGTGTGTCACAGGTGTGTCACAGGTGTCACTAACCCCTCTCTCTCTGTTCCAGGTGTGTCACAGGTGTCACTAACACATTTCTCTCTCCGCCTTACAGGGTTCAGCTGTCACTCAGGTGCACACAGGTGTGCACAGGTGTGTCACAGGTGTGTCACAGGTGTCATTAACCCCCTTCTCTCTCTGTTCCAGGTGTGTCACAGGTGTCACTAACTCCACTCTTTCTCTGTTGCAGGGTGCAGGAGGAGCCGTGTCACACACAGGTGTGTCACAGGTGTGTCACAGGTGTGTCACAGGTATAACCAGGTGTGTCTCTCTCCCCACAGGGCGCAGGTGTGATGTCGGTGTACCTGTTCACCAAGCGCTACGCCGAGGAGGAGCCGTGTCACACACAGGTGTATCACAGGTGTGACAGGTGCACACAGGTGTGCACAGGTGTGTCACAGGTGTCACAGGTATAACTCAGGTGTGTTTCTCGTTGCAGGGCGCAGGTGTGATGTCGGTGTACCTGTTCACCAAGCGCTACGCCGAGGAGGAGCCGTGTCACACACAGGTGTCACTCAGGTGTGCACAGGTGTGTCACAGGTGTGACACGGGTGTCATTAACCCCTCTCTCTCTGTTCCAGGTGTGACTCAGGTGTGACTAACACATTTCTCTCTCCCCATTACAGGGTGCAGGTGTCACTCAGGTGTGCACAGGTGTACCCAGGTGCACACAGGTGTGTCACAGGTGTGTCTCAGGTGTATTTCTCTCTCTCCGCAGGGCGCAGGTGTGATGTTGGTGTGACTCAGGTGTGACTCAGGTGTGACACGGGTGTCACGAACACATTTCTCTCTCTGTTCCAGGTGCGTCACAGGTGTGTCTCTCTCCGTTGCAGGGCGCAGGTGTGATGTCGGTGTCACTCAGGTGTGCACAGGTGTGTCACAGGTGTGTCACAGGTGTGTCACAGGTGTGTCTCTCTCTGTTCCAGGACACAGGTGTGATGTCGGTGTGGCACAGGTGTGCTCAGGTGTGTCACAGGTGTCACTAACTCCACTCTTTCTCCATTGCAGGGCGCAGGAGGAGCCGTGTGACAGGTGTGCACAGGTGTGCACAGGTGTGTCACAGGTGTGTCTCTCTCTGTGTTTCAGGGCGCAGGTGTGATGTCGGTGTACCTGTTCACCAAGCGCTACGCCGAGGAGGAGCCGTGTCACACACAGGTGTGACACACACAGGTGTGTCACAGGTGTGTCACAGGTGTGTCACAGGTGTGTTTCTCGTTGCAGGGCGCAGGTGTGATGTCGGTGTACCTGTTCACCAAGCGCTACGCCGAGGAGGAGCTGTGCCGGGCACCGCCGCAGCTCCTGCGGCCGCGCCTCAGCACCTGCTCGGGGCTGTCGGCGCAATACCTGCAGCCGCGGGCGTGGCCCCGCCCCCGCAGCGCCTCCGACGCCTCCAGCGACGTCTCCATCCAGATGAGCCAAAATTACCCCCCGGCGATAAAGTACCCCCAGAGATCGGTGCCACACCCTCACCTGTCCACATCACCCTGCTAGGGCACACCTGGGCACACCTGGGCACACCTGGGTATGTCTATGATACACCTGAGTGTGTCTATGGCACACCCAGAACTACCCCCCGGCGATAAAGTACCCCCAGAGAGGGGTGCCACACCCTCACCTGTCCACATCACCCTGCTAGGGGCACCTGGGCACACCTGAGTGTGTCTATGGCACACCTGGGCACACCTGGGCACACCTGGGCACACCTGGGATATACCTGAGATACACCTGAGTGTGTCTATGGCACAGCCAGAACTACCCCCCGGGGATAAAGTACCCCCAGAGAGGGGTGCCACACCCTCACCTGTCCACATCACCCTGCTAGGGCACACCTGGGCACACCTGGGCACACCTGGGCACACCTGGGATATACCTGAGATACACCTGACTGTGTCTATGGCACACCTGAGATACACCTGGGCACACCCAGAACTACCCCCCGGCCATCAAGTACCCCCAGAGAGGGGTGCCACACCCTCACCTGTCCACATCACCGTGTTAGGGCACACCTGGGCACACCTGGGCACACCTGGGCACACCTGAGATACACCTGGGTATGTCTATGATACACCTGAGTGTGTCTATGGCACACCTGGGCACACCTGGGCACACCTGGGCACACCTGAGATACACCTGGGTATGTCTATGATACACCTGAGTGTGTCTATGGCACACCTGGGCACACCTGGGCACACCTGGGCACACCTGGGCACACCTGGGTATGTCTATGATAGACCTGAGTGTGTCTATGGCACACCTGGGCACACCTGGGCACACCCAGAACTACCCCCCGGCGATAAAGTACCCCCAGAGAGGGGTGACACACCCTCACCTGTCCACATCACCCTGCTAGGGGCACACCTGGGCACACCTGGGTGTGTCTATGATACACCTGGGCACACCTGGGCACACCTGGGCACACTTGGGCACCTCCCTGGCACACCTAGGCACACCTGGGCACACCTGGGGGCATTGGGAACACACCTGGGCACACCTGGGCACATCTGGGATACACCTGGGCACACCTGTCACTCACCTGGGCACACCTGGGCACACCTGGGCACACCTGGGGGGTATTTTGGGCACACCTGGGCACACCCCAAACACACCTGGGCACACCTGAGATACACCTGGGTGTGTCTATGGCACACTTGGGCACACCTGGGCACACCTGGGCACACCTGGGGGCATTGGGGACATACCTGGGCACACCTGGGCACACCCAAAACACACCTGGGGCACACCTGGGCACACCTGAGATACACCTGGGTGTGTCTATGATACACCTGGGCACACCTGGGGTCACCTGGGGTCACCTGGAGCCATTCAGGTACATCACAGCCCCAACCCCCGGCCACCATCTTGATGACATCATCGGTCGCCATCTTGGTGATTTCTCGGCCGCCATATTGGCCAGGCAGCCGCAGCCAATCAGAATCCAGCAGTGGGCATGGCGGCCATTTTGGATCGGTGGCCGCAGCCAATGGGGGATCAGGAATGGCTCGGGAGCCGTTTTGGATCAGCAGCAGCAGCCAATCACAGACAAGGATCGCCCTGGCGGCCATTTTGGCTGGACAGAGTCAGCCAATGAGAGACGATGGTGGCCATTTTGTCTTGTCTGCGAGTAGCCAATGAGAGACAAGGATCACATTGGCGGCCATCTTGATTGGGTGAGATCAACCAATGAGAGACAAGGATCCCTTGGCAGCCATTTTGTCCATCTGGAATCAGCCAATGAGAGACAAGGATCACATTGGCGGCCATCTTGATTGGTTAGGCTCAACCAATGAGAGACAAGGATCACATTGGCGGCCATCTTGATTGGCTGAGATCAGCCAATGAGAGACAAGGATCACATTGGCGGCCATCTTGATTGGGTGAGATTATCCAATGAGAGACAAGGATCACATTGGCGGCCATTTTGTCCATCTGGAATCAACCAATGGGAGACAAGGATCACATTGGCGGCCATTTTGTCCATCTGGAATCAGCCAATGAGAGACAAGGATCACCTTGGCGGCCATCTTGACCGGGCAGGATCAACCAATGGGAGACAAGGATCACCTCGGCGGCCATTTTGTCCATCTGGAATCAGCCAATGAGAGACAAGGATCACATTGGCGGCCATTTTGTCCATCTGAAACCTTTTCCCGCCCTTTTGGCCCCGCCCACATTTCCCAGGGTGCCCCCGTGACCTTTGACCCCGGGGGGGGGGGGGTCCCCAAATTTAGGTGGGGGGGGGGGGGGGGGGGGCGGGGCTTGGGGTGGCTCCGCCCCCCGAATTTCCGTGGCAATAAAACGGCTTCGATATGTAGCGACCCCCCCCCCGAATAAATAATGAATAATTAATTAATTAATTAATTGGGGGGGGGAGGGGTAAAAAAAAGCCAAAAAAAAAAAATTGGGGGGGGGGGGGGGAGGGGAAGATATGTAAATAAGATATGTAAATAAGCTGGATCACGTGACCTCAATAAAGGATTTTGAACGGTGCCGGGCCCGAAATTCCAACTGGGAATTCCCAAATTCCAACTGGGAATGACAAAATTCCAACTGGGAACCCCAAAATTCCCTCCGGACCCCCAAAAATTCCCTCCCCAAGCCCTGGGGAGTTAATTAGGGGGGTTTGGAGGGGTTAATTAGTGCCTGGGGGCTTAATTAGGGGGGTTTGGGGGGGTTAATTAGTGTCTGGGGGCTTAATTAGGGGGGTTTGGGGGGGTTAATTAGTGCCTGGGGGCTTAATTAGGGGGGTTTGGGGGGGTTAATTAGTGCCTGGGGGCTTAATTAGGGGGGTTTGGGGGGCTTAATTAGTGCCTGGGGGCTTAATTAGGGGACTTTGGGGGGTCTGATTAGAGACTGAGGGTGTTAATTATTGCCTGGAGGGGTTAATTAGGGGACTTTGGGGGGGTCTTTTTAGAGACTGAGGGCGTTAATTAGTGTCTGAAGAGGTTAATTAGTGTCTGAAGGAGTTAATTAGGGTGGTCTGCGGGTTAATTAGTGCCAGGGGGCTTAATTGGGGAACTTAGTGGGGGTTAATTAGAGACTGAGGGTGTTAATTAGTGTCTGAAGGGGTTAATTAGTGTCTGGGGGCTTAATTGGGAACTTTGGGAGGGTTAATTAGAGACTGAGGGTGTTAATTAGTGTCTGAAGAGGCTAATTAGTGTCTGGGGGCTTAATTAGGGAACTTTGGGGGGGTTAATTAGAGACTGAGGGTGTCCATTAGTGTCTGAAGGGGTCAATTAGTGTCTGGGGGCTTAATTAGGGGTCTTAGGAGGGTCTTAATTAGAGACTGAGGGCGTTAATTAGTGTCTGGAGGGGTTAATTTGTTCCTAAAGAGGTTAATTAATGTCTGAATGAGTTAATTAGTGCCTAAAGGGGTTAATTAGCGCCCGGGGCGGCTCCAGGGGGCGTGGCTTCGCTTTGGGGGGCGTGGCTTCGCTTTGGGGGCGTGGCCTATCCTCGGTGGGCGTGGCCTCGCCGTTGCCATGGAGACGCCGCCGCCGCCGTTGCCATGGAAACCCCGCGGGACCCCCAAACCCCCATTGCCGAGCCCCGCCCCCCTCTGACGTCACCGCAGAACCTTCCAGGCCCCGCCCCCTCCCCCCTCCCCCCCCCCCCCCCAAATTTCCCCCTCCCCCCCCCCAAACGTCGCAGCGAACTCGGGACCGGCACCGGCGGCGGGGACCCCCCGGGACCCCCCAAAAATCCCCAAAAATCCCCAAAAATCCCCAAAACCCCCAAAATTTACCCCTAAAACCCCCCCGGGAACCCCAAAATTCCCGAAATTTACCCCCAAAACCCCCCCGGGAACCCCAAAAATCCCCCGGGAAACCCCAAAATTCCCGAAATTTACCCCTAAAACCCCCCCGGGAACCCCCAAAAATCCCCCAAAAATCCCCCCAAAAATCCACTCCAGGACCCCCCCCGGCAGCGGCGGCCTCGAGACCCCCCAAAATCCGCCCCAAAAAATCCCCAAAACCCCCAAAAAAATTTGGGGGACCCCCAAAATCGGAGCCGGGACTGCGAAATTTGGGCTGAAAACCCCAAAAATCGACAGCGGGACCCCCCCGGAAGCTGCCGCGATCCCCCAAATTTGAGGATCCCCAAAATCGAGGCCGGAAACCCCCAAATTTGGGGTCGGAACCCCGAAAATTTTGGGCCGGGATGCGCAGAATCGGCGAGTGAGGAGGTAAAGGGGGGTCGGGGGGATTTTGGGGGGTCCTGGGGGGATTTTAGGGGGTCCGGAGGGTTTTTGGGGGGGTCTGGGGGGGTCTTGAGGGGATTTTTGGGGGTCCTGGGGGGATTTTGGGGGTCCTGGGGGGGTTTTGGGGGGTCCTGGGGGGATTTGGGGGGTCCGGAGGGTTTTTGGGGGGGTCTGGGGGGGTTTGGGGGGATTTTGGGGGGTCCTGGGGGGGGTCTTGAGGGGATTTTGGGGGGACTTGGGGGGTCTGGGGGCGTTTTAGGGGGTTTTAAAGGGATTTTAGGGGGTCCTGGGGGGGATTTTGGGGGGTCCTGGGTGGGTTTTGGGGGGTCCTGGGGGGGTTTGGGGGATCCTGGGGGGATTTTGGGGTTCCCCCGGTGCTTTGAGTGGGGGAGGGGCGATCGCGGCCCCCTCCCCAAATTTCCCCTCCCCCATTTCCCCGCAGCTGATTGGCCGAGAGCGACGAGCCCCCCCCAGCAGCACCTGCGACCCCCCCCCAAAAAAACCCCTCGGGACCCCCAAAAACTCCCTTAAAGAGCCCCTCCCCCTCCCCAAATCCCCTCCCCCACCCCCAAACCCCCCAAAATCCCCTCCCCCACCTTCCAACCACCCAAATTCCCCCAAATTCCCCCCAAAATCCCCTCCCCCACCATCCAGCCCCCCAAAATCCCCTCCCCCACCATCCAACCCCCTAAATTCCCCCAAATTCCCCCAAATTCCCCCCAAAATCCCCTCCCCCACCCCCTAAATCCCCTTTTACCCCTCCCCCACCCCCTAAACCCCCTTTAACCCCTCCCCCACCCCTTTAACCCCCTCCCCCCTCCTTTAGCCCCTCCCCCACCCCCTAAATCCCCCTCTAGCCCCTCCCCCACCCCCTTTAACCCCCCTCCCCCCCCTTTTCACCCCTCCCCCACCCCCAAATCCTACTTTAACCCCTCCCCCACCCCCAAATCCCCCTTTAACCCCTCCCCCACCCCCTTAACCCCCTCCCCCCTCCTTTCACCCCTCCCCCACCCCCTTAACCCCCTTTAACCCCTCCCCACCCCCTAAACCCCCCTTTTAACCCCTCCCCCACCCCTAAATCCCCCTGTAGCCCCTCCCCCACCCCATAAAGACCCCCAAATCCCCCCTTAACCCCTCCCCCACCCCCTCCCCCCCTTTCACCCCTCCCCCACCCCTTTAACCCCCCTCCCCCCCCTTCCACCCCTCCCCCACCCCTCCCACCCTCACCCTGTGGGGGGGCGGGGCTCTGGTGGGGGGAGGGGCCGGGGGCATCACCGCCCCCCTCCCCGGCCCCTCCCCCCCCTCCCCCCCATCCCTCCCCCCTCCCCCCTCCCCCCGCAGCCCCTCCCCCTCCGCGCCCCCATTTTGGGGGAAGGGTGGGGGAGGGGCGGGGGGTGGGGGAGGGGCGCGCTGGTGCCGCCGGGGGGCGCCGCTGCTGCTGACGGCCGTGGGCGCCTTCGCGGCCTTCGGCCTCATGGCCATCGCCATCGGCACCGACTATTGGCTGTACGCGCGCGCCCGCGTCTGCAACGCCACCACCGGGGTCACCGGTGTCACCGGGGCCACCAATGTCACCAACGGGGCCACCAATGGGGCCACCAACGGGGCCGCGCTGGGCGCTGCCCTCGCCCATGGGGGACTCACCCACTCCGGGCTCTGGAGGGTCTGCTGCCTGGAAGGTGACGCCTGGCGTGGGGCAGGGGACAGTGGGGACATTGGGGACAGGGTTTAGGGGGGTGGTGGCACTTGGGACATCCTTGGTGACACTTGGGATGGGTTTGGGGACACCAGGGATGTGGTTCAGGAGGGTTGGTGGCACTTGGGATGGGGTTCAGAGGTGTTGGTGGCACGTGGGATGGGGTTGGGGACATTGGGGATGTGGTTTGGGATGGTTGGTGGCACTTGGGATGGGTTTGGGGACATTGGGGATGTGGTTCAGGGGGGTTGGTGGCACTTGGGACATCATTGGTGGCACTTGGGACATGGTTCGGGAGGGTTGGTGGCACCTGGGATGGGTTTGGGGACACCGGGGATGGGTTTGGGAGGGTTGGTGGCACCTGGGGTGGGGTTGAGGACAATGTCCCCGATGTCCCCAATGTCCCCAATGTCCCCAATGTCCCCAATGTCCCCAATGTCCCCAATGTCCCCAATGTCCCCAATGCCCCCAATGTCCCCAATCCCCCCAATCCCCCCAATGTCCCCAATGTCCCCAATCCCCCCTTGATGTCCCCAATGTCCCCAATGTCCCCGCTGTCCCCAATGTCCCCAATGTCCCCAATGTCCCCGTGTCCCCAGGGCTGAAGCGGGGGCTGTGTCTGCGCATCAACCACTTCCCTGAGGACCTCGAGTACGACCACGACAGCGCCGAGTACCTCCTGCGTGAGTAACCATGGCAACCGTGTCACCTGTGTCATTGTCACCTCATTGTCATTGTCACCTGTGTCATTGTCACCTCATTGTCACCGTGACAGCGCCGAGTACCTCCTGCGTGAGTAACCATGGCAACGGTGTCATTGTCATTGTCACCTGTGTCATTGTCATTGTCACCTCATTGTCACCTGTGTCATTGTCACCTCATTGTCACCACGACAGCGCCGAGTACCTCCTGCGTGAGTAACCATGGCAACCGTGTCACCTGTGTCACCTCATTGTCACCATGGCAACCGTGTCACTGTCACCTGTGTCACATCATTGTCACCTGTGTCATTGTCACCTGTGTCATTGTCACCTCAGTGTCACCTCATTGTCACCACGACAGCGCTGAGTACCTCCTGCGTGAGTAACCATGGCAACGGTGACATTGTCATTGTCATTGTCACCTCAGTGTCACCTCATTGTCATCTCAGTGTCACCGTGACAGCGCCGAGTGCCTCCTGCGTGAGTAACCATGGCAACGGGACATTGTCATTGTCACCTGTGTCACCTCATTGTCACCTCAGTGTCACCTCATTGTCACCTCATTGTCACCTCATTGTCACCGTGACAGCGCCGAGTACCTCCTGCGTGAGTAACCATGGAAACCGTGTCATTGTCACCTGTGTCACCTGTGTCATTGTCACCTCAGTGTCACCGTGACAGCGCCGAGTACCTCCTGCGTGAGTAACCATGGCAACGGTGTCATTGTCATTGTCACCTCAGTGTCACCTCATTGTCACCACGACAGCGCCGAGTACCTCCTGCGTGAGTAACCATGGCAACCATGTCACCTGTGTCACCTGTGTCATTGTCACCTCATTGTCACCTCAGTGTCACCGTGACAGCGCCGAGTACCTCCTGCGTGAGTAACCATGGCAACGGTGTCACCTGTGTCATTGTCACCTGTGTCATTGTCATTGTCACCGTGACAGCGCCGAGTACCTCCTGCGTGAGTAACCATGGCAACCGTGTCATTGTCACCTGTGTCATTGTCATTGTCACCGTGACAGCGCCGAGTACCTCCTGCGTGAGTAACCATGGCAACCGTGTCACCTGTGTCACCTGTGTCACCTCATTGTCACCTCAGTGTCACCGTGACAGCGCCGAGTACCTCCTGCGTGAGTAACCATGGCAACGGTGACATTGTCACCTCATTGTCACCTCAGTGTCACCTCATTGTCACCTCAGTGTCACCTCAGTGTCACTGTGACAGCGCCGAGTACCTCCTGCGTGAGTAACCATAGCAACGGGACATTGTCATTGTCATCATCACCTCACTGTCACCATGGTAACCATGTCCCCGTCGCCATGGCGACCATGTCATTGTCATTGTCGCCATGGCGACCGTGTCACCGTCACCTCATTGTCACCATGGTAATTGCGTCCCCGTCACCATGGTGACCGTGTCATTGTCACTGTCACCATGGCGACCGTGTCATTGTCACCATGGCGACCGCGTCCCCATCGCCACGGGAACGAAATCCCGGCTTCTGTTTCCATGGCGATGCTCCCAGCATCCTTCCGGCTTCACCATTGCCATGGCAACGCTCCCGGCATCCTCCCGTTGCCATGGCAACGTCCTGGTACCCAGCCTCCCGTTGCCATGGCGACAGTTTGGTACCCAGCCTCCCGTTGCCATGGCGACCGTCCTGGCAATGCTGCTGCCGTTTCCATGGCAACGCTCCCAGCATCCTCCCGTTGCCATGGCGACGCTCTGGTACCCAGCCTCGCGTTGCCATGGCAACCGCGCCCGGCTCCCTGATTGGCCCTCGCCCCCCGCGCTCTGATTGGCCGGAGAGATAAGATTCCCGTCCAATGGTGGGCTCTGATTGGTCAGCGATCCCTGCGCTCCCATTGGCTGGAGATAACAGATCCCGGCAGCTGATTGGCCGGAACTCCCAGATCCCTTTTCAGTGCTGGGCTCTGATTGGTCAGAACTCCCAGATCCCTTTCCTGATTCGTCAGAACTCCCAGATCCCTTTTAATGCTGCGCTCTGATTGGTCAGAACTCCCAGATCCCTTTTCAGTGCTGGGCTCTGATTGGTCGGAATTCCCAGATCCCTTTCCAATGCTGCTCCCTGATTGGTCAGAACTCCCAGATCCCTTTCCTGATTGGTCAGAACTCCCAGATCCCTTTTCAGCGCTGCTCCCTGATTGGTCAGAACTCCCAGATCCCTTTTCAGCGCTGGGCTCTGATTGGTCAGAACTCCCAGATCCCTTTCCTGATTGGTCAGAACTCCCCGATCCCTTTCCTGATTGGTCAGAACTCCCAGATCCCTTTCCTGATTGGTCAGAACTCCCAGATCCCTTTTCAATGCTGCTCTCTGATTGGCCGCCGGCTCCCGGCGCTGCCATTGGCCGCGGGGGAGCCGTGCCGAGCCCTGATTGGCCGTTTCGGCTGGGTAGGCGTGGTCCGGGCCTCGAGCATCTTTCCCATCCTGAGCGCGGTGCTGCTGCTGCTGGGGGGGCTCTGCGTGGCCGCGTCGCGCCTGCGCCGGGCCAGGACCAGCCTCGTGCTCGGCGCCGGCATCCTCTTCGTGGCCGCGGGTAGGTGGGGCAGAAACCCCAAAATCCATCCCAAAAACCCCGAAATCCATCCCAAAATCCATCCCAAAATCCATCCAAAAAAACCCCGAAATCCATCAAAAAATCCATCCAAAAATCCATAAAAATATCCATTCCAAAAACCCCAAAATCCATCAAAAAATCCATCCAAAAATTCATCCCAAAACCACCCAAATCCATCCAAAAATTCATCAAAAAATCCATCCCAAAATCCATCCCAAAATCCATCAAAAAATCCATTAAAAATTCCCCCCCAAAAACCCCAAAATCCATCAAAAAATCCATCCCAAAATTCATCCCAAAACCACCCAAATCCATCCAAAAATTCATCAAAAAATCCATCCCAAAATCCATCCCAAAATCCATCCCGGCATCCTCTTCGTGGCCGCGGGTAGGTGGGGCAGAAACCCCAAAAATCCATCCCAAAAACCCCCAAATCCATCAAAAAATCCATCCAAAAATCCATCCAAAAATCCATCCCAAAATCCATCCCAAAATTCATCCCAAAATCCATCAAAAACTCCATCCCAAAATCCATCCCAAAAATCCCAAATTCCATCCAAAAATCCATCCCAAAATCCATCCCGGCATCCTCTTCGTGGCCGCGGGTAGGTGGGGCAGAAACCCCAAAATCCATCCCAAAAATCCCGAAATTCATCCCAAAATTCATCCAAAAATCCATCAAAAAATCCACCCCCAAAAACCCCAAAATCCATCCAAAAATTCATCCCAAAACCACCCAAATCCATCCAAAATCCATCCCAAAATCCATCAAAAAATCCATCCCAGAAACCCCAAAATTCATCCCAAAATCCGTCCCAAAATCCATCAAAAAATCCATCAAAAAAAACCCCAAAATCCATCAAAAAAATCCATCCCAAAATCTGTCCCAAAATCCATCCCAAAATCCATCCCGGCATCCTCTTCGTGGCCGCGGGTAGGTGGGGCAGGAAACCCCAAAATCCCCGAAATTCATCCCAAAATCCATCCCAAAATCCCCAAATCCATCCCCTTTTAAAAATAATTTTCTTTACATTTTCCGCCCATTTTTTTAAATTTTCCCCACTTTTAAAAAAAAATTTTTAATTTACCCCCAAATTTTAAAAAAAATTCAAATTTTTAAAAAATTTTCCCCATTACTTTTAATTTTTCCCAATAATTTTTTTTACTTTCCCCTCATTTTCCCCCATATTTTTTTCATTTCCATTTCTTAATTTTTCCCCCATTTTCTAATTTCCCCCCCAATTAATTATTAATTATTTAACCCCTTCACCCCCAGGCCTCTCCAACATCATCGGCGTCATCGTTTCCATCATTCCCGATTTTAAAATAATTTTCTTTACATTTCCCCCCCATTTTTTTAAATTTTCCCATTCTTTAAATTTTTAAATTTACCCCCAAAATTAAAAAAAAAAATTCCAATTTTTTTACAATTTTCCCTCATTTTTCTTTCTGTTTTCCCCCATTATTTTACATTTTCCCCAATTTTTTTTCAATTTCCCCCATATATTTTTTAAATTTTTCCCAATTTTTTTAATTTTTTCCCTCAAAATTTTTTTTTAAATTTTTCCCCCATTTTTTAATTCCCCCCCATAATTAATAATTAATTATTAACTATTTAACCCCTTCCCCGCCAGGCCTCTCCAACATCATCGGCGTCATCGTTTCCATCATTCCCGCCCCTTTTAAAAATCATTTTCTTTACATTTTCCCCCCATTTTTTAAATTTCCCCCCAAATTAAAAAAAAATACCAATTTTTTAAAAAAAATTTTCCCCCATTTTCTTTTAATTTTTCCCAATTTTTTCAATTTTCCCCCATATATTTTTTTAATTTTTCCCCAATTTTTGTAACATTTTCCCCTCATTTTTCTTTCCGTTTTCCCCCATTTTTTACATTTTCCCTCAAATTTTTTTTTTAAATTTTCACTTCCATTTTCTAATTAACTCCCCCAATAATTAATAATTAATTATTAACTATTTAACCCCTTCCCCGCCAGGCCTCTCCAACATCATCGGCGTCATCGTTTCCATCATTCCCGCTCTTTTTAAAAAATTATTTTCTTTACATTTCTCCCCCATTTTTTTTAACTTTCCATTTTTAAAAAATTTTTAATTTACCCCCAAATTAAAAAAAAAACCAATTTTTTTTAAATTTTCCCCATTTTTTGCCATTTCCCTCCATTTTTCTTTTAATTTTTCCCCAATTTTTTTAAATTTTTCCCCAATTTTCCCCCATACTTTTTTAAATTTTTCCCAATTATTTTTTTTAATTTCCCCTCATTTCCCCCATATTTTTTTAATTTCCATTTCTTAATTAACCCCCAATAATTAACTATTTAACCCCTTCCCCGCCAGGCCTCTCCAACATCATCGGCGTCATCGTTTCCATCATTCCCCCCTTTTTTTAAACGATTTTCTTTACATTTCCCCTCCTTTTTTTTTTAAATTTCCCCCCATTTAAAAATTTTTAAATTTACCCCCAAATGTTAAAAAAAATTCCAATTTTTTAAAAAAAATTTTCCCCCATTTTCTTTTAATTTTTCCCAATTTTTTCAATTTTCCCCCATATATTTTTTTAATTTTTCCCCAATTTTTTTAACATTTTCCCCTCATTTTTCTTTCCGTTTTCCCCCATTTTTTACATTTTCCCTCAAATTTTTTTTTTAAATTTTCACTTCCATTTTCTAATTAACTCCCCCAATAATTAATAATTAATTATTAACTATTTAACCCCTTCCCCGCCAGGCCTCTCCAACATCATCGGCGTCATCGTTTCCATCATTCCCGCTCTTTTTAAAAAATTATTTTCTTTACATTTCTCCCCCATTTTTTTTAACTTTCCATTTTTAAAAAATTTTTAATTTACCCCCAAATTAAAAAAAAAACCAATTTTTTTAAAATTTTCCCCATTTTTTGCCATTTCCCTCCATTTTTCTTTTAATTTTTCCCCAATTTTTTTAAATTTTTCCCCAATTTTCCCCCATACTTTTTTAAATTTTTCCCAATAATTTTTTTTTAATTTCCCCTAATTTTCCCCCATATTTTTTTAATTTCCATTTCTTAATTAACCCCCAAATAATTAATTATTTAACCCCTTCCCCGCCAGGCCTGTCCAACATCATCGGCGTCATCGTTTCCATCATTCCCCCATTTTTAAAAATTATTTTCTTTACATTTCCCCCCCATTTTTTTTTATTTTCCCCCGATTTTTAATTTTTTAATTTACCCCCAAAATCTTTTTTAAAATTTCCAATTTTTTTTTTAAATTTTCCCCATTTTTTCCATTTTCCCCCATTTTTTTTACATTTTCCCGCCATTTTTCTTTCCGTTTTCCCCCATTTTTATAAAAATTTTCCCAATTTTTTTAAATTTTTCCCTCAAATTTTTTTTTTAAATTTTCACTCCCATTTTTTAATTCCCCCCCATAATTAATTAATAATTATTACTTATTTAACCCCTTCCCCCCCAGGCCTCTCCAACATCATCGGCGTCATCGTTTACATCATTCCCGCCCTTTATTTACATTATTTTCTTTACATTTCCCCCCCATTTTTTTTATTTTCCCCCCATTTTAAAATTTTTAAATTTACCCCCAAATTTTAAAAAAAAATCCAATTTTTTTTAAAGTTTTCCTCATTTTTTTACATTTTCCCCCCATCTTTTTTACATTTTCGCCCCATTTTTTTTTTCATTTTTCCCAATTTTTTTTCATTTTTTCCCAATTTTTTTAAATTTTCCCTAAATTTTTTTTTTTAATTTTCACTTCCATTTTCTAATTAACTCCCCTAATTAATTTTTAATTATTTAACCCCTTCACCCCCAGGCCTCTCCAACATCATCGGCGTCATCGTTTACATCATTCCCGATTTTAAAATAATTTTCTTTACATTTCCTCTCCCTTTTATTTTTAATTTACCCCCATTTTTAATTAATCCCCCATAATTAATTATTAATTATTTAACCCCTTCGCCCCCAGGCCTCTCCAACATCATCGGCGTCATCGTTTCCATCATTCCCGCCCTTTTTTAAAAATTATTTCCTTTACATTTCCCCACCTTTTTTTTATTTTTCCGCATTTTTAAATTTACCCCCAAATTTCCTCCATTTTTAAAAAGAAAATTTCCCCAATTTTTTAAAATTTTCCCCCATTTTCTTTTAATTTTTCCCCAATTTTTTTTCAATTTTCCGCCATATATTTTTTTAATTTTTCCCAATTTTTAAAAAAATTTTCCCTCAATTTTTTTTTCTAATTTCCATTCCCATTTCTTAATTAACCCCCAAATAATTAACTATTTAACCCCTTCCCCGCCAGGCCTCTCCAACATCATCGGCGTCATCGTTTACATCTCCTCCAACTCCGGGGAGGGCTCGGCGGGGGGGGTGGGGGCGGGGGGGGTCCCCTCGCCCCGTTACGGGGGTTTGGGTGGGGGAGGGGTGGGGGGGGGGGGGGGGAGGGGTGGGGGTGGGCGGGGGTGGGGGAGGGGAGCGCCGCCCCTCCCCCTACAGCTACGGCTGGAGTTTCTATTTCGGCGGCGTCTCCTTCATCCTGGCCGAGGCCATCGGGGTCGCGGCCGTTCAACTCTACATCGAGCGCCACCGCCGCGCCCCTCCCCCACCCCCCCCCCCCCCCCCCCCCCCCCCCCACCCCGCTCCGCCGCCCCTCCCCCCCCCCTCCCCCCTCCGCCCGCCGCTCCAGCGCCAAGTCCCGCGACCCCTCCCCTCCCCCCCCCCCCGCCGCCCCTCCCCCCCCCCCCGCCGAGATCTCCATGGTCACCCTCGGCCGTGGGGGGGGAGGGGGAGGGGGGGAAGGGCCGCCCCTCCCCCACCCCGCCCCTCCCCCCATCGCCGGAAGCGCCCCCGGGGCCCCTCCCCCACCCCCGACAGCGGCTGCCCCTCCCCCACCCGGCCCCGCCTTCCTGACGCTGCAGGGGGGGGGAGGGGGAGGGGCGGGGGGTGGGGGAGGGGCGGAGACCCCCGGGGGGGGAGGGACCGGGACCCTCAACCGGAAAACGACCCCGGTCTAGGGCGGGAGCCGGGCCCAAATTATCCCAAATTCACCCCAAAATCAGCCCCAAATTACCCCGAAATTATCCCAAAATCAGCACGAAATTATCCCAAAGTCACCTCAAAAGTATCCCAAAGTCACCCCAAATTCACCCCAAAATCACCCCAAAATCATCCCAAAATTCATCCCAAAATCAGCCAGAAATTATCCCAAATTCACCCCAAAATCAGCCCCAAATTACCCCAAAATTGTCCCAAAATCGCCCCAAAATAAGCCCGAAATTCATCCAAAATCAGCCCGAAATTATCCCAAAATCAGCCCGAAATTATCCCAAAATCACCCCAAAATCATCCCGAAATTACCCCAAAATTGTCCCAAATTCACCCCAAATTCACTTCAAAATCACCCCAAAATTATCCCAAAATCAGCCCAAAATTATCCCAAAGTCACCCCAAAATCAGCCCAAAATTCACCCCGAACATCATCCAAAATCAGTCCAAAAGTCATTCAAAAATCATCCCAAAATTATCCCAAATTCACCTCAAAATTCATCCAAAATTATCCCAAAATTATCCCAAAGTCTCCCCGAAATTATCCCAAAGTCATCCCAAAATCACCCCGAAATTATCCCGAAATTACCCCAAAATTGTCCCAAATTCACCCCAAAATCATCCCAAAATTATCCCAAATTCACTCTAAAATTCACTCAAAGTCATCCCAACATTATCCCAAATTCACCCCAAAATTATCCCCAAATCGGCCCAAATTCATCCCAAATTCACCCCGAAATTCATCCAAAATCACCCCAAAATTATCTCAAAGTCACCCAAAAATCAGCACAAAATTCATCCAAATTCACCCCAAAATCCATCCAAAGCCACCCCAAAATTGGCCCAAAATCATCCCCAAAATCAGCCCAAAATTCACCCAAAATTCACTCCAAAATTGGCCCAAAATCAGCCCAAAATTCACCCAAAATTTCCTGGGATTCCCCCTGAAAATTCACCCAAAATACCCCAAAAATCCCCCAAAATTCACATTTCACATTTACCCAAAATTCACATTTCAAATTTACCCAAAATTCACCCCAAAATCCCCCAAAATCCGGGTCCCAAAATTCCTCATTTTTTGGAGCCCCAAAATCGTCATTTTTGGAGGAAATTCCCCAAATTTCCCCTCCCTGGGGGAACCCAAATTTGCCTTTTTCCCCTTTTTTCCCTTTTTTTCCCTTTTCCCAATTTTTTGTAATTTTTGCCCTTTTTTGCCTTTTTTTGATTTTTTGGGGTTTTTTTTTCTGTCATTTTTGTCCTTTTTTGTCATTTTTTGACTTTTTTGTCCTTTTTTGTCCTTTTTGTCCCTTTTTGTCCCTTTTTATCCTTTTTTTGTCTTTTTTTTGTCATTTTTTGACTTTTTTTTACTTTTTTGTCTTTTTTTGTCCTTTTTTTGTCATTTTTTGTCTTTTTTTGCCCTTTTTTGTCCCTTTTTTTTGTCCCTTTTTTTGGTCCCTTTTTTGTCCTTTTTTGTCTTTTTTTTTGTCCTTTTTTGACTTTTTTTGTCATTTTTTAACTTTTTTGTCCTTTTTTTGTCCTTTTTTTGTTCCTTTTTGTCCTTTTTTGTCCTTTTTTGTCCCTTTTTGTCCTTTTTTGTCCTTTTTTTTCCTTTTTTGGTTATTTTTTGTCCTTTTTTGTCCTTTTTTGTCCTTTTTGCCATTTTTTTGTCCTTTTTTGTCTTTTTTTGCCTTTTTTGTCCTTTTTTGACTTTTTTGTCCTTTTTTGTCCTTTTTTTGTCCTTTTTTTGTCTTTTTTTGTCATTTTTTGACTTTTTTGTAATTTTTGTCCTTTTTTGTCCTTTTTTTGTCATTTTTTGCCCTTTTTTGTCTTTTTTTGTCCTTTTTTTGAACAATTTTTTCCCCATTTTTCCTTTTTCCCTTTTTCTCCTTTTTTTGCCCCATTTTGCCCCTCCCCCCCAACCCCCCGGGGGGTCCCAGTGCCTTAAAGGGGGGGATGGGACCCCCGGGGTGTCCCACCAGTACGGACCAGTTTGGACCAGTTTGGACCAGTTTGGACCAGTCTGGACCAGTCTGGACCAGTTTGGACCAGTTTGGCCCAATTTCCCTGGACCAGTTTGGACCAGTTTGGCCCAGTATCCCCCAGTTTCCTGCACCAGTCTGGACCAGTTTGGACCAGTTTGATCCAATTTCCCTGGACCAGTTTGGATCAGTTTGGCCCAGTCCAGACCAGTTCCCTCCCTGATACGGGACCAGTCTCCCCCAGTTTCCTGGACCAGTTTGGACCAGCTTGGATCAGTTTGGCCCAGTAATTCCCAGTTTCCTGGACCAGTTTGTCCCAGTTTGGACCAGTTTGGCCCAATTTCCATGGACCAATTTGGACCAGTTTGGCCCAATTTCCATGGACCAGTCTGGCCCAGTAACTCCAGCTTTCCTGCACCAGTTTGGCCCAGTTTGGCCCAATTTCCATGGACCAGTTTGGACCAGTTTGGACCAGTTTGGCCCAATCTCTCCCAGTTTCCTGGACCAGTTTGGACCAGTAACTCCCAATTTCCTGCACCAGTTTGTCCCAGTTTGGACCAGTTTGGCCCAGTTTCCCCCAGTTTCCTGCACCAGTCTGGACCAGTTTGGCCCAGTAATTCCCAGTTTCCTGGACCAGTTTGGACCAGTTTGGCCCAATTTCCCTGGACCAGTTTGCCCCAGTTTGGACCAGTATCCCCCAATTTCCTGGACCAATTTGGACCAGTTTGTCCCAGTTTGGACCAGTTGGGCCCAATTTCCATGGACCAGTTTGGACCAGTAACTCCCCGTTTCCTGTACCAGTCTGGACCAGTTTGGCCCAATTTCCCTGGACCAGTCTGGACCAGTTTGGACCAGTTTGGCCCAATTTCTCTGTCCCAGTTCATCCCAGTCTGTCCCAGTTTGTCCCAGTTTGTCCCGGGCCGGTGGGGGGGGCTGGGATCATCGGGAGCCCCCCCAGGCCCCGCCCCCTTTCCCAAGCCCCGCCCCTTTCTGTCCCACCCTCCTAAGCCCCGCCCACCGCTCAGGCCACGCCCCTTCTGTGCCCAAACCACGCCCCTTTCTGTAAGCCCCGCCCACTGCGCCGCAAGCCCCGCCCCCCGCGCTGGCCCCGCCCCCCGCATGCAAATTTTTATGGAAATTTCGCTCTTTCCAATAAAAACCACGCGTGAAAACGGCGGAATTTGGGAGAAAATTCGAGAATTTTGGGGAATTTTGGGGAATTTTGAAGAATTTTGTGGGAATTTGGGGGAAATTTGGGGAGTTTGAGGCCATTTTGGGAAAATTCTGGGAAAGTTTTTGAATTTAGGAGAAATTTTGAAGAATTTAGTGGGAATTTGGGGCCATTTTGGGGAATTCTGTGGGAATTTGGAGGAACATTCAAGAATTTTTTGGGAATTCGGGGAAATTTTGGGGAATTTGGGAATTTGGGGAATTTTTGGGGAATTCGGCGGCATTTTTGGGAATTTGGGAATTTGGTGGGAATTTGGGGCCATTGGTGGGAAATTTTGGGAATTTGGGGGAAATTTGGGGATTTTTTTTTGAATTTGAGAAATTTGGGGGATTTGGGGACATTTTATGGGAATTTGGGGGAATTTTGAGGTAATTTCGTGGGAATTTGGAGAATTTGGGCCATTTTGGGGAATTTCTTTGGAATTTGGGGAATTTGGGGACATTTTATGGGAATTTGGGGACATTTTATGGGAATTTCGGGGAATTTCGGGGTCATTTTGGGATATCTTTGTGATAATTTGGGGAATTTAGTGGGAATTTGGTGGGAATTTGGGGAATTTGGGGTCATTTTGTGGGAATTTGTGGAATTTGGGTTAATTTTTTGGGAATTTGAGGAAATTTTGTGGGAATTTGGGGAATTTGGGGTAATTTTGTGAGAATTTGGGGAAATGTTGTGGAAATCGGGGGCATTTTGGGGTCATTTTGTGAGAATTTGGGGGATTTGGGGTAATTTTGTGAGAATTTGGGGAATTTGGGGTAATTTTGTGGGAATTTGAGGAAATTTTGTGGAAATTGGGGAAATTTTGGGGTCATTTTGTGGGAATTTGTGGAATTTGGGGTAATTTTGTGGGAATTTGAGGAAATTTTGTGGGAATTGGTGGAATTTTGAGGTCCTTTTGTGGGAATTTGTGGAATTTGGGGTAATTTTGTGGGAATTTGAGGAAATTTTGTAAGAATTTGGGATATTTGGGGTCATTTTGTGAGAATTTTGGGGTCATTTTGGGATCATTTTGTGAGAATTTGGGGAATTTGGGGTAACTTTTTGGGAATTTGAGAAAATTTTGTAAGAATTTGGGAAATTTGGGGTAATTTTGTGGGAATTTGGGGAATTTGGGGTAATTTTGTGAGAATTTGGGGAATTTGGGGTAATTTTGTGGGAATTTGGGGAATTCAGCGTAATTTTGTGAGAATTTGGGGAATTTGGGGTAACTTTGTGGGAATTTGAGGAAATTTTGTAAGAATTTGGGGAATTTGGGGTAATTTTGTGGGAATTTGGGTAATTTGAGGGTTTTGGGGCCAGTTGGGACATTTGAGACCTGGAAAGGCCCTCAGGCCACCTAATTAATATTAATGAGCCTCATTAATATTAACAAGCACTCCTCAAAACGCCAATAAAGCGTTAAGCCCGCCTCTTTCCCAAATCCCCCTTGCTATTGGCTGAGACACCTGTCAATCATATCAGCCCCACCCCACTCTGTGATTGGTCCATCCCTCTGCCAATCACCCTCCGCGCGCTCTCATTGCTCAGCGCTCTGCTCCCGCCTTCCCCCTCCTCCCATTGGCCGCGCCGCTTGTCACTCAGGGCGATCGCGGCGCTGATTGGCGGGCGCGGCAGGAGGGGCGGGCGCAGCCGTGTGGCGGAGCCGGCGCGGGCCCGGGCCCGGCGGGGCGGGCGGAGCGGCGGCGGCGGCGGCGGCGGCGGCGGCGGCGGAGGCGGAGGGGCCGCCCCGGGGCCGCCATGGAGGACGGAGTTTACGGTGAGGGCGGCGGGAGCGGGACCGGGAGCGGGGCCGGGGCGGGAATGGCGGCGGGGAAGGAGCGGAGGGGTCGGGGAGGGGGGAGAGGGTTCGTGAGGCGCGGACCAATGGCGCGGCGAGGAGCGGTCACGTGGGTGGGCGTGGCCTTTATGACGTAACCACGCCCCTTTTTAAAGGACCACGCCCTTTTCGGACCACGCCCCTTTTCTTTAATTACGCCCTGTGATCTATGCAAATTAGACCACGCCTATTCTGATTGATGAATATTCATTAGTAACGGCCACGCCTCTTTTGGTCAGGCCACGCCCCCACGTCTTTATGCGGAAAAGGGGCGTGGCCAGCGCGGGGCGGGGCACTGAGTCAATGAGGGGGCGGGGCTTGATGGGGAAGGGGCGTGGTCATGGAAATGACGGGCAGGTGGGAAGTGGGCGTGGCCAGGGCGGTGCGGGTGGGCGTGGTAAAGGCAATGTGGGCGTGGCCAGGTGTGCCCAGGTGTGCCCAGGTGTGCCAGGGCGGTGCCCAGGTGTGCCCAGGTGCCATGTGGGCGTGGTCAAGGCAATGTGGGCGTGGCCAGGTGAGGCCTGGGTGTGCCAGGGATGTACTCAGGTGAGCTCAGGTGTGCCAGGGCAGTGCCCAGGTGTGTCCAGGGCGGTGCCCAGGTGAGCCCAGGTGTGCCAGGGATGTACTCAGGTGTGCCCAGGTGTGCCAGAGCAGTGCCCAGGTGAGCCCAGGTGTGCCAGGGATGTACTCAGGTGTGCCCAGGTGTGCCAGAGCAGTGCCCAGGTGTGCCCAGGTGTGCCAGGGATGTACTCAGGTGAGCTCAGGTGTGCCATAGACACACCCAGGTGTGCCATAGACATAACCAGGTGTGCCAGGGCGGTACCCAGGTGTGCCCAGGTGTGCCCAGGTGTGCCATAGACACACCCAGGTGTATCATAGACATACCCAGGTGTATCCAGGTGTGCCCAGGTGTGCCCAGGTATGACAGGGATGTACTCAGGTGAGCTCAGGTGTGCCATAGACACACTCAGGTGTATCATAGACATACCCAGGTGTGCCCAGGTGTGCCAGAGCAGTACCCAGGTGTGCCAGGGCGGTTCCCAGGTGTATCCCAGGTGTGCCCAGGTGTACCATAGACACACCCAGGTGATCTCAGGTGTGCCCAGGTGTATCATAGACATACCCAGGTGTGCCAGGGCGGTGCCCATATGTGCCAGGGCGGTGCCCACCTGTGCCCAGGTGTATCCCAGGTGTGCCCAGGTGTGCCCAGAAGATACAGGGATGTACTCAGGTGTGCCCAGGTGTGCCAGGGATGTACTTAGGTGAACTCAGGTGTGCCAGAGCAGTGCCCAGGTGTGCCATAGACACACCCAGGTGTATCATAGACATACCCAGGTGTGCCCAGGTGATCTCAGCTGTGCCCAGGTGTGCCCAGATGTGCCCAGGAGTGATAGGGATGCACTCAGGTGTGCCAGGGTGGTGCTCAGCTGTGCCAGGGCGGTGCCCAGGTGTGCCCAGGTGAGCTCAGGTGTGCCAGGGCGGTACCCAGCTGTGCCCAGGTGATCTCACCTTTGCCCACCTGTGCCCGCTGTGCCCGCAGTGCCCCCGGACCTGTCCCCGGAGGAGCGTCGGGAGCTGGAGTCGATCCGGCGGCGGAAGCAGGAGCTGCTGGGGGAGATCCGGCGCCTGCGGGAGGAGCTCAGCGACGCCATCACCGAGGTCGAGGGGCTGGAGGCCACCGAGGGCAGGTCAGGAGCCCCAAAACGGGCCAAAAATGGCCCAAAATGGGCACAAAATGTTCCCAAAATGTGCCCGAAATGGGCCCAAAATGGGCACAAAAATGGCCCAAAATGGGCCCAAAATGTTACCAAAAATGGCCCAAAATGGGCACAAAATGTGCCCAAAATAGCCACAAAATGTTCCCCAAAAATGGCCCAAAATGTTACCAAAATAGCCCCAAAAATGGCCCAAAATAGCCACAAAATGTTCCCAAAATGTTCCCAAAATGTGCCCAAAATAGCCACAAAAATACCCCAATTAATCCCCAAAATGTTCCCAAAATACTCCCAAAATAGCCCCAAAATGTTCCCAAAATGTTCCCAAAATGTTCCCAAAATGTTCCCAAAAAATTCTCAAAAATATCCCAAATCATCCTCCAAAAAATCCCAAAATGTGCCCAAAATGTTCCCCAAAAATTCACAAAATAGCACCAAAAATATCCCAAATCATCTCCCAAAAAATCCCAAAATATCCCCAAAATATCCCCAGAAATATCCCAAAAATACCCCAATTAATCCCCAAAATGTTCCCAAAATATTCCCAAAATAGCACCAAAATAGCCCCAAAAATACCCCAATTAATCCCCAAAATGTTCCCAAAATGTTACCAAAATGTGCCCAAAATAGCCACAAAAATACCCCAATTAATCCCCAAAATGTTCCCAAAATACTCCCAAAATAGCCCCCAAATAGCCCCAGAATATTCCCCAAATAGCCCCAGAAATATCCCCAAATATCCCCAGAAATATCCCAAATCATCTCCCAAAAAATCCCAAAATAGCCCCAAAATGTTCCCAAAATAGCTCCAAAAAATTCCCCAAATAGCCCCAAAATGTACCCAAAATATTCCCAAAATACCCCAAAAATATTCCCAAAATAGCCCCAAAATAATCCCAAATTAGCTCCACAATGTTCCCAAAATAGCCCCAAAATGTTCCCAAAAAATTCCCAAAATAGCCCCAAAATATTCCCAAAATAGCCGCAAAATATTCCCAAATAATCCCCCAAAAATCCCAAAATAGCCCCAGAAATATCCCAAAAATACCACAATGAATCCCCAAAGAGTTCCCAAAATATTCCCAAAAATATCCCAAAATATTCCTAAAATAGCCCCAAAAATATCCCCCCAAATTCCCAAAATATTCTCGAAATATTCCCAAAATATTCCCAAAATATTCCCAAAATATCCCCAAAATACTCCCAAAAAATCCCCAAAATATTCCCAAAAAAATCCCCAAAATTTCCTGCCAAATCCCTAAAAATTCCCCCCAAATTCCCCAAAATGCCGATTTTTGACCCCAAATTTTGCCCCAAATTCCCCAAAAATTCCCAAAACTTTCCCCGAATTCCCAAAATTTCCCATTTTTGACCCCCAAATTCCCAAAATATTCCCAAGGATTCCCAAAAATGCCCCCAAAATCCCCTAAATTCCCATTTTTAACTCCAAAAATCCCCAATTTTCCCCCAAATTTCCCCCAAATTTTTGTCAGAATCCCCAAAAATCCCCAAAAATTCCCAAAATTCCCGAAATTCCCGAAATTCCAGCAAGACGCTGCAGCGGAACCGGAAGATGGGGATGGGCCGCAAGAAATTCAACATGGACCCAAAAAAGGTCAGCGGGAATTTGGGAATTTCGGGAATTTTGGGGAGTTTTGGGAATTTCTAGGAATTTTGGGATTTTTGGGGAATTTTGGGGGAATTTTTTGTGTATTTTGGGGAAAAAATTTGGATTTTTGGGGGGATTTTTTGGGGGATTCTTTGGGAAATTTTGAGAATTTTTGATGGAGTTTTGGAATTTTGGGGATTTTTGGGGGAAATTTGAGACTTTTTGGGATTTTGGGGGAGTTTTTCAGGGAATTTTGGGTAAAAATTTGGGAATTTTGGGGGATTTTTGGGGAAATGTTCGGAAATTTGGAGGATTTTTTTGGATTTGAATTTTTACCATTTTTCAGTGTAAAAAAAGCGAATTTTCACTTATTTTCGCCGTAAAAACGGGGAATTTTTTGGACTTTGGGCATGAATTTTTGGGGAATTTTTGGGATTTTTTTTGAATTTGGAAACCCGAAGGTTTTGAGGGCAAAAATGTTGAATTTTGACCATTTTTGGGTGTAAAAAAAAGGGAATTTTCGCTTATTTTCGCTGTAAAAATGGGGAATTTTGGGTTTTTTGCGCTGGAACTTTTTGGGAATTTTTGGGAATTTCAGGAATTTTGGAACCTGAGGGTTTTGAGGGCAAAAAATTCGAATTTTTAATGTAAAAAATTCAAATTTTCACTTATTTTCGCTGTAAAAAATGGGAATTTTGGGTTTTTTGCACGGGGATTTTTGGGATTTGGGTCTTGGAATTTTCCGGAATTTCGGGAATTTGGGAAGTTGAGGGTTTTGAGCTTAAAAAATGTGAATTTTGACCAATTTTCGGTGTAAAAAAAGCGAATTTTCACTTATTTTCGCCGTAAAAACGGGGAATTTTTTGGACTTTGGGCACAAATTTTTGGGGAATTTTTGGGATTTTTTTTGAATTTGGAAACCCGAAGGTTTTGAGGGCAAAAAATGTGAATTTTGACCGATTTTCAGTGTAAAAAAAGCAAATTTTCGCTTCTTTTCGCTGTAAAAATGGGGAATTTGGGGTTTTTTTTTGGGAATTTTTTGGGAATTTTTGGGAATTTTTTGGCATTTTTGGGAATTTTGGGAATTTGGGAACCTGACGGTTTTTAGGGCAAAAAATTCGTATTTTTAATGTAAAAAAGGCAAATTTTCACCTATTTTCGCTGTAAAAAATGGGAATTTTGGGGTTTTTGCGCGGGGATTTTTGGGATTTGTGTCTGGGAATTTTCGGGAATTCCGGGAATTCGGGAATTTCGGGAATTTGGGAAGTTGGAGGTTTTGAGCCTTAAAAATACGAATTTTGACCGATTTTTGATGTAAAAAATGCGAATTTTCACTTATTTTCGCTCTAAAAAATGGAAATTTGGGATTTTTTCCGCAGGAATTTTTGGGCTTTGGGTCTGGGAATTTTGGGAATGTTCGGGAATTCCGGGAATTTTGGAACCTGAGGGTTTTTAGGGCAAAAAATTCGAAATTTTAATGTAAAAAAAGCGAATTTTCACTTATTTTCGCTCTAAAAAATGGGAATTTTGGGGTTTTTCCGCGGGGATTTTTGGGATTTGGGGTTGAGAATTTTTGGGAATGTTCGGGAATTTTTGGGAATTTGGGAAGTTTTAGGGTTAAAAATGTGATTTTTCAGTGGTTAAAAAAAGCAAATTTTCGCTTATTTTCCCTGTAAAAATGGGGAATTTTGGGTCTTTTGCATGGGAATTTTTTGGGAATGGTTGGGAATATTTGGGAATTTTGGGAATTCGGGAACCTGAAGGTTTTGAGCTTTAAAAATGTGAATTTTGACAGATTTTTAATGTAAAAAATGCGAATTTTCACTTATTTTCGCTGTAAAAAAATGGGAATTTTGGGTTTTTTCCGCGGGGATTTTTGGGATTCGTGTCTGGGAATTTTTGGGAATTCCGGGAATTCGGGAATTTGGGAATTCTGCAGGGGATCCAGTTCCTGGTGGAGCAGGAGCTGCTGCGGCACACGGCCGAGGACATCGCGCGCTTCCTCTACAAGGGGGAGGGGCTGAACAAAACGGCCATCGGAGACTACCTGGGAGAGAGGTGCCAACTGGGCAAACTGGGCAAACTGGGACGGACTGGGCAAACTGGGGGGGACTGGGATGGACTGGGACAGACTGGGAGGGAACTGGGAGGGACTGGGAGGGACTGGGATGGATTGGGAGCCACTGGGAGCAACTAAAGGGGAACTGGGAGGGAACTGGGACAGACTGGGAGGGACTGGGATGGAACTGGGGAGGACTAGGAGGGACTGGGAGGGACTGGGAGGGACTGGGAGGGGTTAAAGGAGAATTGGGATGGACTGGGAGAGGATTAGGAGAGACTGGGAGGGACTGGGAGGGGTTAAAGGGAGACTGGGATGGACTGGGACAGACTGGGAGCAACTGGGAGGGACTGGGGGGGACTGGGAGGGGATTGGGGGGAACTGGGAGGGGTTAAAGGGGAACTGGGATGGACTGGGACAGGATTTGGAGCAACTGGGAGGGACTGGGAGGGGATTGGAAGGGAACTGGGATGGACTGGGAGGGACTGGGATGGACTGGGAGGAGTTAAAGGGAAACTGGGATGGACTGGAACAGACTGGGAGGGAACTGGGGGGGACTGGGATGGAACTGGGAAGGGATTGGGCGCAACTGGGAGGGACTGGGAGCCACTGGGAGCCACTGGGAGCAACTAAAGGGGAATTGGGATGCACTGGGAGGGACTGGGAGGGAACTGGGAGGGAACTGGCGGGGGTTAAAGGGAAACTGGGATGGACTGGGAGTGACTGGGAAGGAACTGGAAGCCACTGGGAGTGACTAAAGGGGAACTGGGATGGACTGGGAAGGGTTAAAGGGAAACTGGGACGGACTGGAACAGACTGGGAGGGAACTAGGAGCAACTGGGAGAGACTGGGAAGGGTTCAAAGGGCACTGGGAGGGAACTGGGATGGACTGGGAGGGAACTGGGACAGACTGGGACGGGATTTGGAGCAACTGGGAGGGACTGGGAGGGAACTGGGAGCACTGGGAGGGACTGAGGGAAGCAATGATTGACAGCTGGGGGCGGGGCTTATTTGAACCCGTGGGCGTGGCCAAAACAAGTCCAGCGTGATTGACAGGGGTGGGCGTGGCCAGGGGTGATTGACAGGGCTGGTGATTGGGTGATTGGCAGTGTGGGCATGGCCAGGGGTGATTGACGGGGGTGGGCGTGGCCATGGATGATTGACAGGGCTGTGATTGGGTGATTGGCCGGGTGGGCGTGGCCAGGGATGATTGACAGGGCCGGTGAATGGCTGATTGGCAGTGTGGGCGTGGCCAGGGATGATTGACAGGGGTGATTGACAGGGGTGGGCGTGGCCAGGGGTGATTGACAGGGCTCTGATTGGGTGATTGGCAGTGTGGGCGTGGCCGGGGATGATTGACAATGGGTGGGCGTGGCCAGGGATGATTGACACGGTTGGTGATTGGGTAATTGGCAGTGTGGGCGTGGCTAGGGGGTGATTGACAGGGGGTGGGTGTGGCCAGGGGTGATTGACAGGGCCGGTGATTGGGTAAATGCCCGGGTGGGCGTGGCCAGGAATGATTGACAGGGGGTGGGCGTGGCCAGGGATGATTGACAGGGCTGTGATTGGGTGATTGCCCTGGTGGGCGTGGCCAGGGGTGATTGACAGGGGGTGGGCGTGGCCAGGGGTGATTGACAGGGCTGGTGATTGGGTGATTGGCGGTGTGGGCGTGGCCAGGGGTGATATACAATGTGTGGGCGTGGCCAGGGGTGATGATTGACAGTGGTGGGCGTGGCCAGGGATGACTGACAGGGGGTGGGCGTGGCCAGGGATGACTGACAGGGGGTGGGCGTGGCCAGGGGTGATGATTGACAGCCCGGCCCCGCCCCCAGGGAGGAGTTTAACCTGGGCGTGCTCCACGCCTTCGTGGACCTGCACGAGTTCACCGACCTCAACCTGGTGCAGGCGCTCAGGTCGGTCACCGGGGGGCGGGGCTTCACACCTGGGGGCGGGGCTCACCTGGGGGCGGGGCTCACCTGGGGGGCGGGGCGGGGCTTACCTGGGGCGGGGCTCACCTGGGGGGCGGGGCTCACCTGGGGGCGGGGCTTCACACCTGGGAGGCGGGGCTTACCTGGGCACACCTGGGGGGTGGGGCTTCACACCTGGGGGCGGGGCTCACCTGGGGGGCGGGGCTCACCTGGGGGGGCGGGGCTCACCTGGGCACACCTGAGACACACCTGGGCACACCTGAGAGTGATGGGAACTCACCTGGACACACCTGAGAGTGATGGGAACTCACCTGGACACACCTGAGAGTGATGGGAACTCACCTGGGCACACCTGGGACACACCTGGGCACACCTGAGACACACCTGGGCACACCTGGGCACACCTGGGACACACCTGGGGACACCTGGGGACACCTGAGAGTCACCTGGGGGCACCTGGGAGTGATGGGGACTCACCTGGACACACCCGGGCCACACCTGGGCACACCTGGGCACAGCTGGTGATGATGGAAACTCACCTGGGCACACCTGAGACTCACCTGGGCACACCTCAGGGGGTGGGACACAACTGGGGGCACCTGAGACTCACCTGGGCACACCTGGGACACACCTGGGGACACCTGGGCACACCTGAGACTCACCTGGGCACACCTGGGGAGGGTGGGACACACCTGGGCACACCTGGGACACACCTGGGCACACCTGGGACACACCTGGGCACACCTGGGCACACCTGGGCACACTTGAGACTCACCTGGGGTTACCTGGGGGCCTCCCAGGTAAGTTCTGGGACATCTCAGGTGGGTTTGGGGCTCCCCAGGTGCGGCTTTTCGGGAATTCCAGGTGACCCCGGGTGACCCCAGGTGACCCCAGGTGACCCCAGGTGCCCCCAGGTGTGCCCAGGTGCCCCCAGGTGACCCCAGGTGACCCCAGGTGACCCCAGGTGCCCCCAGGTGACCTTTCCGGAACGTTCCAGGCAGTTCCTGTGGAGTTTCCGGCTGCCGGGGGAGGCGCAGAAGATCGATCGGATGATGGAGGCGTTCGCCCAGCGGTACTGCCTGTGCAACCCGGGGGTGTTCACCTGTACAGGTAACTGCACACCTGTGGGACAGGTAACACACCTGGGCACAGGTAACACACCTGGGTACAGGTAACACACCTGGGCACACCTGGGCACGCCCAGCGGTACTGCCTGTGCAACCCGGGCGTGTTCACCTGTACAGGTAACGCACCTGTGGGACAGGTAACACACACCTGGGCACACCTGGGCACTGCCCTGACACACCTGGGCACACCTGAGATACACCTGGGCACACCTGGGTACAGCCCTGACACGCCCAGCGGTACTGCCTGTGCAACCCGGGGGTGTTCACCTGTACAGGTAACTCACCTGGGCACAGGTAACACACCTGGGCACACCTGAGATACACCTGGGTACAGGTAACACACACCTGGGCACAGGTAATGCACCTGGGCACAGCCCTGACACGCCCAGCGGTACTGCCTGTGCAACCCGGGCGTGTTCACCTGTACAGGTAACGCACCTGGGCACACCTGGGCACACCTGGGTACAGGTAACACACCTGGGCACAGCCCTGACACACCTGGGTACACCCTGACACGCCCAGCGGTACTGCCTGTGCAACCCGGGCGTGTTCACCTGTACAGGTAACTGCACACCTGGGCACAGGTAACACACCTGGGCACAGCCCTGACACGCCCAGCGGTACTGCCTGTGCAACCCCGGCGTGTTCACCTGTACAGGTAACGCACACCTGGGCACAGGTAACTGCACACCTGTGGGACAGGTAACACACACCTGGGCACAGCCCTGACACGCCCAGCGGTACTGCCTGTGCAACCCGGGCGTGTTCACCTGTACAGGTAACGCACCTGGGCACACCTGGGCACACCTGGGTACAGGTAACACACCTGGGCACAGCCCTGACACACCTGGGTACACCCTGACACGCCCAGCGGTACTGCCTGTGCAACCCGGGCGTGTTCACCTGTACAGGTAACTCACCTGGGCACACCTGGGTACAGCCACAGACACACCTGGGCACACCTGGGCACAGGTAACACACCTGGGCACAGCCCTGACACACCCAGCGGTACTGCCTGTGCAACCCGGGGGTGTTCACCTGCACAGGTAACTCACCTGGCACACCTGGGCACACCTGGGTACAGCCACAGACACACCTGGGCACACCTGGGTACAGCCCTGACACGCCCAGCGGTACTGCCTGTGCAACCCGGGGGTGTTCACCTGTACAGGTAACTGCACACCTGAGATACACCTGGGTACAGGTAACACACACCTGGGCACTGCCCTGACACACCTGGGTACAGGTAACACACCCAGCGGTACTGCCTGTGCAACCCGGGGGTGTTCACCTGTACAGGTAACTCACCTGGCACACCTGGGCACAGGTAACACACCTGGGTACAGATAACACACACCTGAGACACACCTGGGCACAGCCCTGACACGCCCAGCGGTACTGCCTGTGCAACCCCAGAGTGTTCACCTGTACAGGTAACTCACCTGTGGGACAGGTAACACACCTGGGCACACCTGAGATACACCTGGATACACCTGGGTACAGGTAACACACCTGGGTACAGGTAACACACCTGGGCACACCTGGGATACACCTGGGCACAGCCCTGACACGCCCACAGTACTGCCTGTGCAACCCGGGCGTGTTCACCTGCACAGGTAACTCACCTGGGCACACCTGGGCACACCTGTGATACACCTGGGCACACCTGGGCACAGGTAACACACCTGGGTACACCTGGGCACACCTGGGCACACCTGGGTACAGGTAACACACCTGGGCACAGCCCTGACACGCCCAGCGGTACTGCCTGTGCAACCCCGGAGTGTTCACCTGTACAGGTAACTCACCTGGGCACAGGTAACTCACCTGGGCACAGGTAACTCACCTGGGCACACCTGGGCACACCTGGGCACAGGTAACACGCCCAGCGGTACTGCCTGTGCAACCCGGGCGTGTTCACCTGTACAGGTAACTGCACACCTGGGCACAGGTAACACACCTGGGTACAGGTAATGCACCTGGGCACAGCTGGGCACACCTGGGTACAGGTAATGCACCTGGGCATAGCTGGGCACACCTGGGCACACCTGGGCACACCTGGGCACACCTGTGGCTGGGAATTTGGGGGAATGGCTGGAAATTGGGGAATTTGGGGTTAAAAATGTGAATTTTTACCAATTTTCAGTGCGAAAAAAGCGAATTTTCACATATTTTTGACGTAAAATATAGGAATTTTTGGGATTTCGGGTAGGAATTTTTTTGAAATGGCTGAAAAATTTTGGGGAATGTCAGGAATTTTGGGGAGTGGCTGAAAATTCTTGAATTTAGGGAATTTTGGGGATAAAAATACGCATTCTTACAAATTTTCAGTGCGAAAAAAGCAAATTTTCGCTTCTTTTCACCGAAAAAAATGGGAATTTTGGGGATTTCGGGTGGGGATTTTTTCAGAATGGCTGGAAATCGGAGAATTCGGTGAATTTTTGGGATTAAAAATCCACATTTTTCCCGAACCTGGGCTTAAAAATGTGCGTTTTTTACCGATTTTCATTGGGAAAAAAGCGGATTTTGGCCGATTTTGGCCGTGAAAAATAGGAATTTTTGGGATTTGGGTGGGAATTTTTTGGAAATGAACAGGAACTCTTTGGAAATTTTTAGCGAATGTCGGGAATTTTGGGGAATGGCTGGAAATTCAGGAATTTGTGGTTAAAAATGCTCCTTTTTACCAAATTTTGGTGTGAAAAAAGTGAACTTTTGCTTATTCTCGCCGTAAAAACCAGGAATTTCTGGAATTTTGGGCGGGAAATTTTCGGGAATGGCTGAAAATTTTTTGGGAATGTCACAAATTTTGGGGAATGGCTGAAAATTCTTGAATTTAGGGAATTTTGGGCTTAAAAATGCTAATTTTTACCAATTTTCAGTGCAAAAAATGCAAATTTTCACTTTTTTTGCTGTAAAAAATAGGAATTTTTAGGATTTTGAGCGGGGAATTTTTTAGGAATGGCTGAAAATCGGAGAATTCGGTGAATTTTTGGGATTAAAAATCCACATTTTTCCCAAATCTGTGGTTAAAAATGTGCGTTTTTTACAGATTTTCGATGGGAAAAAAGCGGATTTTGGCCGATTTTGGCCGTGAAAAATAGGAATTTTTGGAATTTCGGGTGGGATTTTTTTGGGAATGGCTGAAAATTTTTTGGGAATGTCACAAATTTTGGGGAATGGCTGAAAATTCTAGAATTTAGGGAATTTTGGAGTTAATAATGCTCATTTTTACCAATTTTCAGTGCAAAAAAAGCGAATTTTCACTTATTTTCACTGTAAAAAATAGGAATATTTGGGATTTCGGGTGGGAATCTTTTGGGAATGTCAGGATTTTTCGGGAATGGCTGAAAATTCGTGAATTTGAGGAATTTTAGAGTTAAAAATGCTCATTTTTACCAATTTTCAGTGCAGAAAAAGCAAATTTTCCCTTTTTTTTCTGTAAAAAATTGGAATTTTTGGTATTTCGGGCAGGAATTTTTCAGAATGGCTGGAAATTGGAGAATTCAGTGAATTTTGGGGGTTAAAAATCCGCATTTTTCCCGAATCTGGCGTTAAAAATGCGAATTTTTACCAATTTTCAGTGCGAAAAAGGTAAATTTTTGCTTATTTTCGCCGTAAAAAATAGGAATTTTTGGGATTTCGAGTGGGAATTTTTTGGGAATGGCTGAAAATTTTTTGGGAATGTCAGGAATTTTGGAGAATGGCTGAATATTTGTGAATTTCAATAATTTAGGAGTTAGAAATGCGAATTTTTACCAATTTTCAGTGCAAAAAAAGCGAATTTTCACTTATTTTCGCCATAAAAAATAGGAATTTTTAGGATTTCAGGCAGGAATTTTTTGGAATGGCTGGAAATCGGAGAATTTAGTGAATTTTGGGCATTAAAAATGCGCATTTTTTCCAAATCTGGGGTTAAAAATGGGCGTTTCTTTACCAATTCTCAGTGTAAAAAAGCTAACTTTCGCTTATTTTTGCTGTAAAAATAGGAATTTTTGAGATTTTGGGTGGGAATTTTTTGGAAATGAACGGGAACTCTTTGGAAATTTTTAGGGAATGTCGGAATTTTGGGGAATGGCTGAAAATTCATGAATTTGAGGTAAAAAATGTGATTTTTTACCAAATTTCAGTGCGAAAAAGGCGAATTTTGGCCTATTTTCACTGTAAAAAATAAGAATTTTGGTATTTCGGGCAGGAATTTTTTGGAATGGCTGGAAATTGGAGAATTTGGTGAATTTTGGGCGTTAAAAATGCGCATTTTTCCCGAATCTGGGCTTAAAAGTATGCATTTTTTACCGATTTTCATTGGGAAAAAAGCGGATTTTCGCCGATTTTGCCGTAAAAAATTGGAATTTTTGGGATTTCAGGCGGGGAGTTTTCAGGAATGGCTGGAAATATTACAATTTGCTGAATTTTGGGGTTAAAAATGGGCATTTTCCCCGAACCTGGCATTAAAAATGCGAATTTTTACCGATTTTCGATGGGAAAAAAGCGGATTTTGGCCGATTTTCGCCATAAAAATTAGGAATTTTTGGGATTTCAGGCAGGAATTTTTTGGAATGGCTGGAAATTGGAGAATTCAGTGAATTTTGGGGTTAAAAATCCGCATTTTTCCCAAATCTGGACTTAAAAATATGCATTTTTTACCGATTTTTGTTGGGAAAAAAGCGAATTTTGGCTGATTTTCATTGTGAAAAAAGCGGATTTTGTCCGATTTTTTTGGTAAAAACCCGGGATTTTGGTTTTTCCCCCCAGACACGTGCTACGTGCTGTCCTTCGCCGTGATCATGCTGAACACGAGCCTGCACAACCCCAACGTGCGCGACAAACCCTCGGCCGAGCGCTTCGTGGCCATGAACCGCGGCATCAACGACGGCGGCGACCTGCCCGAGGAGCTGCTCAGGGTGGGGAGAAATTTGGGCCAAATTTGGGTGAAATTTGGGTGAAATTTGGGTGAAATTTGGGTGAAATTTGGGGAAAAAATAGGAATTTTAGGGGGTTTTAGGGCATCAAAATGGCGGAGATTTGATTGACAGCTGCTCGGGGTGGGCGTGGTCATTGGGCGTGGTCAGTGGGTGTGGTCAGGGGGCGTGGACAGGTGTGTCAATGGAAATTTGGGTGAAATTTGGGGAAAAAATGGTGAAAAAATGGGAATTTTGGGGGGATTTAGGGCATCCAAGATGGCGGAGATTTGATTGACAGGTGCTCGGGGTGGGCGTGGCCGGGGGGGGCGTGGCCAGGTGTGCTCAGGTGTGGGGGGTGAAATTTGGGCGAAATTTGGGTGAGATTTGGTGAAAAAATGGTGAAAAAATGGGAATTTTGGGGGGTTTTTAGGGCATCAACGATGGCGGCGACCTGCCCGAGGAGCTGCTCAGGGTGGGGCCAAAATTTGGGCGAAATTTGGGTGAAATTTGGGTGAAATTTGGGTGAAATTTGGGTGAAATTTGGGTGAAATTTGGGTGAAATTTGGGGAAAAAATGGTGAAAAAATGGTGAAAAAAGGAGGATTTTGGGAGTTTTTAGGGCATCAACGACGGCGGCGACCTGCCCGAGGAGCTGCTCAGGGTGGGGCCGAAATTTGGGCCAAATTTGGGTGAAATTTGGGGAGAAAAAGGTGAAAAAATGGGAAATTTGGGGAGAAAATGGTGAAAAAATGGGAATTTTGGGGGGTTTTATGGCATCAACGACGGCGGCGACCTGCCCGAGGAGCTGCTCAGGGTGGGGCCGAAATTTGGGCCAAATTTGGGCGAAATTTGGGCGAAATTTGGGTGAAATTTGGGTGAAATTTGGGTGAAATTTGGGGAGAAAATGGTGAAAAAATAAGAATTTTGGGGGGTTTTAGGCCATCAAAATGGCGGAGATTTGATTTACAGGCTGCCCAAAATCTCTGAGTTTTCCCCCAAAATCCCCAAATTTCCCCAAAAATCCCCCAAATTTTCCCCCAAATCTCTGAATTTTCCCCAAAATCCCCAAATTTCCCTCAAAAATCCCCCAAATCTTCTCCCAAAATCTGCGAATTTCCCTCAAAAATCCCCCAAATTTCCCCCGAAATTGCTGAATTTTCCCCCCAAATCCCCAAATTTCCCTCAAAAATCCCCAAATTTTCCCAGAAGTCCCCAAAATCCACAAATTTTCCCCAAAATCCCCAAGTTACCCCCAAATTCCTCATATTTTTCCCCAGAATTCCCAAATTTTCCCCAAATTCCCCACAGTTCCCCCCAAAATCTCCAAATCTTCCCCAAAAACTCCCAAATTTTCCCCAAAAATCTTTGAATTTCCCTCAAAAACCCCCAAATTTCCCCAGAAGTCCCCAAAATTTTCCCAAAATAACCCAATTTCTCTCAAAATTTCCAAACATTCCCCACATTCCCCAAAATCTCCAAATGTCTTCAAAAACTCTTAAAATTTTACGTACTTTTATTTTATTTTAAAATTTTACGAACTTCCAAATTTTCCCCAAAAATCCCCAAATTTCCCTCAAAAATCCCCCAAATTTTCCCTGAAATCTCTGAATTTTACCCCCAAAATCCCCAAATTTCCCCAGAAGTCCCCAAAATTTTCCCAAAATCCACAAATTTTCCCCAAATCCCCGAATTTCCCCAGAATTTTCCCCGTAATCTCTGAATTTCCCCCCCAAATCCCCAAATTTCCCTCAAAAATCCCCAAATTTCCCTCAAAAATCCCCAAATTTCCCCAGAAGTCCCCAAAATTTTCCCAAATCCCCAAATTTTGCCCAAAATTTCCAAACTTTCCTAAAAATCTCCAGATTTCCCTCAAAAATTCCCAAAATGTTCCCCGAAATCTCTGAATTTTCCCCCAAAATCTCCAAATTTCCCTCAAAAATCCCCAAATTTCCCCAGAAGTCCCCAAAATTTTCCCAAATCCCCAAATTTTCCCCAAAATCTCTGAATTTCCCTCAAAAATCCCCAAATTTCCCCAGAAGACCCCAAAATTTCCCCCAAAATATCTGAATTTTCCCCCAAAAATCCCCAAAATTTTCTCCGAAATTTCTGAATTTTTCCCCCAAAATCCCCAAATTTCCCCCAAATTTTCCCCGAAATCTCTGAATTTTCCCCAAACCCCCGAATTTTCCCAAAACCCCCCGAATTTTCCCCGAATTCAGAACCTGTACGAGAGCATCCGCTCGGAGCCCTTCAAGATCCCCGAGGATGACGGCAACGACCTGACGCACACCTTCTTCAACCCCGACCGCGAGGGGTGGCTGCTGAAGCTGGGTGAGCCCCGCCCCCTCACCTGGGCCACGCCCACTCACCTGGGCCACGCCCTCACCTGGCCACGCCCAAAAAATCCCGCTCGAAATACTCCAAAATCCCCATTTTTGGTCATTTTTTGAGTTTTTTTAGGGCTCGAATGTGGCTCAAGGTGGGCGGGATCTGCCCTGGCCACGCCCACCGCACCTGGGCCACGCCCACCGACCTGGGCCACGCCCTCACCTGGCCACGCCCAAAAAATCCCACCCAAAATACTCAAAAATTATGATTTTTGGGCAATTTTTATTTTTTTGGGGGGTTTTAGGGTCGTTTCGAGAGGGTGGGACTCACCTCTGGCCACGCCCACTCACCTTGACCACGCCCACTCACCTGGGCCACGCCCTCACCTGGCCACGCCCAAAAAATCCTGCCCAAAATACTCCAAAATTACGATTTTTGGGCAATTTTTGAGTTTTTTTGGGATGTGAATGTGGCTCAATGTGGGTGGGATCTGCTCTGGCCACGCCCACCTCACCTGGGCCACGCCCACCTCACCTGGGCCACGCCCTCACCTGGCCACGCCCAAAAAACCCTGCCCAAAATACGCAAAAATCCCAAATTTTGGTAATTTTATTGGTTTAATGGGGGTTTAGGGTAGTTTGGAGTGGGCGGGATCTGCCCTGGCCACGCCCACCACACCTGGGCCACGCCCTCACCTGGCCACGCCCAAAAAATCCCGCCCCAAATACTCAAAAATTACGATTTTTGGGCGGTTATAGAGATATAATGGGGTTTGATAGTGGCTCAAAGTGGGTGGAGTTCTGCTTTGGCCACGCCCACTCACCTGGGCCACGCCCTCATCTGGCCACGCCCAAAAAATCCCACCCGAAATACTCCAAAATTACGATTTTTGGTCATTTTTTTTGGTTTTCTGGGGGTTTAGGGTAGTTTGGAGTGGGCGGGATCTGCCCTGGCCACGCCCACCGCACCTGGGCCACGCCCACTCACCTGGGCCACGCCCTCACCTGGCCACGCCCAAAAAAACCCACCCAAAATACTCAAAAATCCCAAATTTTGGGCAATTTTTGACCTTTTATGGGGTTAAAGGGGGTGGGACACGCCCTGGCCACGCCCACTTTGCATTGGCCACGCCCACTTTGCATTGGCCACGCCCACCTCGCGTTGGCCACGCCCCCTCCCAGTTCCCCCAGTTTGGTTTTGCTGAATTTTAATGGGTTTTTTCCCTTTTTCTTCCCTTTCTTCCCCAAAATTTCCCCAAAAAATTATTCCCACATTCCCCCAAATTTTCCCCAAATTCCCCAAATTCCCCCCAAATTCCCCAAAATTCCCCCAAATTCCTTTTAAATTCTCCAAATCTCCCTAAAATTTCCTTAAAATTCCCCAATTTCCCAAAAATTTACCCAAATTTTCCCTAAAATTCCCCCAAATTTCCCTAAAATTTCCCCTAATTTTCCCAAAATTCTTGTGGAATTCTCTCAAATTCCCCCAAAATTTCCCAATCCCCGAAAATTCACCCAAATGTCCCCAATATTCCCTAAAATCCTTCCAAATTTCTTCCAAATTCCCCCAAAATTTCCCTTTAAATCCTCCCAAAATTCCCCAAAATCCCCCCATAATTTTATAAATTCCAAAAATTCCCAAAATTTCCCCAAAATTCCCCAAATTTCCCCCAAATTTTCTCTGTGCTGCCTTTGGGACCCCCCCAGGAGGTGAGTTCAGGGGTGGGGACCCCCAAAAATCCCCAAAATCTCCCAAATTCCCCCCAAAATTCCATCAAAAAAATCCCAAATTTCCTCAAAATTCCCCAAATCCCCAAAATTTCCCCCAAAATTCACCCAAAGCCCCGAAATTCCTCTGAATTCCCCACAAAATCTCCCTGAATTCCCCCAAAACTCTCCCCAAAATTCTTCAGAAAACCCAAAATCGCTCCAAAAATTCCCAAAATTTCCCAAAATTCCCAAATTTCCTCAAAAGTTCCCCCAAATTTCTCCCCAATGCCCTGAAATTCTCCTGAGTTTTCCCCAAAATCTTCCCATATTTCCCTAAAACTCTCCCCAAATCCCCCCAAAATTCCCCAAAAATACCAAATTTCCCCAAAATCCCCCAAATTCCCCAATTTTCCCCTGAATTTCCCCCTAAATCCCCTCAAATCCCCCAAAATTACCTCAAAAATCCAAAATTTCCCCTGAATTCCCCCCAAAATCTCCTCAAATTCACCCAAAACTCTCCCAAAATTCCCTCAAAATCCGAAATCTCCCAAAATCCCCCAAATTCCCCCAAAATTCCCCCGAATTCCCTCCAAAATCTCCTGAAATTCACCCAAATCTCCCCAAAATCCCCCCAAAATTCCCTCAAAAATCCAAAATCTTTCCAAAATTCCCTCCAAAATCTCCTCAAATTTCCCCCGAGCTCCCCCAAAATCCCCCCAAATTTCCCCCAAATCCCCAAAATTGCCCAAAATTCCCCAAATTTCCCCCAAATCCCCCTCAGGCGGGCGGGTGAAGACGTGGAAGCGCCGTTGGTTCATCCTGACCGACAACTGCCTCTACTACTTCGAGTACACCACGGTGAGACCCAAAAACCCCAAAATTCACCCCAAAATTCCCAAAATTGACCCCAAAATTTCCAAAATCCATCTCGGGACCCCCAAAATCCCCCCAAAATCACCAAAATTCCACCCAAAATAACCCAAAATCCACCCAAAATATCCCAAATTCACCTCTACTACTTCGAGTACACCACGGTGAGACCCAAAAACCCCCGAATTCACCCCAAAATTCACCCCAAAATTATTAAAATTCACCCCAAAAATTCCAAAATCTATCTTGGAATTCCCAAAATCCCTCAAATCCGCCTCAAAACACCCCAAGAACGGCCAAAATCCACCCAAAATAACCCAAATTCACCTCTACTACTTCGAGTACACCACGGTGAGACCCAAAAACCCCCAAAATTCACCCCAAAATTCCCAAATTCACCCCAAAATTCCCAAAATTCATCCCAAAAATTCCAAAATCCATCTCGGGACCCCCAAAATCCCTCAAATCCACCTCAAAATAACCCAAAAACAGCCAAAATCCACCCAAAATAAACCAAATTCGCCTCTACTACTTCGAGTACACCACGGTGAGACCCAAAAACCCCCAAATTCACCCCAAAATTCACCCCAAAATTCCCAAAATTCACCCCAAAAATTCCAAAATCCATCTCGGGACCCAAAAATCCTCCAAATCCACCGCAAAATATCCCAAAATTCATCCAAAATATCCCAAAATATCCCAAATTCACCTCTACTACTTTGAGTACACCACGGTGAGACCCAAAATCCCCAAAATTCACCCCAAAATTACCAAAATTCACCCCAAAAAAATCCAAAATCCATCTCGGGACCCCCAAAATCTCTCAAATCCGCCTCAAAATTACCCAAAACAGCCAAAATCCACCCAAAATATCCCAAATTCACCTCTACTACTTCGAGTACACCACGGTGAGACCCAAAAACCCCAAAATTCACCCCAAAATTCCCCAAATTCACCCCAAAATTCACCCCAAAATTATTAAAGTTCACCCCAAAAATTCCAAAATCCATCTCAGGACCCCCAAAATCCCTCAAATCCGCCTCAAAATAACCCAAAAACAGCCAAAATCCACCCAAAATAACCCAAATTCACCTCTACTACTTCGAGTACACCACGGTGAGACCCAAAAACCCCAAAATTCACCCGAAAATTCCCAAAATTCTTCCCAAAATATCCCAAAATCCATCTTGGGACCCAAAAATCCTCCGAATCCACTGCAAAATATCCCAAAATTCATCCAAAATATCCCAAAATATCCCAAATTCACCTCTACTACTTCGAGTACACCACGGTGAGACCCGAAATTCCCAAAATTCACCCCAAAAATTCCCCAAAATTCCCCAAAATTCCTCCAAAATTCCCGAATTTCCAGGACAAGGAGCTGCAGGGGATCATCTACCAGGTGGAATCTGCCCCAAAATCCCCCAAATCCACCCCAAAATCCCTCCCTGGGATCCCAAATTCCCTGAAATTCCCAAAATTCCCCAAAATGCCCCGAAAATTCCCAAAAATTCCCAAAATTCCGGAATTTTCAGGACAAGGAGCCGCGGGGAATCATCCCCCTGGAGAACCTGAGCATCCGCGAGGTCGAGGATCCGCGCAAGCCGGTGAGCGCCAAAAATCACCCAAAATCACCCCAAAAATTGTCCCAAAATACCCCAGAACCACCCCAAAAATTGTCCCAAAATAACCCCAAAAATCACCTCAAAATCACATCAAAATTCCCCAAAAATCATCCCAAAATAACGCCAAAATACCCCAGAATCACCTCAAAAATTATCCCAAAATAACCCCAAAAATCACCCAGAATCACCCCAAAATCACCCCAAATTCACCCCAAAAATCATCCAAAAATCTTCTCAAAAGGCCCCAAAAATTATCCCAAAATAACCCCAAAATACCCCAGAATCACCTCAAAAATTATCCCAAAATAGCCCCAAAAAACATCCAAAAATCAGCCCAAAATCCCCAAAAAAATCAGCCCAAAATCCACCAAAAATCAGACCAAAATCTCCTCAAAATAACCCCAAAAATCATCCAAAAATCACCCCAAAATACCCCAGAATCACCCAAAAATTATCCCAAAATAACCCCAAAAATCATCCAAAAATCTTCTCAAAATCCCCTAAAAATCATCCCAAAATTGCCCCAAAAATCATCCAAAAATCACCTCAAAATCAGCCCAAAATCACTCCAAAATTGCCACAAATTCACCCAAAAATTCCCCAAAAATCAGCCCAAAAATCAGCCCAAAAATCACCCCAAAAATCTTCTCAAAATCCCCCAAAAATCATCCCAAAATCGCCCCAAAAATCAGCCCAAAATCACCCCAAAAATCATGGTTTTTACTGGTTTGTACTGGTTTTTACTGGTTTTTACTGGTTTTAACTGGTTTTTAACCCTTCCCAGACCACTTTAAACCCCCCAAAATTCCCATTTTTCCCACATTTTCCCCCTCTACCTCCATCGCCCTTTACCCGATTCCACCCCAATTTTCCCTAAACTGGTTTTAACTGTTTTTTAACTGGTTTTTACTGGTTTTAACTGGTTTTTAACCCTTACCACACCATTTTAAGCACCCAAATTCACCCATTTCCCCCCTTTTTTCCCATTTTTCCCCCACTTTTCTCCTCTACCTCCATCGCCCTTTCCCCGATTCCACCCAAATTTTCCCCAGACTGGTCCATACTGTTTTTTACTGGTTTTTACTGGTTTTAACTGGTTTTTCCCGTTTCCCAGCACTGCTTCGAGCTGTACATCCCCAACAGCCGGGGGCAGCTGATCAAGGCGTGCAAGACGGAGGCGGACGGGCGCGTGGTGGAGGGGAACCACGCCGTGTACCGGATCTCGGCGCCCACGCGGGAGCAGAAGGACGAGTGGATCAAATCCATACAGTGAGACTGGAAAACATTCCCAAAAATTCCATAAAATTCCCAAAATTTAAAAAAAAATTCTGTACATTTAATTGGGGTTTTTAAACGGGGTTTTTGGGGGTTAAAATGGGATTTTTAGACGTGAAAATGGGATTTTTCGGGGATTTTTGGGTTCAAATCCATCCAGTGAGCCCGGAAAACATTCCCAAAAATTCCTTGGAATTCCAAAAAATTCCATAAGAGCAAAAAAAAAATTCCATAGGTTTAATTGGGGTTTTTAAAAGGGATTTTTGGGGGTTAAAATGAGATTTTTGGGGGTTAAAATGGGATATTTCGGGGATTTTTGGGTTCAAATCCATCCAGTGAGCCCAGAAAAAATTCCCAAAATTTCCATAAATTCCCTAAAATTAAAAAAAAATCCATAGAGTTTATTGGGGGTTCTTTAAATGGGATTTTTTGGGGTTAAAATGGGAATTTTTGGGGTTCAAATGGGATTTTTGGGGTTAAAAAGGGAATTTTTGGCATGACCGGATCTCGGCGCCCACGCGGGAGCAGAAGGACGAGTGGATCAAATCCATACAGTGAGCCCAAACATTCCCAAAAAATCCCTGGAATTACAAAAAAATTCCTGGGAATTCCCAAAATTTAAAAAAAAAACCTGGGATTTAATTGGGGTTTTTAAACGGGATTTTTGGGGGTTAAAATGGGATTTTTCGGAGGATTTTTGGGTTCAAATCCATCCAGTGAGACAGGAAAAAATTCCCAAAAATTCCATAAAATTCCAAAAAAAATTCCTTGGAATTCCCAAAATTTAAAAAAAAAAATCTGTACATTTAATTGGGATTTTTAAATGGGGTTTTTGGGGATTAAAATGGGATTTTTGGGGGATTTTTGGGGGATTTTTGGGTTCAAATCCATCCAGTGAGCCCCAGAATTCCTGGAAAAAATTCCAAAGAATTCCCAAAAAAGTTCCCAAAAATTTAGAAAAAATCCGTAGTTAATTGGGGTTTTTAAATGGGATTTTTGGGGGTTTTTAAATGGGATTTTTGGGGTTCAAATGGGAATTTTTGGCATGACCGGATCTCGGCGCCCACGCGGGAGCAGAAGGACGAGTGGATCAAATCCATCCAGTGAGACTGGAAAACATTCCCAAAAATTCCCAAAATTTAAAAAAAAAATCACGGGAATTAATTGGGGATTTTTTAGTGGGGTTTTGGGGGTTAAAATGGGATTTTTGGACATGAAAATGGGATTTTTCAGGGATTTTTGGGGGATTTTTGGGTTCAAATCCATCCAGTGAGTCCCAGAATTCCTGGAAAAAATTCGAAGAATTCCCAAAAAAATTCCCAAAAATTTAGAAAAAATCCATGGAGTTTATTGGGGGTTTTTAAATGGGATTTTGGGGGTTAAAATGGGAATCTTTGGCATGACCGGATCTCGGCGCCCACGCGGGAGCAGAAGGACGAGTGGATCAAATCCATACAGTGAGCCAAAACATTCCCAAAAATTCAAAAACATTCCCAAAAAATTCCAAAAAATTAAAAAAAAATCATGGGAATTAATCAGGGATTTTTTATTGGGGTTTTGGGGCGTTAAAATGGGATTTTTGGGGGTTAAAATGGGATTTTTGGGGCATTTTTGGGTTCAAAACCATCCAGTGAGACAGGAAAAAATTCCCAAAATTTCCATAAAATTCCCAAAATTAAAAAAAAAAATTCCTGGGAATTAATTTGGGTTTTTTTAATGGGGGTTTGGGGGGTTAAAATGGGATTTTTGGGGGTGAAAATGGGATTTTTGGGGGAGATTTTTTTTTTTTTAATTTTTGTGGGATTTTTAGGGAATTTTTTTGGGGATTTTTGGGAAATTTTGGGGTAATTTTTGGGGGGTTTTGGGTGAATTTTTGAGGGACTTTGGGGGGATTTTGGGGCCTTTTCCCACGAATTTGGGAATTTTGGGTGGGATTTTGGGTGGAATTTTTTCCAGGGGGGTCCTCAAGGTGTCGGGACCCCAAAAATTCCCAAAAAATTCCCAAAAAATTCCTAAAATTCCCGAAATTCCGGCAGGGCGGCGGTGAGCGTGGATCCCTTCTACGAGATGTTGGCGGCGCGGAAAAAGCGAATTTCGGTCAAGAAAAAGCCGGAAAATCCCTAAAAAAACCCCGAAAATTCCCGGAAAAACGAAGGGGGCGGGACCCCCGGAATTCCCAGCTGGAACCTCCCAAAAAATTCCCCAAATTTGGGGGAATTCCCCCCAAAATTCCGCCGGACTGGGAAAGGAGCCGAAGGCAGCGGCCGGAGCTCTGGAATTCCCAAAATTCGCAAAATTTCGCCCCTGGGAGCCCCAAAAATCCCAAAATTTCACCCCTGGGAGTTCCGGAATTCCCAAAATTCCCAAAATTTCACCCCTGGGAGCCCCGGAATTCCCAAAATTCCCAAAATTTCACCCCTGGGAGCCCCAAAATTCCTTCCAAAATCCCAAAATTCCCAAATTTCCCCCCCGGAAATCCCAAAGTTCCCCAAATCCCCCCCGGGAATCCCAAATTTCACTCCCCAAATCCCAAAATTCCTCCCAAAAATCCCCTTTGGGAGCCCCAAAATTCCCAAATTCCCCCCCCGGGAGTCCCAAAATTCCTCCCAAAGTTCCCAAAATTCCCCACGGGAATCCCAAATTTCCTCGTGCAGCACCAAAATCCCAAAATTCCCAAAAATCCTCCTCAGGAATCCCAAATTTCACTGCCAAAATCCCGAAATTCCACTTGGGAATCCCAAAATTCCCCCCACAGAAATCCCAAATTTGGCTCCCAGAATCCCCAAATTCCTCCCAAAATCCCAAAATCCCCCTTGGGAATCCCAAAATTCCCAAAATTTTCTGCGGGAATCCCGAATTTGGCTCCCAAAATCCCAAAATCCCTCCAAAAATTCCCAATTCCCCCCAGAATTCCCCAAATTCCTCCTGGGAATCCCAAATTTGGCACTCAAAACCCCAAAATTCCTCCCAAAGTTCCCGAATTTTCCCAAAATTCCCAAATTCCTCCCGAAATTCCCGAATTTCCCGCCCGGTTTGGGGCTCCGGGGGGTCCCGGCCCCTCCCCCCCCCCCCCCCCCTTTATTTATGGTCCCAATAAAAAACGGAGAAATCCGAAAATTCCGGAATTTTCTTCGGGAATTCGGGAGGGGGAGGGGCCGGGGGGAGGGGCCGGGGGGAGGGGCCGGGGGGGGGAGTTTGGGGAATTTTTGGGATTTTTTTGGGGGGAATTTTGGGGGAGTTGGGTGAAATTTGGGGAGTTTGGGGCAAATTTTGGGGCAAATTTTGGGAATTTAGGGAAAATATTTGGGGAATTTGGGGCCATTTTTTATGAGTTTGGGCAGAATTTGGGGAAATTTGGGGCAAATTAGGGGGAAATTTTGGGAATTTGGGGAGATTTTGGGGAAATTTGGAAATTTGGGGGAAAATTTGGGGGATTTGGGGGGAATTTGGGGCAAATTTTTGGAGTTTGGGGCAATTCGGGGGGAATTTGGGGAATTTTGTGGGATTTTGGGGAAATTTGGGGGAATTTGGGGAATTTGGGGGAAATTTGGGGCCAATTTTTGGAGTTTGGGGCATTTTGGGGGAGATTTTGGGGGAATTTGGGGAATTAGGGCGGAATTTGGGGAATTTTGGGGAAATTTGGGGGAATATGGGGGGAATTTGGGGGAATTTGGGGAATTTTGGGGAAATTTGGGGAAATTTGGGGAATTTTGGGGGGTCCCGGGTGTGGGGAGGGTCCCTGTGGGGAGGTCCCAGGTGAGTTTTGGGGTCTCTCAGGTGAGTCTCAGGTGAGTCTCAGGTGAGTTTTGGGGTGTCCCAGGTGAATTTTGGGGTTCCAGCTGTATCTCAGGTGTATCTCAGGTGTATCTCAGGTGAATTTTGGAGTTCCAGGTGTAATCCAGGTGTATCTCAGGTGTGCTCAGGTGTCTCTCAGGTGTATCCCAGGTGAATTTTGGGGTTCCAGGTGTATCTCAGGTGTGCTCAGGTGTATCTCAGGTGAGTTTTGGGGTCTCTCAGGTGAATTTTGGGTCTCTCAGGTGAATTTTGGGGTCTCTCAGGTGCTCCCAGGTCCTTCCAGGTGAGTTTTGGGGTTCCAGGTGAGTCCCAGGTGAGTCTCAGGTGAGTTTTGGGGTCTCTCAGGTGAGTTTTGGGGTCTCCCAGGTGCTCCCAGGTCCTTCCAGGTGAATTTTGGGGTTCCAGGTGTATCTCAGGTGTGCTCAGGTGAGTTTTGGGGTCTCTCAGGTGAATTTTGGGTCTCTCAGGTGAGTTTTGGGGTCTCCCAGGTGCTCCCAGGTCCTTCCAGGTGAATTTTGGGGTTCCAGGTGTATCTCAGGTGTGTCTCAGGTGTGCTCAGGTGTGTCTCAGGTGAATTTTGGGGTCTCCAGGTGTCTCAGGTACAGGCGGTGAAGGGCCGGGTGGTGACCCCGCCGTGCAGCTCCAGGTTGGGCCGTGCCCAGGCCAGCAGGTCCCCGCGGGCAGGTGAGTCACACCTGGCCAGCGCCGCCACCTCAGGTGGGCTCAGGGCGCGGCCCCACAGGTGCAGCTCGGCCACGTCCCCCACAAAGGCCTGGGTGGCGTCAAAGCCGCCCCCGAGGGTGTCCTGGAACAGACGGACAGGGGCACCTGAGCTCACCTGGGCACACCTGGGCACAGGTAACGCACCCACAGACACACATGGGCACACCTGGGCACACCCACAGACATACACACAGACACACCTGGGCACAGGTAACACACCTGGGCACAGGTAACGCACCTGGGCACACACACAGACACACCTGGGCACACACACAGATATACACACAGACACACCTGGGCACAGGTAACACACCTTGGCACAGCCACAGCAACACACGGGCACACCTGGGCACACCCACAGACACACCTGGGCACAGCTGGGCACAGCTGGGCACACCCACAGACACACCTGGGCACAGGTAACACAGCCAGGCACATACAGAGTCACGCCTGGGCACACCTGGGCAGGCACAGACACACCCACAGACACACCTGAGCTCACCTGGGCACACCTGGGCACAGGTAATGCACCTGGGCACACCTGGGCATGCACACAGACACACCTGGGCACACCTGGGCACAGGTAACACACCTGGGCACAGCCACAGACACACCTGAGCTCACCTGGGCACACCTGGGCATGCACAGACACACACACAGACACACCTGGGCACACCTGGGCACAGGTAACACACGTGGGCACAGCCACAGACACACCTGGGCACAGGTAACGCACCTGGGCACAGCCACAGCAACAAACGGGCACACCTGAGCTCACCTGGGCACAGGTAACACAGCCAGGCACACACACAGACACACCTGGCACACCTGGGCACACCCACAGACACACCTGGGCACGGCCACAGACACACATGGGTGCACCTGAGCGCACCTGGGCACACCTGGGCACACCTGGGCACAGGTAACACACCTGTCCCTCACCTGTCCAGGTGTGCTCTCACCTGCTCCTGGCCAATCACGAGCACCCCGTGGGCTCTCAGGTGTGCCCAGGTGTGCCCAGGTGTGCTCAGGTGAGTGCCCAGGTGTGCCCAGGTGTGCCCAGGTGTGCCCAGGTGTGCTCTCACCTGTCCAGGTGTGCTCACCTGCTCCTGGCCAATCACGAGCACCCCGTGGGCTCGGAGGGCGTGGCCCGGCGCCAGCCCCTCCCCCCCCCCACGGGGTTTCCCGTCCTGGAAACTCCTCCAGGTGCCCCCCGGGGCCGCCCAGGTGACACAAAGGTGGTGCCACCTGCCCGGGGC